CTGAAAAGATATAACTGGATGAAGTTGATGGCTTGTATTCATATTGGTATTCTCCAATGAAGCCTCTTGATCCTCAGAGCTATCTGCATCAGGAACGGGTAGGGATAAAGAGTTTTCTGTTATATAGTCTGCGCCATTACATGCGGACTGACGCAGTGCTGCTGGATGAAGTATTGTTATGCTGTTCTTTCTGTCTGCCGAAAGACAGTAGAGGCTGACGAGGATCCGCGCTTTCTTTCTTTATTTTTGGTCTGCCAGTTTTATGTTTTGTGGGATTTTTCTAACCTCGAGGTTGTGCCACTACGAATTGAGTTTGCAATTTAGAATGGAAAGAGTCAAGGAACAAAGAAAATGGAGACGACTACTTCCGTGTCAAAAATGAAGAGCAGAGAAAGAAGTGGGAAACGTTCACGTCGTTACAAACGCCGAAGTGTTCCATGCAGCTATTTTTACAGTGGACTTTCAATTAGGCCGTGCGATCCAGATAATTACCGAAAGTAAGTGCGGTCGTCGGATGATGATTTTCACACAAAAGCATATGACTACCCCACTCTTACTCGTCCCATGTGTCACCGAGGGCAATTGTTCTTTTATTTTTTCTTACTCTCCTTTTATTGTTATCTCGACTGTCTCCCGTGTATAAAAGAAACCGCTTCTCAGCCAAAGTCATGCCTTTGTCAGACGTATTCAGTCTAAAGAAACAACTTATTGTGTATGGTGCACATCACAACAACAAGGTCAATGTGGCCATTCACATGGTCTTTGTCCCCATTATCTTTTGGACAGGTAAACAATTGCTCGACATTACAAACTCTTGGGCTGGTTTCCGCCGGGGAAGAAGAGACGACGAGAGTAGCAGCAGTAGCAAGATATATGCTTGCAACTAACATCATTTCCTAATCCTTGCGATATGCTCGATATGACAATATGAAGCATTGGTATTTGGAGCCAAGACGGGACCTTTGATGAGTGGTGGCCCTCGATGGCTTAAAGCATTTGGCCCCAACCTCAGCTTCTTTACTGTGGTGGGATACCATGCGTACTATACAATTTTGGATCCTGTGGCCTCCGTAAGTAGAGTGTATAAACGGGTTACAATGCAGCTGACGTGATTGGATTGGATGCACCCCTCTTTGGTTTTTGGATATCATGCTGACAAACAGAAAATAAATTTCCGTTCCACCAACACTAATTCTGCTGCAATGTAGACGTTGGCCGCCCCTCTCCTTTATGGCATGTGCTACACTGCCACCAACTTTGAAAAGACCAACGCAAACGCTATTTCGATTGCGCTGACGGGCCATGTCGCTTCGTGGATCTTTCAATTCATTGGTCACGGTGTCCACGAGAAGCGTAGTCCCAAACTGATGGATAACCTTGTTCAGGGTAAATGTTACTTTAGACTGAATAGGAGGCATGTGCGTGTTTTTTGATAACTCACGTGTTCTCTTTTCACCGTACAGCGCTTGTGTCTGCACCTTATTTTGTCTTTTTCGAAATGCTGTTCAAGTTCGGCTATCGTCCTCAATTGCAGCGCGAAGTCCAAGCAGAGGTGGACAAAGATATTGCCGAGTTCCGTGCAAAGAAGGCTAAATAAAGGCACGCAGGACGTGTTGTAACGTAACCTCTGTAACGCGCAACTGTATACTGGTTTTTGTTTACCCGATCAATTGACTGAAACAGATAAAAATAATTAAATAAACTCGCGGCTTTTTTTATATGTCCAGAAAAGAAACAAAAAACTACTTAAAAAGAAAAAAAATTTCACAAGAAAAACTAAGGTGGTAATTATAGGGTTCATACAAAATAAAGGAAAATGAGTAAATAATATAAAGGCTAAGAGTAGAGTAGTTGGGGTTAGAGTTGGAGCGGATGACAGAGTGCGAGGACGTGGGTGATATCGTTTTTATCGTTGGCCCCATTGCTGTTGAAGGTCTATTTGTTGCATTGGCGGCTGTTGCTGTGTTGGTACCTGGTATTTATGACCTTGTTGTTGTGCTGCAGCTGCTGATGCTCCTGCCGAAGATGGTGTGGCTGGTACAGCGTCACTGTCATCGTATGCGTTGGGTGGCGAATAGACAGCACTCGATGGAGCAGCACTGACGGCTCCAGCGGCCCCACCGACAGCGGCAGCGGCAGCTCCAGCAGCGTAAGGATCATAGTGACCGTACGCAGAGGGATCGTAGTACTGTTGCTGAGATTGTGGCTGTGGTGAGTAATAGGCACCTGAAATGGCGGCGTCGGGATAACTCATCATTGGACTAACGGCAGCGGCGGCGGACATGGGTGGAGAGGAGTAGTAGTTGTCTGGAGGAAGTGTTGCAGCCGGCGGCTGTGGCGAGTAGCCGCCGTTGTAGTACTGCTGTTGGTGAGGGTCTAATTGCGGGTTGCCATGGCCCCAGTTGTTGTTGTTGTTGTTATGGATACCATCAGCAGCAGCCATGGCAGCGGCAGCCATGGCAGGCGAGGGCCGGCCGGGATCATGGTAATCGTTGGTAGGTGTCTGGAACTCGTCCTCACCGCCATATAATCGCTTACGCTTGTTTGCCCGTCGTTTTCGCGCGAACACGGCAATGACGATGGCACCAGCCACGGCGACGATACCTCCAATAATTGAGCCAATAATGATGCCAGTGTTGTTACTGCTATTGTCATCGTCCTTGTTCGCGTCGCTACTGCTGGTCGCCTGAGGTCCGTCAGAGCTTGCAGAGACAGAGACCGAGTCGGATGCGTCGGGTGTTGGTGAAGCGTCATTGTCGTTTTTATCGTCGGATTTAGAAGGAGTGGGTGAGGGTTTAGATGTGGTCTTGTCTGGTTCTTGCGAAGACGATGGCTGAGGTTTGCTGTCCGAGGACGCTGAAGGCGAGGCAGTAGCACTGTCAGATGGTTTAGGTGCTGCGTCTGTTGCGCTTGCACTCGGTTGAGCGGCTGAGCTTTCGTTGGGAGTATTGTCTGTTGCAGAGGCTACGGCTGACGAGGAAGTCTCGTCATCTCCACCGCCGAACCAGTTGTCAAACAGACCAGCTTGTGTCTGCACAGCCAGCAAGGCGACTACAAAGGTCGCTATCCAAATGATCTGCACGCTTCTATATCGCATGTTGCGCTGTGTCGGAAGATGGAAGGAAGGAATGGAAAGGGTTGAAGCAGTGTTGGAAACGAGAGTGAGAGAGAGAAAAGGGAAAAAAGAAAAGAGAGTGGGTGAGAGCGAGAAAAGGAGAAAAATGAAGGAGAGACGAGAGGAGTGGAGGAGAGGAGGTTTAACAAACGAGCTTCATTAACGCTACGTTGTAAAATTTAATTTCGAGCTTTTTGATTTGGATTGCCGGCTGCTTTTTCGAGGTGGGACAAGCCAGCCTATCTCCCGACATGTGCTTTGTTTTTTTTTTCGCTATCACAAGATGGTTGTGGCTGTTGTGGTACCGTTCATGTGCTAGCACTTTTCTTGTGTTTCTAAACCAGAAATAACGATTGACAGAAGAAATTAAAGACAGTGGCCGTCTTGTTTACGCTACTACTTGTTATTACAGAGTGCGGGGTATACCTTATTTATGGGCTATTATTACGATAGGTGATATGTACAGTTCACGGCTGATAACTACTACAATATATATAGCCAGCTAACGCTATATATACTATTCGAACAAACTGGCCCGCCGGATTGGGTCCCAGAATAAATTGTATATGTAATCCGCGCGGGTGCGTGTGCGTGTGTTTGAGAGCGTATTCAGACTATGCCTTTTGTGGCAAATAATCCAAAAAATTCAAAATCCTTTGCTGATCTTGGCGGTCAGATTGTCCCGTTCATACAGCAGATTGTCCAGCAGCAGTTCATCAATCTTGATGCTGACAACGCTACGCACTGACACTTCGATCTCGCCACCGAGCGCCTTTTTTATCGCCTCAAATCCCAGTTTTCTCGTCACTACTGGTATCTTTGGCGTCTCCACCACAACACCACTGCAGTTGTTGCCGGCGTCCATCGGTCCTCTACTACACATGATAGGCGGCAAGATCAACGGGCCCACCCATCCTTGGCCCTGGTCATTGAAATCCGCTTGTGCGCTGCCGATCTCTTGAGCCTTGTACGATGCGGTCGCGTTTAGTTTCATCATGGTGATCCCGATGTCTGCAAACGGGTTTCGCAGCCAGAGAATGGTGGTCGAGGACAGAATATTCATCTGCATGGCTGCAAGTAACGGCTCTTCGTCGAAAGGCGGTGCAGTGACCACAAATTCGAGACTCTCAATAACGGATCTCAACAGCGGTGATTGCGTTGCATCCGGATGCCGACCCGATATTGTCAACTGCGTATCGTTTTCCCCTTCACAATTTTTCCACATACTGTTAATTTCATATGACTTGAATCCTATATAAGAGCGCCATTTTTCTTCACCCCAAAGAAAACTTACCAGATATGTAATTGCCAATGAAATCAACCATACGGGTGCTCTCAGCATTCTTTATAAGCCGCCCTTCGATTACCATTCTGTTGCTCGTTTCGGGACTCAATTTGAGTTCAGGTACGGTAACTTCGCCAATGGCTTCGTCCTTGTACACCAGCAAAAACTTTACCTGACCGAGGTTAACGTGGACATCCGAGGGATTATCAATCAGCAAATCATTTGTAATATGCAGCGCGTTTGGATACCCTCTTGTCAACGAGATCGAGGTCACTTGCGGCGGTGGATTCTGCATTCCTTCCATACCTGAAAACAAACATGAATAATATTTATTATTACTGCAGAAAGAACAAGATATTTTATAGCGGATATACAAAACTGAAGACCGAGGGAACAGGGGAAAATGGCGCAGATAGACAAGAACAAAAAGGCAATTTATACAATGATTGTACCTTTTGTATCGATTTCGCCTTTGAACTCTAGATCATGGACAGTGAGGTGGCCAAACGCACTGTCGACCATTGCATCCGCCGTTCCCTTGATATATACGGTAGCCCTGCGACCATTGAAGATGCTGTTGAGGAACTTTTGGAACTCCTTGTCTTTTCCTGGCAAGACCTGAAACGGTGCTCTATGCAATTTCGAGCTGACATTGACAAGACTACTCCCATCCTTCTCGGTCGTCACTGCAGGACACGGCTTGTTGGATGTCAGGCGGCCAAAAGGCTGACTCGAATTAGCCTCAAGATACAAAAACACCTTTGGATCAATTTCGGTCACGTTGATCGAAAACTGCATTTCGTCAGGCTTCTTTAACACAGCGTCAATGTCACCGGATATCACTGGATTGCCCGCTGGCGAAAAGTCGATTTTAATATGCGTCAGCTCGAGTGACTGGATCATGTCCGATTGCTTGGTGCCAGGAAACGGTACTCGTAACGTTAATGACTGTAATGCTTTGCGTAACCATTCGGGTGTGCCTGTCGCCACATTGTCGTCCGGACCAAATGGACTGCCTCGCACATAAACTGTCGATGTATTGCCGTGCAGGTATGCGGAAAGGAACTTTTCCATAAGTTGTTGACGTTCCGGGTCGCTGTCGTCCAAGGGTAATGAGCGACCATTGATGCTGAATACGTTGAGCTGGTTGCCAAACAAGTTGGCATCGTTGGCTCGTACGACTGCAATCATTTTGTCTTCTTTCTCATCTCCTTCACTATCATCATTGTTGTTTGGTAGAAATATGCCAAAGTCTATGTCGCCTAGGCGGAGGCTGAGCATTTTTGAAGGGTTGTAGATGCCAACTTCTCCTTGCAAGGCGATACCCCCCAAGGGGTGAGAGCCAGGGAATGAGACGGACTGGATGCCAGCTTGCTTTAATCCATCCATTCCTTTAATAAATAAGAGTTGGATCAATCATCACCAACTCATCTGACACTACCAATGTTATCGCTGCTAATATTTCTAATCACGGGCTTATATACATTGTTATCGTATATGCTTACCTTCCAAAAATACTTGCTTCTCCAAATCCACATCAGCACTAAACCAACCTAGCTTGAGAGCAAGCGGACCCCGTAAACGCCAAGAGACCTGTTTTTCCGACACGGCACTCTGCGCAAAGTGGATCAACTCGTTATCATCAGTCACAGTGAAATGAGTAACAAAATCAAACGGAGTCACCGGCGAGTCTGGTTGCAACGTCAAAGGCGGCAAATCAATCATGCCCATGGCAATAGGACTCTCGGCCTGATAAAGCTCAAGTCTGGAATCTCGAATCCCGATATCGTTCCCAAAGATCCAACTTGCTTTTCGAGTCAAACTGTATGCGTCGTCTTTTAGGCTGATCTCGCCAGCGACATGCATGGCTAAATCGTGTTGTGATCCGTTGACAATCGAGGCTTGCTTGAATTGAAACTGGACCCCGTCTTGGAAAGACCGTTGTGCAAACTCGGGTGTCAAGAGAAGAAGCAGTATAGCAGCAACGCCTGACAGGCTCATGAGAACGATAAACGTGATGCATAGACTTTTCCGGCATTGGGGTGTTGCTTCTGCGAGATCGTTATCGTCATCCTCGACGGCACCGTCATGGACGTTTTGGCGATGGTCATTTCCACCGGCAAATATGCCAGACCTTGCTGTGCCTCCGTAACCATTATTGTTATCGTCTTGCGATCGAGCTGGGCTTTTCTCTTTCCGTCGACTCTGTCCTAGCAATGGTGCTGATTCTTCATTGTTATTATCTTTTGTGGGTATTTCGAGGTGAGACGACGAAGGTTCACCACCAGGACTACTCGATGGCGTCGTGGGCATTGTATATTTTCACTGGTGACTTGGCGGTGGGTTGGGGAAGGGGGGGTTTTGGGATTTTGTAAAAAAAGAGAGGATTGAAAGGGTTGTTTTTCCAAAAAGAAAGCGCAATAGAAAGAAAGTATGGGTTACGCCTCCCAACATGTCACGCTTTTGTGGTTGCTGTTGTGAGTCTAAAATCCCGAACTTTTTGGGTTGATTGGTTCGTGTTGCTCCTTGATTTCATGCCGTCTAATAAGTCTCGCACGCACCCGTGTGATGATGGCAGTTTCGCTACCTATTAAATACACTGCGTATTTCAACGTGTAGTTACGTACATGATGGCGCATGGATACACCATCACCTGCGGAGAAAAAGAGCGTTTTAAGCAATTTTAGGTTGCACAGGCATGTCGAATCTTGGTTTATGCAGATCTTCGTCTTTTATAAGACAGCTCAATACTGTAACTGTACGTCTTTCTTTTCTCTCCATGGTCAAGCAACGTTACGTTAACAGATTTTTCTCTATTCTTTAATAGTGCACAGTTATTTCTTTACATATTTACAGGACAGATGGATACTAACTTTGAGCTTTTTATGACAATCATGTCATCGTGTTCAATCTACCAGATGTATATACCATAGCAACAACACTTTTGATTGTATGTATCATAGCTATTTAGCTTACTGCTAACCAAACGTCTATGTATGGATATGACCGGCACAGGGGTGGGATGTCAAGGACAGATTCCTTTGCCACCATCTTCTTGTCATCAAACATTACCGCCCGCCGTCGTCCTCTTTTAAAGTAGTGTTTATGCGCCTAGTAGCTTGCTGCTGCTACGAAAGAAACACCGCCACATATACATAGAGGTAATAATAACTTAATGTGAAGCTGTCTCGTTGACCAAAACTGTAACTAAATCCCACAAGAAAACAAGCCATTAATTTCCAATCAAACGCTACTACAAGTACATGCTTGACAATGAACCCTATTCTAGATATTACGTCATAAGGAAACGGACCATATCCATGCATATGTATGATAGTCGCTTAGACAATGAGATAACTGAGTAGCCCATAGTCTGATAAAACGAGAAGCGTACAGTGCCCGCTCGATAATTCGATCACTTTCGTCACAGCCGTAAGTGATCGAATTATCGAAAAAATCTAGTTATCAAGTATTGAATTATCGAGCGGGCACTGTAGTGTATAATGATAAACAATGTCGTCGACTACACGAAGAAAGAGGGCTTCGTTTGACAATGGTAATTACCTAACATTAAGTAACATAACAACAGCAATGATTGGCAATCACGTTTTTACTTGACGGGGCAGGGTACATTATAATGCTACAGTTGTACAATATATAAGAAAGACTAGTGATCAGGGCGTTGTTCATCCTAGATACACCACAAGAAATAACAAAGCAACATCGCCGTAGTAAGAGAAAGTGAAATCCCCGTTATTCAAGACGACCCCAACAATCAACCTGCGTTATACAGAACGATTCATAATAGTCATTCTGGTTAGAGAAGTACACAACACAAATCAAGTGGCCGTTGTCATTATGCAAAATAGCCCGTGACTCTGGTGCAAACATGCAAAGCATTGTTGAAATGTCAGCCAAGCACTAGTCATGGTCAATTTACTCTAGAATGCCGATGTCTATACCGGATCAGAAAAACTGTTGTAATACCCACTATGCATGCCAAAAAATTATCCTTTGGTCGTCGTCTCCGCATTTTACTTATGCCGCTCGAGGATAGAAACCCATAAGAACAGGAAATTGTTCGAAAGTTACAGTACATCCCATTACCCCCGATAAAGCAACTGCACGTTCTAAAAGTGTTTTGACGATCACTGATAATCTCGAACGCTACATCGCTATGCTGGTGTTGTTCGATTGTCCACATACCCTCCTTCTCATCAAGGCCACTATGGCAAAGCATTGTAAGAAAGTGTTCCATCAGTAAGGTTCGTTCAGTCTAATATATCTTTCAATTCTTGTATGATTGGTTTCTTGATGGAGAAACAGGACGTACATAATGCGACCACTCATTGTCCGGGGCCTAATTGCTAATAAATCAGACATAGACCCTATGATGACGCTTGAAGTACCATTGTTATGATACTCGGTCGCAAATCTAGAATTATTGAGACTTAGGTCATTGAAAGCAAAAACCAATAAAAATGCATTTATCATTGTTGTTGTTGTTGGAAAGCAGTAATAAGTGTAAATCAGATTGTCATGTTTCAGATTTTGCTGCTGAAGTAGGCAGAGCTCAATTATTGCCGATTCTCCGCAATGACAATACATCCGTGTCGGGCATCTAATACGTACATATGTGTACCTGCCCTTTTCTCCTTTTTTTTATAACTTTTTCTTCCTCTCTCTCTCTCTGTCTTTCTTCTTCTGCTTTCTCTTTACATACGCGCACGAGTTATGGGAAATTCACAGTCATCGGTCGAGCACGCGGTGGATAAGGGCATCCATCTCTACAAAGCAGTCAAGAAATTCCAACACGAGTTCGAAGCTAACAATCAACAACAGTATGATGGCAACACGAGTGCCCCCCACTATGAACACGAAGAAGACAGTGCCGATTACTCACGGCTTCGAGAGCTTGCGCATCAAGAAGCGGCCAAACGAAACAACTGCTATGAGCAAAGTCAAGAAGCCTATCGTAACGGCGATGGAGCGCAAGGTACATATACTTGCTTGCAGAGGAGAAGAAGGTGTTGTTTCACAAAAGAGCATGCCTGCATGTTTATCATTGCTAAGAAAACCTATTTGAAAAGCAAAACAGCTGTCGAATCAGGGCCATTACCATGACGATTTAATGAAACGATACAACCAGCAAGCAGCAGACCTAGTCTTTGAAGAAAAGAACGCCCATCGACCTGACGACGAAATCGATTTGCATGGCCTGTTTGTCAAGGAAGCCACGGAAAAAGTGGACGAAGCATTGCGACGGTGTCAACGCAACGGTCAGGATCATTTGACGATTATTGTTGGCAAGGGCCTGCATAGTCCAGGTAAGAAAAAAGCACTAGAGATATTGGCTACTTGCACGCACATCAACAAGATATAATCATCTACTAACTCGCCGACCATAACTAACTTTCTCTACTTTATAGGACAAATCGCAAAGCTCAAGCCAGCCATCGCAGGTATGATCCAAAAGCATAATGTGCGATGTACGCCGGATCGACCGAATCCTGGTTGTCTGTATGTCGAATTTGGCCAAGGCACTGGCGACCTTTCTTGGCTCGATCGTATTACGGACCGGGTGGACAGAGGCGATTGTGCTATTATGTAGAAGCTCGTTTCTTTATGCATACACAACAACCACCTCACTCTACGACAACCTTTGTATTTTCCATCATAGCGTATTCAACACTACATGCTCTGTTCCTCTACCTTACCTACTACCACTTCTCGCTGTACTGAATAAGTTTCCTTTTTACTACTACAACTACTAGCTACGAGAGTATCTTTATAGCAACTGTTTTTATAAAAATAATACGCCTCTCGTGGAATATTTTGAAACCTCTCCATGTATATCACACGCCATCAAGAATTAGCGACCGTATAAGCTGGGGAACAACTCCGCGCTCGTACTTTTCTGGAAGTTCACATATGCTTGGTTTTATTTCGTACCTTTTCTCCCTATATCGTTCATACAACGATGGAAAACGCCAGCATGTCCGCCTTGGCTCCATCGCCTCCGCCTCCACCGCCACCACTACCATCCGCCATGGGCAAGCGTACTTCACAGCTATTGCGCGAGGTTATTATATTAAATGATAAAAAAACGCGGAAAAAAAGAAGAGAGAAAGCATAATCCTACCTAATGAGAATAAAAAGGATAATAACGACTTGAAAACAAAACTTGTATTAGTTGGACGACCTGCTGGCACGACTTGACAAAGAAACGAAAATGAAGCTCGGCGTGGAGAATATGCTTGAGGTCTATCTCAAGGATAAGAAGCGGAAAAAGGATCTTGAAGCCCAACTAGAAAGTTGTAATGTCTCCATGGATGAGATTGTCCAGCGTATCGAATACATTCGTACCAATGCCGGTAAATTATATCAACACGACAATTGATATATGCACAAACGAAAAAAGGAATGGGGAAGAGATAGAGGCAGAGAGATAGAGAGAGCATGTACGTATGTGAAAGGGTTTACTTATTTACACTATACAACTTTTTCAATTGGAAAAAGGCGCAAGCACCGCAGAAGTAGCCCAAAAACTCAAGGAACATAGCTATTCTGGAAACGCACTATTCTCATCGGCAATCACATCATCCACATCTTCGTCCTCGCGAACTAGAGGCAAACCTCGATCGAATAGCTCGCCTAATATCAAAGGCAAGCAAAAGGCGTCGCAGGAAAATATATCGTTTCCCGATGATGGTAAAGGCGCAATTTGTTTCCAATTCACTGAATGTTAAATTTTCTGAAGAGAGATTATCACCAACTTATCGAGTTCTTACCAATTAATGGGATAGATGCCTGGCCAATTGGTAAACGATTACACCATATTATCACGCAGTTACGCATTGACGAGTGGAAGGCGGCAAAACCAGGCACATCTGCAGATGCATTAGCGGTCAAAGAATCTAAGTTATCCAAACTCGACACTTTGCTCCGGATATTGAAAAACACAACGGATATTGAAGCGCATTATCCGAAACGGAACATGGTAGCTTGGTAAATTAACAGAATTGGTAGAGGGACTAGGTGGAAAGTAAAGAAGAAGTGGGGAGAGGAGGGGCCATTTACAAATTAGTAAAGGACCTAATCACCAACATAACATACCGGGATTTTGCTACTGATACTATAGTCTGCGTCAATGTATTGCCGGACCAAATCGAGAAGTGCGGGTCATGAGTCTACGCAATTTGCGTCATCTTGTGGAGGGACCTGCAGACGTCAAAATCATGATGGACATGCAGATCGATATATTCATTGTCAGGTAAAGAATCACACATAGAGCGAGAGAGGTGCTATGTTGCTACATAACGAGGATCATGGATTGATCCTTTTTCACTTAGAGCACTTTCACGTGATCCCAATAATCATGAGCCAGAGCGAGAACAAAGCTTGAAACTCGTACGATCTTTTATCGAGTACAACGGTCTCCGATATATCAACCAAGGCATTGTACGCGCCATCGTGGCTATAGCTGAACAAACAGATTGTCGACTACGGAATATATCCTTGGAGACCTTGGCAGAGTTAGGTAAAACGGAAGAACATTTTTTTCAAGAGTTACGCAAGAATTGATGAGAGGGCAACGCCACAATCAACAAGAAACCCCCCCCAAAAAAAAAAAAGCACCATAATACTAACGTGCATGTATAGCCATTCTCGATATTGGGCTTACTGTACGTGCTGGCGGAGTCCGAGTCCTTATGCAAGCACTATTGGACGGACAACTCAATATGGCCGAAGTACTTGTACATGCTCTTGTATATGTATTGGATACACCTGGACGGCGACGGTATTTACGACCTGGAGTCGAGCTAGAGATGATCATTGCACCTTTCACGGAAACGGGCAAAGGAACCAACTTTGAAGAACGGTTAAAAAACAGTGCGCGTGTGGTAACATTGATGCTAAAGAGTTGGGCAGGCGTTTTCCTGATGTGTGCAAACAACATGCGGGCAGCGCGTTCTGTTGTGCAGACTCTACGTTTCCCCGTTCCAGAAACACAGGTAACCGAAAATCTGAAGAGAAATGTGAGGGGATATATTTCATAGAGAATTGACAATCGAGGACAATAACATGGTCTATGTAGAAAATCGTGCTGGACATGTTTTTTAATGTCTTCCGAGTCAAGCTACCCAAAGATTACAACAGCTTTTTGGCCGGACGACAGCACACAGTTCATATTGGCCCAGGAAGCAATAACGCGGGAGCTGACCAAGCAGCAGCACCACTGGCAGGACGCAGTGGAACATCACGACTCGGAAGCAGTAGCAACGACATTAACGACCTTTTGATGAAGAACTTCAAAACTGCCGATATCAAGAATATGGCAAACAAAGAGCGAAGCACAGCAACCAACAATGCCGAACGACTCAACATGCTGGATCATCACCTCTGTATCATACTCATCATATTTATTGACGCCGACATTCTAATGGCGTTAGTAGATATGGTCAAGTCGGACGACGTGTATATATCACGCAAAGCAACGCTCCTGATCGGCGAGATTCTTCAGCTATCCACACGTTTATTACCCATTATGATGGGTATCCAGGTTCAGTCTTTACCAAAACTTTTTGCACTAGCATCGAATTTTGAAGACGAACAAGTCCGGCATAATGCGACGACGGCCCTCGCACATATTGATCGACTGACGCGCGCACGGGCTCGATACATGTCGCAAACAGTCTCCTCCAACGCCTCGTTAAAGGGTGAAGGACGGCTAGTAGCAGCCAACAATACGGCACGGACGCAGGAGATGGTGCATGAAGTCAAGCTCAAGATTGGTATGGCAATCGACGATACCCATTTCCGACAGCTGTTGATGGATACACAAGTCTTGCATACAAAAGACTATACAAAATGGAGCTGGGAAAGTATCTCTGAGCTCTTACAAGGACCGCTCTTGAACCCACGTCGAATGGAAGAAGCCATGCGAGGGAAAAAGTTCATCAAGCGTTTGCTCGCCTTTTATCGACCGTTTGCGCACAAGTTTTCTGACGCTAATGCGTCGAAAGCCAACATTGCCCGCCACCTAAAGACCGGCTGTGTCTTGATCCAGACGCTGCTGGGCAATCCTGATGGCGTCCGATACTTGGGCGAAAACAAGTTGTTGGGCCAAATCGCCGAGGCGTTGAGCGAGCTGGACCCGTTGAACGGCGATCCGGAAACGGAACCCATTTTTTCCAAAGAACGGATGGAAAATACCCTCAGCCGCGGCTATTTCACGCTGCTCGGTGTGATGAGTAAACACAAGGAAGGTGTACGCCTCATGGAAAAATTTAAAATCTTTAGCTTGTTCTACCAGCTCTCCGAATTACGGAACCGTGACGACCTCAAGATTGCTATTATCACCAATATGGATTACACGCTTGATGGCCATCCACGGGTCCTGCTGTCTAAGATCATGACGTCGGGGTATAATCCAATCCGGCTGTTTGCGACACAGTATCTGAGCATTATCATGCAGCGGTCAGAAAGCGAGTATAACGGCTGGATCATACGTTTGCTATTGACCCAATTGTACGACACCCATTTGGATGTATGTCAGATGGCAGTCAACCTGTTAGACGAGGCGTGCGAGAACCAAGCCAATTTAGAGCTGCTGGTCAAATACCGTCCGAGTCTTGGACACCTTGGTGAAATTGGAAATCCTTTGTTACTAAGGTAAATAGCGGGTTTGTAAGAGCTGGACGGGAATTTTTGATAAACTAAGGGGCCTTTATATAAAACAGATTCTTATCCACGTCTACCGGGTTTCGATATTTATATGCATTGGGTTATGTACAAAAGGAAATGGACGACTGGTTTGAGGTAGGCTATCTGCTTATTTGTATGTGTGTATAAGAGTGGGAGTGAGAGAACTTATTTGTTTATTTCCACAAAAAGTATCGAAATCTACAGTATGTTACACAGCTGGAGCTGTCGCTGGCGAGAGCTTTGGCCAATACCCCTGAAAGAAAGGACCAGAATCCCTTTGAAGAACGCATAGACAGTGAAAGTAATTTTGAAACTCTGTAAGTCCACTTGACACTACGTTGTTGTCAAACAAGATTTCGGAAACGCTAATACCAAATGTGGTCCGTATCTAGGCAACCTGGTGATGGATTATCACCGCCTCATTTTTATGGCGAGCTGACAAAGACCGAAGATGGATGCGGATTATTACGAGAAAAAGGCCATTTCCAGTACTTTGCCAACTATATTCGCAACTACTCACTTGAAAACCAAAACCCAGAAGTGTTCCAACAGCTCAAGGCCGTCCTGTGGGCCGTTGGAAGTATTGGAGCCACCAAGAATGGGTTACCGTTTCTCGAAGAAGAAGATATTGTCAAGGACATTACCCAGATTGCAGAAAACAGTGAAGTTCTGTCACTAAAAGGGTAAAGTTGATTTATATGTTATCATCACTGCTGCATGTTGAAGAAAACAGGGCGAGAGCTCCAAGTAACTTACGTCTTTTACCCGATAGAACGTGTTACTATGTACTGGGTTTGGTGACTAAAACGCAGCAAGGTGTCGAACTGCTTGGCGAACTTAATTGGGACGGTGTCACGTCGTCAAACGGTGTTCCTGAAGGCCTATGTGTTCCTCAGAACCTAGAACTTTTCCTTAGCGTAAGTTTTGAAAAATTCTGCAAAGGATTTAAATGGTTAACGTGTCTAAGATGCAAAGAAAAATATCGTTTTGTTTCACGGTTGAAAAATAGATCCGTAACTGGAAGTATACCCCGGCGCTGTCCGATCCGCCTGTCTTTCCAAGCATCCTGGAGAAGGATGCCATTACGTTGAATATCCTCAAAAACATTGGTGACATGAGCAACCATATTCTCGCCAACGAAGCATCTAAAAACTTGGCAAAGTAAGTTAACAAATGTGAGAGCACGGATTCTATTCTTATTTGACTGGATATAATGGAAAAAATACTAATCATTAAGAAACGCTTGATATTGCTCTACTTTTACTATTATATTGCTATTGCTACTGTTATTACTGTTTTGTAATAGGTTGAGATATAAATGTCCGGATCATTTCAAACGCGTCGATCTGTTCTATTGTGTGTGTCAGCTTTTGGGAAGCTACCATTTCCGAACTCCAGTGCGGAAATACATTCTAGAGATCTTTGAGATGCGGTTTACACCCGAGTTATTGCAAGAGTTGGATGAGGTGGCAGCGGAACGAATTCTAGCTGATAATGAGGAAGCAGCCAAAGAGAATGAAAAGGAAGACACACAAGATCAACAGCAACAACGACAACAACAGCAGCAGCAGGAAGAGCAACAACCGGAAGCAACGGCAGCATCGTCGGTTTCTGGAAACGGACAAGAGCAACAGCCACAAGCATCATCGGGCTCAGTGGTAACCTCGTCGTTGACCGATGAAAAGAAGGCATTACCACACGAAACACAAAAAGTGCCTCAAGAAACACTGGAGCCAGTTTGTAAACAAATAGGATTTAATATTACGTAGACAGCTAAAGAATAGCTTGGATAGCCACACTAAGCATTATGTACATACATACACCATTAATACCATACAATCACATCCTATAACAACTACATTGTGGCACTTGAAAACTCGCACACAGAAATGCGAGGTTTTTTAGTTTTTGCGTGTTTGTGAAACAGCAGCTTCTGATCTTTTGTGTGTATATGCGCGTGCTTCGCTACTTGTATCACACAACGCACCTCCTCTTCTTCTTTTCGCTCCTCACTCTCCTCCCACAATATCTCTATTATGAAAAATAATGCCCTGCCGTCATTTCGGCAACGTGGGCTTTCTCTCTCGAGCCTCAACGTACCACGACGATACCATCTCCCCATCATCTTATTACGAACATTATGTTTTATACCGTCGGTGCTGGGCACCTTATACAATACACAGCAAGCATGGGGCGTGCCAATACGAGATTCTGGTGGCGCTATAACATTAAAAAGCACAGAGAGTGATTACTGGGTTGCTAGTATATGGGTTAGTAAATCACCACACGTGATTGTACAGAATCAGTCGAGTGAAAGTTCAATAAATAACAATAACAACCTGATGCATTACATGTTATAGTGCGTACTAGCTGGTTATTGGAGTTGGATCTTGACGACGAGCATGATGAGACGATGGTTATATCATTACGAAATCAGCAATGCCATTGTACGATTATTAACACTGACGTTCGTCAACTGGTCGATTTCAGCGTTCGTGTGTTCGAAAATCGAATCGGATCGGCCCATTCGGATCTGGATGACGATTTGCCTGATACTTTTAATATCGAACGTGCTCAAACTTTGTTTTGGCACTAGCCCAAAATATCATCAAAAAACGGAGGATGTGCTACAGAGCCCTGTACGGATCAATCTTAAATCGACAGCTGTCAAAGTGTTGGTGCTGCCATTAACCGTCGTTACATTTTTGACCACGTTTGTCGCCTTGCAGCAACTGGACGGACTTCAATACACGACAAGCCAACTCATGATGCATCAACCTTTTGGATTAAATCATAATGATTTGTCTATTGCAACAACAACAACGGCAGCGATATCGTCGTCAACCATGCTCATCTTGATCATATCATCTTGGTCACCCGAGGCATTTGAACGACGGCAAATGCTGCGCAAAACGGATCTTAAGTTGGCAATGGATAGCAATAATAATAATAACAATGTCGCGTACCGGTTTGTCATTGGACAACCACCGTCAGCACGGTCGCAGATGCTTATGGGCCCACGGATTGAAAACGAGTCGGAAACGTATCGTGATATGTTGTTAGTGCCTGCATCAGATTTGCACACTGACAAGAGCCGAAAGGTGTTTGAGGCATTCCGGTGGTCACTGAAATTCAAGTATGATTACCTGGTCAAGTCGGATGATGATGTGTTTGTTCGTTGGGATACGGTAAAGAACGAATTGCGTGCGCTTGGTCGACAGTCCGCATATTGGAAGGGATTGGTATACAGGTATGTGGATCGAAAACAAAAGGATGGTGTAAACTATTAGGAGTGAGCATATGATGTTCATCAGAGATTATAACAGAAACATGGCGCCAGATGCTTTGGGTGTGGACAAGACCATCAATGCGGATTATCCCTTGCCTATTTTACCCTCATACACCTCAGGAACAATGTACATACTCTCTCAAGATGTTGTCAATCTTATTGTGGGGATCGACTCGCCGCAACGATTTGTATCAGCTGAAGAAAGAAATCTTGGTATTTGGTTATTCGGCTACAACATCAATCCTATCCACGATTACCGAGTGCAGGATGGCAGTGCTTGCGAGCAAAATCAAATTGCCAAACGGTTCAAAAACAAAAAACTGGGCGAAATGCAGACCATGTATGACAACATCATCAATGGACGTGAGCAATGCACGAGTCTGGACACCAGCACTTGTGGTCTGTGCTATCCATGTCGCGACAAAAAGGACGATTGGCGGGCTTCGAGCTTATCATGCGATCAGTTCAAAGGTGTCACTGACCGTCATTCATCCCCCTATCTCAAGGTGTCTGGGCCTGATGTCAAGGATACACTAGCACCTTCGGTGGTAGGTGAAAACGATGATTGGATTATTGACGGTCTGCTTTCGCAACGTACATCAAAATTCTCGGAGACAGATGATTGGCATTTACTGTACTGGGTGTGTTGGACGAGCGATCCATCAACGTTTACGGATCGACACTGGCGTGCTTTAGAATTGGTGTGGGTACATGAACCCCGTGCGGTCATTTTCATGATTTCCAACACGCTGCCCAAGGACTTTTTCCAAGACTACACCCATCACGGCTATGAGATCCACGTGGTTCACTTTAACAAGGAAAATCTGTTGAACTGGCACTGGTACTTTGGACCAGGCACATTGGACTGGTTGCGCGATTGGGATAAATGGGAAAACGGCAAGTTCTTTTACTGGCACTTGACGGATTATATTCGCTGTCTTTTATTGTACAACTATGGTGGCACCTACATGGATATGGATGCGTTGTGGATCCGCGTTCCACCAGACCACAATCTCGAGTTTATCGGCTCCGATTATTCAAGCCTGATCAGCGACCGCGAATGGACATTGGACGACGAAGGTCTGTATCTGCCACAAGGATTAATGCGCTTCAAGCGTGGTTGGGCTCTTTTCCGCGAAATGTGCGAGTCTGCATTCTCTTCTTACTCGTACGACCCTGAATGTTTCAATTGCCACGGTCCCAAGGCTATCACATCTTACGTTCGCGAGCATCGCGCTGCACTAGAACTGGCTGGCTTCACCATCTTGCCACGCGAAGTTTTGTATCCGGCCAGCTACTTGGAAATCCATCGATATTTGCTTGCCAATCCGCTCGCTGAGCAAGAACTCAAGACCAAGATTGTCGTCAACAGCTGGAACATCCATTTGTTTGGCAAAATGACAAACCATCTACCTATTGAAAAGGGTAGCTTGGTTGACCTGGTACTTCGCCGCTTTGATCTGGACATTCCACACCGTGATACGGCAACAAACAATGCTGTCATCAGTTCAACAGGTGCATGGACTGTCCCTATGCGACTTGTTGGACCTCGAAACTACATTTACCGATACATGTCGCCATTCACTCATATTCCCCAAGAATCCACCGACTCCCGTCGTCGCGCATTGCAACAACCTGCGGCAGGACGATTCCAAGGCCTTGATCGAATCTATGTACGTGGTGGACCGTCGGTTATAGACAAGGTACAAGTGACACTCGAGGTGGCGTTTGGTAAACTCAAAATCGGTGTACCAGCATCGCCGGATTTCATCAAGGATACAATCGAACTGAAGGATGCAAGTCAAAAAGATATCAACGTAATACTCAACAGCCTGGTCTATTCGCCAAGTCCATTATTAGCAGCAAATGGCGGACGAGACCGGATGAGTGTTTTGGTCGAGTACAGTGATGGTGAACGTGATGAGGTTTTAGTGGATGTCATTGTAGTAGAATCAGAGGAAGATGGGGAAATATAGTATATATGCGGGGAAAAGGGGAGGTAGAAACAAACAAAACAAACTATAAACAAAAATATATAGAAAAGAAGAGAAAAACAGTACATAATACATAAACAAGAATTGCGCCACTTTTTATGATGATGAATTCTATAAAGAAGAGAGCTAGAGTGATGGTTTGGAGAAATAGGAAGTGAAGAGTAGGTAGTATGGCCTCTGGCGTTTTGTCTTTTTAAGGAGTCGAGGGAAGTGCGCCGGCTTGTTCCAAGGCACTCTTGAGATCATCTAGCAGATCCTCGATGTCTTCAATACCAACACACAAACGGATTAAGTCTTCGGGAAACTCGCGCTCAGCACGAATGTGTGCAGGGATGGATGCGTGAGACATTCTGCATGGCATACTACAAAACGAAGCAACAGATGTTTTTGAGTTTACGGCTCCAAATGAACCTTATTTGCTACAACCATCCCCTTACCTGATCAAAGAGTTGACACAGCCGAAGGATACACTGATGCTCCACAGCTTTGCAGCCTCGACAATACGTTCGGAAAGAGCAATGTCACCGGTTTCAAAACTGAGAACGGCACCAGGACCGGTTGACATCTTCTTGTGCAGTTCATATTGAGGATGTTTGCGCGATCCAGGGAAATGCACCTTGAAGCCGTATTGTTCAAGGAACTCGTTGATGCGGATAGCATTGCTTTGCTGCTTGTCCATACGCACGGCCAATGTCTTGACACCACGCAGTAACAGCCATGAATCGAATGGACCCAAACCACAGCCAGTTGCATTAATGACATAGTACAATCGCTATAAGCAAATATAAATTAAACGGTTGTTAATGTTATCCAAAATGGCTGTCGTATTCTCGAATCCAAAGTTATCCTCCTCCTCCTTCTTACCTCCGCAACTGCTTCATCACGGGTTCCGATCACACCAGCCATGAGGTCGTGATGGCCGGCCAAGTACTTTGTAGCCGAGTGGTACGAGATGTCTGCGCCCAATTCCAAGGGACGTTGCAAGTAAGGAGACATCATGGTATTGTCGACGACGACAAGCGCGCCGGGGCACTTTTCATGCACGTACTGGGAGATAGTAGGAATATCGGCGATCTTGATCAAAGGGTTAGTGGGAGTTTCGAGCAATACGAGCTTGGTCTTTTCAGACAAGAACGGCAAGACAGACTCGGCCTTGGTGGTGTCCACATGGTGTGTCTTGATGTTTTGCGATTTGGCCAAGAACGACAGCAAGCGGTTGGTGCCGCCATACAAGTCGTTGCCTGCAACAATCTCGTCACCGGCCTGAACTAAGCGAGCAATGACATCGAGTGCGCCCATACCGCTGGTCACAGCATATGCTTTCTTAGCACCCATGATTTTGGCCAAGTGGTTTTCTAAGGTCATACAACTATGAGTTCTTCTGTTCCACTATCTACTTATTTTCCTCCATGTTGCAAAGGGGTTTACCAAGGTGAGTACGAGTGGGGTTGCCACTTCGCGAATAGTCATAGTCCCCACCGCCGCCAGCACCGGTCTGCTTGAATGTCGCTGACTGGTAGATTGGCACCGAGGCAGCGTGGTGAGGATCGTCAGGGTTGTCGACGGTGACCACTTCAGTGGCGAAACGGTAGCGCTTTTCTTTGATAGAGGCAGCAGGTGAAGGCAGTACGTCGGTCATTGTGTTGTGTCAAAAAAGGTTGAAAGAAAAAGAAAAAGGAAATAAACTAACTGGTAATTATATAAAAATAATGGCAGATAATCTATTGGGCGGCATGTCATGTCGCAAATCGAGTCATCTCCACACACCCTTTCATCGCTAACTCCGCACGGCTGGCGTGCTCTGTAACCAATCGCATAAAAGCTTGAAGTCGTCATTGATTTGATGCTGACGATCTTGAACAGATACAGGTTTACTTTATTTTCATATAGGCGCTGTCTAATTTTGTATGGCAGCTTATGGCAATATACTAACTGTATGCTATGCTTGAATTTTTTCACTTCGTTTCACATCGATCTCATATGCGACAAGTTTGAACGCAATCGAAATGTTAAGGACAATATCCGTCTCTCACATTTCAAGGCCACCTTGCTACTGCTAATAACTCTGATCCAGATGCTCACTGATATATATGAGAACTTTGCTTGGTAGTCGATTTTTTATTCAGTATGTACATTCTCCAATGCTTGCAGTTATGCTTCACCAGGTAATAAAGCACAGCAAGGATTAGGCTGCCTTGCCATAAGCCAGTACAGTTCTTGAAGCATAATGGATAGTCGCATAAAATGTTAGCATTCGCAACAGAAGGCTGGAAGAGCTTTTCGGCAGGCTTTCGTTTAAAGCATATCCTTCAAAGTTATGAGCAGGTGAGATGGTTAGCAGGCTGTCCCCTTCGTAGTTCTTGATGTCTCTAATTCTTCCACCTTTTCCTGTATAATGCTCATATACTTGAGCTAATGATCGCAGCTTCTTACGGGGTGTTCACCAACAGCTCATTCCATAGGTAAATAATGCTTTCTTAAACATAGGCTTGCTCTCTAAAGCAAGCTTACCGGGAAAAATTGAGCGCAAAGTTGTTTAGTGGTGGTTTGCTGTAGGATTGACACGGAAAATGTGAGGTAATACATGTTATTGAATATAGATGATGAGCACTTGTACGTCTTTGATCTTTTAGAGATTTTAAGTCGAAGTGTATTCCTGTAAGCACGGAACAACTCCATTCCAATAGGGTTGGTGTGAATAGATGATAATAGGTGGATGTACTTTAATAACGGCGTCGCAAAGAGCGACTATGTTGAAGATACTCCCTTTGCGTCCATGATCACAAACTTACAATTTTTTTGTCATTAAGCTAGTGATGACGGTAGGCTTAAGCAACGATTGGATTGTACTTTTCGATAGAAGCATGCTGCAAAAATAGCATATTGGCGCCCATGTTAGTTCTTCCCATGGCACGCACATCGACGTACGACCCTGTTGCTTTTATTAAGCCCGGTACCCTTCCTTCCCCATCATTCCCAACCGCGCTTCCCTATTGGTACCTTCTTTTATACCCTCGAAACCTCCTTGTAGCCGGCCTATGCATTGGGTTATGCTGACATCCAAAGCGTGTTGTGCTCGTCTATCCATAATAAGCGGGCTACAGCACAGTATCGGAGAGAATACACACCCCGCAAGATGAAATATAATTGCTGCAGGGTGACACAAGCCCTGCTGCATATTGACTTCTCGAGGACTGTGCGACTAATTGACTACTAACCTCCTCTCTTCTTTTCATCTATTGCCTTCTGTTGCGCCATTAGCGTCAGAAGCATCCCCGCAAGTCGCTGAAAATCAAGACTGCAACGTAAAGTCCCGCTGAACTACCTTTTTTGCTTTTCAGAACAGAAAGAAACTCTTGTTTTGCTGTCAGAACGTTGAATATTTTCTGGCGTTGCTCGCTTCTCGAAGGTTGTCCACCAATCTGAAAAGGAAGCAGCAACAACGTTGCTAGTGAGAATGGATTCTGACAATGGACAATAGTTTAATGCCTTGCTTTCACCGTGGTGTGGTACGTGAAGGGTGAACGGTCCAGCTACTGTATTGCTGTTCTTTCTTTCCCTGTTACCGTTGCTACAATACCTTATCTAACTAAAACCACGCCTTAATATTCGTCCACGAGTCGTATTAGAAATTTAAGTCCTTTTCTTCGCGGTCATACAACAACGTATACAATAATTTGAAAAAAGGGTTATTTTACCCTTAAAGGAACATGTAATGTGCCTTTATGGAAGTGCTGGAAGTAATGAAAGTACATCTTAAGCATTTTTGCGAGCTTATAGAGATATTTGTACGCAGAGATTGCAGGAGTTGCAGAATTGAGAAGCTCAAATATGGGTATACGAAGGTGCATATTCTGCTTTATTGATCAACGAAACCAGCAGTATCCGTAAAGGCAAATAGTGTGGTATATTGACTATTCTTTTGCTCGAGTAAATCAAGTGCTTCGGATGCTGTTTGCGGATGGTGGACATTTGGATCATCAGTTTTAAAATTCCCGCTAAATAGTAGATCAATTTCTTCTAAAGACTTGCCCTGAAAATCAAAAAGGAAAGAATGGATAGTGAGTCAACACGAAAGCAATATGATGACAAGCGTATTAATAACCTGAGTTTCGGGGAAAAATGCGTATACAATCACTGCAATAGCCAGGCAAAGGATACAGTAAATGACATAGATCCGCCACTGAATACTATGGAAGGCCAAGGGAGCTAGCTGGACAACACCAAAAGTGAAAAACCAGTTGCTTGCTGTGGTGATCCCCAGTGCTTTGGAACGGACACCTTGTGTGTATAATTCGGCTGGGTATATCCATCCCATGGGACCCCAAGTGCATCCGTAAATACCAAGAAAGAGGTAAAACATGACGAAGAATATAACTGAGCTTGCGCTGGGATTGTTTATCCTCACGCTTGTGTTTAGCTCACCCTGCTCTTGTATATAGTAAATCGGTTCCAAGGCAGACGCGTGGTAATTGTTTACACCAGCAACTGTCGCCATGGCAATCATGCACACACAACATCCTAAAGCACCCAAAATCATGGTTTTACGTCGACTCCAGCGGTCGATCTTCGTATGAGTAAGTATGAGCTCTGTTTAAACAGAAATTTCTTTCTTTCCTTGTCTATGCTTCATAGATTTAGTCTACGTACCCATACGACTGCTGGAATAGTAGCCACTACCATTACAAGTCCACTGATAGCATTGGCTATATAGGATATAAACCCGAAAAAGGTCATTAAGGTCTCATTTCATTGCCTCATCTTATCCAAGTGCTACACATTATTTTGTGCTCGTTCATTATTATATAAATACTCGTTAGTTACTACTTGCCAAAAAGAGCCGGCACATGTCCATTGACATCTGTCCTATGAAAGATAATGGGTGCATATAACCTATGTATAGCTTGATTAATCGTCTCCGCAATTTTTCAAAAACCATCCCATTACTTTTGAACCAGAAAGCATTTTTGTTTATAGGTTTCAAGAGAGGTAGATTGGAAGATCATATATAGTAACAAAGAAAGGAATTAGAGTTGCATACATGAGAGCGTTTGCACCTGTGAGCTGTTGAAATGCCTGAGCTAATATTCCGACCAGCAACCGCTGGAAGTTTCGATCTTCTCCATGACGAAATAGATACATGTACCCATTTCTCTTGTGCTTTTCTTCAAACATGATCGTCTGTTTGATTTCGGTAAATTCCATTTGGACGGTGGAATGCGCAGTCGTACCATCTCCGCGTATCAATGCAAGTGATTCCAATGCTTCTTGGTCACGATGTCTTTGCACTAGGTACCGAGGACTAGTATTTTAAGAAGATCAGATGATGTAAAATGTACAAGTAAGTTGCAAGATGATGAAAAAAGGGGAGACATTTAGCAAACAAACAATGATCAATAGTATTAGGAGTAGTTGAAAGCTTCCTTATTATCAGTAACCTTTGAGGTATAAAGACGAGGAATAATCCGAAAATAAGGGTAGGAATAAGCTGTATGCCTAACGGCAATCTAAAAGAACATTTGGCCTGATTATTTATCTCTTTGGTCATATAATACGCTCATTAACGTACGCAGTTTTCTTTTTTTCAAATACCTCCAAGACCTACTCCTCAAAAAGTTAGTGGAAGCGTAAGTCACCCAAAACGCAATAGATATCCCGAGAATAATACAGAATTGATGGATAGCGATCGCTCTACCACGAAGAAATGGTGGTGCGATTTCCGTAAGATCTGCATAGATTTATCATTATGATACGTTGGGCTTATTTACTTTAAGATTGAAGTTTGCTGTTATCGCTTACAGAGTGGAAGTGTCATGGATAGCATTCTATACAATAAACAGCATATACGATATGGCGTTAATTCCTTGGAGGATATTACTTGATTTCTTGTACGGGACGTAGAATATACATACCCAATTGAAAACCCGGTAATTGCTCGACCAGCATAAACCATGGATAAGTTGTTTGCTGCAACTAGCAAGAAGTCGCCTACAACGGTTATCATGGTGCAAATAATGGCCAACCCACGACGACCCAATATATCAGCTAGAGGACCTGAGAGAATAGCCCCAACAAAAGCGGCAGCCATCATGGTTGTAATGATGGCAATGTACACGTCCAAGGTCTGTGTGATTTCCAGTTTTTCGGTAAAGTTTGGCATAAGGATAACGCCTCCCATGACAACCAGGTTATATCCAAACTGTGTAGTTGTGGTTGACGCAAAAGACACAATTTATGTCAGAACAAAGGATTATTCCCCCAACCCACAACCTCTTTCCTTCCTTCAACCCCGTTCGCACTCGCACTACCGTTTGCCCCTTTGATAGGTGTGTTACACCGCATGAGAAAATCAAAAAACAAGGATGTTGCTGCAAGAGCACCCTGTTTATATAATTAATAAATTTACCAAGAAACCACCAAGCGACAGTGCACTATTAGAATATTATCATTGTCATGTACGAACTTTCTTAGTTTGGGCTCTGGTCACATTCAATTCTATATTGTACGTGCACGTATGGCAAAAATACAATCTTTTTTCATTTACGTGCAAATGAGTAACAATCGTACTTCTGTACTCATCGGAATTTTCAGTCGGCGTAATGGCATGACTGTTGTTAATTTGGAAAACTAGAAATTACGAATGGGGAGAAAAGGCGGAAAGAGTTCCAGAGAAGAAGAAGAAGCGCGTTCTCTCGCGTGTTAATTTTCAGAAAAAGACTCCACCAATAAAACGAAGAGTTAGTGCATGAAGCTCTGTTGTTATTAGCGAGCCGAGAGCCGCATCACAATTGTTCCTATTCTGGCCAACATGCTTACCTCCTCACAGAACACAGCAACGCATGCCAAACAAACATTGAGCAGCAGAGCCGATCAAGATTATATTTCCTAACATTACTTTTTTCTGCATGCTTCTGCTGCAGGTAGCGTACATAGCATGAACGACCTGAGTAATGACGATGTATTTTGCTCTGTTGTTTGCAGCACATGTCAATCTCCAAAGAGACTACTCCTGTGGCATTCACTATTCGCATGATACCACACTGCTCACAATAAATCAGGAATAGCAGCAGCAAAATCATCGGGCATTAAGTCGATAACTTCGTTACTTTCGTAACATAGAGTTATGATCCCTGTATTTCGCCAGCTCTAACCTGAATGTGCTATGTTGTGTACTGTACAGAGCCAGAAAGAACAACAACAATTTTAGCAGCAGATTTCTAACGAGACCCTCTAGTGGCTTTTCTTTTCTGCACACATATCCATAGTCTAGTCGTAGTGTCTTCCATTGGAAGAGTGAAGAAGAAGAAAAATGATGATGACGAAGATGTTGGGTGGCTACGAGAAAAAAAAAAGATCCGAATGCAAACCAGCAACGACATTAATGAGAAAAGAGGGTCAAATCTTAACAAGGCATGCATATAAAAACCGTTCATCGCGTTATTTCTTTTCTGTTTCTTCAGGTGTTTACGGAAGGGTCATCGTTTTTTTTTATTGTTTTCACTATTTCCTTTCTTGAAACGCCTTTTTTACTGTATCCTATCTTACCACATCATTACCAAGAAATCCTTCTCCTCCCCTTCCCCTGTTTCTTTCCCTCCCCCCGTCTCCTTCTGTTTACTTTTCATCATAGCTGAGAAATCGAACACGACATTTCAGATATAATCAAACTTTCTTTCTTTCACTGCACACCTTTTTTCTCTTCTCCTTTTCGTTGTTTTCATTAACAGTAACTCGACAACCCACAAAAATGCGATTGCTTCCATTGGCAACTACGGCATTTTTATTGACCGGATCTACCTTGTTATCCAGTGCACGGCCCACCACAGATCCTCGGACAGATGTCATTGTGAATGCATTTAAGCATGCCTGGAACGGATATCGCCAGCACGCATGGGGTCACGACGAGTTACGGCCATTGTCAAATGGTACATCCGATACGCGGTATGTAGAAGACTCCATATCTGCTAGTCCTAATACACATCACGACTAATTCAACTTTTTGCTATAACAATATAGTAATGGATGGGGTGGTAAGCATAAACTAACTTATTAGTAGAGATAAATTAAAAGACATGGCCAGCCAGCAACTACAACTAGGGATAATAGATAATAACGAAGCATTTGCAACGCGCGTGCACTGGTTATTTGGTTTGATCTTACCTAGCTTCCATTTTCGACGGCCTGGATACTATAATTATTATGGGTCTCGAAGAGGAATACCATCAAGCATTGGAACATGTCGAGAATGTCGACTGGAACTCAACCAAAGAACCGAGCAAGACTTTTGAGACCAACATTCGCTATCTAGGTGGTCTTTTGTCTGCATACGACTTGCGTCCAAATCCCATTTTTTTGGAAAAGGCCGTGGAGCTCGCTCAAAATGTGATTTTGCCTGCCTATGATACGCCTAATGGCATGCCGGCTGCCTATGTTGATGTCGCGACGTAAGAGTGTTTTAATGTAACTATTTCGTTTGCTCAAAAGAATAACTCACAAACAGGACCCATTAACATGATGTAGAGGCAAACCAACTAAAGGCAAAGAGTTGATTTTAGCAGAATTTGGATCACTTCAATTGGAAATGGTCCGACTCAGTCAGCTTACTGGTGATGAACGCTATGCAAAGATTGCCAATGATGTAGTCTATGCTATTGACAAGGTGCCTACTCCCTTCCCTGGCATTTATCCGATTATTTGGGATTTGGACACTTTTACACCTTCCAGTTGTAAGCTCTATATTTCTCACTTTCTTTCCAGAAAAAAAAAGAGTTGTTGTATTAGCAAATCGGGACTGTTGTTGAGTGCCTTTAGTGTAGTGCATGGCTTGAATCTTACCTTTTAACTTTCTAAAGCGTATATTACCATTGCTGGCGGTGGCGACAGCTACTACGAATACCTTTTGAAGACATATCTTCTTACAAACGGAGGAGAGGGACAACAATTGGACATGTGGAAAAAGTCAATAGCAAGCATGCAAACCTATTTGCGTTCAGAAACGAGTGGCAGCATGGTCTTTCTGGCTGAGATCAACGAAGACTACAAGTTGCTTCAAACAGGCGAATTGGTACGTAAAATCGTTACATTACATTATTAAGAGCAAGCTCTTCGATTGTCACTACCTAATGCATGTAACCAAATGACAACAACGGCAACTAACCCAGGATGATGTTTTGCCATTATCAGGTTTGCTTTATTCCCGGTAATATTCTATTAGGTGCTCGCTATTTGAACGATTCTGACTTGACAATCTTTGCTTCCGAGCTGATGAAGTCATGCTACGATACTTGGGCCGTCACTCCAACAGGCATTGCGCCAGAAACATGGAGTTGGATTGATAAGAGTCAAAACATTAGCAGCTATCCAGACGTCATGCAGCTCGCTATGCAGACTACCGGATATGTGCCCCAGGATGTCTCGTATGATCTTCGACCAGGTTAGTAAACGATGCAAGATGAACACCTTGATTTCTTTTGCCGATACAGAGAAGAACAACGACAACGTGGCTATAACATTATAAGCAACAGCCTAACTCAACAAAATTGCATGATTAGAAACATTGGAAAGTATCTTTTACTTTTATCGTCTAACAGGTGATCCCAAATACCAGGTAACGAAGAAATTTACATCCGACCGTTGCATATCCCCCAAGATCTCTTCGCCTTCTTCAACCCCTCGAAATCTTCTGGGGGAAACAAGGACAAAAATAGAGGTTTTTCCGGGCTTTGGAATGTTGCTTGGCAGATGCTAAGAATTTTTCTTTTCTCTCTATTTCGATATAGGATATGGCCTGGAAGATTTTTGAATCCATTGAGAAATATTGTAAAACCCCTTCGGGTTACAGTCGTATCGATGATGTCTCCAAAGCCGACGGTGTTCAAATCCTTGATTTTGAAGAAAGGTAAAGAAGAACGAACCATTTCAAGTTGCAACGGACGTGTGTGTGTGGCAAAAGAACAATAGCAATCATTCTAAACACATCTATCCTTATCGGTGGACCCATTAACTTATGTAGCTACTTCTTTGCCGAAACGTTGAAATATTTGTACTTGATTTTTGCCGATCCCAATGTCATGTCTTTGGATGAATGGGTTTTCAGTACAGAGGCCCACCCTTTCAAATTAAACAAGCCCATCAAGGTGCAAGCACAATTTTAGATGCGTACTTCCTTAACATTTTAGACTTATTCGTTTTCTTTTCCCTGTTTCTTCTTCTTCGTTGTTTCGCCCCTCCTGCCCACACATCCCAGTACTGATTACAAAAGACACCCTTACCATTCTGGGCAACAGTGGCTGGAATACAAGATATACATACTACTTACACTTGTTTATACGTATGATTGATATACTCAATTAAATATATCTAAAATGGTTACTTGTATGAATACGTGGTTGACCGGTTTGTTTTGCTTTGAATGAATGAATATGAGGGAAATAAGAAGGATCTTGTGATGATGGTATTATGTATACTCCAAAATACATAGAACAAAGTATAAATTACATGTAGCAGTTCTACATACATGCTACTACTATTACTGCTACTACAAACTGCCTAATATGATACTAGATCATAAGGTCATTGACATTGTGTTCAATAAAAATTTCTGTTCCTTTTGAAGGAATACCGTTGCATACGACAAACAAATATCCGGAGCCAGGAGGGAATATATTAGCCGTGGGTGGTGCCTCAATACGAATGGATTGAAGATCATCCGCGATTGTGTGTCGCAAGACGACATAGCGCTGCGACATATGCATAGAATGAGTGCTGAAACCTTGGCGCAACAGCGCAACCTTGATGTCAGGGTCGCTTCCAGATTGGGCGAGCTCACCCAGATTGATTAATATGTCAAACCACTCCTTGTAAATGACAACCCGTGGCACGTGGGAGATCAAAGGTCGAGTGGCCGATTTGAAAAGGTATGGCGGCGAGAAATACTCAACGCGGAATTCTGTTGGGTACTCGGCGGTGACATTGCTAGGATTGTTGTTGTTTGAACCGGCAATCCATACGCGGCCATCGGGCAGGGTCAGTGCGACGGAATGGTACATGCGCGCAATATCGGTATTGGCCAAGCCTTGAGTCCAGCGCTTGTTCACAGGTTTATCGGGATCGTAAATTAGTGGATCAAATGTGGGATCATGATTACGGTTGTTGTATCCTAAAGTGAAAAAATGACCCTTATTTTAGGTTTCTTTTTTTTTCCAGCTTTGGATATGAACAGCGGGTGTTTGTATCGTTTTGAACTTACCTGCCCACCCACGTTGACAGCCATTGACCCAAAATATTGTACCATCTGGCAAAAACACACCGTCCGGCATTAATCGTTTATGAACAAACGTCTCCATCTCCCATTGTGGATCCTCATCATCGAGATTGATGCGGCCGCACGTATCGTCCGCAACAGAGTTCTTATCCATCTTTTCGGATCCACCGCAGATCAAAATTTCAACCTTGTAATCGTTAGCTGGATCGAGGGGTAACATGACAGCGCCACTCGTCAATGGGTATGAGCGTGGGACACCAGGTAAATCGGGAAGCTTCTTGACGACTTCATGCTTTTTATAATCGTAGATGATCGATTGTTGGTTGGCGAAAATGAAGAGGTTGCCGTCGGGTAACACAAAGACAAAGGCGTATCTATTTAGGAAGTAGCAAACATTGAATGGTGTGCATATTTTTTGGATCAGAATTGAAATGCTTTCGTTATGTTTTCTATTCGAGTTCATAAATGAAAAAGAGCTTGAACTTACAGATTGTATGGCATAGTTTCTACGAGGAACGGAAAATCAATGGGTCCTTCTTCCTGTGGTGGCCAAAATTCGTATGATGGGACGTTGATTTCATCCCTATTGACGGCTGCAGGCACTGTCGAGCCTCCGAGGATAAACAGATTGCCTTCTGGCAATTGTTCAACGGTTGGATACCACCGATTACTGGCCATGCGTGTGTTTGGTAATTCATATTCGCGCCATTGGCATGAATCGTCCAGGCATGGATCAAAAAGACGAATGGATTTGTATCCAGCAGCTACTTTCCAGGTACGACCAGTCAATTCACCACCGCCAGTGCTGATTAACGTTCCGTTGCTTAAGAAACCGCCTGCAGAACAAAAAGAGTTGGTATCCAGAGGCAACACTCGATACTCGTCCGTGTCTAAGAAGTATTGGGCTGAATATGCGCTTTGGCCCGAATCGTATTTGGCTTCGTTCCATTCAGCTTTTTAATATAAGGAGAACTAGTTAGTGCCGAGGATAGACAACCAATGCTTCCTGCTGCTGAGCTCGTTCAAAATAAACTAGCCAAAAAAAAGTACGTACCTTTGTCAATGATCACAATGCTCTTTTCACTATCAAAAAGACCGCAAAAACGCTCAGTTAGTTTGGTAGAATTAGAAACGTGTCTCATCCGTGATTTGAAATCGTGAATGGATTACGAGAATTTCACTGAAAGGACAGAATTTCAAAATTTACTTTAACAAGACTGCGTGCATAGCCGACACACCAGTTCGCCCCTTTTGCTCCATTTTGCCAGTAGATGCATAGTTTGACATAAATTCTTGCGATTGCGTCCAGTAAAAAGGTGAATAAGATTCTTCTTGAGCATGAGCTGTGAGGCTGATGCTGGCGATCAGTGCCAATGGTAGTAGGCCAGTGGATCGCATATTTTATGTTGGTGTTGCAGTACGAGAAGAAAAGAGAAACTTAGGAAGGGCCTTATATTCCATACAGGGCGATCAGAAAAAGTAAAAATAGGCCCTAATCTGTATGAGAATTCGGGACATATGCTGTCAACCCCTCTTTCTCTTCTCTCTAATAACTTTACCTTCACCCAAACAACAGCACTATTAATTATATTCCATTCAATTGGCCTGCAGCTGCGTGAGCGAGTGGATGGTTATTCGGCTGTACGTAAGGTAAACTCTTCTGATATGTTTGATATCCTGGGTTTTTTACGAGGTTTCTACCAGATTGGGTCATATTGCCTACCATTACTGGGCAACTGTCCAAGCCTCGTCAAAACGAGACCACGTGTTTTGTAAGAATTTGTAGTTATGCCTTTGATTAACTGCACACATAAAGTTAATACCTGTTAAGCCACTTCACCAACTCTCACTTGGTAGCAGCTACCCACGCTGACTCTAATCAATGCGTAGGTAAGGTACCTTGTTGAAATTTCTCTCTGGAAAACGATTGAATTGAAAGGATGTTGATGGCTGCAAGAAGGTAGCTACCTTATAGTAAATACTGTTGTCAAACCAATGTAGCAGCCTTTTGCAACTCAATTCGCAGGCTCATGCATAATAACAATGGCGGATTCGTGTTACACAGATCCAGCAACTATTACGACTACTCTACCTGTGGCGGATACTTGCGCTTGATACAGGTATTTGTTTCGAGTCTTATGCTGGTGTCATGGAACAGAACAAAAATGACACCTCGCAATAAAAACGTCTCAGTTATCCGGCATAGCGTGCGATAAGTCAACATTATCTGATTCTCATTAGTGTCATAAAAAGCGTTAAATTTTATCGCAAGAAAAAAGGGAACCATATTCTCAGACATCAAAACAGCTACTACTGGGTTTGATGCCAGCTCTACTCCTTGAGTAAGAGAAGCACAAGACACACAACAGATTCGTCATTCCATTTACTGCCTTATTGATGTCAATCTATATTACGTTGCTTACAACGGAAATAGTAAGATGCATACGGAAATACAAACGATTACGTGGGACAATATTAGCCTCTTTTGGATGTGATCAGTTTCCCCACACCTTTTTGCCTAGCAATAAATAAAAACCCTGTAATTCTATTTCTCTTTTCTCACATTTTCCCTTCCTTTTCTATCAAACTATATCTCACATAATGGATCTTACAACAGTGCCCCAAAAACTAAGCGCTTCAGCTACTAAGGTTATTAAACTATTCACAAAGGTCAAACAAGAGGATCTCAAAAAGGCAGGCACGGTTACTTTATTTACACTGGCAACCTATCTCATAGCTCTGGTGAGTCTCTGTATCTTTATAACTCCTTTGCAAAAAAAAAAGGCGGGCTTTTATACAGATGCTGTATCAGCTTGCTTTTCTAAATAATGGTTGATGCTAATATGTACGCACACTGCGAAATAGAAACTACATGATGCTTTCCTTGGTCCTCTTTCCGGTCTTCCTGGTCCGCTTGGCCTAAAATTTTACGACATGATTTATGCAAGGGGCTTTGCAGACCCACCGGGAGGAGCGTAAGCAGTACTCTGTTGTTACACGAGTGTCTCTTTTAAGCTACATAATGACACATGTTTTTTGCACCATACTTTCTTTCCTTCAAATCATCGTTCTCCTTTGACGACGTTTAATGTAGCTGGAAAAAATTTAAATTTTGGCAAGAAAAGTATGGTGATATTGTTCGACTGGGCCCAACTACAGTCTCTATTTCGGACAAGCATATGATAAGACAAGTACTTTTGAAAGATGATCTACCCAAAGGCCCTCGCTATGAAGGGTTATCCAGTAAGTGCTATGGCGTAGTACAGATGAACGAGGGCTGTTATGTTCACATATACATTGCTACAACGTGGGGTATGTACCTCTATGCTGGTCATATTAACCAAAGAAGAATAGAATTCAGTATTACGTTATTCAGCGCTGTTGATAAAAACTTTCATAAGCAACGAGTAAGTAACGTTGATAATTAGAATCAGCCTTCTTTTCATGGTACACGACGTGTAGATAACATTATAATTTACCATTTCTTCTTATCCTCAATACCACGCATAATATAGCGTCGTATCGTTTCTCCTGCGTTTTCCGTGAAATATGTCAATTCACTCGAGCATTATATGCTGGCAATGATTCAGGCATTTATCGAACGTATCGATAGTGACATTGAAGCAACTCTAACCTCCGAGGAGGACGGTTACGGTCAAGTTGATATTTGGAAGCTGCTTGCTTATCTTGCACTGGATATCATTGGCGAAACCGCATTTGGCCAAACATTCCATATGTTGGAAACCAATGATCACATGGTTCCACGTACCATTACTACGAATCTACAGCTTGCAGCTTCTGTAAGATTGATTTATTACCGATTTACGTACATTCATGCATACCTTTTATATAATACTAAAAGCAGATTACTTCTTTTGTATATAGCTTGCTGCCCGGCCCTATACTGTCATGCTTAAATCGATGTTTTCCTTGGGAAAACTAGTCGAGTCGAATAAAAAACTAAGAGATGTGCGTAAATTTCAAAGAGAAATGATTTGCTTTTTCATAGTGGTATATTACATCTTTTAACATACATTTTTAGTTTATGGGCAAAATTATTGTGGAACGACTTCAGGGCGGGCCGGATGCTCGTAGAGACGACGTCCTACAAATTTTAATCGACACTCAACAGGCAAACGATGCAAAAGATCGCATGACAGCTGAAGCAATTGCACAAGAGACCATCCTATTTCTTGTCGCTGGCTCTGATACAACGAGTAACACGACGGGATTTGCCGTTATTGAATTGCTGAAAAACCCACATGTGTTTACCAAGTTACGCGCTGAAATCGACAACGTCCAGTTACGGCCTGACCAGAAATTGCTTGAACACGATCAAGTAAAAAAACTTCCCTATCTAAATGCCGTGATTAATGAGAACCTGCGATTGAATCCTATCGATGTTGATTGTCTCGAGAGACGTGCTGACAGAGACATGGTTCTTGATGGCCGTCTTTTCGTGCCTAAGAATGTGAGTACAATCTACAACATGTACCAGCATATATAGCTAATAAGGTTTTGAACAGCAACAAAAATTGAAGACACGTTGCTTTCTTCCCACATACACTATACCAATCATTATTACAAACTAATCATATATGCTATTTTTTACACGTTTATGCAGACCATCATTTTGTCCAATGTTTATTGCGCCCACCTTGATCCCAAATACTGGCCTGAGCCCACAAAATTTAAACCTGAGCGTTGGTTGGAAGGATCTCAAATTCCAGCAGATACTGAAGCATTCTATCCTTTCAGCATTGGGTAATTTTTTTTACATCATCAGCATGCTACACAGTGCTCTGCATCACGGCTGCATTTTTTACTCACAAACGTAGAATATTTTAGGACACGGAACTGTATCGGTAAAGGATTTGCGCAACAACAAATACGATTGTCTCTTTCCAACCTCGTTCGCTTTTACGATTTTAAAGCTATTCCTGCAGAGATGAATCAATCCGACGACCGGGTATCATTCATTACTTGGACGTTGAAGAGCAATAGCTTTAAGATACTCATGAAACGTCGTTGTAGAGAGTGAAGAATATACATTATGTATATCAAATGTATCATAGTAAGCTAGTAAAGGTATATCTTATTTACAGAAGCCTAGTAGCCGTGTATATTTGTCAAGCTTGCAAACTGAATAATTGTTACTGTATTCAAATAAAATGCCAACACGGGAAACAGGTGCTTTAGATGATTTCCGTGTTTGGAACAGTTTGCAATGAATTGCTATTTTTTATGTGCTGCCAATTATTAAAAAAATTTGTAACTTGATTTAGTTGCGATAATACACTAGGTAATACTGTATTGTCTCATTTTGTCACACCTCTAAAACCTTTTTACGCGTGCCGCCTATAAATACAGTAATTGGCAAAACTGGAAACAAGTGATAGCACAAAAGGCTCGGCAGCAGCCCTTTTATATTGTCGACTTTGAAGACTTTATCGAGCGCTTGTTTAAAAAAAACTCTTTGAGCACTCTTTTAGGTCGTATAGACCCTGGCATTGTTGACTGCAATTATTAGCCTGTTAAACATTAATGTATATCACACTTGTCAGTAGGATAATTTCTTCATGTGTACGTTCATGAAATCGAGAGCACAGTAAGTACCGTAGGGACTTGGGAATACAAATGGCTTCAATAATTCATGAAAGCCATTTTTGTGCAATCTTCAAACTTGTTTTTCGATCGTATACTCATATTCATTTGCTTTTTGCCGTGCTTTCCTTACGCCGTTGTGGCAACACTTTTCTCGTATCTAAGCCTAGGAATACTTAGCCTATACGAGTATCCGCCGCGAATGGTACAGTACAACCGTATTTCTCATACGCCTAGCAAGCTTTCCGAGACGTACGCTTTATTCCACGACATTTATAAACTGTCAACTACCGAGGAGAATGCAGCCTTGGTAGACACTTTAGAAATGTAGTATTCATCGCGTTTACGTATCAATTTTGAGCGCCATGGTGCAAAATTTTATACTTTGGGGGCGCGATCCAAATTAGTCAATGAGTATGATATAAATGAGCTTGCATGTCTTGTAACTAAATGGATATAAACATAATCGATATATTAGCATATTCACCCTGAAACCACGGTGCTAATCAGGAAGCAGCAAATGAGTTTTTCGCGCTTTTGCAACAACTGGCGTTGTCCCAGCTCATCCATTCAAATATGCAAGATGACATGTCCGGAATATTCCATCTACGATGTGCTTATTGTATGTCCCAAGCTTACCCAAGCTACCATAGCGGTTTGAGATGAAGATGATTCATACGGACTTGACAGCATAGTCTCACACTCGCCAGATTATTTGTTTCCGGTAGGTGTATATTTGCGCATCAAGCACATCATATAACCATCGGATACGGGTTGACTCGATCTTACAACACTGCCCCAACCTACTTTATATGATAGCACCAATGTTTTGCATGACACTTCTCAGGCATTACTACAACCGCACCCTACAAGCTCAATTTTTTTAAACAAAATTACGGAGCTTTTCCTGTTGGCTTCAACCATCTCATAAACTGGTGCTCCAAGCTCAAGTGACTTAATAAACAATGGCTATACTACGACGTACCGCACACTATGATGGAGAATAACCTCATTAGTCGACACAACGCCGACAATAATGATCACTGCAAAAGCACCAACAGTAGCATCGGAAATGTCCATCACACTTGCCGTAACGGCGAACTCACTCAACTTGGCATTTACGTTAAGACTACGGCCATTTTAAATTATTTCCCAATTCTTTACAAAAATCATCACAGACTGGAATACCTGAACCTGGCACAAAAGCCAATGCAAGTGAATCATTTAAGGTATTGATTATGCGACGGTTCTACCAGCGGAGGCGATGTATCCAGTCTCAGCTGTTTTGCTCGCTTCAGTGATGTTTTCAACTCCACACTGATCCTCGACGTATTCGAATGCGGAACTTCCTCGACCATCGTATTGCTTAATCACTGCCCGCTCTTGTTACCCTTGTTCGGTTAGCCCAGGACGATATAAGAATTGTCATATCTGAGCTCGTATTTCCTCACACGGTAAAATTATTACACCGGTTGCACCTGAACGGCAGGTCTATTCGCGACAAAAATCGAAAAATGAACGCAATGTATACCACGTCTCCTGCTTTGGAAGAGCTCAACATTGATTCTTTCGGACGGCTCTTCGAGAAAGGAGCATGGTGCAGCGTATTTAGCAACCAAAAAGCCTATGTATAGGGTACTTTAGCGCTATATACTCGAAATGCACAAAGGGATGACGAGTGAACAAGGTAATAAATGGAGCAACGAATCACGCGCAAAAGTGATAAAAGTTGTAGGAAGTCATCGTTTGTAGTGTTATTCTTCTGATCGTCCAAATGGATCCTGAACGCTGCTTAAAAAGAACGTAGAATCGCACAAAAACAAACGAACCTATTAACTTTGTCAGCAGCAATAAAAAACAATGAAGGATGAGTCAGCTTCACTAGCGGCAGCGTCCTCTTATCTGCGGCAGCACATACTTGGGAATGGAAGATGGTACCTTACCAGCAGCAGTATGATTTCGGTATGGAGGGAGAGGAGGTCACACGGCGTAGTTCAGAGAACTGTTGGCGGATGGCGAAAACGGTAGAGCAATAGTTGACGAGCACGGTTCAAAATGAAAGATGCGATGGGATTAAGTGTGTTTTGTCTATGCCCGCACACGCACAACGTTATTTACCAGATTACCACACATACAGCCAGAAGGTACTAATGAAATGAATTTGTCTGTGAACTACGCTATATACACACGCTGTTTGCCTTGTTGGCTGAAGGACTGTAAACTGGCTGCTGGGTGGATCGTGTTTTGAACATTCACTGATGGTGAATGTCTACCTTGTCAGTCACGCCTATTTCCGGCATTTACTGCTCGCAGAAAAGCGCTTCTTCCGTGAATCTACATGCTCATTCGCATTCGTGTCTTTGTCTTCGCTTGACACGGTGCCGTGCACGGACCCTCTCACAAACAAGCGGCGACAACATCGGAGGTACAGCAGCCCATGGTGAGAGACACGTACCACTACCGCCGAAGCACGCTTGTCTTGACCACCAAGTATACCACTCCTTTCATTTCCTTTGGTGCTGTATGTTTTGTTATGCCATAGTGGGCAACCCACAAGTTGATACGCAACCCGTTATCTGGGCCAATGAGAATTCACGGGGATTTGAAGTCCCGAACGAGAAAAATGTCTATATAAAGCGAGCAATTTCGCCTTTCTTTTTTCTCTTCTCTTCAGTTCGTTTTGGTACAGCTTTGGTCTGTAGTACAGATGCACTGCTCTGTGCCATGATCGGGTCATATGCTTGTGCTGGCGATTGTCAAGAGGATTCTGAGGATTGGCTGGATTCAGTGGTCCGCTCGGAGGAAATCTTTTGCAATGTACCAGTGGGAATGTGGACACGTACCTTCGGGTATGTGGTGGGATAATTAAAACGAACTTTTTATTTTTTATTAAACACAAATAAACAAAATGATAAACAAAATAAAACAATCTTTTTCTTTTCGCACTCTTCTCATAAACGTTTTGCCGCTTTATTTATTTTTTTTGCTTTGCCTTTTTTTCGTGTGCTTGACAAGTTCCTTAGTTTTTTGCCCACCCACAGCTCTGTACTAAACAAAGCGGGGAACAATCTGTATCGTAGCCGACAGTAACACGATCACAACGCGCTTTATCACACTTTGACACGCCTTTTCACCTTCTGTGATCGCCTAAGTTGCGAAAATGATTGAAGATAAAAACTGTTACCGAGGATATGGTCCAGCCCTCGTTTGAAAGAAAGAGTTACCGACCAGTAAGCAAAAGAGGCAACACCAGAGCATACGCCAACAGACATGTACATATAATTGCCAGATCTGTAAATTGAAAGGTCTGTTTTCAGCTGCTCTCTTTTTGCACGTAGCTTATCACAAAATCCTTTTGGTTTTCACCTGATTCAGATGCAGAAAATTGCGCCTGCTTTCAAAGCATGATTCTTGGACCAAACGTCACTTCCAAGAAACGTCAAGGAAGGCGATAAAGCTGCCGAAATAACCGCGCAAACAGCTCTTATGAATGTCAACCGCGTTGTAAACTCTTTGGTCTGCTCGAATTTGTGTCTTTATAATGACGCCTGTATTATATATGTAGTTGTCAATGTGGTACGAAAACATGTGATGTTCACAGGTGCAACAGTAACGTATTTGCAGTATTCCTTCTATATGATGTGTTCACCTCAAACATTCTCTTATTTCACAAAAGTCTACAGAAAGGCGTTGTGCTCAAATCATTTTACGCGAATTTCTGAACTGTGTATACAATAGTACTTATAGTCATAACATTTTTGTCTCATCGCTTTTAGGACAAATGACTAATTATTTTATTATTCATAAGAGTATGAATGCAATATCATATAATAATGAGCCAGTGGAGATTAGAGTACGGGTTTTGTAGTTCACTATTAGGATATGTGCGGTTTTAAATATAGAGATAGATAGATAATGCATAGAAAACATAAAAGGCAAGAACCAAGAGGCTTGATCACCACATGAATTTTGAAGGAACGGTGCTTGATTCGAATGCGTCTTCAGATTCCGAGATACTTTCATCAAAACTACTATAGAATCCACTACCATCAAGACCAAGGCTGCTGGCAGTTGTGTAAGACAACGACGACATGCTCCCGCTTTCCATATCACGGTAGTGATTAAGAAGGTTGGCAATGTAGGCGAACGCTTGCTCCCAGTCGCGCGAGGTGCTCATACTATCGGGCAGGACATACATTCGACATTCGAACAATGTCGTTTCTTCCAGGTAGCGGAGATCGTGCCTATTTAATGCCCTTTCGGTAAACTGCAGTGCCAAGCCAAGTGAGCCGACGTCAACTTGGCGCTCATCGTCGTCTGTGGGCGGATGCGACACGTGAACAAAATAATCCAACGGTATTTCATACAAGGGAGGCCGTGTGTCTCTGAATTCAAAGTCGTAAAGTAACAGTCTAGTGCCATGCAAAGCGGCCCAGAAGCGCTCCCATTTCTGTTTGTTTTTCCTTGTCAGTTATAAGAATGTACACAAAGTATGATTAAGCGGAGAAAACAATTCACGTACGGGTGTAGCACGTCCACGAATATACACAGTGATAAATCCGGCGTAAATGCATTTGTTGTCGAGCAATACTTGCGCACCATTGCTCATATAGGTACCATATATCACTAAAATTTGGCATGCAGGTGTAGATCCAAGCGTAATCCGTCGAAGGACCTTGTCACATGGTTGTACATATAACCTGAATTCTTCTTTTCCAAGACATGTTTCTCCTTGTAAATGTGTGCGAGTGCTGAATATGGACGGCTTTGGTTGGGTAAACACTTTAAGTGTGGCGGAAGTAGGCTGATCAATATCACTACATATTGGAATTGTTAACAAAAGTACAACAAAATATCTATACCCTCTGCGTGATTTTGTAAAGCTTACAATATGAACGTTTCATCGACATCGGCTTGAATGTTGTGTTTACCGCATTTTTCGGCTGCAACAGGGCCACCGGTGCAGATGCAATTATCCACTTGAACAGAGCATCGCAAATAGCATGCTATAAACACAAGTAGATCAATATAAGAGTAGGCAGAAGCAAGTGCTTTCTGCATTCGACTTACGTTTGGTCGCGTTTTGACTGACAATTTGAATGACTGATAAACCGCGTTTTGTAACGTTAGTATACGTCAGAGCTTTGATATCCAAGGGACGAATTAGGCGTGTGTATTTTACCTCGAAGATAGAATGCTGCTTTGGGAGCAGCAACACTAATTGGCTGTTGAACTAAAGGACTGGAAAAAAGGAATCAATATTGTAACGCGCCGATCATTTTCAAGCCAAAATGACACCAAAGCCTTTTCCTTCAACTCACTTACAAAGTTTGACTTCGTGTCACAGGCTTGCGAAGTACAATTGATCCAGAGCAGTCCAACAATGGATGGCGTAAGCCTTCTGCCGATACTGGCTCTCTTTTGATCCATGCCAGCTTTTCGCCGGGTAGTTGATCCAAGGTATCACACGGTCCATTATAATGCACCACTGGATCTGACGATGCTCCTTTAGCTACCGTATGTGAATACTTCTTTGATAATCCCGTCAATGATCGCTTTGTTTCGGTAAACGATGATGAGGGCCCAATTCGTTTATGCGTAGGTGCGCCTAGTCTTATCTGCGTCCCAGCCGTAGAGAGCTGATAAAATGATCTGCTGAAAAAGTTCCTGAACGATGCTGATGAGAGGCCTTTGCCTTTGATTGCAAGTGACGTGGATGTTGGACCCGCACCTAGTCGTCGAGATGACGGTGGGGATGCAGGCAGTAACGGATTCTTTACTGTTGGATAGTCTGGCATATATGTGGATATCTGCACAAGGCGAGCCAGTTACGGTTAGGGATAGAAAGGGTGGGTGGAGGAAAAGGAGAGGAATTGACAATTCCCGATACTGAGAAAAAAGTGTAAAGATTAAAAAGTACCCGAACATATGCATATCAGAACAGGAACGCATCGGAATTTTTTTAACAATATTATAACTACTATATTATGATCTTGTCTAAAAAGTATGTTGTACTCTTTTCTCTCTCCCTCACTCTTCTTACTATATTAACGTAGCAGCCGTTCGCATGTGATCGCTGCTAATGATGCGCCCATACCGAGTAGTCCTTGGAGCATAAACCGTGGTGCGAAAATCTTCCATGTCATCAAATGCCGCCGCAGGATAAGCACAAATATGGCCGACAGAAACGTTGGTATGGATTGCAGCGTCAATAGAAGATATATTGACAACTGCCGTCTAACCAATGTCAACGGACTTTCTGAAAGCAGTACCAGCCAGCTCAACCAGGTAACAATGTGACCAGACAGCGTAGATAGGGCAACCAGGGTCGCACCTCCATAGTAGTTCATATCGTCGAATCCAATAAATGCTGCTTTCCAAGGTAGCGATGTGAAGGTGGCTTGATGCGCGGTGACAAAAAACAGATGTTGTCCAATCACATAGAGCAAGGCAAGCCGGGTATAGATCGTCGAAGGATGTTGGTGGCGCGTCAAAAGGTCGATCAGCGGAGGCACACTCAGGATTATGGTGCTTCCCAGGGGTCGCTGGAGCATAGCCAGCATCACACTCCACATGGTCAACAGCAACCAACTACACGATTTGCGATTTGATTTGAATGTCATGAGTGCGTATATTGTGGTGGAGGAGGTAAACGCGTACACAGCACGTGGTGCATAGACATCCAGTGCTTTGATGAGCGTTGTAATAGCGGCCGGTGACAGCTGTACTTCTGGCCCCTCGGGAGAGTTTTGATATATATCAGCCACTTGCCGTACGAAAACAACAAGAAGCGAGAAGCAATATAAGAATCCAGATATTGTAGGCCGGTTTACATGCTGAATAAAAAATCGCGGCAAGATATAGGCGATTAAGACAGCGTTGACCAAGATGTAACACAGCATTGCGCCTGAATCGTCTCCAAATTTGAGGTACCCGTTATGAATGTAGCTGCAGTGTGGGAACTGTTCTTCACGGCATTGCCCGGTCAGGCCAGTCAATCTGATCCACACCAAAACAAGGATAGGTGCTGATAGAGTCGTTTTGAATGCGGTTACTGGAGTAGCAGTGCTGGGTAAGGAACGGAGAAGCCATGGGGTGCATAATGTAGCAGCGATAAACCGTGTTCCTCGGTCTTCCCAAATGACAAAGCTGTTGGATGCCAGAGTGAATGCATGAATCAAGGCACCAACCACCAGAGATATCCAATCCAAAGAGACCGCCATATGCTGATTGGTTGTTGTACTAGGCCTGTTTGACATGATCAGGAACAATACAGCAAGAGCAATGCAGTTTGCCGCAACCAAGCCATCACCTATTTCCATTTTTTCAAACCAGCCATGAACCTGAGCACTCTGGAACGCAAGCATTCCGACCAATCCGACTGTAAGTGTGGTGAACCAAATGATGGCCGTGTGTTGTACGGAAATCGTTGGTCTGTGCAAAAACGTCACGAATAGGGTTGCACAAGATGTCATCGCCAATATGACTATGCCGACAACCATAGATCCAACGTCAAATTGTGCCCAAATGGCATCGCAGTACTTGATCGTGCTCATAAGAAATGCGTCATACTCGAATAAAATCTGCTCGATCAAGTCGATATTGTCACCATGTATGTTGGTGAACATCCGTTCGGCGCTCCACAGGTGTTGATAGATAGGTGAAAGTGAGGCTGGGGCAAATCCAGGGTGTTGTGTATGATGCCAGTACGTTTCGAGATATTTGTGAACTTGAAGTGCATTTCGTCGGAGCTGTTGTGCCATGTGAAGCAGTACTTGACTTTTTGTTGCTGGCAAAACTGACTGGGTGTCGGGTATCAAGACATCCGGAAGAATAGCACCAAGGTTGCCGAATGGTATAGGCACACCAAGCAAATATGCCAACGTTGGCACTAGATGAATTTGTGATGCAATCGGATGTTCTGTAGCATCGTATCCTAGTCGTTCGACAATATCCTGAATAGAATAACCAAGCTTTTCCGTTCTTGAGCGGTGGATTCGACGGAAAAGGTCTTGATAATACGGGTCGCTCAACGTGAGCGGCCGCTCGGAATACAGAAACAACCCGCTCATCAGCTCCTCCACGCTTTCACCACCGTGATCGCCTTCAACTGACATCCCATGATCACCCATGACAACAAGTAGCGTATCCTTGTCAACATATTCTACAAGCCGTTCAATCACGTCATTCATTTGCGACAATTTGCTGGCCATATTCGGATGTGAAGGGCCGTAGGTGTGACCGCAATGGTCGACGCCTAAAAAGTGCGCAATAGCCACCTGCCAATCTGGCTGATCTGTCATGATAGGCCACAAATGAGAGAGAATACGGTTGTCGACTGTGTGAAGATCGAACATTTTGAAACTGTCGCTCTCGAATGTCCTGTTCCGGTCGTCAAATACTTCGGGGAATAAGTTGACCCATGTGTCATCGCCCATGAAAAAAATGCTATTGAAGCGTTGGCGTACGTGTCGCAAAAGATTATCCTCGTTAACGGCTGATGAGGCAAAATTAGCACCGGCGTCGATAAACGTAGGTAGTGATCCAGTCATTAGCCCTTTGACTCGTTGCATTGTTGTTGTCGGCGGATCGGCGCGAAACTGGTATAGTAGCGAGGACGACGGGCTACTGCGGTGAAGCTTGTCAATGATTGGCAGACGATTAAGATAATATTGCTCTTTTCCGGGCATCGGTGTCAGAAAGTCAAATCGAAGAGCATCAATGACGATTACAATTACGCGATCGAACGATGGTTTTGCCGGAATAGTGGATGGATGGTCGGCTACTCGTCTATTGTTGTCATTGCTGCTGTTGGAGTCATCAGGAAACAGTGGAAATTGTTCCCATACATCGTTATGAGTGGCTTGAATGTCGAGCGTTTGTCGAGTCAGCAAGAAGCCTTTCAGGAAAAAATAGAGACCGAACCCTTGAAGACACGTCAAAGATATAAGTATAAATGCTAAGGATGGACGAAATAACTTTGACATTTTGTGTCCTCCCTAAGCAACAGACCACCAAGCTGGAAACGCGTGCTTCAAGTTCCTGGGTAGAATTAAGATAAAACGTCGCTGGACTTGGAATAGCGCTTGTTCAGGAACACAACAATTTTAACCTTATATAGGCTGGAGTAAGATATGAAGTGGCAAGCCCCACGTACAGGAAGAAGCCGGCTAGCAACGATATTGACCGCTAATGTCTATCAGATCTTTTGAGCTTTATCAGATAAGAACAACAAGAAGTACCCGAGTTGGGCTGATGTAAATATACATTTGGATCTTCTGCAACGTGGGAAAAGAGTGATAGGGAGGAGATAGAGCCATTGGTGTCATCGCCGAGCAATATAAAGTGAGGAACTCTGAAAACTTAGCTGAAGGACTAACGAGTCTTTTTAGTCGAAGGTAAAAGTCAGTAGCAGAGCCATTCCTCTAGCAATGGTGCCGACCATCCTTGGTGCTAGTGCCAAAGGTCCTAACTTGCTGTTATTTTTCGATACCAGTTTCCTTAGATGTTTTTTATCGCCATCAGCAGGCCCTTTAGCTTCATTTTTGGGAATACCAGCGGTGCATTTGTAGTAGTGATCACAGCCAGTAATTGCTTTTCCGAGTGGCACCGATAAGAACATTATCAACAAGGCGTCAATATTATCCCAATTACTACCGTCAGCAGCGACGCCGCCAGCTGAGCACGGGTATCAGCGGGAGGGCCTAGAACAGCTGGGGTAAGCGCATATTAAAGCCTAAGAATACGGTCACTTGCCAAATAGAGAGTACGTAGAGACCGAACAAGTTAAACATGAGAATATAGGCATATGCTGTGGTAAGAGCTGCTTTGGTTATATCACTTGCTGTTTCCTTGTGTAACCCAAGAAAGAATGATGAATAACTCTACGATCAGGCAGATGTTTATAAGAACTGGCGAAAGAAAAAGGGCTCGTCATACAAATTACTAAATAATAATCATCAATGCTCTTAATGGACGAGCACTTGTATCTGTAATGCATAGCACTGCTGCATTTGCATACCACCTTGATCAATAAAAAAGAGAAAGAGCCGCAATGCTACATTTGTCCCTCAGTGACTTGCTTTTTTTAACCACTTTTTCCATCCCGCTTCCTTTACTTTTTTTTTCGCTTGACACATCGCCACTGAAACCATGGATTCCGGCAGCAGCAACGAGGCAACACGATTGTGGCGAGTGTACCGTACAGCACACCAAATGGTGCACGACCGAGTATGTTTATTCTTAATCAGCTGAAAAACTCAATTTCGGAAACGATCTGTTGGTTAATGTTGTATTATAAAAATTAAAAGGGTTACCTCGTGTCGCAAGCCGAACTTGATATTGAACTCGAAGCGTTCAAGCGTCAATTTGCTCCCACCGGCGATGTTGAGTACGATAGACTCTTCTGTCTCATTTTCAAGATTTAATCACTGGAGCAACAATAACGACAAGATTGAAAACTAATTCTTTCTTTTAATCCATCAACGAATCTATTAGTCGTGATACGCTGACATTTGTCGTTCAAAAGAAGGATGATCCTACCGATCAGTTATTATTATTCTTTCCTAAGGACAAGTCGGTTGGTGTGAAGCCTTTGCGAACGTAAGTAGTATTAAAGGAGTGTAAAAAGGCTCAAGAATACGACTTGGACCTACGACTGCGTAAAATTGTAAAAGGCGATGCTAAACATGCCAACCGGGTGCTTACTTTCAACTTGTAGATATGTTGAACGTATGGCACAGCAACAAATTCCCAAGGGTATCTGTATTTATCAACAGACCATGACCTCGTCAGCAAATAAGGTAATTTTAAAAAGAGAAGGATGTGATCTGATATATCGGCCCATGATGATGCTCAATAGCTAACAACGACAACAAAAGGTCATTCAATCCCTTCCTTCGAAACATACTCTTGAATCCTTCCAAGAAAACGAACTGCTTGTAAACATTACCCATCACGTTCTGGTACCTAGACATGAGGTGCTGACCAGCGAAGAGAAGGCAGCGCTCTTACAAAGATAGTAAGTTGGATGGAAAGGGAGAAAATAGATTTGAAAAAACGCTATTGTAAGCGATCGTCATACTAGGGATCGGCAACTAACTTGCGTTCCCAACTAATTATAGTCGATTGAAGGAGACACAGTTACCACGCATTCAGCATTCTGATCCTGTAGCACGATACTATGGTTTGAAGCGCGGTCAGGTAAGGATTTTGGAAGAAAGGCTCTATGGTTTTTCTGAGGATGGCATATATCATAATGGGCTTTCATGCAGTAGCATAAAAAAGAAGAGAGATCTTGCTAACTTAATTGCTGTATTATATATCATTAGGTCGTCAAAATTCTACGTGAGAGTGAAACTGCTGGTCGTTATGTCAGTTACCGTCTGTGCATATAATTGAATTTCATTTTTATTTCTCGCTCTCTTTCTCTCCATTACTTCCACCCTTTGCTCCATTCGTACATGTATAATTTTCGCATTAAAAACCTCCACAATCACGCACAAATTTGAAAACAACATATCCACTGTGGTTTTTTTTGCAGCTGTAAAAACGGGATTTATACCTCGTTATTACAGTACTGTGTGGAATAATATATGCAGTGAATGGCAAGTTGCCTTAAAAGCATGATGTGACGCTGTTATAAAACGACTACACAAGAATCATCTTTATCTTTGAAAAATACAGCAGTGCGTGTTTACAAATCGTTGAAGAACAATACAGCCAACCATACTATCGCATGTTGAATTGCGAGTTGCATGATGTTGTCATAACGATACATTCTATGCTCAACGACTGAGTACAAAACGACATTTTTCTGGAAGAGCAAGGATCCGGTTAAATCGTAATGTTTAGAGCGAATCTAAGCGGTATACCAACAGTGTGGGGCTTGTACTTTGACCTCTTACGTTTTTTATAATTATCATGGATCCTTCCATGTCAGTTTATCAAGCGCTGGAAATGTTGGAGCATATTATCCGATGATGTCTGGCTCGGCTACGGTGGTTCCTATTTCGAACGCTTGCAATTGTAAAGGTTGTTTATGACGCTGAGAACCGACATGATAACAGGCAAGCTAATAAAGTTATAATAAGTCGGTCTTGATTTTCCAGATAGTATCGATAAGCCGTTCATGATATCCAAAATGTTTCTTATTTAGCGGGTAAATAGTATAGTTTTTAGCTCGATGCTTAGAAATGCTGCGGACAACGGATTACAGTAGATCATTCTTACATGCGCCAAGAAGAGTAAGGATACCGACGAGATTTATCGTGTAAGTGCTAAAATAGTGTATGACTCCTTCTAGCACAGGAATATCTATTACTTAAGGGAGTACACCTCAAGACAATAGAGTAAAACACAATAATGCCTCAGTTGTCTACTAAAAAAAGTATTACAGCCTACTCAAGAATCTTCCAGTTATGTACACGATAATCCTTTGAAGAGCGCCGATATTGTCTGTTATTTAAATCTAATTCTAACATAGGCTTTGTTTTGTATAATTCATACGCCTTCGTTGCACAGTGACAAGAGCGTAGTAAGTGCTTTGCTTTGGATCCGATACAGCAAAAGTCTATATCAAATTCATTTTCAGCAAAACCATGATGGCGACACGTATTGTAGCACTAATAATGTCAAGCCGAGTCGATTGCTGGTGGCTTTATCAACAGCCACGCCTCCTAGTCAATAAGTAAGTGATCTTTGAAACGTTACAAGCAGTGATGTATCATAACAGAATTGGGCAAGAATCTTGTATGCGCTCTTCCTTTTGCGATGGCACCGATATGTTGATTATTGCTGTATATGTAGCAATGGCGGCTGATTGGGAGGATAATAGCAGCAGCGATGACTTAATTATGGAATCCAAGCAAGGACAGTTTTTGGTGCATCGCTTATTTTCTTCGTACTATTGTATTAAACCAGTACATTTGACTCGTTATCTTATAACGCTCTGAAGCTGTATGATAATCCGTTATTTTATGTCACTTTTAACAGAATACACCCCGCCAATGCGATGCTCCTGATGTTGACGGTGGCCGTGTTTGAGATTCTAGTATGTTTCGCGTGCTGAGTACAGTAACAACCATGCTTATTAAACAAAAAGGGCACTCACGTATGTAGACCGATTACGCCTTCTTGCAGCTTTTTTTTTCAACACAATAGCACGGTCCGTGCGTTGTAGAGCAGTCAAAAGTTATCTAAGTTTTGTATGTGGAATGGATACCCCAATTAAGTGCATATGATACACAAAGTAAATCGCTATGCGGACTAGTGTCTGTCAGATAATTTCTTTCTGTGCTAAACTTGTAAAAAGGGGCACTGCACAGCGAAACTTCTTACAAAAGATTAACAGCGATTGTTCTTTATATTACGCTCATTATCTTTATTGTTATTGAGGAAAAAATATGGAAAAAAAAACGGCAATAGCTGGACCATTCACCCTCGACGTACCACACCACGGTGAAAGCAAGACATTCAACGATTGCCCATCGTCAGAGTTCATGCTCACTAGCGGCGCTGTTGCTGCTTCCTTTTTCAGATTGGTGGACAATCTTCATGAAGCGAAAACCCCCAGAAAATATCCAACGTTTTGACAGTCAGCAAACAAGAGGTTTTACATTTCAGTCTTGATTTTCAGCGACTTGCGGAGTTGCTCCTGACACTAATGGCGCAACAGAAGGCAATAGATGAAAAGAAGAAGGGTGGGGTTAGTAGACAAATAGTCGCACAGTCCTCGAGAAGTCAAATATGCAGCAGCAAGGCTTGTGTCACCCTGCAGCACCTATTTTATCTTGCGGGGTGTACTCTTGATCGATACTGTGCTTTAACTCGCTTATTGTGGAAAGACGAGCACAACATGCTTTGGAATGTCAGCACAACGCCACGCATAGGCCGGCTACAAGGAGGTCTCGAGGGTATAAAAGAAGGTACCAATAGGGAAGCACGGTTGGGAATGATGGGGAAGGAAGGGTACCGGGCTTGATAAAAGCAACAGGGTCGTACGTCGATGTGCGTGCTCTGGGAAGAACTAACATAGGCGACAATATGCTATTTCTGCAGCATGCTTCTATTGACAAGAACAACAGAGTATGTAGCTAAAAACTACAGTCATTGTATAAGCGGCAGGATCCAGCTAATAACTGGGTTACTCGCTTCCAAAGAATATCCAATCGAATTACTATCAAGTTGCATTAATACTTTCTTAATTTGTCTGTGTGCCATATAAGTTAGTACATATTTCATTGTGACATGTACCGGTAGTAGAAGGCTACAGTAATATTTAAGTGTGTTTGAACGCTCCACCTGTTGTCGCCACTATCATTGATATTTACTCCTCCTTGTTTGAGACAAAAAAGATATTAAAATTTTTTCTTCTACGATATGGAACATGTTGTGAGAAAAGAATAGATGAAAAGAACGGGGGATACGTACAGAAACAAATGAAGATATGTGTGCGATATATTCCATTATTTGGGTACGTGATATAGATAGGGCATCATCTCTTTAAGGGGAAAAGTAAAGTTTTTTGGGGGCTCTTTGTCAAGGTTGTTTCATGGCGAGCAGAGTGGGTATATATGGCTTTTCCTTATCTTTTCAAACAATAGATGATCTAGGAGGATAGGGAGGAGACGACAACACAGTTCTTGTGCTTACTACCATGACGGTTTACTTTCAGGATCTTTCATGTGACTGCTAGGATTGTTGTTGTTGTTGGGTGGATCTATATTAATTATTTCTAGAGCCTCCAACGGATATTGATTGGTGTGATGATCTTGATGATGCCGCATTTCCTCTACAAGCACTGACGTAGACCTATCCTCCCCATCCAGCGTTTTCCTTTGATATTGCTGCTCAATACTCCGTCTTGTTGAGCTGGAGTATCTTCCGATCCCCGTGAATGGTTTTGGAAACATATCAGCCGGGCCAGGATGATGTTCAAACGACACCTTTTCGTTATCATAAGAGTAGCTATTACTTGGTAGCATTTTGGCACGGCTGTCGATACTGGCTGTACCATCATTATCTAACTGTTCGCTTCGTGAGGAATGTAAGAGTGCTACACCTGAGCAAATCACGAGAAAACCGAATATACATGTCGTAATGTCAACGCCTGATGCATCGAAGCCCTGGTACAGGACAGTTGAACTGACTATCGTTAAAGTCGTAAATAAGACGTAGTAGGTTGGTGTCACGACAGCTGTGTTGAATAAATTGAGTGCCTTATTCAGGTACACGACCTCAAGCACTAATGTTATGATGGTCAAGGCTAAGATCAAGTAGATAAACCAGTTGGTGAACTGATTGCTGATGGTGATGGAGTGGATAATGCTGGCACCAAAGGCTTGAGTGAATGCAACCGATAGGGATCCGATCAATGAACATACACTGATATAGACTAGCATGTTCGTTTTGCCCCATCTTGGCGCGCAAAAAAACACTAAAACGCAGGATACCACAACAGCGAGACCTGCATAGACCAGGAACCCTGGAAGAGTGTTCGAGCAAGCATTGTATTTTGATAACAGGTATTAGTTCTGTAATTACTAACCGAAATGATCCAACATCCACCGAGACATAAAAACAATAGCTTCGTAATACATTACCCACTGATACAATTAAATGCTTGAAATTTTCAATGGATGTGTCGGACGTGCCTTCTTCTGGAGCATGTAGCACAATCACCACTGAGCCCAAGATGCACTGCACACAGCCAACTTTTCCCTGAAACGTCAGCCGCTCTTTGAGAAAAATGGAGGATAAAACAGCACTAGCAGCAGCAACAGTAGGTTCGTACATATAAGTAAAAACGTTGGGCTTAGTGTTTTTTCTAAAAATATACATTGCTCTAGTGCGTATCCGAATCCCAGATACCACAAAATGACGCACCTGATCACTACGCTCAGAGCACCTAATGGCGTTACCAAAATTGCTGGAGCGAACGAATACGCGATGAAGTTACATAGTTCTCCGACGATCACTAAACATCATGCCGCTTTCCATGGTGAATAATTTTCTGTGACATTATCCTCGTCGTCGTCGATGGTGCTTCTTGTGGCATTTCACTTACTCAGTATCATTCCGGTCCACCACATGAACGATTTTAAGTATGCGTAGCCTTCGCCAGCTATTATAATGATAAACAAATGATGAGGATGCATGAGTGCATAGAATAAACGCTCGTTCTTGATGGTGAAGATGATGGTGATTATGACCCTGGCCCTGGTTTTCGTGTAGGTATGTTTTTGGACGGGGATGCAGGAATTCTACGCGATTACTACTACTACTGCTACTGCTATTGCTGCGGTGCTGCCATGACACATACCTGTTTGCCCCATGGACTGCAGTAGCCCCCTTTTTTTGAAAACGAAACTGCTACCGATGAATATACCTAGAGTAGTAATAGTAACAAAGGCCCTTTCTTTATTAGAATAACCCTACTTTTGTCCCCACCGATCTCCTCTTTCTCCGTGCTCTATAGTATACAAAAGAAGGCGACATTTATCATGTTCCTACTACGTACTGCTTCCAATGGCTAATGACAAGCCGATCGCTTTGTATAAGGATCCATGAGGATTCGAAGGATCGGAGACAAATGGATTGTCGGTGGTTACGGTTGAATTGGAGGCGTCACTCATGTCGTAATGTATTTCTGTTCAGATCTCGATTCAGAAGTAGGAGGAGGAGGAATAGGAAGAAAGGGAAAGCAAGAAAGAGGGAAAGAAAAAACCCTGAACAGGCTTGGCTTTCGGTCTACTTATTTATAGCCTTACATTATTTTGGATCGAACCCTTCTTTTGTAAGTGATAGACAATTTGTGAGCTTTAATAGGTAAAACAGATAAAAATGGCAAGTGGCGCATATAAATAATAATAATAATAATAATAAAGCGATAATGTTGAATAGCACTACTGCTTATTGAAGCGTATTATCGCTTCCCTTCTTTCCTTCTTGCATATTGCATCCTTGTATACGTACGATAAAACTGTTCTGCTTTGAAATAAAACTAGAGGAGAGGTGGCCATACTTCTATGATACGTGCTGCTATTCACGGAGTAACGTTCCGCTCGATCGGCGACTTATGCATTAATCGTATCACCAACGGAGCCCATTTTAGAAACAACGCAGTTATCCAAAAATAAATCCTCTCATTGTGTTCATGTTATTGGAGCAGGTGAAAGCTAGAAGGGACTCCTTTTCTGGAGTGGCGCAGGGTCGTGCTGTCAAAACAGCTTATCCAAAATGACAAGAGCGACGTATATCTCTTCTTTGCGTGGAAATTGTCGCACGGTGTGCATTACATACTTCTTCAATAAATGGGCTGCTACATAATATATTTCACAGTAAAATGAGCGTTTACAGCTGGCTACTTGTATATAAAGCTTTTAGAAGCGAAGATAATGATCATATAATATCTGTTAAAAATAAGATTGTATATATTTAAGTAAGCAGATAATAAATATTTAGTAAGAGTACACTGGTAAAGAAAGGGATGGGATGTCGAGTTTATATAGATAAGGGAAAGGGAGTGAGATCAATAGTGATGATGGCAGTGGCTGTGAGCTAGTGAAATAGTAATTTCTAGAAGAATTCGTAGCGTTTATCAGTAGGTTGCTGCTGGTAATGTGCAGCGGCGGCACTCTGTGCGGCTTGGAAAGACGACGGATCGACCGTGTCACGGAACGGGTTCGCTTCTTCATCGATTGGCGTTGAGCCAACGGGGCCAGGGTTCAGTTGGGGTTGGTATGACATGTGCGCCATTTCTCTTGGCTGATGATCGCCTGGTGGAAGTACTTGGCCAGATTCCCTCGCCAGAGCGCCATGATCATGATGATGTGGCATTGGAGAGGATGTGCCACCACCGCCGTGCTGTCCTGGCGCTGCCATGGCTCCATAATAGCGGTTGTCATCCATCGCTTCACGGCTTCCATTCGAAGTGATGGATGGATCACGCGCTGCAGCTGCTGAACTGCCCATTCCGCCAACGAGCATACCATAGCTGTTATAAACTTCGTTACCAGCAGCCCCGGCTGAACCTGATGGCGACGGTGCCTGGTTATTATGTTGCTGCATTTCAGGCTGTACGACAGAGTTGGTTCCAGAAGGCGTGAGCACCTGTGCCAAAAAGTTGTACTTGGACATACGAGCAAATCGCGAACCACGAGGACTTTCAGTAGCTGCTGCTGCTTCTTGAGCTTCAGAATCCACCAAGTCGCGGAATTGCTGTTGTTGACGCATACGTTCTTCGCGATTGGATGCAGCCTGTTTTCGGCGACGGAAGCAAATGAGCGATATAATGAGGATCAGTGCACCGGCGATGGATCCAATTACGGCACCGGCTATTTGACCGCCGGATAATGCTTCACCATTATTGCTCGAAGGGGCCTCTACACATTGGTTGCCGCTGCAGTAGGAAGAGAAACACTGAAAGTCTTCATAACAGAAGTCACCCAAGCTAAGCAACTCGACGCACTGGTGGGTAGCGGCGTTACAGAATCGGTCGTCAGGACAATGGCCGTCGACAGCTAATGGATCAGAACCACATTCGCTCTGGCCAAGGACAAGTGATGGTGTGGCAGTAGACGATGTCACAGTGAAGGTGCGGCTGTTGGTCAACGTAGCTGCTACTTCTTCAGAGGATGTCGGTCGTTCATCTGCCTCGTGTTCAACTGTCGTGGTCGTCGTGGTGACTTCTTGGGCCCATATATTCTCGGTCGTTGTAGTCGTTTCAGGAGGCGCGGTCGTTGTTACTTGCTCAGACTCGGGTGGTGTAGTACTGATTGTTTGCTGCAACAAGTTGGGCGTTGTCGTCTGCTCTTCTTGTGGCTCCTGAGCAGTAATCGTGGCTTCAGGTTCTTCGCTTTTCGATGTCGTTGCCGCTGCCTGTTTCTGAGCTGTCGTTGCTGGTGCATTTGATGTGGTTTCAGGCTCCTCGGTCGTTGTTGTTGTTGTTGCAGCTTCTTCTGTGGATAGTAATTCCTTGGTAGTCACTTCCTCAGTAGTAGTTGGCTCCTCAGTAGTAGTTGGCTCCTCTGAAGTAGTTGGCTCTTCAGTAGTGGTTGGTTCCTCAGTAGTGGTTGGTTCCTCAGTAGTGGTTGATTCCTCAGTAGTGGTCGGTTCCTCAGTAGTGGTTGGCTCTTCAGTAGTGGTTAGTTCCTCAGTAGTGGTCGGTTCCTCGGTAGTGGTCGGTTCCTCAGTAGTAGTCGGCTCTTCAGTAGTAGTCGGCTCGGCTGTCGGCTCCTCAGTGGTGGTCCCGGGCGCATCAGTAACTGTTGTCCAATAACTGGAATAACTGGCACCGCTTCTAGTTGTGTCCCACCACCAAGGGTCAGTCGTTGTAGGATGATGTTCATGAGGATCCTCTGGTGTGCTTGTTGGCGTATCAGTGGGCTCTTCTGAAATGGTCTTTGAATAGCCCCAAGAGAATGTTCTGCTGTAGGTGTACTCGCCAGAATTGTAGCCATCACCATTATCGCCAGCACCATCACTAGGAGTAGGATTGCCGTGACCATGATCATTGCCGTTGTCTGCACCGTCAGTTGGTTTGATAGAACCATCAGAACCATGAGGTGTATCTGTGCTCGTATCGCTGCCATCAGTAGGAGTGGGATAGCCGTGACCATGATCTTTGTCGTTGTCTGCACCGTCAGTTGGTTTGACAGGACCATCAGAACCATGAGGTGTATCCGTGCTCGAATCGCTGCCATCAGTAGGAGTGGGATCGCCGTGACTATGATCTTTGTCGTTGTCTGCACCGTCAGTTGGTTTGACAGGACCATCAGAACCATGAGGTGTATCTGTGCTCGAATCGCTACCATCAGAAGGCCCGCCATCATGTCCATGATTGTTATCGTTATCGCTACCAGGACCTTTATCATTACCAGAGCTGTCTCCTTCACCGTTATCATTGTCACCAGGCTTTCCATTACCGGGACCATTAGCGTCACCGTTGTCGCTGCCAGGTTCACCATGGCCGTTGCTATCATTTCCGCCGCTGCCGCTGGACGAATTGTCGTTACCGCTTCCGTCTCCGAAAGAGCCAGGTCCTTTACCGTCTGACGAACTGTCACCTTTTTCGCCATCGGAAGAACCAGGTCCTTTGTTATCCGATGAACTGTCGCCTTGCTCGCCATCGGAAGAACCATTACCTTTACCGCCCCATGAGCTAGATGGATCGTCACCACTGGCATTGGTGTTGTCGTCGGGCGATGAGCCAGAGTTAATACCACTGTCGGACGACCCGTGATCATTGCCCTTATCAGAAGATCCAGGCCCTTGGCTACTGCTGCCATCGCCGCTGCCACTAGATGGTGAATCACTACTATTATCATCTTTCGAAGGCGAACCGTGGTCGCTGTTGCTGCTACCATTGTTGTTATTGCTGCTGCTGCCACTGTCACTATCGCTAGAGCTGTCGCCTTTAGAAGCATCATTTTCTCCGGTCGAAGCGCCATTATCTTCATTATTGCTGTTGCTATTGTCTCCGTTACCTCCACCCCCCGATGATGACGATTCGCCACCACTATCTGAAGAAGAGCCAGATTCATTGGTCGAGTCAGAGTGATCTTTGGAGTCGCTTCCGGCAGACGATGATGAATTACCGTTGTCTTTGCCAGATACAACAGCATTGTCGCTGTTGCTGTTGCTGTTGCCGCTGTCGCTGTCGCTCGAATGGTCGTTCTCTGAGGCTGGTGATGATGATCCATTATCTTTGTTTGAACCGGCGTTGTCGTTCAAATTTGTTCCGCTGTTGCCATTGTTGTCACTTCCAGATAACGAATCACTACCGCTGTCTTTGCCGGCAGAATGGTAACTATGAGAAGCTGAGTTGTCTGTATTACTTCCATTGTCTTTACTAGCTGATGAGTCGGTGCTACTACTGTCGTCATCGTTGTTCTTGTTGCCGCTCGATGATGAAGAGTCATCACCACTGTCGGGAGGCGATGACTCCTTGCCAGTAGAGTCGTTATTATCATTTCCCGGGATTGGAGACGATGAGCCTGAGTCGTGAGTATTAGACGACGAAGGCGAATCGCCAGCACCAGCAGCATTATTACCAGTGTCTGCGCCATAGCTACTGCCGCTATCACCACCTCCTGTATTACATGAAATGTTCAAAAACGGGTTAGTGCCGCCTGCGCGTTATATATCGGAATAAGCTGGTTTAACGAATAAATAAGCTACCTCCACCAATATCATTGTTGCCGCCATTACCAACGCCAGAATCAGCAGCACCACTGTCACCGCCATCGGTTCCAGGTGGTCCACGTCTAAGTAGACCCGCTCCGTATGAATCAGCAACAACAGATGTGCTTCCGGCACCCTGATCTACAAAATAAGAACAGATTTTTTACAGACAAAGAAAGAAGTTGTAGAAAAATCGTTGGTCGTTTATAGATAGATAAAGAAAAGATGTTCTCAAATGAATAATGCGTCATGCGTGTGCATATATAATTAATGTTGCTATTCGTTGTTGCTGTTCTCTCACCTGCTACTACGACGGCGCTTAAAAGCATTGAAAAAACAAAGAAAAGTAGGACGATGGCGTAAGTTCGTCGTCCTCGCGTCCGGAAAAGCGAGTTGCTATGTGCTGCCATTGAATATTATATACCGTACAAAACGAAAGGAAGGGGGAGATAGTATAGATAATATTAAAGAATGTATGGTGTAGAAGAGAGAGGGAGAAAGAAGGAAGAAGAAGAGGGCCTGTGTGTGCGAGTGCGAGTGTGTAAGGCCAAGGGATGGAGCGAGATATAGAGAGTAAAAGAGAGTGTATAATGAACGGAGAAGAGAGAGAAATCGTTAGTCTAATCTAACTTTTGCAGTGGAATATAGCACAAGGCTTGGGTGGTGGGCCACTGAAATTGAAGCGCAGATATTAAAAGCCGCTGACGCACTAAACTCTTTTACTGAATATTTGAGCGGGATGTTAAGCCTAAAGAGGTATTGACGATTAGTGGAAAGGGGTGGGGAAGGTGCACACGTACACACTGCCTCGGATCCACAAAGTCAATTGTAGTATGCTATGGATGATGACAGTGCCAATCTTACGCATAGAGTTTTTCTTTTGTTCAGGGCTACTACTATTTAGGCTTCCTCCTCAAAATTTATAAATAACCGCGACGACCATCATGCTGGCGGTGCTTATGGAATATCGTCACTTCTCCCCCTTTGACTCGCTCTCACCACAATCACGAACAAAACACACAGACACACACGCCTTTCGCCAGTTAAATGAAAAATGAACAAAAGCTAATATCAGCGGCACTCTAAAATTTCGGACATCTCGTGTAACAAAGGCGATCGTCCTTGTTTCCCAGAATCACTTTCTTATATTAAAAATTCGTACAATAGTGGCTCCTTGGCATGACATTTTTAATGCAGCAAATTCGAGAAACCATATACAAAGTCGCTGGCTAAGGCCACTTGAAAGTTTCTTGTACAATTATAAGCCGTTTTTCCCCTATTTGTTGTGTGCGCGCAGATAGCAGCATATTATATTTTCCCGACAGAAAGTATATAAACAACGCGTTGGAATAGATTTTCTTCTTTGTGACACGTGTCGCACAAAGCCGAGTTCTCGTATACGATCACAACGTGTGAGATTGCCAATTACAGTGTAAAGCTTTACATTTCATATCTGTTTTGTATTCCGCGTGTGTGATCGAATCATATAAGAGAATCTATTAATTTTTCTGCATCCAAAAAGGCGTATATGCTTCATGTCGTTTCGTCGATCAACCATTTTTTTTTATAAATTATCAATCAAATACCTATAGTACATCTAGTAGCAAACAAAAGAGAGGAGATGAGTTATGGGTATTATTTAGCCGCTACTGGCTGTTGTTATTGTACGAAGGATATATATTTATGAAACCTTACCGGGTTTTTGCAAAGCTTCTCCACTTTAAGGAAATCCAAGACTGCTCTGAAGCGCGTGTCATTCGCATTCCGGCAACCTATATGACGTTATCTATTTTCTTCTATGGTGATCACTATTTAATTTCGCAAACAAACGTGCTCTAGCAACTCCCATGTACGCAGGTATCCTGAATTTGTCTATGTGGATGATGAATATAGCAGTAAATCATGCACATCTATATTATTTCATTAGTGCTTTAATGCTCCGTTGATTTTGTCGTTGTGCAATAATACTGTCCTGTTGCAGCTTACCCTTTATAACAAAATATTAATTAAAAAATACACAAACCTTTCAGTGCATAGTCCGAATAAAGGAACTGTAGCTTGATTATACGATAGTCTACTTGTAGTAGTATTGAGTAATCATTCTTCCCTTTGTACTTTGAGGTTGTGAGAAAATTAGCAATGGAAACGGCGTTTTTTCTATGTATTATTGATCCCTTACGTAAGGATGGCAGTGAGCCAATATATACTTGTACTTTCTTTGAAAGAATTGTATAAATGCAGTACTATTACTATCGTTACTACTTGGACAACAACTTTGTGTACTTGTGCAATTGGTTACAAAAGCGGAATTTGAAGTTGTAGTGGAACGTGGATAAGCGAGAGGAAGAAAAGTAAGGATTTGGATGGAAGAGAGAAGGATGAATAGAGTAATATATATATATATGTGGGTGTATGTATGAGGGTGCTGCTGTGTGTGTGCCTGTGCTGTGCAATTCCTACTCTGTATGGTGTATAGTTGAGGAGGACTTGTAAAATAGTAGTCTTTCTATATCATTCCAAACCCTTCCGCATTGCTAATGCTTGTTAACAACCTTTCCCGTAACTTTTCTTTGCTATTGTATTCACACAGGAGAAGCACGTTATAACACGTGTGCGAGGTAGGAAGTCTATCCGAATCAGCGCCGTTTTTCGCAATAACAAACTGAAGTTTGCTCAATCCACCTATTGGGGCCTAGATCATACATGCGTGTTAAAAAAAAGGACGTCTATGCAACCTTCGCCAATTTAATAGAAGGGTCTCTTTAACTCGTATACTCACCCGATCCGAGCCCGTAGCAAAGAAAAGCAGTTTCTTTTTTTCTTCGTAAGAGAACTCGTGCACAATTTCCCAAAAATGCCTATACGATTGGAGGGCATTTTTTTGTTCAGCATTGAAAAGGAGGTCGTTATATCAATCATGAACGAAGTAGCCCCTTACCGAATAATAGGCGAGTCCTTAGTCCAGCCACCGTCGTAGACAGTTGATCTTTCTAATGCCTCGAAATCAAGATCCGAGCTGCCACAAATAAGCTGTTCAATTTCTTCCGGCCTGAATATCTATCATTGTTGCAGGAGAGGGCAGATTTAGTGTACTGGAGCTCAACACTTATTAAGCCGTAGATCTCTTTGAGAAAAACATTAAGAAACGAGCTTACATTGATAGCATTGTCTTGACATAGAAGCTCAAACCCTTCAAGAAATGCTTGAAATTCCTTTTGTATTGACTGGCTCAGGACAAATTTTGCATAAAGGTCGACAAATTCTAATAGGGTGGAAAGTGAATCCCAAACAAGTTAGAAATATCAGAGATAGGATTTTCAATATGACTCGTACCATGTCGATTTTCGTTCGTCAAGTGTATGTTGGATCCCATAGGCTTTAGATCTGATGTATAAACTTGACCAAATGATTCCAGATCCACCTGGAATGATCTATCAAAATCAGACTGCACATCCCCTTGAAACGCCAATAACCGCTCAAGACCTCGTCCAAGACTCTGTAGTAGAAACAACAATTGTTAACAAACATTATGGATCAACCCACATTTGCGACCACACACGCGCAGATCGAACATACTCCATACTCTCGTTTTCTTTTTATAGTTTTCCTATCATCAAATATTCTTACCGGATCCAGCTGTTTCAGTTCGGGCAATCCAACTTCAATACCCATCAACTTTTTGTACAGTGCCAGTGGTAGATGAAGATCCAGTATCACGCTATTATATACTGCTAGACCAAGCAATAGTCCTGCTAGTTTAAATTCTGACGTGGTATCTCGATCTTGAGCTGGGTTGGGAGCAAACCAGTAAAGTCGCGATTCTTCGTTCATGATGAACATTCCTATTTTCCATTATACCCACCACCATCCTATCGTGTCAGCAGCATATTTCTTGTTCCTTAAAACGCACATACAAGAACTCGTTTCTCTTTGATTCCTCTCTCATCCAAAGGAGCTGGCGCTTAGATTTCTCCACTTACCATATTTGGGATCAAATAATTCACGAATAACCAGTTGAAAAAATTCCTTTTGGACACCACCTTCATCCACTCCTTCTTCTCCAACAAACTGGACTCTTAACTGCTTTTTTAAATCATGTATAGTTTTTTGTTCAAGCTAGATAATTTGGGCTGATTAGAGCTATGTAAAGTCATAATAGAATAAGCGATGGTACGAATTATGTATGCTTTACCTGATGTAAAGTGTCCGATACGATATGATCTCGTCGAATCCCAAGGACGAGGTATGGACTATTGACGCCTGTATCTTGTCACAATATATTCAGCATATTGGTTACATTAATAAACAAGTGGAAAAACAAGAGAAAAACATACCTTCAAACAATGCACGGAAAAATGCGTCCTGTAATTCGTGTCGCATCTGAAACACGCTTTCTACCTTGAGAATATCGGCTTTCGCGGTTGGATTTAGGACGAATGGGTAATCGCAAAATGAAAACCTTTGTAGAAGGGTGAACCAACATCTATTAGCTTCCTTCAGCTGCCCACCGATTTTCGCTACATACAGTACACAACCGTGCTTACCCTTTGCGTTCCTTATAATTCGGAATGTCGATTTTAATCTCCAAGTTATCATTGATCGCATCATTATAGAATACGGTATACGATACAAATTTCCATTGCTCGTTCAACCGGTCTATGCACAAGTTTTATTCTCCATTTAATCCACGTAAAACCCGTATCAACTACAACTACTACTATGCAAACACATTCTTGACCGCACCGCATATACATATCCATGTCACCACTTACATAATATGGCAATACATTTGGTTGCGTTAATGACAAGCGAGTCTTGATATGGTGATACTTTTTTAACCTTGGGTGAGCGACCCACTAGTCGGATCCGTATAAGCTGATGAAATGTTTCGAGCAATGATGCAAACAAAGACTCGGATGTTTGCTCTGAGTCGGGTATGGGTTCAATAAGGTATTTTATAAGTAAGTCTTGGATGGTTTGTGACATGGAAGCAATCACTTCACATAAATCAGGAAGTAAAGTATCTTGCCACAGTGCATCTATAAATTGTGGACACTGTTGCACATACATGCATCAACGAGAATAAGTATCCACTTCAAAGGAGGTATCATGTGTGCTCTGACATATCTTCCTTTGTACCTGAAATAGGATCACTATGGAACTCAGAAGCTCCGGTGTGATTTCTTCGCTATTGCGGACGCTGTATCGCAGTGCTTCTTGAGCGATCCCTGCCAACTGAGCAGGTACTTCTTTAGGAAGCTGATTTTGGTTGTTGTTTTTTACAATTAGCTGTTTTGCGTTGACAACGATTTTTTAAAATATTATTGAGATATCGTACTTGAGTCTTAATAATATCGAACGTTTTACGAACTTGCTGCTTTTCAACCGGACATGAGAGACCGATTGGTTTCTTCTAAATAAATTGGTTGATTTTTAACAACAACAAAAGTGGGTCAAAAGTAAGTAAGCAAAGAGGGAGAGAGAACGAGCGCAAACCAAACTGGCTATTGCATACTTTATTACCTCAAGAAAACTACGGGCAAGAAAGTGAATGTTCCCAAAGGCCAAAAATAATCGATTAACAAGTAAGGACCAATCGTTTGCTTCTTCACATCGCGATCGCAAGCTTTGTACAACGTCGTAGTTTATATAGACTGGGAAAGAGAAAGCAGTGAGCAATTCAGCAAGATCAGATAGTGTCGTATTAGATGTTTAATTTGTACCAGGAGACTTATTGGTCATTCTATTATTGTCTTCCAAAAGTCTCAGTTTTGGCGAAGACAAGAGAGAAACTTAGTATAGGACTGATAGTGACACAAATCTGCAGTTTTAAGTCAGTTCGCCAACTGCTCGCCACAGCATAATGTACTACATATTTCAAGACTTCTAAACCGCTGTTGGCAGCTGCTTCCTGCATGATGAATACTACACTCTCCCCTCTCTCTTCTCCTCTTTCTCTCTTTTTTACTTTTTTACCTTCTCACATTTATGAGCCAATTTAGCTCTGACGATAATTTCTACGATGCTCCAGAAGCCTTGTCGCTCCATAACTCCCCATCGTCAAGGCGATCTCCCACATCGTCCAGTGTTGACAATCTACAAAAGGATCAGAACAATGGTAAAGGAAACCTACTTCTACTACACCCCTTACCTTCCCACTTCTTCCTACTATATTACAATATGGTCAAGGAAAACGATTTTATTATTACTATTCCTTTTCAGCCGCTCTTAACAAAAAGTACAATTTTGTAGATAGTCGTGAATCTTTATTAATGGTAGACACAACCAGCAGTTGTAAAAGGACCCACTCAGTATCGTCAGGCAAATCGCGCGGTTCTAGCACCAGATCGTCGCATGGTTCTAGTAACAGTAGTCGCGCGATTGATCCGGTATCGAGCGTTATTCTCAAACGCACAGCTGTGGCAGAAAACAAGACATTGGTGAACTATCGACGGCCAGAGCCTGTTCAGCCTGCTATGTACATTTACAAGGAGCCCAGTATTAACAACGAGCAACAGAGTCCGGTCACGGCTCGTAGCAGCAACAATGGCGTTTATGACGACTCGAATCAGCAATTTGGTGTAGGCAATAAAAAGAGTAAAATGTACACTTATAGCAATGGATTCTATATCGGCACATTTAAATAATTATTCGTGATGACGCGTTAAATAACCTATCATTTTCATTAAGAATGTAAGTGAGTGCTTAAAAATTACAATATTTTTATTCTAGAAAAGCAATCAAAGGAGGATTCCTTACACGTATGAGCCGCTTGGGAATTGGCAGCAACAAGCGCCGTGGGCGGAAAAGCAATGCCAATGAAGAAAATGCAACTGATAACACGTCACCGTCATCCTCGTGCTCAGACGACCAGTGTCGTCGCAGTGGTGATTCATATTACTCATTACTTTTCGGACATATGAGCACTTCGGGTTTATCGACAAACACCACACCTCCACACGGCGGTCGTTATGTCAAAGTATGTATATGAGCACTAAGTAAACATTTACTAGTAGCTTATAGGAACGATTTTTAACTTCTTTGTGATCACTTCAAGATAAAATCCGGATTGCGACATAACAGAGATTCTGGACGGATACTAGAAGCACAAACTTTGAGCGTAAAAAGAGGGGGACAAAAATATCAAAGCAAAGACGAATACTACCACCGTTATGAACGTATGCGAATGAGACCTAGGGACCTACTATCTCGTTCATTTTCAGCATCAAATGCTCTCAAGGCTAGCGGAATTATTGCTGCTCCCACGGACAAGAACAAGAGCAACATTGCTGACAACGACAACGACAAGAACGAAGTCGACGATCCTCCTGGAGCCGTTTGGGCAATGAAGTTTAGTCAAGACGGTCGCTACATGGCAGCGGGAGGACAAAAATGCGTCATCCTAGTCTGGAAAACCCGGGAAGATCGCTACACAGACAACGTCCATGCACCAGAAGGGCAGCACCGTTGCTCGGTATCCCAGCAGCCACGGCAGAATGACCTAGAAGACGAAGAGAATGGCAATTTAAGTCAACAAACGATTAAGGTCTTTGAGGATGAGCCTATACGCGCATTTGACGGCCATACGGCAGATATACTTGATATATGCTGGTCGAAGGTAATGACAAAAAACTAGGGAGAGAGTATTATTCATTGCGAGATTTTAAAGTAGTTTTTTCTTTTGCGCTAACCAAGTGCACCAAAATGTATCAATCTCTGCGATAATTTTATCAATAGAAACATTTTTTGATTTCAAGCTCGATGGATAACACCGTAATGTAAGTGAATTATTGTGATTCTTTTTGTGTGAATATTTTAAACTTTAAAAGTTAAAAAGAGATCAAAATATGTAAATAGGCTATGGCATATATCTGTACAGCATTGTCTTTGTGTGTTCAAGCATGTAGATTTTGTTACCAGTATCGCATTCCATCCATTTGTACGTAAATATATAAACAAGCGAAATGAAGTGCTCAGCGGACACTTTAAGGACATTATGATGGGTGGGAAAAGATGGTTTTCATAACTGTTTACTTTATTTTTTAGGACGACAGAATATTTCTATCTACGTCTGCCGACGGCAAAGTGCGCCTATGGAGTATTCCCGGGAAATCTGTATTACGGTGGAACAACCCTGCAGACAACAATATTCTTACAGCAGCAAGCTTTACTGCAAATGGCGATATGGTTTGTGCGGGCTCCTATGACGGTCAGGTGTTTCTTTATAACACGGATGACATGAAGCAGGTTTCCCAATTTTCGGTCAAAAAACCTAATGCCAGACGAGGGCATAAGATCACTGGGATCCAAGCAGTGCCAGGCTTGCCAAGTGACAATGATAAGATCCTGGTGACCAGCAATGATTCGCTCGTGCGGCTGTATAGTGTCCGTGATCACAGTTTGATCCACCAATATAAAGGTGCTGAAAACGAATCGACCCAAATTAAAGCCTCATTAAGGTAAGGTATTGAATGAATTGAGTTATTACCATAGACCATACTCATCAAACTCAATCTCTGTTTTAATAGCGATGATGGTCAGCTTATTATATGCGGCTCGGATAAAAACACAGTCCACATCTGGTCCACCAATCCATACAGTTCCCCATACCTGAACGATCGCAGCTCACAATCAGAAGCGTCGTTGAGCCATCTCATAACACAATTCCCGGACCCTTCATCAACAGCAACAAGAAATAATCATAAAAATATTAGTATCATCGATCCAGTACACGATAACAGCAGAAACAACATTGCCAGTCGAGCAAAAAGCAGTAGTCGTAATCGAAGCTTTTCAACATGGTTTCACCGCAATTCACACAGTGGGGGAGGATTAGGACCACGTATCGGTAGCACCAACTGCTATTTCACAGCACACCATGGCATAGTGGCGTGTGCCATTTTTGCGCCCACAAAAACACGACAGCAACTCGCAGCATCTGGTGAAGATATCATCTACAACCATACACATGTTCCTTATATCCATCGCAACTATAAAGAGAACGACAACAGCATCGTTCGTGATGACAACGGCTACGATGGTAGCGATGCTGTGTCAGACGCCTACACCTACAACAACAATGACAGTAGTAGCAATCCACAACAAAGCCGTGTCAATGCTTCCAGTTTCCTACGGATCTCTCGTTCAATGTTACCGCTTGAAGAATGCGACAAGCAAGAGATAGAAGCCAGGCTAGAGCATACATACTCAGAAGGACAGATTATTGTGACAACTGATGAAAAGGGGTACATCAAGGTTTGGCGTATCGATTCAGGCATATATGACTCGAGCGAAGCAACCAATAGTCAGATTGATAAGAGCAACAGCAACGGCAATAGCAAACGGGTATCTTCATTTTCTACCTTTGGCGGTATTAGAACAGGATCTGCCTTTAACTGCAGTAGCAGCAATAACACAGATCAACGTTCTCGGCTTTCCATTGCACCTAGATTCAATAAAAAATAGCAAAACATGATACTGTAGTAGCCTTTTTCCTTTATTTTTTTTTTCAAGTTAAGAGTGTAATATTATACAAAAAATATATATTTGTGCGAGAAGAGAGAAAATTTATAATGATACAAGTAAAAAAAATACATATTATGTGAGTGGGGGGATTGTTGTTGTGAATGTGAGGAACTTTTTTTTAAAAGAATACTTAAAAAAATAAAGAAATAGCATGCAAAGGGAAGGAATATTTATGAAAGGAAGAGGTAAATATGGATAGATAAAACATAAAAGATTTAAACTTATTGGCCCTTGGCTTCTCGGATTTCACGAGCCTTCTTTTCTGGGTCGGCTATGGCGTACCAAATAATGGTGCCGATACCAATAAGAGCAGCAATAATACATGCTGCCATAGCACCCTTGCCTTTGGCAGTAAACCCATCATAAATAAGGTAGATACCATTAGGAGCACCGGAAAGATCCAAGCCGTCCTTGCCAGCGCCGTTTCCAGTGGTAGAGTAACCGCCAGCTTCACACATATCTTGGAATGCCTGTGGAAGGGTCAATCGTTGCTGGGCTACATCGGGTGCTTCAATCATGACGGCAGCCAAACCAGACTCCAAATGCCATTCAATGTGACAGTGGAAAAACTGTATATAAAGAAAAAGAGAACATCCGATAAATAAACTTTTTTTTCAAAGAGCTTATGTAATAGCTATCCTAAAAAGAGAAAACACGGTATTTCTTACCCAAGCGCCAGGGTTGTCGGCACGGAAACGGATGATTGTATAGCTCTCTGCAGGAACTTGAACTGTATCACGTTGAAGGGGGTTATCCAAAACCCAATCGACCTTGGAGCGATCACCATCAAATACACCGTCGCCACGTGCAACAAGTTGGAAAACGTGACCATGCAAATGGACTATATAGTAGAAAAATGGTACCAATAATAATTAAGTAAATCAAAATAATAGATCACTTATTTTTGTCATACAAAAGACAATGATATATGTACTTACAAGGATGAGCACCTGCATCTAGGTTATTAAGGACAATTTCAACCATATCCAAGTGGTTTAAAATAATTGCCTGTGACTGAGGGCCATAAACGCTTTTCTCGAGAGAATGGTTACCCTGGAATAGCATGGTGTTCAGCGAAGGAGTCTTTGGAGCCAAGTACGGGACCTCGTTGAACATACCGCGGTTGATACCGTCGGTGGTGACTTGGAAATCAATGGTAAGGTTCACCTGGTGATCGGGTTCGACAGCAGCGGCAGGGACAAGGGTGTTCATTAGAAGATCATCAAACTCAGAGGCCATGCCAAGATCATCGCTTGAAGAAAAGTTGCTATGGCTTTGGTCGTAGTATACAGGGGCGGCAATGTCTTAGCACAAAAAAAAGTAACCAAATGCGTGAGAATTCCTGTTTTTCTATGATCGACGAGTGAAGTTCTGCTGTACTTACTGTATTCAAGATCTTCTGGGAGGACGTCAAACATATCGGTATCCATATCAGCACGGAAATAGTAATTGGTATCGGTCGAGTTCTTTGCAGTGACGAGAACGGAGACACGTTGGGCAGCAGTGACATAGACACTCTTTTGTGTTTTTCGTACAGTGTCCACCTAGACGGAAGGAATAGTCAAATGACACAAGTTTCAATAAGTATTTTAAAAAGTGTATGTAAGAGCAATTTAAGTTATTAAATATTAATATATACTTACCCCATCAATTTCAATGACATCAAGATCGTGGCCATCAATACTAACGTAGAACATGGAGAAGCCAGACATATTGATGAGACGAAGACGATAGGTTTTTCCAGGAACAAAGTTAAAGCTTGCATCAGCACTGTCCATAATCACACCCGATTGGGGCACAGGTTCTGCGCCAGTAGGATTATACTGGTTCAAAAAGACATCAAGATTATCTGCACTTTGATCATGGTACCAATCTATATGGCAGAAAAGTATACAGAATGAATCACATGTGTGTAAGTTGCAATAAGAAATCTCAAACGATCAAAGTGAATATGGATAACAATATGTGGTCTGCAGCTTTCTTACCATATAATGGGACCACGATATCTTCATCATAATCGTAGGCTTCAGGGCTGTTATGCAAAATAAATGGAGTTCGGAGACCATCCATGTATTGACCCTTTATGTACAATATAATATCGAAAAGTTGTTAGTCTTTTTGCTATTTGATGCATACAGAAGATGCTACGCTTCTGATTTGTCTAGTAATTTTTTTCGTTGTTACCATGTAATGACCGTGGATCCAGTAAGAGCCGGTTTGGGTAATGTTAAATTCGTAAGTGAGATCCCCTCCTGCAGGAATTGGACTATAACACATACAATATGATAACGAAATCAGCGGTTGATTATTATAAGCTTACAAAAAAAAATTCCCATCGTGTTAATAATGATCTTTACCATTGAGTAACCATAGAAGGACCGTCCATCCAGCCGGTGCCATTTTGAAACATGCCGTGAGCATGGAGAGCAGTAGGTTCATCCAAGCCGTTGTGTGTGTGGATCCGCAAAGTATCATTGATAGTGACCTCAACGACCGGTGGTCTAATGATTTTTTTAGTTGGCAATAAAAGAGAAGCACGTTATTAGAATTGTTGTTACTATCATGTCGAACATGGAGCTCATTGATAAAAACAGCAGATTGCATTCCATTCCTTCCTCTATTAGACAAATAAATATATACTTACGGCCAGGTACCATTGACACCAATGACGCGACGCTCCTTGAGGCCATCAGGATTGGCAGTGGTATAAGTGATGTTCCACCAGTGCTCAACGATAGCTGCGTTAGCTACAGTTGCAGAAAAAGCAGCAAGTACCAAAGGCACAGCAGTAGATAGGAAAGATCGCATAGTATCAAGTCGAAGAGAAACCTGAGATGCAAAATGTGACAATCGATACGAAGAAAAATAAAAAGACAGTTCTTGACGGGTTGCTTTTTATCTCAGTCGGGCAAAGATTAACCCACCCAACTTTTTAGCTTAAAGTAAGAAATTTTTCTTTAAAAGGGTGTTTATTATCAGATCCTGCGGAAGCAGGTGTGTGCGACCTATGATCTGTGGAACACAAGCAACCTTGCATCTGATAAACTAAAATCGAGCCTTGGTAACAATCTGACTTGTACCTGTGTTACCTCAAGAAAAAAAATCGAAAGGGCTTTCCCGTTTACCATGGTTACCGGAGTATATGATCATCACCATAGCAAACGGGTGCTGAGGTTCTATGCATTTGTTGTCTTTACTGTTCTGTTCGATCTGATAAAGTCGAGTGCATGGGTAATGGAACCCGCTGATCTCTTGCTCTATTGTTACGCGCTCTACGATACTTTGCAGGATTTTTTTCGAAGTGTGTTTTCGCCACCGACACCTTTTTCTTGTCTTTTTATTTTATTTTTCTTCTGATCTTCAATCTTCCTTTCTTCCCTTCTCTATCTCTTGTCTTCCCCCTCGGAAAAGCAATCACTACATACTCCCTCCCGTCTGTTTGACAAGAGCTCACATTCGAACCGCTGCCATGGGAAATTCCGACTATTTTGATGTGCCAGTTTTTTTCATCGTTTTTCGCGAAACAACAGAAGCAGCCATTATTGTTTCTGTCCTGTTGTCATTTTTGACAAAAGTCTTTGACAAAGGGACACCCGTTTACAAGAGGCTGCGAAATCAAGTATGGATCGGTAGTGCCCTCGGTCTGTTTATCTGTCTTTGCATTGGTGCTGCTTTTATTGCTGTCTGGTACACTGTGCTGAACGATATCTGGGGCAACTCTGAAGACATCTGGGAAGGTGTATTCTCCCTAATCGCTACTATTATGATTACTGCTATGGGTCTCGCTATGCTCAAGACGGAGCGCATGCAAGAAAAGTGGAAATTCAAGCTCGCCAAAGCCATGGAAGCTGGTGCTGTTACTGGAAAGAAGGTCACCTGGAAGATTCGTCTGCAACGCTACTCCTTCTTCTTGTTACCATTTATCACTGTGCTTCGCGAAGGCCTTGAAGCAGTTGTCTTTATCGGCGGTGTAAGTTTCTCATTTTCTTAAGTGGTTCAAAGTCATTCATGATATTTAGAGAACACAAATAACTCACTTTTGGCTTCGTTTTGCAGGTCTCGCTCAATGTTACAGCTAAATCGATTCCTATCGCTGCCATCATGGGCTTTATTTGCGGCTGCTTAGTCGGTTTTATCATTTACCGTGGTGGTTCGATGTTGCACTTGCGCTACTTCTTCATTGCCTCAACCATTATCTTGTACCTTGTTGCTGCCGGTTTGATGTCCAAGGCAGTTGGTTACTTTGAGCAATACTCATGGAATCAAGTAATTGGTGGTGAATCTGCTGAAGAAGGTGGCGCCGTTATTGCTTACAAGGTGACCACCGCTGTTTGGCACGTCTCTTGGGGTGACCCAGAACTTAACGTTGACACCAACGGTGGCTGGTACGCACTCTTTTTACTATAAAAATGGATCAGCATTATGCAGCGATGTTTTACTAAATCACTGGATCTATTTTTTGACATAACTGCATGTTAGGCAAATCTTTAACGCTATCCTTGGCTGGAACAGCACTGCTACCATTGGTTCGATCATTAGTTACTGCTTGTATTGGCTTCTAGTCGCTGCTGCTTTGGTCTACATGTTCATCAAGGAACGCCGTGACGCTATCGCCAAGGCCGAGCGTGGAGAATTCGAAGATGCAGGTGATATTGCTCTTGAAAATGCTAAAAATTTCATCAATGATGATGGTCAAATCGTCGGCAAAGAAGTAGTAGAAGATGAAGAACGCATCGCTACTGGATCAGCTGGCGATGAGAAAGTTCGCCCCGCTTCTATCAAGGCTTAGATGTAAATCATGACAAGAAATGATCCAATCGCATATATACATAAAAACGTTTTTGTAATTATTTACTTTCTTTTAAATGCACCTGTCCCTCTATCGTTGTTATCCCTCCCCACTCGTTACCACCGCTATTTTTTTCCGTTGTTATATATTCGTCTATCATTCCCTCTCGCTTCACTCTATTGCATTATTTCAAATAGTACTAAATTCTATTGCTCTTCTTTTGTCATATATTACGATGGAATGGTAGTTGTATTGTGCTAAGTAATAAAACAAATCTACACTTATTCTAACGCAAAAACTGCTTCATAAGTAGTCTGTTGTATACTGAGAACTAAATTGAGCAAATTCGCCTTAAAAGGTCAATTTGTTTTGTGTAGCATAAGATATGGGGTGGAAAATAAAAGGCTGCTCCGTGTCAATCCGAAAGTCATTTCCCCCAACGTTACACCCAGAGTGGCGATCAGCCGGAGCGAGGAGATCTGAAGATCCGACAATGCTTTGTACAAGCGGAGTGTGAGTCATATATTGTAAATAGCATAGACCTAGCGAATTCATTCTTCCAAAAGGTTACAAGGAAAAGAAACTGTATGGGATTCACGATGCTCACGTTATCAGATGAAAAGAATGATCAAAGTCGGAGTGTGAGATGGGGCAAGTTTTTAATTCTTTGCCGAGTGATTTAGGCCAAACCATCGTCAATTAATTTAGGACGGAGATGACCTTTTGGTGGTTCAACTGGAATTTTACCCCTCTTCTTGATTTCACGTGAGATTAAATTAAACATCGATATATACACGCATCTCCTACATATCAGCCTTTATTCAACAATTAAGAACAAGCAGGGGTACGTACTTATTGAAGCTTTTTAGTAAAACATCATTTTCTTCTCGTATTTTAAAAAAAAAACCAGGGTGTATTTTGTTCGATCTACATCAAAGAGGAAAAGGACATCGCTTTCCTTCTCCGTCATCTTGTGCTCGGGTATACAATGTACTTCACGTAAAATGAAAATGACGGTCTTCCAGGGGTCCAGGTGCGGGACCAGGTATCTGTCGTTATTCTCGAGAAGCTTGTGCCACCTTGACGTATTGTGATCTTGTCCTTGATCTACTACTATTGCTGCTACTACTAGTCAACTAACACTATACTATAGTAGCACTCGATATATCTGAAAGATAGACCTGGGCATTGCTGTCGTCTTAAGTAAAAGCCTTAGACAGCTTCCAAGCATACAACAATTAGAAATATCTTCATTGTGATGCAAAAACGAGACTGCTAATGATGACAATGGTGACACATAAAATAACTGCAGTATTGTAGCGGAGATCTTTGCCTTGACCGTTTTTGCTATGATGAGACATCGGCTATTAGTAGGATGCTGACGCGCAAAGGAAAAGTTTAGCCGCAGTACAACGTAGCTACAGTTCAGGCGCAGCGGTACTGGTGATAAGAGAACGTCATGCTATCCTTCTGGCTCACATTAAAACATAATAGAAAAGGATTTATCAGCAGCTAGCTATCAAATGCGTGTATATGGAATATGTGTAAAATGTAGCCACTAAATGCTAATGAATCCTTTACACTAGCAACGCGCCCAGAATAGTAATAATAAGTGTCGCCAACACAGCCGCGAATCTTTGTGGTGTGATACACAAACATACAGAAAGATTCTAGAATATACGGAAACAAATGATTACCCGTAATACCGTTTTATCAAATCACGCCATGACAAGTACTGAACCAGTACTTATTCGGTATGCATTTTACGCAGTTTGGGCGATTTAACACATTTTAGTATTAGACAAGGCTCCTCCTGTTTGTTACAGTTCAGAATAGTCCCCCCGGTTGGCTTTTATTTCCTTATTTCCCAAACCGATGCTCCGTTCTCGCCAAGAGCAACAAGCAAGTACCTTTCACGAATCTGGCGGCGCTTTCCATACCAAAAAATAACAGGTATTAACCCTGGAAAGTCAGGGCAACCTTTATTACACGAACCTCCCATTTTACTGGATCTTGTCTTCCAAGCTAGCCATTATCGTCAATGTAGAGTTTATAGAACAGATACACAGAAAACCTTTTGCTTCTACTACTACTATCCCAACTAATACATATATGTGGAGCATTGAGGGATTAGAAATACCAATGTTTATGAAGACTGCTTTTTAAAGATACAAATACGCTAAAATATTCAAGCAGTATACATAAGTAAGATAATAGGCAAAAAAAGGTTGCCACAGCAGCTACAACGTCGTTAAGAGTCTCCTCGTCCGTGAGAATACAGGTTGATTCCGCATTTGCGACATCGCCGAATTGCCCTCAGCAAGACTCGGTAGCTCTTCGTATTCACGTATTAAGCAACAACATCTTCCTCATATGCCTCACCAAGTCGTTTCAGAATAGGAAAGCTTATTGCATGTTCGCCATCTGAGTTCGAGGATTCAAATGATGATTAGGACCGCTCTGTATCAGTCCATGTAGTCTTTTGTCATTTTTTTCTATAAGGAATCTAAATCATAGAGAACGAACAATTTACATCCTTTATGTAACGTAAATGTATGATACTTTAAGTTCAAACATCAATGTACAGTAAGGACGATTGGGCTTGTACTGAGAAAAAATTATGTTCAACTACTTGTATCGTAGTCCCTGCTTTTATATGTGTATCGCAAGAGTAGCAGCAACAACAACCAGCACCTCATGAACTCTGGGTAAGCTCTTACATTTATCAACCCAGCAGCATCCGTGACATCGTGACTTTGAACATTCCTGCTGCTACCGCACAACACCATCAACAAATCCGAGTCCATCAACATGTGGTCGATAACGCAATTAAACAATACCGTCCTACAACTGTTGTCGAAAATAGTTATGCTACAGTTGCTTCACCCAAGGCGAGATCGGTTTCGATGAATGAGGGCGGACGTAGAGGAGCAGGTGGTGCATAAGCAGCTCCATCACCACGGTTACGACCATCCACTAGTATAAATTGAGTCTCCATTGCACAGCAACAATAGCAACATCGAAAGCATCATCATTATCAATGATAAAAATGCGATCAACTCTAATGCATCATTTGTATATTCCCCCCTCAAAGAAGATATTTCATCATCATCACCATCATCATCACATATGCAAATAGCACTAAATTATACACAACTTGAGCATTCCGTCCGAGCTATGTATGTAATAGGCTTGTGTGTGTTGTGGGGGCGGGAAGGTTGAGGTGAAAGAATGAAGCCCGTGATCCGTCCGCCCCACCAGTAGTTGATATTATTATTTTCGTTTAATATCTGTTAAGTCTAGATTTTCTTATTTCATGCCACCCAATCTGCTACACAGATAATATTATTACCAAAGTGGCACATAGTTTCGATACATTATGAGAAGGTATCATAGATGGATATGTGTTTTGGGCTGTTGCAACTCACAATAGCATCATGCCATTGCAGCACAACTTATAGTCGTCGAACTCAGTATTAACAATACGTATGATAGCAGAGAAGTGACAAATGCATAGTGCTGCTTTGTAACAAATAAGCATTTCGAATGAGTTCTTTTCTTGTTTGGAGAGATAATGTCGATACAGTGGCGAGGGAGGGAGGGAGGGAGGGAGGGAGGAAGGGAGGCGTATTTACAGATTCCAATTGACAACTTATGATGAGCAGATTTATGACAGACCGGGAATAAAGCTTTTCACACCCGACCGACCAAGCTCTCGTTTGATATCTCCTTCTGCTGTGCCCCCGATTGATCCACTACCATTCTGCGTCGTTTTAAAGGTCTTTCGTCATTTTCACAGATCCAGCGATCAATATCCTCCTCATCTTGCTGTCGTTGTTTAGAAGTCATATATTCTTCCTCTTCGTCGTCTTTTGAGCTTTCGCTTTCCGCATCGCTGTCCCGAGATTCCTGAGCTGTCGTAACTAGTGTTGTTAGAAAATTCCATATGCCTGATATACCTCCTCCATTAACCATGTTGGTCGTGGGTGGATAATCAGAGGGTAGCGGTAATGGTCGTGATATTGCTACTGCTGACGGAAAACCTGCTGATGTCAAAGGAGTGGTAATCGGTAGTGCAGTATTGTCTAGCGGCAACACTTGTCGTATTTTTGTGGCTGCAACATTTACGTCTTTGCGATTTTCTTCTTTGGTATAAAGACGTGCTCTAACCTGCATTTGCATAAACTAGAAATTTAATTATCCGTTCAACCACCGAAGTAAAAGATCAAATATTTACCGGCAATTCCTTGCTTTTAAGTTGCATTTCTATCGTATCGATGTACGGCTTCAGTATATCTTTGTATTTTTCGAAAATGCCAGTCAATTTTATACCTCCATTGACAACTACAAGATAATGGGATTTGTTTAGGGGGAGAACATTATAACCGGCCCTTCTTTCTTTAACAAGTATTGTGAAGCCTCCACCTCGTCATAGATTTTCTGATGCGTACATTTAAAAAGAGTTTTTTCGCTGAGAGCAAGCACAAGAGCCTTATCCTTCGGGCACGCTTTAAGAGCATCGATAACGGCCTATACAAGGTAGGTCGTTTATTTAATTTACGTCCGACAGTCGTTCGGATATACAAAGACTGTTGATTGGCGTTTGTAACACAATGTATTCTGAATGATCAACACGCACACGCGCACACGAACACACAGCAACATAACGTAGCTTTGTCCAATGAAACTTACCAGTAGATGGAAGATGGCACCCTCGGTGTATGGGCCACTGTAGTGTCTGGAAAAACTCGGAAGCACATCCTTCGTCCAAAGCACCGAGTACGAGCCTCGTTGAAAGCCGTTGCTGGGCGTGTCTCTTCCACTTTGCAGGACAACCTCATAAATGTTCTGTTCACACCCCAAGTTAAACCCACTATTAAGCAAAATTCGACAATGAAGAAGAATAAAAAAATACAAACCTCGGTCGAATCCGTCTTCATTTTCTCTCTTAACACACCTCTTATTTCATTGTAGATTTGCAATTTGTGCTTTTTCAGCTTTCGCTGCCGGTTTTTCGCTTCACTCTTTTTCCCTTTTGCCATTTGCCTTTGCTACTTATTCTATTTGCATACGTGTCAAAACGGGCACACACACGCAATGCAACGTTAGATCGAAAGTCAGATAAATGCATGCTGCCCAGTATTATCCTTGTTTAATCAAAAAGAGAAAGAGAGGTGCACTTGCCTGTATCGTTTTATATTTGACAAAGTTGTTGTGTGGGGAGTGAAAGTTGTTGCAGTCAAAACGCCCGCAGTCGAACTTTAGTCTATAGGCAGGTGTCCGCAGTTTGCACCAATGATTCGGGACTTCAATGCACTGCACAACCGGAAAAGAAGAAGGTACCTTATTCCTGGGAATTGGAGTTCGAAAAACTGAGCAGCAACCCCCAAGTTTAATGCATGAGCATAATAGTGGCATCCCCCTAAAAACCAAAGCTCGTATCAATTTAGCATGGATCTCACTGCACGTGTAAAGCATATACTTTCCAAAAGAGAAAAACATAAGAGACTTAACTTACTTTTGCCGTATTGAATTGAAAGCTGAAAGTAATTTCAAAGATGGGGGCGATCTCACTGTGTGTGCAAAATCGTTAAATTACGAGGATCAGACAATCTATGGATTAGCGTTTAAAAGAAAGGCCGTGGGCGTTAGTCCATAAGCACGAGTATTTTACGTTGTGTTCCGATGTGTTGCAGGTGGGGGTTTTCTGAGAAGAGGGAAATAACCTGGTATATGCGAATCGATCCAGTAAAGCCGTGAATATGCACAGGCACAGCAAAAAGAAAGAGATGATGTATACATGCATCTCAGCATAAGCAAAGTAGCATAGTACTCTTGATAACAGAAATACGAAGGTCGAAGAGTATGGATTCTTTTGCGTAAAGAGATGGTGGTGCGTAATAATATGAGCTCAATACAACGTATATATCACTCCAATCCCGGCGAACGGGATCTCTGTTTCATTCATGCAATTTTTCACTTGGCCAATGGCCCAGTTTTTTCCGCCAACGGCAGTGAAACTTGACACATTTAAGATTAGTACCGAAGGAGCGAAGATAGCAGAGGGGACATGTGTAACGGATGTTAAACTCCTACATGTAAAAATTTGGTCTACGCAAGCAGCTCTGAAGCTTTATTATGATACTATATCAAACTAAAAAATAGCCGATGTCAGCAATGTGTCAATCAATAAACGCAGCACTACTCTTTCTGTTACGTTTTTGTATCTCTTCAGAAGCTGACAATGGCAAATATCTTCATGATATGTGGATATATTTACTACATTAATCTTGTTATGATATCATAAGTTGCTCTTGCTGATCGCTGTTGTGTGTAAAGAAAAAGAAACAAAATGATGAATAGCTAAATAACAATGATAATTTTGTCTTTTGATTAAATTGATGGATGTTCTGGTGTTTCTTTTTGGATATATGTGTGTGTGTGTGGGGAGAGTTGATACGTGTGTTGGATATGTGTGTTTGTGTGTAGGAGGCAATATAATATTAATAGTATATGCAAAGAGGATGGGATATAACAAAGAAGAGAAGAGAAAGGGTAAGGTTTCCTATTTTAGTACTGCTACGATAGTACTACTGCGTCATGAAAAAGATGGTGATGATTGCGTGGATGCTGGTAATTGTGAGGTACACCTGGTGGTGTAGATGCTTCTGGGATGGTAACGTAAGTGCATTTGGGTTTCGGAGGTGGCATGAGTGCCTTCGATATTATTATAAAAGCAACAAAACAACACAGATTGTGTAAGAGAGAGAGAAGACTTGCTGTTGGAAGATGTGATATATTTTGAGAAAAAGTCAAATACATACCAAGAAGCAGACTTCGAGATCTTCCTTGTTCACCAGGCCCCATTTGTTATTGTCTTCTTCGACCGCAAGTTGATAGGCTAGGGCTGCATTTCGAGGCAAGCCCCGTGCTGAGGGATCGTTTATACTGTTTCGTTGCTGTTGTTGGTTTTGCAAACAAATATCACGAATCAACCGTTCGGCCTCTTGCATTCTGTTTTCCCAAGCGGACGATGTCTTGAAATGTGTAAAGTCAATATCCCGGCCACGGAAGAGTGGGCGACGTCGCGAATGGTGATGCTGTTGCTGTTTTTCGTTGAAACACGTTATCGCTACCGGCGGTTGTGCTGATGTTGTGTTCCAAAAGAGCTCATAGGCCATGGTGGAGATAGTGTTCACGATAATTGAGGTAAGAGACTAACATCCTTTGGTTGGTCGCTCGTCACGCGCTTCTTCTTGTTCTTGTTCCTCCTGTGCTACCTGGTTCCGCTGGTGCGGGTCATAGCAGAGACCGGAAATTTGTCGCTTCATGGCGCCAAGGATGCCGAACAGTCCCATCAGACCACTAGGCCGACGAATAGGTCGTGCTTCGACCGTTGTCGCCGTCGCCGTCGTATCATTATCACTGGTCGCTTGCTGTTGGTTCTGAGCCTTGCCGCCGGTGGTCACAAAAGCCATGCCAAGGAAATAATTCCACATTTTTTGTGCTGGTATTTTTTTTCCAAGAAGTTGTATACGAAGAGATATATGGTTACAGGTGTGCGTAATGTGTTGCTCTTTTTCTGAAAAGCACTGTTCGGGTATTGCGATCAAGAGGTAGTAGGGGTAGTAGTAGTGGTATTAGAGCAGACAAGGTGAAGAATAAAAATTCTTTGTTTTTATTTTAGGGAAAAACGCACAGCTTTGATTGATGAAAAAGTCCCATCTCTGTATTCTCTCACGACCCCGATTCTCCCAAACAGCGGCAAACCCATGTATTGCCTCAAACAGAGTTGATAAAATGCTTTCCTTCCTCCTGCCCACCATAGCCTCCTCACTACTGCCTTCTTTTGTGTACGTACGGTTCTAATACGACTTCTTATTCGCTCTATGTCCTCTTGGGCTGTATCGCGTAGTAATAACAGTCATACCCACCTGTTTCCTTGGTTCAGACGTGTACGCAGCCCGGGTTGAGAATGAGCAACATTCCTAAGCTGTAACCTGCTACAGGCTTGTAAGTCCGTAGAAACATCATATCATTGTTGTGCTCTTGTTACTGTCTGTCGCAGTAACATTCACTCTATCACCCACCGCATGACTTGAATGCTATGCTGGTAGTCGTATATCACTCATTATAAGTCTTGCCTGGTTATTGTTTTGGATGAGTACATAATCTCAAACACACATCGTAGAAGCTTTCAAAGCGTCATACAGATGTAAATCTTTCACTCTATCACCAAATGCTATGCCGGTAGTCGTATATCACTCATTGTGAGCCTTGCCTGGTTATCGTAATGTCAAATACACATCGCAGAAGCTTTTGAAGCGTCATACAGATGTATATCTTTCATTGTTCTGTCGTGATTTGCATGTGCTCTTCCAGCGATAAATCATTCTTTTCAGTTCAATAATACATACGCCCCGGTGATGCAACGGAGAGACATGAGGATGTGGATTTGAAACACCCTGCTGCTACTACTACTACTACTACTGCTACCTACTACAATGACAATAATGATGGTGGACGCCTGTACAATATCACTACTACTAAAACGCCTACTATTGTATATTACACGATAATCCAATTCTTCCTTTGCTTCTAGCTTATATCATCTCGCTCTCTCTCGCTCATCCTGCGATCACCTTAATCGTTCCTCAGTTGCTTTTGATCTTTTTTTTAAATTCATTTTCCTAATGGGTTTCTTATTGTCTTACTATCCCTCTTTGTAGCATAACCATTTAAGCATCGATAGTTTCGCACGGCAAGGAAGCGACCGTATGCCTTATGGCGCTGATCAGTCCATCCAGCCTCCGATAAATAAAACATGCAAAGGAGAATGTTTACATCAAAATTTGTATTATAAAGAATGACATGTATATTAGATGCTTTAAGCAATATTTATGGGACCTCTCTACGGAAATAAACTTATACTAGAATGAAAGATAAATAGACACGAGATGGTGTTTATTAGCGCTGTGCGAGGAGGATGAATAATAAGCCTACCTTTAGAAACTTTATTTTTGTTTGGGAATTGATACGGGCACGACAAGTTATTTCCTTATATGTGCGGGGCACGACAAGCTCTAATAATAAATATGCTATGTTACACAGAGCAGCATAATAGCTGACACTCTTGTGTTAATTACAGCAGATGGGTGGTGTCGTGCCCGTAAGAAGCATTGATCTCTTGTGCTTATTTATAAGTCTTCTGTTCAAATTTGCTCATAGATCACAGCCAGATTTTGAATTCTGCAGTACAGTGTAAAATTACTTGATATAGGATATTCCATACTATTTCTAAATAGAATATGAAAAGTTTCATAGATATTTGCCCAGCAAACGTCTGTACTATATAAATATGTACGTCAAGAAGAAGTATGTTATCAAACTGACAGCTGCATTCGGTATAACTTAAAACCATTGAGAGACAAAGGAAATCTATGTAGAGGAAAATTAGAGAAGATATATATGATGGTTTAAAATGTAAAAAAGAGAGAAACCTTTCTATGTAGCGCTGTGAATGTGTGAAATATTAAGTATAGTAGAGGCGCTCTTGTACGAAAACGTGCTAAAGAATAAAACAAGGCAAGTTTCTACTTATACGTCTTCAAAATTTCCTCCTTACGGGCACGACGCGTCCCACCTACATATGTCATCGAATTGACTTCTTACATAATACATACGCGCTGTGCTTCTTACGGGCACGACACCACCCATCTGCTATAATTAACACAAGAGTGTCAGCTATTATGCTGCTCTGTGTAACATAGCATATTTATTATAGAGCTTGTCGTGCCCCGAACATATAAGGAAATAACTTGTCGTGCCCGTATCAATTCCCTTTTTGTTTTGGCTCGAGTGACAGAGATTTCACGATGCTATCAACAGCACATAAGGAATAAGTGCATCAAGCGATGTGCTGCTCTAAGATTAATACTCGATCTCCAAGCGTTAAAATGGTGTATTGAGCGTAAGTTCTGTGATAGAAGAGGTCCAATCTATATGCGATGCCAACGAAGCGGAATCCATGCCCGGAAACAAAGCGAGAAATTCTCCTTTGCAAGCTGTCAACTGGCTTTCTTTCGCCTCCGCCATACATTTTTACCACTTATGGAAGCACCATCACCGTCGAGCGAAGAACGAACGCAACAGCCTCTTGCTGCTGCTGCTGCTGCTACTGCTACCCCTAGTATAACTACTGTTGAAAAAACCGGTCCTGCCAAGGAAGAAAATGCCGAGGTTGGACAGAAGCGCAAAGCGACAGCTGATTCTGACGATCCAGAGCAACAGGTCCAAGATCAAGAAAAAGAGGAACCACAGCAGCAGCAACAGGAACAGGAACAACCAAACCCCAAACAACAACGAATCAAGCGCCCCAAAGGTCGATCGGAAAAAGATTTTCGAGAAAAGAATGACATTAGCAATGCTGAATATATTGTTGAAGATGGTAAATACACATGTGGTTTATTTTTGTGCGTTTTGTAGAGTTACTAAACTTGCTTTTTGTATCCAGGACTACGCAGGGTCAAACCTTATTTTTTCGAGTACAAAGCATATGCCAAAGGACGATGGATGCAACGATCGCTTATTAATGTATTCACAGAAGAGTTCCAAGATCGCAATGAAAAGTATTATGTGAGTATTCGAAAAAGAAGGTTTCTGAATTAGAAAGCAACTGACAACAGTTAATCCATTGTTTAGCGACATGCCATGGAGTTGGGACTTATAACTATTAATGGAGAAACTGTGGGTCCCGACCATATTGTCAAGAACAACGACATTCTAGGACACAAGATTCATCGCCATGAGCCGGTCGTCACTGGCAAACCTATCGAGATCGTGCATCGATCGAACGATCTGATTGTGATTAACAAGCCAGGAGGTATACCCATTCATCCAGCTGGCCGGTACAGACATAATACGGTGATTCATGTGATGCGTAAAACGCTTGGAATAGAGAGGTTATTTCGTAAGTGTGCTGATAAAAAGAGACTATACATTGTGCAAAAGATACAGAGAAAAAAGGGGGCTTTGTCTATCCAGGCATTAATGCATTACTGCAATTGGCCCAATTTAGCTGCCAATAGACTGGATCGACCGACGTCTGGATTGATGCTTGTTGGACTGAATTCGGAAAAGGCAAGACAGTTAGAAGCCGAAATGATAAGTGGGCAAATCCAAAAGGAATATGTGTGTCGAGTCGTAGGCGAGTTTCCACAGTAAGTTCCTCAACGCATGGCATGCTTAAACCCGTAAGTCACCCAAACTTTTAACATGATTATCACCATCTATATTTTTCAGAGAAGAAATTGTATGCGAAGAACCGTTAAAAACAATCTCGTACAAACTCTCGCTCAATTATGTCCATGGAGACGGCAAAGCATCCAAAACGATTTTTAAACGGCTAAGCTATAATGGCAAAACGAGCGTCGTTTGGTGTCGGCCGAGAACAGGACGTACGCATCAAATACGAGTCCATCTGCGTTACCTTGGATATCCGATTGCAAATGACCCGATTTATGGCAACGGACTGCCCTGGTCTGACTTGATACAAAAGGGACAGACTTTGGACGAAGAAGGTGCAGAAAAGGTGGTTCAAAAGGTCATTGAAGTGGCGACGTTTCCGGAAGGCATGTGGGAGGATACGGAGGACAAGGATGGTGTCAAGCAAATTAAGCCACGGTGTGACGAATGCGGGTTGGTTTTGACCGAGGATCCTTCGTTAAAAGAACTGTGCATTTGGTTGCATGCATGGAAATATTCTGGGCCTAGTTGGGCCTATGAAACTGCGTTACCTGACTGGGCAGATGCGTCTTTTACAGAAGAAGGGGAGAGCAAATGACGATAGAGTTTTTCTTTATGTTTGGCAATCACCATGTAATATAAACTTTTTTTTTTTTGGTGAAATACTTTTTGCATTCTCTGCCGGTAATTTTTTTATGCGCTCGCATGGAACCAATGGTTGTGTGCTGTTTTTGTTTAGGTAAAAAAACAAGGAAGAAATGAAAGAAAAAGAAAATTACTACTACTACGAAGACGGCTACTTTGTGGGAGTGGGGGCAACAGTAGAGAGAGAGAGAGAGAGAGAGAGAGAGACGGGATGTGTGTGTGTATGTGCGATGTTTGAGGATGGGTTGCTCGACTATTATGACACAGTGAGTTGTTCTGTTTCGGATATCAGTTCTGCGACGGCGCTATCCTTTTCAGTCATGGCTTTGTTGGTTTCAACTGCTTGTCTATCATTGTTGCTGTGTTGCTGTGTTGCCGTGGCTGCTGCTACTGGTGGTGGCGGCGAAGATGATCCATTCGCCGTATTAGTGCTATTGCCGTTGTTTTCCGTTGTCGTCATCACCGGTGTTGCAATACCGAGCATGTCTTCAGGAGTAATGGGCATGGGTCTTCCAGTGGCAGCCGAGACAGCGACGCCCAATGGAGGAGGAAATCCAGCAGCCATCGGTTGAAAGTCGCGCGGTGGTCTGAACATCTTCTTACGTGCAGTCTGATTCTTTAGCTTCTTTTGGGCTGGTGAGTCCGCAAAGCGCACTTGTAGTGGCGCTGATGAACCGGCGACTGTTTGTCCGTTGAACTTCTCGATGATGGCGAGTGCTGACGAACGGTCTGCTAAGCGTGCAAAGCCAACGCCTCGGCTCAGATTGGACTGCGGGTCGCGTAGGATACGGTTCGATACAGTTTGGCACGGATGGAACAGCATTTCCAGTTTCTGATACGATGCCATTATCCCGCCTATATTAGCTTTCTCTGAAATTTCGCTAGCCTCGTCCTAACCCACACTTTAACTTGTTTTATGTTGGCATTTACCTGCTCGGTCATATCAAGCGGAAGGTTGGAGATGTAAATATTTGTCGACGTTTCATCCTGCAAACTCCGTAAACGCGAGCTGAATGACTCCTATGCAATGGTTCAGTACTCATTCTTCTACACGAACCGTCACGTTCCCTTGTCTTACTGAGCTGCTCCTTCACTCATCTCTCCGTTCCTTCCAATTAGTATAAGATCAGCCAAGAATTACCTGTCCCACTCTGGCAAACGATGCCTGCAATCCCCGTCTATTCAAATCCTCGATCGCCTGGTGACAATCATTCTCCTTTTCGTACATTGCGAAACCATAACCTTTACACTGTCCCGACTTTTGATCAAGGATAGCCTTGGATGAGATGATATTGCCGTAACTGCCAAAATAAAGTGAGAACGTGCTGTTCTTGACAGGCAAGATGCAATATGTAGACGGAAAGACTTACGATCTGCACAAGTCTTCGAACGATTCATCAGTGACATTTTCAGCTAGACCACGGACATAGATGTTGTGGGTGTGATAATGGTGATCCTCCTGATCATGCGAATGATGACGCTTGTGGTGCTGGTGGCTGTCAAAAAGGGCAGGAAGATAACCATGTGGCGGGAGCGGCGGAGCAGCAGCAGCATTACCACCGCCAGCAACAGAGGATGGTAATGGTGGAGCAGGAGGCGATCCAGGAATGCCCGTCAAGATCGGCGACGAGATGTGAAGTGGCGGGAAATGCTGTTGATGGTGCTGATGATGATGGTGCGGGTGGTGGTGATGATGGATCATGTAAGCAGGATGCATAGGCGGTGACAATAGAGGCGGACTAAAGGGCGGACTTGTCGGACTGATGGCAGGCGATTGTGGATGTATGGCCGGCGAGCCTGGGTAACTGCTGCCACCGTCCGAATAGTACTGGAACTGCGGGCTCAGTGGGTACATGTATGCCGCTGCTGCCGCTGCTTGGTGGTGATGGTAGTGAGCTGCTGCGGCTGCTTGTGCTGCTTGTACCTGTGCTTGTGCCTGTGCCTGTGCCTGTGCTGCTGGTGCATCATCGTAACCATTGCCAGGTCGTAGTTGAGCAGGATCCACAAAACCTCCAGCACCGCCAGCATAAGGTGGATACGGCGGAGACGTCGGCGTCATTAACCCCGTGGTGGTGTTACCATGTAAAGGCACTGCTGCTGCTGCTGCTACAGTAGTTGTCGTGGCCGCTCCTCTGTGGTTTGCTTTTGTTGAATTGGGCTGATGTGTCTTGGCAGTTGAAGATGCTTTGGTCGTCATTATATAATACAATGGCAATTGTCAAATCCGAGGGGTGAGGAGTAGGCTTGGTAAGGGGGTACTTTTTTTTTCTTCTTTACTCTCTTTTCTGTTTTTGTACAAGTTGTAGGTATGGAGAGAGTAAAAAAGAAAACGTGCGAGAGATGGGGAATCAGTGCGAGGGTTGGGGAATAAGTCGATCAAGAATAAGAAAGGGGAAAAAGTAAAAGAAGAGGGAGAAAGAGCTGGTTTCGCAAAAGACAAAGAGTAAGTTAGCTGGGGGTCTTTAGCTGAGTCAAAGGAAAGCAACGGTACGTAACCCTCTCCCCAACGCAGGCAAAGATGTCCTGATCGACCATTGCTTCCGCCACCCCCCGATAGAAATTGGATCCACTTCATTGCAGCACTTACTGGTTTTGATAGCCTAACTTGAGCAGGAGAGCGAGACCTGCTTGTCGTTGTCTTGCTCCTTTGTCAAGTAGTGATACGTGTGGGTGTGAAAGCTCCTTTTGTGAAGCGTTTTGGATAAAAGGGGGAGGGAGGGAGAAGGAGAGAGAGAAGGCAAGTGACAAACCTACTGTTAATATTTCAGACAAAGGGCAAGCTTGATGTCATCGAGCACTTGATATATTACACTAGCGCCTTTCATATTGAATCACGCCCCAGCATCTGCCTGCTGTCATCCCTGGTATTACTAGTGCGCCACTCCCCTTTGCTCCCTTTACTCTTAAACGCGATACACTATTAGGATATCGTTTGTAATATGTGTATCTACGGTACCTTAATAAATAGACGCAAAACACATTGTGGATTCTGCTGACACTGTGCAACATACAAACCAAAAATGAGGTTTCGACTCGAGCATGTCCATGACGCGCTGCTCAACTTTTCATACACAGCGAAGCTGCTGGTACATACTAATTTTATATGTTTTTGTGTATATGCAAATAGTGTATAAACTAGTTCATAGTAAATCGAGATCCACAGTAAAGGCAAAGCTCAACAACTACAACAACGTCGACGACGACCAACCAAACCAGATTAAGAGAGAAAAGAACTCTATGGTCTATACATAATGCGAGGTCCATGGACCTTGATCTTATCGACTCGGTGTGGGAGAACGTTGTCGTACACAAGTTTGACCCACTCGGCAAGCAAAGGTCTGGTATCACGAGGATCAATAATGTCTGGGATATCAAACGTTTCTGCTGTACGGATCGGAGAGCGAACAGCTTCAAACTTGGCCAGCAGACTGTCATACAGCTCGTTACGCTTGTCGCCTGCAGCTTCGAGCTCCCGGCGATAGGCAGCCTGAACAAATGTGTTAGAACACCATCTTATACTGATTGCCATCCATAGAATGACTTACGTGAATACCGCCTTCTAGTGGCAAACTGCCCCAATCGCCAGAAGGATATGCTGTATTAAGCGATAGTTTTTTTTGTTAGGTATCAATGAAGAATAGTACGACAACAACACTCTAGTTTCTGAAGATACATACCGACACGCATGTTTGGCACGCGATTGTCAACAAATGCAGCGCCGGCAACACCGAACACCTTGCGTAACACAACCGTGAAATAGGGTACATCACATTGGTAAAGTGCAGCAGTCAATGTCGAGCCATAACGGATGGTGCTAATATATCGTATATGAGAGTGAGACAGTGATAGATTATATAGCATCCATACTAACAAGTGGATTAAAGATACTACCGCTTGGAAGAAACTTACGCCTCTCGTTCAGCTTTGGTGCCAACTGCGAAACCGGCATAATCGGCGAAATCGATAATAGGCAATCCAAAGGTGTCACAAAGATCGATATGACGTCTGAACTTTTGACAACTGGCAGTCGTCAACACGCTTCCATTCAAGGTGCAGTCAAAAGTAATGATGCCGACAGGACAACCGTTGATACGTGCTAAACCACACACAGCACCGTCACCCCATCGAGCACCGATTTCAAACCAGGATCCTTGGTCGACGACGCGAGTAAGGATGTCGCGGACTTGGTACATGCGCTGACGGCGTCGAGGAATAATATCGAGCAACGCATCGTCACGACGGTCGATTGGATCCGTGCATTCGACGCAAGGAGGCATTTCAAACGTATTGTTGGGCATGTAGCTAAGGAATTGGCGGATCTGAGCAAAACAGTCGTACTCGTCTTTGGCAAGGTTGTCAAAGGTGCCGTTTGTGGTATGCAGCAAGGCACCGCCCAAGGATGTTTTGGTGACGGTCTCGTATGTGGCGTTGGCAACCACAGGTGGACCTGCAGCGAACAATGATCCGACATTCTCGGCGACGACGCTAAAGTGTGTCAATGTGGCTCGAGCGGCGCCCAATCCGACAGCTAATGCGATAAACGAATCGTTTTATATCTTTTCAGAAAAGGTCTGCAGACTATGGCAAAATATACAGTAAACTTTTTCAAGTTATAATTATGTACCTGGACCGAGTGCTGCAGAAGCCACGGGAACTTCAGACAAGCTGGCAATGATGTCATGCATGCCGATCAACGGAGGAAGGTACGTGTATCCTTTATCGAGCATAAGCGTAACGGATCCACCACCACTGCTACCGTCGATCAATCGTACCAAAGGAATCTTCAAAGTACGTGCGCTTTGTTCTGCCATGATCTTTTTACAGTTTGTCAGCAACAACATCTACCGAGAGCATTTAGCAATGTCCCAAACTTACGGATTTGCCCCAAACAGAGCCATCGGCATGACCAGCACGGATAGCAAAGTCGTCGGCAGCAACAATAAGCGGGCGATCGTTGACAGTGGCCTTGCCAGCAATGAAATTAGCGGGCGTGTAACCTTTTACCGAACCGTCGGGGTTGTATTTGGCAATGCCGGCAATCACGCCAATCTCCTTGAAGCTGTTTGCGTCAATGAAAGCGTCAATGCGTTCGCGCACCCATAGCTTCCCCTGCGTCTTCTGTCGAATATACCCGTGATCGTTGGGATCTGCTGTACGGTTCTTGTTCTTGCGACGGTTGATTTCTTGCAAGATATCCTAATAGTATCTCCTGTGTGTTATTAACTCACTATTTTGTTCCTTGTCGAATACAACAGCATACCTTCCATTCCGACTTCTCAAGGGCTTCGTCCCTCGTAGCAGGAGGTTCCAAATGCTGTGCAATAGCGTTTAATCGATCTGCAGGATATCCTTTTTGCTGTGTCATGAGAAAGAAGTATGTACGTAAAGAAGAAGAGCAAAGGGGAAAAAGGAAAGCAAAAGAAAAAGGAAGAAAACGAATCTCATGCTGTTCCTGTTGTCGTGTGAAAGGCTAAACAAAATTCGTTACTAAGCTAAATAATAATTCGGCTGTTGAAACCTGCTCTTTAAACATAAACCGTTTTGTCATTGTGTGAATTCATTTGCATAATGCCAAAAGACTTTTTGGGATAATCAAGTGTAACAGCGTATTTCTTTTCTTGAGGAAAAGTGCCATACATCCCTGACTCCTTTTTCATTGCTCTCCTCTACATTGTCGAAGTGCCCTCGATTTGTCCATACTCCTTTCTCACACAGTAAATCTCGTATTTTGCCTACCTGTTAAGGCAGCAGTTGAGCGGGGAGCATGGGATATACGTTCGAATTTCGCACTTTGGCATTTTCTCAGGCACCGACATGTTTGCCGTCCAATCGTTCGTTGGTCAAGACGCTTGGTTTGCTGTGGTAAATTTCTCTGTTATGTGCTCTTTTTTCAATGGTCTGTCACACGGTTGTTGACGAGGTCTGACAACTCTCATTTATGTCGCAAAGTTTTTTGGCGTTCCGAACATGTATGTGCCCTGCCTATCATGGAATGGAGACTAGCTGCTATCATGGCGTTGGAGTGGGAAGTATGGGATTCATCTTGTTGGAAATCGAGCTAACCGCTGGTGTGACGACCAGTAGCTATTTTATCTAGGTTTAAAGAATACCCGTAAACTATATCTGTTACATGAGAGGAACAAATAAAAAGATATGTGGTGAACTACATAGTATTAAACTCTTACCCATACAAAGAATTTCAAATGTATTAGCAGTAGATAATAGCTCTTTTATACTGGTTTTGATAACTAGGAGAACTGCATTCATATCCTCTTTTCCTATGTCCTTTAGATTCCACTATGTACAGTATCACATTCCACTCAATGGTTCCCATTCTTAAACCTTATACTGGATATAAAGTCTTTTGCATTCATTCCAGAAACATAATTTACTTATGTAGCAGTAGTATCAATGTTGAGGGTAGTATATCATGTTATATTTTTAAGCGACAGAAACAATATGAATTCAGCTAATGTGTATTTCTTGCAGAACGATAATTCACTCTTCTTCTCTGCGACAACACCACCATCATCTTTCTTGACACCCTCCTTATTATATATACGAGGACACATCGTGATCAAGTGACATGTTACACGATTCTTGCTTGCGCTTGACAAGTGTACTGGTACAAGGCTTGATGCCTGTATTGTTGTTGCTATTGTTGCACGGAAGATTCTTCATATCATCAGTAAATGTCGATAAGCTTCTTGGGTGGACAATAACGCTTTATACAAAAAAGAGATTGTATTGTTGTTGATGGCTGTATGCAGTAGTAAAAGAGGCATCATCACCATCTCATCCGAAAGAGACAAATTGCCGTTTGTAACCTTTTGGACACCTGAAAGGCCCAAAACGGTAACCTGAGATTTGGATGCTTTAGATGCAGTAGTTGCCGTTGTAGCAAATAGTTCATCATTATTATATCCATCAATGATTAGCACGTCGAGCAATTTGCTGGTGACTCCTTTGCCACTGCTGTTACCTTTTCTCCTTTTTATTGCCCTTTTTACGTGGCAGCGTCCACTTATCTGCGGCAGTACTTGGAATGGAGGATGGTACCTTACCAGCAGCAGTATGAATTCGGTATGGAGGGAAGAGGTTACACGGCGTAGTTCAAAGAACCGTTGGCGGATGGCGGAAGTGGTTGACGAGCACAGTTTATATAGTGCAGCGATGGGGTCCAGTGTGTTGTATCTATGCCCGCACACGCACAACATTATGCACCACAGATACAATCAAAAGATACTAATAAAATGAAATAGTCTGTGGACTACGCTATATACACATGCTGTTGCCTAGATGAGTGAAGGAATGGAAACTGGTTGCTGGGAGGATCGTGTTCTTGATGTTTACTAATGCTGAATCAGGAACAACTGATGCCGGGGAATCTGTTACGTTGTTTACTTTGTCAGTCATTCTTATATTGCCATTTTATTGCTCGCAGAGAAGCGCTTTTTCCGTGATTCTACGTGCTCATTCGCATTCGTGTCTTTGTTCTTTGTCTGACACGGTGCCGTGCACGGCCCCACTCACAAACAAGCGGCGACATCGTCGGAGGGTACAGCTCCGCATGGTGGGAGACACGTACCACTACCGCCGCAGCACATTTGTTTACTTGACCACCAAGCACACCCCCTTTCATTTCCTTTCCTTTCCTTTGGTGCTGTATGTTTTGTTATGCCATAGTGGGCAACCCACAAGTTGATACGCAACCCGTTATCTGGGCCAATGAGAATCCACGGGGATTTGAAGTCCCGAACGAGAAAAAATGTCTATATAAAGCGAGCAATTTCGCCTTTCTTTTTTCTCTTCTCTTCAGTTCGTTTTGGTACAGCTTTGGTCTGTAGTACAGATGCACTGCTCTGTGCCATGATCGGGTCATATGCTTGTGCTGGCGATTGTCAAGAGGATTCTGAGGATTGGCTGGAATCAGTGGTCCGCTCGGAGGAAATCTTTTGCAATGTACCAGTGGGAATGTGGACACGTACCTTCGGGTATGTGGTGGGATAATTAAAACGAACTTTTTATTTTTTATTAAACACAAATAAACAAAATGATAAACAAAATAAAACAATCTTTTTCTTTTCGCACTCTTCTCATAAACGTTTTGCCGCTTTATTTTATTTTTTGCTTTGCCTTTTTTTCATGTGCTTGACAAGCTCTTTAGTTTTTTGCCCACCCACAGCTCTGTGCTATACAAAGCGGGGAACAATCTGTATCGTAGCCGACAGTAACACGACCACAACGCGCTTTATTACGCTTTGGCACTTTATTTCACCTTCTGTGATCGCCTAAGTTGCGAAAATGATTGAAGATAAAAACTGTTACCGAGGATATGGTCCAGCCCTCATTTGAAAGAAAGAGTTACCGACCAGTAAGCAAAAGAGGCAACACCAGAGCATACGCCAACAGACATGTACATATAATTGCCAGATCTGTAAATTGAAAGGTCTCTTTTTTCACGTAGCTTATCACAAAATCCTTTTGGTTTCCACCTGATTCAGATGCAGAAAATTGCGCCTGCTTTCAAAGCATGATTCTTGGACCAAACGTCACTTCCAAGAAACGTCAAGGAAGGCGATAAAGCTGCCGAAATAACCGCGCAAACAGCTCTTATGAATGTCAACCGCGTTGTAAACTCTTTGGTCTGCTCGAATTTGTGTCTTTATGATGACGCCTGTATTATTATTTTTTTGTAGGTGAGCCTGTATTATATATATAGTTTATACAACGGCAAAATATAAAGTAAAAAGATGTCAATCTCAGTGGACCTCCATACTTTCCTCTTAATTTATTTGCATTTCTGTTGATTGCAGTCGTCATAGGAATTAACAGACAATCTCTATTGAAAAATGTGGATAAATCTGCTGTTTTATTCTGTGTGTAAGTGAATTGTCTATAATATGTGATTTTCTATGAGACCATTGGAAAACCTGTAACTGCACATATGTTATTTTATGTCAGGAAACCCACCACAGCGGCGCTTTCCTTTTCTGTTGCTCTTCTTCCCTTCCTTCCTGCTTTTTTTCACCTCCACAATGCCAAATAACTCCACGGAAGGGCAACAAATTTCTGACGCGTTGAATCAGCTAAGTTCGGCTCAAAAAGTGATCCTTGATTTACTACAAAAGCAGCACCAAGATCGATCCAGTAACGGTGAAAACGCCGCTACGGACAAGCAGCAAACATAATACCGCGACTGAGAGAACATCGAGCGAACAATAAGTTGTTTAAAAAGAAATTGGAAGTGTCCGAAGTTTACAACCTCATCGATCCAAAGAATAGCATGGAGCAGCGTGTACAGGATGGAATTTACAGCACGATCGTCGATTCATGTATCGAATCAGTTGAACGCCTGTCGGCACGAGTCGATCAGAATAAGCCCTATGCCAGCACTTGGGGCTCTTGCCAAAAGTACGAAATACTGCTTGCCGAGCAAGCGATCGTGCGATCGACTTCAATTCACTTTGATCGGTGCGAAGCCAACCGGACAGCATCATTTATCATGAACTCGATCTGGAATAGCAAAGGCGGGTACAGAAACAGGTACACAGCTATTTTAATTATGATCTGTTTACTTCTCTATCAAAACACGTACAATGGAAAACTACCATCACCAGATGATTATAGGCGAGTCGGTCTGTAGGTCAAGAACCTCCGTCATCTCAATCAGAACTTTCTTCCTCTACCTTGCTCTCCGTGAATGAGGGAACATATATGATAAACAACAGCAGCCGCAAGAGAATTGCTCAAATGCAAGACAACAGTCAGATCCACGTGTAGTTACTGAAAACAACAATACTCGCCCTTTAAGGTACGGTTATGAGTATTTGTGAGTAACTGATTTGATGGTGCTCTCTGTTAACAGCTCTTCGTCTGTAGTGATATTACGAATTTTCAAGAGTCAGTTTTCGATAATATCCAAGTAAACTTTCCTGACGTAAATGAGACATTGCAAAATCCAAGGTCTACTATGGAAGGACAAGCAATGATGTCTAAAGTGTTATCTAATTTTTATTTTTTGCATATTTAGATTGTCGCCATCTCTACCTTCTCCAAACTAAGAAGAACGGTATGGGCTTTTTGTGATGGATGAAAAAGGGGATATGGTATTATATGTAATTAACAGCGTTTGTTTTTTATGTTAGGATCAGTGGCGAGCGTTCATCGCATGTAACGATATTCTTCACCATCATGTTTCGCCCATAGGTAATATTTCCCCTACTGCACCACCCACCGATGCACGACAAAAAACCTCAGCATAGCGCAGGACTTTATCGCCATCTCCTTCCTACAGCAAACAATCATTTCCAACTTCTCGAGCGGCACAAGTAAACTATCAGCAGGGAGCTGGATAAATGTTGCTTTATCGGAGCTGCGAACAAGTGCTTACACCTGTGAGCTCGGTCATCACATCCGATAACGTTATACAGCAAGCTAATAGTCCATCTGACACATGTTTATGAGCAAGTTCCCCTCAGAAAGCGATTCTCTCTGCTAGCAACACTGATCGCACCGTCGCAACGCAGCACGAACAAAATCCGCAGCACTAACATCGCAACTAACTGACTAAATCACATAGAAAAAGCCTGCCAAGAGACGAGGACGACCCCAAAAAAATAAGGCATAACAGAACAATAGCAGTATCAGGAACCACAGGAGCATAGGAACCGTAGCTGTAACAAAATAATGGACCACATTAAAGTATCGCTGTATATAACAAACTAACAATTAATAGTAGTGGAAATCGTTTAGGCAGAAGCTACGTACTAAACCAACGAAGTGAATAATTATATGATGATCAGAACGGTGAAAAGATGAAGGCGTTTATATTCTCTTCGATCACATCGCGATATTATTCATAAGCAACCGGCCTTGAATAGACAAGATCGAAAAGTCACAACATTGTTTTCACGGCAGTAAATTACTGTTTTTTTTTCCTTTGAATATAGGTTGATATTGTATTTATATTAATGAGATATGCAAAAGAAATAATATAATATATAATTAGACGTGTCTGTTTTTTCCTGCAGCAGTAGTCGTATATGTACACATGAGATATAAAATAAATATTAAGAGAAAATATAGAAAAAAAAAGCAGATCAAATTGTCAGAAATGAGTGTATAATTTTTTAACGAAGGTAAACAAAGGAAGGGCCATAGGCGCAGAATGCATAAATAAGACCAGATACGAGACCAGCGACCGGCAATGTGCAAATCCAGCCAAAGAAGGTAAGAGCAAGCATCTTCCAGTTGACCGCACGGAGATTGCCATTGCAAAGACCAACACCAACAGTAGCACCAACCATACAATGGGTAGTGGAGACAGGCAAGCTCAACTGAGAAGCAGTAAGAACGGTCAAAGCAGCGCCCAATTCAGCAGCGAAACCACGGCTTGGAGTCAATCGAGTGATGTTGTTACCCATGGCGCGCATCAAACGGTAACCCATAGTCGCAAGGCCAATGTCGATAGCAGCACCACCATAAGCGAGAACCCAAATCGGAACAGTCGATTCTGTACCAACAGTGCCGCGTTGCCAGATATCGTAGATGGTAGCCAAGGGACCGACAGCGTTCGAGACATCGTTGGAACCGTGAGCAAACGAAGCAACAATAGCGGTAAGGATCTGCAAGTACGAGAACATGAACTCGACATCATCATCGTAAACTTCGGCGGCTGCGTGCATTTTCTTGAGCTTATCGTTGTTCAGGTTGCGAACATCCTGGCGAATACCGTGCAACAAGACAGCCAATACACGGTCCTTAATTTGATGGAGGCGTTCGCCGAAAGTTTTGGACGATGGTTCCTGTTCGGTGGCAGATTTGGACTCGGCATCAGCATCTTCCATAGCAAGTTTTTTAGAGGTATGATCATCGCCGGCGAGCTTTTCTTCGTCATCAGCCTTGGGGATTTGATCATTGGCTGCGGCTTCTTCGAGTTCTTCGCGAGCGGCTTGAAGACCTTCCTCGATAGAGCGTTGCTTGGGGACCCACCAAATAATAGGAATATGGTACCACTTAACGTCTTCACGGTCGACGACAACGCGCTTGAGCCATGGGCAGAGAAAGACAGCCATGTAGATACCGATGGCACCACCGCAACCAAGAGCAATACCGATAATGTGGCTAATGGGCAATTCGGCTTCCTCAGCGCCAGGAGCCTTGAAGCAAACGTACAAGACAATAACAAACACGGTAACGAAGAAGTAAACAGGTACAAGACGAAGACCCCACTTGACACTGTCAACCTGGCGGAGCACGGTGTACTTGGTGATGAGATAGATGATGGCTGCAATGGCGCCAGCAAGGCAGGGCGACAAGAACCATGAAACAACGATCTGAATGATACCATCCCAGGTCCAGTCGACAGCACTGCCACCGAAACCAGCAATACCAAAGCCACAGATGGCGCCAATGATCGAGTGAGTGGTACTAACGGGCCAGCCGAATCGAGTAGCAGCTATTGTAAAAAGAAGAGCGAGTTAGCCAGTGAAAGATGACGAGGCGGCTACATATGTTGCTTCTATCAAAAACTTACTCAACACCCATGTAGAAGAGCCAATTAAGGCACACATCATGCCCATCATAAGCATCTCGGGAGTTTCATCGAACAATGAGATTTCAATGATACCGTTTTTAATAGTGGAGGTAACACCGGAACCAAGCAATAAAGCACCCAAGAATTCAGTGAAACAGGCAATGATAACAGCCTGCACAAGCGTCAAAGAACCGGACGAGATGGAACTGGCGAACGAGTTTGCGACGTCGTTAGCACCGATACCGTAAGCGTCAGTGAAGGCGACGACCATACCAACGCCAAAGATCCACGTGAAATCATAAGGGTCCATCATCTTGGCTGACTAGTGTTTTAGCTATGCAAAAGAGAGCACAAGGAGAGAAAGGGTGCTGTTGGTTGGAAGAAGGAGGAAAAGAGTGCGCTGGTGCAGTGTACCTAAAAAAATGTATGAAATGCGATTTATCAAGCTAGTATTTATACATTGTGTGGACAACGCAATTGATTCGTTTGGCAGTCAGTATATAGTTTCTTGATTTTCGGTGCACTAAAATGGACAACCGTCCAATTGTTTTTTATCTGCAGCGCACGCTGCTTCCGACTCAACCATTTTTTACATCTTCGGAAAACCTAAATTTCTGTACGCTCGATCAGAATCTTTCTTACTGCTGAGAATTTCTGACATTAATCAAAAGCATTGGTAGCCCTTTGAGCTGTTGTAATGATTGCTTTTTTTTGTGTGTGACTTGGTTGGCGTTTGCAACACTGTGGTATATCTGTTGGTTTGCCTCATAACAAATAGCAACAACGATAACAAAAACGTCGCCATTACCGATGTTATACTGTATAATAGGTCAGTTGTTGGCGTATGTTCTTGTACCACACCAACCCGTGCAACTGGTGAATTGTCACGCCTACGTTTTGATTGCTTAGTTGGAGCCAATAGTCAATCGAGGATGTCCTCACATGCTATCTTGCAAACGCCAGCGCCCAATTTTCTTGTTGCTAGCCCCAGGCGATCAAATTGTCTGACCGTATGAGGGAAGAAACTGAAACGTTTTACGGTGCTTTTTTTTCGACACATACGGAAATCGTCATCCACTCAATGAAGTACCTTCAGGAGAATTCCCTTCAGGACATACATATACTTTGGAGTTGACAACACGCAGAAATTTATTATTATACACTTCAGCACTATTATGCATGTAGCGACAAGGACATGAAAAACTACCTGTAAGCAATTGGATGTTGTTGTACGTAGACTAATATTATATGCTTAATGCTAAACTCAAGGAAACTATCAGTTATTGTGGAATCATAAAAAAAGGTAGTATACCATATTGGGTTGTAGTGCTTACGGTGTTTGTTGTCTAGACGCCTTGCCGGATCGTTTCTCAACATCATCGACACTAGCTGTAACATAACAGACATAACCAATAATGTTACTTGAAAGAATTTTCTACACAAACTATTCAGGTTTAGCGGATCAGAGCCGTCTGTGAAACTCCACGTTTCGATCCAACTAACCTCATTGCATGAAAAGGCACATCTTGTACACAATGGGACAATAACTCAGCGCAGAGGGAAATCACGATGGAAAATCTCGAGAAGCGATTTGCTGGCTGGGTTCATTCAACAGCGTGTCAAGTGAAATAGACCCGATATCTCCGATAGTGTTTTCTTTTTTTCTTTTTTGTTACATAGCAGTAAATGATTCTTGGCACAAGACCTGAAGATGGAACAATTCTTTATTTCCCTTGCCTCTCTATCGGGTATCACCGTAGAAAGGTATAATAGAAGTATAGCGTATGAAATAAAAGCAGTACCATATTCTACAACGTGTCGTTTAGAATCTCAGATCATCCACACGTTTATATTTTGTCGTATGAAAAAGATTTCGTTAGATGGACAACAAGTACATACACCTCGGTAGCACGTTGTAACACGCTACCTTCTATTAGAAGAGACTCGCTGCAAAGTCCAACATCCCGGTGAACAATTCCTGTGGATCATTCCACTCTTAGATTAGTAGCCGAAGCTCGCTGGTTGATCATTGTTGTGGGTCAGTGCACACTAAAGATTGGGATAATCAATAGTGCTGGCTTCAAGTACTTAAAGGTCGTGTATGAGTTGGGCTCCATGACTGGATGACCAGTTTACTCCGCGTCCGATGAAGGATAAGCCATGTATAGTGATAGAACGCGCGAATCATGGCTTGAGGCAGCATAGCATACTTTCATTTGGTAACATTACTGGCAAGCACATACGTCTGTGAAAAATTTAAAGATTTCCATTATAACCATACTTTTGCTACATATTGTCAGTGAAGCTTTGTACAATTAACATATGCAGGATCGTTGAGAAGGCCAGAGCTTTGAAAAGCATAAGGTACTTTTCCAACTATTCAGCGTAGCTTACATTTACAAGTCAAGATAGTAAACCTAAAATAGTGAAGATACTTACACTCTACTACAGCATATGAGTATTTGACCAAATCTTCAAAAGTTCAGTATCCTTGGGAGCAGCGGCTTGTAGACTACCGTTTCCTTTTCTCACTAGATCTCCAACACCCGCTGACCATTAACTGTACACTAGGATACATACCTCACTCATATGACTTCAATAACCTGATCATCAATCTGTCTATGTCTGCTTTGTGTATCTCTTTTTCTCCCACTCACAGTTTGCTCATAGCTCTTTCTACAGATGCTGTTTTTGCAGATCTCACTTGCATATATTCTGTTTATGTAGATAAAAGGCTTACAAAAGATTGTTTCGCTGCAAAGTGCTATGTATCACATATGCTTTGACTTTTTTGATATAAACATAATCCACTAAACTGCTTATGCAAGACGGGTACAGAAAGAAACCTCAGACTACGCCGAATTATCGCTTACGTTGAACAATCCCAACAGTGGTGATAGATTTTTATGAGCATCTACCAGATGTACTCTACAACATTATTCCCTGATGTTCGTGCTACATCTTGGTGGATCTAACTAACAAGGTCTTCAATAATAAAGATATGACTGCAATGAAATCATAGTAATAAATTTGTTGCTATGTATGTAATCTAATGTATCTTTAAAAATCACCTTGCATCAAACTGCTTTACATACTATGTCTGCATCCAGCATTTTTGCCGAGTAGTATTAGTATATATATTAGCTTGCACTTGTAGGAGAAGTATTGATGTATAGCTATCGTTATAGATAGCACCATTGCATTAGCTTTTGACAGTTCTGTCGAAGCCAAAATAAGTTCTTCCGCTGTACGTGTGCTACAAGCACGGACTATATTACACGGACCGAAGGAAAAGGCAACTACCAATTTTTCAAACCGTTCTTTTTTTTCTGTGTCGACATATCACATATGGAACAAAACGCAGAACGGTGTCCATTATGCACGAAAGACGCTGACCCAACATTATACGATACGTGGCTGCAATGCGACGGTTGTTCAACCTGGTACCACGCTCATTGTGCTGGGATTTCTCAAGAACAATGCGGCTTGATCGAACGTTACCATTGTGCATTATGCACAAAAGTACACGGTCCTTCAACGTGTATGTCATTATAAACGAAAAGCGTAACATTACAATGCAACAACACTACTCCCTTTGCATTCCTATTTTAATGAGCGACTTGACAATATACCTGTTACTCACATTCTCCAAATTTACAAAAGACAAACCACAACGACGAAAATCTGGCAGAGAACATACACGGCTTAACTATGCTGACCTGAACGAGGGCAAGACAGCTGATCAGAATATATGGACCAAAATTTTAAGGGCTAAAGGGTTCGCAAACGATCCGTTCAAACGGTACAAAGGTCAAGAGGTAACCATGGATCTGTTAAAGAAGACGGGCATGCGAGAGCCGTTTATTATTGAACAGCCAGATGGGCTGGATATGCAAATGCCTTCGGCCAATACAACGGTTCCTGACATTGCCAATGCTGTCGGTAAGAAGCGGGACGGGTAGAACGTGTCAGATTCTTAAAGGCAACAGTAGACTAAGCTTATACGTACTCAAAAAACCATTATTAAAGGCCGTGATCATCCACTGGAAGTCATTGGTAACTATAGGCATAGTGTTTACAGTGAGGTTTATCTTTCAAATTGAAAAAATTGAGCCTTTCTTATGTATGGTTAGACGTGGCGACACAATCCGAGACAACGGGTTGGGACATGGGCCGGTGGTCTGAATACTACGAAAGCAGCGAACGCGACAGAATACGAAATGTCATTAGTTTGGAAATCAGCGATACGCCTTTTGCCAAAGACATCGTTAGACCTAAAATTGTGAGGTACGTTTTCACGTCCGAATGTGCTGAGTCTGTAGAGATCGTATGCCTTACTTGTACCAAGGACTTATTCGAATGGCACTGTTTAGAGATATGGATTGGATCGATCATATGTGGCCACAAGAGCTTAAACCAGTGGAATACCCAAAAGTCCAACTGTACTGCCTGATGGGCACGAAAGATTCTTATACTGACTTGTAAGCTCTTTATATTGTTGAAAAGACATTTTGGACTGTCCGTTTTACTGACATTTCTTGTTAAGTCACATTGATTTCGGTGGTAGCTCGGTAAGTCTTTCGTGAACACTTGTTGTCAGAAGAAGGAAGAAGAAAAACCGAGCATGTTAAACCAGTCATTTCTGCACTCTATATTTGTCAACAGGTGTTTTATCACATTTTTCGAGGCTCAAAAATATTTTACTTCATCGAGCCTTCATCAAAGAACCTGAAAAAATATCAAAGATGGAGCTCCTCTCCGGATCAAAGTACCATCTTCTTTGGCGATGAAGTCAAAGAATGTTTTGCGGTCCATCTCAAGGCAGGAAATACAATGTAGGACTTTCTTGTCTCTTCACATTGGACATAGAGAAAGCGTTGTAGTGGAGGATATGGCAGCTGATGGGATGAATAGGATTATACCGACGGGCTGGATCCACGCTGTATACACGCCAGAGGACGCACTTGTCATTGGCGGCAATTTTTTACATGGATTCAACATCGGGACACAACTCCGAATATTCGATATTGAGGAATTGACGGATGTGCCGATGAAGTTCCGGTTTCCTTTTTATAAACGCATCAATTGGTATGCTGCGCTCCGCTACTGTAGCCAACTATCAAATTGTGGTAATGTCTTTTCCTTTGTCTAAATCTGTCATTCTTTTCTTTTGTGCACATTATTGTTACTGAATTCAGCAAAACTTGTAAGCAGATAGCGAGTCATTGTCATACTACGAAGTAGAGGGTATTGCAGCACTAGCAGAGTGGTTAAGCAAAGATAGGATGAAACTCGACGAATCTGAACGACGAAAGCGAAGCGATATTCCCACAGAGGTAGAGGATCCTACCGCATTGCTAGCAGACCTACTCTCTGGAGTTGAACGTGCTTTGGAGAAACTTTCGAATGGCAGCAGCAAAATGGGTGACAGCAGCAAAAAAAAGAAAAAGAACAAAATTATCAACGAAGAATCCAGTAGCAGAAAGGTACCCAAAGTCAAGTTAAAGCTTAGCTCAAAACAACAGCAACAGCAACAACAGCAAGACTCCTCCATTAGCAGTGGTAAACCACAACAAGAGGAACAACCAGCAACAACTCAGTCTACTACCACAACAACGCCCAAAATCGTTTTAAAACTTAAACCAGCTACAGGAACACAACCACCTATCACCACCACTACTGCTTCTGCTTCTGCTTCTACTTGGGATGATGTCGTTGCTGTACCTGACCAAGATGACGACGATGACGATGAGTATGATCTCAGTGAAGCCGAGCTAACAGATGAAGAAATTGCACGAGAGGATATTGAGCTCGATAGCGACGACGAAGAATATCAAGAAGAACTACAGCAAAATCAAAGAAATCCACCAAGAAGAAATCCACCATCATCACGAAAATCTAATACTGCTGCTGCTTCTAGGAGTCGTAAACGAAGTAGGAGCAACGGATCAGTTAGCAGTAGCAGCGATGATGATTTGGGCACGTCGTCAAATAAGATTAACAAGCGTCGTCCAACATTTGATACCTCATCACGTCCTCCCAAAAAGCCAAGCACCGTCAAGCAGAGATTACTAGAACGTGTTGTTAGAGCAAATCGTTGATGATGGTTAAAATTAAAATGATAATAAAAGAGAGCTTTTGTTTTGGATTGTTATCACGACTGCTTGCTAATGACCGCTAGATTACTCTCATCGTCCCAGAATACTTTTTCTTGCGCGCCTAATAAAGTGAAAAGTATTCGATATATTCATAAGTTTTCAAATAATTAGGGTATACATGAGTTAGACGCTATGCGTACCTCCGCACTTACCAGTAAGTTTTCGTACTCCCAGTGCTTGCGATGCCTCTGCCGCACTTGCTGATGTGCCTACACTGTCTTTACCATCCTTTTGTATTTTCTTGTTTTCATTAAAGTATTTCACCAGCTTATCGGTATCAGCGGATGCCTTGAGCCGCACATGACACTAAGATCCCATAGTTAAGAGTTACTAAGATTATGCCGAAGAAGCAAAGCATTCATTTACATATTACTTACAGATGGAGAATTCTTTTTGTAATCAACATAAGCAACCTCAACACCAGCTTGTGCCAATAGATTCTAAGCAAAGCAGAAAACCGTGATAAGAATCATCTGTACTTTCTATCCATACATGTAGACCAAAACATGACATTCTGAATCTAGCTTCGCATACCGTGATTACTGTTTTTGAAGATTTTGGTGCCAAGTTCGTAACGAACGCGACTAAGCCTTCAGGGTACCCATCCACGTGCTCTCCATTGTATTCTGCCCAAGCCCTCTTGACGGCTTTTCTGGTTGTAACCAGTCGCTCCAGGTATTGGTCTTTGAACTGATTATATTCGTGCCTATGAAAAGAAGAACGATGGTGATAATGGTTGGGGAAATTTAGTATGTGCATGAAATTTCACTTTGGCTTGTCGTCTTTGTGAAAAAAATGACCCAACTTTATCTCGGAAATGTCGCTTACCAGTCAATACTACTTACTTTGATATAACTTTCAGGCATAATTTCGTTATCTCTGGGTCTTGATGTTTTTGACCTCGAGAGCAGTCGATCTGTTCAATGGCTTTTGTGACATCCTCCTTTTCACTAAATTCGATAAAGCAGAAACCATGAAAGATATGCCTTTTTGAGAGATCGGGCGGGAAGCGGACGAATGACACATTTCCGACAAGTCGAGTGAACAGCTGTGCGATTTTTTCTTGGGTGTCATAGGGTTTCCATAATCCTTCCTAAATTCATCATCATCAGTAGGCCGCAATACAGCGATGGCACTACAAGTTGATGCTAGTGCTTCTCTACTTACCACGTAGATAGACCAGTCATCCAGCTCCATGTCCTTTGACGCTACAAATGGTTTTATTCGAGCTACGGCTGTTTTATTGTCATTCAGCTTCGGTATTATTGTTTGCATAAATGTTGTTAGTTCCTGTCAAACTTCTTCCGCGGCGCGATTCGGGAAATATATTGGGTACCTGAAGATGAGTAGATTTTTGGCTTGCATTTACTATTTCTTCTGGTTTGGTTTGGATTTCCTTTAATCTTTTTAAAGAAACAATCGTGTCGATCGGTACAACTGGTAGTCGGCGAAAGATCAGCGTTTTATACATGATATGTTTGTTATCAACCATTTAACGCGCGTGTAAAAACGAACGGACGAACAACGTTGCTATTGGTAAATGCTTACAGCCATTCGGATCTTTTTGAATATATTGCTTGAGTAATTTGTCGAATGTTAGGTTGGCATCGCTGAAGTAGGTTTCGAGTGCATTGAGAACTTTTCGATCGCGATCTTCACGCATGGTTCAGACAAGCGAGATAGAGAGAGAAAATCGAAAAAGCCCGCCCAGGGCCTCTTTTCTTTTCGCTTTTACATTTCACACGCACACACAGAATGGCCGACACGCTATTAATACCACTTCATGTCAGATACATCCAATCGCTCGACAAACGTACGGATGAACTCGAATACTGGTTGACCGAGCATTTGCGGCTTAACGGAATATACTGGGGCTTGACGGCACTGGATCTGATGAACAACATTGATGCTCTTCCACGCGATCAAGTAATCAGTTACGTCAAGAGTTTACAGCACGAGAACGGCGGCTTTGGCGGCCATACGAACCATGACCCTCATATGCTCTATACGCTCTCAGCCGTACAAATTATGGTGACACTCGACGCGTTGGATATGATCGATACAGATAAAGTGGTTGCATGTAAATATCATCCAGGCTCTTGTTTTTTGGCTTACCAAACAATTACGATGACAGTATATGTTGATATCATTAACCTTTAAATGCCTTAGATGTCGCATCGATGCAAAATGAAGACGGATCATTCAGAGGAGACAAGTGGGGAGAAGTCGACTCGCGTTTCGTGTACATTGGTCTGATGGCGGTGAAGCTGTTGAAGCGCATGGATGCTGTTAACGTGGACAAGGCCGTCGAGTGGATACTAGAGTGTCAAAACTATGATGGTGGGTTCGGTAATCAGCCGGGTTCCGAGTCGCATTCTGGCCAAGTATGCTGCTGCGTTGGTGCCTTGGCATTGACAGACTCGTTGCATTTGATCGATCAGGATATGCTCGGCTGGTGGTTATGCGAGCGACAAGTCAAGATTGGCGGACTGAATGGACGGCCCGAGAAATTGGAAGATGTATATGCGCCCTTTTTATGGTTATTGAATATATTATATTTTATCTTATACGTGTACTGATGATGGTGTTGCACTAGGTGTGTTACTCTTGGTGGGTGTCATCCGCTCTTGCCATTATCGGTCGATTACATTGGATTGACAAGGAGAAACTTTCGCAGTTTATCTTATCGGCTCAGGTAAGCGAGTCAAATAACATACATCCATTTTTCTTTGTTATGGTTACCGAATTCTCTGTGCAAAAAATGGTGACAATGTGCATATGTAGGATCCAGAAGATGGCGGCATATCGGATCGTCCTGGTAACATGGTCGACGTTTACCATACCTGTTTTGGTGTTGCTGGGTTGTCACTGCTTGATTACCCGGGTTTGAAAAAGGTTAACCCTGTGTACTGTATGCCAGCACATGTTATTGCTCGGCTAGGATTGTAACAATAAAAGATGTATACCAATTATGAATAGACTCTTCTTTTGCCTTTTTTAATGATGAGTTAAGTGTGAAATGGATAATACAAAAGATGCAAAGGTACAACTATAGGAGAAATGGAAGCGAGGGGAAACAAACGATTTACAAGAAGAACCGCTTTCGGCTGGTCTCCATATCGGGCTTAAAGATCCATTCATATTCTCCATCACGAGAGTATGTGCCCTTTTGTAGCCATCGAAGTTTCAATGTGAATTTTGGGCCAAGTTCCTGCAAACCCACTTTTTCGGTATCCTTGAAGACATAACCTATACAACATGATCACATATCCATTTTAACACATAAAGCTCATGGGCGTATTTTTTAAAACTCTCAAATAGCAGAAACCAACTTACGATGCCGCCGTACAAAGATGAAATCACGCTGGTTGTGGAAAGTTACTACTTGTCGACCTTCAAACTCGGGTACTTGTGGCATTAATGACTGGAACATACGTCCAACCGTGTGACCCAGTCGAGTGCTGAAGTTGTTCAAAATGAGTTCTGGGTTGTGAGCTGTTGTCCGACCGTGACCCTATATAATCATTATGTCCTCGTCAGCCTCGCTCTTAAAGAAAAAATATGCCCCTTCTCTTCCATCATCCAGTGAATCGCCGTTCTTACAGGAATTTGCTTGCCGGGAATATAATTCGAAAGTTTAAAGTAGGCTGAGGGGCCGTTTGGAAGATGTATTAAAGTGATGGCATCTAATACACGAATAATAAGGTCAGTCATATCTTCTACTTGCATACACATCCTCTCTCATTCTCTCTAACAAAAGCCAGGCCAGCGCCCCAAGAAAACTTACTCAAACTCTTTCGGTCTTCGTTGACAATCATTAAATCCGTAAACTCGTGCTTTATCGCCTGCTTAATAATCTGTTTCATTTCGTGCTTGGGTCCACGTTTGGCGAACTGGGCATTGGGGAATATCGAAACTAAATCATCACAAAAGTCGTAGGCGATCTATATACAACAAACATGTTTCTCCAAGTGAGTCTCCTAGTTCTTTGCCAAGAGTAGAATGTGCATATTCTATATGTCTACCTGAGAGGCTTTCTTGCTCGTAGTTACTACAATTTTAGGGGTTCTTCCACTGAAATAGCTGGCAAGTTCGTCGTCGGCTTCATCCTGAGCAACTTCACCGTCGTCGTCCCCGTCAACCATAGTCTCATCCTTTTCTCGCGTATTTTCCAAAGTTTTGGGCACATTTTCTCTTAAACGTTTCTACAGCAGTGCATTAAACCCGATTAGTATACGATTGACAAGATCGTACACAGGAGGAGCCGGTGTGATCAGCAGCAAAACTTTTTTCTTCGTTATTGTTGTATCCTGGCTTCCTTACTTCTTTCAGTTCCGGGTTCTTTTCTTCTTCCTTGGCAAGTTTTTTACGTCTTTCGGATTTTGCTTTTGCTTTTTCGTGCTTGAGCTTGCGATGAAGCTCAGATCGGCGATCTTTATTCTTGATCTCGGAGGGGCGGATCACTTCCTTGGGCATACCGTTTATTGAGTGTTGTAGTGGAGAGAAAAAAAGAAGCACTTTTTTCCTCTTTCTCCTGCTCCGTCCAAGCACAGAAAATTGCATTTTTGGAAATCCGTGACTGTCCAGCGGCAGCTTGGATTGTGGTTCGAAGTTTCTCGTATCGAACAACGCGACGCTTATACTTTCCTTTTTTTTTAATAAAACACTTTGACAACAATTATGGACGACGGCGGCGAATGGTGCACAGTAAAAAGCAAACACCACAATCATAATCACTACAAAAACGACTCAGTTCCCGAAAACAACAATGCCAATAATAGACGACGGTCTAAAAAAGACACCACAAGTACACGAGGGAAATCAACAAAGCCCGATCCACGACCCAGACGTAAATCAGCCGCCACAAACAAAACCGATGCAGCAACGACGATTGTAGACGGTAGTCAAAACCCATATCATTTGGCAGAACACGACGATTCAAACGACGAAGACGAAGAAGACGATACAGTTGATCTAGTTGACGATCCTGTCCCTCCTTACCACACGACCATACTGACCGTCTGTCCTTTACCGGACTGTCCGTCTGACAGACCATTTCTTGACACCACAGCACTGACAGATCACTTTAAAGCGGATCATCAGGCGACGTTCAAAAACTTGCACCATATGTATATGGCGCTTGATCCTTATTTGAAGCGTTGGGGCGCATTGCTCCGCTCGAAACCGATTGCCGAGTATGGGACGGCAGATAGTGATAACGAGGATGGTATGTTAAAACGCAGAGATTCGGACGGGAAGGAGGAGTTTACTATCCCTAAAGATTGCCGTTGTGAGAACGGTCCTCTTCTGGCAACTAGCGTAGGGATTGTTTGCTCGGCGGCACCGAGAGGCTATGCTTTTGTCTGTGGCTTGCTTTAGTACATAATGACTAATGCGCACTATATTTTACTCGACAAACAAATAGTGTATATCATTGATCCCCGAAAATGCGAGCTGGATCAGAAATTACGAACTGAGATGCAACGACATGCTTTGGTAACAGTCTCCGCTTTTTGAGTGTGCACGCGCGTAAACGATAACCTAATGGGCTAACATAAAGAGCGAAAACTCTAGGATGAAGTCCTTAGTGTTCAGCAAAAGGAACGTGACGGACCTGCTAAAGAGCCACGAAAATGTTTGTTCTGCAAAGTCATTTGTGATAATAGGTAAAAAGAAATATCTGGCGTGTATATATTTAAGCTGGAAAGCTGATCAAAACACAATTATTCTAGAACCGCATTGTTCAAACACATGTTTTCAGAACACAACTTTAATATTGGTCTTCCGGATAACATTGTGAATGTGAACGAGTTCTTGGACTTATTGGAGAGCAAGTTGATAAAGTATGACATTTTGGAGGGAACGGAGAATAATGTAATTTTAGGCCATACTAATGTCTCTCTTGTTTATAGACTTCAGTGTCTTTATTGTGAGAAGACTTTCACAAGTGCACCCGTCCTGCGCAAGCATATGCGCAAGAAGAAGCACTTTAAGATCGCTTCAAAGAACCGACAGTACGACAAGTTTTATGTCATCAATTACTTGGAACCTGGCAAAAATTGGGAACATTTCGAACGCGACAATTGTGAAAGCGATGAAGAAAAGTCGGATGCAACAGATGAGTAAGTTGATATCTTTTCTCGTGATTGTTTTGTTGGTATTCTGCTTTCATGTAATGCCATCAATATATCTCACCAAAATGTTTAAAAAATCAGCTCATGGGCGGAATGGGATGAAGAAGAGCCAGAGGTATCCATGTGTTTGTTGTGTCCTCAAACCGAATCATCGCCACAAGAAGCATGGAGTCATATGGAAAAGAAGCACGCATTTGATCTGAACAGGATACGAAAACAACTTGGTAATGACTGATGCCATGGCGAGTTTTTAAAAAAAAGTGAAAAGTGAAAAAATACATTAACATCTTGTATTTTGTCTTTGCTAGGTCTTGACTTCTATAAGACGATCGTGCTTATTAACTATATTCGCCATCAGTCATCGCTGGACAAATGCTTCGTTTGTGGAACGACAGTTGACGATTTTGCAATACTGGAAAAGCATTTGGAAGAGAAGAACTGTGTGACAAAACCGTTGGATGCCAATGCCGATTTCTGGAAGGATCCAAAGTAAGCTTTCGTGTCAACTAATCCGCTTGTGGTATGGATTGGAGTATGCTGACATCGTCGTTGTTTTGTGTAGATATTTATTGCCAACGTATGAGGGTGATCCTTTACTCACTGGATTCGATGATGACAGTGATATGGAAGACGATGAAAAAGAGACAACAACAACGAAACAATAATACGTACTTGGCCAAATCACCACCTAATAATAATGGGACGACCAGCTTTCGAATAATGGGGAAAAAGGTATCCGTCGATCCAATACTATTATTACTATTTGAATATATACTAGATAACCTGGGCATACTTTATGCGGATATATTTTCGATGTGCGTAAAGTTGTGTGTGAATAATAATAAGAAAAAAAAACAATTATTTTGCTACGACAATGATCAAAGCGAGCACACAGGCGACCACAGTGATGATGAGCAAAAGACAGCACATGTTCTTCCTTGCACTCTTTTGATGACGATTTGCGGTTGTAAGCTCGTCAGCTGCCTGTCGCGTGTTCTGGGCAATGTTGAGCACGTTTCCATATATGCTTTCTACAGGGACAAGACAGATTCAGATCAGTATAGTTACATATCATGTAACACACGTTATACAACACAACGATGAACAACTTACGAATGCCACTCTCTTGTTCGTTCACTAACATGCCAAGGTCTCGGAAGATTTCATTCAACTCTGTAATGCCTTGTTCAATGCCCTGTATTTCTCCTTCACGCTCGGTAATGAGCACTTCATTATATTCAATCTCGTTATCAAGCGCCTGGATCTGAAGTCGTCTCTGTGTATCATCCACTGGCGGTAATTCGGTTTGTTGTTGTTGTTGTTGTTGTTGCTGGTGCAGTCCATCCTCTCCAGCTCTACCATCAATAATTCAAGTCTATTAGGGTCTCGTTGTGGAATTACAAGCAAAGCTTGCTTTGTATATATATATATATATACGTTAAACACGTACGCTGCTTGTGATTGGAGCATGGCAGATGTTGCCTTGGCCTTATCGACATATTCACGCTGCTTGCTTGCAGACACGCGCTGAATCTTCTGGAAATCGCCTAATACTTTTTGAAAATCTTTTGAAAGCTTTTGCTGCTCGAGTTTTCGTTGGCGCTGCACGGCACACATAACAAGAAGTATGGTAAATGACTAATCCCTTGTTCGCGTTCCATCACATATACAGCTAGAACGAAAAAACTTACGGACTTCCGCGGATCTGACGTCTGAAATTGTGCGAGCGACTTGATATCGTTTGTTGAGTCCTTGATTAGCTCTCGTGTGGATTCAGTAACATCGTGTCTATTTGCGATAACAGGGATATATATATATATATATATATATCGATATTTAAAAGGCTGTTACCTCACTGCCTTTTTCCGCCAAAAGTTTCTTCCCACTTACAGTTTACTGCGCACATCGGTGGTATCTCTCGGTCCGCCTAAGAAGCCGACCAAACGTTCAATGCTCGTAATGTTGCCATTGATATGAAAGACTTGTTGTGAAACTCGTTGCGTAAGAGCCTTATAGTCTCGATCGTCGTCGTTGTCTCCAAAACCACCACCACCACCGCCTGTATACAATTTCGTCGTTTGATAAGCCCGCTGTATCAATCGCCATTATTACAAGAAAAAGAAAAAGAAAGAATGTAATTCTTTCATTACCAGCAAGAGGAGAAGATCTCGCTGGAGTGCTGCTCCTGGATGTACCACCGTACCCCTGTTCTAGATCGTTGAAGGACATTTATGTGTGCGTTTAAGGGAAATAAAAAAATAGGTTATAAAAAAAGAAGGGAAAAAGGCTCGCCAAGGTCGTCGTCGGACCATCATTACAAGAAGGGACCATCAGCCATTGGTTTTGTGTGACGCGAGCTGAGGCCAATTCAGCGCGCTGCATTGTTTCACTTTCTCCCCTCTCATACAATTTTCTCTCTCTGGGAACCTAGCAGTAGCAGTGCTATTCTCCAATGGTGCTAACACCATGATAGCCAGTAAGGTACTGCTGATATAGGCAGTAGCACAGCTACGCGTAAAGCTACAGAGTTGAAACGTGTGTGTGCAAAAAGCAATGCACATAAACCACCACCACCACAACAACAACAACAAACGTAGCACAACGGACCGAGTGCTGCTGCTGCTGCCGACGTTAGTGTGTGATGCGCTGGGTAAACGCCACCAGTGTTTCAACCCCTTTGCTCTTGCGACATTGCCCCTGCATCCCACAACCATAACCCATTGGGTTGTGCTGTACGGGAATTGAGAGAAAGAGAAAGAGAAAGGAAGAGGCCGATTGCTTATTGAATAAGCGACACTGCAACCTTTTTTTGTTTCCCTTGCTTTTTCTATTCCTGCTCCCTTCTTCCCCCACTCATAACCCATTCTTGTCTTCTTTACTCTTTGCTCTCCTCCAGCCTGTGCATATCATATCTATTTACCTTCTTGCTATCTATCTCATTCTATCTATAGTATTTCTTACTAAGAGCAGCAATAACAGCGACAACTACGGCCACGTTTTCGCTATCCTTTTTTTCTCTTCGTTCCTCTTATTTACAATAAGAACAGCCCAACGCGCGCGCGGCATGGCTGTTAACGATCTTCAGCTTGCATCAAACAACATATCAGCAACCACAGCAACACAGACAGTTGTCGATGAAGATTTTAATCGTCATCATCATCACCAGCACGACAAGCCAATTCATAAAACGCCAATAGTTGTAGCAGCAGCCGCGGATGGTATACACTTTTGTTTTCTTTTATCATCATGATTCAACAGCATAAATTTCAAAAGCAGATGCTAACGTGATGTTGACATTCGGCACACAGAGCAGAAACAACAACAACAGCAGCAGCCCGAAGATCATCAACAACAACAACATCACCACCGATACGAAGAAGATTTTTCATCATCTCCATCTTCATCGTCGTCATCTTCTTCTTCTTCTTCTTCTTCCTCAGCTGCATCTGTAGTATCTTCGTCAGCAGCGGCAGATTCAGCATCATCGCAGAACAAAAGGACCACAAGCACAGAATATGCACCAACAACGTTTGAAGCAGAAGGAAGAGCAGGTTAGTTAGTTTGTGTTTCTTTTGCAGCACATGCAGGATTCATTTTTAGATTTATACAAACACAAAACACTCAAACAAAATATCAAAAACACTAATATGTAGTAGAATACGCAGACAATGACTACGGGAATGACAAGCATGTCCATCAAAGCAAACCGGTGGAGCATGTTCCGAATGTCTGGCAACAGCAGAAGCTGCTATCTAAAGAAATCAAAGACCAGCACATTTTGGACTGCCAAAAGCGTGGCGTTAATGACACGCCGCCGCATCAGCAACAACAACAACAGAGTACCGCTGAAAATCACAGCACGACAGCTAAATCACTGGCTGTCACAGAAAGCAACAGTGGCTGTAATAACAATCCTTCATTGGTGGCAGCAGCATCTCGCTTGATACAGTCTGGCGGCGAACAAAAACGCACCACCAAGCGCGGTCGCCGGTCATCTGATCATCACAAACGTGCAGCTGTTTCCAATCACAACCGCAAACTCCATGCCAACAACAGCAAAGCCAGCAGCAATAATAACAACAACAATAACAACAACAACAACGCCACTTTAGCTGTGTCAAAAACAAACAGTAACTGCAGCGACACCCATGCCAAGCAGCAGCAACAACAACAACAACAAGACCGTGTTGTCCCATCGGATGAAATCGCGCTCTTCATGCGATGCAAAAAGCGATACTCTGATCCGCACTTTGAGCCCATCCCGCCGTTACCAGGGGGCTGGGACGAAGTAACGCCAGACCGTGTAATAACATGGGAGCAAACGGCAAATATGCTCGACGACTTTTCCTCCTATAAACCAAGCGATCCAGACTGGAAAAACAGACTACCCTGGTCTCGCGATCACCGCCACACTACGACAATGGTAACAAAGGTTGGTAGCGCCACTACTATTACCAAAGATAAGCCGCCCTTTATTGCAGGAAAGGCGACAGGAACATCTGCAACTTTTGGCACAGACAAAGCTGTTACCGCGACTACGACGATGACAACAACAACTGCCGCTGCTGCTACTAGTTCTACTACTACTACTATCACTACTACCAGCAACAACAACAACAACAAAGCCACCAACAACGACTTATCAGCACCACCATCCCAAGTACCAGCACCCTCAAGAAAATCACGTCAAGGTGCATGGAAACCTGTTCCAATTCAGACCAATAAACATTATCTCCAAGCACCATTTTGCGCGATACCATATCCTCCAGTAACCACACCGCCTCCATTGCTTGACGGAAAGACACATCCACAGGGTAGTAAAAAAGAAATAATCTCACCTCTTTTTTGCGTTGTACAGCACTAAACTAAAAAGTACAAACAAACATAGACTCTCTAACTCCATCGTCAACACTTGTCAACGGGAATAATAATAACAGCAACTATACCCGAACTTCACTTACTGCTTTCCCAACTACAACAACAACAGCAGCAGCAGACACATTCCTTAATCAATCTGGATTTTCTACAGGAACATCTCACCAACTCTTCGAACAACGGGCACCACCGCTATGGGATACTGAAAACGGCAACCCTAGCGGTAACAGCAATAACAATACTCGCCCTTCTTACAATAGTAGACGGGCATCCACCTACAGTTTGGAAATCCATACGGGCAATCATCAGGCGTTGCATCCCGTTTCTGCTATGCGCCGATTATCGTATGGACATGACAATAACAACAGCACCCCTCGAACCAGCGATCCGTTCATGAGCGCGTGCTCGCCGTGGAGTCCTAATTTGCCGGATTGGTCGAACTACAGAGGTAAATATTTTGCTTTTGTATTTTCTGGAGCTAAAACAGCGCTATTCTCAGTTGTGAAGCAATGCAATTCACACACTTACACAACACTTTGTTCGATTCGGTTTAGCTCCTCATCCACCCCATCCTACCCCTACTCCACATCAGCAAGAATGGACTCCTCCAGTGTCACCATGGAGTGCAGACAGCAAACGAAGCGGCAGCTTTACCAACACTTCGCCATCGTTTCCATCGTCTTCACCATCCGACATCATCCCCTCCGAGAATAGTAGCAGCACTTGGGAAGAGCGCTTTGCCAGCATCCTCAGAGTAGTCGACGATGACAATGCCAACATGGCCGCAATCGCATCCCAGCCGCAACAACAACAACAACAGTTTGTCAAAGACAACACATGGCCACTTTCGCCTCCCCCAATACCTCCTCCTCCAACTTCAACAACGACAGCAGCGATTGACTGTGGTTTAAAACGTCACTCTAGCTACAATGATGTCCATCCACGCAACCTGTGGAACAATAGTAATGCCAGCATGATCAGCATTAGCAACCACAAGAACGCTAGTATCACTGGCAACGTTAGTAACGGCGATGGCGCGAAAACAGATACTGCAGGGAGCGGCGGCAGCAGCAGCAGTGTTGGCATGGGCCTTTTAGTCGCCAACACGCAGCTTTTGCAGAACATGGTGCAGATGGGGCACTTGGGGTGCCGCCATTGCGGTGCTGGAACCCACTCGACTCCAAGAGACTGCCCGTATGTACCGATCATGAGCTATCAAGATGCATGGCTCCAGTTGCTGCAAGCCGGGCATCGGTGCGATACTGCTTTGTTTATGGAAGCCATTGATGTGTATTCAAAAGCGCGGCCCAACGAGACACTGCCTAGCATTGCTCGACGTTTGCACGACGCAGGGTCAGCTCTTCAACTCGTCGCACTAGACAATAACCTGCTTCCAAGTACGACCATTCTTGTTGACTTACAAGGCATGATGCGTCGCAAATACACCGCTGTGGCCATGGTGGCTCCCTTTTCACCTGTGACTCCAAGCAACTACAACTTTTCAGCAGCACCGGTAGGAAGCAAGGATGAATATTGGAACCACCATCAGCAGCAACATCGCTACTATGGCAGTGGCGGTTTCCAATGCAAGAACAACAAGCCTGGAATGCCAGAATCAGCTGAGCAAAACATGGCAAGGCTCGCAGAAGCTGGCTTTGCTCGAGACCTCACAGAGATAGCTTGCTGCACGTTATGCAAACAATCGGGTCATTGGGCGAAAGATTGTGCTGCACGTACAACAAAACCAACAACGACGACAACAACAACAACATACCATCCTCCTCCTCCGTCACAAGATTTATTGTCGTCGTCGTTTCATCATCATCACCATCATCATCATCAGCAACAGCAACAACGGCCTTTTTCACGACGCCATCAATCAGCCGGCAATATTTTCAACTCAGTGATGAATACATTGGGGCCAGCTAGTAAAGATACTCCACCAATTCGTGAGCGACGATTTAACTCCTTTGTGTCGGATAATACCTCCATCTTTGACACGATGACGACAACATCAGCTGTTCCTCCTCCTCTATCAAAAAACACAGCAACTGCTTCTACTAATGATGGTGCAGCAGCTGTGCGATCTACCACAACAAGAAAACAGTTTGATTTTGTAAATGGCAATGCCCCGGATTCAGGTCGTCGACTTTATTACAACTTAACTGAATATGTGCTTGTTGATGGTATTTAGCCCTTTATATTAGTTATTTGAAATCACGTAAATATGCAGTACCGCATGTCGTAGTACCTGTCGTAGTAGTGCGCTGTTGTTATATAACAATACGTACATCTTCTTCTTCATCAGAGCCATCGTATTACAATGGCATTTGCTTTTCTTATTCACCATATTACATTTGTTTTATCAAAAGTCACTGTTTTTTGTTCTATATGATACTTTTGTCGCTCCTCCCCGATATATATATGATATATATAGCTTTTCTAAATACTTGAATAAATACTTCTTTATAACTAATTGCTACTACATTCTGTTAAAAAAAACCTTGTCCGATATAGCAGCAATAGCCAGCAATTTACCAGCAGTAAACAACGACAGAAGAAATACTATGTTGATCTCAGTTCTTAGACATACAGTCAGCTCTCGCTTTTGCAGTACAAACAGTATTTATTTTAGATAGTATAGGTGAAATTGGCAGGACGGCAACATCCTTTGAGCAATTTGCCAGCCATTTTTGTGGATCGAAGGAATCGTGAATACATAATCAAGCGGGGAAACCCTCAGGGGAAGAAAATGCAGGTTGTGGAAAGGTGATGTAGCGAGGGTAAACGATGCTTAGATATTACAAAGAGAAGAAAAAATATACAGATACCTTTGTAAGAGACAAAGGTAAATATGAGAAGAGAGCGACGAGTGTTGGTGACCAGGATATATTACTAGCCCGAAGTTCTCGTGTTGTGCACGATCGTTTTTGCAGACCCTCAGTTTCTGCAGCAGTTTGCAGATCTAGAAAGGCTTCCTGCAATTTCCCGCCAAGCATCTATAGTTGAGACATTTTGTTATATGATTATTGTTGGAAAACGTTTGCCAGCTGTGATTGTTTTGAGTGACACTAGTTGCAGTAAGTTTCGTTGATTTTGCATATCTCATCCATGTTTTACTTCATCTAGGAAGCCAATGACTATTTGCATCTAATCAGTCTTCTCATAGGCATTTTTTAAAGTAAGGTTGGCTCTTTGACATTCAATTCACACGTGACCCTATTAACCTCAGCAATTGCAGCCTCTTGTAGCTTTTCATCGCCCATTACAGCCTGAATGATTTCACCATCAGTCAATGTTGGATGCACAGCAGCCATATCCCCTCTGGAAGAGCAGCATTAAACATCTTACCATTGAGGATACACAGCCGTATATCAGCTCTATATCTGCTGTAATCTGCTGTATAACCTCCTTGTGAGCATTGACCAATTCAACACTTGTTGTGTTGTTTTTAGCAATTATTCCGTCCAGAATATTTTTTTAAAGCAGTTGAAGATGGTCTCCTTCAATAACGTTTATGTTGACAATATATATAATATTTATAAATGACAAACTATACTGATGTATAGAAACTGTTTGTCCTTCATTGGCTTATAATCAGTGAGGGCTCATGGCTATATTATTTTTTTCCCTTAGTTATCATTTCGTATTTTGCAGCCTGATTACCCAAAATCCCATGGCTGCAAAAAGCGGGGGCTGACTGTATATATAATTTTATACTGCTGCAGTTTATATCATAAATTAAGATTTGCCATTATATGTCAAATTCGACAAATTCACACTAGAATTTGTGAAGTATGCACATCATCGCTGTGTTAATGCAGTAGCAAAAAAAAGCTGCAAAGCACAGCATTACTCGTCGATAAGTTATTAGACGAATGGCTAAACTTAAATAAAGCCATCCTGGCAGTATGAAATATAAAATATGTTAGTACTAATATCGCACCGCAGCTTCATCAGAATTAAGCAGGTGAGTGATGACCATTACGGATGTATATATTATATAAAGCAGCAGGACTTACCAAAAAAATATCGCTTTATATGTGAAGTTTACAAAGGCATCACTACTGTATATTATCCACAGAGAGTATGCACATTATCGAAACAGTATGTTTACTAGTAAAGATCCTTCTTGGAAGAACCGTAATCCTAGTGCGAAAACACAGACAGATGCACGGCATTGAAAGAGTGAGAGAAATTCTCGCAAACAGCTAAGCACTACATTCACTTCTAAACGTAGCGACTGTAGAGCACCAGCATCACTAAGAATTTCTTAGTGTAGGTAAATTATTGGCACACCAGAACCAACAGGAGGTTGTGCTGAGACATCCTAAACATAATAAGTTTGCTGTATAATATAGGAATTAATTGGACCGGGCATCTCATCATCAAGATAGTTTCAAGCACGGAGGATGGATGCTGATACAATAATGCCCAATATCGGCTCGTGCAATAATCAGCGTCTCTCTTCAAGCCCCTCGTCCTTATATGAATCGAATGAGTAACTGTATAAACGAAAGTGTGTGGAAATAGGTAACTTAGAAGTGGCGTTGTCGATTTTTCTCCCTATTTGATCCACTTTACTATACTTAGAGGTCATGCTTGTGTGACCAAAGCTGGCAATGGGTAGGTTTTTCTCGTCACGTTCTCAAATATAAAAAGAGCCAGCTGACCCCTATGATGAGAGGAGGCAAAGGTAGTAGTAGTATCTAGTATAGATGACCGACGCGCTGATAAATAATAAGATATATCGTACAATGAATTAAAATAACTTGTTTTCAAAGAAGAAAACAGGTTACAACTCCCCCTGTTTTATTCCGTGAATGGCAATGTTTTTCTATATCCCCTTTTGGGTCTCTTTTGTTCCTGCAAAAAAGAGCGCGAGCGAAACAGTATATGGAATTGAAGTGCCGACCTTTTTGTTTTAGTTTTTCATAAAACTACAGTTGTTCTTTCTTTTTGCCTAGGAATGGTCGAACATTCAATTCAAAACAGCACGAATGACAACTCCAAAAACGACATGAATGCCAGCAGCGGCAACAACAACCACAACAACAACACAAGTCGCGTCGGTGCCGACTCAACGATACGGTTCAACGGATCCATCCCGACTTCCGAACTCGGCAAAACCTTTGCGTCCAAACATATCGAACTGGCCTCAATCGCTATTCGTGCAACCGCCCAAACGTCCTTGTTCCCTGAACTCGCTTCTGCTCAATTCCACCACAATCGTCGTTATGAATGGAAGAGACACCCGCTTTCTCCGTCAACGTCACTACTACCTTTGCGGCTCAGCCATAACAACAGTAACAACAACAATATACATAACAACGTGTCAAAATCGTCCGCAACGACAAGTGGTGAAGGCGGCGTCGGCGACTACGACGACGATTATGATGAATGTAGAACAAAGGTATCAGCATCTCGGAAAACGGTTACGTTCAAAAGGGACGTTGATAAGATTATTATATCGGATCCGTCAACGACACCCGAGTCCGGCTCGAATATCGTGGATGATGATAACGACGATCCAGAGGATGATACAACCGATGATTTTGACGAGGAAGAAGTGTTTTTCGTTGCCGGAGCTCCAGTGCCGACCCAAGATGACGATAATGCCATTAACAGTACTTTGGAAAGACAAGAGCAAGAGCACGAGCAACAACAGGAGAATAGTGGTGATATAAAAAACGATGGCAGCGACAACAGCAACGATGATTATGATAATCGCCGCGACGACCATGACGATATTAGTAGTGCTGATAAGACTAGCGACGATAATGATGATAATATTCGTAGCGGGCCGCTACTGCTATCTCGTAAAGATGCCTCTGATGGCAGCGCTAACGAGCAACAAGAAAGAGAGAGTCATCACCAGCACGAGATTATCGACGGTGGCTCCTCGACCCCCTCGACGATTCCAACCACAGTCGAGCGCGATGTAAAAGATGTAAAGGAGACCACTGCAGCGAAGAAAGAAGCTCAGCAGCATCGGAAAGGACAGCGCATATCCCGAGACGAGGTATTGAGTCAACTAGCAAAACGGAAGCATTTTCAGGGGACATGGAACTCAACCCAGATTCCAAACTTTCATGCCGGTCCACCCATCAACTCGGCCAAGTCCTTTCAATCCGTGGAAAGCCAAATCATGGACGCCATTCTCAAAGTCAAAGCGACCAACCAATACCGTGCAGCGACGCCAACAAAAACCCAAAGCATGCCTGCTCTGGTCAGCCACCGTGGCCCGGGATCTTCTTTGGACACAAGAGAAGAGGGAGGAGAGGACGAACGTAGTAACGAAAGATGTGCTTCTGAATATGGTGGCGGTGATAACAGCAGCAGGAGCAGCAGGAGCAACAGCAGACGCAGTATCAGCACAAACCCCACGCAGGAGCCAATCTTATTACGATCTCTGACAGATACCCCTAAAAGTCAGGACGTTGATTTTGGAGTGTCGGTTATGAACGAAATCGATAAGATCACGTCAAAAAAGGTAAGCGATTCATGTTCATCCTCGGCACTTGTCAGTTTCATGGTCAGCATTGAAAACTTAGAAAAGTGACTCTACATGTTTTCAATCTATCTTCAGGCCAAAAAAATCTACAAGGCGCGACAAAGCTCTACTGTTGTCCATGCGTCAAAAACACTGCTTGACGACGGCGGGATTGAGGAGCAGAGCGTTCATGAGAACGGATCCATAACTTCAGCGATTCCTATGGAACCGATATGGCGAGAATTTAAGTCCTTTGAGGTACTGTAAACATTTTATATGAGCTAATTTCGGATGTTATGTTTATACTTTGCTTGTTTCTGTCGCACAGGAGGGTACACATTTGTTGCCACCCGCTACAAGCGCTGGACAGAAGGGCAGGTTGTACATCCGTGTTATCGCAGCGGAGAATCTAGATTTTCCTATCCACTCAGGTACATGTCGTGGACAGAATAAGTTGAATTAGAATGAGTGAATAACACTTTGGTATGCACGGTATCATTAGATGCACCACAAATTCGATGTGTCCTCAGTAACGGGAATTCTGAGCAGAGCACAGAATTTCACACCATGAAACACAACATTTCATTTGATCACGATTTTTACATGCAAGTAACAAACCATTTCCACGACGATAATCACATTCTCTTTATCAAAGCGAAGGGCTGAACTTACACACGCCATAATTTACATAGTGATATCGAACCATCCTCGGAATTTGCAATAACGTTGGTTGCAGGTCAACCTAAAGCAAAAAGTAATCAATTCCGCAAGCTGCTAGGTAACCGGAGACGATCCAGAACAGACAGTATCTTGCGATATGTGAACCGAATGGATGGATCACTGGCGCAGACACGAGTATCGCTTGACAGCATCGAGTCACAATGTCGATCCAAATTATGCACGGCTTCTTTTGCACTTATTAACGGCTGGTACCAATACGCTCGTCTTGGAGGGATTATACCGACACACAAGAAGGGTCGGCTTGGTGGTGGTGTTCCGGAAAAAGCTGTTGGAAAAATCACGGTCAAATTGTTTTTCCTCCCATACGATGGTTCCAAGGTGGGAGAAAAAGAAGAAAGAAAGAACCAAATAGCTAAATCTCTAATCTTTTTATTGGATATTCGTAGATTGAAAAGCTACCGGTCAACATGTATGATTGTGAGCAAGCACTGAATGTCCGACGTTATTCCCGTACATGCTGGCAGACTGGATACATGTCACAACTAGGAGGAGATGTCAAGGCATGTATATTGTTATAGACAGGTGTGCCGTTTAGTGCCATACATAAAAGCAAAAAGAAGCTAACTGACTACATTTTCAGTTTTGGAGACGACGCTACTTCAGTTTACGAGGATGGCGACTGTTTTCATACTCTGACGTTAAACGGACGCCTAGAATCATCATTGATCTGTCCAAAGCCGTTACACTTGCTGCCGACCATCGCATTATCGTTCCGCCTAGAACAGTTGACGATTCCTCGTCAACAGCAACTGGGACCACGACTACAGTCAGCCATGCGCACCCCTCTCAACAAGGTGATAGATGTTCAATCAACAGCAACGCAACCACCACAACATCCGAGGACGAGCTTGTATCGTATTCAGTCAAGAATGGTTTCCGGATCACGTTCAAAAACGGAGAATCGGTTGATTTTTTCTGCGACTCAGCAAAGGAACGTGATGGATGGTTGGAGGTGCTCAAGGTCATAATCAATCGGGTTCCTGGCTGGCCTGATTGGATGGACACGGATGGCGACGTTGAGTGCGATTACACCGAGAACAGTGGCACAACCATCAATGTGCCTCCACAAGACGTTCGATAGCGGCAAACCTTTCCTTTCTTATTTTCTTTCTTTGTGTATCTCCATGTCTTGCTTCATCAAATCATTTTTATACGTCATCGTTCCACATCAACACCATCACTACTTAAACCTTACCAAACTTACCATCGTCACATCCTTTTGAACTATGATCAGTGAGTGCTACTGAGTAATTCGTGCACGCACGGCATAATCCGCTTACAAATCTTCACTCTCTTCCTCCATACAACCACCCATTCACGAGACTACTACTATTACTTTTGCCACAAAATACCAATACCCATTTATTTTCTGTTTTTTATCATTCCTCCTCAAGTAGCATATCTATATATTTAACTACTTAATAGTACATAATATCTTAAACATACATAAAGAAGTTCACTTTATGCCACTCGAAAGGAGCTTGGACGAGCCTAGTGGTGGATGCTGCTACTGTACATACTGTTATCACGATCCTACTCATACGTAGTGCTACGATCCTGCAGAAAGCAACGTTACCTCAAAGCGTATCACTTAAAAAATCTATCAGATGCTCATGAATTTTCTGAAAAAGCAATTCTGCTTATACACAAATTGTTGATAACACTAGACGATGGATGACTTATGCGCTTTGAATGTTTATACGTCAGATCATGATTCAGTCGAACATTGAAGTGTTGTCCATCATAATATATATATATATATACTGAAATTGCTAGATAATTTGTTTGTCGATGTTGGGGATCTTTTTGAGCACGAAGACTTTCGGGCCGGGCCCCCACTTGGCACTCAAGGAGAATAGACTAAACAACATCTGCAGATCCGCTTGAGCCTATCATGAACCAATTCTCTCAGTCGGCTACTGAAGAGTCGTCGCTTCGGACCGGAGTTTGCCAATTGGTAGTGGCGACACAAACCCACGTTTTGACATACCGCCAAATTACCAGGCGTTGAGCGTTTCCTTGCAGCACCTTTTTTATTTTAACTCAACTCGATCGAATGATCGATGATGCTCTTTTTCACCCCAAGAAAAAAATAAGCGCGGCAGTTTAAAAAATAACAAACGATGAGTAGCACGCACGACATTAATAGCATCTCAAGTAACACACATATGATGTCAGCTCTATAAGGCTCTATGCTTTCTTTAAAACTGACCACAATTGAATATCAAAGGGGTGTGGGGAGATTCTTCGTTGGTTGTCAACCCCACCGTTGCATTATTGTAAGTTTGAAGCTTAATTTTACTGTTAATTTTGAGATTCCAGGATCTGACAATACCGTCGTTCAGCAACGTCCCAGTCATCCGTGCGAGGGGACGCGGGACCCGGCGGGAAATAGGCGAGCACGTTGGGTCGGGAAATCAGATATTTACGGTTACTCAAATACCAGAAGTAAAAAAAAAAAAAGACTTGGGCGGATGGAGTCCATAATCATGGGTGTTGGGTACTTCGGGGCCCCACTTTTTTTAAAGCAAGGGCAAGAAATGGTAGCCACCATGGAGTAGTTGCCCCCACACATATTACTTTCATGTGTCGTTATCCAACCTCAAAGTTGATAGTATTGAATAAGGGCACATATATTCAAAAACAACCCTATTGCTTTTTTGAAGGGCGGATCGCTCCGGATCATTGCGACGTCCCGCCACATACCGCATACCGTTTTCCTTGAAAGATGCGGGAAATTGTGCACATCATTATTCTCTCCTGGACCTTGCGCGCGGATTTGGACTGTGCTACGTGCCGTTAAGCTTTACATCTCATGTTTGATCGTCTTGAACGATATTCAGAAAGCAGGTCGTACTGCTGTCAAGTTCGGTATCGTGAGAAGAAATCAGAAAGTGGTAACAGCTTCATTGTTGATAGTCGCTGCTATATGTCGTCAGCTGCACATCTGTGAATGCCGATGAAATAGCAAGACCCTCGACTTTCGGCCACGACCTTCGTGTCAAGCCCTTTGTAAACAATGGCATACTAGTAAAGTTTGCCACGTCAAATGCAATACCATCTTAAAACTACATGTATCAATTCCACTGCTATACTAAGCTATTATAGAAAGTTGGTATGTGTATACGATGACAAATTCGTCTTATCTCTTCTGCAGCTTCCATTATAGTGACGCCATGGAAATCCATCTGCCAAAAAAAATATTCAGGGTCCCTACACCCCTTCTTCTGGCAACTCTCGATGTCATTCTCATTTGCTGAAGCTGAATGACAAAAAAGATAAATCCGCACTAGTTGGGCCGAACGCTCCGATTCGTATGTTTCGAACACCAGGCAGCTAGGTAGTTTGTCCGAATTAAAATAACGAGGACCTACTCGACCGCGACTTTTTACCTGCTCTTTCTCTTCTTTTTCTTTTTTACTCATCAGGCCAAAAGAAAAATGGATTCCAGAACAGCTGGTCTGCGGCCTTTTGTCGTTTTCTGTGTCGTTATTGCCAGTGTTGGTGCCTTCAGCAATGGTATCAACACGAGTTCCCTCAACATCCCTGGCGACTATGTCAAGAACTGCCCTGATGTGCCTGTTGGTGAAGTGACTTACTTTGAAGGCAGCTCAATTCCTAAATGTATTCCTATGGGCGATTGGATTTGGTAAGCTTCATCCTCAACTATTAAACATATACTTCCAAGAGCTAGTAGCGTTAATGACAACTTTGGAAAACTATCGTCAAATTTTCTAGGGGTGTCGCAACTGGTATGTTTGCTGTCGGTGGTTTGCTCGGTGCCTTGGCTTCTGGTCCATTGGCTGAACGATTTGGTCGTCGTGACTCTATGCTTATGATGAACACTACTTTCTTTATCGGTGCTGCCTTGCTTTCTACCTCGACCACCAGTGGTCAGTTTGCAGTTGGAAGAATTTTCGTTGGTGCCGGTTCCGGTTTTATGGTATGTACTGTACATAACACCAAATTGCTACTACTAGCCACCTTCTGTATTTACTGATACCTCCTCCATCGCAACTCGTTATCCAGACTGTCGTTATCAGTATGTATATTGCCGAAGTCGCACCCCCACCAACGCGCGGTGCTCTTGGTTGTTTCCTTCAGCTGTTCATGACTTTCGGTATCTTGCTTATTCAAGCCATTGGTCTTGGTTTGCGCTCTTCTGTCGGCTGGCGTGTTGCCACCGTCATCACTGTCGCTCCTGCCATCGTTCAAATGGCTTTGTTGCCCTTTTGTCCCCGCTCTCCCAGATGGCTTATCTCTCGAGGCCGTATCGACGAAGCCCGTGCCGAACTTTTGCGTCTCCGTAACGGTGATATTGAAGAAGAATTTGCCGATATGATCCTCGGTGTCTCCACCAGCCACAACGAAGACACCAAGAAGGCTCTTGCCGAAGGCGACAAGGATTCTGCCTACGACAACGAGAAGGCATCCAGCAACGCTAACAGTGGCTCGGTCGATACCAACCTGTCATTCTTCCAAGTCATACGTATTCCGGTACTTGCTTGGCTTACTCTCAAGATGTGTATCGTCCACGCTTCTTCCCAGCTTAACGGTATCAACGCCATTATGTACTACTCGACCAACATTTTCGCTACCTCGTTCGACGGTGATGCTCCCTACGTCACTGTTGGCGTAGCTGGTCTCAACGTCGTCGTTACCATTATCGGCCTTTTGCTTGTCGATAGACTGGGTCGCAAGTTCTTACTCTTGTTCTCTTCGATGGGCATGTGCTTGTTTGCCGCCATCATGACCATTGCCCTTCGCTTCGAAGTCTCCGCTCTTCAGGTTGTTTGCGTCATGTTGTTCGTGTCTTCATTCGCTGTCGGTCTTGGTACCATCCCCTTCTTGATCACCGCCGAAGTTTACCCTACTTATGCTGTTGGTGCCGCTTCGTCCGCTGCCTTGGTCATCAACTGGCTCTGCAACTTCATTATTGGTCTTGTTTTCCCTGCATTGCAAAGCGCATGTGGTCCTTATGTCTTTTTGATCTTCACTGGTATTGCTGCTGCATCATCCGTCTTCATGTTCTTCTACGTCCCCGAGACGAAGCGGAAATCTATTGAAGACATTGGTCGTTCGCTCGGCTGGTACGATCTTGACATTCAGCAATACTTGAACAAGAAGAAATAAGATTTTCTAATATATATATAGAAAATCATATTCTATCTTCTTAATCCCTTAATTTCTACTCCATTCCCCTTTCTTCCAAACATTTATATATTCACATCGTCTTCCGTATTTGCTTTTTTCACTTATTCCTCCACTTTTTTCCTATATTTGCTACGTTATTTCTCATCGGTCCGCACTTTTTTTTTGTCTTTACCTCATTTGCCCTGAATTTATCTAGTAGCAAACATGTTTACATATCAAAATGTGTAATTTTCTGTACCATAATTAAATCACTTTCTTTTCGTATATAAACCTGACGTTTCTTGACGTGAGCTGTAACTATTGATGCTGTCTGTGTTCTTGTTTCTACTATTACTATATCAACGAGCCTGATCGCAATCGCATCCTGGTCTTGAGCCCCTCCGCTTTGCTATGTGTCAATCCCTACGGCTCGGAGGCTCGTTGCAGCAGTTTTATACTAGCATTCGGGTATACATACACTACAATCGATATCTTCATATTAAGACATGTTGTCTAATTACATAATAGCAAGATTTCGTTTAACTACTACTATCGAAAATATATTCTTGAAACCCCCTCTTTGTATCGTACGTAGTGCCTAAGAAGTGATGAGATTGCAGATAACTAAGCCAATGATGTCAAATCATTGACGGGAAGCAGCCCGTTTCACAATTGGCCTTTTATTGTAGAGATCCATCAAAGCAAATATATAACTAGAAGGCCGTGACTTTATATTTTTAATCTTTTGAATGCTATTTTAAACAACAATCTCCAGGTTATACAATAAATTTAGATGCTTTGGTTACTAAATTTGAACCTGGATTTAATATTAAAAAAATGATGTAACTTCTCAACTTGTAAGAGATCTCGGTGAAACTCAGGAGGCGAATGTCATCCACAATCAGAATCATCATGGCACCGCAAAAAAGAATATAAATATAGAATCTCATAGTAATGTTAACTTCCAGGGCTACTGTAACAAATATGTTACTAGGTTTGATCTATGCTCCATTCTTGACGTTCAATGGGTTGAAGCAGTGCAAATAACGGTTCGCAAACATCTATGCTATCTAAACGCATTAGTAAGTTATATAACGCATTTTATAGATCAATTAGTACAATAGAGTAAATGTTAACCTCCTCTAATTTAGCTTTGAGAGGTTAGAGCGCCAGGCTTCTATATTGAAAGGAATGTTGATGTAAGAGGAAGTCCAGCGGACTCGCTAAATTTTCCCCAATTATTCTTTAATTTTTACAGCGGACTAGCTATTAAAAATCTTTAGCGGAGTCTATCAAAGTCTGTCAACTTTGATAGACATGTGTCCGACAATGGCTATCCTTTAATCTTTTGGCGAGTCCGCTGGAATGTCAACTAGCTATTATTTTCTGTTAAATTTAGCGGAAATTGGTGATTTAGAGTAAGTCCCCTGGACTTGCTCTAGCGGGGAGGGATCTCATGTTTGAAAAGCTATCCTGACATACAATTATATGCTGCAAATGGCAAATGATACATTTAATTAAGTTCTAGCTATGTAGATACTATGATGACTTTTATTGTTCACATCAAGTGTATTCTGGGGACATCTCAATTGGTGGTTCTACTGGCATCCCAGATTATGGCACACAGGTGCTCGAAGAAAAAGCTTGTGCAGAGCAGCATGATGAGTTGTGTTACACATGGAGTAATAGGCACGAAGTTCGCCCCTGAATTAAGATCGACCTAGGAACTGACAAGGACAGCCGAAAAAAGTGGAAAAAGTATGTGAGTCGAGCAAACGGCGAAAGTACTTGATTTAAAAGCATCATTTACAGAAGCGATCACCGATAAAGCAAAAGGTATTGTCGAGACGAAGTGCGTCCTTGGCTGATGGCTTGATAATAATGTTTCTCGCATGCAGATGTTGCTGTTCTCGGCTCACAGTTTGCAGGTAGAATTCTATATTGAGTAATAACTCGGATATGCTTCTTGATAAGAAACAACGATCACGCTCTATTCGTTGCGCCTCGTTGCGAACGGCGTGTATGAAACTAGAAGGAAAAGTTCGGCAATACTGCCTCCTTGCGTTGTCTCAATCAAATGGCCACAAGACGTCGTCAGCAACTTATTAAATTAAGGAAATTAATCAGTGATAACTGTGGTGATAACTTATTTAAAACATGCTACTTTGCTCAGTATCACATCGTAATTGCTGGTAGAATAAAGACATTCTTGTTTGTATAAAAGAAAACATAAAAAATGTATATTCATGCAAAAGGGAGATCCCAACAAGCAGGCAAGGAATGAGAAAGGATGTAAGCGATAACAAAGACAACCAAACCATAAACCTCTTATCCACTTTCATTAAACGAAGCCAAGAGTGGAGACAGCATCATATCCACATTCTCGTAAGCTACGTTGCAGCACATGGATATCAAGCGCTTGTACTCTTGGTATCGTTTTCCTGGTGTTTGTGTTTTCAGTTGTATGATTTCATCCACCAGTTTTCGCCGATTCTTTTGCAGTGACGACAGTTTCTCTTCAAGCTCTTGTGTGCTTTTTGCTAACGCATCTTCGCTAACCTTGTCCTTCTTTACATCGCCATCTTGTTGTTGTTGTTGTTGTTGTTCTTCCTTTCCTTCCTTTTTAACATTCTTGTCATCATTGACATTATCTGAGCTTTGTTGTGGTAGCCGTTCTTGTTGTTGTCTTAATTGCTCGTCATCATTCTTTTCGATCAATTGTGACAGTTTCTCCTTTTGTGCATAATGCATCAATTTTCGTAACCGCGTTTCGAGTTCCTTTGCTGCACCTTCTGCCTCGTCCAACAATCCTGGGTTAAGCCGAATTTGGTCCAAAATGCGCCGTGTTTCTGCCAACCGCTTGCGCGTCAATTCCAGATCAACCCGCTTTTCCTTGAGCGCCTGCTCTTTTTGTGTTAAGTCCCGCTCATAACTTCCTGCAAATCCGTCAAATAATTGTGATGCTGTCGGTACTGAACGATCATTGGCCAGGATTTGTTTGAACATGGTTTCGATTTTCTGCCGTAACCGTGCACGTGCTGCTTGTTCGCTGGCACTTATCGCGAGTGTGGATGATGCTGACGCTGATAAACCGGCCACTCCTCCTGCTGCTCCAGCCACCCCTCCTGGTCCAACAGCACCTACTCCTCCACCGCCGCCTACGCCTAATACGTCTTGTGAAAATCGACCGGATCGTTCGAATTCAGTCAGATAGTCTTGTGCAGTCATGCCTTCTTCGTTCGCAATCTCAGTACTCGCGCCTGCATCGATTAATAATCGAACAAGCTTCTTGTTGCCTATCCTTGCTGCAATTGTCAATGCTGTGTCACCATACACGTCTTGTACGTTCAGGATGGATATCAATTCGGATCGGTTGGAGCCCAGTTTATCAATCAAGCACTCCATATAATAACGTGACGCATGCACTTTGCCTTTCCAGCTGGCTGTCGATGCAACGTGGTGAAACACGGTCTGGTCCTTTTTGTCGATATTAAAGATGGTTTTTTGCAGCATGTCGAGCATGTGGTGGAACGTTTTGCGGTCAAAGTTATTGGTGAACAATACGCTGCGCATAAGTGCGGTCTGGCCTTTGAAATTGACACGGTATACATCGGCCTTTAGGTGAATCAGCACTTTGACTGTCTGTAATTGGCCCATGGCAGCCGCCCAGTGCAAGCTCGTGTGTCCTTCATCGTCGATTATCACATTTACGTCCAAGTCGCGTGGAGGGTGTTGCAGGATGGGCGGAACTTCTGTGCTGCCGGATATAAAGTTATGTAAAAGTTTTTGGGCATACGATGAGCTCGCTTTGTGACCTGGTTCTTCGTCTTCTGTTTCTTCGTCGTCCTGATCACGCGCACTGTTGTTGGTCCGTTTAGCACGTTTGCTGGGTCGATGGTTTTGCTGATGGTGATGGTGATACGTCATGGGAGGTGGGAGCAGGTGTCCGTCCGCAACGTCGCTGGTGGATCGAAACAAAGGCGAAGGTGTGCGTGAGCCGCCGGCAGCAGCAGCAGCAGCGCCACCGTCTATTAACATTGAAGTGTCGCTCTCGTGTATTTCGCTATACTGTGATGAATTTTCGGCCTCGGAAACTTCTATTTCTTCTTCATGCTTGACTCGTTTCCGTCGTGGTTCGCGTGCTCTTCGTGGACGAGTTGACGCGGCTGTAACGTGCTTGGGTGCCACGGGTGGACTTTCGTCGCCTTTGACATAGTCGAAAATAGGTTGTAATAGCTGATCCACTTGGTACTGCTGCGCTAATGCGACACCTCGTTCAAATGGAACCCAAGTGCCTATATTGGTGCGTGTACATTAAATAAACGAGCACTATGTTAAAAAGCACCTTCAAAACGAGCAAAATCATAATGACTAGTATGACAGCTGGTAACAACAGATTATTTACCTTGGTATTTGCCGTAGCCGCCCTGTACTTTTTCGTGCTTGCCGATTTGGACTTCACGTTCCAAAATGCGTGTTCGCTGTGGTTTATCGAAGTCGGCCACTTTTAAGATTTGGGTGGCATTCAAGTAAGCATCGGACCGCCGTCGCATCACGGCTACGCCTTTGCACAACATCTCATATACCGGCACGCCAGAGTAGGTTGCTTTGAATATTCGAGAGTTCTGCGACATTGTTTTTTTGTATATGCACCGTTATAAAAGAGGTAAAAAGGTAGGGTTTGGTTCTCAAAGAAACGAAGCGCAAAAAAAAAAAGCACCACGAGCGGGCATGAAATCGCGCTGATACGAAGGAGAGGGAGGGAGCGAGTGGGGGCTGAAGACACACATTCTCAAATTGCATACAAAACATTAACGAGACAAATTAGGCTTATCATTATGGTGTGGTATCACTTTAGCTGTATGTAGGCATACGCATGTTGTGCCCATCATGCCAGAAAATGGTTAAAAAAGGCTGTCTATTGATCCTATTGTTCGAATTTATCTTGAACGTAGTGTTCATTTTATCCTTTTTCAATGATAATTACGCGGCCATTTCGATATTTGATAACTAAGCCGTCGTCGTCGTCAAGTTTTTTGCTGTTGTGAGTAATACAGAAACATGGCTACTGCGATGAATGATGGTATTCTTAGGAGAACAGGCATTGATATGCCGACAAACTAGTATAATACGGGCGTTGATGTGTGATGTGAATCATCGCGGGAGAAGTTGCTCCAAGAAATGTTTTGAAGAGACAAGAGTGACAGTAGCACCAACAAGACATCCTATGACGCAGTTGTACTGAGATACAGAAGAAGAACTTTATCGTTCTACATAGCCACCGTTTTTGGAAGCAATTCTAGGCGTTCCACGTTTTTCTTGCAACTGCTGATGAACGATGGTGATGTTATTGATGAGATCATGCACTCTAATTAGCGCGCTTTTTCTCACTCTTACTATCCGTCTTTCAGCGATAGACCAGTCTACTATTCATCGACCCAAACTGCTATACTAACAGTGTTCTGTCCGTGCTAGGTCCAAGCTGTTTGTACACAAGATGGTGTACACGCGAGGAGAAGACAAAGCTGGCTCCAAGCAAGCCGGATTCTACTGTGAGTGTGGGAGCAAATATGATTGGCTAAGCACACTGAACTCGTGGTCTTGCAAACCCCCGCCCAGGCCATGCTGGTGCTGCGAGCAAAAGATAGAGAGAGTGAGAGAGAGAGCGGGGGGCTTTAGGTTATAGCGAGTGCCTCTCTTTCTCTCTCTTCCCTTTTTTTTCACACTTAATTTCGTTTTTTAGAAAAAACAAAAACTACAATTCGTCATGTCTGAAGCAGAATCAGCATCGGGTGCTCAACGACCCATTGTTTCTCCTACTGGCAAAGCAACTCAAGTCAAACTTGTACTATTAGGTGGGTTGTATATCTTGAGATGAGCCTAGTACACTCACATTCTGTTGCTTCTTTTTTTTTCCCAACTAATCACTGTTGTATTTACTTATGCCACGCACCTTTTTTTTTTTGGCTCCCCGCCTACTTCTCCTTTCCATGTTAAATAGGTGAATCAGGTGTTGGTAAATCCTCGCTTGTTATGCGATTTGTGAATCGTGAATACGTTGAAAACCGCGAGCCTACTATTGGCGGTAAGCACGCTAATTTGCTAGTTAGAATGCCTTGTATAAAAAATTCAAAAGCTGCTCATTCTTATTCACATGGGTTTTTTAAAAACTTAGCTGCATTTTTGACGCAGAAATGCCATCTCGACGACCGATCCATCAAGTTTGAAATCTGGGATACAGCTGGTCAAGAACGATTCCACTCGCTCGCACCAATGTATTATCGTAACGCACAGGCTGCTATCATTGTCTATGATATCACAAAGGCTGTAAGTCTTGTCACTAATATGTTTGAGTGGATTGGAAAGAGAGATCAGGGGAAGGGGTGGAGAAGAGAGTTAATTAAAAAGAACCACTTTATTCGCCTTAGTCGACACTGGATAAGGCAAAGTCGTGGGCCAAAGAGCTGCAAAGACAAGCCAACTCTGGCATTGTGATTGCTTTGGTAGGCAACAAGCTGGATCTTGCCGAAGGTGGCGCCGAAGACGACAGCAGCAGCACCGAGGATAACGAGCGACAGGTATCGGAAGAAGATGCACAGGCTTATGCAGATGAAGCTGGCCTTCTGTTCAAGGAGACGAGTGCAAAGACCAGCAAAAACGTGGATGCTATCTTCACTGAGATCGGTAAGGGCCCTTTTCTTATTGTTTTGACAGGGAACCTTCTTTTCTTCAATGTTTGCATGACAAACAAAGTGGGAAGGACAGAGCGAGAGAGCGAAGGGCTAATGGGGTGTATTTTAGCCAAGAAAATCCCATCGGAGTATCTCTTCTCTGCCAGCAGACCCGATGGCCGTGGCGCACGAGGTGCTCACGGCAACATTGACTTGATGCAGCCTGCTGCTGAGCAAAGGTCGTCTGGAAACTGTGCTTGCTAGTATCATTATTTTATACCCACCTTCCCTTCCATCATCATTATTTCTTCTCAACTCTTGCCCTTCTTCTCCTTCTTTCTGTCTCCCTCTCCAACCCCTCAACCCCCGAAAAAGATCCCCTTTCTTTCTTTCTTTCCTTCTTCCTTTTCTTGGTCCCAATGACACCTTATTGTCCTCCCATATCGCATAAAATTTTGTATAATTTTTCACCTCCAGACTCTCTCTTCTCATTCTCCCACAAGCCAAGTAGGCCGAGAAAAGGATAAAGAGATGGAGGCAACAAATGTCGATAAATCTCTCTCTCTCTTTTTAATATTATAATCATATTAAGGCTATTTACAGCCAACATATTAACTAGAAGAAGTGCTACTGTAGAGGGGTGATGGAATCAAATGGAGAATGGAATATATTATAGAAAAGTATTACTCTCTTGAGAAAAACACAAAGAAGGACAAAACACAAAACTGGTATATGCGTAGTAGGTTTTTTCTATTGGCCTGCTTAGGCTGGTGTTGCTTTCGCCAAGTAGACCGATGGCTGGGATCCAAAGTCGAATACACTGTATACGTTCTTTAAGAACACGTCGCCGAGGATAGCAAAAGGGAAATTCGCCTTTGCGAAACCCGCAATACACGTTCCGTTGCCGAAACTGTAATAGATCATGGACTCCGATGGCACCGTAAAGTCGGAGCCGCCGATATTCAATGTGAATTCTGGAAGGTTGTTGAGGTCGCAGTTGATTATGTACGTGCCATCTTCTTGAGGTGTTGCATCATAATGTGAAGCCACCAACTCGGCCAAGCCGGGAGGGAAAATCATCAATGTAGTGCCAGTATCGAGAATAGCAGGCAATAGGGGTACAACGTTGGGTATAAGATTGTCTACGATTCTGCCACTGCCCTCAACCTTATCGTTCGATAGAGTGCTTTGGACGCCTCTCCAGGGAATCAATTGATTGCCAACGCGACCGTGGTTGACCGTAATGCCCCAGTAACCTAGCAATAGTAAAGTTAGAATTGGCTGAGCTCAGATACTAGTAGCGATAGTAGTAGTAGTAGTAGTAGTAGTGAGGGTAGGGAGGCAATGCATGTTAACCCGTGTTTTTTGTTACCTTGGATATTCCGAACAGGAACTTGTGTCAGTTTGCCTTCAAAGCGAGCTTTATTATAGCCACCGAAAATGAGTTCTGCGACATGGTATCTTTAGTGCCAAGAACGAGTAATACTACATAGGAGCGATTAAAAAAAGATGAGGAAGCATCACTTACCACCGCCACCGCCATGTTGGTATTTGCCAAGCCAGAAACTAAAGATCGTGTCTTTAATAAGACCTTGTTCTTGAAGATTTTCTAAAGGAGTTTTTATGCCGTCAACGGTGCATAATTGAGGAAAGGCAAGACCCATGATACCATGAACAACGTTGTCCATTTGTGTCTCATGTGTGGCCAGCTCAATCGCTTGATTTTCGATGGGGAGGCCGCCTAAATTGACGACATCGTAGCCCACGTAACCGCCTGCTGTGGATCCGTCACCATATCGTATGTTCCATTCTTTTTTAGTGCTTGTAGACTCTTCACCGACAGGACCTTTATACGTAGTAGATTTCTTGGGGTCGAATTTCGTATTATAGTCATCACATTTTTTGCACAAGGTAGAAACTGATCATACAGTGGCGACATATTAGAAAATTCTTATGTATTATGTACATACAATATGCATCTTTATTTACTACAAAAAAGATAGAAAAAACTTACTCAACCAAAGATCGGCCGATCCAGTATCAGGGTTCAAATCAAGTTTTTGAGGAGGAGTACCGACTTCAACGGTTGCCACATATTGGACATCATTCTGGATATCCTTCAATGCGATGTCACCAACTTGTTTGCCATTGCCGACACTGATTTTGCTAGCGAATGGAGCTTTGCTGGCTTTATCGGGCGCATCCAAAAATTTTGAGTATCGAAAGTGTGCTTTACGAACGGAAACGGACGGATTGGGTCGAAAGTGTGCGTTCGTGTGTAATGGTACGACGATCTTTTTGCCACTGTTGTTTGGTGCAGGCAATGCTTCGCTGCCGCTGCTGAATAATGCTGTACTCGCTAACAGTACCGAAATAGCCGTAGTCAGCTTCATGTTTAGCAATAAAGAGGTAAATGAATAAAGTAGTAGTAGTAGTAGATTAGAAAAGAAGAGGAAGAAAGGGGAGACAGTATGCGTGGGGTATATATTACGCTAAATTAGTATGGTTCTTTTATGTATGCACAGCAACAGCAACGAGCCCGGAAAAAGAGGAAAGAAGAGGGAAAACAGAAAGGAAATAAGGCGTCCAAAGCAAAAAGGAGATGTACACAAACGGTGCTTACAAAAATGAAAAAGAACAAACGTTTAAAGAAGATCTAGTACTAACGTCATTTATATAGCGTACCACTTTGTGTGAATGTGTGTGTGGCTCCCCTATGGAGGAATCTCGAATTCAAGGAGAAGTTATGCTAGTTTTTGTACTCGTTGTTATGTGTGTATGTAGCGTATATATAAAAGAGATCGCTTTTCTCGCCCCTATTTCTCATTTTCCAAAAGAAACTCAATACATCACATACAGTGTGATACATACGACAACGAGCCAGGCATTGCATAGCACGGCGCGAGAACGACTAATAGAGAATCCTTTCTACCCCTATGAGTATATGTATGCTCGTTATTTTTACCCTCTAGCTGGTAGCAGATGCTGCTACATAGTGCATCTGTTAATATCCGAACCGCTCTTATTTATGCTCGGTGAACATGATGATAGATAATGTCAGTATATATTAGCTTGTATGTAGCAAGTGTACATACGAGTTTACAAGGTCAATCAGTAGTAGTAATAGTTCCTATGTTTATATATATATATATATATTTGGGGAGCTTATCAAGCGCTCGTCGCGCTCGGGCTTGACTAGATCTGTGGATCAGGTTAACAGCCTTTCTTTGAGAATGCATGTACTTTTATATAGTTTGACTTAGCCTTTTCTCTCTCGCTCTCGCTCTCTCTCTCCCTTCTTTGATATGTATTCGTTAAACTTAACTGTAAAAAAGTGGCGTATTTTCTTTTCTCATTTTGCTTTATGCCCCGCTCTTCTTAATCGGCGGGGTGGGGGCTGATGAGAAATGTTTTCGGTAACATACGAGTGAAGTAACTTCAAATTCCCCAACTTACGCCACTTTTCTGCACACCTTGGAAGTTAACAAGCTCTACCATTACCAATAATTATCCTAGTAAAAGCCCTCTCTCTCTTTCGCTCCGATAAGGAACATAATAGGCTTTCCCCTCTTCTCCACTCGTTATCATCAGCATTGCTCCAAGTTCACCATAACCCCTCTTTCCGTCTGTCTTGCTCTCGTCATCACCCAAGCTCAGGCATCCCATCTATGCACCCAGCTAGTCAATGTCCGCATTTCCCAACGCATGTAAAATAAAACTCCCTCCATTTTTTCCATGCTTAATGCCCTGAACCTTATCCTTTGCCTTGATATCCCTTGCCACCAGGTACACAAACAACACGACATAAATAAACACTCGTGTCACGCAAAACAATACACGCATAAACGCAGAGGATATTAAGATCATATTACATGTATATATATAAAAGCAAAGTATGTATATAGAGAGAAAAAATACACTTTTTATAGGATTTGGATTCTGAAATACTTTTGTAATTTGTTCGATTGTATGCCAACCCGTGTCTGATACTCCTGATGTACCCGTACATCCTTGAATGCCTCCGTATGTCGTACATGTCTACTTTTTCCATCCGTGATCATCATACGACCACCAGTGCGGAATGAGGAAGAGCCAGCACGGGGTGTTTGGTAGCCTTGCATATCCGAGTATTGGCCAATAAGCTTGTTGATAAGCACTGAATCTCTCGACTACATATACACAATTACGAACCAGTAGTTTAGTATACCTTGTTTCTTTATGCCCGTTGTACCCCTTTGGCAATATTGAAACCGCACATATATGTCTCTTCCATATAGCCCGAGAAGAAGAAAAAAATTTAAAAACTCACGTCTTCTGGCTTGAACTTTTGATCGTAATAACGCTTAAGACTGCGGTGACCCACGACACTGCCGTTTGGTAGAACCAGTGACATATCATCGTCAGCTAAATGCATGCCCTGGGCCAGGTTTGATAATTCAGTATCCGCATCAACATCTTCGCCACTGGCAAGTTCACCATAGGATGACGAGAAGTCGTAAAAGTCCACAAGTTCCATAGCATCTTCCTCCGCATCGTATGCAATCATGCAATGACCTTTGCTTATCTATAGGAAAAAAAATTCAAAGTTAATAATCATCCACACATCTTTAAGATACAAAAATGACAGTAACGGATTGTTGCTGTTAAAAGCGAAGCATAAAAGGTCAAAAATAAAACTTTACCATGTGCGCTCGTACGGCTTCCAAAGATCGATATTCACGACCCTTTCCATTGCAGTACAGACAAGTGTTACCAACACTGACCTTTTCACCGAGGTATTTGATGAGGCCTTTGATATCCTCCAAGTACTCGATATCGGGGATGAAGAAACTGTGTATGAGGGTCATATGGGACATGTTATCCTCAAACGACTCAGATGTGTGGTTGCAGAAAAGACACTCGGTTTCTTCTAATCGGCGCGACGCCTTGATCTTCTCATCAATCTTGGCAAGGATTTCTTCTTCTGTTGTTTCTTCGGTGAATGTCATTTCTATTTTGGATTGTTGCTGCTGTTCTTTTGGTTGTTGATCTTTTGGGGTAGCGCTTGTCGTCGTTTCGACTGCTGTTTTTGTTGCTGCGGTTTCGTCAATTTCGTTGTTATTAATAACTACTGGTGTCGTCCTTTCCTGTCGGGCAGCTTGCTTGGCTTCTGCTTCCTTGTGCTTTTTGGAACGAATGTGGCTGTCGTATGAATTCTTCGTGCCAAACGTTTTCCTATAATTCAAGTATGGAACAGTTAACATTTTGGTCGATCCGATAACAATGATTTCTCCTCGAAAGAAAGTAAAGGTTGAAACATACTTGCATGCTCCACAGTGACCCTTGAATGGTTCTGTCTTGACTTCGACCTTTTCAGATTCCTTGACAACTTGATAATTTAAGGCAACGAGAAAAGTTAGTTCGAAGGCTCCTGAAACGTTTGCCATTCCAGCAATATAAAGTAAAACAGTTTAAAGGAGTACCTTCTGCTTTTCGCTCGAATTGATCTTTGCTTACAGGTGGCAGATCAGCCACTTTACGTTTTAGGTTATAGCGGTGCCAGTCAGATCGATAGTGTGTTCGTTGTCCTTCAGCCGATTCGAATGCGACCTGACAAGCTAAACAGGTATACAGGCCAGAGCTAGGTTTTAAAGCCTCCATTTTGTATGTTTGTGTGTGTGTTTTTGGCAGAAAAAAGAATTAGGCAGTTCCCGAAAAAAAAAAAAAAAATAGCTTTCTTATGCACAGCTGAGTTATTGCTTGTGCTCTGCGGTTATAACCGGTCACACCCACCACTCTTGATACTTTCGTTCTCTGTTCCAAGCCCAACCAGCTTTTGTTCCTGTTGCATAATAATGACAGCACCAGTACGATACCAGTATCTTATCTCAAGGTAAAAAACAAAATGACAACGAGAATGTGTACGTCGACAATGTCGAGGTCATTTATTGTTCTATATGTATCTAAACACACACACAATAACACCTCCCAGGTCGGGCGATATATTGTTTTCCTTCACGGTCGGAACCCTTGCTTACTTTACAAACGAACGCGATAATCCAAGAGCACAGAATGGCAAGACCTTGTTCGAATTAGTTAAACGACGAAACCAACGTATTGTTGAACGACGCGATCACCAAAATGCTGATGTTGCTGAGAACTAGAAGAATAAAATCATGTACACTGTCACTTCTTGTCTATGTGTGGAACCTTAAAATGAAGAGGGAGTTATGCGATTACATGCGATTTAAAGTTATGGTGTTTGATATCCAGTGCTAAGACTTTATAAGTAGAGAAATAAGAAAGGCGGATGATCGTCTTTGTATAACTACAATAGCAACATTTACTGTAATAACACTAAAAAAGCATACATGGCCACAAAATGTTGCTGCTGACCGCGAGGTGGATATATATCTATCAGAAGAGAGGAGAATAGCTAACATTATGCCTTCTTAGTAATGCTGGTAAGGAACAAAGCATCACAGGTAGAAGACAGGGTTCCACTGATTTGATAATTAACTCGAAATTGTAGAGCCATGTCGCGAGTAGAAGAAAAAGTCTGACTTTTTGATCATGGCTGCGAACTTGATAAACTGCTGGTTCACTCGTTATGTTTTTCCGCTTGAGTAGTAGGCTACAGAAGAAAAGGATAAGTGGCGCGCACGTGAGTCTTGTAGTGACAGTATTACAGTGCAAGAATAAAGGTGAGAGAGAATAATGAGGACTGATAAAAAGCAACAAGGTGTGCAACATATTCCTTTATGCAAAACAAGAGGTGTACATAACGCCTGGTTCTTGTAATTACAATGCCAATCTGTCTGCAATGATTTGACCAACTGTCTTGGGACTTTGTATTATTCACGATATGAGCCTGTATATGTTTAATGACTCTAGAGAATTAAACGTTAACTATCTAGTCTAGTGTCATCTGCAGATCAAATCAATTTGTAGAAGTATTGCAAAATAAGTAAGAGATTGATTAAAATACTTTCTTTATCTTCTGTTTGTTTCGTTTATTGAGCAGCTTAATGCTTGTAACGGAAACAAAAAGTAGACTGCGCAGTCAGCGGGAATGAATAAGCTTTGGTAAATGCTTATGACTCATTTATTTGCTGCTTATTGTCAGTGCTGTGGCTATATCGTTGAATGTGTGAAAGGGCTATGAATGGTTGATGCATTGCAAAATGATAAGAGTTGATGCGCAAAAGAAGCCTCCTTTTATTTATATCCTTACAAAAACACCAAAGTTTTCGGTATTGATAACAGTTAGCATATAAACCACAGAGAGTTGTAACAAGAAGCTGTTTTCCCATGACCTTTTCCCCGTGTGAGTTTCCAACTCAATCTACTCTCACTATCTGCCGCGAGTAATAAGACCAACCGGACGCAGTGTCTAATAGAGAAATTGATTGAACACATATAAAATGCTAAGTCGTTTTATCCACGCAAATACTTAAGGCAGGGACCATCTTCGTTAAATGGTGTACAGTTGGTTCTATTATTACGGGTAATGCGTAAGCAATCATATTACACATGTAGGGCAAACAAAGTTAAAATCTTGCTGCGCAAAGACGTTTGCTCAGATAATGTGCATTCGAACATACATAAAATACTGAGAAGAGCCAGAACTTTTTGAGGTAGAAACAATATTACGACATACACATAGCACAACAATAATCCATTATATTGACAAACAAATGCATAATTACAAAGTTGCTTAAGCTATAGGCTATAGACAATATGTCTAAATCAATAAGTACATTTTTTTAGATAACCCGCTTTGGCTGACCGGGAGTGAGCCAGCAGACCTTGTCCATGATGCCTTCTTTCTCAAAGATCTTGTGCAGCTCGCCGCTGTGCTCTGTGAAATGCTTCCACGATTCGAAATGGATCGGCACTATGATATCCGCATCGAGTTCGCGTACAAGTTTGGCGGCATCTTTTCCACCCATCGTGATTTCAAGAGGTCCCTCGACGCCAGGGAAGTCGGGCACAGTTGCTAAACCAAGGTGAACGATAGCGACGGATACATGGTACTTGTCACGAATAGAAACCAGTTCATCCAAATAGACAGTATCACCAGAAATGTATATCACGTTCGGCTTTCCATCGGTAGTGCCAAAGTTGGGAGACTCCAGGATGAAACCTGTGCATTCGCCGCCAGGTAGATGCTGGCAGGGTGTACCGGTTACTGTGAACGACTTGCCACCAATGTTCAGCGACAACTGTTCCCAGGGTCGGATACCTTGGACACCGGGTCTGGGCTGCAGGTTTTTGGCGCCATCCATGGTAGTAATCACCTTACGACCGTCTAAAAGCTGGCGACCAGAATCGTCAAGGTTGTCCACATGGTCTTCATGGCTTAAAAGAACGGCATCGAAAGGCGGAAGCTCATTGAGCTTCAAGGCAGGTCCTTTTGTGTTCTTGAGGACAATAATACCGAGGTCGTAGTCAGCAGGAGCGTCGTTAAAAGCCGGATCAGTCAGAAGAGTGACGCCGTCAATTTCAAGAAGGGTGGTGGCGGTCCCAATATGGGTCATGGTTAGTTGACTCTTGAAGCTGGGCATGGTTGTCAGTTGCGTATAGCTGATGAATAGAAGCAGAGAAGAGATGCAGTTGTTTTCTAGTGATCAGTTAATCAAATGATGTTTATTAGCATTAATCCGAACGAAAAAAAGGTAAAAGACACTTACAAAAGGATTTTCCCGCTTTTTGTTTGTTGCTTTTTTTCTTTGTTAGGAACAAACATTCTTTTATAGAGTTTGTTCAAAACAACAGCACATTAAATTAGTAAGCGCTCTGGCTTTGATTTATTTTGTCCTCCCGCGTTTCCATCAACAATTTCCATAAGCCAAGGTCACCGATCAGTTCAAGTGTGAATTTGGTAATAGTTTTAAATGCTACATTTTCTACATAGAGCTAAAGATTCGTGATCCGTTAGCAGCCCGTATGTAGGTCAGTTGGATTAAGCGCACCTGCAATGATATGGCATGGAAACTACTTCTAAGTACACCGCGCTCGATGCGCGACTCCGAGCTACCGGCTTCAAACAGGATTCACAGTTACTAAATGTGTTAAGCATTGTCTAAACTTTATCTTATATTGTATCGTGAGAAACAAATCGCTGCTTACAATTTTAAATTTTCTAATATCATCCATGCGGTTGCTTTCAATACCGGTTTATATGCTATGTTTAATACCTTATCAAAAATATGGCGTGAAATCATAAAAGTGACAATCAATCATGATATTGTACATGTCAAAACTGTAGCAATTGCATAACTTTTACGCTTCTCCTATAACAAGCTATATGTTGCCGAGCCTCTTACAAAATTTAAAACGAAGACTGTTGCATACTAAACTTTTAGCATGATAAAAATGGCTCTTTAAATCCAGTACATTATGAAAAAGAAGTGAATACTTCTTGAACTGTCTAATAATTATTCAGTTGTAATGTATACGGTACTAGCTAGCTTCCTTTATGTAACTCGCTTAAACTCGCTTAAGCTGACCAGGATTGAGCCAGCAGACTTTGTCCAGGTCATCGTCAGTTAACTCTCGAAGCTTGAGATGATTCTCTTAGTAGTACGAGTGTGAATGCACGAGTAATGGCGCTATTAAACGAGCTATTACATCAATGCAATTTGAAACGTAGCAATAATATTGATCCGTTATCCACAAAAAAAATCCGGAAAAAATAAGAGATCTACAATAATAGATTAGTAATAAACACTTAGAAGACATTGTTTTCTTTGTTTTCGCTGGTTCTATGTTTGTTAGGAACATATATTCCATTTTTCTTCCATGTTTTTTTGGATCCCCTCAGCAACTACATGCTCAGCTTGGTAGTTTACGAGATTACTAAGCAATTGGTAAGCATTGGGTAAGCACTGAGTAAGCACTGAGTAAGCACTGAGTAAGCATTTCGGGGATTTCAGCTGCATTTCTATCCTCGTGTATTTCCACATCTACTAGCATGGTCTTATTAACCCGAGCTTTTTTTACAGCGCAATGTCGCGATGCATAGGATATTACATGCTTATAAATGAAGCTAATAAAGCATATGATGAGTTCTTACAACTCGGGGTAATAGAAAGAAAAAGGTAGAGGAGGATACTCATGAGATAATTATGCGAATCTAAAAAAGTAATAACTACCCATACAATAATCTGTAGGAGAGCATGAAAAAAGGTTCACTTTAACATTGTATACAGTTGTACCCCGGTTTTTGCAACCCCCGGGTTTGCAATTCCTCGTATATCTGCAACTTTTTTTGAAAAATCCAAAAAAAACTTAGTAGTTTCGCAAATTTGCAACTTGCAAATGAGTTTATACGATTTGCACGTTATCGGGGTAAAAACAGCTTCAATTTTTGCAATATCAACTGAAAGAAGCATCTGTTGCGGATTATGAGGAATAAAATGATACGGTTACTGCAAGATAAATATGTAAATATGAAGATGTATTTATTGTCGAATATAAATTATTACTTGGTAGTTGAGCCAGTAGAATCGGGACACATATATAGCACTGATTGGGTTGAATCAACAAAAGAAATGAAGAAGATATAAGAAAAAGTGAACACACTACATATAGATATAGAAATAAAATGTTTGCTCAAATGAGCTTTCAACTACATACATCGAAGAAGTCATCAAGGGATGATTGTCGGGAGAATGATTGCTGCCTGAGACTCTCTTGAATCCTACGCAAAGACTTCTTTAAGTCGCAGTCATCGATATTATCCAAAAAGCTCAAAACTCCTGCAATTGCAACCTGTTTTTCCTTCGACGTTGGCCCTGGAAGAGGCGAATCAGCGCTTTCGTCCACCGCCCGCTCAAGTGCTCGTCGTAGGTTCGATCCTCTTGCTTAGAGGTGAACTTGTGGAACGATTTTGTCATGCTTAAAAGAGCTAATAATTATCAAACCACTAGACAGCTTAATAAAAGAACGGTCTTATATATGCAAGTAGTAACATTTAGAGCTGTATGAATGTTTCCACAGAACGTATCGTACATAATCTCTGACAGATAAACAATGGGCTAGTGTTAATAGGATGACTTATCCAGTGTCTATTTGAAGCAGAATTGTTTACCCCGTCACTTGCAAATCCTCACTTTTTGCAAAAAAAAATCGGAAAACCCTCGGTTGCAAAAACCGGGGTACAACTGTAGATGCGCAAGAATATACGAATGATTAATTTTACAGCTTCTATCAGAAAGCTGATCTGTACTAGTAGAGATCCTGTCAAACCAGGACAGAAGTGGACCTCCAGATTTTCCAGTTGACAAATAGCAGAGGTAGTAGGATGATACAATTCCTGTTGCTTCGCCGTAATCTTGAAATATTCCTTCGATCGCCCAAATTCTTGACCTTGAGGTGAACCAAATCGATTTTAGCGCCGCGAGTTTGGACGACTCATCACAATAGAGATCTGCAGCATCTTGACAGGTCGTAATAGATCACCCTTTTTCTTTGGTCATGAGCCACAGTGTCGTCATCGACAATCAGTGTCCTTCTTCATACATCAATATATTCACAAGTGTGTTTCGCCAATATGACAAATGTCCAAGTATCGTGTCGCTATTTATTTTTGATGAGGCTCACCATGTATCAAGCAATGAAATTGATAGTGATAGTTGTGCTGTTAGCAAATCGCGCCTTTTTTCTATACTTTTTACTGCGTTAGAATGGTTGTCTTATAGTTAATGAATTCCATACGATGGTTTATAATGCGGCCGCTCGCTTATCTTTGCTTTTGTGATTACCTGGCAGGAGACCTGTTCAAATTTTAGATTGACCTAATTTTTTTTTCTCAAAACTAACAAACAACCATATCGTCGGTGCACAACAAATGGATTGCAAAACACGGATGATGTTCCATCAAAAGACGAGGGACTTAAAAGGAAAGGATTTCTAGATTGAAAAACTGTGGTGGTCAAGTAAACCACCAAATGGTTTTTATTGTTACTGTCATTATGGAGTGCACACGTTAGATGCGTAAGTAGTAGTGAGCGGCCATCCTTTCTTTATTGCAATTTCCGGTAGCATACACCTTGATCCAATACTATTTTCGTTGACACTAGCTAGCAAAGTTATATACTAGATGTGCAGCAATCCTGTCTGGTTCGTGCTTTCCTCGTAGTACCTCTCCTATCCTATGTGTACATGACTGTCCGTTAACGATACTAGTAGGAGGACAGCAAATACAACGTAAGTTTAGTATGCTATATGAGCTCCTGACTTCAAGTCCTCTTTACTTACACTTCATTACTGTGTCAATCCAGTAATGGTATCTAATTTTACAATGTTCATGATTGGTAAATCTTTGGGTAGCAAGAAACTGAGCTAAATTCGATAGGGCCCTGAATTGTTGAGCATCATCCTAATGACTCCGTGCTTTTCATACGATCTTCCAGCTTACTCAATAGTCGATTCCGTCTTTTCCATCTTGAGAAACTTAGCATCAACTTACAGAAAGAAAGAGAGTAAAACATATCAATGCAAAACGGCGCTTTGAAATCCCGAAATGCTTAAAGATACTTACCAATCGCTTAGTAATCTTTAGTAATCTACCCTTGCGGCATGTTGATAAGTATAAGTCAGAAACACATAAAAAGGGTCGAGTATTTGTTCTTGATATCGCAAACAAGCAAAAAACAAACAAACGAAAACTAAAGCAAATATTGTTTTTGTAAGTATCTATTATCGAGACCTTGGTGGAAGCTGCCTATATTCTCAAAATTCTTTTTCTAACGATTATTGTTTTGCTTCAATTTGCATAATTGTATCAACACCAGCGCGTCTGCTCCCATACTTGTACTACCTATCAAAAAACAATATGCCCAGTTTCAAGAGTCAACTAACCATGACCCATATCGGGACCGCCACCGCCCTTCTTGAAATTGATGGCGTCACTCTTCTGACTGATCCGGCTTTTAACGACGCTCCTGCTGACTACGACCTCGGTATTATTGTCCTCAAGAACACAGAAGGACCTGCCTTGAAGCTCAATGAGCTTCCGCCTATCGATGCCGTTCTTTTAAGCCATGAAGACCATGTGGACAACCTTGACGATTCTGGTCGCCAGCTTTTGGACGGTCGTAAGGTGATTACTACCATGGATGGCGCCAAAAACCTGCAGCCCAGACCCGGTGTCCAAGGTATCCGACCCTGGGAACAGTTGTCGCTGAACATTGGTGGCAAGTCGTTCACAGTAACCGGTACACCCTGCCAGCATCTACCTGGCGGCGAATGCACAGGTTTCATCCTGGAGTCTCCCAACTTTGGCACTACCGATGGCAAGCCGAACGTGATATACATTTCTGGTGATACTGTCTATTTGGATGAACTGGTTTCTATTCGTGACAAGTACCATGTATCCGTCGCTATCGTTCACCTTGGTTTAGCAACTGTGCCCGACTTCCCTGGCGTCGAGGGACCTCTTGAAATCACGATGGGTGGAAAAGATGCCGCCAAACTTGTACGCGAACTCGATGCTGATATCATGGTGCCGATCCATTTCGAATCGTGGAAGCATTTCACAGAACACAGCGGCGAGCTGCACAAGATCTTTGAGAAAGAAGGCATCATGGACAAGGTCTGCTGGCTCACTCCCGGTCAGCCAAAGCGGGTTATTTAAAAAAAATTAGATATTGACATTGACGCCTTATATATAGACCTGTTGTATGACTTAGATCTCCTTTTCTTCCTTAATATAATGAAAACTTTATATGGCACTACTATCAGCCCCAAGCAGTAAGCCTTAGCGCAGCTGTAATATTAGTCGAATGTTGCCTCCACAAGCTAAAAAAAAGGTTAGAGCAACGATTGTATCAAGTTGGTCATTTCTAAGTGAGGCATGAAAATGGTATGATCAAATATAGAGACAATTTTTTGGTCCCAGCCGGTGCTTGACAATTACACCGGCGTAAACATGTACTTGCTTGAAAGAGCACGCATCGGCGGGAGTGGATCGTTGACAAGATTTTACCTTCCTGGAAAGGCACCGAAACCGCGAACAGCTCAGGAGGAAAAAGCAAGGCTCGAAAGTCAAAGACAAGTCACTGAGAAAATGATTGACAAAAACGTTTCGACAGGTACAACGATCTCCTTGCAACATGTCAACTACTCGGTATCGACCTTGCTGTTGCACAATCACTTATTTCATTGAGATACTCACGTTTAGTTGATGCATCCCCTTCAGGCAACCTACAATTGAGGATCTTCGAAGTTCTGCGTGATCTATGGATCATATGCATATATTTTCCGCACGCTGTGTATATACCTAGGGATGTGGAATTCATCGCCAAATTATGTATTACTCTATTTCTGCCATGATAGAAGACGAACGTTGAAGTTACCAAGAGGCTGAACTGCAAAAATTTCAATGTATGACATCGCCAAACTTACTGGTCTTCTATGTAGCTCAGTAAAATAAGCAGGACGTGGAACATGGCAAGTCCATATGATGTGGTAGTGTGGTTTCTTTCCTGTTAGTATTCAATGCAAACATGTCCCTTCCTACCATTGTTACAACTCTCTCCTTGAAAAAACCAGAAAAGAACTTGCTTTACCGCTGTCGTAATAGCTTTAAAAGAGCCTGGTTATGAGCAAACTGTGGCGAATGACACCAAAGATAATTCCAGTAGAGTCACCCCTTTCTTTCTTGGTTTAAATTAGAAAACAGCTCCTCTTCTGCCTGGAACACCTTTGTCCTCTGACATAGAAGAATGTACTTTGGGTGACTGCAGTACATCTGATATAATAAGCTCGTTTGCAAATACAAAGAAACGTGCTTTTATAAATATTAAATTGAAATTCAAGAAAACTGAGAAAAGGAGGCAGGTTTACTTTTGTTGTAATCTATAAATAATGCCTATTTGTGTACATATTCTCCAGAAAGCGAGAAAAAAAAGGCTTGAATTTCAGGGGGGGGGTCGCAGATACTTTTGAAGAAACTCCAATCGCTGCAAAGTTTACTCAAAAAATGATCTATACTAGAGAGTAACCATATCATCGCCTATGATAAACCTGCGAGAAGATGTTGCGTGTTCTCGTGTGCTGTCAAAAAGGAGAAAGAACCTATTATTAGAGTAACCTTTTTTCACCCAATTTGAGTGAGCTGTCTGTCGTTTCCCGGGTAACTCTTTAGTCAATCATGCTGTGAAGCTTATATATTAGCTACCGTTATCACACCATTAAATTAAAACAGCAGCCTCTGAGAGAATAATTTGATGTCGGTCACAGTGACACTTTCTAACGACCGATTCTTTCTATTATTGCTCAACTGCACAGTATATATGCTTTTTTTAACAAACATCGTGTGAATATACTTCTTTGATCTTCATTCATATGCATTTCTTACATAGAGTGCTCGCTGGTGAGATCTAATACTTAAAGGACAGATACCGATAATAGATTACCCCTTTCCTTCAAATGAATCGCAAATTTTCAAGTAGAGAATAGTGGTGTGTGTAACAAAACGCGTTTGATGATGGTTACACGGATCTTCGCTATGTGGTGATTGGTGAGGTTCTGTATATGTCAGTTCCCCTCTCTGGCATTATCATCCGCTCTCTCATCACAGTATCTGCTGGCACACAGAATAGACTACGTAGGTATTAATCTTTTTTTTTGAGGGAGATGGTGTGTGTAATAAAAAAATAAAAGGAAAGGTGGATGGGCGGATGGTTCGGGGTGGAGAAAGAGACTTTCCCCGGTAACTTATCACGCATGTATTCACAATCTTGTGTCGTACTATAAAAGCTTGGGAAAGATACCAGACTTTATTTGTGCTAGCCTCTTGGATTTTTGAGTGTGTCCAAACCATTTATTGTATTACCACAGATGATGATTTACAGAGCTGCTGCCTGCAGGTATCGGTGGTGGCATCATCATCATCATCTTTGCAAATAAAGCAGATGAAGATCTGCGCTATGTATCAATCAGCATGCAACATCATATTAGCTAATACGATAGTGCATACCCGCCTTCTAGAAAACCCGAAATGCTGCTGGGAAGTGCACCTGCTGCCGCTGCTGCCGTTTGTTGGTGGTGGGTGGGTAGGAGTTTTGTTATTGACAAGAACGACCCAGAAACATGATAGCTCCGCTTATAGGCATACGACTCGAGTTTTCTAGGTGTACATAGTGATACTATACATCTTTCTATTAAGAACCGTTTTTCCTGCTGCTTAGTCCGGGACAAAGAAGGTTGAGAAATCCTCGAGTTTACAAAGTGAGATCTTTTTTTCTTTTCTGTGTCATGTAGCACATGGAACGTTTTTTTGACAAATTTGCTCCAACAACAGCATCGATCTGATAGAAACGCGAGAAAAAAAAAGGCACGCGCCGCTGCTGTTGCCAAGCATTTGCATTGGCAATAGCAGCTGTTGTCTGTTATTATTAACCTTGCTACTGGTGCTCCATTAGGAAGGAAGAGTGTGTGTACTTATTCAGCAACCCAACAATGGTTGTCTTTTTTCGTTGGATTTTCCTCCTTGTCTGTATCATTATTGTCGCTTAGCACGATCTCTTTCCAGCGTTAGTTCAAAATTATTAGAACCTTTAGTGGCAAGTTTTTTTGCTTTATTAAAACAACTACGAATTCTGCTAGCTTATCGTTCGGTTCATGTTTCAGACATTCCATATTTCGTCTTAATTCAGATGCTTCCAAAACGAAGACACAGGACGCAGACATTAACATCAGCTACTACGGAAGCAGCTGCAGCACGAGGGACGCTACTCCAATGATTACATACAAATTGATAATTATAATGTTGCAAAGACAGAGAATCTATAGTGAAGGGCCTAGGCAATTTGAAACACGTCATTGAAATGGTGCTTGGGCATTGGTAGAGAGAACATGAAGTAGAGCGCAAAAGCACATGCATAAATGGCTGCACAGGCAAAGTGGAGCACTGGATGCCACGATTTGAGACGCTATTTTAGGCAAAATGGTGCTTAAAAGGAACATTACACGGTTATATAAGTCACAGATATAGGCAATTTGTGGCTTAAAGCCTACTAAAATCGCAAGAGAGATCGTTAAAAGCGCAGTTGCTTGGGCATGTTCGTCGTCGTCGTCGCTGTCGTGTAGCGAGTGCCGGGGGAAGAGGAGACTCCCAGAAGTATTTGTACCAAGCAGCAGTCATACAGGGCTAACATGGTAGTCATGACCACACAGCTCATAAAATGGGATGAGATGGTCCTGGAGAAACACAAGGACAAGAGGACACACAGACGCAGCGTATGTGTATCATAGATGGGCAATTTGCGCGAAAAAAGAGAATTAGGCCCAAAAGAGGCATAATGCAAGAGGCGATCATCAAGATGGGCTAGCGTCTGATTGGCCACGGCGACATGCTCATATTCCATTTGGAAGGCTGGGATGCTCGGAACAGAAATCCGTTGGATGGCCGAAACCGGCATTGTGAGGCCTCGTCTCACACGGCCGGTAGAATGGACCAAATAAGACGAAAAGGCAGCAGTACCAAGAAGAAGCAGTGTTACTGAGCAACCGGGATTGTATGAGAGGAAAATGAAGAAACGTACCTTGTGTCACTCCCCCTTTTCTTCTTTCTTCTTTCTCTCTCTCTCTCTCTCCACACAACCCTCCCCCCCCCAAGAGACACCCCTTGCCAGTTCCTCTGTACGCGCGCGGAGTGTGCATTGCATTTCGTCGTCAGTCTTTTTTTTTTTTCCCTCTCTTTTGCGATCCCTTGTTCCTTCCTGGTTCTTCACACGATTTTCTTTTTCCTCTCTTCTTCTTCTTCTTCTTTTCCATCCGTCCTTCTCTTCTTTCTCACACATACGCTATACTCTCCTTATGCTCATCCATAGCCGTACGCTGTTCTCGCTGACGGCAGCTTGGCTTCTAATCAACACCAACACTTCTTATGCTGCAACCACCACAACCTCTTCGTCCATTTTAGAAAACGAACAGCTGCCACCGCCAGCCCATTCCGGCAACCAGCATATCGTACGTGTTATCCATGATCACTACATACAGCAGCAGCAGCAGCAGCAGCAGCAGCAGCGGGAACCATCTGCTATCAGTGCTACCACATCGATTGATGCGTTCGCCATGACCAACGCCCTCAGCGAGTACTATGAAAATATTGTTGACCAAGTGATGGCCACCTTGACGGAAGAAATCACGCTATCTGCACCACGGTCGTATATGTCCATCCACCACTACGGCACCGTTCGTCGTGGTACGTAACGCTACAGCGCATATGCATGGCTTGCATTTGCATTTGCATTTATGAGCGTTTGACAAACAAACAAGCCCCTCCACTAACACACCGGCTTTATTAACAAAAATAGGCCGTTGCAGAACGTCACTTCGTTCATTTGTGCACGATCTTCGAGACCATCTCAATCTCATGCGAGCTAACTTACTTGCCTCCATTCGGCCACTGGTTGAATCGAACTTACCAAGCGTGTTACCGTATACACAGCAACAGCAGCAACAGCAGCAGCAAGATATCGCCGTTATAGGTGCACGGTTGACAGAGGACATCCTTTCGTTGAATCGGCACATTGTGCTACAACTGGGTCTTATACTGAACGTCGAAGAAGCAGCAGATATCATCATTAGCCAGTCGATGCCTACACGAGTCCTGCTGTTAGAAGACGCTACACACCTTCGTGACAGCAGTCATAACCCACCAACAGCATCAGCAACATTGTCTTGGAGTAATCAGCACCAGCAACTGGTTTTACTAGCAAAGAAACCATCAGCATCATCGCGTAATACCAACAATAATAATAATAATATTAATATTAATAGCAACAGCAACAGCAACAGCAACAGCAACAACAATAATCATAATCATAATCATAACAACGCATACGACTACGACTACGAGGACGAAATCGAGGATGAGGGAGAGGCGCTTGCTTGGTTGGAGACATTACGGCGCGAGTCGGAGGAAGAACAGCAGCGTCCTGAATCCAGGGCACTCACACACTGGTTACGCTCCTGGCTATCCGAAGTTGAAGAGATCCTGCGTGTCCAGTTCGACGAGCGTGTTCAAGATGCGACCCAGTCGATTCTCGAGGATTTTCTCATTGATGATTCGTACTAAATGAGTCCCTTTCTATATTCTTTATTTAATACCCTTCTTTACCTACTTCTTCTATTACCGCTACTACCCCGTTCCATCATCATCATTTTCATCTTCATCCTCCATCCAAAAACCCTGGCATATACTCTCTCCTATCCTAAAAAAAACAACTCAAGTATATACGACAACCCCCCGACCACCACCACCACCACGTTACAGGTTCATCTTTAAAAGAAAGAACACCCCTTTTATCTTGACCGTTCACCTCCTCTCTCCCATCATACTGATACCACCATCCCCTTTTAAGGTCTTTCTCCTTATCAACACTCCCCCTTCACACGTTCTTCCAACTTGCTCTCTTAGCGCAAGAACACCACAACCTTGTAAATAGTTCGTTATATGTTTCTGAGGAAATCTTGAATCTCATCTTTCCTCGCTTTCGTTATCTGCACACAATCACACACTCTCTCTCTTTATGTAATGATGAACTTCTTTTTTCTGTCCGTGTAGGAAATAATAAAAAAAGAAATAAAGTAAAAAGCTATTCTTTGAAAAAAGGTAAATTGTGATGGTTGAAAGGCATTACCCCTCTCTTTGTCTCTCTTTTTTAAAAATAACAACAGCCCAATGAATCGAACCGAGTTTCACAAAGCTATCAACGCGTTTTATAACAACACGCTTTCATGTGAAGCAGAACCAAACTGGACTTTTGTTGATCATATTAGAGTAAGACTTTTACCAGAAAAACACCAATCGTGCATGTTTAACTTTATGGATCTTTGTAATCTTGTTCATTCCCCCCGACATTGATAAAAGTGTAGAACAAATACTTGAAGCGAACTACGTTCCTGCCGATTGAAGGCTCAGCAATGGCGTCCGAGATTATGCCAGAAACGTCGCTAGAAGAACAAACAGAGGCCCTGCAGCAGGTATCGGATCCCGCTACTGCAGAGAGGGAGGTGATGGTGACAGACTCACTATCAGGAGTGGAAGCAAAGATGCATGTGACAGTGGAGCATCATATCGTCTATTCTCCCGGTTACCAAGTGCCTGTTTTGTATTTCAATGGATACGATGCTGGTAAGATCGAAAGCTTTGAGCTACTATGCACACACAGGACTAACAGTCATGACAATGGGCAACACTGACTATTTCTCTGTTTAAAGATGGCACGGCGCTTTCACTCGATGAAGTGTATCGATGGGTGGTTTCTAAGGGGATGCAGAGTAGCTTGCAACATGGCAACAGACTCAGCGCACAGGGATCCATCTCACAAGAAGAACACCCAGCCCTCGGCCTGCCCTTTTATTACATCCACCCGTGCGAAACTCAGTCGATGATGCGCTCGATTTCCCACGATATCGACATCAACACTTACATCAAGACATGGTTGTCATTCATCGGCCCAGCTGCTGGATGCACGCTTTCCCATCAGCTTTTCTTGCAGCAATAATGCCACTCTTTTACATATCCCACATAAAAACCTCCTCAATAAGCGAACGCAATTGCTTGTCCTGTCAAATATAATAAAGGCTTTTTTTGATATCTACACAGCAAAACAACAACAACAACAACAATACAAACAAAGGGGAGAAGACCTCTCCCCTCCATCATCCCAACTTATTTTTTCTATATAAAGTTTGGCTTTTTTTACATGATTTAAAGAGTATTTTTCTTTAGTTTTGGACCTTGGCCAAGATCTCAGAGTCGCGGTACAAGAAGTACTCCTAAAATAATAACCATACAAGCGTGGCAATTGTCTTAGTAATCGCAATGCAAACAGACCATACCTTTCCACCCCCAGCTAACATCCATCCCTATACCGTATTGCTGACGGCACATTTGAACGGAAAAGATACTTTACCTCGCCTTCAACCTTCACACTGCTTCCACCGAACGAAGGCAGAATGACCTTGTCACCAGTGGCAACCTGGGTAGGAATGTGCTTGCCATCACGGTCAAGAGCTCCCTTGCCAACAGCAACGACGACACCAGTGTTGGAGACTTCCTGTGCCTTCTCGGGAATGAAGATACCAGAGGCGGTTTTCTACTCGTTGCATAAATTGGAGGGAAGGGGTTGTTAGTGAGCAATTCTCTCCATATATCCACATCCATTATGCCATATATTTTCTTTTTTTTTTGTCGTATGCACTTGTTTATTTACCTCCTGAGCCTTGACACGTTGGATCAAGACGCGGTCAAGAAGAGGGACAACGTTCTTAAGCTTGGAGACAGCAGACTATAGAGTGTTGTTTTGATACAGCAATAGGTTAGTCATTCGAACTGTCACGTAATCATGTCTTTTACACAAAAGTAAATGTAAAAGTTTCAATGACATGGGTTAGACAAAAGAGGAGGAGAAAAGGACGAGGGCAATGCAATGCTTACCATGGTGTACAGATAGTGTGTGGGAGAAAGAAAAAAGAGGTGTTAAAACTAAACAAAAAGTCGGCGGGTCCGTTGAGTTTTTCGTGTTTTTGTCTTGGTTTCGAGCACCTTCCAGCACCAAAACAAACCCAGCGGTGACTGCGAACTTTTCTTCTCATTACTTCTCTCTTTCGGCAACACAGTACCCCGCACTCGGCGGAGCGAATGAACGAACGGACCAACCGGAAACGAGCGAGCTGTCAAAATCCGCAATCAAGGGGGGATGTTGGTTTGTATACAGTACTTTCGTACATACTACTATGTGGAGTTCTTCACACAGTAGCATCGCACACTTGAATCCATTATCGCGATAGGCTATTGTGAGCAGCTGCATCATTCGTTTGAGAATACATGAGTTCTTGAGCAGAGGAAAAGAAGTACGGATGCAGAAAAGAAAAGGAAGAGCCACTTCAAACATAATAAGCTTGCCTTCTGTCATGTTTTGATTTTTTTCGAGACCTTCTCGGGCATCTGTAATAAATGGATTTTGGAGAGAAGCTGTAAATTCCTTGAATAAATTTAAAGGGAAGCCAAAGTCAAACGATATGAAGAGTTGTACATTCGTCATAAAGTGACAACAAGCGGTAATTTATAGCTCCATTACTTGAGCGGTCCAGCATCCACATGCGTCACCCAGCGGTAAGCATCAATAACGAGTTGGGATAGAACACTAACCAGCTTTTGCTATCTTTTTATTTTTACGAGTATGAGCGAGTAACATCCGCAATAACTGTACTGATTAACATCTTGGCCTCATCCGCTACATTTGCAATCTGTGCTATATCTTGCACTTGGTGACTAGAAAAAAAATCCGTCGGCAATGTTACAAAGGACTCGAAATCGCAAAAGGATATGACAAGGAACATTTCTACAAGATCCGCCGTACCACATTGGATAAAAAGGAAGACTCATACTATGAGAAAGCTCTATTTCTGACACAATGTATTGTGCAAGATGTATGCTAGCGCATCTCGTAAGAGCTAAAGAACGAACAACCGAATGTGGCAGTAATATTTGAACACCCCCACGGTCAGTAAATAACAATAAGGATACGCAAGCGCCAAAAACCCGAACTGCGCATTTCCGCGTTAAACGCGCTTCTTGTTGCCACGGGTAATAATAGCAATACAAATTATTACAACAACTAGATTTATTGAGCATGGTCGTTGCGCAAAGCGTACAGAATCCACAAGAGCGTTAACTTCCGCTTTTTGCACGACAGTTTTTTGCAGTTTTCATAAAAATTCATGTAGTTCAAACTTAACATTTTGCGAAGCTCTAGAAAGCTCGTTCTCAATATCGTTAAAGCAAAGGTGAACAGAACTGCTGTTAATTATGATAAGCTGCTGGAAGTTCTCAAGGTTTGCGTGAAGGTATTATAGATAACGGATGGCTTAAACAAAGCTATCGACAATGTTGGTGCTTCTTGTTATTTGTGGTAGTTTTTGAAAGTTCAACAGGATAGGCACAAGCCGCAACCTGGTCCATCATCGCAAATGATCGTTACTGGGCATAGTAGCGCAAACTACAATATGTAGTTTGGAAGCACACCAACTAACACCGGTTTCTCAAAACAAAAAAGTGACCCGATGACATACATTAATAGAGCTTCTTCTACATCAAGCTCTGATACGATCCGATCAATCATTATCATACATAATTTATCCTCAAGCCGAATGAACATACATCGCCGACTTTTCAGCTCCAACGATATACACATTCTCTTTTTCACTGTCTTTATTAAATTTTATCAAACTTGTTTATTTTTGTTGGTCGTGTCTTCAAAATATGGATAATGCAAATGTTGATGCATACCATTCGAAGTGGAATAGGGATAACAATCGGAGCACATTATCAAACAATCGTTTTGATCTAGCTGACTGAGAGCAGACTAGCAGGGAGCATATATATATATATATTTATAACGAAATTATGGCAGACGGCTCTTATATACTAGCATCGGTAGGTGACAACATTTGATATATGAAAATATTATGGGATAATAGATGGGATGACTACCGTTAATCGTGCAAGAAGGGGATTGAAGACGTTTGCACGCAGGCCACACACAGGCGGAGGTACTAGTCAGGGGCTTTAGTTTCAGAGGGCACTGTTGTGATAAACATGCAAAACATGCAACAATCAACTAGAAGAAACTGCTAGTATGGATCGAACCCAGCAGTCTGGATTATGACGAGCATATATTTAATGAAGATGTGATTATCGCTTATAAATTGGGTTGCCTGCTATTGTTGTCATCCATGTTGGCTCTAGGTTCACTTCTAGGCAGAATTGTGCGTATTTGGGTAGGTGACGATCATTACTGTACCTTGTCCCTGCAAAGACTGTGTTTGAGCCTATGTACTCAAAAGATAAAACCTATAACATGCAGATGCGAGGGATACAAGTAAGTGCTAGTTAACATCATTGTTCGCTTATTGTAAGCCCTTCACTGTTACAGTGAGGTTGCGAAGGTAAATATACAACACGTTTTTTAATAGTTCATCGCCGACTCTCGTCTTGGATAAGCGTACCGATTTCTTTTAAAGGCTAACGCAGTGCCATCTCCTCTGGTAGTTTTTTTGACAGGAGGCTATGATAGGGCGTTTTGATGAATATAAGCGGTGACATATTTGGAGCATAGTTTAGATACAATCGTATAGTGAAATAATGTTGGTACAGGGTGACCCGTCTCTCTGAAAACGATGACGACTGTTGTCATCCTGCTTGTACTTCCCTCCTCTCTGCTTTTCCCCTTCCATTCAAACGAGCTATTCAGAACCTATGATAGCTGCTATGGAAGCCGATAGCAATCCTGCAACGGCTCGAAAATTTTTAAAAGCCATGATTTGTGTCTTTGAGCTATAAGTTGTTGTTTTTCTTGGCTCATAACATCATAAGACTGTCAATCATCCATCGCTTTCTTCAAATTGAGTGGTTTCGTGTTGTTTGGTTGTTCACGCAATCGATCTTCAGTCGGGCAATGTCTAGATCGAATTCAGCATCCCGCCTAAGTCGGGGCCATTATGATTTTTGATAGGTCGAATTGTGCTAAGGAGGATGCCACTCAAGTATAGTTACTGTTGGTCGTGGTTCTTGGTCAGATACATTTATTTCGTTAAACGGAATCCCAGCGATTATAATTTCTTGTTCGGAAGGTCTACGTTGTAGCTGCAGCTTTTGCTTGCTCGGTTTTGATATATGCTACAGCTATTTTTAACGAATTGTAGTCCGTGCTATTGTTTGTCGGGTCAGGAAGATGCACCACCGCTCGTGGTTCGTCATACTAGGTGAAGTATGCTTGATATAGATGCAGTGAGTGCCGTAGATCCGCTTGCTATACAACCAAAGATGTTCTCGGAAACAGGTGAAGTGATGCGTGTTGAAGTATCAGAATGCTTTTAAATAAGGGTTAAATAAATCCCTCATTTAAGGTATCGATAAACATTGAAACTAGCAATGGATTGCTGTAGTTTGTAAGGATTTTAGCAATAACTTTTTGTTTTCGTACTTTCGAATTCGCTGTTTACTGATAGTGCTCGTTACATAACGGCAGTACTACTAACACGATATACGCTCGCTTAGAAATCTATTGGCTTCGAAAAAATCCTACAGTACCGACGCTCACTTGTTACTAACACTTGCCTCATCTTTGCAGACATAATAGGTTCTTTTTGAAAAGATGTAGCAGTAATAGCAATTGGTATCCAGCACCTATATTACTATCTCGTTTTCTTACGAAACTTCCCCAACCCCTCTCATTCCTACCCTCTCTTTCTTCCTTTTTGTCATAATGTAAAGTTTATAATAGTTGCAATGATTGTCTTTTTCCAATTATCGGGTAATTGAATGTATAGATATCAAGCTTTTATTCATTGTCACTCTCTTCTTCTTCACTACCGCTATGTTCATCATCATCTTCACCCAATGAAAGTTCGGTCTGATCGCCCATAACATCGTCATCGTCATCTCCATCAGCTTCTTCTTCGTCATCCTCATCTTTGTCATCCTGCTTTCTCTTTCCACCAGTTCGCAACCGATGTTCTTCTTTCTCTCTTTGTTTCCGTTCAACATTTTCGTCCTGCAGCTTTTTACGTTGGGCTTTTTCTTGTAATGTCCGTTGTCGTTTACGTTCACTTTCCCGGATTTCTTCCTTTGATTTGCGAACTATTATGTTGTATAATCGTTAGTCATGATGACACATAGATGTGTTTTTAAAAGTTTTAAAGTATTCACCATATTTGTGATAGAGAACTTCGCCACCGCAAAGACCGTTTTCAACCTTGATGAGGTCAAGCGTCAGACGTGGACCTAATTCCTGCAAACGCACAGCACGTTGATCATTTTTCCGGTTGTTGCGGCCTGGGTAATTCTGTGCAAGCGTCACTACAGAATCGGGTCCATCCTCAACATCGCTTTCAGAAACAATGGCTTCTTTCAAAACGTAGTCAGAGATATCATCAAAGTTGCTGAGATCGGGTACTTCGGTGTTGATGATCCGCTTGATGGATTTGGATACGCCCGTTGCCTTGACGCCAATAGCGTAATGTCGTACATCAATCATGCCCGTATCTTCGTTGTAGTTAAATAAAAGTACACGCCGAGTTTGTGATAATTGAACCTTTCAAATTATAATTGAGTTTACATGGACATTCTCCTTTTTGATAACAATCACCATGGTAACACAATAGCAGTGGTACGTACAGTTTGAACATCGATTGACGGGAACATGTTTTGTAACATAGCAGTCATGACCTTGAACTGTTTGCCATCCTGCTTAAAGTTATTGAGGACCAACAACGGGCTGGATTCGTGCTTTGCCGAAGAAGTTTTGGGCGCCTTTTGAAGTGCCAAACAATCTTTGGCAAGAGCGTATTCGGCGACTCGGAACGTTAATGTAGGACCTCGGGGCACACGAGCAATGCGCAAGTTGACATTGGCTTCGGTACGACTAAAGATCAAAAAGTGGGTAATGCTAAGTTGACCTGCCACCGCAACAAAATCTTTTAAACGATTCGTTCGTCGTTCCTGTAAGGAAAAAAAAAGGTTAGAAGAAATGTGATCCTTATTTTCCAACTGATCCACGAACGATCCGTTTCGTTTATTGTCGATCTAAAATAGCTCTCTTTCCTCACCTTTAAATGAGTTGCGGTATATGGTTCCATGATACGACGCACATCGCGAACGAGTGCAGTAAGTGATCGACCAACGGCTCCCGATCGCATAACAAAACTTCTCGGGATCTTGTTCATATCCTCGTCGGTTGGCTTAAGGTGAGTTCTAGATTTTCTCTAAGAATGCACATATAGTTCAATAAGATCTTTCGGATTCAGGCGCAACAATTAGCTTTTAACAAGTAAGAACCAATACCTTGCGTCCCATTATGCTTTACTTTTGTGTATGAAAGTAAAAAAGTATATAATAGTTAGGGCTTTCAAAAAAATTATTTTTTCATGCCAGCAGAGAAAGTGCTGGTGGCTGACTACATATAGTAGCTGGTTGTCGGCTTTATTATTCTCCGTTCTTTGTTCTGTGGGCGTTCTTTTCACCCTCACAGGTTTGCATATATTTCCTTGGTCACCATGAACGGTTTAAAGATAATTACGCACTGGTGTCCATCCAACATTCTTGCCAGAGATTCCAAAGTCAAACAATTTGCACTCATCATTTTGAACCAGCCCATTAAACATCTGGAAACTTTTAATCGTCTTTGGGCTAATGGTATATATAACGATTTATTTTGCTCGAACATACTTTTGTTATGCACGCGCACCCCTGATATCCAGTAAAAAAAAAACAGCATGGACGTATTAATCATGTAATGACAGCCACTTTTCGTTTCTGTGCTGACGGTGGATCGAATCGACTTTATGACACCTTTAAACATGACAGCCACAAACTTCGATTGTTGGTGTTACAATTATCCTTTTTGTTTATTTGTTTGCTCTACGACAATAAATACACTTTTTAACATACTACTCGTGGTTTTTTCTCTACTTAGGTATCTACCAGATGAAATTAGAGGCGATCTTGACTCGCTGCGGGTAGATGTTAAAGAATATTATGAAAGCATGGTAAAGTAGGAAAAGGTTGATTTGTCACACTGTATGAGTTAGTCTGTTGATATAGAGGTGACGTATTAATTATCTATCTATAGAATGTCAAGATTACAAGAGTAGCGGATCAAGATTCGACAGACTTTGACAAGGTCATTGCTTTGTTAAAGGAAAAGGAAGAAGAGCTTGGAAAAGTGGTATGTGTATCTGCAGACTAAGGAATGTTGGGTATGGGCGCTGGTAGATAGAGTTAGAGTTTAATCGAACGCGTTTCTATACATACTAGTTTGATATTGTTGCACTTCCAGCACTTGGTGGTCGGTTCGATCAGACTATGCAAAGTATTAATGTGTTATACTCGATGATGCATGAAGTTGAACGGAGGACGATTCTTGTAAGCGATGAAAGCTTGACCGTGCTCATGGATAAGGTAAAAAGTGCATCGGAACGTTATTTGTGTTATGGCTGTACACTTATATTCCTCTCTCCACCTACACGAATGTACGGGCGCACAGGGCACCCACCATATTCACTGTCAGCCGGAATATGAAGGTTAGTTTGTGTGTGGGGTAAAAGAGATAGAGGAGCAAGAACCCGAGCGGCAGATCGGCAAAAGAAAGCAAGCGTGAGACTAAACTTATTACATGTAAATGCTTCGCTAATAGGTCCTACGTGCGGGTTGATCCCCATCGGCGCTCCGGCTACTTTGACAACGCGAGGCTTAGAATGGAACTTGGGCAAGTTATGGGATTGTTGTTGTACCTGTTGTGGACTAGTAGAGAGATGACCTTAATATACGTTGGCTACACAATCTGTGTCTAATCCTAACTGGTGTGTAATTTGTACCGCCTTTGTGCGGAATTAGATCACCGAAAGTGTCACTTTGGAGGCATGGTCAGCACGTCGAACTCTATTGCTAAAGATTTGATAGAGGTGGAGACCGATTCGCCTATCGTCTGGACGATCGAAATCAAGCACAGCGAGGGAAAGCAGGATGATTTCGACGAGAGTTATGTCGAGGATGACGACGAATAAGCTTAGAATTAGAGAGCAATAATCTTGGTGGGATGTCTTGGACAAAAGAAGTAATAGATACAGTAGAGAAAGAAGATACCTTGAAATCAGCATCCTTTTTTTTTCCCACATGTGCTGAACCTTCTCCGACGAACACAGGTAGTTTCGGAGACTCTGTTGTTTTTTTCTGATATACACACTTTCCCTGTTGTTCACACACTCTATCGCACACGCACTACCCCACACACACACACACACACACACACACACAACCACTTCCTTTCTCTCGCTCAGCTCTTTCATAATTATCTTCCTTTTTCTTGTCTACATTAATATACAAACGAATGAACCAGCGCCAAGCAAATCAGCCTTCTCTTGGTGATTATTGCCTTTTGAACGCTGCTGTCGGCCACCTATACGAGCCTCAGGCCGAAGATATCCTATGCGACGAGAATCTCCTTGACTTGTTCCGCATCATTAAACAAGTGCTTCGTAAGAAGCGTGATCCCGAGCGATTGGCTCGTTTGTTCTTTTGTATGTCGTATGCACTGGGTGATCATGTCAAATTCCACAAGCCTGTGCATGAAAACAAGATTATCTTTGATGACCGGGGCTTCGGTGGTGCACATGCTGTGCGATTACCCAGCACCAGTAGCTGCTGTATCCGTAACTCTGGGAGTAACAAGGACAGGGGGAACTGGCCGGATACGGCATCCTTGTCTTCCTCTTCGGCGTCGTCGACATCCTCATCAGCATCGCCGATTACCAAACTCTTATCTGTTCCTTATATCACACATCAACGACAACAGGCTGAAGAAGCCGCAGCGGCTGCAGCGGTGGCGGCAGCAGCAGAAGCAGCAGTTAATAGAAGATCAACACCACCACCACCAACAACAACAACGGCAGCAACAGTGGCCGCACGATCACCCCTCTCTTCCTCGGACGATACCTCGACAGACGCATTCACAGTACGACCGTATACCAATTTTCGACCGTTGTACCCATCCGATGCAGCAGCCCAAGGAGCACCTTCGCCACCACCGCCACCGCCACATCACACGCATCATTCTCATCCTATCCATCCTCATCAACAGCATCTACCACAATCACATCATGCCCAGCGATTCGATCCAAATAAATTCACTCCCCTTGGCAATGCCCTGGACATCACCGAGGTGGCCGGTGACCATGGCAAAGAATTCATCATGGAACCAAGACAACGTGGCTTCTATTATCAGGACAATCGCATTACTCGGGAGCCTGTGTTACTGCAGCGATATGCCGAACATGGTATCTTGACACATGCTTCCTTAATGCGCAAACGCAAGCGGCAAACGAGCGATCAGCCTTCCGATATGATGACCCCTTCACCCGTCGTGACAAAGAAACCAAAGATACCCCATCGTCATGGCGAATTTGAGCAGAGACGTAAGTGGTCGTTGTTAATGGAGAAAATGGGTGGGGGTGGGAAACGGAAAGTATATTCAAGAGGAGATTGTATACAGGAACCGTGAGTGAGAGTACACAACCGCCTTTTATGGATGCATGGCTAATCTGAGAGAAAAAATTGAACACATACCTTAAACCCATTTAGGCGATGACATTATCGGACGTATGCGCAGTATCACCATTACCGACCTTGAACAAAAAGCAGAGCGATTACCAGAAGACTACTCGCTTGCGATCGAAACGATAGCACCACTGACGCCAGAAGCAATTGCCTCGCCGGAACGAGCAGCCGAGCTTCTGGAGCCGTCTTTACGCATTTTGACAAACCACTCCAACATGAAACCACATCTCGACAACGGCATGAACCAGAACGGTATCTACTACAACACCGACTATTTCCGACTGTATCTGGCATTCGAACAATTCCAAACCACATTTGCAGTCCTGTTCCCGAGCGAGGTTGTCAAGATGCCTCAATGGGGCAGCGAGTTGTTTAACAACAACAGCGACTTTTTGGCATCGTATGCGTCGGATCGGGACCGTGACCGTGACCGAAATGCCAACATGAAAGCGTATCGCAGTTGGATTGAGCCATTGCTGACCGAGACCAATTGGGCGGCTTTCCGACGCAACATTGTTGTTGGCGAACGCATGATGCAGTTGACCAAAGTGGTGGGCCAGGGCGTGCTATTAATGACCAAGGAATTGAGTGGATCCAAGCTGCATCTGACGTTTACGAATAACGAGTGGGACGAGTTTATCACTGGGTTGAGCTCGGGACGATGGGATCAGACGATTCATTGGGATGTCACGCCTGCGGCGCCAAACGGTAGAAATAGCACTGGGATCGCGTCGCTTTTGGTCAATGAGTTACGGCAAAAATTCTCAACGACGTATTGGTTTCATCCAGACGGGATGATCATGGCGACCGAAAATCGCAGGATAGCTATTGCGGCTGATAACAATGGCAACAGCAGTGGCAGCAGTGATGGCATTAATGATGGTGACAACAATGGTGCTACTAGTGGCAATAGCTGATGATGATGTTCTCTGTTATACTTTCTACCATGTACATGTACTTTTTTTTTGTTTTAATTACTACTTTTACTTGTATGTCATCACATCCCTTCATCCATCATCCCTTATATTCATCATCCATCATTGTCGCAATATAACGATTTCAGCTATCAGTCGCATCTACGACATGTCTTTTCTTATTTCTATGTATGTCTTGGTTCCTGAGGATTGTGCATTATCCCACGCCAGAGCACTCTCATATCAAAGCACTTGATTATCTGAAACATATAAAGTATCTACCGGTGCCGCTCGCACACCATATAATTAGTATGATTTATTGACAGAAAAAAAAACGAAGATGTTTGCAAATAAGTACATAAATGAGAGTGTAGTTTAGGAGAAAGAGAGATTATGAAAAAAGCGCTTGAATCAATAAACAGACAAAAATAGTTGAGGATTTGTGAATAGAAAAAGAGAGATACAGTCATAGTAGAAAGAAGCATGAACAGAAAAGAATTTACAAAGAGATAGAAAGAAACTATAAGCATACATATGATATATATACAGGGCAGAAGGTAAGTTATGCGATACGTAGAGATGTAGTTTGCAAGAACTTATGGGGGATAATTGTACGAAATTGGATGGGGAATTGGTGGTGGTATCAGTTGAAACGTCGAGGATTTTACAAAAATGATAATATAACGAGAGAGATGAGAATAGTTATTAAAGGAAGGAGAGAGAGGTGGCTGCTGGTATAATCTTATAGAGATAAGGCTGTTTTAAAGTAGCAAGGAGCGAATTGATGGTAGCCTAGTGGTGGTGGTAGGACGGCTTTGATCCAAATCGGCAGAAGATAGGGGAGGAGAAAGAGGCATATAGGCAGCATTGCACTCAACTGGTGCAGGCTTCTTTAAAGCCGACACGTCGTGATGTTTCTGCTGTTGGCTCAGTAGTGGTGGCAACGTCAATTGATGCTGTTCTGAAGAGAGTGACGAAGTTGAAGTGGATGCTGAAAGAGGTGGCATCGGCTGTGGCAGTAGAGGTCGTTGAATGGGCGAGCTTTCGGGCGTATACAAGTATTCGCTGTCAGAATCCGAGCAGCTGGAATACTGCGTCGGTGAATGCATGATTGGAAACTGTTGCTGCTGCTGGTAATGCTGCTGATAATGATAATGAGGAGAAGGATAATGTTGATGATAATGATAATGAGGTTGATACGCTGCTTCAGCCAGACATTCTTGACAGTCGTCATAATAGGAAGGCGGCGGAGGTGAACACGGCGACTGTGGTACCGTGATAGGGCCATAGTAATACATGTCATGATGATGGTGACGAGGTGGAGCCATGTAAAAAGAAGGGTTCATCATGGAGTTTGCGGATCGGCGATCGGATCGACGCCTGTTGCTGCTGGTTGAACCGGGCGACGTATGAATTCGAACATGGCGAGTCAGTTCGTCACTCCGAGAAAAGCGTTTGGCGCAACCAGGGAACGTGCATAAATGAGGCTTTTCACCCGTGTGGGTCCGGATATGACGGGTTTGGTGCTCCAGTCGATAAAATGCCTTTGAGCACATTGGGCATTTGTATGGACGAGGCGCCGACTCATTGCTGCTGCTGCTACTGCTACTGCTATTCCGAATTGCTGGCATAATTTTTTTATCTTGAATAATAATGCAAATACAATACACACAGAACGCGCGCGTGCACCGGTTGCTGCTTTTATGAATAGAAAGAGAGAAGAAGAAAGAGAGAGGGAAAAAGGTACAGCAGTAGTAGAAGCAGTAGTAGTAGTAACTACAAAGTTTCTTTTTGTACTGACTGATTAGAAGAAAAAAAGAAAATGATGAGAAAGGAAACAAGGTAAAGCCCTGTGAGTTTCTTTCCATAGCTGCCCAGCATTTATAAAAGCAGATAATGTGAATGGGTGGAAAAGCGATTGTCTATCAATACGCATGTTGAATACGGGACGAGACCGATCTGTGCGATAACAGTTTTTCTTTTTGCATTTCGGATTCCTTTCTTGGGGGAGGTGGTTGGTTGGTTGGTTGGTTGGTCGAGTTAAAGGGGTTCGGGTGGGGGGTGGGGGGTAGGGGAAGAGGAGAAGGATGTGCTGTGACATTATAAAAGGCAGTGTATGATTGAAGCTGGTCCTCTCTTTCAACTCTCATAGTTAAATGTTCCTCTTCCCCCCACCAAGAATTATGCTGTGCCACGCAAGAATTGGGGGGTGGGCACTGTTATTTGGGGGGGGGAAGGGTCTAACAGAGGTATAGGAAAAGGGTACCCTCATCGTTCTTTATCATGATCACAGTCCGTTGTTTCCTCATTATGGCTACAATAGCCGATCTTTGGGAACTTGAAAAAGATAATGTTCCATTATCTTTTATATTATGATTTTCTAAATTGGAAGTATTACCCGTAAAAACAGATTGTAAAGGATGTCGTATACAGTGCTGTTGCTATGATTATGTTATTTGTTGTTATGGTCACCATGCTTTATCTTTCCCCCTTCCACTTCCTGGTGATCCGGGCACCAGTCCTCGTTATCTCGTAAATATGTGCATACTAATAGGTTCTCTTTCTTTGTAATAACTACAACACAGTTCCATCATATCCCGTACGTCAAAAGAACTGAGGATGACGGAGAGCAGAGAATGGCATCGTTGTCGGAATAAAGAGTAATATGACATGTATAAGACATAAAGCTGAATTACTTTCCAAAATAAAATGCCTGCAAAAGGAAAAGAGATAAAGATAACAATCATTTATTCATTATAATTTTTCGGATTCGAGAAGTCTCTGTTGTTTTTCGCCCTTTTGTCAGTGCTTTAAGGGGCTTACAAAGAATGGAAAAGAGAGAAAGAGAGAGAGAGAGAAAGGACTAAAACTGACGGAATGAACACGGTCCGATAACTTACATATCAAACAACAATAATGCAACTGCTATTTACTCTCGTGCCTAACTGTGCTTCTATGTGTGTGTGTGGTCATCGTCATTATCATCATCATCGTTCCTAAGAAAACTGCGTTGTCACATAACACATGAATGTTTTAATAAGTGGTGCTATGACCATTGCCGAGGGAAGCTAAAGAGATAAAGAGATCACCGTTTTATTGATAATACAAGCGGAAAGTTCGGATGGGACGGATGGTTTCTATATAAAGGCTATGGTTATCTCTTATGTACGACCGTATGCACGCGGAAACAAAGTGGAGTGTTCGTATCATAGATAAACAGGAGTTTATACACTCTCGGTGGATTGGGGGAGGGGGATGGAGAAGAGGGGGGCAGCAGGACAGAAGAGTAAAGTAAAGAGAGGCTTTTGTAAGGTGTTTTGGGGGACATGTATACGTGGGGTTACCTCTTTGCCTTATACAGCTCATCATTATCGTCATATGCTACTGAGCACCCGCATATGTATGTATATGTATATGAATAATAGCAAGTGTAGTGATACGCACTAACTGCTGCCGTCTGCCTACTTGGGCGGTGGAAACGGGTGCATATAACCTATCAAAAAGCACATTAGCCGAGGAAAAAAAAACAAAGTTACACACACGAGTGGGATCGGCTAGTTGTTTACACCAATAAAACTCGCCATATCTTGCCAGTGTTGTTATTTTTTTTTCCTTTCCCCTCTTTCTTCATATCTTTTGACAAGCGGTCCCCCCATCATCATCAATGACAATTCTGTTGTTGCTTCGTTCTTTAAAAATATTGGTGATATAACATTCTCTGTGTTATAGACATACTAGTACCGATGCGTTATTACTACAAATGCAAATGTGGTATATTACGATCACCATTCTCGTTATAACTAGCAAACTATACATCATTGATACATGATTCAAACCCCTTCTTCTTAATTTACCGTTTAACCAACGATAGGCAACCATAATGGCCGACGACTAATTACTAGTAAGGTAATATTATTCGTGCAGTAGTAGTGGTATGCAGCAGCATCATATGCATGACTAAGTTATAGAATATGTATATTAGTAGTAGTATGTGCAGCGGACGATAAATAAAAGTCGCAAAGCATATGCAGATTTTCAACCGACCTCCTCCTCCTCCTCTTCCCCCCAGTCCCCTGCGCGTATGTGTACTTATTGTGTGCGTGTCGTTATCACGCCCTCTTTCTGTTATCTTTAATTACCAAATATAGTCAATCATCGTTTTCGAATTCGCCTCTTTTCACCCCTTTCCCGTATTCTTCTTTATTATATCTTCTTCACTGAAGAAAAGAAGGTCTTTATTCCTACAGTACTATATACAGCCCACTTACCGTTCAGTGTACCTTTTAGTAAACCCGACGATCAGTTAGTGGGTGACAAATAAGCAGTATTGGGACACATGTCTTTCCCAAACAAAAGCAACACGTCACAACAACAGTGCTGCTTGCTGCTGCCATTACTGCATAAGCAGTTGAATAACCTGATGATGATTATGATCTGGGCCTTTATTTTTCTCTTCCCTTTCGATTGATATACAAAACGTTTCATTAAAGCTGCCACTGTTATAAAATCAGCGGTAAAGAAAATTGAACAAGACACTTAAATTTTAACGTGTAGCATTTGATCCCCAAAATAAGGGACACATAGTTGTTACTCGTTTAATCTATATAATCGTGGAAGGGATTTTCATACATAACAGATAAAGAAGAAGGTCAATAACAAATCACACTACAGCAAGAAAACTCGTCAAAGTTATGCGCTATATAAGCTGCATGAATATTCCCAGTAACAGGCAATAAGTTATCTCGACAGCAATAATTTTAATTTTGCTTATCTTACGATATGATTTGTTAACTACTATTATTCAAAACCCCCTATCCATTCTTGTGTTTTTCTGTACGTTCGATATACTATTATAGAGTAGCATATTTATCTCGTTCTGCGTATACATGTTTACATATGTCGCTGATTGATGATGATAAGGAACTTATTACGACGCTGGCAATTTTATAGACTTGGGAGAGTAGAAGCTCAAACCGAGGTAAGCAGCAGTTTTTCCGTACTTTACTAAATCATCGTAAAAGATGTGCACTTCCTCCGAAAAAGTTATAGGAACTGCAGCAGTTCCAAGAGCTTATCAATAGCTACGACAACTGCCGCTGCTGGTGTGAGCGTTGTCCCCCGTCAGTTCTTCTATGATAGGCAGTGCCAACAATAGTAAGTGCTCCTTGTCAAATAACAAGTGCTTAAAACTTATTTGTTACAAACTCACGGATAGATTTAGGATTGTATTGCTGCAGACGTTTCAATTAACTGCTGCTGTTATAGTCGATTGATCTGCCTGGGCGTCAAGTGTCTTTACTTGAACACTTGAGCGTTCTAAGAACGGCGTACACAAGTGAACTTACAACATTATTTATCTCAGAGAATGACAAGCCTCATTTTAGTGTCATATACGAATGGATTATCATCCTTCATGCATAGTATTATAACAGAACAGAAGAGGAACTTGTCTCGCTGAGTGCAGTCGACCGGTCCGGTGTCGGTGGAATTTTTTCCCAACCAATTAAAACAGCTAAATTTTGGGATTTTGCTTGGTTTTTTAAAGCTTGAGTCTTGGCAAGTCGGGCAAGTTAGTCTTCTTTCTTTGACTGATTTACAATGGTACCTGCTCAGCTTTCAATTTACCTCACATTGTAACAAGAGCTTTTCTGTATACTTTTACTTATTTTTGGAATTGTGCGTGTACGTTTACTCTATAGGATTTTTTATTTGGACGGAAAAAGACGCCTGCAGAGATGCTGCGTCAGCATCAGCGCACGATAACCAAGGCGCAAAGAGAACTCGACCGCGAACGAGAACGACTAGAAAGACAGGAAAAGAAACTGATTGCCGACATTAAGAAATCGGCAAAAGCTAATCAAATGGTATATGCGTGTGTTATAGTTGCTATTAAGTGTGTGTGTGTGTGGAGCTTGACTATGACACGGTCCTTTCGTTTTCGAGAGGAGCGAAAGGTGGTGGTGGTAGCTGTACAGAATCCGGTCCAAAGTAATATGGTCAATAAGAAGGCTATGTAACTGATCAATACATGTGTTCATTTTTCGTGGGATCTTACTCAAAGAGCGCCTGCAAAGTTATGGCAAAGGATCTTGTTCGAACAAGACGATATATTGTCAAGTTTAATAGCATGAAGACACAACTTCAAGCAGTCGGTTTACGTATTCAGGTAATATCCTAATTACGGAATTCTCGTTATGGACGCTGAAGACACATATCCATGATGCCTCTTGTATGCTCACATGTAACGCATATTATAGACCCTTCGATCAAACCAACAGATGGCAGAGGCAATGCGTGGGGCTACAAAGGCCATGTCTTCGATGAATCGACAGATGAACTTGCCCAAGATTCAGCAGATCATGATGGAATTTGAAAAGGAAAGCGAGATCATGGATATGAAGGAAGAAATGATGGGCGATGCTATCGATGATGTTGTCGAGGAAGACGATGATGAAGTAGAAAGCGAGGAAATTGTGAACAAGGTCTTGGATGAAATTGGTATCAGCTTGAACCATGAGGTAATATATGAATATTGAAGTAACGGGGTTGTATTTTTCATGTAATGTTTCGTGTTAACCAAGAAAAATGCTTCTCAATATATGTATAGCTTGTTGATGCGCCAACCGGAATCAAGCAACCTGCACAAGCGGCACCTAGTGAGCGTGTTCCACAAGCAGAAGGATTATCGGCCGATGATGCTGCATTGCAAGCTCGTTTGGACAACCTGCGGCGCGAATAGATTAACCTCATTCGATACCCCTCTCCTCTCCCTTTTCTTTTCCGTGTTGATCATACGCTAAGTCTCTTATATATACTCTTTAACTTCGTCTTGGGAAAAAACAGCGAAAAAAAAACTAGTGTTTCTCCTCTTTCTCTCTCCTCACATTGATTTTTTCTACTACATCTCTTCGCACTCCCGGAACTCCAAGCGCTACATAAACAGGACATGTGTGTATAAATCGTAGTAGTAGTTTTAGTAGCAGTAGCAGTTTATCGTATCATACACAAAAGTTTTTTATTTATGTCAACTTTGTATAACTTGGTGGTGCGTATCGTCGTTTGATAATTTTGGCAACGTAGAGGGGAAGACTGCTCACAGCCGTAATGACCGCTACTTTCCAAACAAACCGCGTTGTTAAAATAAAGGACATGTCTACAAGTAAAAGAAACAGTAAGAACATGTTATATACATCCACTAATAACCGCTAACAGTCGAGCAGATCAAAATGCATACCAAAGTAGGTTGGAAGTAACCACATGGATCCGATATATATCAATACGGTGACGATTTCTGCTATCACCATGACACGATGCCTATTGTCAAAGAAAGTGACGGAAGCGTGAGCCATAGTCATCCTTTAACAGTCCGCTGCTGCCACGTAAATGCTAATCCTCACCATGTATTGATTTCGAGAGCGACCATCAAAAGTTCGTTTAAAATCAGCGCTGTGAAAGATATGGAAACAATGTGGATAAACTCATCCTCGAAGAGTATGATAGAAAGAATCATGATCGCACCGCCTTGATATACACTGATCAAGAGCCATGTAAAGAACGTTCGGAAAGACAATGATCGACCCTAAGCATAAAGTAGAGAATGTCTGTTAGTATTTCTTCCTTTCGTTTGATGACATGGATTAGCGGTATGCCCATGTCTCCTTTACCTTTGTCAAGTCCTTGTAAAGTTCTGGGTATAACAAAGCGATTTCTTCGCTAACATCTTGATCAAGTACCAAAGAAAAGACGGGAGCCATAGTATAAACAGTAGCATATCTGTGAATAGAGTTGATTATCTTAGTGATATAGCGACAAAGACAAAAGCCTAAATGATCCATATTGAAAGTTTACACATACCCCACAATCAACATGCCCTGATATAATGCGATGGGTGCAAAGTAGAACATTGCCGAGAAAACTGCCTGCATGACTGAAATAATCAAACCTCGATGAATTACAAACTGGGACAGTTTTGCTGATCGCTTATAGCTATTCCGGCCATGCCATACTAAAGAAAAATAGTGGCCACATTTTTTAGCCTAAATCTCTTTTGAAACAAGGTGCGAGAAAGATTAAGACAATACTTACACATTAGTTTGGTTAAATGGCTGAATTGTGTGACAGAAAAATCAGCAGCCAACGATGCTTGACGTCCTTCTTTGCCAACGATACCAACACCTATGAGAAGTAATTTCTTTTCGTTTGAGTCTCCACCAACGGTTTTTGCGCTAGGGTAACGGGCCTGTGTCCTTTGGTGTGAAGTATCCATTGAGAGAAAGAAAGATCTACATACCAACGTTGGCAGCTTGAATCATGCTCACGTCGTTACCACCATCGCCGATACAAAGCACGCGCTTCTGTGTATATTCCCGTATTAATCGTGTGATTTCGGCCTGAGCGAACAACAAGTTAGCGAGTGATGACTGTGAGTAGGTGGGTCTATTATATATACCTTTTGTGTTGGGGAGCATCGACAGCAGACGACAGCGGGCAAAAGTGTAGCCACTTCAATAAATTCATCCCGGAAATGGTCCAAACTTAGCTACAAACACAAAAGCCTTAGCATGCGGACGAGCATAAAAGTTAAACGGACCACTCGTATTTCCTTTGTAATGATTACCTGAAGCGATTCACCATCAATAACCAAGCAGCAATCAGCCTTTGATCTCAAATTATCCAGTTCATTCAGCACGTCGACAGGTACTTTTACTGGAGAATGAAAGATAAAGACCAGTAAAGTATGAGCCTATTGTCAAAAGCAAGGTTGGGACAAACAGAAACACTTACGTTTAGCAATTTGATGTATATTCTGATTTCGAGATACAAGTTTTGACGATACAGCAATACAAGTGGCAGTTTCAATTTTGTCACCTAACATATGCAAATGTTCTTTTCTGTGAGCAAAAAAGCAGAAAAAAAAATAGAACGTCTTTTTTTTAACTTACCCGTCAACATCCAAATACGTAATCCAGCATTACGCAGCTGCTCCAAAGTGTTTTTAACTCCATCTTGAAGTTTATCTTCGACACCTGTCAATCCCAGTAGTTCTAATTCGGTTTCAAGGACATCCTCTATCACTCCTTGTTTACGTGCGTTACGATCGTGGATGGATAATTCAGCTTCATGGTACCTAAAATAAATCAAGTGTGAATATATGTCATTCAAACAAAGTCGGTTTCTTTTACTGTTGGGCATCCTTACTTTGTTCTAAAATCCTCGTACATCTCTTCGGACAATCGCTTTTTAGCGACGACCAAAGTACGTAAACCTTCTCTTGCCATGTTGCCACATTCTTCGTCGAGCCTTTTATAAAGCACAATTAATGATGCCCTAATTAGTTTACTGTTGCTGTAAAGCTATCATAGTCTTTGCTCGTATACAGGTAGATACACATACCAGTCATTATATTGTACAATTCCGCTCATCACGACATCAGCGCCCTTCTCGTAAAAAGTAATCTCTTGTGTCTGTGTATCCCGGATGATGATACCCATTCGCTTTGTTTCGCTCGTGAACGGGAAAATATGCAAGATGTCGTATTCGAAACTATCACCGGAGGATTCGACCCGTAACTGAATTTTGTTGACATCACGGCCCACCAAAGTCAATCCCATTTGCTCTGTCCATTTCACAATGGCAACTTCGTCCGGACTTGAAGCTTGGTATGTAATGTCACCATCGACACCAATGACCGGTGTTACCTGAGATATAAACAAATAACCAAGTTAGTATCTTTTCTTAGTGAGAAACCTGTCAAATTTCTTACATTGTGACACAAGGCCAAGGCTTGGACGATCTCTTTAACACGCGAGGCAATGTTACGTCGACCCTTTCCAGACATGCCTACAACCCCTGGCCCAGTCTGAATGAGTGCTATATAACGAGAATATGCATAAAGGATGGTTAGCATTTTAACTTTTTCCCCAACTAACGATTTGTATTCATTTAAAGTAAAACAAACCAGACTCGTTATCTGCAAATGCAGTAGCCAAATGCGACATGATTTCATCCATTGTGTCCAAACTATATGACATTGTACCCATATGTAGCTTTTTCAGCTCCATGTCTGTACAATAATTAGCATTAGTGAAACAATATTTAGCACCAGTGAAATCAAAAGAGAAACTCCCCAACCAATTCCTGATACATACCATTCTTTGTCAAAGTTCCTGTTTTATCCGACAAAAGATAGCCAATGCGACCTAATTCTTCAGGTAATGTGCTAGTTCGTACAATCGTGCCTTCTATCTCTGAGTCTCGTTCGATTTGTCGAGCATATACGGTTTTACCCATATCCAAATTAACACGTAAACTGTATCAGTGTTAAATTTGGTTAATAATCCGCAACAAATTATCTCCTTTGTTTATGTTAATAACCATAAAATGAACACTTGATACCTGATAGGAATGATGGACGAAAAGAGAATCAGGAAACGGAATACGTAAATGTACCACAATCCATGAAATCCATTCAATCCAACCATGGCAACCGACAGAGCGAGAGTTACAATAAACAGAATCTTGACAAAAGGTTCAAAAGAAACGATAAATAACGATCTCACTCTTTCGGATTATTGCTTCAGGGAACATATATGTATGTTGTATTTACCTTGGCAAGACGGTTGATCTCACGATCTATCAAGCCAACTTTCGTCTTTGGATGGTTGGTGTTCATCACAGCACGTGTATCCTTGCCAGTATAAATGACAAAACCAATAGCTGTGCCGGACGCGAGTACAGTGTTTGTCCATAATGTGTTCTCAACTCCTAGAGGTTCCATTTGTTCAATACCCGACTCCTCATCAACGTGTGTAAAAGTGCCAACAAAGCTATGAATATCCTTGTGAGGAGCATCCGCTATATATAACAAACAATAGTCAATGACTATAGCTCGTCCAAAAGAGTTGATCCCGGGACAATAACGAAATTTCTATTACCGTAAATATCACCGCGAACAGCACTTAGTACGTTGTCAGAGGGAAGACGTTGCAAAGATGGTACTGCCAATCGTAATTTCCAGTCAGTTTCACCATCCAGTTGGTCCGTGCGAATGAAGCATGAACCACTATCTTCGGTAGTACGTAACAAAATCATGTCGGCTGGAATCTGGGAAAAATGGAAATATAAATCTAAGCTCGCGCTGGAAGATATCGTTCACCATGAAGTAGGCAGAAAATCCATTACATATATATTCTTACCCGCTGATCCTTTTGTATCACAATCATGTCACCGACACGGATCTTTGAGCTTGGTACGCTCCGGAAACCATCCGGTGTTAATGTCTGATAGAGCTGTGAATTTGCTTCCTTGTCACGTTTGTGCCGTTGGAAGTCGTCCATGGCCTCTTTGCTGATTGTGACCAATAATACAAAGCATAGCGGGCCAAAGTATGTAAAAATATAACCTAAGAGTTACATGTGTTTAATAGACTTCCATGGCAATACAATTCTTTATAGCAACCAAGCTTACCAATCTTAAGGGCAGGGATGAATTGTGATAATGCTACAAGCAAGAAATACAAATTGAAGAACACGACAAACTATACAGAAAAGGGTCAGCAGGCTGAGAGAAGAAGACCTTTCTTTCGCCAAGCAAAAACTGCTATCATTAACTATACCTGTTCGAATAGGACGAGTGGTAAAAATGTGATAATGTTGTACTTTTGGTTGACGATGATGTTGGGTGCATATTTCTTTTGCTTATCTGTAGTAAATGGATAACAGCATATGAGAAAATATTATCTTCCTGTTCTTCCTCATCATTATCCACTCCTCCCCCTCCCTTCTTGTTACTGGGTAAAGAAAAGTTAAGAACCGGTAGATACCATCGGCATGGAGTGGAATTGTCCGTGGATCTTGTTTTCGAGCAGATTTCACAAAAGGCCAAGGGAACCTTGACTTTTGTCGTTTTCTTCTTCGAGGCTGTTGTGGACTACTATCTGCTCCTGTTAATGGTGCGGATTCCTATAGAGTTTTTAGCGGTGATCCATGACGTTTTGTGTGAGAGAAACTTTTGTGGCAAAGGAGGTAGCGGTTCAAGCACAAAAGAAGCAATAAGGGTAGTGATAGTAAAAATAGTAAAGTACCCCCAATTCTTCGTCTATGAGAGGATCTTCATCGCTGTGTATCGAATCGGACGTTCTATACTTCCTACTACTTCGAGCTCGATCAGTAAAAGGCATGAGTTTTCGAAGCTCAATGGGCCGAGAATCCCTCCGCATATCAAGCTGCTGTGTCTGCAAGCGAAACAAGTTGCTATCCAGTCTCAGCGCCCGCAGTTTTCTGCTTTGAAAGGGTTCTCTCGCACACTCAGAACTGTCACGGGAAGAACCAGCAGGGAATACCACTCACAATAAAGCGCAGGCCAGAATACAGTATTGATTATAGCAGTAGCTGTTCCAGCACAGTGAGCAATAAAGTTTAAATGTGGCAGTCTATTTGATCGCACGCCACACACTTGGGGCACTGGGTTATCATACAGTTTATGACAAACGCTGTTTCCTTACCATGATTGCATAGTGCCGCCCGCCATACGGGATGATGTCCGCCCAAGGGCTTCTGATTGGTTGATTCGAATTTAGCAAGAAAGGGCGGATGGATGAGGTGTGACGTTGCACTTTTTGAGAATATAGGTTCTAGGTCTCTCTCGCCCACTGCTGCGGTCAACCTTTCTTCGAACCACTTCATTTTTTTCTCTGTTTGAGAGGAAAAAGCGAATCTATTTGTCATTTGCAAGACATCTCTTCGATCTTTTAAGTCGCTCTCCGTTATCATCGACGATCTCCTTCCAAATCTCCCACGAATCAATCACAATCACATAAAAAAAACCCCAAAAAAATTATTCTAATTAACGGCATCAAGCTCGAAACGCATCTCTCGATCAAAACAACACTCAGCATATCGTGCTTGATTCTGACGCAAACCTTTACTGATTTGTAACAAAAAGAATATAAAAAAAGAGATCCAAAAAAAAACACAGCTTTCATTTGACGACGACGAAACGACATGAGTGGACACCCGTTCGCGTATTCTTCGGCCCCAGTGCGCCGTGTGGACGCTGTCCAGTTTGGAATTTTATCACCAGAAGAGATTGTATGTTTTTTTTGTCTTTTTTTATGAGATTGGGGAAAACCATTTCTAATAGAAGAAATTTATGAACGTTTGGATTTTCAAACATGATTTTATGTGCATGTATAACAGAAAGCGATGGCAGTGGCCAAAGTGGAGTTCCCAGAACTATACGAAGAAGGTTCCCAAAAGCCCAGGAATGGCGGTCTCTTGGACCCACGCATGGGCACTATTGATCGAAACTATAAATGCCAAACCTGCGGTGAAGGCATGGCGGAATGCCCTGGTCATTTTGCGTACATGGATCTTGCAAAACCCGTGTTCCATATTGGTAAATTTCTTTCATTGTTTTGTTTTTGATGATTTCGATCATCGTCTTGTTTGGTGTACTGATATCAGTTTCGGTTGTCTATCTTTTCAGGCTTCTTGACCAAAGTAAAGAAGATCTTGGAATGTGTCTGCTTTCACTGCTCGAAACTGAAAGTGGATGATGTAAGTTTCTTTTGACTTTTATGTCTTGTTATTTTCACGCTCGCAGTAGTAACAGTCACCGTTGTTGTAACATGAGCGCTAAACTTTTGTTGCTGCTTTTGCTTTCGGATATAGTCCAACCCAAGATTTGTCAGAGCACGCAAACTGCGAGATCCAAAAGCGCGTCTACGTGCGGTTTGGGAATTAGCAAAGGCAAAGATGGTTTGCGAAGGCGGTGATGAAAATGAAGATGGTCTCGAAGAGCGACCCACCGACAGTGAGGGCAACCGCAAGCACGCTCATGGTGGCTGTGGTCACAAGCAACCAACCATTCGCAAAGAAGGTTTGAAGCTTTATGCGCAGACCAAAGGCGGGTCCAACGAAGATTCTGGCGTCGAGGGCCGTATGCACCTTACCGCGAGCAAAGTCTTGCAGATTCTTAAGAACATCTCGGACCAAGACATTCGTGATATGGGTCTGTCAGAAGAATATGCTCGCCCAGAGTGGATGATCATCACAACCCTCCCCGTCCCACCCCCACAAGTCCGTCCCAGTATTCAAATGGATGGTACCAGTCGTGGTGAAGATGATTTGACACACAAGTTGTCTGATGTTCTCAAAGCCAATGCAAATGTTCGGAGATGTGAATCGGAAGGTGCTCCGGTACACGTTGTACAAGAGTTCGAACAATTGCTGCAGGTGTGATATGCTTCGTTTATAGTAGACTGTTGATGCCGTTGCTGAGTGGCGGTAAAAATATTCGTTTGCTAACTTATTTGATTCTTGCATTAGTTCCATATCGCAACGTATATGGACAATGACATTGCTGGTCAACCACAAGCTTTACAAAAGTCTGGCAGACCTGTAAGTATTTCCCTTACTAGAGCTGCTATTGCAACTTTGGCGAGAGTGGAGTTACATGCTCTGTGTGTTAGTAACTCGTACTGAACCAAAAAAAAAAACTTTCTATGCCTAAAGCTCAAGTCCATCAGAGCAAGATTGAAGGGCAAAGAAGGCCGTCTCCGTGGCAATTTGATGGGCAAACGTGTGGATTTCTCTGCACGAACCGTTATTACCGGCGATCCCAACTTGGCATTGGATCAAGTCGGTGTACCACGAAGTATTGCCCGTAACCTGACGTATCCGGAAATCGTTACACCATACAACATTGATAAATTACAAGCACTGGTCCGAAACGGTCCTCTGGAACATCCTGGTGCCAAGTATGTGATCCGCGACAATGGTGAACGTATTGATCTTCGATACCGCAAACGCGCTGGCGAAATACCCCTTCAGTATGGCTACAAGGTCGAGCGTCATATCAACGACGACGATGTGGTCATCTTTAACCGTCAGCCATCGCTCCACAAAATGTCCATGATGGGCCATCGAGTGCGCGTCATGCCCTATTCGACTTTCCGTCTCAACTTATCAGTAACGTCGCCATACAACGCCGATTTCGACGGTGATGAAATGAATTTGCACGTACCGCAGTCGCTTGAAACACGTGCCGAGGTGACTGAGATTTGTATGGTTCCCAAACAGATTGTCTCGCCGCAGTCCAACAAACCCGTCATGGGTATTGTCCAAGATACGCTCTGTGGTATCCGCAAGTTTACGTTGCGCGACAGCTTCCTTTCAAAGGATTTGGTGATGAATATCGTCATGTGGGTACCCGACTGGGACGGTTACATTCCACCACCGGCCATCATCAAGCCCAAGCCCATGTGGACCGGCAAACAAATTCTTGCCATGGTGATTCCCAAGGGTATCAATTGTCAAACATTCCATTCGACCCATCCGGACCGAGAAAAGACGTACATATCTCCTGGTGATACGCGGGTCATTATCGAGAACGGCGAGTTGATTTGCGGTATTGTGTGTAAGAAGACAGTCGGTACCGCCAGTGGTGGCTTGATCCACACGATCGTCAACGAAATCGGCTCTGAAGCTGCAAAGAACTTTTTGACCGGTGCACAGCAGGTTGTCAACTACTGGCTCTTACAAAACGGTTTCAGTATTGGTATTGGTGATACCATCGCAGATCGCGCGACAATGGCAACAATCACAAATATCATTGCTCAGGCCAAGCAGCGGGTGCAGGAAATCATCAACACTGCCCAACGCGACGAGCTTGAAGTTCAGCCGGGTATGACTCTACGTGAATCTTTCGAGGCAAAGGTCAACCAAACCCTTAACAAGGCTCGTGATGACGCTGGTAAAATGGCTCAGGAGAATTTGAAGATCGACAACAACGTCAAGCAGATGGTCATTGCCGGTTCCAAAGGTTCCTTTATCAATATCTCGCAGATGTCTGCTTGTGTCGGTCAGCAGAACGTTGAAGGCAAACGTATCCCATACGGCTTCAAATACCGTACGCTGCCCCATTTCTCAAAGGATGATCACAGTCCAGAAAGTCGTGGCTTTGTCGAAAACTCGTACTTGCGTGGTTTGACTCCTACAGAATTCTTCTTCCACGCCATGGGTGGTCGTGAAGGTAAAAACCGCTGAAACATTTTTGCTCATTTTCTATTGGAAAGAGTGGTTGAACAAAATGTGTTAATCGATGCTTTCTCTCATCATATAGGTTTGATTGATACTGCCGTCAAGACTGCAGAAACCGGTTATATCCAGCGTCGTCTTGTGAAAGCTTTGGAGGACGTAATGGTCAAATATGACGGCACTGTGCGAAATTCTTTGGGCGATATCATCGAAATGGTATATGGTGAAGATGGCTTGGATGGCTGCTATGTCGAAAAGCAAAAGCTCAACTCGTTGCGCTGCTCCGAAGAGGAGTTCGACAAGCAATACCGAGTGGATCTATCGGGAGGCGGCTTCCGACAAGGCACGCTCAACTACAATGTTCTTCAGGCCATTGAAGGTGGCAACATTCAGCGCGAGCTCAACCACGAGTACGCTCGACTGTCAGAAGATCGACAAATCTTGCGCACATTTGTCTTCAAGAACGGTGAAGACAAGTGGCCTTTGCCAGTCAATCTCCAGCGTCTTATCACCAATGCGCAGCAAATCTTCCACATCGATCCTCGCAAACCCTCAGACATCCATCCACTTCAGGTCATGGACGGCATTTCATCGCTCGCTGATCGTCTTTTGGTTGTCCGCGGTCAGGATAAGATCTCGGCCGAAGCACAAAGAAATGCAACGACTCTCTTCCAAACGCTTCTTCGATCTACATTCGCTGTCAAGCGGGTTGTTGAAGAATATCACTTGACATCTCAAGCATTCGAATGGTAAGTACAACATGCAATAATACACGCACGCGCACATACACAGCTACCATTATATGGTATTCTGATATAGATAGCTAATCCTCATCATTCTATTGTGTAGGGTTCTCGGAGAAGTCGAATCGCGCTTCCAGACGGCAATCGTTGCACCGGGCGAAATGTGTGGCACGATTGCTGCCCAATCCATTGGCGAACCTGCTACACAGATGACGCTGAACACTTTCCATTATGCTGGTGTGTCAAGTAAGAACGTAACTCTTGGTGTGCCCCGTTTAAAGGAAATCATCAACGTTGCAAAGAACATCAAGACGCCTCGATTGGAAGTCTGGTTAGACGCCGAGCGGTCGCGCAATATTGAACTGGCAAAGGAAGTCCAAGTCAGTTTGGAACATACAACGCTCAAAAAGGTGACTTCATGTGCCGAGATCTACTACGATCCCGATCCAAGAAATACCATCATCGAAGAAGATGCGGACTTTGTCGACACATACTATCAACTGGAAGAGGATACTGCAGCTTCGGTCACGCGCGTTTCGCCATGGCTTTTGCGTATCGAGCTCAACCGTGGTATGATGATTGACAAGCGTCTTAACATCACCGAGGTTGTCCAAAAGATCTCTGAAGAATTCCGCAACGACTTGCACGTTATGGGCAGTGATGAAAACTCCGAGAAGCTGATCATTCGTTGCCGTGTTATGATGGACGAGAATGAGGATAAGGATATGGACGACGACGACGGCAAGGCTGAAGAGGACACGTTCTTGCGCAAGTTGGAAGCAAGCATGCTCAGTTCCATCAATCTGCGTGGTATTCCAAGAATTACCAAGGTTTACATTGTGGAGCGCAAGGAAACGCGACTCAACTCACAAGGCGACTTTGAACATGTGACTGAGTGGGGTCTTGATACTGACGGTATCAATTTGCAAGAGGTCATGTGCCAACGTGGTGTTGATGAACGGCGAACGTACTCCAACAACACAGTGGAAATCATGGAGGTATTGGGTATTGAGGCTACTCGCAAGGCTTTGCTCAAGGAATTGCGTAACGTCATTGAATTCGATGGTTCCTATGTCAACTACCGTCACTTGGCTCTTCTTTGTGACGTGATGACCAACCGTGGCAGTCTCATGGCAATCACTCGACATGGTATCAACCGTGCAGAGACCGGTGCATTGATGCGCTGTTCTTTCGAAGAAACTGTCGAGATTCTGCTGGAGGCAGCTGCTGTGGGCGAGTTGGACGACTGTAGAGGTGTTGCAGAAAACATCATGCTTGGTCAACTGGCTCCATTGGGTACCGGCGAATTTGACGTGATGCTGGACGAAGATATGTTGAAGACGATTCCTCACGACAACAGACAGGCAATGCCGAACGGTGTTCCTGGCGACGTACCTGGCTTCGCTACGCCTGGCCCTGGCTTCATGACTCCCAACTTAGCTACCCCATACGACACTCGATCTCCAGACTGGGTCGATTTCTCGCATCCATCGTCACCGTCAGAACCCATGTTCTCGCCTATGGGCAACACTGGTGCAGCTACACCTTCTGGTGCAAGCCCCTGGCGTGGAGATCTCAGTCCATATGGTCAAAGCCCTGGCTATCTACCGACTTCTCCGGGTTACTCGCCATCAAGTCCGTCGTATGCTACATCGCCTGGCTACTCACCATCATCACCCAATTATTCGCCAACAAGCCCGTCGTATTCACCCACGTCACCAAGCTACAGTCCGGCCAGTCCAAGCTACAGCCCAACTTCACCATCTTACAGTCCAACCTCACCGTCATACAGTCCTACTTCACCATCGTACAGTCCGACCTCGCCGTCGTATAGTCCTACTTCGCCGTCGTACAGCCCGACTTCACCTTCATACAGCCCTACGTCGCCTTCGTACAGCCCGACTTCGCCTTCGTACAGTCCTACGTCGCCGTCGTATAGCCCTACTTCACCATCGTATAGTCCTACGTCGCCGTCGTACAGTCCTACTTCGCCGTCGTATAGCCCGACTTCACCTTCATACAGTCCTACGTCGCCTTCATACAGCCCTACTTCGCCGTCGTATAGCCCGACTTCACCTTCATACAGTCCTACGTCGCCGTCGTACAGCCCGACTTCGCCTTCGTACAGTCCAACTTCGCCGTCGTATAGTCCGACGTCACCTTCGTACAGTCCTACTTCGCCGTCGTACAGCCCAACATCTCCTAATTACAGAGATAACAATAACAACAACAGACAGTAGTCAATTTCTCACAAAAAATACGCCATGGACGTTTTATAAATTTCGCGCTATAGTACAAAAATATACTTCTTCACCCAAAAAAAATCATGGACTATCATTCTTTTTCTCTCTTCCTCAAAATAAAGTAATAAAAGATGTGTTGCTGGCTGTATATATCAAGGATGCTCTCTATCTCGTTCAATTGTGTATTCTGATATGGTCTATTGACCTTTCACCTAAATTACAAAATGGCCACTTGGACAGTAGATGTCTTCCATTATACTGCCGAGGGGTAATATGCGACTGTATGTAGCTTAATGTGATTGATAATGATGCGATAATGGTAATCAAGATGATTGTAGATATTAATCATAGCACCGAATCGTCGATGTAAATATGTAAACAATCTACTGGAGGTATGTGGTTTAACAGATCATAGCTGCCAACTAGTGTCAAACTAAATTATAAACATTACAATGTGTGTGAGACGGAGTAGCGAAAAATAAACAGTTGCCAATGCGGATTTGCAATGCAAAGTCGTTGGCACAAACATTTGTTACTGAATAAGATTGTATGCCCACGTTTAATTGGACTCTGCGTGTCCTTCAGGTGGAAAAAGCGCGTCGTAGGTGGACGATGTGCATTAGACAGATGCATAATTGATTTGATGATACGTAACAGATGACATGTTGTAAGCTACAAAAACTCCAGACCGCCGTGTTCATCTTGCACCCGTTCGTTCAACACATACGCTATGGGATCTTCTTTTTGTTTACTGCATCAAGTATCATATATCGCCAAACATATACATTAATAACAGTAAATAAACAATGTGTTTTGCTATTAAGGAAAAGAAACAGAACCTTTATATTCAACACCATCACCACCACCCCACATCACCATGCGTCATGTGGAAGTACGTTAGTGTTACGACAAAGCATGTTTCAGAGCTGCATGATGCATGATGCTCTTTTTTCTTTCCGCTCTTCACTTTTCGATCCCTTTTATTGCCAATATCACTACAAGGCACGCTTTTATGTGGTTGCTATGGCGATCGCTGTTATATAGTGGCCGTGGCTGTCAATTCCGATGGCAACAATAAAATTACATCATTGATTTCTATATTGGGTGTATATGAAATCGACTTGGGTCCAATGCAGCTTAGGGCGAACTGCCAGAGTAGCGGGTACAGAAATGCCCCTTGGAGTTGAACCGTTGTTCTTTGAGGGAATGTAGATTCAGCTAGAGCGATGATGTGCTAGCACTAAGATGAGATAGCATGTGTAGACTTTTGCTGGGTAGTAGCGACTGGTTGGCAGCAAAGGATGAAGGAGTAGCTGCCCAGCTGCTCATAATGATGGTGTTGTTGATGATGATGATTCTGATGCATGATGAGCAGCAGCAACAACGCCCAATATGTATTGTTTGTGGGAGAATAGGGAAAACAAAGCAACTCAAACTAAACATACACTGCAGGATATTACAGAAAAGGGATACACACACACACACACTCTCTCTCTCTCTCTCTGTGTTTATTCACTACTATTAATACTACTACTACTACTACTACGACGGAGAACCATGTGGGAGGTGCGAGTGTATGGAAACGGCTTTGCTTATGTTCACGAGACTCCAGTTGAGAAACAAAAAAAAAAAAAATAAGCATTGCCTTAAGGGCAGAATAACTCAACCACCGAAAAAAGGAAGGTTCTTTGCAAGAGGGAAAGGTGAGGTGGCTCACATTATATGGACTAGTTGCTTTTTCGCTTTACTGTGGTAGTAGTAGCTGAGCTTCTGCTACATATTCTCTTGTACATACACACACACACGCACACAAAAGGTGTGAGCATGTTTTTTGGTGTTACCAACAACCTGCAGAACGCCTTGTTATTTTTTTTTCTAACCTTCTTTTTTTCTGTATATCTCACTGCTGCCACTACTCCACATCTTTCCCTTCTCTTCTGGCTTCTTCTTTTTGTGCTTTTCTCCCCTCTCTTTTTTCTCTCTCCTCGTATAGGCAACAAGAACAACAGGAGCAACAATAGGAACACTACGCACGCATACAGCGCTCTCTCACGCAAACGAACGGACCTCTCGGTTTCCACCAACGTCGACCCTGACCTTTTTGTTGTAAACGCTCTCAAACAATGAACATTCCTACAACACCAATACCATGCTCTTCGACCGGACAACAGACAAACAGTAACAACGGCAACACCATGACGACCACTAGCACAAACAAAACCTTCGCACAATCTTCGTTGTCGTCGTCATCATCATCCCAAGCGATCCAATCTCTTTATACCAACACGTTTTCACTTATCGGCAATGAGTTTATGGATTGTGTAGTACGCGAACTCGCTCACTGGACCCACAGTCAAGCTGTCATGGTTCTGCAGCTCATGACTCGAGAAGAATACAGAGACATGACGAATGACACACAACACGAGGAACAGTCGACCATTGCTTCCACTACTAGTATCGGTGGGGGAAGTGGGCGCACCATTGCTGCTGTCCCTAGCAGTCGAGAACGATCGCCTACGCAAACCACGTTTACTGTGGACGGTTCATTGCCTTCGTTAAGCAACAGCGATAGTACAGGAACAACAGCAACGAGCTCAACAACGCTACACGATAATAGCAACGACAAGTATCTTATCGTACGATTCTCTTATTGTTCCATGCAGCAACAACAACCGGAAAACTTGTAAGTAAACGATATAATAAGCATAGGTCTCCTACATAGTGGAGAGGAAAAGAGGTTAAAAAACGAATGTATGTAGTCTACCCAATACTGCATTAAAGATCTCATCCGGCCAGGACACGCCATTTTCCAAAACTCTGCGCGATTCATTCTGCTGTATCCCAGAGAGAAGTTTCATTGGTTTTTCGGCTTATTCGTCGAGCAACAGCTTTGTCGGCGTACGTTTGGATGACGATACCGGTGACGGGAGTAGTAGTAGTAGCAGCATGCAACACTCGAAAACGGTTGGAGTACTATGCGTGATGGACCCAAAACCAATGGATACGAAATCGATGCAAAATGCACACACATTACTCAAGGCCGCTCAACCAAGACTGGCTCGAGAGTTAGGGCGTACGATACACGAGGAAAAACTGACACGAGCTAAGAACGCGGCCAAAATGGACGCAGAGAATAAAATCAAATTTTTGGCAGACATGAGCCATGAAATAAGGTACGCATCTTATGCCTTATAGATACGCCCCTCACACAGTGTTTCATAAGGCTCTTTTCGATGGTCAGGTTGGGATTGACTAACATAAAAAAGAACCCCGATGAATGCGGTTATAGCGTTGACAGATCTTCTACTACGAGAGCGAGCATCGCTCAATTCAGAACAAACAGAGCATTTGGAGGTTATCCAAACAAGTGGCCATCACTTGTTAACGGTATGGTGAAGTAGGGAGTTGATGTTTGCTGGTGGGGAGCTATAGCAGTGGCAACAGCACCAGCAGCAGCGGTGCGTTTCAGAAGAAAATGTTTCTAGTCTAACTAACCAAGGGGTGCGACCTTTCCCTTCAACCGTTTTAGGTTATCAATGACATCTTGGATATTTCTAAAATAAACCACGACCCTAAGTTCAAACTGGAGCACCGACGCTTTAGTCTACGTAAATGCATGAAAGGTAAGCGTATAATGCAGGTAGCCATAAATTGATGGTGATGAGGATGATAGCTAGATCGCTGTATCGGCAATTGTGTAGCAGCATAGCTATGAAATTGGACTTTGCTAACACTGTAATAGATGCTCTGAACATGGCAAGACATCAAGCATCCATGTCCCAGCCTGGCAAGATTGTGTACGTGAGCGAGTATCCTGCAGAGATAAATGATCGTATGCCTGTGCGCCAAATGATTTACGAACTGGAAAAGACCAACTTCATACCACCTCAAAGACCCCATCACTCGGAGAAAACGCGGTTACCACTGCTTTGGAAAATTGATTCTGATGTGCCGGACATCCTTATGGGTGATACGATGCGACTAACTCAGATCATGTTAAACTTGTGCTCAAATGCAGTTAAGGTAAATGTGTATCCGTCTTGCTTCAAAACTCTAATTTTTTTTCTTTCTTTTGAGACTTATCCCGTTCGAGTTTAGTTTACAAAGGACGGAGGAGTTCGTGTCAGGATCAAGCGGTGCATGCCCACTCCTGCGCGTACGTTTGAACACCAAGAACATCCCTCAACCCAAACATCCTTAAAGAGACGCTATGACGCTAAGATTGAAACCATGTGGAGTCGTGCTATGCGGAGGACAACAAGTAATGACGGAGGTAGCGGGCCAGACAACAACAACAGCGCCGAGTCAGCAACAGGATACAACAGCGATGATGAAAATGATGACGACGGCCGTCCTTTGGAGAAAGCCATACTCGAGATATCAGTCAGGTTCATACCACATTTTAAAACTTTCCACCATCATGTGGCCCAATGATAGCATCGTCTATTCTAAACTGACATTTAACACAATCTTAATAGTGATAGTGGCATCGGAATACCTGCTGACCGATTACCCAGACTGTTCAAGTCATTTTCACAGATTGATATATCCACAGCACGACGCTATGGTGGTACCGGACTCGGACTAGCAATTTCCAGCACCTTGGTTAATCATATGGGCGGATGTCTATGGGTGGAGTCAGAACAAGAGGTAGGATCTTGCTTTGCTTTGACATTACCCATGTCCATTGCACGAAACCATTCTGGCGGCACCGGTGCTGGTAGTGTAGCGGATGATGCGACAGGTTTAGAAAGTGCTAGTACGAGCAGTATACTGGCGTCTCCAGATTCTCCAGGCCTTAGCGACGCCGAATGCAACATCAGCATCAACTCGGCTCTGGAAGGAGATTGTGCTAGCATTTCGTCAGACATAGCTAATGGCGCTGCTATTCCTCTTACTACTGCTGCTGTGAGCAACCATGCTTCTACAACATCTGCTGCTTCACCTTCACTCATTTCTTCGGCTCACTTAGGAGGAGATACTCCTTACGAAACAACAGCAACAACAACGGAACAACTACCTCAATGGAGCACATTTACGCCACCCCTCAGATCACCTGCAACGGAATATTCACAATTTCTACCCCCTTCTTCTCAAGCACAGAACAACCCCGTTATGTCTATTGGAGCGCGGATTATACCCGGGCCCCCTTCGTCACCTGATATACCGATGGATATATCCTCCTGTAATGGTGATACACCTGCTACGAGCACTTCTGATGAATCAAATCAGAAACCACCGGGTATCAGTCGACACCATTCATTACCTCATCATCATCATCATCCACCGCATCCGCATTCTCTCATTTCTAATAACTCATTCTCATCCGTCAAAGGCGAAAGCAACAATAGCGTCAACGACGACAACAACAGCAGCAGCAGCAGCAACAATAATGCTCGAAATGCTCGACATTCTGGCACCAAGCAACCGTATCACCATCATTACCATCAACACAAAAAGTCCTCAGGCGATGGCAGCGAAGAGAACATTGCCATGTTGTACCCTATCAAAATTATGCTCGCTGAAGACAATGTCTGTAAGTTACTTTATTCCGTTGCCTTAAATATTACTGTCGCTTCTTCAATGACAGAATCTTACGGCACACCAACAATGATGTAACACACGCCTAGAAGAAGAAGAAGAAGAAAGAAGGCTCTGCTGTTGTACGTACTATGTTGGAATGCATGCTAATAACTCGTGCTGCTGCTTAATTCGTATTAGTAAACCAGAAGATTGCAATAAGCATTCTCAAGCGATTAGGCTACCATGATGTCATGGTGGCAAACAATGGCTGCGAAGTGCTGGAGCTTATGCGAAAAGTTAAATTTGATGTTATTTTTGCAAGTATCACTTTTCTTTAACTTTATTTGTACTAGCCCCTTCTTCCAAAAATGGCATGCAACAACAAAAAAATTGACACGACTTCATTTCTCCTTACTTTTTTTCCTTGCTTTGTACTCGATAATTAGATGGATTTGTACATGCCAGATATGGACGGTTTGGAAGCTACACGAGCCATTGTAGCAGAACGGGAATCATTACCCGGCGGGTCCGCTTCCTCTACTTCTTCCTCTTCTTCTACTAACAATACTGCTTTCACCTCTTGTCCACCAAACAACAACAACAACAACCATAATAGCAGCCGGCCGCTGTTGAATGTGGCAGACGTCTATATCATTGCCTTGACTGCCTCGGCTTCAAGACAAGACAGGCAAATCTGTATCGATGCGGGTATGAACGACTTCATCAGTAAACCGTTCACGATGATGGAGATGAAGGCATCCTTGAAAAACTGTGTGAGCAAGCGAAAAAGAAGAAGAAAGCAACAGCTTGAAGAAGACCATCATCATCATCACCACCACAATCACCAACAACACGATCGATCCTTTCCCAAAGATGACCCAATGACCGGCGTAGAACATACCTCAACACCTAGTACTACTACCACAACAACAACTACGATGATAACGCCACCAGCATCAGCGACTATCAAAATCAACAATGAGATGGTCAGCGGTGCAGTCCGCCCTCCCGGAAGAAGTAGTAGGAAGAATACTGATAGTGGCAATGGCGATCATACCCCTACTGCTTCTGGACGTGGAAGTGTAGTATCATCAAAAGCAGCAGTCTAAAAAGGGTCAATGGTTAAGTTGTTTTCGTTTATCTCTCTTATTTCATATTACTCTCCACCGTCTTCTTCATTATACACAACATACCTATCACACCATCTGTTTACAGCTGGAAAGGCACCCACAGAAAACAACATTTATCGAACCCCAACTATTACTTTTCTACCATATCTCATCATATATTCCGCATTGTCTTTTATAAAGAAACCTTTTGGCATATAGTATATTCTTACCCTTAGAAAATATCGACTTTAAAAAAGAATAACAGACATAAAAGAAGAGACTTCGACAAACTTCTCACAAAACTTGCTGATTTTATCACTGTCGCTTGTTCGAAGGCGAATTATGTATTTCTAATAAAGACAAACCATACATGGATGCGGAGCAATGCCATCATAGAGTCTATTCCAAGATCCATGCTTTGAATATATGTTGGCAAAAATTGATTTTCAAGCGAGCTGTCGATACATACGCAAAGATACGCTTGCTTGTGTGTCTGTCATTGATGTACTTAACGAGATAAAGGTCATTGATAAATAATTGCGCTTTCTAAACTCTTCCACAACAAGTTGTTGCTTTCATCGTATGTCAATCTTGTATAATGTATAGCTGCTGTTTTCTGATGTTCTACGTTGACAAAGCAAGCATGCTTTTGTGAGGAAATACAGGCAGAACGGTGTATACTTGTTTGAGAATGAACAACGAGTGTCTAGAATGACTATGCACTTATTATGAGCAGCTAGCCGTTGTCTTCTTGGGTACTCTCCTTTTAAGCTGCAATGAAATATGTATAACAAGAAGCTGTGCGCGAGGAGTGTGTCCCTGGGGGGATTACAGAGTGTATACATAGCACCCACCATAATACTAGCTGCTTGATAAAGCAACTAGAGAATTACTGAGGAAAGAGAAACAACAAGTTGACGTTGCGATACATTTAGAAGCTTTGATATCGCACACCTATCACTGCCTGCCATTGGTCGTCATGAAGCGCAATCGGCGATTGTAAAAATATAAAGAAACACAACCAGCTGCATTTCGTTCTTTTTGTATAGCCGAAAAAAGAAAGTCAGTGCTGCGCACGCTAATGGGTTTTCTTTTTCTTTTCCACCGATCGTCCCTTTTTTAAGTCTCAGGTTCCTTTTCGTTCTGTGGTCATGAATCGCCAGAACCGTAATCAACAGCAGCAAGAAGATCAACAGGACGACGAGGAGCAGCAGCAGCAGCAGCAGCCTCGTCAAGCCCGAAACAGAATAAGAGGCCCAACGTCTGCTTTGACAAGTTTTCTAAGAGTATGTAGTCCACTCACTTTTGCTCAATTCAACCAGATCCATTTCCAGGGATCATCGACACACATTTTGCTCAAAATTACTAAATCAACTCTTGCAGGAACATGGCATCAGAGTAGAAAATCGTAGCCGAATAGATCGTCGTGCAGAGCGTGCACAGCGTGAACAAGAAGCTGCTGACAACAGCACTCCTGCAACACCACCGGATGATAGCAGCACTGACAACAATGACAGCCCTACCGCTAGTCCTTCTCAGTCATCCTCTTCGGCTGTTACTCCTGAACCTTCTACTACTACTACTAGCATTCTTTATGCACCAGCAAGACGCACTAGACGATTAAATGCAGCCGCCACACAATTGATTGAAACTGCTCGTGCAAGTTCTTCTACTGCTTGTGGTAGCAGTAGTAGTAGTATTAGTAGTAGCAAGGGAGCAGCAAATAACGGCAAACGTAAGAAGAAGCCTTCTGATAGCGACTCTGATGACGACTATCTCTCTGGCAGCGATACCGATAATGATCCAGGACCGTTCAGTCGAGCTCCTCGTCCTTCTCGACGCAATCAAATCGTATTCTGTGATAAATGCAAGGGACGGTTCGCTCGACCCTTGGTTTCTGGTACCGATATCGAGACCGAAAATGTATGCCCTTCATGCTTGCGAGGCGATGGACCTAACAGAAAGACCCAAAAACGTTCGGCGAAGAAGCGTCGCACGAACGGTGGTGGTCTTGATTATGGGCGCGACAAGGCCCCTTCGCTTCAGGACATTTGCATCAAGGTATGTAAAGGCATTATCTTTCAAGTCGATGCAAGTGATTTTGACTACTAACTATTCAACTTTTGTATTCATTGTTAAATGTTAGGTCGTTGCCCAAAATATCGAGGATGTTGAGGCGTTCGGTGAAATTGGCCCTGAAAATTTGGATAAGCTCGCAAAGATTATCAGCAAGAATCGAAAGCTTACTGCCCAAACCGCTCGCTTATTCCTGGAGCCCACTGTACGGGACTTGGCTCTGTACGATTGTACCGGTAAATGTTTTTCTTTTCTTTATTATCAACTAAAAGTTGGTATCTTGAGAAAAATTCTAATGGATTGTGACCTGCTGGCGGTTAATTTCAGATGTGGATGAAACGGGACTACTCAACGTTGCGCATTTCTGCCCGAACCTTAAGTCACTTAAGCTGTTGTACTGCGGCCAAATGACGTCAAATGTCCTAGCTACCTACAGCACACGTCTGAAGAATCTAAAATACATTGAACTATCTGGTCCGTATCTTGTGATGCCGGACGTCTGGATCGATCTTATCAAGAGTGCGGGTGCAAAACTGGAAGGGTTCAAGTTATCTCACTCGTTCCGGTTCAACCGAGACTGTTTGGAAGCTCTGGCCGAACATTGCCCGAACATCAAATACCTGGAACTCTCCAAAATCAACCTGTTCCGTGACGATTGGTTTGACCTGATTGGCAAGTTTGACAAGCTGACGACGCTCAAGTTGGCTTGGCCACCGGAACCAAAGAAACAAAAGATTTCTTCTGAAGCCATTGTTCGCGTACTCAAGGCTGCTGGTCAGAATTTGACAGAGCTGGCGCTGCCTGGATTATCTAAAGTTAGCGACTCTGTTCTCCTCAAGGGTATCCTCGGAAACTGTCCAAATCTCAAAGACCTGGATCTTTGCAAGTGTGAAAACATCACATCGGGTGCGGTTCAGAAGCTTTTTAATGAATGGAAGACATCGATTCCTGGCTGTGGACTTGAACGACTTAATATTTCTCGCTGTGTAGCGTTGGATGATGAGGCGCTCAAGGCTATTCTTCTTCATTCCGGGAGGACGCTCAAGGATATCGACTTGCATAGTCTCGATAACCTTTCTGCATACGGATTGGAGATGATTGCTGGTAAATTCGCTAAAGATGTTGCTGGTGGCAAGGCATGTGAGGCGTTGGCTACACTCAACTGTAGCTTTGTTCGTTCCATGGATGACTTTGTGCTCAAGTTGCTTCTGGAGGCTTGCACTTCTTTGCAAAACCTTAAAGTTTGGGGCTGCAACCAGGTAAAAATGATCATTTCTCATTTGATATTTTATGTCAGATTGTTCGAGTAAAGAAATAGAAGCTAACGTTTTTTCACCATAGTTGACCAACCAAATCGCACCTACCAAAGTACGCGTCATCGGTCGAGAAGCAGAGCACTGATGCTCCCTCTCTTCACAACACTTATTATTACTAGTGTCGCTGCTCGCTTTGCACGCCTACGCATATCAAATGTACACACAAGCATGAAACACCAAGTCATATACAAGACATCTTATTATAGCATCGAAAAATACTTTCAAATAGCATTTTATAAATGAAATAAGAGAAAGGAAGAATGGAAAATGAAGCATAAGTGGTAGATAATGATGATACTTTGTTTAATCTTCCATCTCTTCGTCCAAGGATTCCTAAACAATAACAGAAATTGAAAAGAGTTAAACCATTGTGTATATCAATTTTTCGTTCCTATTTGCTGCTGGTTGTGATTCCTCTTTTCGTACCTTTGCCAGTCTTTCTGCCTCGTGTTTGATATCTTCAGGTACGAACTGATGCTTGTTTTTAGATTCAGCGCAGATCCAGCTCAACTCCAATTCGAAATCCTTATCCTTGGCATCGTCATGACAAGTGTAGATGCTACATGTTATGTATCCAGGGATAACATGAATTAGAAATTGCTGTTGTTTCAAGTAATTGATCATACGGTTCCTGAAAGTTACATACATGCGTGTGATTTGATTCACTGCCTCCCGAACTGTCATGTTGCTCAGATCAAGCTTTTCGATCTCGGTCTTGGCTACAGACTTGCCCTTGCCGACAGCACATCCATGGTAGCCCTACATATGGCATATACTGTGTCAGTCTTTTTTCCTATCTATGCTCTCCTCACGTTTTTTTTTAAGAATCTCCCTCGCGCCCATTATCTCGAAACTATGTAGATTACCCAATAGACACCAGACGGCTCAATCATATAAAGTGATGGAACGCCGTCAGCAACTGCACCAACAATAGTACCGCATCCAAACGGACGGACGCTAGAATAAAGGGTATACGCAGACACATATTGGCCCAAACGGTCTGCCATTGTCTATATATATGTAAAGAAAATATACAAACTCGATGAGAATGAATGCACATAATTCAGAGATATCCAATCCAGTATGCCAGTATCAGTTATGGCTTTGTCCATCGTGAACATACTTTTCCAGAAATAGGTTGACGATACATGTCTCTCCAAGATTGGGCTTCGTCGCGTGCCCGCTTGACCAAATGCCGACCGTCCGCTATTAAACCCGCAGAAGCCTGTATATTACGTGTGTTGCCACATGCGTGTGCATATACTGTGAGTCTTCCATTTTCTTTCCAGAACTTAATTTCGTAAGCTTTTAGATTAAGAGTCAATACTGACGATGCCGATATGAAGGTCTGCACTTTGAATGCGTCGGTTGGCGCCAGGTACAAGAAGTTTCGATTGTACGAGTTTCTCGACAGCTAGAACGATTCCGTCTTTGACACGTAGTCCGATGGCAGTACTACATTTTTATACGGTGTTATCTCAACTGTAAAGATAGCATAGTCAAGTTTTTTCGAATATAGATTGTTTTTCAATTAACCTACCCAGCGTTATCGACTGCTTTGTTCGCGTACTCAACCTGGAACACGCGGCCGTCAGGCGAATATGTCGAGACTGCAAGATCGTACTAAAAGGAGACCATCGTTACTTCACATGTCTTTTCTCTCAATTTAAGTTTTTAAAAAGATGCGAAGAGTATTATTAGCTTACTCCAGTTCCAATGGAAGTCATAGTGTAAATGTATGGTTAGCAATAAGAGAGAAAAGAGAACCCGAAGTGACAGTGAGGAGCAAGCTTAAGAGAGGCCGCGTGTGCATTTCCGCCGGACTTGTGACTTGAGTTGCGAGTGATCGATTCCGTTTAGTGAATAGCAAACCTAGTAAACCGTCAGTCGCGTCTTCCCAACCCTTTTCCCTTCATTCCTCTCTAATCGCATAAGAAAAAGCTATGAATAATCCCGCATTTTACTACAACCAAGGCGCTCCACCACCACCACCGCAGATGGCAGGTGCTGGCAGAGGCATGCCACCAGCGCAAATGGGCGCACCACCACCTCACTACATGCAACAGCAACCACCGTACAGAAACATGCCACCTGGTGCTCCTGGTCCTGAACCTGCCACGATGCATCGCAAGCGTATGCCCAACAAGGTAACCCTCTAAAAAACAAAATGAATAGTCGGGTTACCGCATTGTTCAATCTTACTCATAACAAAACATTTACTATACAGCCTGGTGCTTTAGTGGAAGATAATGATGAACCATCAGGAGGTAGAGATCTAGCAGCGATTGCGATTAAGTAACTGAAACGGAAATTGTTGACACTAGTATTTTTTTGTATACAGATGAATTGGATGATATTTCTGCGCGCGACATTGCCATGGCACGGTACAAACGTAACCACGATTATCTGTCAGAAATATTTACACCATATAGCGCAGGTAAGGCTGCGTTGACAACGTTCTATGAAAAGAAAAGCTAGGGGTTATCATTTCGCTAACCATCGCTAGTAAAAGCTTCCATTGTCCCACCGCCATTAGAAGTGCCGCAAAGAAAAGAGGATCTGGAAAAAGCAATTGTACGTAATAGTAAGCGAAATGAGGAAGTTTCTTTATAATTCGATTGCGGAAGAAAAATGCACGCTAAAAGCATAATATAATCTCACCCATTGTTGGTCATAATGAATAGGAAAACGAGGATAAAGCAATATGCGAGCGAACCGCCGAATATGATCAGCGGTTAAAAACACTTAAACAGAAACAAGATGATTACTGGAGCTTATTGACACAACTGGACAAAGCAGATAACATAGAGGTAAATTGATGGCTATAGGAGCCGTAAAGCGTAGTTGAGAGAGATATTATGTATCTAAGGTATGTCACTTTTTCTATACAGCAATTAAGCGCGACAGCGGAGCAGTTCAAAATTACCACCGGCATCAATTTGGAACACGTCAAAGAAAATGTTCATGCCATCCCGATCCCTGGCTTGGAGCAAGACGAGCCGCCTGTCCCACAGACAATGCAACGACAACCCGGATCTACAGGTAGCAGCAGGCCGGGTGATCACCATCAACAGAACGGATATGTTGCAGATTTCATGAATGCACAGCAAGGAGGTACAGATTCAAACAATGGCCACCACCATCAGGTATCATCCAGTGGACCCATGAACATGTTTGGGTCGTATGCTCCCTCGGATTCAAATACAAACCAACCTGTCGATGATGATGATGATAATCAGAACGACTTTTTCGATGAAATGGTGAATACGGGTCAGGATGATGATGGAGGCAGTGTGAGCGAGTTTTTAAATGCGGATATGGATTTCGAACAAACGACGGCGACGGATAAATCGGTCGATGGTGAGCCAAGTAATAATAACGCTACTACAGATGTTACGATGACAGAAGCAAGCCCCGCCGCTCCTTCCAAACCACCATCTCTACAACAGCAACAGCAAACATCATCATTATCTCAAAACAAAGAAGGTTCTTCGTCATCCGATCCTGCTGCTGCTGCTGCCGCAGCGCCTCAACTCCCATTACCAACAGCAACAACGCCATCAGTACCAGAAGCATCTGTCCCAACAGCGGCAACAGCTAATACATCGCCATCCGCCCCTGCACAGACGGAAGATGGAAAACCAGCTGAAGGAAATCCTCAAGCGTAGATGTTTTTCTCTTCATATACTTAATACATATGTATAAAACAGAACAATAATTGGATTTAACTAGGTTTCTCTATCTTGTTACTTACCTAGTCTACTTTTCTTGTTGAGCTATCATCGGCCAATCTCGTATAAACAGATAGCTACTTCATTTTAAAGTGACCTACAATCCTTTTCACATGCGTCAAGCATCGCTTTCAAAATCCCGCTGGGTTCTTGATCCAAGCTTACAGTTATGATTATTTTCTGGTCTTAGCTTAACATAATAATACCAGATTTTTTGTGGACTGTAACCGTTACTGACGAATCCCAAAGCATCTTTTACTACATTCCTCCCTCACGATAGGCTTGTTACTTCTATCTTATCGAGTGGTTTACTAACATGTAAAACGTTCTTCTGCATAATCACTTACCTGCGGCTTCATTTTGTAAAAAAAATGGCGCTGTTGTATAGCACTTTCTATGTGATCAATGCTATTGCCATTTGTATCTCTACATTTATATCCGGATTGGATACCTGTTTCTGGTAACCGAAAAGTTATCAATTTCGTAATATAACTTTTTGATCATTTCATGTGGGGTTAATACATCTTCTTCGCTTGGTTTTGTGCTATCTTTGCTGGCCTACTGTGAGGACCTTCTGTATGATATTGATACACAATGTAGGGCATATTATACGTGATGCATGAAAATTCTGTCCGACGGCACAAGGAGGAAGAGTGGTACTATATAAATGTTGTCGTAGCCAGAAATGGCTGGCTCGTAGTAATTCCATTGTGGCGATCGAACACTTCTTGTCATGCAACAAACAATAAAATCACTAACAGAATACCACCGCGCTACTATCTTTTGCAGCACACAAACCACCACACCATTAAGGAATAGAAGATTGCCTCGCAGAGATTCTGCAGCATCATAAGTGTACATTAATATATCATTGTATCATGCATCAAGCGCCGTTGTAGTTTATAAGAAAAAGCATATAAATATACCACTCTACCAGAAGCAATAAAGGGTATCTTTAAAGAACTGTCTATCAATTTATCATCTTTTGATCTTCTCCCTTTTCATTGGCCACGGATCTAACCGCCAAAAAAGAGACTCGACAATGCCCACGACTCCTGCCAAGAAAAACAACAAAGCCAATTATGTCGAATCCTTTCGGCAGAAATACCGTAGCCAGGGGATTCGAAAATTGGTAACGGAAGTTTCTGCCCAATTCACCGAATCCATTTTAGAAGACCAGTTTTTAAAGCTACTGGTACACATAAGATTCACTACTAGATGAGACATTATCACGGAAAGCATACTTACTTTGCAACCGCAAATTCTACAAAACGCGACACAAGATAGCACCAAGACCCGACGCAGCTGATGTTAGAAGCCCTAGCAAAGCTCCTCCAGAAACACGAACCGGCGCCGGCTTTCCGCCCGCGTATACGTGGACCCGACACGTATGGTGGCGACCGTAACCTAGTGCAGTGCAAGGATGGGTACTCTTAGTCGAACAGTACCTCGTCGAGATGGCAGATCTGGCCAAACACCATTAGGTCGATTATGCTGCAACCCTTTTACGTGGTGAAACCGCACTATGGTGGAGACAGCAAGAACGTCGAGGCGATGTTGACATCTGTAAGGAATTCAAGAAACGCATCAATGCTACGTACAGCCCACCTAACGCTCCACAACTGGCACGCGATCGCTTGGCAATACTGGTGCAAACGAGCACAGTATTGACATACGTTGCAAGGTCCCAGGCAACATGGGCTTCACTGCCAGCTCTGATCGAAGAAGAAGCCCTAAACCGCTTCCAACGTGACGTACACCCGACCGTACGTGTCTATGTCATGACATGCTTTCCCACAACAGCTGATGAAGCAATGCGACTGACGTTGACGTACGAAATCTCGAGTAACCAGACACAACAACTAATTCACGGTACCCACGACTTAGTGACACACGCCGCACAACAACAAAAACAACAATTTGTACCTGAGTATCTTCGCTCCTCTGGTGTCGCTCCCATGTACCTGGATGCGATGCGCACAAGAATACAAGGACAATGCGGCTCGTCCAACTGGCGAGAACAAAACGGCCGTGACCTGGATAATGACAAGGAATGCTACAATTGTGGCGGCTTAGTAGGCCACATTGCCCGCAATTGCTCTTCGCGCCGTCGCATGAATCAAGGACGATCTGGTCGTCAAGGCCCTTCCGACCAGGGAAACGGCGAAGCACGTCGGGATTAGATGGAGTCCCTTCGCGCCATCATTACCACGGATCCGCTCGTCACAACCGAACACAATTGATCGATTTGTCGGGGGACCAAGACCAAGACTCACAGACAATGCAAGAAGCCCTAGAACAAGACAGGCAATATTTTTACTCTTCACTCTCAATAAGGAAAACCGCTTTGCCGCTGTATCCAATGTTGTGAATGGCCGTTCATGCAATGTGTTGATTGATTCTGGTGCTACCAAATCATATGTTGCGTAAAAGAACGCACAAGGATTGCCTATACGTTTAGTATCAATTCGCGTTGGTATCAATTCGCGAGGTTGAAACAGCTGATGGACATGTGTTGTCAGTTGGTAAGTAGCAGGCGATGCTAGCAGTGGATGCTCAAGGATATACACATCAAGTCTACGCTTATGTCTTTGGTACAAAGTTCGACCTGATTATCGGTCAAAATTGGCTCAAGTCGGTCCAAACGGTGCCTGATTGGGAACAAGACACGTGGAAGGTCAACACGACCATGATTATACTCTGCGTCCACACACCAAGCGCCACACTCCTGAGCTCGCCTACCTCTTGTCCCACGGCAAGTGCAATGCCTAGAACGTGCCAAAGAAGTCGATAACATGTATGTGTGTTTCCTGCGGCCGGACGCTCTAGCTAAGTCGCTCATAGCAGAGTGTCGTAGCCAGATTTGGCCAGACTTTCCTTTTGCCTTTGTCACAGCTTAACAACCATTCGAACATGTAGCCATCATATGGTATTTAGCAACACTAAGAACATATACGGTATTGATCCGCCATAAAGACTTGACAAGAGTATAGCGACGTGCTTCATTATCAATTAACTGCCTACACACTCTAGTGTATTATCCCCTGGCCACGATACTTCTGCCAAAAAAAAAATTCGTTAAACAGATGAAGCACAAAAAAGAGAATTGTTCATTGCTTTTACATGATACGAGAGTATGTCAAATAGTAAACATATGCTCCCTGCCAGGATCGAACTGGCGACCTTCAGATTATGAGACTGACGCGCTGCCGACTGCGCTAAGGAAGCTCTTGCTTTTGCGATGTTGCAAAAAACACTCTCAACAGCGTTTAAGAAAACGTCGGGGGGGGTGGTGGTGGTAGTGGTGGTAGTTAGTTATTAAAAAAAGAAATTCTGCCCTAGAAATCTGGGTTGACTGGCAAAATAGTTGGGCCTATTGGTTTTGCTGATATTAGAACACAATGCTACTCATAATACATTTTTCTCTATGATGTACTACTTTACTAGATTCAGTGTGGCTTCTCGATCAGTTAGATCAAGATTGTACATTCCATCTAAGATTGCATAATTAGGGGCCGTTAAGAGAATTTTCTTACTCATTCACCCTTTGCCTTTCATGAGACATTATATATACATAGAGACACAGTAGCTGTGTGTACTACCAGTTGTGGTTCAGTTCCTCCAATATAATATGATATCACTGCTTCAAGGTTCTTCACTGCCCACATCACCTTTTTTTTATAATGTACTATGCCTTGCCACTCGTAACACAGCTCATTCATGACGTACTACCTTGGGATTACCTTGCCATTTTCAATTGACCTGTCTATTAAGTTTGCACAATTCGAGCATAGTGCATTTCTGTTATTTGCTTCCTCCCTTGCCTTCTATCAGATATAATATGCACGCACATATGCAGCTATACATAACACAGGTTGTAGTATCTTTTCCTACACTTAAAAAACAATATTTTACTCTAAATACTATCCATCCTTTTATTTTGAAACGCAGTTTGGTTCTTTAACAGTAGCATGTTACAGCTATGTGAAAGTAGTTTATATATTGTTTTTTTGAGCTTGCTATTTGTACCAAGCATTGAAATCTTCTTTCTTTCCAAATAGCGTTCAACGCTCATATTTATGATTATATCTAGCTACATATTATCGAAGATACAGATTTTTTTCTCTTTCATATGATATACCCGATACGATTCTTCGATTCTACCGATACTGATTCGATTCCCTCAAAGAATCGGTAGGAATCGTCTCGTGTGGAACCGTAGAGGCTAGGGAGGATGATTGTAAAAGGATATATTAAGGGGTCAGTGCTGTATCCAACATGATCAATAACACATACTCTTCAATTAGTCATTAACGACTGCTGTTATTTCCCTCATAGCCTCACTTGTGCGGACATTTCTTTATTCATACACATCTTGGTGAAACACTGATCAGCTATGCTCAGGAAGAAGTTGTCATTATTTGGATCACGTAATTCACATTAGCTACTATCTGATGAGGCATTTACCCAGATGTACCTTTTACTCAGGCATCATACATTACTTAATCCTATATGATTGATTTATAACATCAATTCATCCGTTCAATGCACACGTTGTGGTAGTTGCCAAGGATAAGCCATTTCTTATAAATAGTAAGAACTTCTGTTATCATAATAAACTAGTTTCAATTCCTTTCGGGTCTCATTGACTTATTCTGTCTCTTTTAGTTTTTTTTGATATTACAGTCAGGTTAAGGGTCTAACCTATCGACCTATAGGTTAAGATAACACTAACCCGACCCAACCTACTCAACCTGTCGTGTCAAAACTTGGGTTGACAGGTTAAGACTGATTTCACTAATTTCTTACCAACATGAAACAAAATGACGAAGTTAAGAAGAAAATATATACTAAAAGTAAAATAAATAGGCTCTGTGGTAAACTAAGATCCGGTACAGACAGATGTCTTGATAGAAGGTTTCTCTTTACCGCACCAGGATCCAATAAGGGACACGGTTGCGCACATGCACCTAGCTGGATTGAAATGTGAATCCTTCATATAACTCAGTAAAGAAACCAAGTATGAAACAAGCGTCCAAGAACACATCTCAGACCATCATAAAAGTTTTTAATTCGTTCTTACAGCAAAGCACCAGTAAGGTCCTTACTGACAAAGAATTGATAAGCTTTCCACCTTCAGATCTGTTTCTCCGTTAAGACCGAGTTCTCAAACAATGTTTGAAAGTTAGATATAAAAGAAGATAGTTTCTATAGCTGATATTGTACTTTGTTCAATTTTTTGAATATAATCCATTCTTGAACGACTTATTTGTCTTTGCTTATTTCGATTTACCACAGGCTCAATAATTTTATTTATTGATTGTGTATTTTAATAAATCGGCTATACTAGCATCAGCATCAAATAGCCAGAACTCAGAAACCTAATGGGCAGGTTGGGATGGAGGCAGAGAGAATTTAAAGAATCTAAAAAAAAGGGAAGCCAAAAAAGTCAGCAGTAAGAAGAAGCAGTACTTTATTACATAGTCTGAGTGAGATGGGCTAAATAGTGTGTTTTGTAATAAGTAGTGGGTGATAGGCGATCATATTCCTGTCCTTCCTGTGCGTCTATAGCAGATGAAATAAAAGAAAAGTTGTCATATATGAGATCGCGGTATTGACAACAAAAGCCGCACTGAATATAAATGGTAGGTACTGAGGAGCAAGGACAGGGCAGTGAAGAAAAAGGATAGGTGTAAAGAAAAGAGAAGTAGTACTGGAGCAGTGACAAAAAAAGGATGTGGTGAAGAAAGAGTGACAAAAAGGGCTACAGAGAAGAAAGCAGTGTTGCTGTAACTGTACTAGGGATGAAGCAACAATAAAAAGATCGAGCTATAGTAATACTCATTGCTGTTTAATAATAGTTAAACATTGTGTTTAGTCACTGTAGATAAGTTGGTTCAGACGATCGCAAAAATTTAAGGGAAACATAGCAGTACCATCTGGGAGTTTGAAGAAAATGATGTATTTGCTCCAAAAACATCTAGCTACACCAGCATTAAAGAAGCTTTATCTTCTATGCTACATAATAGATCAGCTAAAACTTTAAGCATATACGCGTCTGAAGCATGGTCAAACTGGGCATGATGTCTATATACCCAAAAGCAAAAGATGTACCGTTTTCTAAGTAGTAGTTATATGTTCCATTCTAAGCATCGTATACAGCAATAAAGGTACATACATATAATAGTTTTTCGTTTTATCACAAAGTAATTTTTATTTTCTCAGTTATTCTTTTTAATACCTGACAACCTTTGTACCTAGCATAGCACCTACCTCACCTGTTTTGACAGCACCCTCCCAACATGTCTTTTGACAACGAACCTGTCACACTTTCGCAATCGGAAATGGCAAGCGTTACCAGCGACTCGAGATCTGTTTCCAGCCAACAAATATCCACAGACAACCTGAACCAGCCTTGGATCTACAAGTACCACGTGACCAGGGCAAACAAGGACGATAGAAAGGTAGTCAGCATCAGCTGCATCTTCAACACCGCAAGATGTCAATATCAATCCACTGGTTGGTCGACGGGAAACATTATACGTCACTTGAAAAGCAAACCCAATGTTACTGCCGAGAAACTAGAAAAAGGTATTCTTAAACCAGCTGGTCCTCTTGATTCGTTCGTGCGCAGTGGTCAGACGATCCAACCAGCAACCGTTACCCGAGACAACTATTGCACGCAACTTGCACGCTTTGTCACTGCTGGCAAAACTGCATATAAGATCGTCGAACACGAGGATTTCCGCAAGTTAATCCAGATAGCATAGGCTGCAGCAAGTGAGGATATTGTCGCCCCAATATCTGCAAATACAGCTAAGAGCGATGTCACCCAAGCTGTATCAAGCTGAAAAGGCGCGCATCATGTCATACGTTCTCTATTAATGTCTGGACTACGCAGTGGGGTGCTGATTTTATGGTATCACCGCTCACTTCATGACGACAACTGGAAGCAATGCAAGGTGCTTGCCGGCCTTAAGCATCCAGACGAGAGCCATTCTTGGGAGGCGCTTGCAGATCACTTTTTGAAGCATTGAAGGTGCTTAACGATTTTGGCATTGCCCACCTCCTGTTCACAATCACTACCCACAGTTCCGCCAACGATCGCACTATGGCAAAAGAAATCGAAAAGCGCGGTGACAATAGCGGCTCGTTCCAATTTGTGGCTAAGGAGCATCTGATTCCATGTGTCGGTCATGTCGTCAATTTGGCTGGGCAGGTGCTTATTAAGGGTGGTTTACGCACGCAAGCATATGGGGATGCTGTAGTGATCGACCAGTCGCAAGCAGAAGTCGACCAAGATATCACCAATGTCATTTCCAAAGCTCGATATGGCAAAAAAAATCCAAAAAATCAGGTACTAGATATCAGTCATTGATTATTTTTTCTCGATTCTCCTCTCATCAGATCCTATTTTTCTATTACTTACCGATGCATGTTCGTTCTCCATCCTCTTATGATTTAGACTCTCAACCACCAAATATCCAAAGCAGTATTTCGAGCATTGTATTTCAAAGTATGACAAGCAGCTCAAGCAGATTTTGGATGTGCGGACAAAATGGAAATCGACGCATGATATGATGCACCGGTTGATAGAAGTGAAAGACTCGTACAATGCCACTTGCGACTATTTCACTGAGCTGACAAAGTACCGGTTGGAGATAAGTGAAGGGCTCTACTTGAACAAAGCGATGGTGCTGTTGGAAAGCTTTAAGCTTACGACCATCGAATTATCTTCTACGCAGTAAGTAAAGTGGTTTTCGCGAAAAAAGAGAGGAAAAGCTTCACTCGCTAAGTTTACTAACAAATAATACCCATCCATTAACAAGGTCATTTTCGCTTACAATGTTCTTAATGACGACCTTGAGGATTTCCGCACAGACGAAGCAAACCTGCCCGTCATGCGCGCTGCTGCAGGAAAAGCGCAGCAAAAACTGCAAGAGTACTATGGGAGAACAGACGACTCAGAACGTGTATGTTGTGGCGACTGCAATAAATTCAAGCTTGAAAGATCAATACTGGGCTGACCAAACTGGGAAGATATCTACCAAGGCGAGGCAAGGCGAAAGGTTTAATTGGAATGGGCCAAATTCAGAATTCTGGTGCCACTGAGAGCCCAAGACGAAAAAAACGATCGGCAAAATTGTTACCGCTTGAAGCGTTGTCGCACCGATGACGAGCTAGCCGCATATATGCATGAACCACCTCATGCTGTAACTGGTGATGAAGGAAGTGATATCAATCGTGAGCTCGAGTACTGGAAGCGCACAAATTCAACATACACGCAACTTTTCAAGATGGCGCGCAAATTCCTAGCAGTGCCAGCAACATCTACTTCGTGTGAGCGACTATTTTCAGAGGTAAAGGATTTCGTGCCGTCAGAAAGGAATCGCTTGGGCTCACATGCATTAACAGAAAGCGTAATGGTATTCTTTTTCCTTCTTCCTTTTTTTTTTGCAATCGTTTTTCTTTTCCCAATACCCGCACCTCCCCGAGCGCGCGCGTTGGAATGAAGACGGAGTTGAGACACACTGATGAATCATCTCTCGATTTGCAGGAATGTGTTTATTCATGGGGATAAGGGCGAGTAGCGATACATATCGACTGACCAACTGATGACTACAGAAGGCGACTCAATTTCTTTTAGACAACAGGACGTCCGTGAACGCCGGCTACTCCGGTGAGCGCGGGCGCTTCCGGACCTCGCGATGGTAACGAGCACCAGAAGTAATTCTAGTGACATCGAGCGGGGTAGGAATAGGAGCTAGACTACGATTGGTAACATGGGCTTCGCTGCGACGGGTATTTGGAGGGGCAACCTGGGCTAGTCTATTTCTAAGCGCGTTCTCGGCTTCGCTGATTGTACGATTGAGGTTCCTGATGCGTGTGTTGTTGGTGGTGCGAACGTGTCCACTGATGGTGAGAGCGCGCCGGATGAGCTGATACTCACGATGATGCAGTGGTGGATAATTGTTGTGACCCCCTGTGGCTGCGCGCTGAGCGGCCCTGACTCTCTGCTGGGCGGTGATAAGAGGCAGAAGATAGTTTCGGTGACGTTCGATGTAGAGAACATGCTCCACTGTGATATTCGGGTTGTCGAAGATAACGCGGGCGGCCTCAACGCGATCGTCGATAGACGCCTGGCTGCGTCCACACGTGTCGGCACTCACGACATGCTGCTCCAGGTTGAGGGCGTCAGGTCGGCGGCCATTGCGCCAAGTAGTGTAGGCCTCGCGCTCGTACTGAGACATCATGTGCTGCGCTGCTTGCTCTGGTGGCTCATCCCGAGGAGTGGTCCACGCCTCACCTACGTTGGAAGACAAAGTGTAACCACGAATAATCAATTGCTGCAAGCTGTGCATGGATTCGGCGAGCTGCTTCAAATCGTCATTTTCGGTCGGTAACTGAAGAAGGCCGCCATCCAAACGAGGATCAGGCTGGTTGCGCGCGTGGTGTGTGTGACACCCATGTGGGCCTCGAGAGAACGCGGCTGCGATTGCTGCTGTTGCTGAGTTGGCGCTGTCGGTTGCTGTGCATGCTGGGATGCCGATCCGGGTGTTGCTACTAAGCTGGGTTGCTGAAATTGCTGGATGCCAATGGGAGAAACACTGGCAGGACCTTCAAGGGCATGAGGAGGTGGCGGAGCACCAAGAGGGAAGAGAGGCGCAGAGGTGACGAGAGCCTGCGATGATGGACCCGCGGGGGCGGACAGAGAAGTAGTAGCAATAATTTCGACGTCGCTTTGGCTTTCCCCGACTGAAGGAAAATGCTGTGAGTCATGTTCACCCACAAGAGTATCCTCTCCAGTATCAGACATGTTAGGATCTCCAAGAGAATCGGTGATGTTGGTGCTGCTGCGAGGTGCCAAGTTGTGAAGGACTGGCTGGTACGTGAATTGGTGATACGGAGCGTTAGCGAGAAGAGGGTGAGGAAGAAGAAGAGATAGTGCGATTGCGAAGATTGAGTTGAGTTGATTGAGTAGGATGGCGTCGACTCATTGAAATTCGTCGGTTGAATCCAAGTATAATATGCTGATCTTCGTCTTTTGTAAAATCTCGTCTCTTACTGCCGCCCTCTATTGTCCGTTTTCATTATTACGCATGAGTGTTCTTTGCGGGGTTTAAAGCAGTAACCTGGATCAACACCAAAATCACTCTATTTGCGACCATGTCTTTCACGCGTTTTCCGAACAGCAACGTTGTTCAACATATTCAGCTCTTTAAGGATAATGAAGGCCATTTGGTGTACAACACAGACATCGGCTGGCAACTTTTCCAAAAACGCTATGGTCACTTCAAGTTGGGCATTAGCATCAGCACGGTTTGCCTTGGTGCTGTCCAATGTACCAAGGACAGTTGGAAGAAATGTTGAGGCCTGGGTTTACTAAGGCTAACAGCAGAGAGCAATTGGAAGCTGGCTGTACTTTTTGCCCGGAGAAATTGCCTTTGGATCATATTGGATGTGATGTAAAAGTCAATATGAATTTTACTGGCAATGGCGGCAAATCTTATCCACGCTTCATTTCCGCGCGTTCGTCATCAACAAAGTAGCAACAATCCAGTGGCCTCCACTTTTGCGCTATTACAGCAATGTGAATGAAAAATACGGTCTTGAACAAGGGTGACTGGAGATGTACGCACCATTGAGGGATTTAAAAGGTAATTCTGACAGTGCATAAACGCTAAAGTAACTAACATATGTCTTCAGTTTAACTCAGAATATACATAATGAACATACACAAACACACATATAAATATATATATATAGAAATAAGAACATGAATAACCAATGATCGCGCTCAATAAATAAGCAATTAATAACATACAGAGTAAGTTCAATGATCTTCACTGCCATATCGTCCTGTAAGTGTTACAAAATGCATTTTTATTTGCGGTCGGATGAGATCAATAGTATGGAAGCAATGGCTACACAAAAAAATCGTAAAAAATGGTACTTCAATTCCCACAAAAATATCCCACAAAAAAAAAGACCGCACCCATTCATCTTATGAAGTACTTATGGTTGTCCCTTTTCCAAACTCAATATCTATTGTAAAACCATACCACATGCTTCAGTAACAACAGCACGCGGCTCAGAGAATGACGTTGGGTAGTAATTGTGGTAAAGCACACTACTCTGAGATTGGTCCGGACAACTCCTCAACCCACTCCGCCTGCTTCGTAACTATTATAATGCAGTAGAAGGAACACCACGCAAGGGAACACCATACACACAGATGAGCTACTATAGATAATACATAAGCAGCACCATACCAATACTCCCTGAAACAAAAATCACAACTATATAAGTTAGAAACATCATTACAAAGACATCTGATCTTGTTACTTTAACTTTTTATAAGCTTTTCCTAGTGCATCTCCAACGGGTTGGTTAAATTTTTTCTTATCGGCAAGCCGGCGTCACAGCAGAAGCATAGAGATACCATGTTTCTTCAACGGCTGCGGTTTACTATTGAGTTACAGCTATTTTGGAAAACTCTGGCTAAATTTGACTCTTTGCTTAAATAAAACAGCATTAAGCACACGAAGTTTGCGAAGTTATTCTGACTGCTAAAATAGGATTTAGCACGACCATTCGAGATGACCTTTTTACATCACCACATTTTCGAAATTAAAGGTTCTTTTTCTTTCTAAAAACTTTTGCAGCTCTTAAAGTTTGGAGAACTATCAGAAGCAGTTATAAAACATTGTACCAAGGTATGTTCCATTTCATACACGATTGTCGCCTCCTTTAGCTTTCTTTCTGTCGAAGATTGAGTTATATGCACAAGGGTTTGCAGGTGTATGAGCTGATATAGTTGGTAAAGCTACTAGTAACTATATATTTTACAGAGACAGTCAGGATTGTAGTTTGGCGAAGGCAGACAAACGATTTATGTGCATTTTTCCTTTTACTGAAGGTGAACCAGATCCCGACGACACAAATCATTATGGCGGACCAATGCCTTGTTGGCCGGTGCAAATATGAAGCGCTCTCCAACTTACGTGTGTAAAATGACGATCAACTTTTTCATCTACCCTTAAGTTACCTAAAGTAGACTATCAAAGAAACAAAGACGAAGTGTATGATGACCTCAGTAACTAAACGGATGGTAAAAGACTCCACAATACTGAAATCCATCTTGCACACCCTCATAAAGGTGGTGATAAACGCAATTCCTTCTTCTAGCTTACTAATCGCAATATGCTACCCTTTCTGGCTTTGTTCTCGCTCTATAGTCCACTGTAGCTTCTGGATTACTGTATGATTTAAGCACACACAAGCTATGTCTAAGGCGATCTTTAATTAGAGCCATTCTTGTTTCTGCGCGGTTCCAGCCTCTTGTTCGAATAACTTGCCCCAGAAATTCAGGATCCCCCGGCACTTGAACTGATCTCCGAATAGGCCGACTTGCTTTCAGTCAAAGCTGATCAAGCGGCAAACAATAGGAGAGATGTATAGATAAACATGACAGATTTGTCAAACTTGAAGGGTACAGATAAAGTTGCAGCATTGTACTACTTACGTAACCTTGCTCGCAAATTGAAAAGGATTTGGTGCGCCACTCGGTAGTAGATAATGCACTCGAAATTGGCTCGAGTATCATGTAGTCCTTAATCTTCTGAGCAAAGCTCGTGTCTTTTCTTCTGTACGTTACTATGTATATATCGGCTTCCTCTCCACTGAAGGACATTTGTGCGCATACGTACGCGTTTCATTTTTAAAAAAAGCTTTGAAAGAGCAACAATAATGTTGGGCAATATGTATAGCCTCACTTCACATGTAGAGCAAAGTTTGCACATGCGTTCACGGCAGCAGCCGTTGCAACGAATGACCACCCGGTGGTTGCTATGGAGACCTGTGTTGGAATCGGAGTGATTGCTCGGGAGGCTTGTGTGCCGGTGCTTGAAAGAAGAGAAAAAAATTTTCGCGCTCGAAACTATTTAAGGAGCTCCAAACCGGGTCTATTTTCTTTTCATTCCTCTTTCACTCATGGTTTCATTCTAAGGCAAGTATTAACTTTTTTTCTTTTCACCCTGCTCCCTCTACTGCTCGCGCGTCTATGCTTGGACTTGATGGGAGTGCGTTGATGAATCAAGATTTCTCTGAACACACAAGGGTTATGTGGACTAGGACTTGTTAATGGAATTCCTCGTATCTGAGTCTCTCTTTGCAAAAAGCTGTTGCACGCGCGAACAGTATTAGACAAAATCTTTGTTTTCTTTTTGCTAACATGTTCGCTGTTTCTCAATTACAGATTCCCATGGTTCCAAGTCAAGAATGTACTTTTCCTCCCCATAAGTCATCCAAATGAAGGCTTCTTTTCTTTCTTAGTGTAAGTACAAACATCTCCCTCTCTTTTACCCCCGCTTCCAATTTTTGGCACATTCCCTACCCGAAGCAAAAGTATAAGATGATCCAACCCACCTATCTCGATATATCATGAAGAAAACTTTTTTCATGCATCACCATCTGAGGTTTTTGCTATCCACCCTTTATCTTCTCTGTGTTTTTATTCGTAAGACGCGTGTGACTCATTCGATGGCTTGTTTTTTATTTGACAGGTGACTGCTCTTTTTTTTGAAGCTGCACAAGAAAGAAAGAAGTCTCAAGATGCTTTGGAGTGAAGCCGGTGCCATGAGGCAAGTATTGCTTTCTTTCATTTTTAAAAGTGAATAGCAATGATCGATGTAAATGATGAAAGAAAAGTATAAATTCGTCAGTTCTGCTACTGAAGTGCTTTGCTGAAAACTTACTTCGCTTAACCCCTGATGACATCGCATTGCTATTCACTTTGAATTTATTTTTGCTTTGAAGATCATCGATCTAACCGTATCACGTATTTTCAATTACAGATTAAGTTGTATGTTCTTGAGTATCAATACTTTCGAAAATTCTCTATCATATGGTCTACTGGTCTTCTCGCTTGTCTTGGTCACTTAATGGGTATGTTTCCGTCTTTCCAACTTCTTTTTGCAAAAGCGGAAAAGATTGTATGGAGCCAAGGATGAAACCTAAGTTATATCCATTCTATGATACTGTGGCTTACATCAGCTTCTGGCTTCTCTGTCATTGGTGTCACTGGGTTTTCCGGTGTCTGTCAGTGATGGATGTTAGTTGGTCGAGGGTGGGGACTGGGTCGGATGTAGGCCGCTTGGATCTTGATGCTTTGAGCGTCATACCCTACAGGTCTTCAGATGATTCTTTCTTTATTGGTCTCTAGGATTTGAAACACCTTCCTGATTTTTTTTCGTCGTCTTTTCCGCTAATTTGCAATTTGTCTTTGTAAAGAGAATCTTATGAACTTATCTTTACTAAAGCAGTTTTGCTTATTATAGTGGGCCAGCTGTGCAACATGGATAGTCTTTAATGAGAAAGGTAGGTTTGCTGTTAGTGATATTGAAGCTAGAATAAATAATGCATTTGCTTCTCGTACCAAAATAAATAAAACTCTTTTTTACTGTAAATCTGTTCTATAATGGTGTTGTTGTAAGAACGTTGTATGTGAAAGTATTTTGCGAAGAACGGGAGGATGTGCTGTGTATAATAGTTGTAAAAGTATATTGAAATAGTGGCTTTTGGAAAACATGGAAAATGATGAAATAACTGTATATATGGTATTTTGTCAGTAAGATAGATATGTTACAAAAGATGTAGAAGCTGTTAAGCTGATGTGGATATTTCGTTCACGGCATTAACTACAGCATCAGATGGTGGATCGATTCCGTTCAACGACGATAGACGCTTGGTGAAATACGCTGCATCCTTGGCCAACCTAGATTTTGATAGATGTTAGTTCCTTTCTCCGTTCAAACCCGGAATATGGTCCTGGCAACACACATACCGATCTTTTCCTGATTCTGTAGTTATTGACAGTTTACTGATTTCTTGTGATAACTGGGTCGTAAACGATTTAAATACTTCGGACATGATGCTCTGAAGAAGAGATTATCAGAAAGGGTTCCCTTGCAGAACAAATAACAGAGTCGTGTTTTTACCTGCAAATTCTGGTGGGGCAGGTACTTGCTGAGGACTTTGTGGAGAGTCATGGTTTCCTTTACCAAAGTTTCCATGTAATTGTTGGGTATTTTTCCTGATTCGTCTTCCTCGTCCCACTGGATGACCTGCATCGCCTTGACGTGTACTGAGAACCGTTCGTTCATGATTGCCACCAATTTGGCATGGATTTCGCCTTGATGTTCCTGGTAGTCCTTCAATATCCTGTCAAACTCGGATAATAATACCGTGTGTTTTGCAGGCATATGCTGGCGTACACACTCCTTCAACGACGGTATCAGGCCGATCATGATGCCAACAGACTGTGAAGCCAAAGCTTTTTGTAATTCGAAAACATAACGTGTTAATCAAAAGGTAAAAGCAACCAGATTACCATTAATCAATCGTATCATAATTTACCCAAGTGTTTCGCTGAGATATTCTTTAATCCAGCGGAGCGCATGGCACCTGCACCTAGAATGACTTGGCATACCCGAGAATTGAACAGCTATGTTACGAGCGTTACAAAGTTTAGAAACTACACTGATTGAAGCTATCCGCCGTCCATCATCCTATCTGATTTACCTTTAATAATTCTACCAGTTTTTGCATAATATCGGTTGTCATTCCCTCCAGGTTCCATATGCACCGCAGATAGTCTTCAAACATTTTGATGATAAGTAAACTGCAGCCGACAACAAAATAGCTAGTTCCGTGGACAATGAGGAACTTGGTGCTTCTCCGATCCTCTTCTTGCTTTTGCGGCGGCGCAGTGTCCTCCTGTGCCAGTGATGATACGCTGCCGTCACATATACGATCAACGATCCGTTGGAAATCGGATGGAACCTCGCTCGCTACCCACTGCTCGTTTTCGATCAACTGAGCTTCTTGCTTGACACGCTCCATATGAAAATGGTCAATGAATGCCTTTTGCTATGGTGACGAAGTATCGTGTCAGTATCACGTGTAAGCATTATCTCACACATCCCCCTGGACATATTATCGCTGGTCTTACCTGAGAAAGAACCGTCCCACGCAAACCAAAGCATGTTCGTTCACAATAGGACTCGCATTGTTGTATAAAGGTGCGCATAACGCTTGCCAGTCGATAAAAATCGGTTGGGTTCAGCTGGGCGTTTTGCTCGCTTCGGAATCCAATGAGCTTGGCGCATCGCACGTGAGCTAAATCGGCAGCCGCAAAAACGATATCACTCGATTCCTTTTTCATATCCTTCTTCTTCTCCTCATCGTCAATCACGCATTTGTCGACCAACTGAGATAGTATTTTGTGATACACAGCTGCCCGTTGTATAGCTCGTATTAGCATGATAAATACGTCTAATAACATCTTGAAGAAAGAATCAAAGGGCATAGTACGCAATTGTCGTGCTGGGCTGTTTTGCCTAGTAGATAATAGTAAATGAGAGTCAGTGCATCATCGCTTGAGGGATACTACAAAGTAAAAACGAAAACTGTTTTTTACCCTGGCTCATCGGTTGGTGACACGGCTGGGTATTTTTTACGCACGATTTCTTTGATCTCTGTAAGCAAACGTTCACGGTAACCTTGCATCGTCTGCATAAACATGTCTGTTCGTATTAGTCCAACAGTACTGGGCATCAGCCGTTCCAATAATTCTTCGTCGGTAACATCTTCCCGTGGCTGTGGAGGTGATCGTGGTAATTTCGCATGGTCAAGAATCCGTTCCTTGGCCTTGTCAAAGTCGATGGTTTCGATCTGGTAACTCAGGTCGGATAGCAGGATGCTCAAAAAATCGTGCTGCATCATGATGCCAACCGCCTTTTGCATTTCATCCAGCTGAGTGGAAAAGTTCGCCAGTGCACGGACTTGCTTCAAATCGATCACCCCGGCTTTTTTGTTGTCTTCCAACACTGCATGTGTCTCGTCAATAAGGTCCAATGCGGCAAAGTAATCACCTTGCCCAAGAAGTACCTGGATCATAGGTTGTGCCGCCCTAACTTCTTTGATGATCCGGATCGCTTCCTGTAACCGCTCGAGGTTCCGCCGACGTACTTGTAATCGTACAACCTGTAAACCGTCGTTGCATTTCGTCGCTTGAATTTCCTTCATCTTTTGTCGAATGGTATGGATTTGTGATACACAGTCAAGCGTCTGTTGATGGAGTGCTTGCAAGTTGGATAATGCTTCAAAGAACGAGGAGGACCGATTTTCGATTTCCCGGATCAAATGGACTTCCACTGTATCCAAATAGTACGATAGTTTTTCTTGCAAAATGCTGTTTGTCGATACTGGAGGATTGGGTCCACTGTTTCCAATAATATCTGCACCTTCACATACTGCATCAAATGTCCGTGGATTTTCTAGCTGAAAATCGGGGTCAAAAAAGATTTGTGGCACGTTTTCAAGCATAGGCAGTTCTCGAGGCGTCGGTTCAGGTGCAACGTTGTCCAACAGTGCAAGACTTTCGCTCGACAGCATTTGACCGTAAGGATTGCGTCCGCTTCGACGTTGGTGTGCTGGCAAAGACGATTCGTCGAGCGTATCCAAGATATTGTGCAACGAGCCATAGGGAGATATGACAGGTGATGTTAGTGCATTGTTTTCTTCGTCGTTCAATTTGTTGTGCTGGTATCGGTCGAACACTGGGCCAATATGCTCTAGATAATTATCAAAGTCTGAAGGCCGTACTTTTGTAATGGATGCATGTGGTACTGGGGGGACATCAGCCTTGCTTGGCTTGACTACTGTCTGTCCTCGTTTAGCGGGATCGTTAAGCACACCTGTCAATTTAATGTATTATTAGCATTTTTTTTGACTGAGAATTCATTCTTCTAGGCAGGGAACGGAAAGGCCGTCTCTCTTACCCGAAATCGCATTGAAGCCAATATCTCGAGTTGTCCAAGGTAACGACGTTTCGCTCATTGTACTAAAGTTAGAGTAGCTGGAATGGCGACGCGTATGGGCATTATGCATGAGTCGATTTAACGGACGACCGTACGACGAGGCTGAGCGAATGGACGGTGGACGACTGGAACTAGTTGTTCCTTCATCGCGATGTAGGGATCGTTCACGGACCATGGAATGCACCGGGGTCGTCCGAGGCGAGGTCGGTCGAGGGGAATTGGCATTGGTTGGTGAAGCGGGTGAAGCCGAAGCAGTCGTTATATTGTTTGGGCTGAGATGACGACGAGCTGATGCTGATGAGGAGTTCCATGAAGGCGAATGGTGATGATGCAAGTAGTTTCTGGATGATCCGTTTCCATTTTCCCCCTGTTGTTGTTGTTGTCCTGCCGCGTGCGATCGCGGTTGCATTTTAACAAGATGCCTTACAAAAGTGTAGGCCACACCTTTCGTCAAAGCGGGGATGCCGCTTTGTACACCCAGCCAATCAGATTTTCCAGCCTTATTTTGAGACCAGGCACCACCATGGCGATGCTTGGCAACAGTCTAACTCTTAGTTGTTGCTAGCTCTTCAATTATTCTATGTCCTTGAATATCTCGCCAATCCGTTGTGTGGATCTTTGATTCTATGACTAACAACTCAGTAGTGTTTCTGGTAATAACAGGGAAAAACAGATTATGTACATTTTTAGAGCTGAGCTCCACTAAATGGGTCTTATGGAAATAGTTCGACGATGTATTTATGAGTGAATACTAATTTTCTCTCAATCGCCACAGCTTGTATCTTCCAGCTCTAAATTAATGTGGTTTGGCAAAAATTGGCTCTGCAAATGCTCACTGCTCGCTGTCGTTGAAGGAGGATTTGTTGTCCGGTCTTCTCGGTGATCATGTACTTTAAGGTTAATCTGTTGATCAGTTTGTTGTTTTCGCCGTAATATTTTGCTAAGCATCGTGGATGAGAATGATTTGCGCATAGTCGGTGCAGAACCATTACCATCTCCTTGAATAAGAGATGCCTTGGCTGTGGTTGTTGCTGATTTGCTTTGATTTGGAGCCCCATCCGAACTTAGCAGATACTCCAAATCCTCACTATCGATTATTCTGGCAAGAATCTTGTTTAAATACAGATGCAAGGCATGATTTGCGTCTTTGAGGGACTTGACTTCGTCGCAGAGCTCTGCATGACTTTGCTGGTTTTCCGGTTTTTCAGACACATTGTGCAACTCTGCTGCTAGATTGAAGCCCATCGCCGTTCCTGGCACCTCCACATCATTTGATTCGGCAATATCCTATTAAGTAATATCAAAAACTACTCGTCAGCTTTTGTTCGATAATTCGGCTTGAACACGATAAACACCTGTTGCAAATTAGCGCCCTCGCCACCCGGTGTGTCACGCATCGTCCTTTCATTCAATAGGATTTGAAATCCTTCATTTTCCTCCATCAGCGATCGATTAATTTGTTTCATGTTGGATATTTCAGTCTCTAGGTTCTCTATCTTCTTTAATTGGCGCCGCTGTTGCTCCTCTATATCTTTTGCTAATCGTGTCTCTTGGTTTTTCAATTGTTGCTTCAGATCCAAAATTTGTCGCTCATTGGATGATCGAGTCGAGCATGATCGATGTGCCTGCGGGCTACTAGACTCTGCAGGTTTCTCCTTGTGTGTGTTTGTCACATGTGGTTTTTTCTTTGCATTGTTGGATGATGAACGCTTAATAGTAGTAGCAGCACTACTCTTTTTAAACCGATCTGCTTCCGTTAGTTGGCGTAGCTGCTTGCGTAGTTCTCCTTCACGCTGCTCCCAATTCAACTGACTGTTCTCTGCAGCTTCAAGCTGATAATAATTACTTGTTAAGTACGCAATGTCACAAACGTGTAACATACACTATTCACGTCGTACCTCTGATGTTAGCTTTCTCTGTAACTCTGTTTTTTCTTCAGCCAACTGCGCTATTTTTCTACGTAGATCCGCCATTTCCTGTCCCTGAGTGTAATGGTCGACTTCTAGTCGCGACTGACTATTAATGTGCGCGTTGACTTCTTGTTGCATAACCGCCAATTTCTGATTATCGCAAATGCACCGAATTTAAGATCCCCAATTTCTGACATCTGTAATTTTCTTTGTTGTAATAAAAATGCAGCTTGCCTTATTCAGCCATTCATTGTCGATCGCCAGTTCCGCATGTTTTTCCGCAATGTCTTCAAGTTGCTCCTGCAGCTATTTGTTCAACGCGCCAGGTTAATCTCTTTTTCTTTTACTCTTTCTATTTCACGGTGTTCATTTTTATTTTAAATGAAACCTACACTGAGCTTTACGCTCTCAGTAGCTTGTAGTTTTTCGTGCAATAGCTGAATCATTCTGCCAGCGTCAATGTCGGACGATGACAGTGCCAAAGATTCTTCGTCTGTTGCACTCATAATGTAGGTCGAATGCCTTATTTGAAGTTCGAACGAATAAAAAAAAGAAAGAAGAACAAAGTGAGACTGTTGCTTACGAAGGGAACTAAGGCTGGTCCGAATAACGATAAGCTTTTACTCTTTTTAACCTTTGCATGGATTCGAGTTACTTTTTTGGAACAGCTTCCGCATACTCCATGGCAGAGTTAAAGACTTTATTGTCATATTTTTTGCTGTCACGATATAGAAGTGGATATTTTGCTACTCATGGTGGCACACGGTGAGAAGCATCTGCTGCGTGCTAGATATTTTAGCTGTCGCGTCCAGCCTGACGTGATATATGAACTAAAATAGATGAAGGTGGGCAAGCAGCTTTTAAACCAATGGACAGTGATAGTCGAATGCTTGGATATTGGCATAGCGCTTGTACATGTACTTGTAACACTACGATGATGATGTCTTTGTTCGTTATCTGCAAAAGTAGTCTCTATAGGACGATAAAAACTCCAAGTGTCACAAATTCTTGAATGCGCGCTTCCAGGAAAAAGTGCCAGACAAATATTAAATGGCACAGTTATACTATAGCTGTACTCAATTAGTAAGTAGGAGCATAACTCAATCCCAAGCGTTAGGCTTCAATCCAAACACCCCGCGCGACAGAATACATTCCAGGTGAAGGAAACTTAAGAGTTGCTATAAACCCATCCTTCAGCGGTCAAGCACTTTCAGTATATTAGTACAGTAGCAGCTACGATAGCTACTACAATGAATCAGTATACGAACTATGTACGATTACTAGTAGTAATAATGAAACAGAGACTTGATTTTCCACTTTTTGTACTGCCATAGAGAAGCAAAACGTGATTTACAAACTACCGTTTCATATGTAGTTTAGCCAATGGTATTAAAATCAATATATATACAAGTCACCGAAGTCTTTATTACATCACGGGATATCACATAATTCAAACGCTGCCAAATTCTGCGTTATGGAATATCAAATCTGCCTTGTTTGTGTCAATAAAACATTTATTCCAGCGTCGGTGGTCTTCGACATCACTTCCTTCCACGGTGTTCTGGTTCAAAGAGCCATAGAAGAAGCTGGTTACCAGTATTAACAGCTCTGTGTAAATCTAACTCACTTGTACCAGCAGGTTGGTCGATGACAAAAGCAACTCGCTTAAAATGCTTAGACAGAGAGCAAACTCACAAAAAGGAATTCGAGAGGTGTATATCCCAGGCAGGCAGTAGTTACGAACACACTTTTGTAATATAGAAGATTGGCAGCGAATTTATAGGTCATGATGACGCTGTCAATGTATTTGGTGTATGTCGTATGATATCGGATTAACTTACTCTGCATGAATGCTGAATTGCACAATTCGATCAAAGGGTTTGCAACGGTCTATATTATAAAAAAGGGAGCGTGTTACACACGTAACAAAATACTTTTTTATGTACTATCTCTTACAAAAGGTTATCAAGTAGTAGATACTAAAAGGGTTCCAAGAAGATGGCACCGAAGATCGAATGAGTCGTCACTGAATTGAGAGAACTTAGATCTCATGCATATTCGGCTCGCTCGGTTCGCTGCACCGTCCCACAGAACAACCATCCTTCTCAGTACTGATAACCCCATTGTACCACCGCATCAAACCAAAACATGAGTAAACGCCACCTAGAAGGGGTCGACAATTGCAGCAAAACACATACGCTGCCAACAACCCATGCCCCATCTTTCCAACGGACAATCCAGACTGGCAACCAATATAAATATTATCATAGATATTGATTTATTTATTTGTGCTTGATATTGTAAGCACTAGGGTCAACACTTTCGTCAGTCAATGCAGTGTTCCCGAGCGTATCCTCGATCTTGGCTCCAACAGATTCGAATTTCTGAGGGTCGGCCCCGCGGATGGCGTCCGTATCTCGACGACAAGCATCCATGGCACTCTTGTTAATATTGTAGCCCATGGTATCATGATGTTGTTGAGCCTTCAAGTCGTCGGTAGTAGTGTTGGCAGTGTTCTTCATTGGCTGAGCTGTATCCGCAGACGAGCTCTGAACACGTTCTTGGGCGCCTTGGGCTGCCTTCTTTCCTTCTTCAAAGGTGTTGTGAAGTGCCTAACCGGGAAAAAGAGCCAGTAAGCATATGTGGACATTCGCGCATGGACGCTGTAGGTATGCTTACATTGTCAACAGAGTTGAACATGCCTTGCATAGAGTTCGTAAGATTCTGGTGACGTTGGTCGTACTGAGCTTGAAGTTCTATTTTTATTCTGCAATTAGAATCACACTTTACTGTATATAGGCTAGGATTCTGTTTGATAGAAGGCACTTTACCTTTGTCTGTGGTGTCCATATTTTGCATAATTGAACTGTTGGTTCGAAAAGAAAAGTTGGATTATAAAATTCAATCCGTACGCTGAAGTGGAGGGGTATATATATCCATGCAAATTAATTTTTTTGGCCTGTCTTCTCTGCTGCATATACAACGAAATCATCATTATGAAGTCATCTATATTTCAAAAGCCTTACATTCAAGGAAGTTTCACAGCCACCAAATGCCCCCCGCTTATTGGCGGTCTAAATCAATCAGCTGGTCGCCAAGAATAACACCAATCTGCCGTCAATTGAAGGAGCGGCTAAACTGAGAACTCCACAATAATTATATCATAATACTAAATTTATTAGGAAGAACAAAAGGCCAGAACGTAAATCTACAACTTTACAATATAATCGAAGCGAGAAAAGAATAAAAGGGTAATAATAGTAGTAGTAATAATGTAAACTTAGCAGAAAGGAAAATGTACATGTACGAAGGCAATATAATCAAAGATTGAGGGGTGGGAATGTGAGTATGTATAATATGACGAGTGATGGTGCAGAAAGGTCAGTGAAAACCAATCGAAAAAGGAAGCAATGGAGCCATGTATGATGTGTTTTAAAGAACGTTAGACGTTGATTGGGCAGAGGAGAGATCGGTCATAAGCGAAGGAACATCGTCTTCGGTGGTAGTGTCGACTGACGAAGGACGTGGAAATACGACTGCAGATGGTGTGTAAAATGTGGGATATTGCTTCTTGTCGTTGCTGCCGTATGTGGTCAGACGTTCTGGACTGGGCAAACGGAAGGCCAAGGCTTCTTCGTCCAGCTCGACCCAATGGTCTCGCTTGCTGTCCAGTTTTGGTGAGGGCGGCAGGAACACGCCTGAATCATTGACTGTAGAGAGTTTGTAGACTTCCGCTTTGGCAGCTTCTTGTAACGCAGATGTTTGATGCGGGTCTGTCGGTTTTGACTTGAATGCGGTTGGCATGGATATGAACGGCCTTTTGCTGCTATGCTGACTGTTGCTATTGTTGCTGCTAGTTTGTTCTTGCTCTTCAGCTTCCTGCTGCTTCTGCTGCTGTTGTTGTTGTTGTTTTTCGTCTTCGGTATAAATCTTATTCGTGCTTCTTTGCCAGAATTTACCCGGTTTCAAGAACGACTTGTATCCACGACTACTGCTGCCACCAGTGACAATTTCTTGTTCAACGGAATTGGCTGCTGCAGTAGTCGACATGTTGCTTTTATTTTTGTAATAAAGGAAAGACAACAATTAGAATAGGGGAAAGTGTAGGAAACGGAAGAGCGGTTTAAATAGCTCTTTTTTTTTTTCGATGGAAATGAAACTTAACCCATCCAATGACGTCGGTGTGGAAGCATATAAGCTAATTTTCCTGCCCTCTCCTCTCTCAAAACCAGGGCACCGACCACCATTACAGCGCTATTTCGCTCACTTCATATCGGACTGCGAAATCTTGTTCTACCCCATGGCTGCTCAGCTTCGGTAAAGTAGAGCAATGTGCCAATGATGAAAGCCGAATAACCAGCCCCACACCCCCTGGCTGCCCCTTAGTACAAGGGGATCGACGAATCTCATCGACTATTTTTATAACGCTCTTAATGCGTACCATCAATTGGTTCTCTTTACATTTGCACTTTAATTATGCACCACGCCAAGAAAGCGTTTTCATATATTATCATTGAAGCTGCATAATTTTGATGCTTAGCCTCATGATAACAATGATTAACTAAGATTTTCATACAGTGAAGTGTGGCCCTCAAAGTCCAGAATTACGAAATGGAAGCTACCAATATGTGTGTGTGTGTGTGTGTGATTTTATGTGACATGATGAAGCAAGGGTTTCTTGGCTTCACGGCGGTCCTCAGGGAAACAAGGCACATATTTAGGAGACAATAGTGTACTCAAAGGTGCGTGACAAGAAGAGCTACTTAATGTTTACCCGCATAGTGTACACACGGTTTTTGTTAGAGATGGCAGTCGAGTTATATCAGTCTTATGCATAAAGGGGTTTAAATGTCAAGTTGATAATGATCAACCGTCATACTCAAGGGAAAGACCCGTATACCAGCCGAGAGGTGAAGGTTGTGTGACTAGTGTTAACTTTCAAAGTGAAGTTCACACTGGAAGAAGCGTTACTCAATGGCATGCCATTATTGCCATCAATACCGACTTTACGTAAACACCCCCCCCACATAATATCAACCTTATATCTCCACTTCTTCTCTTTCTTTCCCTCCCCCCAGCACACAGACATGCAATACGTTCTCTACTGCCGATGCGTCTTGATTATATTTGCTTATGTACAAAACTGGGAGGAGATTTGAAATTCCATGCCTTCCCAGAGACTTTATGGCCAAATTTGGATGATCAACGTGGTTTTGGATTAGGAAAGCAAAATAAAAATTCCATTATGGTCCATTCGTGTAACGGTGGGGTGGCCATACACACCACAAAGACCAGTACCCACATCGTCTCTTCCAACAATTCTTGTCTTTCCACAGAAGCTGTGGCCTTTTACTCGGGGTGTTTTGGTATTTTTCCTCTTTTTGTAAGTAAAAACGCAATGCCCTCACTCTGGCAATAGAGCGCGGGGCGTGTACCGCTGTTTGAATTTTATATTTTGCATAGGAACAATGTCATATGCTACTTGGCACCTACTGCTTTTTTCTGATCAACACCATTGGTACTACCCTAAAGCGGATTCCTGTCAGCAATGTCAACTGGCTTTACCGAGATTTCTTTTTCTCTTAAAAAGTCAAGAGCGACGAGGGCACAGAGCGCGAGCGAGAGAGAGAAAGGCAGCTGAGGTTACGGGAAGGGCACGAGTCGTACAGCCTTGCTTATGTATAATCAGGCTGTGCCACCCGAGTCCGAATCAAGAAACAGAGGCAATTCCCACAGGATGACATCCCAGGGTTTCGATTTGATGATTATCGTGCTTGTACGATCCTGTGGGTATGGAGGTGGTCGATGATCCAATAAGATCAATAGTCGCCAACTATATTTGCTTTCATAACCGCGGCATCCCAACCAATGACCCCTTAGGATTGAACAGGAGCGGGCCAAAGTGTGGCGAGCCAAGAGTGAGAGGGCGAGGCAGAGTGTCATGTACAGGATAGTCAGAAGATTAATATTTTTTTTCTTGTGCTATAGAACAGCAAGAAGGACAACAAAACATATGGAGAACAGAGCAAACAACAAAAAAAAATACACGACTTATGTAATCTGTCTTGTGTTCAGAACGTTGCTCAAACAGCTTATATATAACCCTTTAACCTTTGCATCGTTTTTTGATCCCATTATTACTCGTACGTTTATCCGCTTTCCTATCCATCTATAATCACCATGGTTGAAAGATCGTGGCTGACTAGGATCACAACCAACGTCTATGTATGTCATTCGATCCATCTGTTATTTCGACCGCCAGCTTGCTACTCGAGCTTTGCTTCATACTAACATTAAACAATAATCATTAGGCTATCGGCAGTTTTGCCGCATTGGCGGGTATCATGTTTGGCTTCGATATTGGCAGCAACTCTGGTGTCATTCTTACTTGGCAGTAAGTCGTCCTTTCTACTTACGACCACTGCTTGCATTTTTCTTCACGTGATAACTTACATCGATGGCACGTTTAGATATCGTGAATACTTTAACAATCCCGATGATTTGCTTCAAGGCGGTATCAACGGTGCGTTGAGTGCTGGTTGTTTCGTTGGCGCGTTGTTCGCTGGTTTCCCTGCTGATAGATACTCTCGTAAATATACTCTGATGGGCGCCTCGGTCCTGTTCGTCATTGGTTCCGTTTTCCAGGCTGCTGCAAATGGCGTGCCTCTTCTCTGCGTCGGTCGTGTCATTAACGGTAAATAGCATGACCTTATTTCTGCATTACACGCAAACTTTTTCCCATTAGGGCTAACCTTACAAAACACATCCAGGTATTTCTGTTGGTGTCACTTCAATGGTCGTACCTCTCTATCAGTCGGAAATTGCACCCAAGGAAATTCGTGGTCGTATTGTTGCTGTGCAGCAGTGGAGTATCACCTGGGGTATTATGCTTTCGTAAGTGTATTTAGCTGCTTTACTTGATCTTCACCCTTAATTTACTCCGCGTGTACATGTCTAAATTACTTTTGCTTTGATCTGCCGCCGTGTTCCTACTACAATAGATTCTGGATTCAGTATGGGTCTCAATACATTTCTGGCGATAACTACCATGCTGCCTTCCGCATTCCTTGGGGTATCCAAGGTGTCCCTGCTGTCATCTTGCTCGCTGGTATGTGGGCGTTCCCACACAGTCCTCGATGGTTGGCCGACAAGGGTCGCATGGACGAAGCCATCAAGGTTCTCGCCGACATCCACGGCGACGGCGACGTCAACAACGAACGTGTTCAACTCGAAATTCAAGAAATCGAAGCTGTCATCAGATTCGACCGCGAGCAGGCTTCTCATCGTTATGCCGATATTCTCAAGCCACAATATGCCTACCGTGCATCACTCGGTATCTGCTTGCAGATCTGGCAGCAGTTGACTGGTATGAACATCATCATGTTCTACGTCGTCTTGCTCTTTGAGCAGGCTGGTATTGGTAGTGATCAGGAAGCTACCCTGGTCTCTGCCGGTGTTAACTATGTTGTCAATGTTGCCATGACTGTGCCTGCCATTCTTTGGGTTGACAAGTGGGGTCGTCGTTACACTATGATCTTTGGTGCCCTCATGATGAGCACGTTCCTTTGGATTGTTGGTGGTATTTTGGCCACAGGTCGTTGGTATGTTGAAGAAGGATCTGACAGATGGCTGGTGGATATTGGTAGCGAGCCCAAATCCAAGGCTGTGGTTGCTTGTGTCTATCTCTTCGTCGCCTCGTTTGCATGCACTTGGGGTCCCTTGGGCTGGATCTACCCTGCTGAAATCTTCCCTCTCCGTATTCGTGCCATCGCTGTGTCATTGTCCACCTCGGCTAACTGGCTCTTCAACTGGGTCCTTAACTTTGTTGTCCCTATGTTGATGCAGCGCATTCACTATGGCTTGTACATGCTTTTCGCTGGTTTCAACTTTTTGATGGCTGTCCACGTTTTCATTGCTTACCCTGAAACCAAGGGCTTTACTGTAAGCATAAAGTGCTTTTTATCCAAAGTGTTCTTGCTGAACGATCGCTAACTTTTATAATGATGCATATAGCTTGAAGAGATGGATATCGTCTTTGAGCAAAACCCACGCAAGAGGGTAGACCGCGCTTTCGTCGAAGCAGAGCTGGCTCGTCGTGCAGGCTTTGGCGGCAACCATGATGCTGCATCCAACGAAAAGACGGAAAACGTTGTGTAATTCCTTATGTAATATGCACTTTATCTTCTTCTTTGTAACATCATCATTTCTTATATAATCTTTGATATATGTAATCCTACTTTTCTTTTAATTCTTTTCGGTAAAAACCCTTACACGGTAATCGAATCACTCATCTCTTATAGTATTCTAACTTTTACTTCCGTCACAGCTCCTCTGGAGGAGAGGGGCCCTTCCCCCCATCATTTTGAAAATAAAACACAAGCGATACTACATACCTGCTTTGCGCACAATATTTTACTCTAGACCCTAGCCTAAGTCGTCAAAGTCGTGCAGTCTTTTCTCTTCCTGCTGCTTTAGGCTAACTTATCCTTGATAACTTACATCAACGAGAAACGCGATAGCGGTCAAAGTCATCGTCGCTTTCCGAGTATTTCAGAAAACAATGCACGAAGCGCGTTTAAAGTTAAAGTTGCCAAGCAATGATCGATCACACTGACTGTACAAGAGCTTCAACAAATCCCAATGCTTAGGGTCTTATTATGATTATTCCTATGCTCTGTATAAATGGATTTTTTTGCCTTCTGCTGAAAGGTCATCAATACATGCTTTGACAGCATCTGCCCAGTATAATTGAATTAAGTAAGCGTTATGTTTAGCCAACAACAGTTAAGGATGATGCTATAGTTCCGAGTACACACCTAGCAAGAGAGCTGCAGCATAAAGTGACCTAACCACGAGTACCTACATCATAGCAATGATACCGTCTCTTCTCAACTTTCCGAGCACTGAACATGTGAAACATAAGAGATTATGTAATATCGAGTTTCTCGCGCATACCAATTCCTTAAGCTCAACCATGTCACCACATCAATGGCACGTTGAAAAGGAATCAAAAAGCATAGCTGTGAGGAGCCATGTGATTAAGCAACAAGAAAGAAGTGTTGCACCAATATTTGGGCACTATCTTGCATTCGAGGTTGACTTCCACTACCACGGAAACTGTGATCTTGGGTGTTTTGAAAAAAGGAGCCAAGGTCTCATAGTAATTTGTAGAGGCCATAGAGTATCTGGATAACCTTTGACTATCGATTTCTAATTAAGAGTGGTCGACTCTTTATACTACAGCGCAGCATCCACGCATCGGATACTGGTAGCATTGAAATTTACATTTTTGCACCGGGACACAGTATGCCCACAATCACTTTAAGTTACAAATGTCATTTTTTCATTAAACCCAAGGAAAACCATTTTTGTTCATCATAGTACAGTAAAGTTTACAGACAAAATTGGCTTGTTTTGTGTAAAAAGGAATGTAGTAGTGTAAGGGAAACAAAAGACATTTACAGCTTCAAAGAAAAGCTTGTGAGTTTCCAATCATGCGTCGCCATGTTCTTTGGAACCAACGTCGTGTTTGGCCAAAGGATTTCCATTTTTTCATATTGGGTTCCAATTTCTCCTCTCCTGCTTCCCCATCAGTTCCACCATTTCCTGCCTGCAGGACGATTCGACGCGACAGGGGATGACCGTCGGGCTTATCACTACTAGCGATGGCAGTGACGCGAGCTGGTGATATACTATTACTGCTAGTACATCGCTTTGGCGATAATTCTGCTGTTGCTGTCCCTTCATTCTCTACCCACCAGACTGGTGAGGAAGACCGTCTGCCTCCCTGGATAAGCGATGGCACTGGGCTGACTGATGAAAGCGCACTGATGCTATCCTGACGAGATCTCGGAGTAGTAACGCAAGACTGATGTTGTTCGGCAGCTGGTACAAAGACGGCGTCGTTATGATAGGGAAATGGCATTGGTGGGGCATCAAGGGCTATGTTGTCTGTGGGCATTACCGTTTTGATGCTGTATCTTCGGGATCTACGAGAAGTAGCCGCTATACTTTGGTTACTAGAGCCAGTTGTCGTATCAAGGCTGCTGACAGGTGATGGCGAAGGCGCTGGTACGTGTCGACTTTTTCTCTTTTGCTTCTTGTACTCGTATGACACAGAAGATTGATATCGCGCCATTAATTCGGTCTTGGATAGCTGAGCACGGGTATACATGGTAGAATGGCGAACGAGGTTATCCTCTGTCAAAAGCGATGGCTCTCTTTCGAGCATATAGACATCTTCGGATGCAATCGACATGTGCAGCAGCAATAGACTGGCTTGAAGAACACGAAGAAAAGGATGAAAAAAGAGCAAAAGAAATGGCAAGATTTACTCGGAAGAATAATTATTTATCCGTCAACGAAGAAATAGTGTGTTTTGACAACAGCAAGCAAAGAAACAAAGCAAAGCAGCAGTAACGGGTCTTTTTTTTTGTGACGATGGGTAATTCGAGTAGAGTATGTACTGTCGTCAGTAAAATCTCTAGTTACTCGAGTAATACATATATTATATTTATATATAAAAAACTCACGCAGATCTATTTACTTTCTACTGTTCTTTTTGTCTATACAAATTTTATGCCGATGGCACCTTCTTATCCTGCTCGATTGACTTATTTACACTAATCTCCAAAAGCGTGTTCAAACGCGAAATCATCGAACGCGGATCATCTAAAACACCGGCCGCGCACAACGCATTATCATAGACCTATATCGAGACAAAAGATGGTCAGATGGTAAAGCTTAAAAGACCCTTTCTTTACTCTTTTTAGCTTCTTTTTTCTAAAGCTTTACCTGTTCTGCGACCATCTTGGCCAAAGCAGGATCCTGATTACGGATTTGAAAAAGGCCCCGCATAACTCCGTGGTCTGGATTAATTTCGAGACGCGCCGGCATAGGAGGAAGCTCATCCATCCGAGCGGAACCTTCCATCATCTGCATCATTTTTCTCATCGCTGGACTTTCGTGTTCCAACACTAATTCGCATGCCAAGTTAGCCATGCTTCCATCCGTTCAAACGAAAGGGGGCAATTTCTCACACCCATCCCACCCACTAAACTTCATAAACACATACCAATAGCTGGGAATTTATCAAGTCGCCGGGAAACATCGACCTGTTTTACGACGTCTGGACCGAGGGTCACCTCAACCCATTTGGCCAAATCCTTGGCTTCTGCTTCCGACAATGCTGTGCCGGTACTATTGTCCGATTCTTGTTGCAAAAGAGGGTCCGTAGCAGCTTCAGGCGAGTCAGCTGAGATAAGGTCAATGCCCTGGAATTCACGCAAATGGTTGACGACAAACTCATCCACAGTCTCGTAAAGGTAAAGCAACTCGACGCCCTTCTTTTTGAACATTTCGGTATAAGGACTTTCCTCGGCGTAGCGACGCTTGGGTGTCAAGAGGTAATAGATGCGTTTCTGATCTTCCTTTTTACGATCAGCATAGTCTTGCAAGCTAATCATTTCACCGGATTTGGTTAGGGAGGTCTCGAAGCGCAGCAATTTGGCTATCTCCTTTTTGTGCATGGCATCCGTGCACACACCTTCCTTAATAAACTGGCCAAAATCGAGGAAAAACTCGTTGTATTTGGCAGGATCACGCTTGGATTCGCCTTCCAACCAGCGCAACGCACGCGAGGTCATGACGATGCGCAGACGCGACAAGATGTTGTTTTGGAGCAGTTCGCGCGAGACGTTCAGTGGAATATCTTCCGAGTCAACGACACCCTTGACGAATCGAAGCCAGTCGGGAAGAAGGCCTTTGGATTTGGGTTGAATCAAAACTTTACGCGAGTACAAGGACACGCCTGGTTCTGTACGTTCGCCAAGCGACTCCATGTGCTTTTCGGGGACGTAGAGGACGGATTGAATGGAGATGGGTGCGTCGGTCTTGAAATGCAAGGTATATTGTGGGTCGTCCCAAGCGTTGGCGATGAATCGGTAAAACTCGCGATGCTGGTCGGCCGTAACACTGTTCTTTTCCTTGGTCCACAGTGGCTCGACTGTGTTGACTTCCTTGTCGTTGAGGAAAATAGGGAAGCCCACAAAGCTAGTAGTAATGATAATAGTAGTTAAGATTTCCGGGAAAGCAAAATATATTTTACGCTTTCTTGCCCTGACTTTAGTAGTCACCCCTTACTTTGAGTATTTCTTAATGATAGCATCCACCTCCAGATATGAGCCAAAAGACTTGCAGTCGTCGCGAAGGTCAATGACAATCTTGGTGCCAACGGCAACATTGTCAGCCTCGGCTACAGTGTACGAGCCCTGGCCGTCAGTTGACCAACAATAACCCTTGGATCCAGGCTTTGCTGAACGTGTATACACGGTGATTTTCTCACCGACCATGAACTGTTTTTATGTCCCAAATTAGCATGCATGTCCCTTCTTTTTTAATCCACAGCACATACCGTCGAGTAAAAGCCAACACCAAATTGACCAATGATGTTATCCTTTGCACCAGCCGATCCTTCCTTTTCGATCTTTTCCAAGAAGCTCTTAGAGCCAGAGCGAGCAATGGTACCCAGATTTTCATTGATTTCATCCAAGGTCATACCAATACCATAATCCTATATTCAGGTACACATCCATTCTTTTCTTTTAATATGTTGTTTACAGTGTACATTTGCCCTCCAGAAAGCCATGGTTGTTTACCTGGATGACAAAGTGCTTCTTTTCCTTGTCCACCGAAATGCGGATTTCCAATGGTTTGCCGCTGTCCAAACTTGTGTCAAGTGCTTGAGAATGACGAAGCTTTTCCAAAGCATCAGCTGCATTGGAAATAAGTTCGCTATAAAATACATGTTTAGCGGTTAACTATTTTCTGGTGTGTTTTGTATCTCTATTAAACGCTAGTATATTTACCGAACGAAAATCTAAAAGACGGGAAGAATATCAGTGTATGTTTCTAGCATTTTTCTTCTCCTTTTGTGATACCAAGAATACCATACCTCCTTTTCAGAATACAAAGAGTTGGCCACAATGTTTAAGAGTCGTTTCGTTTCTGTTTTAAACTCGTGTACTTCTTCCTTCCCAGTGACAACCTCCTCAGCCTTTAAAAGAAAATTATAGCTGTCAATAAACTCGCCAGAAGAGAATAGAAGACGAGCGGCTAATTAGCGGTAATAAAGCCAGAAGGATAAACTTACTGCGGTAGAAGTAGTTGAATATAAGAGACGTTGAGTGGCAATCGCTGATGCACACAATGCAATGGTCTTAACAGTGGGCAAGACCTATATATGTAGAATGTGTCAAAATAAAAGTTAGATCGATCAGGGCTAAAAAATGACATGTTGGCAACGCAAAAGATCTACCACTATCTTCTTCGTGCTACGCCATTGACGTCTGGCACTAGCACGAGCAGCACCAGCAATATGGGGCGTCAATTGTCTAAACATGCTGAGAGGCGACGGTAGAGAAGCAAGGGAACCTTATGGAAACAAAACAGCAACCTGTAGTTTTACCGCCTGGTGGTTGAAAAGGAACCGGTAAAATGGTTTTTCCTTGAAAATGTTGTCGCATGGCAACAACTCCAACCTGCTGTCAGTCTTCACTTAGCAAAAGTTACCATAGCAGCCAAGATCTTTATTTAATTAATGATAATAATTTAAAATCTTCGTTTAATACGTGTAATGAGTGAAGGGTGTCTAAGAACTTGCTTTGTTGTATAAGTCGATCAGTCGTTTAAGGCCAAGGAGCCATCCACCATGCTTCTCATACTCCGTCGTCATAAGCTTGGTGTGGATCTCCTTTGCTGTTTCCCAATCCTTTGTTTCCAAAGCTAAGCCAAAAACGTATCCCATAGTAGCGAATAAGTAAGTGCAGTCAGGCATATAAGCGATCACCATTTCTTCAGAAAACCAAGCGACCTTTACCTTTGCTTAAACCGGCAAGTGATTGCATTACGTGCGGAAAAATTTCATCATTTTCTATCTCTTTAAGCATACCATTAATCCGTTGCGCCGTATCCGCATACACTCGTTTATTAGGTCCTGACTAGAGCATAGAGGTGAGGATCAATAAAGTGAGTGAGTGAGCCTATCGTCCATACCAAGTAAGTTAAAGTTAACATTCATTTACCGTAAAGACTGGTTGACAGTGATTTAACACAGTCGTCAAAGCCTCGGCTATCTCGTCCTGTGAGCTTTCTTTATCTAGTTGCTCGCCACTGGCTTTTTTAAAGATCTATATTTCTCAGGATGAGTATGTTGTGATTGCTTCTTTCCTTTTCTTTAAACTACACAATACCGTATGTGGCGGATCGTTCTATAGCAAAAAGAATGAGCGAACGAGAAGAAAAAAGTGATGGAGAAGAGAAACAATTTTTATTTTAACGTTATTTAAAGTACCCAATGATTTTCGATGGTTGCATTTCTGAAATCGACAGAAGGTGGAGTTGATGCTGGGGTTGATGGAGTGGAGGACATGTCGGGTTAGTGAAAGCGTCGGAAGAATAATGTTTCATTGATTGTGTCTTATACGTCGTCTCACCTCCTCCTCTTCCTCCCGATTTCGCAAGAGCCACTCCTTACAGAAATTTGTCCCAATCTCCTTGTTGACTTTTTCATTATACAAAAGATGTGAAATGTGTGATGCGTATCCAAAAAAATTGTAGTTTACTTTGTAGATGTATGTACAGAGGAGAGTAAGAGATGGAGGGAAGGATGTGTGTGCAACACACCAGCGCATAATTCGAAAGCCATGCATTGTTTGGTTTCATGTTTGAACCAGTAAACTGCGTAAGCCAGCCAAAGCCCGCGTACGTTCACTGCCACCTTTGCTAGAGATTATACCGAGTATCAGCACAGTGACTGATTCTTCTCCAAGAAGATATACTTTGGCTGGTTTATCGCTGAACACCTCTTTAAGTTTTTTATGCAGCGCTTGGTATCGCTTTGCTTGACCATACGGATCATTATTTTCGTCTGTCATTGGTTCGAAGAACTGGTCCAACGTTTTGCTTCTGCTCGCGTTCATGTCGTCAGCCCAGCCGAGCTTGAGAATATCTTGGGCTGTAGGCAGATCATCGCTTGACCAGTTGGTGCTAACCCATTCAAACGGTGCGTCTGTTTCTGAAACAAGTGAGAGTTCTTTGGACGAGCCGGTGATTGCGTGGCAGGCCGAAGTCAACGCTTCAAACGGTTCGGCTGTATTTACGTTAATTGCCGGGGAGCTTGATTGTTGCTGCTCTTGCTGCCGTGGATCGGGATTGATGGTCTTGTTGTTAAGCATGGCGAGGTAATCGGCATCTTCTTTTTCCATTTTGGAGCATCCGTGTCAAAAAACAAGTGAAAGAGTCTAGTGAAGGAAAAAGTGTGAGAAAAAAACGCGCGGAGTGATGTTGGTTTCTCTTCTTTGTTTTATATGGACACCTACTACCTTTTTGCGTCAAGTGTTGCTGCCCTAACAGCCCGAGTATTCACGCACCCGAGTATGTGTGGTTCTTTCTAATTCTTCTTTTTGTTTCCATGGCTGTGCTGCACGTCGTCAATGTGTTGTCATGGATCAGTCTAGACTCATCAATGCTACTGCACAAAACTAGTTGATACGATCAAAACCCGCCTTCAAGTAAGAAGTACTACGGGCCATGAATACCAGCAACTCAAACAGGTGATTTTACCTGTCGAAGAGTCAAATCGCAATGTCTTTGGCACTCTGCGATCACTATATCGTGGGTTGCCTGTTACTCTCTTGTTCTCAGTCCCGGCCTTATCTGTTTATTTGACGTGTTACGAAACGACCAAGGCGCACTTGGCTCATCGAGGCGGTCTCTTTGATCGAGATGGCATATTGAACCATCTTGCCTCGGGCTGCTTGGCCGAAGTAGCAGCAGGCGTCCTCTTTACGCCCATGGAAGTCATGAAAAATCAATTGCAAACACAAGGAGTAGGCTCTTCACGGTCGGCGTGGTCCTTGGCTCAACACATATGGCAGGCTGAAGGAATCAAGGGATTCTTTCGCGGATACTGGATGGGATTGGCCGTTTTTGTACCTCACACGATGACTTATTTTGCCGTGTACGAGCAATGCAAAATGGCTTATGCGCGCCATTATAACTACCAACACCAAGGTGATTCAGCACAGCTGCCCATGGGTGCGTATTTATTATGCTCCGGGGTAGCTAGTACAATGGGTATCATGCTTTCGACGCCTCTGGATATCGTCAAGACACGGTGGCAAATTTCGGCTGCTGAACATGGCGCGGCGTTTCGACTAGGCCCGTTCGACATAGTAAGACGGATGTGGCAACGAGAGGGTCGATGGCGTGCATTCACGCGAGGTCTCGTCGCAAGAATTGCTTGGGGTATCCCTACAACGGCGATCAGTATGTCAGTGTTTGAGGCTTTCAAAGATTGGCGAGCCAACCAGAATTCTTAAAGCGACCAATACACAACATACCAGAAACGTTTTCCCTCCCCATGCCCACCCATACACACCATCGTCAGTCCATGATCCAATTGTATATGCAGCAGACATCTCACTACCAATTCGTCATCTTTTGGTTGCTTTTTAATAGAGTATGTACTTGTTTTTTTAATTGTCTTAAATTATTAAGTATTGGGGTGGGAAGAGTACATTTTTAGGCGAGCGGAAATTTTCTGTTATTATGGGTTGGATGTAAATGGTTAAAGAAGCGCGTTCACGGCAGCAGCCACCATGGAAACAACAGTTAACCCGGAAGTAATCTGGACCATGGTTGCTCCAGAAGCGACAGTGGCACGACCAGATGCACCAGATTGTGAAGCGGAGCCGCTATTTGCAGAAGCTGGTTGCATGTGGAGCGTGTTTGATGGGGCAACAACGGAAGCAGAGCCAGAACCGGAAGCACTAGCCATGGAGGAGGCAGAGCCTGCAGAGCCCTTGGGAGCACCGCTAGCTGAAACAATAGCACGCTGGACTGGCTCGGCGTCTTCTTCATCATTGGCATGCTTCTTGGATTCGTCACTGTCTTCTTCCTCCTTCTTGGACTTGCTATCGTCGTCTTCTTCTTCGGCGTGCTTTTCCTTGCTTTCATCTTCTCCATCAATGTCTTTTTCCTTGGCTTCATCTTCTTCCTTGTTCTTGTTCTCGGTCTTCTCGTCATCAATGTTCTTGTTATTTTGCTTTGGGGCATCTTCTTCGTCAACATCCTTCTCCTTGGCGGTTTCGTCTTCGTCTTTTTCTTCTTCTTCATCTTCGTCCATATCGGCATCCTTCTCCTTAGCGTTATCTGCGTCTTTGTCCGTGTCGACGTTCTTTGCGTTGGCTTCGTCGTCTTCCTCTTCGTCATCTTCTTCGACATTCTTGTGTTTTTTAACTTCCTTCTTGCCTTCTTCTTCTTCCTCGTCTTCATCTTCAACATTAGCTTCACCCGTGGCTTGATGTGGTGGAGGGCCGTCGACGACCTTGGTCATGACAACCAGTTTGGTAGTAGTCAAGACTTCGTCATCGCCACCGTCTCTTGCTGCTGCTTCTTCGACCTCATCGTTTTCGTCGTTCTCGCTGACATCGTTTGCTTGCGCTGCGGCAATGTCTTCACGGTCTTCATCATTCAAGGAATCTGCTGCCATGAGAGGCTGTTCGGCGCTTTCTGTTTCTTCTTCTTCGTTTTCCTCATCATCAGCCATAGGACGCATGCCGTGATGATTTCGGGACATAGGCTTTCCACCCTCAGGACGGAAGGCAATATCGCCCTCGCTATTACTATGAGGCTGCTGCTGTTGTTGTTGTTGTTGTTGTTGTTGTTGCTGGCTCTCCTCAGCCGCACGGGCTATTTAGCGCCAAAAAGAAGTTTCAACAACAAAGTGTTAACATTCGAAACAATTATATGCTGATTTCCATTCAAGAAAAATGAATGAGTGAGAGACTTACCCATCATGACCGTAAGTGCTAACAGTACAATATAGACCTTCTTGGAGTGCATAATGTTGTGTAGATTTGAAAGGAATAAACAGGTGAAAAGAAAAAATTCTCCAACTTGCTAAATGTTCCCAGTGTATTTATAACGGAATATGTCCATCGTCAAGGGGGAGCACCGGGTGTGGAAGTCAAGCAGCAACGAGAGAGGGCGAGAGCTTAGGTATGCTCAAAGGCATCTACTAACTGTTGTAAAATTTGAATTGCAACGCTAGATTGTCGTGGCAAACAACATTGCCAGTTGATTTTCAAAAAGTGTGGGCCTCTGTTGTGGTCTCTAGAATATCTTTAAAATGTGAAATGTGATACGCCATCGTCAATATCTCTAAAAAGTATTAGAAGAGAAGCATATATGCTTAATTACAAGGGCTAGATGATATGCATTATCTCTTCAAAAACAACAGTTTCTTTTTTCCACTTACTATACTATTGCTGTACTAATCATTCCGATGACGAAAAGTACTTACTACTGCTTTTTAACTTTTCACTGTTGCATCAAGCTCGGTCACATTATACATGGAGATTTTCACTTTCACTTTGGAATGTCATCAGCGGCTGGACCCGATATTTCGATTCTGTCCTAGTGCATAATATCCAGATATACAGACGGCCATTGGTAAAACGAAGGTGCCCCTCTCAATATTATCTCTGCGTTGCTTACATAGTTTGTCAACGATCAAGTTTATGCGTTCGTTTGTTAATTCCAATGAATATTTGTCGATCTTTTAATTTCCAAATAATCAGTTACAGGCGAAGTTAACACAAACCTACTTGCATCAGCATGAAATCACCACTGCCATCGTTCTGATTTGCTGGCTAAAGTATTTGTAAGCGACATGACATGGAAAAAGCGCACAACGGAGTTTTCCGAGCATTGATAAGCTATTGGCTGAAGGGATTGCTGACAAAGGATCGGTATAAGAAATGCATGGCATATAAAAGCCGAGAAGTTTCTTTCTTCTTTCTCCTGATTCATGCAACGGTTCTTTCTACGAAAAATGGCTACTGATAGCAGCAAGAAAGTTGACAATTACTCCATTCATGGGAATTCTGTAGAAGAGGTACAGACAGTGTGTATACACGTAGTGACCGACTAGGCATGCTAATATAACTGAAAACATTTTATGAGCAGATCTATGATATCCCTATGGGTGCTATTAATCGTCCGATTCCATCCATACTCGATAGAGAAAAGGTTGAAGGGATGAAAAAGCAAATGCAAGTTGAAGAAAGCAAGGATGATTTGACGCCTATTGTAAGATTTAATTATCTTCCTTATCCTGTGGATGACACACAGTCATGCGTAGTGTATTGAACTTACCCTGTTTGTTCCATATTTAGGATGTGCATCACGTTCAGTATAAGGGTCAAGACTATTATTTTGCATTTGGGGGCTGTCATCGTTGGGCTGCACACAAGGAACTTGGAAAGGAAAATATACGTGGAAAGCTTATTAACACGCCACCAGCAATGATGAAGACATACCTCGGTGCTTCATCGCCATTCAAAGATGCCTAAAAGACTCATTGCACGATGCCAACATTCAAAACGATCTCTGAAGAAACATACCTCTCTCCTCCCTTCTTTCTCCCCAATATTTTTATGCTTCCACACATCATGTATATGTTGTTGCTTTATTATTATAAATTCTGTGTATATGTAGAATAAATCAAACTGAATAAAATGCAGTAAGTTTAGCTTGTAGAGAATACATCGTTTTCACCAGGGCAGTAAACTGGTCGTTCTGCGTCGTATTCAGCTTTTAATTCTTTTTCACCTCTTGGTAGAAACATTTGATTCCACAGAAGCTATATAATTATGCAAGTTAATTTAAAATGCGTTCTTTTTCGTTAATTTCCTATCCGTCAAGAAGATTGGTACAAACCTTGGCAAAGAACTCATGTGCAAGTATATTTGGATGGAAACCATCGATGTTGCTAAAATTGCATATTGATTAGCCAGTTGTTCCATTTTTTATGATCATTGGAAAAAGATGTTACCTCTGAATCGTGTAAGGTATAGCTTTTGTATCGATATCAAAGGGCTGATACATCACACCAAATGTAGCATCGGATCCATATGGCTCAAACTGCTTTGCTAAGTTTTTCAGAGCGATATTAAAAGCAACCACGTTGGCGGCAATGACGGTATTCCCTATACCCAAGGGAAGATGACAGCAGTAGCACTCTTTTTCGTGGATGTCGAACGACGGGTTATCGCAGAATTTCTTCTGATACCCTTTGTGCTTTTCTGTGGCGTCAAGTCCGTTTTCAGAATGGAACAAACCGACTATAGGTGACAGACGTATTGTTTTGTCAGTCGCTGTTGTGGATCATGTTTCTTTACTGAACAGCAGAATTCAAGAATGTAAGTATTACCCAAGTTAATAAAAGCATAATCGACATTGTCTTTTAGCAACTGAAGTCCCTTCGATACACGCTGACCATAATCAGCGATCATGTATGACGGATAGCATGATACGGACAAATCGTTTTGGCCAATGAAAATTGTAATCACTTTCCATTCATTGGCAAGAGGCGAGTCTTTGCCAATTTTTGGTAATAAATACTCAATCTGTTTCTCCATAGTGTCGGAGGTGCCTCCTGGAATTGCAGCATTGAAATGATCCACGGATTCCCTGAATTGAGATAGTTTCAATGTCAGTTGTACTTGTCGATTCTTTTAAGCATTTAACTTTATGTTGCCTAGAGATTTACACTAAAGTTTCCTTCGTACAAAAGAATGTGCCTAAAAGATAAAAGCCATACGTTAAACACTATGGTAAATTAGCCGAAGGCTGCATAAAAAAGGGCTTACCTTCACATATGGGCAGCTGTCGCACACCCTTTGATGCACCGGTTACAGCGCCAGATGGAGTGTAATGGCTGATAAAATTGGGTAAACTGACTGCCCCTTTGTCCTAATTACAAAATACCTTTTTTTGTTAGTTGAACAAGTGAAGGGAAAAAGGTTTTCTAGTGCACATAGCTTCCTTACACCGCCCATGTCAAAGCTAAGGCCTCGATATTCTTTGAACGACTCTGATGTTATACAGTCTTCTTCGGAATTAATCATTGCTACACCAGCGGAAATGCTTATGATAACAATAACGAGTATTTGTGGTCAGCTACTGGGCTTCTATTCACTCTGCCACCGAAATTAGAGCGCCTAATAGTTAGTTTACCTATCGCCAATGGCAGCAATTGCCACAATGTCAGCGGGGCGCAAGTTGTGGATGTTCTCTGGACGTTTCGTAGGCTGCAGTTTGGGACACTGTGAGATATTCGGAGCGTAGGTTGGCTTCATGGCACCTGCGCTGACATAGCAGTGAGAGAAGAATGCCACCAAAAGCACATAAATAGCAAGCATTTTTCCACTAGAATATGAAATTTACAGAAAAGAAGAAGAAGTTTAAAAGAAAGAAATACCCGGGAAAACAAGTGTTAAATAAGGAGGGGAGATCGTCAGTTCCCTCTATCCAACCTTACAGGAATCACACTAGTACTATGGCTGATTCTGCTCGTTTTTTTTCCTCAGATGCCTTAGGCGGGTCTTTTAGGGAGAATCTACATGCAAATGGTGGCAACCTACAAGAAATGCTGTAAGTTTAGGTTACAAAATCGAAAGGAGAATAAGCAGGGGTTATCATAGAGCCAATGAGCTAGACGCGGAGCAGTAGAGGGGCTGCTGAGGGAGCTGTTTTCTTGTCCATGGAATTTGAGGGAACTAGAAGAGCATACCGATGTGCTGGGAATAACCGATGCGTGCTAGTTTTTGCCAGCTCACTCGTATCGTAACAAAAAAAAGAAAGCTCAATTCTCTAATACGAGCATTGCAAATGTTACGCTAGGCTTGTCTGTCAATACGCCTGAACTTTTAAAAAAAGGCATGAGACTTTAAGTGTCAAAAGCAGCTGATTGATGCAGCAAGCAGAGTAGTTGCGTTGCTGGGTAAAAGCAAAAGAGGTCATGGCAGGTATGCACGCCGATATGCATGCTTCAATTTATGGCGTCTATATACTATTATTTTAAAAGAGTGATGAAGAATACTATACAAGGGGCATATTATGTGTGCACACACCACATTGATGAAATTTCAACCAAGGAGTACTAAATATATGACGCAACATTATGTAAGCTGGTAGCTGTATAGTCATTACAAAGAAGGATATGGCTTTATTCGAATAGCCAACTAATATCAACACCATAATGAAAACTCATTTCTTATCAGGCACCGTCGATTGTAGGGCACTTAAAAGTTTATTTTTCAGGAGCCAATGAAAACACCTTTCTGAAACGGCTGTTGTGAGGGCTCCAATGAGGACGGTAAGAGCGATCGGCTTACGGAGGTTGACTATCTGCATTGAGCGTCCTGCGCTGTTTGACGTAGAACGCGTGTTTTTCATTGACAATCTCAAGCTCAACTTAATATGAAAGAAAAAAACCTGGTCGTCCTGGCATAGATCTCGAAGGCACCATTTTGTTCTGTCGTTTGATTGTAATTGACGTTTAAACACACGTAGCAACAACACCCGCCCTATGACTAGCACATTTCAAGTTCAGAACAACGCCAAGTCTAATAGCATTAGCCTCGCCATCAACATCCAAGATAATAATCTCAACAGTCCGTCGCTACCGCACCAAATCTTTGTGGTAATAACAGAAATCCGTAATTACTTTGAGCGACAGCCGAGACGGTATCTGCTGGCAACTTGCTTTACAATAAGGATCAATTAGCAGAAGACCAAGATACGGACCATGCATTGTGACGAGGATTCTGACTAGTGGAAAGATGAATTCGACGAGAACTAGGCGTCAGTGATACTAGGCACTCGGCTGGTGCCATTTAAAAATACATGTACTGGCTGCGACAAGGAACGGGCCCACAAGTGTGCAAAATTTTGGTCGATCGCTATTTGACAAAGATGCTTGGAGACAATCGAGAAAAGTCTTGAAAGGCATTCCGCGAAGGCCAAATGCCTGTTCTTATTCAGGGTTTTCATTTTACTAAATATTGGCAAGGACAGTGATAGTGTTTGGCCATGTATCAGTGCCGCCGTGGTACAGAATCTTTGGAAGGAGGCTATCATCTTAGAATGTCATTCGCACAATCGGCTCTTTTGGGACAAGCCCAGAATTGACGGACGCTTTGCTTGCAGATCACCGCCTCAACTACCATAACATTGATGTATGTACTTTAAAGATGCAATAATTATTATCCATGGTTATGCGGTTGCGAAGATATTTTTTAATGTCAGGTGGGCACTGTAAGCAAATTTTGAAAGTTCATAAAGGCCATTAAGAGCCTTGGCTTAAACAATGCATTAAAGACCTTCGAGTATCACTTGGTCTTCTTTTTACGTGCGCTGTGTCAGGAGTTCATCCGACAACACTCTTGAATCAAAGTACGAAACGCCGTCAATGTCAATTCCGAACCAGCATCACTAGAAGATTTTGCTACATGGGTATTCTAGGTGCACAATACGATTCTATCAGCAAGAAACAATATACTCTACATCCAGTTCTTCCAGTACATACTGATGCACCTTCTCAACATAATCATGTACGATCATTTTTTAAACATATCGAGGAAATAGACAACATGATTTTAGCACATCTTCGACGCTTTGGAACAAGGATGACATAGTAAGTGAAGACATTTTTTTACAAGGCACCCGAGCACTTGCGCGGCTAATAAGTGGAGGAATATTAAGAACGCAGCAGTCTCCAAAAAGCAAACGTTTCGACTCTACCACCAAGAGTTTGACGTACAACTCCAAGTCCCAAGAAGAAAATGCGACATACCTGATGCCCGACAACGTGCCTCTAAAAAATACGTCGCCTTGATGATATCTCACAGTCCTTCTTGGCTTCAATAAAATCTCTATCTTCCGTCGATTCACAGTCTGCAAAGCAACAGCGATCCCAGTGACCAAGAGCCATTGCGCCAGCACCGCTATGCTTTTCTTATACACAGCCTTTCCAAATACAATAAAGTTGGAAATTGTACAAAATATGTCGACCAACATCGCAACGAAATTCTATAGAGCTTATCGCCCACCAGTACAAATTTCTCTTAGACGCTTATTTACCGTCGAATCCTCACGGCAACCATATATCACGTAGATTTTGGATGGTCTATCACCTAAACGAAAAGTACATATACATGCAAAAAGTGCAAGGAAACGACTGGTAAAGGAGGATCTAGACAGAGCCTTGAATGTCTACGCTATGTAATATGGATAACACAAATTTACACTTTAGTAATCTTTGTTTTACGTAAACTTATAAATATCATCTCGCACTTTTTCGTCTTTTTACTTGCTGCTCATACAAACGACGTTTAGGGTAGCGTACCTTCGTTAAGTACAGGTCTTTCGCCTTTTACCAGTTTACTTTGAAAGGTTATGGATGTAAGTAAGGTACGCTACCCTAAACGTCTCTATTATAAAATGGAAGGAGCGCCCTTTTTGGTTAATCAACTCCAGCTATACTACTGGTTCCCGAGCCGATAGTGACTTCGGTATCGTTTCACTTTTAAAGATAAGAGCATGGCGGAGATTGTTGAGAGGTATAAAAATACCAAGGTTGCTTCGAAATATAAAAAAGCTATTTTTTTCTTTCTCACCAATATTTTATTTTCAAAACAATGCTGTATATCAACGGAACCATCGTTACTATGAACAAGAAGCGTGAAATCATCAAGGATGGCGCTATCTTGGTTGAGGGCTCGCGTATCAAACAAGTCGGCAAGACTACCGAATTGGTTGCTGCCAACCCTGACGAGGCTACCTATGACTTGGAAAACAAGGTCATCATTCCTGGTCTTATCGATACTCATGTGCACTTGGCACAAGCGCTCCTCCGTGGCTCTGGTGATGACTGCGAGTTGATTCAGTGGCTGTGCCAGACGGTTTGGGTTTTGCAAGGCCAAATGACTGCTGAAGAAGCCTATGGCAGTGCCCGTTTGTGTATTGCGGAGATGCTGAAGTCGGGCACGACTTGCTTTTTGGAAGCCATGTGCGCCGATCGTTATGGTTTCAACGGTATTGCCAAGGCCGTGGAAGAGTCCGGTATTCGTGGCTGCTTGGGCAAGATTGTCATGGACGTGGGCAAGTATGCATCGCAAGATGCTTGGTCGATGCATCCTGGTCTAGTCGAAACCCGTGAGCAGAGCTTGTTGGGTGCTTTGGACATGCACGACAAATGGCATGGCAAGGCTGATGATCGTATCCGTAAGTTTTTGCTCTTCACAGCTCATTTACCGGCCAATAACTGACGGATTACATGCAAAATATCCTAGATGTTTGGTTTGGTGCTCGCACACCCCCTGGTATTAGCGTTGACTTGCTCAAGGAAATGACCCAAATCTCGCGCGAGCGTGGTATCCGTATCACAATGCACTGTGCTGAAGTCGAGGCCGACAAGGTTCACTATCGCGAAAACCACGGCATGACCGCTGGTGAATTCTGTCAGGATGTTGGCCTGCTCGGCGACCAGACTGTATTGGTGCATATGATCTGGTTAGATGATCCCGATTTCAAATTGTTGGCCGAAACTGGCACACACGTTTCACATAATCCATCGTCCAACAGCAAGTTGGCATCTGGTGTTGCTCCCATCCCGCGTCTTTTGGAAGCTGGTGTCAATGTCGGTCTTGGTTGTGATGGCGGCCCTAGCAACAATAACTACGGTAACCTCATTAAAGCTTATTCAATTTGCCCAAGCTTTTCTTCCTGATACTGATTCTTCTCATGACAACGCATGTAGATCTGATTATGGAAATGAAGCTTGCAGCGCTTATCCACAAAGCCGTGTCCTGCAACCCGGTTACCATGCCAGCTGAAACTATTCTTGAAATGGCAACCATCAATGGTGCCAAGGCTGTTGGATTGGAGCACGAAATAGGATCGCTTGAAGTAGGCAAAAAGGCCGATTTCGTTGTGCTTGATTTCGAAAGCAAGCTGCACACGACCCCTTCGCCCAACCCAATTTCGACTTTAGTGTACTGTGCCACTGGTGGTGAAGTCGAAACCGTTGTCATTGATGGCCGTATGGTTGTCGAAAAGGGCGAGCTGTTGACTATGGACGAGGAGGGAATTAAACGTGAAGCAAGACGTCATGCCGATAACCTCTACGAACGCGCTGGATTCCGGGGCAAACCCAAGTGGCCCATTGTTTGAGGCTCCTTTTTGGCGCGTATACGACTACATTGTCGATGAGTAGTGGTTGCAGTAACCCACTCCAAAAAACTGAGTAAGTGCACAGCTGCGTTATTATATTGATGTGATTGTTTTTACTTGTTTTTTCTCCTTTCTTCTTCGGTGGTTGCAGGCAACCCACGGTAAAAAAACTGAGTAAGTGGTACCTACTTTCATTTATTACTTTCATGTCTTAGTAGTATTTGTAGTAGTATGAAATAAATTCAGTTTTTTTTAAAAAATACAAGTTTAATGTGCTTGCCATTCGTGGTTTATGCGTGTGTGTTTGGTAGAGATGACATAAATTTCAATCGCTCAGTACTAAGAGAGGGTCGAACTACCTTGGCTCGCCGCTTCGTGGAGACCACCCTTCACAAATAAATCAGTGTAAGTTTAAATTCAAACTTCAGCCCTCAGGTTTCGTGAGCAGCCAAAAGCCTTTAACAGACTGATTACAAGCGTTTAAACAAAAGCAAGAGCATTAATTTTACTTTTTGCACCTTGGATGAGGAATAGCCGTACTAGCTCACAGAATAAATGTATTTATAAAGCAGGGGCATTATTTATGATGAAGGCACGAAGTGCGCTGCTGGAATCCCCCGGTCCTTTCGGTATACTGGACGAGCTCAATTGCGTTTGGTTTGACATGAATGTACCAAGCCAAATCATAGAAAAAAATTCATTATAGTTCTTGGAGTAATTTTATGAAAACAATTGTGCTTTATATATTCGAGGCGGGTGCATACATATTTTACGCTGTTTTGTAAAGTATCTATTGACTAAAAAGACTTTTTTGTCTTGTACAACAAAATACATCTTTGGGCGAGAAAGAGATGCTCTCCGCCAATATTATTATATTAGAGCATGTAGCAGACGCCGAAGTACCCACCGTTGTAACCACTGTGTGCAAGCTATGCAATCTGATCAAACTGTTTTGGTACCTGAAGGCGGCGAAGCCATACCGTGTTCTCCTGTTATTTTTTAAAGCTTTGTTTAATACTCATGATACATAGTTACACTGAACAACTGGCATTGGATGAACTCCACCAGAGCAAGCCAGCGGAACCTTGAAAGAACAGGCTACAAAATTCTGTCAAACCATAACGGGGACCTGGATACGGTGATCTAATGCCAAACAGTTTCTTCAACTATTCTGGACGATGCTATTTAACTCCTTCTTGGCGGTTCCTGTCCGTAGCTTAACCCCTAAAACATCACTTGTCATATTTCCCTCCATTTCCTCTCTCTACACTTATTTATGCAACATTATCCTTCAGAACGAGGACAGTCAGACTGTGTTACCATCTTTTCTTGATTTAAAAAAATTATGTAATAAATTGGATCTTATCATCTATGAGGGAGATGAACGGAGCGAAGGTACAAAGAAATAAAAAGGAGTGGGTTGGGGGGGGGGGGGGACAGTCGGACTGTCCTATGTTCGGATAATACTATGAGGCTTTCGGGCTGAGCCCTCAGCCAAAGCCGAAGTATGTAGTGTATCAAGATCTGATTATCTTGGCTTATAAACTTACACTTACAGTACCGTTAATGTCATCAGATCAAACTGCTGAAACTACATCCATCATCAACGAAACGACTGACATTTTTATAATGTCATTTGATGCATGTTTGAATATTAAAGTGCTACATACAGAATGGAATGTTTTATAATCCCCTTTTATGCGACAGCTCTCAAACTTTACATAGTTGATTGTTGGGTTATTTTTCACCTAAAAACTCTTTTGAGCAGACAACTGGATATCCACAGACTATTTCGTGGAATATAGCGGTTGATCTTTATAAACTTGACGCTCATGTTCTTTTGTTGATGGCATGATTGTATTGTCTTCAAGGCGCGCTTTAACGATTTGCTCCTCGTGTAATATTCACCTCACGTTAATTTGAAAAAGCATAAGCGTCAAGCTAAAACAAAACGACCGTACAAATTTTTCTGTCCATCTAGAAAGGAAGCTTTTAAATAATACATTGTTTCTTCCTCTCTTGTGAAAAATAGCTAAATCGATGAGGTGGGACCTGTCTCCCAGTGTCTACCGTGTAGTATATACCATCCATTGGTAAAATATTTAAAAAAAGAGATACTTGGCTATATAGTAATCAGTGAGTACCACAACAGACTCTTCTCCTCCGACTCACGTACAAGAGACGAAGTTACACCACGATTGCTTGACCGTGGATCTATTCCGATACCCTGAGATTGTATGTATGCATGCCAGTTTAAATCGAAGGCTACATTATAATACCAAAGTGAAAAGTGCGCACACAAACCCATAAACATGTGTATAATTCGCCGTCCGAGAAAGATCATGGAGACGATAATTAAAGGAGACAGGCATGGCAAAGTTTTGTTGGGTTCGTGAGTGCGTGAGAAATATGAAAAAGGCGGGAAGGTGAAAAGTGAAGTAACGTGGTAAAGTGCTTTCAAGTTCATGTGATACAGAAAGGTTGCCTGATTGCAAACGGTGACTTCCACTTAGGGCCACGTGTAGTATAGGTGCCTATCATAAACAGTAACGGCATTTTTGACAAGCTTCTTCTTCGCTTACGGCAACCAAAAACGGGACCATACAAACGCAACTATTACAGAGTCATACAACAACAAACAGCGGGATTGAGATGGAAAAAGGAAGAAGGATTAAAAGAAGAGATGAAGATGGCAAGGCCGGATTCTCAGATTCATGCTTAATAAAAACATCGTTTAGCCATCGTATTCCGATATCTACCGACCTACTACATAATTCGTTGGAATAATTGTAACCTTGTGTAGATAGTATTTATATTTTATAGTAGATGCTAAGCTATCCCAAGTCTCATTATTGCGTTGTATAAGGCGCGGGCACGGGACGCGTCTTTCAGAATCTCATGGGTCCCGCGCAAATTTGAATGAGCTATGAAGTAATTTAACTGGATGCACTAACGTACTCGGAAATAAGATCCTCAAACAAAAAGAGGACCTGGTAGCAAAAAGCGCAAATCTGGATGCATCCATGTCATGCTAACAACTGTAAGCCAATAGCTTTTTATTTCAGCGTCGCGATAACTAACGTTGCAAAAGAGTATGACTACAGACTATATAGTACCTGAGATTGTAAAGGCGCCCAGCAGTGATGACAACAAAATTTAGTAAGTAGCATGAAGACAGCCATCGATTCAGTTTTAGTTTAGTAAGATGAGACAATGTTTAGTAAGAGACAGAACACTACTATCATCGAACAACGATGATTATAAGGAGAGTAATATGAAGTTTACAAACGCATCCAATCATTGGAAGTGACAGCGCTATGTTAATATCCCATAGACTGTAAGCTAGCTGCTATAACATATACACATAACTTATTTATTTATAATGTGGAAAAAGTAAAGATAATACATTTATATTTTAATACGGTTATATGTACAAGAAATCTGAAAATAAGATAGGAAGTGGTACGATTATACAGTAAGTGATACATGAGCTTAAATTTAGGCAGCGGCTTCGTTATCGCCCCAAGGTGGAATGATTCCAGGAATAAGATATTGCTGAATGCATGCCATAGCACCGATGAGACAGGCGAAGAAGATCGAGTGTAAAATTGTACGACGAAGTACGTGGCCTTCTTTACCGCGCATGCCAATGGTTGAAACACCGGTTGTCAAGGTTTGTGGCGAAATCATTTTGGAAGTAACGGCACCGCTGGTGTTGGTAGCAGCCATGAGAACGGTTGACAAGCCAATTTGTCGGGCAGCAACAACCTGAAGATTACCGAACAAGGAATTGGCAGAGGTATCACTACCGGTCAAGAAGCAGCCAACCCAACCGATCCATGCAGAAAGGAAGGGGAAAGCACGACCGACTTGGGCAAGAGTGAGACCAACGGTATATACAATGCCTATTTGTAAAAATTATAATCAGTAACAGTGATACAATCGGAAAGCAATGAGGGAGAAAGAACCGGGCTCTTTGGTTTAAGCTATCGAAGAGAGTACCTACCAGAATAGTTGTACAAGTAGGCGAAAGCCATAATAGCGGAGACCGTAATATCAGCATAGACTAACTGTTTACACGTATCTCTAAAGGCGTACCAAAAGATGATGGGCTTGCCGCCATACAGAAGGACAATGATATCAAACAAAATAGCTGAAACAAGGATACAAGTGCCAGTGGCCAAAGGCTGGAAATCCCAAATGGCATCATATGGCTTATCATAAAGCGTGAGCCAGACGCGACCGTGAAGGTTGGGGATTTGTACCATCTGTTCTCCGTACTTGGAGACTCCGGCAAAGGTCCAGATCACAACAAGCACAACAATAATAATCCAAGGGCTCCATGCGATGATAGTTTCGTACAAAGTAGGCTTGACAAGTTCGGCTGTAGTTGGTGGTTTGCTGAGCTCGCCTGTTTCTTCGTCAGGATCAACGTTGGGATCGCGATGGGGTTCTGCAACGTTTTCCACAAAGGCAGTTTGGGTCTTTGGTTGGGATTCTCCATTTTCTTGTTGCTGGCGAGAGCCATTGTCGCTAATTGAAGATCGGACGCTGTTGTTGCCGGCCGAGTTAACGATAACCGAAGACTTGTTGTCTTGCTGCTGTGCACTGCCACCAGTGGCGGGATTAGCGACCAAGAAGGCCCTGAATTCTTCGCGATAAGGAGGCTTCCAGAATTGTACAAAGATGACAATGGCAAAAAGGGAGACCAAGCCAGAAAGCAAATCAGGCAGTTCAGGACCAACGAAGTTGGCAAAGATACCTTGGACGACGGCAAACGAGACACCAGCTACCAATGCGAGTGGCCAGCACTCAATAACACCAGCACGGAAACCGCAGTAAAAAAACAGCGCATAGAGGGGCAGGAACAAACTGAATAAAGGAAGCTGACGACCCAACATAGCTGAGATGGCGCTTGCTTCGATATTCGTAAGACGGGCCAGCGTCGTGACAGGAATTCCGAGTGCACCAAAGGCGACTGGCGTAGTGTCGAACAGTAGCACAAATGTCAGCGCATCGAGGGGCTTGAAACTATAAAGACGACGCATCTTGTTAGTAATCTATCCTACTGATACATTTTAGCGTCGTATGACATACCCCAGAGATACCAGCAATGCAGAGCAGATAGCACCGGGAGTACCAAAGCCAGCAACACCTAAAATTATAACATTATATCATTAGTTGATGAGTGCTCACTGCTAACTAGGAAGAAAGGGGGAAAATACTGTGTAAAATTTGCTTGATTTTCTTACCTTCCAAGATAGCACAGAAACTGAAAGCGATAAGCACCAAAAAGACACGTCTGTCAGGCGGGGCATTGGTCAACATCCATCTTCGGAATATATCAAAAATCCCCGAATGCACAGCCGTATTATAGACGTTCCTAAAGTATAGTGCTACTTAGCATCCAAAAAACGGACGACACATATTTACTACATCTTGAAGAAGAGATTAATTACATTGCGTTAAAAACGATCCACATGATTGGCCAGTTAGCAAAGACAAGACCGTTGGCTATTGCTAAAAATGCTTGTTTAGCAGGCATATGCCATGCGAAAATCGCTATGAAAATACTATATCGAGAAAAATCCCAATTAGAGGGCCGTTGTAAGTGTGCAAAATTTGACAAGAACATGATGCATTTTCTCTTATTACCAAACGATGAGACCAGAAATGGCAGCAAAATGAGCAGGCATACGGAATGCACCAAGCAATAGCAAGAGCAGGATTAGAGGTATCACACCCACAAAGAAAGATCCTACAAGACTGCCGCCGATGGGCGCAAGCTCTTGGACAAAGTAATTTTCATAGGCTTCTGGTGGAGCGACTGGGATGTCCATTATGGTATATAGAGGCCAATGATTAAACGAGAAGATCAAGGAAAGAAAGAGAAATCGAATTCACTTTATATATGTTACCAGATCAAAGTTGAGTATGTCGGCCCCCAGAACTAGATCAGTGCACCACCGCCACCATTTCGCCCCGCTCTCCCTTGCTCTCTTACCCCACTTTCTTGGATATGTTATCAGTAGCTTTATTTTTTTAGACCGCGAAGGCTAATGGTTAACTGGATCATGTCTTTTAGGTTTCTCCCTCTTCTTCTTTTGGTTCCCAGACCAGTACAACCTGGTATGAGGAAGCGATTAAATGTGTGGGAATCCAAGTAGCGTTCCACAATATGGAGACTACAGAATGGGGCTCTTCCTCTCAGTGGGCGGTAGAAGCCAAAGTGTCTTCCAAAAGCAGTCAAGTTTTCACACGGATGTGTTGTACGGCTGACGCTTTTTTTTGGTATATTTGATGTCATGCCGTGCGGATATCGTTACGTGAGCAAGAAAGACGATGAAACGAACATCCATAGCTACCATTATCGCACACTAGAGATTCAGATGCTGCATTTCATGCTGTCATACTTACGGAATGATGGGAAAGATCAGATATTTTTATTCTTCCTTTCTTTCGTTCGCCATTTGAAAGAGTTTTCTGTTTGATCTACCTTTGACATGCTATATCAGTCAACATACTGTACAACAATTAGGCGGAGACGTCTGAGCACTACCCCGCAAAAAAGGATTGCATCGTTTGGTTCCAAAAGATAACAGAGTCTGCTTCTCGTTTCTTCAAACAACGAAATCGCTCTTCTTCTTCTATAACTTTGCGGAGGGATAGATATAAATAAATCAAACGTAGTTCAGCTTCTTACGACAATAGAAAAGAAAAATCATAGGCTGAAAAGCTATCTATAAAACGAGATCCTTACCACACTCAAATCAGGTCCGAAAATGCAGCTGTTTTTAAAGCCAACAAGTTCCCAAATGGGAACCTTTATGTCTAAAAGCCGTATATTTTCCTCCTTAAACAGTTTTAATAATGGCTACAGAAAGCAAGTCAGAAGACACAGTTGTTGTAGGGTCGCATTCCTCCGAAAATATACAAAGAGTAACAGGTACAGCCACTATAAAATACTTCGTTGCCGCCATCACATAAAAAAACAAATAAAGATAAGCCAGCATTTGTAAGTTGTGTGGGGTTGTATGTGAATGTGAGCCTGGGTGAATGATCTTTTCCGCAGCTTCCCACTAACATTAAATTCAGTCACCGACAATTTTGTGCTCACTAGAGACCTGATACGATGTAAAAGAGAATACACAGAATCAGTAGCCAGCCGATTAACATAACTGTACTCAAATTGACTTACGAAAAAACCTAAGCATAATTTCTAAATATAAACAAAACGTGGGCCAAAAAAAACTGGTTGGTTGAGACTTAGTAATCAATGTGCGACAATGTCCAGTCTTGTGTGTAAATGCACAGGCACCCACGTTTTAAACGCAACCATTATCACAAACCCTTAAGTCATAATGGTCAACTAAAGGGAACTTTTGTGCTGTACGTAATGCAACAGCCGCAATTTTACTGCATGTGATGGCTCTTCTTTGTAAGCGTTCAACCGGCATTACCTAAGCAAAGAATAAAATAAATGACCTTGGATCAGTCTGCGCATATAAAAATAAAGCCAAAGCCAAAAGATACCAATTGATCTCTGTTATTTTTTGCTACTGTGTATATATGTGCTTTCCTTTATGAATGCTATACTGTATACTTTCTCAGCTATCCGATGGCTAGGATATTTCGTCGTTACATGTCGAATTCTACTCGGTAAGTCACGGCCATTGAGAAAATGTATAATAGAGTACACTTTTTGTTTAAGGAGCTCATGCCATCAATACCGCTAATACCAAATACCCAAGTCAACACAATCATAGCAGCACCCCGCAGCGCTACTAGGAAGGGTGCGAGCCTTCATTCTGAACGGTAATAGTAATTGCCGCTGGGTCCTTACTGTTTGGCGATACACTTAATGAAGGAGGTGATCTTGATAGCAGCAATATCAGCACAACACCCAGCACCTACCGCTGTTAAACCGACTTACGAGCTAAAGCGCAAATAAATGAGCATTTATAGTACTACATACCCATAAGAAACGAGGGATAGATAGTTGACATGGCAGCACTACAGGGTAACCGTCGAGAAGCATAGCAATTGCCTCGTTCCTTTTAAACAAATTCTCATCAAGTTTTACAGTTACTATGATCTGCGGAGTTTGCGAGCTCGGTGCTGACACGGAATGTCGATTATCCGTAATGCCATAATAGTATGGCTTGTTCTCGTTGACGAAACCAAAACAACAGCTATGTCTGCTATATTCGCTATTGTCATGGATTATACTGCTGGCTCTCATAATATCAAGTCTCATCAACCATGTGCTTTAAACTTTTGTACTTGTGCTTGTACAATACAACAATCCGATTTCTGACATCTAGTTAACCAAACAAATATGGGTGCTCCTTATTAAAAATTTTGATATTATACTACATAGATTAGATGAAATATTACACGATATAGAAAGGATAAGTCGAAGGAAAAGGGTAAGATGCTATCGTTGGCGAAATGAAACGGATGAATATGGATGATATTACATATACAATGAACAGCAAGGTATTTGATATAGTTATTTAGCTTGTTCAGCATAAGTAATGCTGTTTTTATCAGCCGCAGCTTCGAGTTCAGCACTGCTGCCCTTATCCTTGTCAATAGCTGATGGTTGATCATCTTCCTCATCTACGTAGATGATCCATCTTGATCCAAACAGAGCATAACAGAATTCTATGACAAATCCGACGAGTGGAATAACAAAGGCAAGGTGAATGTTGCGGTTGTCCTTGGTAAGAGCCATTAAGGTTGGGAAAAGAGCACCTCCTGCAACACCCATGATCACTGTAGTACAAAAAAAATGTGAAGTTAATACAGCTGTTTGACAAGAAAAAGGATTTCAAATAACTTACAGATGGGTGCACCGTATTTGTAGTTACGACCAAGATCACGCGTTCCGAGGGCAAAGTTGGTAGGGAACATGATACTTTCAAAGAACAGGATTACCATCAAAGTGTATGTCGATTGCTGTGTATGAACAGTAACAGCACAAATGGTGGCAATGATGGCACAGACAGAGTAAGCTGCCAAAAGGTGATCGGCGCGGAACCAGCGCATCAATATAACACCCACGAATCGACCGATGGTAAAGCACATTTGGCCAAGAGCCAGCAACTGTGAGCCAAAGGAGTCGGTGTATCCACCGACAATGGTCGCATAGTAAATGTACATAGAAGCAATGGCAACCTGGTTGCCAGTGTAAATGAATTGCGTGATGGCTCCCAACCACAAATGCGGTGACTTCATGGATGCACGGCGCACAACTTCACCAGTTGCTTCGGATTCAGCTCGCATTTGAGCTTCTTCGTCGAATTCAGGGATACGGGCAAAGCAAAAGAGAATTGCAATGCAAAATACACCTATTTACCGAATTTGCACATTGTAAATGGTAATTAGTAATACGCTTAAATCAATAGAGCACACCCCATGTCTTTTACTGTTTTTTTGGTGGTAATACATCCAAAATGTTATACATACCACAACCGACACCGACATATGTCCATTTAACAGAGTCCAAGTTACCCGTTGCTTCTTCGTCACCTCCAAAGAAAGCATACGAAGCAATAATGGGAGAAATAGTTGTACCGATACCATTGAAACCTTGGGATAAGTTGATTCGGAGAGACGCCCAGCGTCGAGAACCGATGATTGTAATATAGGTATTGGCACCTGTTGTCGTTGTTGTATAGAAAAAAGGAAGAGAGCTTAAATAAGAAAACGTGCTTGTGGATCATACAACTGAGCTGCAGCGTATATTAAACTTATGCTTGCCCCTGGTTTACTTACAGTTCTCAAGCATAGCCAAACCTGAAGCGATCGTAAACAGAGAACCAACGAAGCCGCCATATGATTCATTGACTGCGGCCGGATAGAAGCATAGTGAACCAAGCACGTAGAGCAGCAAGCCCAGAATGATGGTTTTCTTGTATCCAATTCTCTTTAAGATAACACCGGCACTAAGGCAATACATCAAGAAAAAAAATAAGAATCATAATTGGTATGGTAGTGTGGTCTGCAGAGAGGGGAATATAAGCGTACATGGGACTGATCACAAAGTATGCACCAAAGTAAGCCACCTGCATGTACGTGGTCTCAGTTGTAGCTGGATAATAGTGACATAAACTGTGTAAGCTCAAATTTGATTTCATCATCCACTCCCCCTGTGTCTTTGTTTTTGCTTATGGCGCATAGACCACTTGACGCTAATGATACATACTGATTCCCAATACATTCTGAAAGTGCTTGTTTAACGTGTCTAGCAAACCGTAACTGAAGCCCCAAAGGAAGAAGAGGGTGGTGACCAATGCACCAGGGATGAAGTAGCTTTCTGTTTGTTCTTCATCCTCTACGGTTTTTGGAGGAACGATCTTCGCTAATATCCGATCCCAAAGGCCCATTGCTGCGCTGCTTGATGTATATTTGGCGTATCCAAAAACAAGAAGAAAAAAAAGAAGAGGGGGAGAAGAGAGGCACACAATCGGTGGTGTTTATGCACGTTTTGGACAGTCAAGTAAGCATTTATATATGAGAATTTATATTCTCCCGCTCACTCCTTGTTTTCCCACCTGTAGTTTGCGTACGAACGAAAGAGGGTTTAGAGCATATGACTCTGCGCGAGTTCATAAAAGGAAAGATCATGTTTTTTCTCTTGGGTTACCAGGCACTTGTCAACGAAATGATGTACACTTACACACACAATACAGAGCACAGTAGTAGCAACAAACCGTTGTACTGGTTCCCATTATCGGGGCGTTTCTATCGTTTCTCCTTGTAACCCATTTTTTTCCCTGTGTCTTTTATGGTGCTCTGGCTGCGGAGCTGTAGTCATTGGCATATTAAATCGATGCAGTATAGTGAGGGGCGGTTTTTATGCATAACACATGTAGCAATGTTATTTCGTAAATACTCAAAAGTGATCTGACTGGGATATTTATTGTTGCACCTTTTTTTTTTATCTTTTGACAACTTGAGAAAAACCAGTGAGTTCATCCGTAACATTCGGGAATTTTAAATGGGGAGATTTGCTCCGTTCGCTCCAGTGTGGGTAAAGTTGACAAGTGTTGTGTTTGTGATACTTGCATCGGTGTGAGAGTAAATTGCGCTTATGCTGTTTGCGTGGCATGAGAAAAATCAAGCCTTTACATAATTAGAGTTTGTGCACTATAGCATATACAAAGCACAAGGGTCTCCATGTTATTATCTTTAAGACTTTGTTCCTGATAAACCATCCCTTGCTGATTTCTTCCCTTGCTGACTTCTTCTCTCGAAGATCCATTCGCTACTTATGTGCTGTTGCCATTGCTGGCAGCCAACATCGCACAGAGAAACATAAAAGAAGTGTCATGCTACTAGTGTAATAGTACGGCGAATATGCATAGTAGCCTGGCGTCCACTTAACAGTATATAAGCTCGGGCAGTTTTTGGGGACCCGTGATTTGGGTCGAACTCCATCTTAATTACAAGACGCACCAGTATCGTTTTTAATCAAAGTTACGAGCCTAAAAACTCCATCGATATTACCTATTCATCCAACACTCTCTTGATCGGACGGTACCGGACTACTGTATATGAGAGTGTCCCAAACATTTCATCCAATGTTTACGATAATACAGAGAGTTTTTGTTTGCTTTGGATAACCCTCTTCAACACCAAAAGACTTGACCCACGTGATCGATCTTTTATTACCCCACAATCGAGCTGTGCAACCATCATCTTCATCGTCAGCCATACCTTCTATATCAAGCATACGTGTTACTTATTACTTCTTCACAAAAACCTTACACATTGTGGGGCTTGGTTGTATGTGGTTATTTTCTACTAATCTGTTGCTACCAGCCTCTCTTTATTATCTGAGCAGCAATACTACAAACCACTGTCATTATTGTTGCTGTTAATTGCTGTCTGTCCCAAATACAATATCAGCAATTACTTTTCTATAAGAGAAAACAAGTTTAGCATGTCGTTAGCATTTCTTGGCATTGGAAAGTATTTAACTATATGCTTACTAGATTGTATAGATTCATTCAAGATATATCGTTATGCTGTTGACCTAAACATGATGTGTTCAACTTGATTCGAATGGCTTGATGATCATTTTCAATAATTTCACAGATATTATAGCTACCGCAGTGATACACCTCCTGCTGCATGCAGGAGATGTGTCTGTCATTTTTCTCATGTTAAAGGGTCTAATATATGCGATACTTGAAACGTACACTTACTATACGTAATAACTGGTTCGATAGGCCCTGGTCTAAGAAAAATGAATCAACGGGTACACGGTGGTTTTTCAAAGTTAAGGGTTGCGCTGCTGTCATATTCAAATTTTGCTAATGTTAAATTTAAGTTATTACCTAATACATTCGCTGCCTGTGCGCTGATGAAACGCATTATCATATAACTTGCATATAAAAGCAACATGACGCTATGCATGTCATCCTGTACATACAGGAGGGAATACAAAGGTGTATACTGTATTTATTCGGATACGCAAACACAAACATCTTTTCTTTTTCTGTTTCACTCAAGATTTCACAAGACGAAAAAACACACACTCATGATGGCTCATGTGAGCTACTGAGATAATACATTCATGTGAGCATTATAAATAAACCGCTTATTGCGCGGCTCTCAGCCCTTGATTCGGACTGACGGATGACTTTGTAAAATTTCTACTCATTCGTATTTTTTTTGTGGAAAGTACAGTCTGGAATTTGATGATTGAGATATATCAACGCGTTCAATCCATATTACATGCTCTATGCAAAAATACTCCCATGGTGCAACAGAAATCTAGAATAGAAGAGGGTATGGCATGTGTGTGGTGCTGAAAAATGATCGACTGTCTCCTGGATTCCGAATTGCACCGCTGAAGTCGTACATGCAAGCACAAAAAATGTCGATCAAGTATATATTATTTGGGCGCCAACAACGCAACACTCTCTTTGTCGTAACGTAGCAAACAGAATTACCTCGCTTGTACAGTTTTAATACTGACATACAAGTAGAATAAGGAATGCGGTGCATGGCATGAATAGTCAATAGCCGGGCAAGCGATTTTATTGTAATAGATCCATTCCATTGTTGGTAATCAGGTAATCAGCAAAGCCCAACAGAGATTTCCGTTTTTAAAGCTGCGCATTACATTTTCCACCACCTCTGCCTTGTATCACCTTAGCAATACTTTGAAAAGTAAAGAAACTCACTCATGTCAAGACCGCTTCCATTATCACCACAAAGTCCAGAATTCAAAGGGATCTCGGCTTTGAATATCATTTACGAGGCTGGTAATGTGTTTCTCAACTACGTTTATGCAAGCATTGCGCAAGTTTTGCGAGCTCCTGCAATCATCTTTACGAAACGATGAATGACTTGGACATTTCAAACAACAATAAAAATAACTTGAGTTATTTCAATGAAAACAACATGTCATATAGGCCTCGATAAAGAAAGTCGACCCATTCTGGTGCTTTCAGCTTGTAACTTACCGAATCCTGATACCATCAACTATGACTTAATATTAGCGTAAGATAATTATTTATTACAACGCGATTGTATCGCATGAAATTCTCTTGGTATTGACTTTTAAAAAATATCAATTAGGTTTATCTTGGCAAGACTGTAGGTTTCGCAGCATGTGCTTTCTTTTTTACATGTTTGTGGACTGTATATACTGACATATCATCATGCCCATGAATCTATGCACTGTAGTGATGAATTTGTTGAGAATGATTATGTGCTTGTCTTTTTCTCTTCTCCGGCGCAGTACCGACCGCCATGGATGTGGCTTTTAAAAGCCTACCGTGCCTTGGATCGCAAGTAAGTATACTACTACTGAATGGACCGATCGGAGAGGAACGGGTCGTAAGAGGCTGGGAATATGTGTACGCGGACTGCCAACCAGAGAAAATATGCTTTAGGTACAAGAAGAATTTGAAGGCCCTGTATGTTTTACATCTGAATCGAACCTACCGCATCATTTTCGACCTTGCCAACAAAATCACCAGGTTAGTGGTAGACAGCAAGTCATATATTACTGCCTGTGGAGTTAAATAATGTATACGTTTCTTCAAGCCACACTTACTTATATATTATGTTAGTCCCAAGTTTGCCCGGAAACTACACTATTTGTCTACATTGCAAGAGATGTTCGGCACTGTCACTCTGTCCAGCAAGTTTATTCCCAAACAAGTGATCGATTTCGACACTAATTTGCCTCCAATGCAGCCTGCGAGTCGATGGGGCTCGAGCCAGCAGCTTCCAATCCCTACGGATCCCAGGAAAAGACCATTGCCGTCCCTTGCATTTGGTGTGACTTTGGAAAATTTGGCTCGTTTGGAGGATAGTGAGCAGCAGGCTGCTTATATTCCCAAACTTGTCAAGCAGATCGTCGAGCATTTAAAAGCAAATGGTAATAGTCATACGTATTTAGATGGATGAAGGGGAATAGTGATGATGAATCTTTGTCTTGGCAAAAAAAAAGAAAGCTAAAAATGTCTTTGTATATCATGGCTACTGCTGAAATCCGTCAAAAGGGTTGGAAAAGGAAGGGCTTTTCAGAAAATCGCCAGCAAGTGACGAACTGCACAGAGTCAAGGAAACATTTAATCGAGGTAACTATTAGTGCAAATCATTGCTACTCATTCAGCTTTATATACTGACAATGTTTTCGTTGCCGTATTTTAGGTGATACCGTGGATTTGACGCAGCATGATATCAATGTCTCCGCCTCATTGCTTAAAGTGTTCTTCAAGGAATTACCCGACCCTCTCATTTCTCCGCAACTCTGCACAGATACCGGCAAACTTCCAGGTACAGTTAGCACAGTGAGACATATGCGCCATTATTTATGCATGCATAACAATATGTAACAAGGAGGAAAGATAAGAAGAAAACTCAGAGCAAAACACTTACTATACGGCGGAAAGACTCTATTATAGATGTGGAAGGAATCTCGGATGGTGATATCCAGCGTGTCAGGGATATTTTGAAGAAGGCATACGATGGGAAATCCAAGGAATACAACTTGTTGCGATATCTCTTTGCTTTTTTGAATACGGTCGTTAGTAAAGCGGATAAGAATCGGATGACATCACATAATTTGGCTGTAGTCTTTACTCCCAACTTGATCCGGGATAGCACAACGCAACCTGCCAATGTCCCCATCCCTGCTACTCAACAGGAAGCGATGGCAAATGCTGCATTGTATATGAAGCAAATGAATGAAGGAATGGGTTTGGTGCAGCTGTTGATTTCGCATAATGAGCGGATCTTTGGATAATAATTCGTAAATTTGGCTTTCCACACTTTAACATTTTACACTGATCCATTTTTCGCCTTCATTTATATATACTCACCTCTTCTTTCTCAACCATGTTTATGAAATGCGTGTATACTATTAGTTTATATTATCTCTTTTTTCTTTCAAATATAAATATATCTGTATATCATCATCATCATTTGGATCACCTACTAAGGCTTATCAAGGAGGAAAGCAAAATGCAAGCTTGATATCTCTGTCGCGTACAGGGCAATGAGTGTTTTCTGATTTGTTAGTGTATTCCTATAAGCTTCATCAGCTTATTTACATTATTGTATAGTATAGACAGCTATTACGCTAGCCGAGAACCACGTATGTGTGAATAGCAATTTGAGCTAATGTGCAGGATGGTAGAGATCATTGAAAGCGGTGCTACTATGGCAGCACGCGTGTATGATGCCACAGTATTCGATACTTCAGGTAATACTTCTTTTGGCCGCTTTTCCATAACCGGCTCGTCATTAATAGGCTAATAATAACCTGTCCGTTGATGCAGAGCTCCGTTACGATTAGATCATAGTCGGATTTTGTTTGATTGTCTTCATGCCTCGCAGAAAGGTTCGACTGCCAACATAAGTTAATCTTTGCAATCAAATTGGGGGGAACGGTAGTAGCAGCCAGCTACAGTAACCTATGCTGTGATCAAAGCACAAGGCATCTTCATTTTTAAGTGAAAAACAATTTTTTTTCTAAGTACAAAAAAATCTATAATCAAGGTTGTTGTGGGATGGATAAGCATGCATGTGTGTGTGTGTGTGTGTGTGTGTGTTAAAAATTACGACGTATGATACAAAGAAAAAACGGATAGAAACAAGGAGAAAGAAAAAAGACAGAGACAGAGACAGACAGACAGAGAGAGAGAGGGCGAGAGCTGGAGAAGGTATAAATGATGTAGGATGGAGTAGCAGTAGCAGTAGCAGTAATAGTAGTGTTATGAGTGAGAACTTATTTACAAGGTACTAGGTAATCAACCACCCGACGAGCCTAAATTGCTCAAATTCTCGGCTTGACCATCCATTTTCTTGCTCAGCAATTTTTGTACTGCTCCGTATTTGAATACGCAGCGATCAATGCATACCGATTCACCCTTGTTCAGATCAGGTTCGTGGTAATGAGGTGGGATACACTTGGCACGGCAAGTGTCCATAATTCTAATAAACGAATTACCATGAGCACTTCAAGTATATCCAAATGTCGAAAGACTATTTGGTTTAAGGACACATTTGCACGTGCCGAGGTTTTGTTTAAGCAATTACCGTTGATACAAATCCATAAAAGCGTCAAACTCTTGTTCGGCACGGACCAGGTTCTCTGGGTTCGCATATGTTTGGGTGAAACTACCGCTCCATGTGCTCATGTTGGTTAACGGTGAAGTGAGTGAGTGTGTTTAGACGGGAGGGAAAACTGACAGCCCGAAGTTGTAAAGTCCAGAAAAGGAAGCCGAAAAAAGTGACTTGTTGTTGGGGTATAAATTGTTGTGTGGAGAGACATCATCTTGTCACCACTACCCCATCAAACTGATGGGGGTTGCTTGTGTGATCCACGAGTGGTTGTTTTGGAGATATATACCTTGGTTTTTCTGTAAGCAAATTACACAATCCCTGAGTAACAGTATAAAGTCTTTTATCTGATTTAGTGTATTACCGATGGTTTGGAAGGTATGAGTCAGTGGCGAGGCTGCTATATAGAAAGCATCAATAGCAAGAATTGTGTAACCTCGAATCATCACTGTGTGGCAACGAGTGTAGATGATTCTAAGAGGACTTACGAGCAATGACTATGTATACTTTGTGGTAGAAATAGGGCTAGATATTTGGAAGGTTTCTATTTTCCCGTCATTAAAAGGACCACAGTTTCTCTATATACATGAATCCGGGCGCTGTGGTAGGGCTCAATGGAGACATTTTTATGCCGTGAAGTGTGTTGAAACACACTTGTGTGGATACACAACAGCAGCAGCAGGCCAACCCCTCAAAAGATACAGAGGAAATGCCTCAATGTGCATAGAAATTGCAATAAGGTTTGACAAGATGCAAGATTAAAGATCTACTAAATCTATCAAAGTCCCTTCGGGCTAGTACTTTCATTTGCTCGAGATAGAGAAAGAGAAAGAAAGAGATGGTACATAGGATGACAAAAGGGATGACTTGTTTGTTATTATTATTATTATTAAGTTTACAGCCGGCGCAAACATATATAAAAGAGAAGGAAAACTAATTCGCTAGCTAAGGACAACAGCAACAAAAAAGAAAGGATAAAAATCCTGTTGGAAATCCGGGGATTATTAGAGGGATGTAGTATATGACCTGTGCACAGAAAGAGAGAGAGAGAGAGAGAGAGAGAGAGAGAGTGTGTGTGTGTGTGTGCGTGTCTCGAGCAATCTATTGTAAATATAAAGAGAGAGATGATATGTACATGTGTGGGAAAGAAACCAAAACAAAAAAGATTAGATCAAAATATGATATCCACACGCTAGCGTCCTAGAAGATAATAAGCTTGGAAACAAGGTAAAAGGTTGCGGGTTAGAAGGGGGTAATTGCGGACAAAAAAAAAAGAAGAGGTATGCATAAATAAGATGTGCCGAGTGTGCAATGTGCTGGAACATGTGACCCCACGCGACCGCGTAAGAAAAGGAGGCGTGAGAGCAACATGAAAAAGGGCACTATGCAATGTATGGTATCCAGTCGCGTTGGAGCAGCTTGTCAAAATGTCGGATCGTCTTTTGCTCCTCATCATCGCCACCATCCACAGCCTCTTGCATTTCAGCCCCTTCTTCTTCTTCTTCTTCTTCCTCCAACACCGTTGTTGTCGTCACAGTGGCATGATTACTTTCCGATGACGATGCCGCTGCTGCCGCTAATGCCTCTTCTGCTGCGAGTGTACTACTACGTCGTCTATTACCAGATCCACCACTACCTTCTCGCCATTTAGGTCCATTTGATGATGCTGCTGACACTGTTAGCGGTGGTTTGTCGCCTGTACTGCTATTATTGACGATATTGCTGCTACTGCTGTTGCTGTTGCTACTACTGGTTGCACTACTCGCACTGCTGCTAGAGATCGATGTCCGTTTCGTTCGTTCATAGCACGGATGCTGCTGTACCAAATTGATGTAATACTGCTGCAAGACCGGCCCCGAACTTGACAAGTTCCAATCAATGAGTCGCAAAAATTCGAGCTCGAGGGCATTGAGTTCCTGCGTCGAGATACCGCCGACTTTGGCATAGTGTGAATTGGTACAATACGAGTCGCAGAGGGATTTGGAGGATACGGTCACGGCAGTGATAAGGAATCGATGGACGGTCAGTGACGATATCGTGAACTGAGGGTGCAGTTCACACACGCGGTCAATATAGATCAGCAGAACGAGTAAACACGCCTTTTCGACAGAGGCGTATTTGACAATGCGTCGTAAGTAGTCATTGAGTGAAATGTTGGGTGGTGTTCGAGAGTGGAATCGTGTCAAGTTGCTTGGTGTCAGCGGTATAAGATCATTGTGGGATATGAGTCGGCCGAGCATGTCCGCTTATTTTTTTTTTCAGGTTTTCAAATGAATAGAAAGAGTGAGAGTATTTAACGGTTCAGTTAGAGAAGAAAGAGTGAAGACAAAAAAGTGAGAAAGGAAAAAAGCAGCATTTACCAATCATGTGTGTCAAGTAGCTAATGTCCACCGCATAAAAGTATTCTGGCACTTGAATGACTTCAGTGTCGTTCATGGCCGTGGTTGATGGTTCAGTTGCCATGACATTGACCACAACAGAAAGAAAGGGAGAAAAGAGGAAAGGGCAGTCTTATTTTTTCTGTGTTGTTTCTTTTGGTTCTGGTGTTTTTTCACCCAAAAGCAACCCTCACCAAGAGAAAGTCCGCCTTTGCCCTCTTTGCCACGTTGGTTTCCTGTGTTCCTCTTTTACTTTTTCTGTACTTCTTGGAAGGGGCAAATAAAGTGTATGCAGCAAAACAAGCATGTGCACATAGCCGATTGGCAACAAAGATTTACTATAGACAGTAAGCCGAAAAAACTCATGCGCATAATCCAGGATCATTATCGCCACCAGGTGACTAGCACCTCTGGCAATACATGCCCTCGTTGTTACCACTCGATGGAAGTGAGCTGGTGTTGCTGTGAGCAAAAGACGCGTGGAATCACGAACAAGGTCGACCCGAACAGGAGCATGGTTGAGAGCATTCGTGAAGCCTTGCATCGTCAAGGACGCTTGCCCTCGTTTGCTTATTCACACGGAGAGAGACCACGTTCACTGGTTTGGCTGACTTTTTTCTTTTTTCCTCTTTGGATTTGACTTCCAGACAGGCCCCCACCCGTCGAATAAGAAACAAGTCCCAGCAGCCCTTCTGTCTCCCATTTTATTTGTTGGGCAAAATGGGGTCCTTTTTATAATTGAGAACAGCAGTTCGAGCAGGAGAATATAACAAATAAAGTAATAAGACGGGCCTCTTATAACCGGAATCCGATAACAAAGGCCTGCCCTGAAAATCTTCCGGGCCTAACGGGCGATGGAGCTCTGATTGGATGGTATATTTCTAGATGTGATGATGTTATAGACCAGTCGGTGTTTTTTTGGGGTCGGCTTGAAGAGTGTATGGTCTGAATTGGGAAAGTTACTCGGGCCGCCGCCGACAACGACGAGCGACGACGATGATGATCTGTGACAGAGAGGAGAAGGAAAAATAAAGGTAAAAACATATAAAAGCCTGGTCAGCTTTTGTTGGGCGCGCCCTTCTTTTCCCGATTCGCCCCACTACTTTTTAAAAGTTGTCTCATGTGTAATATTGATCCTTCTTATCATCACTTCATCGAGGCAATATCACATTAAGCGTTCTGTAAAGTGGCCGCAGGCGGGAATTCTTTCCTTCTGTCTTCGCTTTCCACATTTTAACGAATAGGCAAGTTATGAACAGTTCTCCTCCCATACCGAAATTGAGATACAATACTCTTATGATTTGCAGAAGATATTCGCACCCAAACAAGTACTTGTTTCCATGTTTTGTAACATTTTAACTCTCACTGTAAGCGGGTTTGGTATCAATTGACAACATATTTAGCTTTACAAAAAAAAGTATCATGCTCCGGAAGAACATATAATAGTAAGGCGCTGATATCTTACATGACCTGAGCCTAGCCCTATGATAAGAGATATAACTACTTTATGAAACGCTCTCATTTGCCGTACGACACAACAAATATAGCATAACAGCTGAAAGAAGAAATGGTAGGGAACAATGATGGTTGCCCTCATTCTTGGTTTTAAGGATGCTGTTCAGAAGGTACGAATCATGGCGCACTTTGCATTTGTTACTCTTTTTGTAAGATTACACTTGTAGCCCAGGTGCATCGATGCGGATTTGCTGAGAAGCTGTGCCAGTATTGAAGACAAAATGTGCAGCTGCTCCTGGGGAAGCAATACCTGGTAGTATTGAGCAAATTTCACTAATATTGCGTATCATAGCATTGGAGTTACTGTGTCAACGTACAAGATATAAAAGAATGACTCATTCTTCCATCAACGTAGCAGCGGCACTACTGTGCAATGGTAAAGAGGTCGGTCTATTGGCATATTACTTTTATAACTGATTGATTGCAAGAATGCCAACTATTAAAAGATGTTTATGAGCCTCAAGATGATAACTTGAAGAATTGTCTTTGCCGCAACGCTTAAACGCAATGTGAATCCCTACAGTATGCGCACTTCCAGCTAACATTACTCACAGTTAGCAAACTCATATTTTTTTTTCTTATTCGCCTCTTACCCAGCTCGCCCACTGTGGGAATATGGAGAATTGGAATTTGAGAATGAGAAAAACCATTTGTGGAGTTGAGTAAAGGATAATTGTAGAGGATCGCTACAAGCGCTGCAAATTTCATTCCATATACCGGAGTTTGTTCTCCATCGACATTGACTGCTTTGCAGACGATCACAGTGGCAACTATATTGTTCGTTGCAACTGTCTCCATTGTGCAATCTGGAACAAAATTAATGATCTCGCAGCAAATCTGAACATATATCATCTTCTTGAACGAGCCCTTGAGCTCCCTCCTCGCTTCGCATGAAGAAGTCTTACATCAATATTAAACATGTACATACAAGTTTAACGGGTGAAAAGTTAAAAGAAACAATTTTTATTTGGTACATTTAACTACTAATTACTAATAGGGTGTCGATGTCTTAGCTTCTCTGCTCTTACGCAGATACTAACAGGAGCAACCACGGGAAGGTGCATCGACATCTGCTCCCGTAACCCTCTCACCACAAAGCTAGGGTCTTGTCTTGGTCGCTTTGTGGATCACGGAAGGTCGATTGGTATTGAGATGCCCAGTCCGGTCTCACCAATCGCGATCACTTACCTACCTATTTATACAGTAAGTCGCTCCGTGTCAAAACAAGCATCAGCACCCACCCCTACACTTACCTACCCTCACTCACACTCACTCACATTCACACACACAGAAAAAAAGGAAGGGACTTACCATACGTGATCGAAAAGAGAAGAGAAAAAGCGATGAGTCTAGCCTTGAGAGTCGATGTTGAGAGTCGATTGCCGAGAGTCGATTGCCGAGAGTCGAACGCGATCCCCAGTGTCACCCTTGGCTCTTCCCTTGGTCCTGGTGTTGCTCCGTTGCGCCTGTCCAACCCTTATTTCCGGTAATCCTGGCTGCCTCCAACTGGTCCCTGCTTGGTTTGTCCAGTCTCGCGTTCAACGGTGTTGGTCACAACCGGTCTCCTAGTGGACCAGAGGACGGAGGAATCCTTTTCGGTTTCTCGCCATAGAAATATGGTAGTGTCCTTTTGGTTGGATGCCTTGTCTCCCGGTCTGGTCTACTATGGTGGGAAAAACCTAACTTATACAGTAAGTCGCTCCGTGTCAAAACAAGCATCAGCACCCACCCCTACACTTACCTACCCTCACTCACACTCACTCACATTCACACACACAGAAAAAAAGGAAGGGACTTACCATACGTGATCGAAAAGAGAAGAGAAAAAGCGATGAGTCTAGCCTTGAGAGTCGATGTTGAGAGTCGATTGCCGAGAGTCGATTGCCGAGAGTCGATTGCCGAGAGTCGATTGCCGAGAGTCGATTGCCGAGAGTCGAACGCGATCCCCACCATAGTAGACCAGACCGGGAACAAGGCATCCAACCAAAAGGACACTACCATATTTCTATGGCGAGAAACCGAAAAAGGATTCCTCCGTCCTCTGGTCTCACTAGGAGACCGGTTGTGACCAACACCGTTGAACGCGAGACTGGACAAACCAAAGCAGGGACCAGTTGGAGGCAGCCAGGATTACCGGAAGTAAGGGTTGGACAGGCGCAACGGAGGCAACACCAGGACCAAGGGAAGAGCCAAGGGAAGAGCCAAGAGAAAGACCAGGAGGAACCAAGGGAGTGAAGGAAAAAGAAAAATGAAGGAAAGAAAGAGTGAAGAGAAAAAACGAAATGGCTTGAAAAATGTGGGCGTATTTATATCTTTTGGTATCATCAACCCCTACAATTCATGGAAAGCAGTGCGCAGCGCACACACGCCCACATGATTATGATAGACTGGCAACTTGCGGTCCAGGCTGTTCAAGGACTCCCTAATACCATTTCCTGAACTTGCTGTTTCATGCTGCTGCTAGCCTTGTCGCGTAAACGGGTCTCGCGTTCAGCGTGGCGTGCACTATAATATATCAGAAATGCCATTTTTTGAAAGAGGTGTGTTTCAAAATATTGTAACGACTTGACGTTTGGATGATATCAACACACCCTCTCCTTTTCTTCAACGATGCTGATGCTCGGCAGAAAAGAAAAGGGGATGTTTTGCTCGCACAAGGCACCATAAGGTCCAGCCTACGATTTTCACATGAGAGACTCCCAGCACTCCGTCTCCCAAGTAGACATCGATTCTCACGCAATTATCGGTTGCCGATCCTCCAAGCCCGCAATGATGGATGTGGACAGCTTAAACTAAACTGTCAAGGGCAGACTATAGAGCAGCATGGCTGTTTTCAGCATAGTATGCGCGTCATCCTAGAACTACTATTATCGATACAGGCTGCTTCTTCAGGTTGATAGTGCTGTTGGGTTTGCTCATTTTATCATCCACCTCCCTTAGCAGTAGCGACACAAAGCCAATCAGACGTGGTGTTTACTTCCTCGGCGTGTGTACGGGTGATGTATGATACATGTGAAAAAATAACAAAACAAAACAAAAAACAGGTTTCGGCTGGTACCCTCCGAATAATTTTTTTCCTTTCGATTATTTTTGCGAACGAACTACGCGAAGATAGAAACAAAAAAAAATAGGTGAAAAACGCGTACCAAAGTGTGGTAAAGCGCGTTGTAATAGTGTTACATACTGTCGCTACGATACAGAAGATCTGTCATTGTTCCCCGCGTTGTTAGCACGGACCTGTAGATGGGAGTGGGGGGGGTTTTTAAAAAGAAGCGGGGTCTTGAACGTGTGCATGAAAAGGCACCCATTTTCCGCAGCGTGCTGCTTCCTCGCTTTTTCTCGATCACATGTGGTAAGTCCCTTCCTTTTTTTTCAGTGTGTGTGAGTGTGAGTGAGGGTAGGTAAGCGCAAGGGTGGGTGCTGATGCTTGTTTTGTAGGCACGGGGCGACTTCTAAGTAGGTAAGTGGATTGGTGAGACCGCTGGCATCTCAATACCGATCGGTCCCTCCGAGATCCATAAAGCGACCAAGACAGAACCCAGCTTTGTGGTAGAGGGTTCGGGAGCAGATGCCGATGCACCTTCCCGCAAAGCTAAGACATCGACACACTCGTTTTTGGACGAGCCTCTTTAGGAATTTGACCAATTTAAATAAAGGCCTTGTTGTTGTTGTCCCCCGTCTATCAAACATGTGCTGTTTGTTATTGTATTAGCAATACTTATCAAGTAAAAGGAAAAACACAAGGACGAAGCTGATCTTTAAAGCAAACTTCCTTGTAAACGGATTTTCTATACTGTCCCTCGTCTTTAAAAGTATCAATAACAACCGAAAACCAGCTAGCATTGACAAAAAAAACCTTGCTGGCATAGCAAGCATGAGTTTGTGGGATCGAATGACAGCCCAGCGAGTACTCGTACAACGAGGATCATAAGAACAAGGGAAGTTGTTAGCTGTGCAATGTCAATATAAGTTGTCGATGGAATTATTCATTAGCTTGATACTCCACTCTAGCTTTTCCTAGCGATATTATCCAAAAACGAGCATGAAGATCGTAGTCAAATCCAAGCATAAGTACCGTGATTATTATCCTTGAGTGCATATAGCTGATTTTGCCGGACCAACCGATGGCATAAAGCGTATGTATAGCTCAGGTGGTGCAGGTATCAGCAACATTACTACATCGTGGTATCCTAAATTTACAACACTAACAGAAAACTCCTTCACGCAAAGCGAGCTTGACGAGTGACCGTCTAAACCAGCTCTACCTAATGCACGACGCGTGTAATATAATAGTCTCTCTTCTATATCTCCTATAAACTACAAAGGTATTGTTCCCGCAAACGGATAGTTCCTCTAACTCAACGTCATTCACGAATCGGATATGTCATAAGGAGAAGAAATCATCAAGATTTCTATCGGAATGATCTATGTGATACATGAATATACTACTACTGCCTGCCATTAGTATAACACGAATTATTCACACGCCGGCCGGGAATGATGCCAGTTGTAAAATATCGCAAATTAACTGACAGAAATCAGTCGCGATTCACGCGAGATAAAAAGTTCATTCGTTGCCACAGAAACCAAATCTCCACTGCAGCCAGCACCACTGCCAAAATCGCTGGTGCCAAGTCAAAGAGACAACAAGACCGCTTAGTTCAACAGAACAGATCAGTAACACTTGGATTCTGTTATGTAACAAACGTTTGTCACAATCGATCGAGAAACAACACCCGCAAAAGAAACATAGTATTGTAGCATACATAAAATAAATGTTCATGTCTCCTCAATAACATGCATGTCAGAGAGAGGCAGACACACGATGATTACCGCGTATGTTTGTTGTTGATGATCGATGTTGGTTATCTCTGTGGTTATTTGTATCGTTAGGATATGCTAGAGTATTATCGAAAATGTCCGTCTCCACGATATGTCAGGTACTACCTATTTTCTGCAGAAATCATCTTCTTCTGCCTGTTTCTGTCTCTCTTCACATGCCACATTTTCTATCATTATGCGATCAATGACGATTTCGCAACCTTACCCACAAAGTCCGACTTGCCAAAAAGAAAGCAGCCGGTAGCAAAACAGAGATACAGCAGAATCATGTAGAACGAGAAAGAAGAGAAGAAACGGTAACTCCCTTTTGTGGTAGTGCCCTTGATCACCATTGTCGTCATGAGGGCTGAAATATGTGTGTGCCTTGTGCCCCAAATGGGTAGGACAGAAAACCCTGCTGTGTTGCTCGTGTGTGTGTGTGTGTGTAGCAATCCACAATATGATATGCGTACTATTAGCTGAGAAGATTATAGTTTTTGAAAAGCTGTCTAATCTTAAAATGCTCACCCGTGTACTCGTGTCCCACTTTGAACGATGAAGACACTTTTTCCTTGTGATGGTGTGTGTGGCAGGCAAGTCTCGCCACGAACCAACATAAAAGACAAATCGGGCGTCAATGCGCATAGATGCGGAGGACGGTGGAGAGGGAGGAGAGAGCGGGAATAACTGCGATGCTGCATACTTGAAGAGGAGATATCAGAAATGATGGATGATGGAGATGGACAATCTTGTCTACGCTTCTTTCTGAGGCGTGTAGAATCGTCAGCAGCAAGATAGGATGTCCCAGATGGATGAAATGGCATCTCTATCTTAACCTTATCTTTTAACGGCGGCGTGGGGTCTCTCTCATGCTGTTTTGGCCTGTTTTCCGCGCAGCCGGGGGGGAACACACACACACACACACGCTCTCTCTCTCTCTGTGTCTCCTGTTTGGCAAATAATGTGTATGCAGCAAAACAAGCATGTACACATAGCCGATTGGCAACAAAGATTTACTATAGACAGTAAGCCGAAAAAACTCATGCGCATAATCCAGGATCATTATCGCCACCAGGTGACTAGCACCTCTGGCAATACATGCCCTCGTTGTTACCACTCGATGGAAGTGAGCTGGCGTTGCTGTGAGCAAAAGACGCGTGGAATCACGAACAAGGTCGACCCGAACAGGAGCATGGTTGAGAGCATACGTGAAGCCTTGCATCGCCAAGGACGCTTGCCCTCGTTTGCTTATTCACACGGAGAGAGACCACGTTCACTGGTTTGGCTGACTTTTTTCTTTTTTCCTCTTTGGATTTGACTTCCAGACAGGCCCCCACCCGTCGAATAAGAAACAAGTCCCAGCAGCCCTTCTGTCTCCCATTTTATTTGTTGGGCAAAATGGGGTCCTTTTTATAATTGAGAACAGCAGTTCGAGCAGGAGAATATAACAAATAAAGTAATAAGACGGACCTCTTATAACCGGAATCCGATAACAAAGGCCTGCCCTGAAAATCTTCCGGGCCTAACGGGCGATGGAGCTCTGATTGGATGGTATATTTCTAGATGTGATGATGTTATAGACCAGTCGGTGTTTTTTTGGGGTCGGCTTGAAGAACGATTTAGGGGGGGTTGGTAGGCCCACAAATTGAAACGCGAAAAAAATGCCCGTCCGTGTATGGTCTGAATTGGGAAAATTACTCGGGCCGCCGCCGACAACGACGAGCGACGACGATGATGATCTGTGACAGAGAGGAGAAGGAAAAATAAAAGTAAAAACATATAAAAGCCTGGTCAGCTTTTGTTGGGCGCGCCCTTCTTTTCCCGATTCGCCCCACTACTTTTTTCCTCTTCTCCCTAAACAAAAAATGGTTCAAAACATTGAGCAGCACGCCATCAATACCGTCCGTGTCCTTGCCGCCGACGTTGTCCGCGGTGCCAACTCTGGCCATCCTGGTGAGTTGAACTTCTTTACGAGAAAGGACGCGTATTGTTTTTTGTTCTTTATTTTCGGGCTGAGATGACTCATCGATCAAAAAATATCGCTGCCATAGGTGCCCCTATGGGTTGCGCTCCCATGGCCCACGTCTTGTTCGGCAAGGAGATGACCTTCAACCCCAAGAACCCTGCGTTCATCAACCGTGATCGTTTCGTCTTGTCCAACGGCCACGGCTGTGCCTTGCAGTACATCTACTTGCACTTGTTGGGCTACGATGTCTCCTTGGAGGACTTGAAGTTGTTCCGTCAAGTCGGCAGCAAGTACGTTTCTCACTGTTGTATTACTTGTGCTCGTTCTTTGTTGCCACGCGCACCTAATCATTGTATCTGTGTTCGCATAGGACTCCTGGTCACCCTGAACTTCACGATACCCCCGGTATTGAAGTTACCACTGGTCCCCTTGGCCAAGGTAAGATAACGGCTGCTGCTACTGCTTGATGACGAATTCGGGTGGCGGGGGAAGAAGAAGGTCTGTAGTAACAATATTGCATACACCAGGTATCTCCAACGCTGTTGGTTTGGCTGCTGCTGAGGCTCAGTTGGCTGCTACCTACAACCGCCCCGGCTTTGAGCTCTTCAACAACTACACCTACACCATCCTCGGTGACGGCTGTCTTCAGGAAGGTGTTGCCGCTGAGGCCGTTTCCCTTGCTGGGTAAGTTTGTTATCGGTGGAGTAAAGAGAGAGAGAGAGAGAGAGAGTCACATGACGAAATATGGCAATCAATAAAATGAAAAAGGAAAGGGGCTTTGGAAGGGATCAGAAAAGGATATTGGCAACAGGATTGTAATACTGACTTGCTTGTAACGATAGCCACTGGAAGCTCGGCAAGCTCATTGCTTTGTACGATGACAACGCCATCACCATTGACGGTGACACTGCTGTCTCGTTCACCGAAGACGTGTTGAAGCGCTTCGAGTCGTACGGCTGGCACACCGTGTACGTCGCTGACGGCGACAGCGACATTGCCAGCATCGAGGCTGCTATTGCCGAGGCCAAGGCTGTCACCGATAAGCCCACCCTCATCAAGGTCAAGACCACCATCGGTAAGGTTTTTTGTTCCTGGTCTAAGCTGTCAACCTTATTGACAGGAATGGCGTCATGGAAAAAAAAAGTGCATAGTGAACGTTGCGGAGTTCTTACTGATATCATTCTATGATCTGTGTTCGCGTATACCGTGTATCTAGGTTACGGTTCCTTGTTGCAGGGCGAAGAAAAGGTCCACGGTGCTCCTTTGACCGGTAAGCTTAATACGGAGCATATAATGAACAGAACAGTGTGGAAGCACAGTAGTTGATTGCGGCTGGCTGGCTGACTTTATTTCTTTGCCGACCCCACCCCCCCTTCGTGAACGTTCTTAGTTGATGACATCAAGCAGGTCAAGGAAAAGTTTGGCTTCAACCCCGACGAGAAATACGTTGTTCCCAAAGAGGTATAGTGCAATCAACCGTCTGATCTTTTAGTTGCTGGATTCGCTTGCATTAACTTTATCATTGTCGCCATCCACTTTCTGTCAATGACTGCTAGGTCTACGAGTTCTACGGTGCCCGCGCTGCCGCCGGTGCTGCTGCCGAGACCGAATGGAACGCCTTGCTCGAAAAGTACGTCCAGCAGTTCCCTACCGAAGGTGCTGACCTCAAGCGTCGTCTTGCTGGCCAGTTGCCCGAGGGCTGGGAGGCTGCCCTTCCCCGCTTCACTCCTGCTGATGCTGCCGTCGCCACCCGCAAGTTGTCCGAGGGTGTCTTGACTGCTCTTGCCGACAAGGTCCCTGAAATGCTCGGTGGTTCCGCTGATCTGACTGGCTCCAACTTGACCCGTTGGAAGCAGGCTGTCGACTTCCAGCACGTAAGTTGTCTCTTTCTTTGCTTGCCATCTCTTGTCTATCCTTAGCAGCATGTAAGCAAAGTATTCACTCTCTTATTGCTATCCAGCCCTCGACCGGCCTTGGTGACTACACCGGCCGCTACTTCCGCTATGGTGTCCGTGAACACGCCATGTTTGCTGTCATGAACGGCTTGGCCGCCTATGGCGTCAACATCATCCCCTACGGTGGCACCTTCTTGAACTTCTTGACCTACGGTTGGGGTGCTGCCCGTCTCTCTGCCTTGTCGCACTTGCGCGTCATCTATGTCATGACCCACGACTCCATTGGTCTTGGTGAAGACGGCCCTACCCATCAGCCTATCGAGACCCTTGCCCTCACGCGTGCCACCCCCAACATGCTTACCTTCCGCCCTGCTGACGGTAACGAAACCTCGGGTGTCTATTTGGCTGCATTGACCACCGACCGTCCCTCGATCGTCGCTCTCTCGCGTCAGAACTTGCCCCAACTCGAAGGCTCCACCGTCGAAGCCGTCCTCAAGGGTGCTTACGTCTTGCAGGATGCTGCTGACGCCAAGGTTGCCTTGGTCGCCACTGGCTCTGAAGTCTCGCTTGCCGTTGAGGCTGCCAAGTTGTTGGCTGGCCAGGGTATCGGTGCCCGCGTTGTCTCCATGCCCTGCTCTGAACTGTTCGATGAACAGCCCTCTGAATACCGCAAGTCGGTTTTGCCCGCCAACTTGCCCGCCATTGCCATTGAAGCCCTTGGCACCTTTGGCTGGGAGAAGTACTCGCACGCTCAAATCGGTATGACCTCGTTCGGTGCTTCCGGCCCTGCTCCCAAGCTCTACGCCAAGTTCGGCATCACTGCTGAGGCCACTGCTGCCAAGGCCCAGGCTGTCATTGCCCACTATGCCAAGGTCGGCTATGTCCCTGAGCTCGGTGTTGAGTTCTAAGCACATCGCCTCTTTCCTTTCTCTCATTTGCATGCTCATCAAAAAACCGACTCTTTCCATGACCGTGTTACACATATAAATCTCCTAACCTGTGCTCAGTTTGTATAATTTTCTTTTCTTACCTTTACTCCCATTCCTTCTTCTTCCTCTGTAAAAGGGTGCATGTACCATAATCCATACAAAAAATAAATGAAAAAGGCAGTGTTTTTATTGCTACAGGGAATACCAAAATACTGATAGAGGATGTAATATGCGGAGTGTTGTGTATATTATGCTTGTGCGAGAATGGAAGAAAGAAAGGGAGGGGGTGGTGGTGAGAATAACAAGTGATATATGCGATTGTTCTATATTTATAAATTACCAAATAATTATATTGCTTTACTTCGCAGTGGATTCTCCGTTGTCGTTGTCGTCGTCATCGTCGTCCTCTTCTTCGCGTATCGGCATCAGTTTTGACTGGCTGCTGCTGTTGGCACTATTGCCTAGAGTGTCCATTGCCAGGACTGTGGCATTATCCGTCGGCAACGTACCCAGTGTCCGCTTGACCCATTCGCTCTCCATACGAAATATGACCCACACCCAACGACGGATCACCTCCAACAGTTCCATCATAAAGATACTGCCTTCCAACCGCTTGACGTACAAATGCGAACTGAGCTTGAGACTCCACGTCGTTCGGAGAATCAGATCAATGACCATGGCTGCAAAGTACGGGCCTGCGTCGTTGAAATGCAGATGCCGTCTGAACCGTACAATAGGCATTGTGTAGTGTAGATAATGATGCTGGTGCGCGTGGTTAGTCATCATGGCCGTTCGTGACGATGTTGCAACGTTGATCAAGTTCCAATCCACTGAAATATCCCACCAGAAGGAGTACATGGAGTTGAAAAATACAAAAATGATCCTATCCCCATCTTTCTTTTTCAGTATGTCATCCAACCAATCTGATCCCAGTTATCCTTACCAGAGTCGGAACAGGTTGGTGTCACTGACCCACCACGTACTTGGTACTGATCCAGTCGCAGCAACCCATCGATCGGCTTTCTTTTGAGATGCTGAAATAAGAATGACAGGGAATGCTGATGCGTATTTGAGCGCGTTCCACAAATGCCGTTTACATTCCCCACCGGAATCGATATATTCAGATAAACATTGTCGCAGGCGAATCACATAAGGCAGACTATACAGCAAATGTATCAGAGCATGCAAATTTGAGGCGGTCTATATGCAGTTTAGATGTATGTATACCTAATCAATAGTGGAACAAGTACATCCCGATAGCATGGATTGTCCTCGGTCGTTGCTGAGCAACACGTTGAAAATAGATCACCAAACACGTTTGAAAAGCTCGTTAGAATATCGGCCAGAATAACATCGCCAAAATAGACTGGAGAAAACAGGTTGAACGATACGATCCGTCGTAATACTCTATTGCATACGGGCATCTTGAGTGAATATCCTCATCGTCCGGTTTCTCATTTGCGTTATTATCCCAGCACATACCTGAGAAACCGTTCACGTTCTTTGCGACACAGATTTTTTCCAGGCCACAAGATCAGCAAAATAGCAAACACGTAGCAGAGAATAGGCGTCCAGTGCCAAGGAGCGATCCAATACCACCAGACATTGCAAATTATGATCGTTGTGACAATGCCAGCCAAGGCAAACACGGGTTTATGAATAGGCGAGTTTTTCTCGACGGGATGGATCTGTAATAGTTGTGCGGGATCAACTTGCTGTTTGTTGAGGAGGTATAGATTAAGGCCCCAGCCCCACAGGCCAATGCAAAAGATGACGATCGGTCGGTAGGTTGCTGCAGGTAATATATTCTCTAGTATAGAACTGTGTTGCATTGCTGTCGCTGTTCCTGAACCACCACCATCTGTATCCATGACAGGCAGGGGATTTCTTTTTGCTTTAAGGTACTAAATTTTGGTAGTCGTGGCTACTGTTGCTATGGCTATACCCTGGAGAGGTTCTGTTAAAAGAAGAAAAAGGAGAGGGATTGGTCTGGGGCGTAGAGTGTTTTTTTTTAAAATGAGGCACGAAGATAAAAACTGGTTAAGAAAAAGAGGACAGGAATGTAATAGACTGGACTGAACTTGAAATTAAACCCTAAAGCTTCGTGTTCGTCGATCACTTTCTGTTCTTCCCATTCGCGGTGCAGAGCTCAAAGTCAAGTAGAGCTGTATCCACTACGTCTTACCTACTATTGACCGACGTTCTATTTCAACTTTTACCAGACTAACTTTTCACCTGTATATGCATTTAGCAGAGAATAAATTGTACTACGATGATGTCTCTGCATAGAAACTGTCACGAACAATAAACGTAGGAATTGGGCACAACATGCTACTAATAAAGTTTTATCTCGACTTGATTACAGTATATGCGCCATCAATCTTTTCATCTAGATATATATTTCGGCTATCTTCCTCGGTCTTAACACACTGCTAGCAATGAATTTACTACAACAATCATGTATTATTTGGCGTATTGTTCGAGGTATGTATGCTACCTTTTGCATTCTGCTCATGGATCCCTTCATTAACTCGCTTTTGCTACTACTTACTACTTGATACCATTATGCCTTGCCACAGCCAGTTTCAAAGAAGTTCTGGATGCTTTCGCGTGCTTGACCGCCTCTTCCGGTTAGAAATGTGGCTGGCTATTACAAGCTATTTTGATTATCACCGGTAAATACAAAGTATTACAGTTGTACCCCGGTTTTTGCAACCGAGGGTTTTCCGATTTTTTTTTTTGCAAAAAGTGAGGATTTGCAAGTAACGGGGTAAACAATTCTGCTTCAAATAGACACTGGATAAGTCATCCTATATACACTAACCCATTGTTTATCTGTTAGAGATGATGTACGATACGTTCTGTGGGGATTTCACACAGCTCTAAATGTTACTACTTGCATATATAAGACCGTTCTTTTATTGAAGCTGTCTAGTGCAGTAACCGTATCATTTTATTCCTCGATAATACGCAACAGATGCTTCTTTCAGTTGATATTGAAAAAATTGAAGCTGTTTTTAACCCGATAACGTGCAAATCGTATAAACTCATTTGCAAGTTGCAAATTTGCGAAACTGCTAAGTTTTTTTGAATTTTTTTAAAAAAAAAGTTGCAGATATACGAGGAATTGCAAACCCAGGGGTTGCAAAAACCGGGGTGCAACTGTAACAACATTTACAAACATACAGTCAGATCATATGCAGAAAGAATACTGTGGATGAAACGGCACTTGAGTATTTCAGGCTACACATGCGTACTGTCCACGTCGTTTCCTGCGGCCACGGCCACATATTCTATCCTTTTCTTTTGTGCTTATGTAAGAAGTGAAAATTAGCATGGAAGGGGGGGATTGATATGGCGTCAGCGTTATGAAGACCGACGTGATTTGCTTGCTAGGAACAACTTTTCCGTATCCATTTTTTCAATATGACTTTATAGACAGACAAACCTCAGTAAGAGCACAGAGCTATATCAAAAGCGAAACCGATGATATGATCACTATTTGAACAGCCATTGTCTCGAGTCTAATTTTCTCCAGAATATCAAAAGGAAATCTGTGATCGGCACGCATACCAGAGTCCGCCATGAATATGTCTACTTGTAGACCATATCAGTGGATATACTGTGGCGCGTTTGTGAACGAATGCTCACAAGATAACAATGGTAATGTATCTCGTATCCCTTTTGTTCCGACTGCCGAAGATTTTGTCTTTGGTGTAGCCTCCTTGAGGTTGCAACCATACTGTAAAATCTTCTCGTCCTGGCAATATGTGTCGCCAATTCCTCCTTTATCTAATGGAACATATAATGCCTGTAAGCATGGTTTATACCTGAGCGCTGTTGTTGTATGTACTGCTCGTATGTATTAGTTTGCATCTACTCATGCTACTACATAGAATATCAACCAATTCCTTCCTACAGCCACTCTCTTCTATATTTGACATTTGCATTTGTATCTTTCCGTATATCCCTCCCTATGAGTAAATCCTATTTGTTGACACATGATTCAGCATCAGCAGTTTTGAAATGATTTTCTTTTCGACTTGAGGCTGACACGTGTGTCTGGCTGCATAATGTCGAACAGAATATTTATATTCGAGAAGGGATCGTCGCCATCTTTCGCACTCGCTCGGCGCCTTGTTGCACCTAGTTTTAGCTACTATGCATGCAAGATAATTGTATGCATGCTCAGCTCTTGTTGTTTTTCAGGGAGCAATAAAAATGCCTAATGAAACACATGTATAAACTTCGCTGTGTGATCGCCATGGTGCGTCTTATATATGCAGCAATATATTATTATTAGTACCTAGAGCAGCTGTTTTATTGTTGAACTTATTGAGAGGTATAAACATAATGATTGGATAGTAGAGGTGCGTATGTGAAATGCGAACTTTTTTGGTTATATACAAAGGAGCGAGAGGAGGAACATAAAATACCAGAGTGAGAAAAATGCTATCTTGGATCAACTCTACTACTACTGCTGTTGCTGCTGCTGCTGCTGCTCGACACTTTAGTTGAGGTGAGTGGGGGCAGTTTGACATTTGCCATGCGGGAATCTGTCGAAGGGGCGGTAAAAGTATCAGATATATGAGATAGCGAGATGCGGCGGCGTTTAGTGTCGCCCCCTTCGTCAGCACCGTCTTTATCTTTTATGTGCTGTGTACTTGGTTGTTGCAGCAACGTGGGAAAGGTATCGGCCATGCGAGGCAGCTTATTATTACTACTGCTGCTGTTGTTGCTATCATAAAGATCGCTAGTACTACTGTCGTTGTCGTTGGAATTATTACGGACTGATGGTGCTGCGTCCCTGCTGCTGCTCCTATTGCTGATACTTCCAGAATTCGGGTCTCGGGGCAGCACCCGAAATTCATGGTCGGTATAGTCGTATAGTGAGGGCACTTTGTCTTTGAGATGTGGTGACAGAGTTGTGATCGTCTGGCATTGTCCTTGTAAGTGATCTACTATTTACATGATAAATTAATTAGAGAGAGTTAAAAAAGAGCACTAGCTCCTCTTATTTACTCCCTCATTTACATTCCCACCTACGTAATACCTATCCCTCTTCCTTTCCCAGATGTTGTTTTCTCAGCCCTTACTCTTTTCCATGTGTTCTTGGCTAACTTTTGCTATATAAATGTGTTTCCTTTTCTTTTAATACAACGTTTCTAACGGGTCTAATAGCCATTAGCAGTTACTTAAGCTTCTTAATATGTTTACCTTTTCCCAAAGTACCTTTGGCAAGAGCTAACAAGGCGCAAAGTGTCTGTGTAATAAAACCAAATTGGTAAATACATTGACACTGTTCCCTTAAGTAGTGGTCATGCACGTATCCAAAGAAGTACGATATATGCAACTTAAGTGAATTGTGGAAACAGAAGAGAGAGAGAGAAAGATCCCCGAACCTCGTTTTGATGCGTCTGCGCTAACCGTAGTTGCAATATGCAATCCTGCGCTGTGGCGCTCTTTGCTTCCATTTGCTGCATGGTTTGTTCGATCTTAGCCAGCCGTGCAGGTACTTCGTCGTTGACGTCGTTGCCTGCTGCTGCTGCTGCTGCTGCTGAAAACGGATTAGTCATGGTGGATGTTGACGGCGCAGATACGGATGACATGGAAGGATCAGACAGTGGTTGACGGCAGTGGCCACGTTTTCGCACGATATGGTGTAACATATGGCTTGCATCTCGACGGAAGCAGTCGTGCCGGAACTGCCAGCCCTCCTGTGCTAAGCGCTGATGTTGATGGTGATGATGCTGTTGCTGTTGCTGTTGTTGTTCATGGCATTGACTGTTGTTTGAGTTTGCTGGAGCTTCGGAATCGCAAACCTTACGAAAGCCATATACTGGATTGAGTTATTGAATATATGAAAAAAATGCCAGGAGTTGAATAAGAAAATTCGGGGGATCTTGTGTTGCCCTGGGGTTAGTGGGCTGCTGATGATGAAAAAAAAGAAAAAAGAAAAAAACCCAAAAAGAATTTTTTTCCTTTTATTCTTCTTCGCTTTCACCTTCCACTTACAGTTGAGTTGCCTGACAAAGCTTTGCCAGTTGTTGTGCTTGAAGTATTGAGGCAGTACCGTTTTGGCAAACGCTGCTGCATCCGGCACATACAGCCCTTGGCCATTATGGGTCCAGCATGCCAAGTGGTCTGTGGTAGTGTCGTTGATGATGCTAAGGAAAGCGTAGATTGGGTTGGCAAACAATCGAGAGAGAGAGAAAAAGAAGAAAAGAAACTTACAACCACAACTTTTTCACGAAGCTGGGTAAAGTCTTTCGCCGTTGGAGCTCGCCTTGTAAGTGTGGCTGCTCCTCTTCAAACACCAGATCGCCAGGCTGCAGGCCAGACCGTCCTTCGTCGAACATAAGGTTGCTGTTTTCCATAGTGACTTGATTCGTTGTTGTCGTCGTCGTCTTGTAGAGCGTGTGTTATGCTGTTGTTGGTGGGCTACACGCAAAGAGAGGCGGTGGAGCGTGGAGCAGGACTAGGAGGTCGATGGTGGGAGGAGGAGGAGGAGGATGGTAGCAAATCAACAAGTATCTACAGCAACCAAAACAGAGAAAAGAAAGAGTGAAGAACTAGGGAGGAAGGAGCAGATGGGAACCGAATATCAGAGAATTTTGAGTTAAGTGAGCGAGTGAGTGTGTTACCCGAAGGGACGTTCCAGTAAATCGGACACTCGCTCGTTCCTAACACGTCATGTTTTCCAGATTCCCTTTTGTTGTCTTGTGCGCTAATAGGTCCATTTCCACAAACAAGTGTTCTTGTGCTCACCATTCCCCCCCCGCGTCCACATAATACCCGCAACATAATCACTGTCTACTGTCTACGAAACTGTATGATCCATGTTTGGACGAAGAAGGTTTTTTATATATCCGCAACCATTGACTTTCTAATGAAGCGATAGAACGTAAAAATTGGTGCCCCGCGACGGCCGAAAGAATTTAATACGGCAAAGCAGATTCTTTTGTCCTTATATATTACATGCCTTTGTGTATGTGAATCTTAGCATACTTCCGTGTACCCTTCATCCACCAGAACATTCTACCGGGTGAAATTTTTTACATGGCTGTTATTATATTTCTCAGCTGCTTCGTTAGGTTAGCCTGAAACAGTTCCTCGGCCCCTTTAGGCATGTGTAGTACTTATTACGCGAACATTCCTGTGCAGCACTCGCAAAATCAACATGACCCGACTTATTGGGACCTCCTCTCCTAATAATGGTGCAGCATTTTTCTTCTGCCTACTGATATGTGGAAATGCGCGTGACTATAATGTTACAGCGTCCTTCCACATCCCATCATCAATATCAAACGCGTTTAACACAATTACACGGCTACTTGTACTAGCTTCACTACCCATCAAGCCAGTAGACAAGACAGACAGAAATAATACATACTCAACGATTGATATACTCCTTCTTGCGGCCTTTCTTTAAAGATGCACCGAGATGCAAAAAGATGCAATCTCTAACATGATGGAAATTTGTTGGGGGGATGAAGTCCTATCGTGTAGTCGGAGTCCAATCTATTTTTGTCATGGAGATTAAAATCCCGGATGTGTCGAAAAGACAATAAGACTGGAAGATTTTTCTCATTCGTATTTGCAAACTGTTGGTAAACTGTTACTGTAACTGCTCATTTGATACCCGCAGGTTTATGTTATTATAGCATGAACGTTTGAGCTATAGCTACTTTAGCACCGTACATCAGATAATGTTGTGTGTCCCAAGCGCGATATTAACTGGTGCAGTGTTAGTGGGTGGTGGTTGCTTTTATTAGCGTAAATTCTGGACAACGACGTTTTACCATCTTGGGAGTGGTGAATAGCTGTCATTACTAATTTCTTTCTTTTTCTCGCTCAAAATGTCCTTGCTCCTCCTGGCAACCTTGGAGTTGTAAGTGGGCTTGGGAGTATTGTAATAAAACTTAATGGTAAGGCTATGGCTCTGTTCTATTGATCTATTGAGATGATGCTTTTTGGTATTTATGTATTGTTCGTATTATATCAACGTTGCCTGTTATTTTACTATATAGGTGATAGCTAACAAGGGTTCACTGATGGTGGGGTATCCGCCGCAAGGATCGTTGAGACATGAGTGCTGATAATATGGCACCAGAGGTTGTGTGGCGTGAGGGTAGGTGATGGAATAATTAAACCTTGTAGAGATCAAATGCTTTTTTTACCACCCAGATCAAACATCCAAAACATGTGTGAAGTTGGCGAGTCTATGGACTTTGCTTCTATCTATTATTCGTTTACTACTATACATTAAAAGAAATGGAACACGTTAACCGGTTTTTAGAAGTTTAAAACTAGCCACACAACGAACGCGTCAGAGCATTGATCTTTCAGCGATGACTTTATGGAGTTCATTACCGTCGAGTGGAATTCGAGATGTACATTAACACAAGATATTGCGCGTCTATATGATTAAGTGTCGCACCGAGAGGCAGGGGCTTAGATTGGCCGCTCAACAACCATGACATACGGCTAAACCTTTATAAAGACTTTGGATCCCTGGGAAATATTGGCATAGTGTACCTAAACTTGCTACGTACTCTTCTTCGAAGCAGTGTTACCATTGCATTAAGCACAGAGATTTCATGTCTGTTTTTAAACTCTTAGCTTTGATGTGTCACCATAACGCTTCATCGGGCTCCTATTCTCCTTACTGGGAGGATAAGACTCCCGGTAATTTTGGTTTGCATGCTACAGCGCACAACGTGATGCACTTGATCAGTACTCGTCTTCTTTATACGAATATTGTCTGTCTCTAACGATCATATTTACTACAGGATATGTCGCATCATATCTTCAAGTGTTAGCATATAAGCCCGATAGTGGTCATTTTATATCGAAAATGTTTCCATTTACTTACAATCTTATGCTATGTTAATTTTATCCCTATTGTTAGCATGTAATGCACATCATCCTGTACCGCAAGGAAGCGACCACATGCCCATCGGCGCCGGTTCATTCAGTCTCTAATATATACGGACTAGTATACATTTGAACGATCAAAGAGAGAAAGACCAGTACAAAAAGAAATTAAAGCTTTTCATGGAATGTAACTTTCCAATTTAGGTAGAGGAGGCATTGTAAGTAAACCCGTTCTTATGGTACTGATCCTTCTTTTGCGCGTATTATGTGTTTCTCGATTTACAAAACAATCTTTTTACTCTTATGATAGGTAACAACTTTATTCACTTATGTATGCATATATCTATTTTACCCCTCGGTTCTACGACGCTTTATCTCTTTTCCTAATTTGTCTATGCTGATTTTAAGATCACGACGTTCTTCTTCCAACTGGCTTGCAGCAGCGGTGGTCGATATATGGCTTTCTTGTGCCATCCGCTCGACTTCTTCATATATCAATTTTCTTCGGCAGAAAAACCTCGACTCCGTGGGATCCTTTCTCCAATGCGTGCGGTACGTTTCTTCCAGAGACTGAACTGAAGGCTGCCCAGCAATCCCAATGGTGTACTCGCGCCAGACATCGGTTACAGTTCTAAGCTTTCTGTTAAGCTTATAGTTTAGTGGAGGCGGTGACGGCGATGCCAAAAATGAATTTTCCATTGGAAGCACATCGCCAATTGCGGCAGTTTGATGATCAACTTCGTTGCTTGCGATGCCAGCTTCTGATGTCGGAGCCATATTCGGCGGATCGCGAGAGAGGTACAACAGGTTAGAAAAAATGGAGTCAACAGCTTCTAGAGTACTGGTAAAACCTTGTCGCTGTGACGTTCCAAGAGGCTCAATGGTGCTTCTGATGCCAGTGATGTCGCTGTTGAAGTTGCCGAATGAAGATCGCAGTAATTCCGTTAAATGTGGCATAGCCCTTTCAATCTGTATGCCTAACGGCTCTTCTTCTTCGCTAGTTCTTCCTGGATAACGCAACATGTCCAATTCGTACTATTTGTATAGCGGATCATCAATATGGGGTGGGTCCACAAGAAATCGGTCGGATGGAGCTTTTTCAGAATTTCAGAAATACTTTAGAGATTTCGCCTTGAAGTTGTGCTTTATACAATATGATATGATAAATTGTAACTATGTACCTGAATAAAGCCAATCTTTAAATATTATTGAAAGTTTCAAAATGTTTGGACCTGCGAGATCGTTTTGGACAGTCCTCGTTTCGAACTTGTTTTCCCAGTACTCGATATCGGGGGGGGGGGGGCTTTTTGTTGCAAGCTCTGTGGTGGATCAATTTTGGTCCGTGGTAACCAAATGCACCAGCTTTTTGGGCATAAAAGCTGGCTAAAGCACGAATCGCTGGCTTCGGAAGACTTGTCAAGTAGCATCCGATCATCTTGTCCGAGCCCCACCGTCCAATTCGGCGTTGATCACTGTCAGAAATATCTTGTAAAGCAATAGACCTCGGAGCACTACCGCGGTTTATGTGGGTTATTTTGCTGGATCGAATGCCGACAGCTCGAAGCGCTTCCTGATACCCGTCTCTCTGAATATTGTAAGTGATAGCTTGCATACGGCTGGCACCCTTCCAAGACATATATGTCGTACCAATGTCAGCGTGACGTTAAATCGGGGAACTCTTCGTTTTCAATTTGCCAACGGCGAAAAAGGTGGAATGCCAAAGCTCCAATCGGGCAAACTTCTGCACAGCGGTGTCTGATGGCAGCTCCGTACTCGGCCCTTCCATGCTGGTTGGTTTTGCCCTTGTTTATGGTGATAACCAGAGCAATGCACATGGTGGGACCTTCGTATTTCAACTCGGTACAGAACAAATCTGGAAGCTGCATAATACGTTTGGTCTCGCCTCGACCCAGAATCGCATGGCCGAGCAAAAAAATGAAGTCAGTTGCGCAAATGATGAGGTGTGTTACGTCCAAATTGATAGCGTGAAACGAGCTTCAGTTCATCCAACGTATATCCATCGTTAAGTGCGTTGATGCCACGGTCCTCGTATTCTTTTCGTTTACGCACTGCATTTTCGCGGTCATAGTCGCTCAAGAAGTTCTTGACAATCGTTCCTCGGGCTGGTGGGTGCATATTTCCAAGGACACTGGCTTGCACAGCTTGTAATGCTAATACTGCTTTGGCATATGCCTGTAGTGCTTCTTTAATCAAGCGCTGGATTATTTTTTATTTTATTATTAGCCACTATTGCTTTTAAGAAAGCAACAAGTTTGGCTTCAGTGACAGTGCCACCGACTTCAAGCTTTAGTATGCTGCACCACGACTTGAAAGAATAAACAAATATCCGTAAACAAAAAGTTAGTGTCACTGAGGTTTATACTGGTTTGCTTTAATACTCTAGCGCTTTAACTTCTTTAACTACTAATCAATGCACCTTCCAATGCGTCTATCTTGAAAAAATGCATGTTTCTTGTGTTTTATGCCAAGTTCTTGAGGTGTCTTGTCACTGCCAATTGGACTTGCTCCTCGAGAAATGCTTCGTTGCGTATATTGACATTGAGTTGAGTGTCGTTAGCAGTGTCGGGTGAATTCAGAGTAGGAATGCTTGACATGTAATATGACGCCGATAACAACGGCAGGAGATATTATCAAAGAATTATAGTTATAATAAAAAGAAACTCACCATTAGAAGCTATTTACCATTCCCAAGATGGTAAAAACGTCGTCGTCGAGGATTTACGCTAAAAGAAGCAACCACCACCCGCCAGCACTGCACCGGTAAAAAGAAAACCAGATTCGTGCTTAGGACACACAACATCATCTGATGTACAGTGCTAAAGCAGCTATAGCTCAAACGTTCATGCTATAATAACATAAACCTGCGGGTATCAATGAGCAGTTACAGTAACAGTTACCAACAGGTTGCAAATACGAATGTAATAAAAGCAAAAGAAAGAAAGAAAACGGAAGGAGAAAATCTTCAAGTAATAGATGGCGACTACCATGGCGGAATTTTACGATTTTTTAACATGGCGCAGCATTACGGCGCCCTTTTCTATTATCATGGCGGCTCATATTTCTTTTACACTACTATGTACTGTAGTTGCAGAACAAGCTGATGCGCTAGACAAATACAATGTTATGGCAACTAGGGCGTCACTCCTTTTGATTTACCAAGTTTGGCTCACCGTCTCGAAAGCGGGCAAAATAACGCTGTGCGGTACGTTCTGGCATGCGTAGTTGACGTGCAGCTTCTGCACAGTCCAAAGTCACATATCACTGAGTTCAATGATTAACATATATGTGTGTTTGCAACGCGAACCTAGTTAAATGCATGAATAATGATGATGATCGGAGGATTGTAAAGTACACAATGCTCAATAAATGGCTCAAAATTGTTTAATATACCCGGTCTTTTGGAGGGACTTTGCGAGGTCTTCCTCTTCCTCTTTTTTCTATGGCCTTTGGTAGAGAGACACGTTTTGGGGGCGTGCCTTACCAGTTTTACGGTGGGTTTAACTTCGTTATCGTCTACTTCATGCTTGTGTCATACATAAGTAATAATACCTAAACAACTTTTCAACCTCATCTTCTCTTATATATTCATAATTACCTTCTCTGTTTCATTTGCTGATCTTGTCATTGACACAAGAGAACGTGCATGCCATCTTTATCAGTATTGAGTTTTGTGTTAACAGTACGGAACTGATCTTCGTTTTTGGTATCATAGATCCTTCTTCCATGCTTTCTTTGGGCCCTTGCTGCTCTTTCTCATTATAGTCAAATGGTAATGTGGCGTTGTATTGAACGCAGTCGTTTTTTTGTCTGTGCATAGTGTTGGGGTGTGATGGCAAGGGCCTTTTTCATAAATGCTCTTTTCTCCGCTTTAGGACTTAATGGACAGCACTCAACTTTCATCAGCTTCTTCTGCAACTACAGTACAGTAATAGTATAAAAGAAATCTGGCGCGCAGTAGGCGCCATCATAGAAAATATTAGACGCCAAGATTAAAAAAACACCGCGCCATGTTAAAAACCTCATCCACCATCCGTTTTTTTCTCGAGCGTCAAGTTGAAAGCCAAATTCCGCCATGGTATAAGAAACGGGATGCCATCTAATACTTGAAATCCAATAGCAACAGCTTTCGGATCCATATTGTACTACTCTGTTCTCCTTCTCGATACATAATTTGTCTACAGACTGCGCCGAAGTTCCGATAGTCATAAATTGCAAATGCAACACATGGATTTATTTTTCATATCGAGGTAACGGAATGAGTATAGTCCCTTGTTGGTTGATGATCGATGATTGTATACCAAGTAAACAGATAGTAGCGAAAAAGATGACATGTACCCCGAAATGATTGGGAACTCATTTGTTTTGCTGCATGTCAAAAGCATACAGTGCATTTCAAGGAGCGATACAATAAGTAAGCATGAAATTTTACTAGGAGCTCGTGTTTTATATGGGTGGGGGAGCTATAACAACAGGAAGCTCAATACCATCAAGACCATAGCGTCATTGCCTTTATTGTACGTTTCTTTGACCAGGTGCTGCTTATATCATGACCGAATGAGCATTTCTTTTTGCGCCACTATTAATTAAATCATGTGTACTTTCTACAGAAATATGTCGGAGACGATATCCTCAGTTTGATAATATGGACGCGGATCATCTCGTCAGTATACAGAGCATTTCGTACACACACATCCCAGTAATAATCTATCTCTTTACGAGACACGCAATGTGTTGGTATATGTCGTAGGTATAACAGCAGGATTTTCTGAAGTTCAACATCATTTTAAGTTCTCTTGAGTTACAATGATATACACAGTGGGCTTCTCGCCAGTTAGATACTTGTAACAATTAGATGATAGTGGCTGCTAACCACAGTAAATCGTGTAACCTGCTCTGTTTTATACACATGTAGGTAGTATGTAGTGATAGTAGTAGTTGTCAGCTACTTTAACATTGGGACAAGCCAAGCTGTTGGCGTGAGATCACGAACCTTTACAAGTATCGTTATAAAAGCTTCTTGCCTCTTACATAAAATTGTTTCAAGATTTTCAAGTAAAGATGACTGGTTCGACTCTAATATGACGTAATACATAAATAATGCTAAGCACATATATCGTGCGTTATAAATTGATGTAATGGAACTTTTTAGGATATAGTTGAACCAATCAGCAACTTTGTTATACCGCTAACTTGCTGTGCTTCAGAGCTAATTAACTACTACTACTACACGATACCTGAATGTGAATGCGATATGTGAGTACAGTTTACAGTAAAATAATCTGGTTACAGCTGCAATGACTGACCAAATGTGACTCGGCTCCGCATCGAACCCTATCGAGATAAGCGTGGTAACTGCAGTAAGAGTATTCAAGCAAGTCAGGATCATCTTTCTATACTTCACGGTTAGTATGCTGAACCTACACGATACCACACATTGCGCCAAGCTCTACAATTACTTGGACCTTGTTTTTAGCAGAATAATGTCGGATCACAATGCCATACAATGTGTATAGCAGACATTTTCGCTTGAACAGAAGTGAAGTTTATCGTATCGATCCTCAGGTAATAGGGTAATACTGTATGCTTGATCTTCCAATGGTGCTGCACCAAGTGTGACCATCTTAAAATAGAAAGATTTGCCACAACAACGTGCGATTGTTGTTCAAAGCGTTTTAGATATTCCTTTCTTGGATGAAACAAAGTGGTTAGAAACTCTTTGGCTTCGATATCTCTACCGTAGCATCATCCCTATCCACTCTCTCCCTTCTACGAAAGTTTCTTTTCACCTCTTAAGAGATCAAGTTCCAATTTTCATCAATGACATCGCGCCGTATAGATTCAACGCTTCAACTCCATCCAGAAAGAAGCGACATAGCACATACACAAATATACAAATTTGATATATCCGTATGTATGCACTCGTGCGTCTTTTTCTCCTTTTCCGCGTTACTCTGTTCCTTTCCATATCACATTAAAATCTATACAAAAAGTGGTGTTTATTCTTGTCTTCTCATTAGATAAAGACAGACTTTTTTGTTGTTGTTAAGCTGTTATGTAGCGTATGAAACATAAAAACGAGAGGCGGATTGACTTTCGAGAGTATTCGTGTTTGATGGCTGAGGAATTAGCGGTCTAAAGCTCTTGCTTTATTGCTCGTACTTGTCCTTAATGTCCTTCCATTGTTTCTAATCATATGATAAAAGAAACATTAGAGATATAAAATAATATATTATTTTACAATTCTACATATTGAATATGTACTTACGCCCTTGTTCACATCATCCCAAATCTTGTCGGACAAGGAGTCGAAACCAACTTCAAATGCAATGGCCGATGCGAAGATTGTGGCAACAAAGGTCGAGTTCTTACGGAAGAACGTGTTGTAAACGGTACGCGAGAGACCAGCGGAAGCGGTGGCAGAAGGCATTTTGTTCAAATGTTTTAAGAGTGGGGGAATTGAAGGGAGAGATTTCAACTTTTTTTTGTTGTCGGTTTAACAAAAAAAACAACAGCACCGGGCTAATCCAATGGGTGATGTCAACCCTGCAAAACTCCGCTCTTCAACTTTCGTATTGGTGGTGTAACACAGGTATACGATAACTAAGCAACCTCTGTTCCTTAGCAAATAAAGGCGATAACCATTACGAGGGTTCCAATAGAGCAAGCGTGGCATTTAGTAAATCTTGGACTCCTGTTTTTTCTCACTATATTGTAACATGCATGATTTATGATTTGACGTTTTACTGTTAATGTGCGGTGGTGTAGTAATATAAACACGTTATATATACTAGCTGCTTCCTTTTATGCTGTATAATTTCAGTAGGAGTATCTACTCGCTCATGCAAAAACACATCCAGGTCTCACACTAACGGTTTACAGAAAAGTAGGATAAAAAATATTGCCTATTGAAACCGGCACATCACAGTCGATGTGATAGAAAGGTGACAGTACCTATTGACATATCCTCAGAAAGAAGTACATAATAGAGAACAATAAACTTTAATGCATTGTGCTTCCAGGGAACGATTCGGAGCTCTTTTAGTAAGGAACGACCATCACAAGAAAAAGGCAGGAGCAGTAGCATTGTTGATGAAGGAGAAAGTGTGGGGGTTATTGTTGGGCTAGTTCATTTCCTTTCACTTTTTTATCTAATGTTCTCCAGACTTTTTTGCTCCTTCTGTACTATTAAATATACTATAATAATCGAGCATTTTTATGGTCATAAGATAACAATGCCACTTAATACTGTAAACGGGAACAGCGCAACACGCCCACGGGGGTGGTTGAAGGGAAGAAAGGGAGGGGCGGAGGATGGGAGAATATGAGGAGAGAGAGGGAGAATATCAATCCCCGAGCGTTAAGTTTTTGAAAAGACAAATGCAGCAGAGCCATATGAACTGCTTATATTTTCTGCATGAAAAGCAACTGTTTTGATGATGGTACATGTTTTATAATGAATATAAGCCGCGTTTCTACTTATCATGGGGTAGAATGGTAGGCACTCTGCTGGACGCCATAAAAGAAGGGTTCTCCCTCTCATACATAAAAGCTAGGAACATACTGCATATTATCGCGTTGCCTTATTGTTTCATACAAGCATAAAAGAAAATATTCAGACAGAACGCCGCATAAAATTTGCAAGCACGCATAAGAATCAGCACGCACTTCATTTTCCACAAACGCATAATTCTGAGCTCTCCTTTGTAATAAAGCAACTACATTCTCTTTCCTTTCTTCAATACACACTTTTAGCACGCACGCTTTACCACACGGCGAACAAGCTAGGGGATCACATCATCACCCAGAACTGCTTCTATCTTTCCTTTCAAAACAGTAGTAGTCTTTCACTCTTATTTGAGATATTGCTTTCCCTTTTTTCCCTTTCTTCTTCTTCTTTCCCTTTGATTGTAGTACCATTCTATTGCCATTTCTTATCTTTGCTAGAAGATACAACAAAAGCCTTCCCGTCTTTTCTTTTTACAGCAACAACAGCATTAGTAGATGTTGGCTCGACCACCGAAAATATAGCAGCAACCCAAAAACCCAACCAACCACGCAACACAAATACACTCATAAACCTTCTTCTCCAAAACATGAATATTGTGCGTACGAAGCTGCTCCAAATATACCTTCCTCAGGTTCTTCGCTTTCAAAGGTTTGTTACATTTCTTTCAGTCCATTGTCGTGTGTAGCACATGTATTCAATGTGACAGTTTTCTATGTGTACATGCATAAAGATAAATACGTAAAAAAAGAAACCTTATTTAATATAAATTTTGAAAGCATGGGCTTATGTCATACCGAGGAAGACATAAACAGTATCCAACGAAGTACCGATATCGATAAACAGTTAGAACGCGATCGGGGCCGACGTGAAAAAGAATACAAGATTTTGCTTCTCGGTATACACACACAAATATTCTATCTCTCGCTGTTTCCCAGAAAAACTGGGTTGTGCGCGTGCAATTTTTTTGGGAACCATCATGAATTGTTATACACGATGCTACCATGTATGCATACCAATAATTGACTACTATACCATTAGGGAGCGGAGAATCGGGAAAATCAACCATCCTAAAACAAATGAAGATTATTAACCAAAACGGATATACAAAGCAAGAGCTATTTACATGGCGAGTCATTGTTTATCGTAATATTGTCGAGTCAGCACAAGCATTGATGCAAGCCATTATTGATTTTGGACTTGTTTTTGAGATACCGGATAATGGGGTAAGGTTACGGGCTCTCTTCTTGTGTTTGACTGTGGACCTTGAGGGTTCATCGTAATGTGGCTAAGATGGTAGCTCTCATCTTCCTCGCACTCATACTATGTAACCTCTTCTGTTCTTTTAAGGAGCATGCCCGACGGATACTTGAGTTCCAAGTGCCTGGCGATCCCAAATTCGAACTGGACACCGATCTAGTGGACGCCATAGAGTCCATATGGAAAGACGCTACGGTGTCCTTGTGTGTTGAGGAAAGGAGACACGAGTTTTATTTGATGGATTCGGCACCCTAGTATGTTGTTTTGCACCACAAAAAGAAAAGAAGCGAGTGAGCAAGAGAAGGAAATAAAGGGGGTGATACTTAGAGGGCTAATTAGCATGAGTGTGTTGAAGGTAGCCCCTACCATGAGACGTCCTCTTCTCTCTCTTCCTTATTTGTTCTCTATGTTCATTCTGCAGATCGCTGAAACACGCACATCACTAATGCTACTCTCCAAATACCTGTTAGCTTTTTCACAGAAATAAGGCGCATAGGCGATCCAAACTATATCCCGACAGAGCAAGATGTCTTACGCGCAAGACTAAAATCAACGGGTATCACGGAGATTCGGTTCCAATTGGGAGGTCTTTCTATTCAGTAAGTGCGGGAGCGTGGTTGACGGGAGGTCGTGAGAGAACTCTGTAGCAAGGGGGAAAGCATTTACTCGCAGAGAGAGAGAGAAAGAGAGAGAAAGGAATGGTGATTTACACATACACGCTGGTTGAATACATGCGTGTGGTATGATTTGTGGCTGTATAATTAGCGCCTCTTATTGACAAAAGACAAACTCAATATTCTAGTATGTTTGATGTCGGAGGCCAACGATCAGAAAGGAGAAAATGGATACATTGTTTCGACTCCGTTGCATCCATTATTTTCTGTGTAGCCCTGAGCGAGTATGATCAAGTGCTATTAGAAGAATCACGACAAGTAAGACAAATGAAAGAGAGCAGAACCTTTTCCAGGTAGTGGTTGTCAGACAATAACGTAGGGAAAATATTTAGAACCGAATGCTTGAAAGCTTATCCTTGTTTGAATCGATCGTCAACAGCCGATGGTTTATTCATACGTCCATCATGCTATTTCTGAATAAGGTTGACTTGTTTAAGAATAAGGTCATGCGTGTACCATTGAACAAATACTTCCCAGACTATGGAGGTAAAGCATCTCACCTGTTTTCCGTGTTCTATAGTACAGCGCTTGCTCATTGTCAGTCTTTTTCTAGGAGGCAGAGACGCAAACAAGGCGGCAAAATATATCTTGTGGCGATTTCTACAAACAAACAGAGCAAAACTTAATTTATACCCGCAGTAAGTTCACCAGCAACAGCACATTATTCTTCTGTACATTTGTTAATCTACTTTCTACTGACCATGCGACATGTAGTCTGACACAAGCAACTAATACTTCAAACGTAAGGACCTTGCTGTTGCTGTTGTAATCATTTACTGTAGTAAAAGGGAGACTAAATTACAGCTTCACCTTTTAGATACGCTTTGTTTTTGCCGCCGTTAAGGAGACGTTGCTGCAGAATGCCCTGCGAGATTCTGGCATGTTGTGAATAGTTTTTTTACTATTAAAAATATACGTAGTATTCACGCAAAAGCCCTACATCTTGCCCGCTTTAATTCTTTTTGTACAGATTAACAACGACAACGACAACGACCGTCATTCCCTTTTCTTGATTCTCGTTCCTACTATTCCACCAACTTTCTAATATTGCTATAGTCGCCCTTTTCCCTCTTTGGCAGGTGCGGTAGTTTCAATATGTATATGCGTCATCACACTACCCACCAGCTACTCCTCTACAGTATCACAGAGCAACACCACAGGAAATAATTAAGAATACTACTATCTAGTGTGTAATATATCATCTCAACAAACTTTTTTTTTTATACTTCTTTGACCGTTCTCTTCTTACATAAATCTTCCGTGCCCAGGTCATATTGCTTTAGCTTTGATGTTCGATCAGATAGGATATGGATGTGATAATTGTCATCCACTTATACGTTTATTAAAAACTGGGTAATCACCCTCTCTTTTCCCCTATGATAATCCAATCCATAAGACAATTAACAACAGAAGCTGCTCTTTTCGATACCGGTAACGTGGACCGTCGAGAGGCACCAAATAAAGCGTCTGCCTTGTTGCAGGCCCCAAACAAGTTTCGATATAGAATTACATATGACGGTAAATCTATAAACCACCATCAGCACAATAAGACAACAAATTCCTCACTGCCACTACAGCTTCGTCATGGTATCACCGACGTCAAGATAGCATATTTATTTCCGTTGCAGCTACTGTTACATCTGATATGTACTATCTAACACTACAATTCTGTCACTGCTACCATCTGTATCCATTATACAGACCGATCCATCCTGAAATTCGCAAATTCGCAATGTCTTGATTTTGAGGTCGATCTTCAACAAATCAATGATACACTGTCATCACCGTCGTCAGTTCCTCATCAACAACGCCAGGATATTTCCATAGAGCAAGTTCGCTTTAGTTTTGACCTGCTGGGTTGAATGAAGTAACTTGCGAGACTCTGGAAAAAACACAGAAACGAGCGACATCATTGCCAGCGCCATTGATATTGTGGAGCCAATCTGTGTCTAAGTGCAATACTATCGGTTCTGCTTTGCCACTAAAATATGTCACACAACTCAAGATGATGGCGAAATTGTACAGGGCGTTATTTCTCCACAGACAGACGCTCAGTGCTTATGGACATTTGCTGGTCTGTTCACAGAAAGAGGTTACCGAGCCGATCCAATCGAATCAACTCAGCCTTTTGTTGACAGTTTGCATGAGTATCTAAACGGACTCGGCTTTCTTTCAAGCTTCAGTGACCCTTTGTATACGAATTTATAGCGTGTCGACACATCCATTCCAGCAGTACTTATACCGACACGCTACATACCACTAGATACCAATCCACCCTATGTTGCAGCACCCAGTTTGATGGCACCACACGGATTCTGGGGCTTCGTTGAAAACGTGTTTGACAAGCACCTTTGCTATCAAGCTGGCAACAACCAGCGCGTGCGAATTACACACTATTTGACAGATTATATTAACCAAATCTACGACGGTTGCACGCTTTTTGCTTCGGCTTTAGGATTCGTCCTTGCATTGCTACGATCATCGCAAGCGACTGTTGCAACAGCACCCGAAAGAGCGGCGATTACACCAGTACATCTACGCTGACATTCGAAGCACACGACTCATACGCCAACAGAGTAATGATCACGCTGTATACCAGCAGGACCAACTATCGTGCCGAAACATTGGATTCTCACTTGACACGGACACGTACAAATTCTCGCCTGACTTTCTGATGGTACTGAAAGTGCAAATGAATGGCATGACCTCAAAGTCAGACGTGGCGCGTATAACTATGGCGACACCGATAGAGCCCCTACTTTTACTTTACATTAGCACACTTGACAATAAGTCCAGTCCAGCTATGTACTCCTGTAAACGATGGTGGTGGTGACGGCAAGGAAACTGACCAGGGCGCTGGTCTCTCCATCTACCATCCTCCGTCTGATCTAGTCGGCACTCCAGGGAACCCGTCACCAGAGCCTGTCCAATAGGTCTTCACTGTTAAATGACCTCGATATTTCTGGTGGGGTTGTGAGTAAAGTAGAGACGAACACACCTTCCCAATTTTTTCGATGTTTGTGCAACCATCAAGCCATGCATGTGAAAACTTCAATACCATTACCGTTTTTGATTTTCGTTAAAAATGAGAAGCTGTAACGTATTTTAAACAATTTTGGTAATCCTTCCTTCTTTCCCGTTTCTTATTTTCTTACAAAGTTGTCATGCCAGCATGAGCTATTCAGGCACATCTGTCTACTTTGCCATTGCTACTCTCATTTCTTGCATTCCCGCAGTTGCCGGTCTTGTAGCGCGATGGTACGCTTATAAGTGGACCGGCATTCTCCTTTATTTCTGTTCCCTGGTGTTTCTGTTCCTGTCCGTGTTTTTCTATGTCAGTTTCAGAATCGTTCGACATGGGTCTCCGTTTTTACTCGAGCTTCTCGACAAACTCAATCGTATTTTGTCGCCTGTGGCGTCGAAAGTTGCCAGCACCAAGTTCGTCGGTCCTGTCATTGCTGTCATTATCCGGGCCAATTTTTTCGCCTGGTTCATGATTTTGTTACTAAGTGATCAGGTTATCCGTGCACTTATTGGTCGGCTCGTGGGTCATCATGCAAGTCAGCGTAATTATTGTAAGTTTGTAAAAGTACTACAGGGTGTACATGTATATGATGAGCTTGCTTTAATATGTGCTATGTATTTACAGCTATCGTCAATGCGGTTGATCCGCAATTCCCAATGTTTGATAAATCGTTCGGTGATATGCAGAAGGATGATATCCTCAAGACACAATTTCAGAAACGCCTGCCGAAACCCGATTATTCGCAATCGATCGCATATACGCTTGCTGTAGCAAGCAAATTAGCTTACGAGGAAGTTAGTGTGATTAAACACGAACTTGAGAAGGATGGGTTTGATGTAAAACGGACATTTTTACCAATGGCGTTCAAGGTGTGCATTTATACGGACCGCATCTAGCCGATCTGGATAAATAAACGAACCAACTAATCCAATTTTTATCTATTTCACAGAACGCATGTGCATATATCATCGAAAAAGACGACAATATATTTGTAGTGTTTCGTGGGTAAGTATACAAAGTAGTATTATGAAAGGATAAGAGCACTAACAGGTGTATAAGTGAAGAATAATAAGATGTTAAATGTATTTTTTGCGTATTTAGAACCAATCCTATGAACATTCAAAATTTTGTCACGGATTTTAACATTGAAATGACCGAAATTCGTTCGCCATCGGGCGTTTCCATGGGCAAAGTACATAAAGGCTTTTGGGAAGCCATGGGTGATCCACACCGATCCTCTTCTCCGGAACAACAGCTGCAACGAAGTGCAACCTTACAAATCGAATTGAGTGCAGCTTCATTACACCGCACGGTACTATCGACGATGCAGGCCGCCACTGATATCGCCAAGTTTACGGTCAGGGAGCTGGTCAGCCATGTCTCGGATCCGATCGATAACAGCTGGATTGGATATGATCGGGATATAAGAAACCATACCTTGTATGCGCAAGCTGAGGAATGGATCATGGCACTAATAAATTACCAAAACCATGCACATCCAACGGATGATGAAGCTGTTGACTTGGACGAGTATCCGTCGATTCGTAACCCTCCACAGCGGAAGCGGTTCTATATTGCTGGCCATTCCCTTGGCGGCGCATTGGCAACAGGTAACATTACTTAATTGGGGCGGGAGAATTTTGGAATGGATTCCACTTGATTATGTTTACTCATGTATACAATATGCTTTGTAGTTTTTCTGGCAAAAATGTTGCAATCCGAAAGCCCTCTTTTAAACCAGTTCTGCGGACTCTATACCTATGGCCAACCTAAAGTTGGTGATGCCGAGTTCACTCGAGCATTTTACCCTGAAATCGCGACTAAAGTTTTCCACCATGCATATAACAACGGTAAATTGCATACCCTTTTTCGTTGTTTTTTTTATCCGTAGCTATGTGCTTAGTAGATCGTTGTAACAATAATATTAACTATCACACCTATTTTAGACATTGTTACTCGAGTTCCTCCATTTTTCAAATACTAGTACGTTTAAATAAAAGAACGTGTAGGATGAATGGGAAAGCGTAAAACGAGATATCTAACCTATAATTGACAACGGATCTCTATGTCAAATTTTTAGTACACCACCGGGCACCTTAGTTTTCATCGATTCTGCATACTCAGTCACCCTTCACCCACCAAATATGCGAACGAATGATCCTGTCCCTGTTCGACCAATTTCATATCTTCATCTATCCGGTTTGTTGAACTCGAACGTGATTCGGCGGCTTCCTCAAGAATCTTGGTTACGTGTTACATTCCGTCTTTTATTTCCCTTTTTCCTGAATGATCACTTCCCATCCGAATATTGCAATAGTTTGCGAGAAGGCACTTTAAACTGGGTTATTATTGGAGATGAAGGTCTGCAAGGCGGAGCTGCAGCTCGAGATGATGAAGAGAGTGCAGTTGGAATAATGTCTGCTACACCTCTGTCGCCCTTGACAAAGGCAACAAGACGTCATTTTTAGAGACAAACTCATCATCTATACATTACTACATTCTCATTTCATGTATTTTCTTCTACTTTGGATATATACCAAGCACTAAGATACTTTTTTGATAATATTACCGATGAATCAAGTAATAAGTAAAGCTATTTTATGATCTCGGATTTCCTTTCTCCACAGAGTTTATATTCCATCAGTTTAGTGTAAAGTTTATCAGCAAGCCTGCATGTCATATATGTGATATGTTTACATAGTACTTCTGTAGATTTAGGTTCATGATCTAATACTTTTACAGAAAGGGTGAGAAAAGGCGAAAGGAAAACTGGTACCGCAGAAAAAGATTTTCATTGGGATGGTGGATTAGCTTGATTTGGAGGATATCGCCGTGGATTTGAGTGACCTTAGTTGTTTCAGAAGTAGTTTGTTATGGGATAAACTATCGAAACACCAGTTTACCATGCGCTGCTGCCATCGTCAATTTAAAGTAGCTCAAAAATATAAGTGAGGTAACTATACATATACACACCTCTAGGGACGGACAAGTCGCTCTACATCAGATTGTTTCACGTGGAAGCATTCGTCACAAGTGATAATGAAAGAAACATTCGGTCTAATATCTCTCCGGTTGATGTGCGGTTCTGGAAGACCATCAGCCTCCAATATGTATAGTTCAAATCTAGAATCTTTATTTATATTTATGGAAGACTTAGTGACCTTGTGAAATTGGTCGCTTCCTTGCGGTACAATAGGGGAAGAATATTTACAAGTGACGGATAACACAACTGAAAAAACCTCGTATACTGCAGTGGGAAAAAGTTGGGGTGGAGGAGAGACAGCGAAAGGTTGAAATCGAAGTTGGAAAGTGTTGGAAAACTAGGTTAGAGAATAAAAGAAATAAGAGAAGAAAGAGGGGACAAATAAAGAGAACGATACGATAGACACTTTGAAATATGCTGTAAGGACGAGAATACGTGTGTGTCTGGAGGAGGGCATCCTCTGGAGCAGGTTTTGGATCCGATGCGTCATAGTCAACACCTGAACGGCCGAGGCGCTCTATTTCGCGCAATACATGGAGCAGAGTCGGCCAGGCTCTCTTTCATCTGCCACACAAGAGTTTGGCATCAGAGCGGGGTAGATGGTCCAGAATGTAGTCCAGTGGTTGCACATCGTCGAGTAGCAAGTCTGGGAGTGATCCTACTCCAATATGTATACCATTTTGTCGACATCCTTTCACTCGGTGTGATTGTTGCTGTTTGGGAGATTGCTTATCACTTCGACTTGGTGCAAAACGCGGCATCGTACACCCCGGTTGCTGTGCGAAGGATGAGTGATTTAATGGACGTGAAGATGTTGGTCGTAATACTCTTCGTCGACCATATTCTTCTTCAAGCGTGTCGCCATCACTATGACGCTGATGATTACGGCTTGCTTCACCCATATCGTAATTACTCTGTCCATTGACCTGTAAGTTGTTTTGCTCTGCTCGTAGTAGCATGCTCCGTATCATCGACAGGCTTGTTTTCCTCCATGTCGACAGCAGACTGGCTAGCCTCCATCGTGTCAGCAATGTTATTCTGGACAAATTTTGCGGCATTTCTATTGGCAGCATTATAGTCATGCCTGCCATTGCCTATACGGAACGGTGGAATAGTAAGAAACAAGTTGTTGTGTTCCTTATGTCGACTAAATAAGGCATGCTGATACACTTACAACTAATGGTACTACTGCTATTACTGGAATAATAACCCGGAGCTCGTACGTATGCGATATGGCACCTTTGCTTCGTGAATTTTTTAAAGCGTTCAATTGACGCTCCATCGACAATGATACTACATTTGTGATATGAATGACTCGTATTATACAGTACTCTTTTTCATCACGAGAGCGCTCTCTGGAGAACACACCATAGCTTTTCGTAGGATTTTCCCTGTCGTTTTTATATTTCTTCATGCTGCTGTATTGGATCCGGTTGCTTGATGAAGTAGCAGGAAGACGGTTTAAAATGGAATATTTTAAGGAAAGTATCCAAACATTAAACAAAAAATTGTGAAGCGTTTCTTTACATATTTTGCATTTAATTGAGAGAAAAATGTATAGAAATATAGCTGCTGTGAAGAGATATTGGGAACAAACAATTCCAATGACTAATTATCGAAGTTTCTCGCAACAAAATTCGACAAGAGAAAAGTATATTAGCTCAGAGATGAAAGGATTATCTTTAACTTTACGCAATTATGCTCATTCACTCTAATATTCATCCAATAGCGACCCATTATTCATGGGCAAAAACAAAGACACAGCATTGTTGTTGCTAGTAGTAGACATAATGGTAATATTGGTGTAGACTAGGCGATTGTGACATCAGAAGAATTGTAGTTCATGGGATGTCCTAACTGTGATCTTTATTCTACTACTGTGTTTAACCTCTAAACATATATACCTCCATTCAAGTGCAATATATGCATAATTGGATACTACCTTTAGGTGGGACTTGTGTTGATGACACCAGAAGGAGATATCATACCAACATTTGAAAAGCCTTAAAGCGCCTTTACATGCCTTTACATGCCTTCACATGAATTTAGAGGCGTCCAAATTGGGATAAAGGTATTATACGTTTTGGGAGGTAATAGTCCACCCATTGATTGAGATGGTTAATTTATTTTTCAATACTACTACCTGATAGTAGGTTTGACAAACCCAGGGATATTATATATTAACTGTCGTACTGCTGCCGCATTAACAATGAGCGCTTTCACTTGTCCGTACTGCATACATGCTTAATGCTTGCTCCATCTTCCTCTTTTCTGCGACAAGAAGCTCTGGCAGTATTTGCCAAATGCCGTGCTTAGCGCCACTTTTAAAGTATGCTAGTCACTATGTATTTAATTGCCGGGAAGGTATGATGTGTCGCCGTAAAAGTACTACAAGCGATGTCGTAGTGTAGATCCGATGATGATGAGCTACTTGCTGGAAAAAGTCTCATTGACCGCCATATAACAATGCGGTATAAAAACATAAACCAATCTTATGGACTATGTGTCATGCGCTCACCTGTACGTATATTTACTAATAACTGACAAGTGATTCGATGTTACTCGTGCAATACGAGGTCTTATGGGAACGACAACAAAAGCTGTTGCTACTATAGAAATGTGGGAGGAGTCTCTTATGCGTATACTCAGAAAGTAATGGTAAGCAAAGCTTATGTGAATTAAGCACAAACCGATTAGGGAGGCTCTTTCATAGATTTAGATAATGATTTTTGGACTCTTCGCAAATGCGTGTAAAGCGAAGATGCCAAACAAGCGTACGAGCAAAGAAGAAGAGGAAGTAATATTTCTGGGAGAGCTCAACTATCACTTCATAGTTTATGAACAGATTAGATGTCGTGGGAACGTAAGCCCTTCATATAAGTCTGTGCAAATTCTTTCACATTTCGCTGTCCTAGTATAGCAAAACAAGCATTAAAGGAAGGTATATTATGATGCGCTTACTATGTAAACAGTCGATTTTGTACTTTTTGTCAAATTGTTTCTTTTTCGACTAAAGGTATTGTATCAGGGATCAGAAGTACTACAGGCTATTCTTAATAATTGGATTATCACGAGATGGTCACAAGCTGAAATGTAACCCTGTTTATAGAACTGTAATAGAGTGAAGCAGATGTTGTCGGTACAAATGTAAGAATGAATTTTACTATCGAGCAGGAGGAGTAGCAGGGATTGGTTCGCTATCAGTGTGGCCTGAAATTGTTACGAAGATATGGTTAGTAGGACTATCTTTTATATAATACAGCGTGTACATTTTCTATTCTAGTATGCTGCAATTTTGCTATAACAGTAAACAAAGAAGAGCGAAAGGGAAACAAAGTAAGGATACATACCTCCGGGTTGAAGAAATGGGCCAACTATGCGTTCCACATCGGATTGGTAGTTTCTAAAACATTCGTCACATGTAATAATAGGAGTTCCGACTTGAATGATGTCTCTTCGGTTGATGCGAGGATCTGGATGAATATCATTCTCGAATGCAAAGGTTACTTCGTTTACGGTCTGCCACTGAGGACGCATATTGCCATTTGCGTCTCTAACAGTCAATTGAACCTGGTGTAAAACGCGACGAAGTAGACCATTCAAATGCTGGTAGTCTGGTGCATATGGCAGAATTAGCGGTGATCCATGCTGCCCTTCTTCTGGAGAATGGTCGTCGTGATGATTGTGTATAGCCAAAGCTTGAAAGTTATGTTCGTCAAGAGTCTCCTCAAGAGCTTCTCCGTTGTTGTCAGTTGTAATGCCGTCCACGGTAACATGCGGATCGTTTAATATTGTCTGCTCATCATCATCATCATAATCATCACACGGATTACTTTCTTTCACGATGACTGCAAACTCGTTGAGCTGCTGAAAATCGGAATCGGCAGAATATTGATTTTCACTCGTGGTAGTAAATTGGCTAGCCTTCGTCATACCAGCAGCAGACTTAGTGTCTTTTTCTTTAGCAATATGTTGGGATTTGCTCACGCAGAGTGCTGTGGCAATGATAATATTGTTATCATTACTATTGGCGGAATCGTCGTCATATTCTGCAACAACATGTTGCCCACTGTCTATTTGTTGAACTGTGGAAGTGTAAGAATGAAGTGTTCTGATATTTTCAATGTAATCACTATTGCTACGTACGGTCGGTGCTGACTACTATTTGCTATGCTTACCATTACTAGTCATATTGTTGCTATCACTGTATGACTGCGGCAACACTTTCCTCAAAACTTTCGAGCGCTTGATTATCGGTCCTTCTTTTTGATTCGAGGGATTCACGGTATCTTTTTCTCGAGAGCGCTTGCAAAACGACGAGATTTTGTCGCTGTTCGGACGGATGTTGTTCTTATTGTTGGATTGCATGTTGGCGTACCAAGTCTACATAGTAAATCACAATAGTATCAGAGAGACAATTTTATGAAAAACTTGACTATACCCAGATGATAGAGAAGCGTCTCTTAATAGATTTTGTGTTTACCTTAGAGAAAGATGGATAATAAAATAGTTTATCGCGTAGTAATACTGAAATAATATGGCGCTGACAATATTCTAGTATTTATAGCTTTCCGAAACCAGAACAATAAGGTTGCCAGTAAGTGAGAAATATAATACAGACATCAAAGGGCCCTCGTTTTACCCAAATGCTCATTTGGACTATAACATTCTCACTATTACGATCTACCATTCATGGCCAAAGCAAAGACAATATCATATGTAATAATTTACTGCATATTGGTGGTTGTAGATTGTTTAGCTCACACGAGACAAAAGAAACTTCCAAGCTTCATTTTCTTTCTGAATGTGGCAAACCCTGTTTTCTTGTAATTCTCACACTAATTTGCATTTATACAATGAGTTCTTCGTAAAATTATCATATGCAGTTGATGTGTGCTCATTGTCTTCATTATACATATGGCGGAATAGTCATTTTATATGAACTAAATACCAATTTTTGCATGGAACAATCAAGGGAGATTATATAATACAGTATAACAATGAAGGCAAAATTTTGCATTATAAAAGAAGGATTATTGTCACTACAGTATGACTACTACCACTACTACTGTGGTACTTCTTCATCTAAACGATATTAAACGTTTTTCCAAAAATGTAGCGATGACATCGCGGAGAGAATATGCAGGCTGGTTTCTACGCTTCAACTTCACGAATGCTCAAACCAAACTTCCGCCACCTGTCAGAACTGTCTGCACATAAATATATAATTCCAAATCACCCAGATTTATTTATCGCCTCCGATAAACTTTCTTCATAGCGGCATTACCCTGATTTAAATTAATTTCGTCGTCAACTAGGCATATAACTTTTTTGGTAATGCAACTAGAATAAAACAAAGGTATTGTAGTCGCAACACTAAATCGGAGGCTGAGAGAAAATATGTTTTAGGCAACAGGCAAAAAGAAAGGACAAAGAGACGTAGAAACGATATACGCATCATGATCATGTTGTCTATTGTGAGCTAGCAGCAGATGGAAACATAGAAGTTTTTTTAAAAAAAAACAAAGGCAAGATTTGATAAAATATAAGAGCTGCTGTTTGAAGAGAGAAGTAAGACTGCTGTTGGTGCTTTAATTCTGTGTTACATGTTGTTATCGACTAGTGCTGGCTGTATATGAAGAACGCAAATGTTTCGCTTTTAATACGTCGCCCTCATTGAGAATACTAAAAGTCGCTTCGCATCAAGCACAGGGGATAGATATGGTTACAATATTGCATGTTGCAATTTTCAAAGATACGTGGGATTTTTGTTGATGATTGGTTATCCGGAACCCAGACGGTCGGACGCGCAACGCACTAGGATAATGGAAGTCTGCAACATTCGTATGCATAGTCCAATCTGTGAGCCCTGTAGTAGCAATGTCAGCAGTAAATAGTTCAAATGTCGCACAAAAGATTGTAATCTCTTGCTCTACTGCCGGCTGCTCTTGGGAAGGTACTACAGGAGGTATAGGTAATGGTGCTTCTTGTGATGATGGTGGTGGAGGCCCTTGTTGAGTATTCTGACTACGTTCGGAAGAAGTTAAAATTCTTTGACTGGTTATTCATATATGGCTTTTATGAGCAAGATTACTAGTTTGTGTTGCAGTGCGTTACAGTGGTAGCTGCTCTGCTGTACAAGCGTGTTGCCGAAGGCGGCGACGGCGGTGGCGCTATGAGAATGGGAGTAACAGCACATTGCAAATCAAGGTAAGAAAACGTAAGGCTGTTACCACCTGCAAAATTATGCATGGTGACAGTTATATTATCGTTGCGGAAGTGGCCAGGAGGAACACCAGCATTTTGTGCCTGGCTTGCTGGCATTTGAAAAGTTCCATCGCTAAAGTTGGGCGTCAACAATGCCTCCACTGTTCGCACTTAGGTAGGATGGATGCTGTTATGAGTAGCATGTTGGCCCAAGATGTTGCTGTTAGGATGTTGTTGAAAGTGGCCCCCACTCCCCAAGAGTCGTGGTCGCCCTGCCGTTGGTCACTGTTGCTAAAATTCATAGTGTTAAGGTCTTTTGAGTAAAGCATTTTTATTAAGACATAGCATATAAAAATCTGGGTTAGTAAACCGCATGGTTCGTAGGTCTTTCCTTCGTCTTATTTATGATACGCTTTAACATCTATTTATGCACATATTTCAACAAAAAGCTGGTGCAGTATATACATACGCTAGCAAATGAAGTCGAGCTTTTTCTCAATCTGTATGTGGTAGAATGCAAGCATTTGCTGAAGAAACGACAGTTATATAAGCTGTTAAGGGGAAACAATGAACATATGAATATTGTACATTACATCCAGCTATTAGCTCATGGCTGACTCTTTTGGTCTTTCATTTTTCTGGCATAAAAATGATTTAACATGGTAGATGTTTTTTGCCCTTGTTTTTTTATCCTTCTAATGGCTTCGTTATACTACCGCATCATGGACTCGTTTTGGCTAACCTGCTATATATTTGGTAAGTTTCTTATACGCATCTCACAGCTACTACAGTGTTTAATTTCTCACATTGGTGTATACAAAGTAAGAAATATCATTATACAGTTACAATTCACATTGTACCTTGTTATCCTCATGATTATATATACATGATACTGTCCACGAAATGTATACTCGTGGATTATCGCATGTTGTCGTTCTTGTTCCATTATATAAAAGCCACAAACAAAAGTTTGATATTTTCCGCAGTGAAATTTTGCAAAACATTTTCTATTAATAAAAGGCAGAGAAAAACATAACGTTTTACACGATTTATTCAATGTCGGCGGGGGAAATATGCTATAATCAAGTATTTGGCTACATATTAAAGTCATTGAGTGCTTCTAATTAATCAGCGGTTTGACGATTCATAAGAAAGTATGTTCTTCCTCGGTATAATATGAGAAGACTAAATTTGTTTTCCTTCCTTCTCAAAGCTGCGTATTTTTCCTGGGATGTAAATTTGTATAATACATATAATAGTCTGATGAGCAACGGAAGTTTTTGGTAAGCTAATGTTAGTGTTCACTTACTTATGAACTCAGTTTTAGCCTCTTTTGATATGTATGCAAAGCAATATCAGACGTTCCTGACTTTAGTAAATATCATCATGATGCTCTTGATACTGTAGGATCATTGAATGCAGGAAATGTTCATACGTTCGTCCAACGATTTATCAACGGCGAGCAGCTGAACGTTTGTCAAAGTTGCTAACTTGCGGTTTTGGTCTATATCCAGGTGGAGACGCATTGGATTGCCGTAAAAAAATTGTCCGATTTAACGCTTTGCTGTATACGGCTGCCATCTTAGATTTTTCACCAGCAGAGCAGAATAAATATTTGGTAGTGGTATACTTGGTGCACATCCAGAAATAGTCTTCTTTAGTCTCCAAGGTCCATTATTGTGTCTCCCTGCTATTCTAATCAGCATCGCCCCTACTCGAGCTATCATCCGTTTGCATCGTCGCTAGATATTGATTTTTTTCGCAGAAGCACGTTTCTCCGGGTTCATAATGGCAAAAGGTGAGTTGCATTACTATATCAACAAAATGTCGGTAGTGAGCTATCTTTAGCATATGAACACTATTATCTTTCGACACTGCAGATTATTATATTACATTCTAAACTTGATAATTTCACGCTGAATTTCTCCATGTCTATTTCTATAGGGTCTTCTCCTGGTACATCAACCACATAGGACACGGATGATTTCGATATCCCTAGCTCGTTTGCCATGGCCTGCATGGACTTGCCCTTGATCTTCCCGTAATAAAACCAACAATCAATCAGCGACCAAACGTTTCAACGAAACTAATTGTAAACCTGTATATAACAAGGAAGATAAATGCAAATGCTTCCTCTTCCAATCCACTCTCTGTATCCAAGAAAAGCGGACGTCAGCTGGTAGAATGACTGTAGAATACCTTGACATACGCATACAAATACTAATATCATACATGTACACAAAGTAGAAGAAATGAGACGAGGAAGAATAGCTAACCTTTTGTGAAACGAACACATCAGTCATCATTGCCGTGATACTCGTTTCTCAGTTCGTCGATTTCGTAGATACTCTATTTGAAAGAAACGATGTAATGGGGAAAAAGGACATTTGACAACTACTACGCAAACATGAAGAGGGACGAAGGTGTTGGAGCAAACCAATCCCAGAATATGCATCCATGGTTACTCGAGAGCTTTCTCAAGTGCCAGAATTGTTTCTGGACATCATAGAGCAGCCTCTACCAATAGTCGCCTTTTAAGGGCGAGGGACTAAGCGATGGAGCAAAATAATTCTAAGTTTACATCCACGTCCGCTTGGAAGCTCTTAAGTTGCAACAGCAAAATTGTTTACATCGTAAAGCTTGCGCCCTCTCGGTGAGAACAATAATCGTGAAAGTGATGTAGTCGATGTCGTCGGTCCGGTCGCGGCGAGAAGAAGTAACGGTATCTTTGCCACACGACGGTCTTAAAAAGGGTTTTGCGAACGTAATCTTTCTTATCCGACGTTCTCATTGTTCAAAGACTTTACACTAGTCCCTCTCCCTTTCTCTTACCCTTTGACAATTCTAACTAAAATGAAAGCTGATACGTTGTTTTAAATTACATCAATAAGACACCGTGGGATGTACAAACTATATCATCAACATTATGCCGGGGTATACAAGTCAAAGTCGTAACGAAGCACTTGGTGATAAGATTAAGGAGGTCTCGAAAAACCCGGCACTATTCGTAGGACGTTCAAGAAAGAACAACTCGTGTCTACGGAAATAAAGTAACTTCACTTTTGAAAGGGTAACGCATTACAATTAGATTGCGCTTTGGCTCTCAATGACAAACAGTGCAGAGAAAGTAGTACGTTCTTGACATATTATGTGCCCTGAACTCAAAACTTTGCGTTTGTGATGGATGCCGACGCTATAAATTCTGCGTAATGGGTACACTAAATGATATGCTCGACCAAAACTGTATACACTGTCTTTCTGCAGCGAAAAAAAATTCAGGCCAGTATGGCGAAGAAACTATGCTATCAATATTTATGTATGGAGCACCCAACACGTCAAAAACTTGATATACAACAGAAAAAGTTGCATGAACTACTAGGAAAGCTGTATTTCATACTTTATTAAGCAAAACCCAGAGTATTAGTTTCTATTGTGTTGAATGTTGCTATAAATGTATCATCTACAATTCGTCTATTTGGCTTCAATCAGCACTTCTTAGTTTTACACACTTCAAGGTGGTACATTGTTTTTTTTGGCATGACTCAAATATTCATCTCCAGCACGCTATTATGGATCCCCGCCACATGTCGTTTTTGCTCTGTCCAGTTCTTCTTTCACCAAAGCTTAATCGAAAATATATGGAGGGCTCATTGGAATTACGTTTCTAATAACATGAACTTCCTACCTCTAAACATTATCTCTTCTATTTATTCCCAGCTAAATAGTTTTTATGCACAATCGTGTATCCCCTTTTAATTTCACATGTTTAAGCATTATATTCCTTCTTTCTGCCACTTAATATGATGTAGTCTGAAATAAAACTCGACGCTTTTTCCTCAGTGTGCCTAATTTCTCCAAAGGACGCAGTACATATGACATATGGACGTCCACAAATGCACGCATGGTAATAAAATCCTTCCCTTTTTTCTCATCAGACTGACTATCTAATAACATTGTCATATGTTCCAAGTCACAATCAAAAGTTCTTGCAAGATGCAGTTGCTGCCAACTATATTTTTAGCATTGCTGATTTCGTAAAAAAGCAGTTAAGTTTCATTGCGAAAAATTCTGTTGTTAAAGAAGCCTTGAAGACAAAATGGAGTAGTCGAATATCAAACGTTACAAAAGAACTTGTTATTCAGTTAGTAAGACAGGCGAAAAGGAAGATGCAAAATAGAAAAGAAGTTTATATAGCTAATACTGTTCTTTTGTTTCTGGTTTCCCAACTAAATCACGAACTTAGATAGTATACCCATACTTTTTATTTTGTATCATATTTATTAGTAGAATTTCTCTTATTTGTAGAAATAAAATTGTTAGCAATCACCTGAATAAATACCTTTACGTTTTGGTTTCTTCTTGCCCAACTCTACCCAGTTGCTCAGCGGATGGAATGCCTACCAAATGTTTTATCCTAACACTTTTGTATCGACTGACTGCTGGGTGCTCGTAATGCTGTCATAAAAACTTTGCATGCACGTAGAAAATATGTACGCTCCTTAGTCTTCACTGTAGATGAAAAGTACAGTAAGAGAACATAGGGATCAGCCTGATGTTAATATACCGAGCAACGCTTTTTGACGCTATGTGCTTTTATCATGTTGAGCATCGAGACTTTTGCACACCGAGCGCCAATTTTGTAATATTATCTATGTGTTACACCCTTTCCGCTGATGCATTATGAAAATTCGATGACTAAAGAAGGGTTGTTCCATAATCAAGACATGCCATTGAAGAAAAAGCGTTTGATATATCCCCATCATCTTATACAGCTTTGATATTATGCACAGCTGCTGCCCGTTTACATATATTTAGAAAAGGACTCTAATAGAGTATCACTTATCATTTATTTTCTATGCTCATAAACATTACATAGTTATTGTGTCTGTGGTGCAAGGCTTGGTGGTGGTGGTTGCACCACGTGGTAAATCGGCATGAAAGAGTCCCACATTAGATTAGCAAATTCCATCGGGTCTCGAACATAATAAGAGATAATCCTATTATCGCCGATCGAGAACGCCAGTGGATAATGGGATGCTGAAAGAGTCTCATCCCGTGTCCAAACCATCTTAGTCACTGTCTCTGCATGTGTCCCCAAAACGGAGAGGCGTTCAAATGTTGCACGGTAGAGAGGAAGACCTTGGTGCTGCCGAAAATTTGGAGGAACTGGTCCATTTGGTAGTCCTCTAGGAAATGATGCCGTTGGAGGTTCTTGCACATTCAAATTGTTGTCAGCACTATTGGATGGAGCCGTACCACTCATTGATTCATGGCCCATATCTCTTCCAAAATTAGCATTGGTGCTATCGGTAGTAATAGTGTTCGATGTCGGTGGTGGTCCAGTGGCCGCAAAATTAGCAGAATCGGCATTGGACGTATTTCCATTCGAGCGTTCATTGCGATCACGCTGAGGTTTACGCTGCTGATTGTACGTAGAAGTAGATGCTTCAGCGGCGGCTGCATGTGAATTGTTTTGGTTAAGTTGAGGGTCCGGTACAGGCTGGGAGACTTGGTGGCTGGCAATTAATTTCCGCAAGTTACTTGCAGCGCTAGCAAGTATCGTTGGGCAATCCCTGAGAATGGTGATAGGTCTAACTGAGTATGTTCCATATGTTCTAAAATAATGCTGCATCACAACCTCACTGAAATTTTGAGATCTGATAATATATGCGCATTCGCTTGCTTTTAATCTAAGGTAGTCTTGACATTCTTCAAGAAGAGCGATGTCTTCTTCCATGCGAGGATACCAGTAACCTGGGTGAAAAATAGGAACTTCCGTTTGACGGCCTTGTTCCCCAGGCCCATGTTGTACCGCAGGATTCAAATTTGTTGATAATTCGGCGTTGTTGATGGTGCCAAGTCCAAAGCGGCCATCGTTTGTGGGCTGACGATTATTTCCGTTGGAGCTCATAATGCAAGGAATATTGGTACTGCAATATTATAGTATATATCTAGGTAAAACATTATTAACCTTATTATATCATGTAGAGCCGCGCTGCTAATGAATATAATAACATGCTCCTGTATGCACATCGACGGAAAGATATAATTAAAAGGATAACCCTACCTTATTGCTAATAGACGATGAGAGTTGTAAAACACAATTGCGACTTGATAAAAGATGCCTAGGTCACTATTATGCTTGTTTTATAGTAAATTGTTTTGAGTAAACAATGGTCAACGATAGGATATAGGATAAGAAGGCTCTTTTGCCCATTTTGTTATCTCTTTATCCATCAGTATTGCAGGCAAAGAAACATAAACAATAAAACATCGATTTACCGCAATATTTCATGTTTCCTTTATACTGCAGGCGTAAAGTTTCTCGCTGTTTTTAGGGTGGATTAGTTTAGGGGGTGTTTTGACTATCCAAAAAATATTGTAAGCATTGTGTGCTCATTATCTTTCTTTGTGCTAGTTACTTAGCTGAGAGTATTCTCAAAACCTTTTATTAGTAGATAAGGAGAGTCAATGGGATCAAATCTGTTTCTTGTGAAGTATATTCAATAAGTGCGAATTGCTTACGCACAATCACGTAGTAGAAGTAGTATCTCTGTTTTTCTCTTACATTGCGCGACACTCATGCGTGTCTTGAGCTCAATGGGCATTCTTCCATGTGATATATTACTGTCTTCTACACTGCCTACTTAACCCTATGTCAGGTAGACAACTGCATAATTAACCGATGAATCTGATGCAAGGCCTAATTTCCTTCCTTTAACTTACTTTCAATGGAGATTCTTTCCTTCTACATATGACCGCAGCCATTTATGTATCTATATGGGAATTAAAAAAACTCATTGAATAGTGAGCAGCCACATACAACATCCCTCCGTTTTTTCTCTTTAGCAATATACGCTTTAGTGCACATTGTATTTATCAACAAAGACACACTTTCCGTTGTACCCGCTAAAAAAGAGGTGGTCAAAGCTCTGATTTTTCACTTTCAGTCAACGCTGTAATCTATCAAATCCCGATTGCCCTGCGTTTTTTAGTATCTATATTCACCTGTAATAAGTGGCTTGATATAATACACGCTTGCCGATTTCTAATTTATTCCACAATGAGCAGCAACAGTACAGAGAACAAGAGCACATTATTTGTTGGTATGTAAAGCGTTCAGAATTTTCTCTTGCTTGTCGAATCAATTTGCGAGAGAAGAACTAATCAAGTCGTCTATACACTTATATTAGGAGGACTTGATCAAGAAATGACAGAGGCGATCCTGCACGCCGCTTTTATACCCTTTGGAGACATTGTATCTGTACAACTCGCTGTCGATCCTGGATCACGTAAATATATACATGAACCAAAAAAAAAAAATTACGGACATGCCACACGGGTGAATCTACACGCGATTCCACAACTTTTCGAACTAAAAAGAACGATATATAGACAATCAACACAAAGGATTTGGTTTCATACAATTTGAAGAAGTAGAGGATTGCGATGCAGCCGTTGACAATATGCATCTTGCAGAATTAAATGGCAAAGTTATCAAAGTAAACAAGGCAAAACCACAACGAGTCATAGCAGGCTCCAATCGTGCAGGTAAGAAAAAAAGGCGTTTATACGTAGTATATGTATAATACGCGTTCCCAAAACACCAATTATCATCGTTCTTACTACGACTATGATATGTGTACGGGCAGAATTACTAACAGATATATGCTTAAATGATATACCTTTAGTATGGAGTGACGACACATGGTTACAAAAGTATGCCAACCCAGATGCAGATAAGGACGGCAACGACAACGACAATGCAGACGTAGAACCAAAATCACCCGATCATCCACCCCCGCCATCGCCATGATAGAGCAAAAAAAAGCAGGATCTCGAACCATCTAAAATAAAAAACAGTTTGGCATCACCTCACCACGTGACGCAGAGGGCAGCAATGTCTCAGTTTCATCAAAGCAAAAAAAAAAAGCAGTGCCTTTTTTCCAACTTGCCATTCATCTATCTTCTTCTCCCTTCCTTGTGTGTACAAACGTTTACAAACATGGCGACACTTCTTTCTGCTCTTAAACCCTTTTTTCGACATACGATCCGTCTCATCACCTTTACGCTATTTACACTCATTATCCTATTTCACGGTTTACTGCAGATGTTACAGTTGGCATTTTTCTCCACTGCACCGACCCAATATCGAACAGTGGCAATCACTATGGCAAGGTAGAATTTCAAGGAAGTGGTTCTGCGCAAGGAAGAGAGGTGATGAACGCAATATTTTTTATGACATTGCAACACTGATAATGGTCAAAAAACCGTAGTAGTGGTATGGGAAAAGCGTTAGCATACGAATATGCTAAAGATCATCAGCGGCTTGTTCTTTTCTGTGATGATACAAGTATGTAAAAGAATTGATCCTATGATTCTGGGGAAATTTGTACCGCAAAAAATGGTTGGATACTAGTAGGAAGAGAATTCAGTAGGACGTCAGCAAGGAAGTGGGTTACAAGTAGAAGAAAAAGGTCAATCAGTAATGTTATCGACTCAATCTATTTAGGAGCGTTGGAGGCAATAGGCATACGGTGTTTAGTACTTGGATCCCCATCTGTGGAAACGATAACGTTGAACCTCAGGAATACTAAGGCAGTGAACGATTTTTTTGCAGAGCAAGTGAATCAACTGCAAATCGATCTATTCATCGCCAATGTATTTCTTCGCCCGTTTGACGTTCCTCAAATGAACGGACCCAGTCCGATAGATGAAGATACGGATTATGTTACCGGGATTGTCCCTATCTTATCACTGTTTCGCTTAGCACAAAACTTGGGGAGACGATTCCAAATCGCGGGTAAACAACGAACTAACATTTAAAATAATTACTGTGCGTGTGTGTGTACGTGTATTCTGGGTGTTGCAAGGTAGGGCAGATGATCTAACTAACGCTAACTATGTATAATTTATTCAAATAGTCTGTTTGAATACGGATGGTCTAGCGAAGATACTACCGTACTCTGTGGATCTTTTGGTACAATTCGATGTTGCGAGAAGTGCCATGAGGATGCTTACAACACATCTTCGAGTACTGGGCAAACAATACGATGTTCAAGTCAACAACATCGTGGCAGAAGAATACCTGCTCGTTTCTTTCTTCCATATGTTAGGATGGAGTGCCATTGCCGAGAGGGCAGTGGGATGCTTGGCTGCTCAAACACGACGTGCTTTGAGCCAAAACTTAGCAGTCATCTATCCACCTGTGGGCATATTCTTTATCACAGTGCTTTTGGCCTCTCTCCCAGCAACTATCAGACAAGAGCTTGCATTAGTACTTCAATCATTAACACCCTGACGTTTCCATCGTGATCTCACGCCCCTCATATGTTAATTGTATAATATACTCAATATCCTTTTGTGGTATGTTGTTAAGATTATATGTATAAAAATAAAAAGTCACACGTGTACATGCACACACAAGTGGTAGCAGTACCGTTGAGTACTAAGCTGACTCAATGGATGGATGTGTGGGACGAGGGGATTTATCAGGGGCCTAAAGAACGAGTTTCTGGAACCATTCTTGCCTAACAGTCTTATCCATGTTTGGATTAATGCAAGGGAAAAAGCTAATTCATCAGTTAATGTTTAAACATTTATGCTAGGAATACAGTAACGTTGGTAAAAACGGCGTGAATAAATTATCAATAAGGCTCGCAAGTAAACTACATTTTTGCACGATTGAATCATTATGACGATACTATTCAGTGAGTTGATCTCCTGTCAAACACATATTGCGAGAATAAAAGCAGCCCATTATAATTTCGCAGGTATCGTTATTTGGAAGATTTAGCAAGTCTTAGACAGGTTGCACCACCAAATTATCCATCATACTCATATCAGAATGCATGTACAGATTTGCTCTTATTTACTTAGCGATGACATGAATACAGAAAATGCTTGGTGTACCTACACATGTATGTTTAACTCTTTTTAAAGAAAAATGAACGCTCCAGAGGTTCTTTTGACTTGTTGTAGCTGGACGGTTGTCATACTGTATAATATACAAATGCTGTTAGGGGGAAAACCAAGTGCTTCGATTTGTATTTGTGATTAGCCCCCATTTATTGGAGCTTCACGCCAATGGGATGCAGCTCACGAACCTGCTCATAAACAAGTTTTTTCCTGCATATGTATTCGCCCGATAGCGATCCAAAAGCCCGGATCTGCAAACAAAATGAGGGCGTCGTTGTGTAATACATAATACTGCTGGATCCAGTCTACAAACCAGTTACTACAAAAATGACAGTTGGAATGAATTCGGACAGCACCACTACTTGTTTTTACTTTTTGCCATGTACATCTCATGGTTATTAATAGCCAGGTTAAAACCAATAACAGACAGTAAATGCTATTTCCTTAATTTCTGTGTTTCCCTATTTATTCCTCAACTCCTTGGAACTGGTTCTATGCAATGGAAATGAAATCTTAATCTCATTTTAGTTTTTGCCGAGAACATATTATTGCCATCCCTATTTTTATTCTTAAAGACCAAAAGCAGAGTCAAGATGAAACAAAGTGTTTGTGGTATATGTGCTATTTTTGCGATCGATCTCCCGAAACATACCAATGTAAGCCCCAGCAACAAACAAGTTTTTCTTTGAGGCCCTGTCTCTCTCTCTCTCTCTCCCCTCTCATCATCACTTATCCACTCCTTAGTATCTATTTGATGTAAGTTTATTTCTTGCGAAAAAATCTTGTCACAAAGGCGCCGATAGGTCCAACCAGTCGTTCTGCCATAAATGGTGTTAATGCCACGGATGCAGCGATCCGAAGAGGCAACATGGCCTTGAGCAGTTGTACAGTTGTTGTTGATAGAAGAGAAAGAAAAGATAAACAACAATTTAGCATTGCATATTGATTACTTTTATCAATCAAATGTACCCCTTGGCAAGGTTGGGTGAGAGAGAAAGAGAGAAAATCACGCCTACACACATATTACACATTGCACGCACACACGAGAACACGAACACGAACACACACTGATACAACCACATGTTTGACATACTTTGACAACAGCGTATGACGTTGCGAGGTTTACCATGACTCGACTGTCGGGATCAAGCGGCTCGTACCCATAGCGTGTTCTGACTTTGCTCATGATCCGATTGCCTTCCGCCACTGCTTTTTCAGGAACAGGGATCCGAATGTCGGAATTGTCGAGAGTGTAATAAACAATAGGTAAAGGTACGATTGCAGTGATTTCATGCAAGAGAGCAAATGAAGTCAAGTATGATGCAGGTTTGTGACGGAATTGCTCGGCATACTTTTTCCAAGTTGATGCACCACGGCGAAACATGATTACTTTCTCGCTCGGTAATATAGTAGCAGCTAGTAATAGATAAAGTTTGTTTTTTTCGGGGGGTGTGTGTGGGGGAGGGGGAGGGCAGTAATAGAGGAAAGGGGAGGAGACCAGACAGAAAGAAAGAAAAAAAAGATAAAATAAGCAGCCGCGCACCTGCCATTCTTGACCTCGCGGTTACACTGCGTACACGTGTCGGCATGGTGCAATGTAGTGTTAAGCGCGTGCAAAAAGTGTAATTCCAAAGCTCGGTACATTATCCATTCTCATTATGGATGAGACTAAGTAGCATATAGTAGAATATTCTGTTTGCTTTTTGACCATCATCATCGTTCAACGCCGGGTTTTTTAATGGTAATTTCTTTTTTGATAGGAAGGGAATAGAGGAGGAAAAGGAGGATGTCGTGGAGGAGCATACAGATGCAAATAAAAGATAAAACAAATTAGAGAGAATGTGTGCGATTAGGTTCTTTCTGATGGAGGGGGGGGGTGAAGAGAGGGAGAGATATGATACATGCTGGAAGAATATAAACGTCGAGATCTACTTGACATTTCATGTACATATCTTCGTTTCCCCTGTGATGATATACACAGAAACAAGTAGTATATAGAAATAAGAACCTATACATATGCACCAAAGAGTACACGTTACTCTCAAGAAGAACATTAGAGTTTTCAGGTGTAGATGCAATACAAGTATAAACCTCAAAAAGAAGATAGGAAGAAAAAGAGAGTGGATGTGGGGGATATAGATGCATAATAACTATTTGTTTTGGATAAGCACAGGTATTCCGCAAGCAGATGTACTAGGCTATCGAAACGTAATTATTATACATATCCAATGGACGATGAAATGAATGGGAGTGGAATGAAGAAAAAAGGAGCGCGAATTGGGGAAGTCTATCATGATGAACATGACGACGACGATGGAGACGAAGAAGACGATGATGGTGTGATAGGGTTGTTGTTGTTGCTGTGAATCTTGGCGTGCCGTCGTAGGTTGCTGACTACCGAGAAATGGCGTCCACAGCCGTCGACTGGGCATTTGAAGGGTTTCTACATTGTACATAAGAGAGAAATGTAAGCAACAGCTAATTTGATGTCTAATAAAAAAAAGCTTTAAAGTGGTAGCTGAGAAGAGAGTATGTACCTCGCCAGTATGACTATACATGTGCGTCGTGAGCGAGCTAGGTCGAGTGAACTTTTTGTAGCATACGGCACATTTATATCGCTTGGGCGTAGAAGAAGAGACCTTTGTGTTGAACGTGGCCATCATGTTCTGGGGCAAACCGCCATCGGACGTGATCGTCGAGGTAGGCGAAGAGGATCTAGAGGTATTTGCTGAAGAACGACGTTTGTTGTAAGGTTGACAGTGCATAGTAGGCTGTTGGTGGTAATACGGTTGAGGCTGTTGTTGTGCTGGCGAATACATAGCAGGCGATCTCAAACCGCCACGCTTGTAGTTATTGCTGCTCTGCACTACAGTTTCAGACGTAGGATCGCCGACCAGACCTACATATTCCATACATACATAATAAAATTAGGAATACTACTCTCCATTGTCGCTTTGCTGGTTTAGACTGAATACGTTACCAGGATACATGTACGGGTGGTAACCATGGTGATGGTGGTGATACGGAATCGTTGGGCTTAAAGTTGTTGGTTGAGGTGGTGGTGGTGGGTGGTGAAGAGGAGCTGCTACTGGACCAGCCAGTGGCGAGTTGCTGCTTCTACTGTACACGCAAGGGTCTACGGGCAAGCCGGACTCAGAACGAGTGTAATCTTCAGCCATCAACTTTGGAGTGGGTCCACCGACACATACAGCGACAAGTTGCTGGTCGAAAGAAACAGGGCTGTATTGCATCGAGGATGCCGGGCTGCTTCCCGACGCAAGCGTACGAGAAGCGTGTTGCTGTGGTTGTTGAAGTTGCTGATGAGTTTGTTGTTGAGGCAAAAATGGTTGAGGAGATGAAGGCATGAATGCATGGTGTGTCGCGCCAGCCGACGGCACCGAGACAGAGAAGCCAAAAGGTGAGCATTGGGTATCGAACAAAGCGGGGCTGTTTGCGCCAGAACTATTCGCAGTGGTGGGGGTGGTCGTCGTTGCTGCTGCAGTCGCTGCAAAGGAAGCGGCAAGATACGGGTCGAATTGGTTCGATGGCAGACTTCCACCCCGCGAGAAGCCGTGGGTGGAGGGAACTCCCTGCGAAAAGTTGATGTCCAAGCTCATATTCGGGTAGACTGAAAGCATCCAAGAAAAGCGTTTGTGTGGGGGAAGAAACGAAGAAGGTAAGCGTGTGGGTTTGGGGTTCGAGCAAAAGAAACAGAAGAAGTGTACAAAGAAAATAAGCAAGCAAGCCTGTTAATTTCTCACAAAGCAGAAGGGAAAATAGAAACAACAAAGGGGTGGGGGCAGAGAAAAGGAAGGAAAGAGACGGATATTGTTCAACGGCACGCCGTGTACGGAATATACGATGTGAGAGAGAGAGAGAGAGAGAGAGAGAAGAAATGCAAAGGGTGTATATAAAACAAAGGATCTTGCAAAGATCGACTTTCTTTTATGTGAAGAGAAAAAGGTAAAGAAGAAGAGAAAGAAGAGGGGTAAGAACAGCAAACTCAAAGAAATTCGACGAAACAGAAATACCAAGGCTATTTAAGGTGAGCTTTTCAAGGGGGGTTGCACACACACACACACACACACACACACACAGAAAGAGAGAACGGACCGGTTGGGCCAAAGAGGGAGGCCCTCACTCTCTCTGCCTGTGTGCACGTATTACTCGGAGGGGTAACACTTGCACGAGGTTTCCGATGTCCTCATTGGCAACCAGCAACCTTGGACCCAGTATAAAGTAATAGTTGTAGCCAACTACAACAGCCGCTCGTCCGTTGCACAGACTGTCACTGTGTTACACCACTTGCCATATGGGAAAGGAAAAAATTTATCGTCTCTAATACGACTGTGTGTATGTTCATCATCGATCGCGCAAACGAGCTCTCGATAGGAAAAAAAATTCAATCGAACAGCGCACGGCCACTCTCTTCTCCTTCCCCCAACTCTCCTCGTTCCGCGCACACGACGTGCCCATTACTGCGTAATGTCTTGTGTATGTAGTATGTACGTGTGTGTCCCGAAAACATGATTTCATGGGGGGAGGAGGAGGAGGAGAAGAAGAAGAAGGACATAGCAGCTTACTAGCATTACCAGTAGTAGTAGTGTCAGGTCCAACTTCTCAAAGATTCACAACAGGTTGAATGTCCACCATTCTGCTACCAACTCTTGATTGCAAAAGAGGAGGTTGTTGGTTCGAAAGCAGAGCGGAGGTATTATACACTTTTGCCAACACAGTGCAAACCTTGTTGGGTGTCTGTTTCCAACTGAGTTACTATTGAGTTATAGTAGCACTGTCAATAATCACACCATCTTCATCATCTCCGGTCTAATACATAGCAGAGTACACATATGCACTACATGCCTGAACCAAAAGAATGGAGAGCCCGCGTTTTTCATGCTCTCAAAGTCGCAGATGCTGTGTTTGCTTATTCAACGTTCAACACCACTTTTCGGGAGTTGCCATATCTGTTGTCTAGCAATCTTTTACGTCGCACTCCTTCTTGATGCTGCTATTATTGTGTGGTGTAGATCTGAGTTGCCTTGGGACATAAACAACCGGTAGTTCCATTCCGACGACGTCCGAGACTTAATACGGATTAATTTTACTTTTGTCGTCCGACACCAACTTCTTGTCCTTTACCACTACATACAACTGTATATACTTGTGAACGTGCGTCTACACAAACTCTCACATAGAAAAGCTACTATTTTTGAAAGAAGAGCACGGCCCTTCCATCATTTTGGTTTGGTACTCCGAAAATTGGGGTTGGGGGCTGGTTAGATTCGTTGATATAAGTGGGATATAGCACAAGCCCAAAGCAAACCTGTATCTCGGAAATGTAACGAAAACAGTAACTGACAGAATGACAAACATTGAGGATTTATTAGGATGCACCGTACACAGGTAGAGCAGTTCTTAATACGTATTAGCATATGAAACCTATGATGAATTAATTGAACCAAGTTCTGCTATGCTACTGCTCCCTTTCAGATAGCATGCACGTTAATCACTACTTTGCTTGAGGCCATCAATCCAACGCAGCGGTCCATTCTGTCATTTATGCCGAACGAGCAAGCAATCATATATACTAGCATACTTTAAAGTTTGTAATTGACAATACATAGGGTATGGTGTGTGTGTGTGTGTGTGTGGTAATAACTATATTTTGCGATACGGTTTATTTATATTAAGATAAATACAGAAGTCTAACAGTTTTCATGTTTTTACAAAGCCATATTAGCCTTTGTATGCAACGGCACACTTGATAACACAGCACTCTGTCATAAGCACGCTCCATTTATATTTTCCTTTCTACTGCAAAAGAAGATTGTAAAGGGTGGAGCCAGTCATGCCCAAAAGAGCAAGGAGGCCCAAGGAGTAGAAGGCACCACGGACACGCTTTTTGGGGTCACCACTGAGATAATTAGCCGAATATACTGCTCTACCGATCAAAAATACAGCACCGGCAGCAGAAGCATAGACTGGATGGCTGATGCCACCTACCAACAAGAGAGACGAGTACACTGGGAATACCTCCAGGTTGTTCTATCCGTTCAAACATATCCAAGCGTTTGTCAGTTTCCCTACTATCACCCACTAACTTGTTCGTCCAAGGACAACCGTTTTTAATGTTTGTTGTATTTACCTGGTGGACACGTTGAGCGCAGTTGAACAAGTGCTTCTTGGGATCTTTTTCTGCTTCCGCTCTTTCGGCGTATGCTATTTTACGTCATGACACGCAAACACGTATATTAATAAGGCCACATATCCATATCATATTTCAAACACATACACATATACGGAGCTTGGCCCGTTCTTTTTCTCATGTTACTCACCATAAGGGTATGGGACATCGGCGGCGCGGCGGTATTTACCAACTTGAATGCCCAAGCTGAAAAGATATAGAGCGCTAGCGGTAAAGGTAGACAGAACCTAATAACGCAAAAATGTTGATGATGGTTAGTTGTTCTCTATTTCTCAGCATTTGGTGCTTCAGATCGTTGAGCACTCACGTAGCCGTATTCCTTGCTAATAACGATTTCACCCATTTTGAAAAAGATTAGAGTTAAGAAAAGAACACAGAAATCAAAACGCGGGGAGAAAGGAAGGACACGACTTTATATAGGGTTTGGCAGTCAGCAAACCAGTCGGTATTACGAGAGCTCCCGGCAGTGTTACACAAAAATAACACACTATAAAGGCTGTGGTACTATTACATCTGTTTCCACGGTTATCTAAAGCATTCGCGAACCGGATGCTTTATTGGGCCAAGAGACTATGTAAGCCTCATACTTCCGTCCGGCCCATCTCTTACAATCAATTTACGGAAAGAATTAAGAGTCATAATTGAAGCCTTCTATCTGTATGCGTCATTGTTTTTCATTGATGCCAAATTTAAACCCATCTTCGCCATATTAGGCAAGATGACGACGACTTGCAAAAGTCGTACGGGATATTACCATGAATCAAAAAAAAGGACCGTATTGTTAGGTTTGGGTAGAGATTTGTATACGCTACCGTTGGGCTAGAGATTTCGGTTTCGAGTGGGTAAGGAACCCATTTTGTTCGCAGGAGACCGAAAACTGCATAATTTTCCCGACATACTGGGGCATATGGTATGTTTCTTTTCTGGATTAGTGGGATCATAACATCCACAACCGAAGAAAAGTGTAGAAAGAAATTGCTAACTTAGAATATCACTTTACATTGATTGGACCTTGCACTCTCAAACTGAACGTTAAACAAGCAATGTAAAAAAGATACAGATAACACCCGCAAGTTTTACTGTTTAGGGGACATGAAGTAGTGTAGGGATGATATGAACGGCCCAAAATAAGCCTTTCGTTATGTATTTGTTTTTGTTGTCATTCGTTTGCTTGTTCGTTTGTTTGGTGTAGTACTATGCTGTAAGGAAACGGATGGGTTGCAAAAAAAGGAGAGAAAGGGTGAACGACTGGGAAGAGGAACCAATATAATAAATAAAAGAGAGTGGTATTGGTAATTGGATGGTGCGAGTATTAAATAGCTGTTTTCTTTGAAATGTGCGAAAGAGGGAGTGTGACGAAGGGGTATGATGTTATGCAATAGTCCAACCAGTCTTTTCATTCCATTTTCTTCCGTTATGTTGATGCATAGCAACAGTTGGTGACGGCGGAATCCCGTCCCATTCCAAATCCTGCCTGCTACTGTAAGGCGCTACTGGTGGATGACCTCGCACTCGACGATGCAAGTTTGCAACATTGCTCAACGATGCTGCGGGTGGAAGTAAGCCCATATCTGAGAACTGTATGCTACTATTGCTTCGACGATGTTGATGCTGCTGCTGTTGTGGTGAACGTGTTGCTGAGGCTGTTCCTACTCCTAGTGCCGCTGAAGATCGCATGCTACCATCGTCACCGTCTCGTTCCAGATCCATCACACGGCCATTGCCAAGAACCCAGTCCCATCGCTGCTGATGGTCTGCTGTTGCGTTGGCGCTGCTTACAGGTAATGGTAATAAGCTATCGTTCTTAAAATTGCTGCTATCCATTAAGCTGTGTCGATGGAATAATTGCTGTGATTGCTGTTGTTGTTGTGGATGATGCTGTAGGTGATGCTGTGGATGTGTCGATGGGTCTAAATGTAATTGTGGTGGCGGGGGTGGCAGTGCATGCATGGTTCCGATGGTATTAGCGCGTGGTCGACCCCCAGATGCCGGTGGTCCTCCTCCTCCTCCTGCACTTATCAATGGTGGAGGCATAGTGTCTTGATAACACATTGTATCAGGCGGCTCGAGCACACGTGGTAAAGATGACATGCCATTGTACGACGCTCGATGATGATGAAGGAATGGTCGGTCCGCGGTATCTGCATGAAGTGGTGGGGGAGGTGGAGGTACTGCTATTGCGGCAGCGGCAGCGGCTTGTGTTGATGAAGGTGGTGGCGCTGGTGGTGGGTGTGCTTGCGGTTGCTGTTGTTGTTGACGCATCATGCTGCTGGATGATAATAGCATAGAATTTTGTGTATAATAGTTGGGAAGGCTGGATGAATAAGGGGAGGACATCAGGGTTTGAGAATGACGATGATCGGTTGAACGATAACCAGGTGGAGGCACTGGTGGAGGTGGTGCAAAGTTCGTGTAAGATGTCGCGGTTGATGGTGTTGTTGCTGAAGGGGGAGAAGGTGAGGATTCGTCGTGGATGACAGGGAGAGAAGATGGCATGGAAGAAGGTATTTTCATGACAGGAGGTTGTTTGCGTGGGATATACGGTGGTGGTTTGAAATGGCCAGTGAACTCTTCACCGGTGATGAATGGATGCAGTTTGGCTTGTTGGGGAGACCATCGTTCAAAATGGTTGAGATTCAAAAGACCTTGCAAAAAGTCTATGAACGCAAGACGGTTCTGCTTCTCCTTTTCGATTTCCTTGGGCGTCATCGATGCTTTGCGCATGATCGGGTAGTTGTTGATCAGGTCCGGAAGCGTACGTGCTGCAAAGTAGCGCTTGGATGGCTGCTCTGACTTGCCCTGCTCTCGCGCGTATTGCTCCAGTGATCGCAATTTGTACTTTTTCTCCCCATTCTCGTCCATGTATCGTTCAAAATACCGACTGGCATTCTTTCCCATTTCAAGCATATAGTTCGGAGGTACGCTGTGACATTTGCAAATGCTGTTAATATGGAGCAACTTGTCTCATCACACTCCTCGCTTCTCTCACACTCGTGTAATCCACACACACATTCACTAAACATACCCCAGCATCTCCACAATCCGAGAAATTTGGTTGTATTCCGAGCTACCAGGGAATAACGGAAGACCAAGGAATAACTCGGTCGCAATACAACCCAGAGACCACATGTCGATCGCACTCGTATACGGCAAGCCGACGAGAACTTCGGGTGACCGATAGAACCGAGACTGGATGTATGTGTACATGGTCTGAACTTCATGACAAGCACTGCCGAAATCAATTACTTTGATCGTCGGCGATTCCAAACTATAGTAACATAAAACCATCCGTTTAATATGTAACAAACACACAGCCTTCCTCCCATCCCCAGTCCCTTAGTAACAAATCTGTTTCTTTCTTACTTTTTCAATAGGATATTTTCAGGCTTCAAATCGCAATGAATGATCCGTGCTTCATTTAGTACTGTCAATGAATCCAATATCTGAGCCGTGAACACGCGGACCAAATTCGTCGACAAGCCTCGGAACTGGTTCTGTTTGATCAGCTCATACAGATTGACCGAAAGCAGTTCAAATACCAGGCACAGGTGTTTCTGGTGGATGAAAGTATCCTTCAGTCGTAATATGTGGTGCTGATCGTCTGGATCATGTCGTTGGTTCAGCTACCTCGGAAATGATTGTTATCAGTGAAAAAAAGGCAAAAATAATGAATGGATATACCCTAGTAATTCCTTTCTCGCACATCCACATAACCCCCCCCCTGCTCCTCTTCATCCAAATACCCCCTTATATCCTCTGCAAAATAAAAAGTTTGTAGCTTTCTATTACCATTTCTAATATTGCCACCTCCATCATGCTTTGTTTGAAATATGCTGTTTTGTTTTTAACCACTTTAACAGCGAATATTTGCTGTGTCTTGATGTTCCTGCATTTGACCACTTGACCAAACGTACCGGCGCCGAGTACATCCAAGATCAGGTATCTTAAGGAACCCAAAAAATAAACAATGCGTTAACAGATATTCGAACCGAGCTCATCCTCTACAGGCCGCGTCTACCACCACCAAAAAGGGCTATAAAACAAAAGAGACGCTCTCTCCACAGCTATACTGTTACTACTATTGCTTACTTGTGACCTTCAGTTGATCCGAGAATGTCGTTGACATAAAGAATGTAATCAAAATCCTCATTATCGAAACCATCATTACCACAGGGTTTGCTCGGCTTGGTCAAAACTCGGCGTGGATTATGCACAGCATTGTATTGGAATCCGACGTTGCATAATTGATATGTTGTATTCAAATCCCTTGTCAACGCTAGTAAAGGCTAAAAGGAACGCTGGTTGAGTTTGTAAACTCTTTTTCTTGGTTTTCAAACATATTTATAACATTGAGAGATTTTAGGAACGTACACTGACATGATAATGCGAATGCTGTCGTTCAACATGCAACATTGGCCGTAAATCATGGTGATCCCTGACTCGTCTAAAGGCAGTGCGAGGCAATGCGAAATCCAGCGGAGATCCTTCAGGTATAGACGGAGCAGCAAACGTTGTACGAAGAGGAGATATATGCGAAAACGAGGAGGCGCTGCGAGGTGTTGTGGGCGAGGAAAGATAATAGCTATTGCTGTTGCTGTTGTTGTTAATAATGTTTATGCTGTTGATACTACTAGTACTACTGCTGCTGCTGTTGTTGTTGGTTGTTGTAGTCATAGCTGCAGCTGCAATAGGGCTATTGGTGATATTGTGCGGTGGTGGTGGCGGGTAACGTGGTGAAAGTGGTGATTTAAGGGCATGATCGGTCGACTTTGCGGATAATGAGGATTTCGGATTTGGAAGAGGTTGATTGGTGTTTATAGCAGGCAAGCTTATTGACGAATGACGAGACGTGGTCTGTTGTTCTTGTTGTTGTTGTTGAGGTATGGGATTGATACCACCAATGCTACTACTACCATTATTACTTGTAATACCAAGTCCAGAACCACCTATAGTACCAACAGTATGATTTTTATGGTCGACCTTGGAGTGTCGATTCGAAAACCCATTAAACGAATGTCGATAATCTAGTGACGTCGATGTTGGTAAATGCAATGAAGAAGAACTATGTTGTCGTTGGTGCTGGTGCTGGTGATTGTGGTGAGGGCTATGGTGGGGATGCTGTTGCTGTTGTTGTTGCTGTTGTTGGTGTAGAAGAAGTGGGTCTTGTTGTAGTTTTGGTTGCTGATGTTGTTGGTCATCTTGGTCCCCGATAGTGATGCCAATGTAGTTTGTATCCTGTCGTTGCTGTTGCTGCTGCTGCTGCTGTTGTTGTTGCTGTTGCTGATGGAACGACGAGGTTCGTAGTGGCGGTAGAGGAGTCGAATGTCTATATGCGCTGGATTCACGAGATGAATTTAGAGAATCCATGACAAAACAGTACAAACGATTCTTTTTCCAAAGCGAATGTTATGTATGTGTGTGGAGGGAGAAGGGGATTGGGAGAAAAAAAATAATATGAAGGAGTAAAAAACCTCTCACACTAATGAAAAAAAAATGGGAAAAGGGTTTGAAATAGAAGAAAAGTAAGCGGAATAAAGGTAATGCTGAGAGAGAGAAAAAGAGAGAGAAGAAGAAAACGAGAGGCTGGCCTTCGAAGTGTAAAAAAAGCGCTACTGGGAGTGATAGTGGAAGTAGTTATAGCGGTCTGTATAGGTGTATATTGTATTATATATACACACTACCGAGCGCCTTGGAGAGAAAAGTGAGTGAGCGGGAAAGCAGCAGATATAGAGGCAAGTGGGGGGGGGGGGTGTGGCTGGCAAATTATTAAGAGATACTTTCGCAGGTTAGGCTGACCTTCTACTGTATTACACCTGACGAACGAAATCATTGAAAAACTTAATGCGTGCGGAGCGAGCGTCCCCTTTCTACACTTTAAACATATAATTTTTCTGAACAATGTCTGCATTCCAGGTCGCTTCGCCAACAGAGACACGACACAGCAATCATAAACGAATATTTGTTGCACTTGAACCACTACAAAAGCTACAAATAGCAACGGGGGATCTTGTTATTGTCCAACGCGATCAACAATCGAACACTGAAAAGGTACGGCACACAAAGAGATCAATAACTACAGACACGCGATTGCGCACTTGAACCACAACAACAAAAGAAGCTTAACAGGGACCTCACTCATTTCCTTTTGTGTTTTTGTTCAGAATCAGTTTGCAATCGGAATTGCCTGGCCTTCTTTAACTCTTCCAAATAATGGTAAATAACAAAGTGTACCGACTACATATATATAACAAACATCGATGTGCCTTAATGAGTAATCGTTGAGTTATATACAATATATAATCATGCAAAGGAACTTTACTCTAACCAATAATTTATTTCCTTAATACAACACAACAACAACAAAGCAATTGAGCTTGGCGTGGCTGTTCGTTTGACAGGTCGTTTTGAAATTGGAGATCAAGTAGCGCTTAAGAAGTTTCAAGGCACACAAGCAATTGCCAGCCATGTGACACTTTCACCTCTCGCAAAGACTCAGTACGCGATAAATCAAGCTTTACTCGTCTTTTTAAAAGAGTTCTTATGTACGTATCAATATCATTTTCTCGAAATCACAAATAAGTTACTACTTGTCTTTTAACATATGTTTATGTAGTGGATTATCGGTTTATTACTTGTAATGATGTCATTGATATCAAATACATGGGCAAAATACGACGATATCGTGTTAAAAACATCGATAAAGCAGAAAACAACACCATAACCAATGAAAATCATGATACCACAATTTCGACAGTGTTTGCTATTGGCAGCACGACACGCGTTTCCGTCGTCGAGAAAGACCTTACCAAAGGCACAGAGTTAACATCGTCCTCTATGGAAATCGACAATGATCCAAAAACAGTTACATACGACCATATTGGTGGTCTTACCGAACAAATAAAGACAGTGCGTGATATGGTAGAAACGCCGTTACAGAATCCTGAATTGTTTTATCGCTATGGTATGGTAAATCGTTTTCTACGCACATTCAGCCACATGGAGAAAGAGAAGAACTTACCGAACAACACTTCTTTCTAACAACAACCGTGGTTAATGAATAGGATTAAAACCTCCAAGGGGTGTATTACTATACGGTCCTCCCGGCACTGGTAAAACCTTGATCGCACGAGCCGTTGCTCAGGAGACAGGCGCACATGCCATGGTGATCAATGGCCCGGAAATCATCAGTAAATACTATGGTGAAACTGAACAAAAAGTGAGTGTTACAACTCGGGCACCACAGGGTTGCACGGTAACCATAGCAACGATGTTTACCAAAGAGCCGCAAAGAATAGAGTCATCAAACACTTACCTATTTTCTCATTGAGTTACGCGATATATTTCAAACGGCAGCAGAATCAGCACCTGCAGTGATTTTCATTGACGAAATCGACGCGTTATGTCCAAAACGAGACGAAGCGGGCAGTGAAATGGAGAAACGCGTGGTGACCACGCTGTTAACACTGATGGATGGTACATCCAGCGCAGACCGTATTGTTGTACTTGGCGCGACTAACCGTCCCAACGCATTGGATGAAGCATTGAGACGACCAGGACGATTTGATCGTGAAGTGGAAATCGGCATTCCAAACAGTGATGATCGTTTGTCTATCCTGACTACATTGATGCGTCGGATACCACATACCTTGACTGATCAAGAATTGGCGTTGTTGGCGGGCAAATCGCATGGTTATGTTGGTGCGGATTTGGCTGCTGTGTGCAGGGAAGCTGGATTGAAGTGTATTCGACGTAATGCCCTACGTAGGGAACAACCTGGTATGTTGGTCAAAGGCAAAAAAAAGAAGAGTAAGAAAGGGTTGGTAGTTGCCCGGCTGGGGCGATTAGATGTACAAGCGAACGGAGAAAAGGGGGTCACTAGATCGCTTAGTTTACTTTTTATAGACTTGCGTGTGAATGTGTCTGATATGAACGAGGCTATGAGTGAGATCCGCCCAAGTGCTATGCGAGAGGTACTTTGTTGGATGTGCTCCTGTGGTGGATTAGTGCATGTATCAAGTTAGAGCATGCCGACCCTTATTAACTTGTGATGATTGCTTATTAGATTATGCTCGAGGTGCCCAAGGTTTATTGGTCAGATGTAGGTGGTCAAGCAGATGTAAAACAAAGACTCAAAGAATCCGTCGAATGGCCATTGCAGGTAAAAAAAATAATATTATTACATGTCGTACAAGGAGTATGCGTGTGAGAGAGAGAGAGAGAGAGAGGTGCGTGTGTTCACCAGCCCCGATTTCACGAGACCTAATTTAGTAATCCATTCGAGTAACTTTTTCTTTTTCCACTGCAGCATCCCGAAGCTTTTGAACGACTAGGAATTCGCCCACCCAAAGGAATTCTCTTGTATGGTCCCCCTGGTTGTAGCAAAACCCTTATGGCTAAAGCCTTGGCTACTGAAGCTGGGTCCAACTTTATTGCCGTCAAGGGCCCTGAGGTAAAATGACTTGTCTTTCTTTTCCATGCGCACGCGTGCGGACAACCGGGGAAAAGGTGCATATGGCTTTGTTGGATATCTATGAAGCTCGTACACTAAATGCATGCGCGCACGCCGTATGATTAGCTGTTCAGTAAATGGGTTGGCGAGTCCGAAAAGGCTGTTCGTGAGGTCTTTCGAAAAGCACGGGCTGCTTCACCCTCGATTGTCTTTTTTGTAAGTAGCTGCTGTTATCAAATCTAGAGATTTATTCTCATCATCTAGAAAACTAGAGAGAAAAAGAGCGCGCATATCGATCTAATGCACAAAGAAAACTCTCTAGGATGAAATCGATGCATTGACTGTAAAACGCGGGGGAGGCGGCGATGGTGGAGGCACATCGTCAGTTGCCGATCGCGTTCTTTCGCAACTCTTGAATGAGCTGGATGGCATCGAGCCTCTGGTGAATGTTACGGTGGTCGCGGCTACAAATCGACCTGATATCATTGTAGGTTCTATTTACTTGTTTATTTGTTGTGAGCCTGATAATATGTGTACTGTGTACATATTTGTGTCCAGTAAGATCACACAAGGAGTAAAGTGGATAACTATACTCATTGTTTATGAACTCTGTTTTTTATACACTTTGCGCTTCCTTAGGACGATGCTTTGATGCGACCTGGGCGTATCGATCGAATCCTCTACGTGGGACCTCCGGATTTCGCTTCGCGTCGAGAAATATTCAGGATCCAACTTGCCAAAATGGCATGCGACCCGGACGTCGATCTTGGTGAACTTGCAGCCAAGGTTAGTAAAGAAATTACACTGCGTCGCATACTTTCTGCAAAAAGAACCGGTGGGCGTACTTGTGTGTTTATTATCAATAACAACCCATTTTCGTACGCAGAGTGACGGATGCTCAGGTGCAGAAGCGGTAGCCATATGCCAAGAAGCAGCTCTCTTTGCCATGGAAGAGAATGTGCATATTGATTCGGTACATAACTCCCCGCTCTCTCCCATTCCTTCTCTCTCCGTTTGTCGTTATATTAGCAAACCACACAAAAGGCGCGAGAACAGTGTGTTTTAACTTCAAACGTTCATGTAGGTCAAACAAAGGCATTTCATGCAGGCATTGTCGTCATTTACTCGGCGCATAACACCTGAAATGTTAAACTTCTATCGCGACTTCCAAACACGCTCGGGATTACAAAGTATCTAAAGGATCATATGCTCTCCTTCTCTCTTGCTTGATGTTGTTATTATCGGTTGGTGTGTTTGTTTACTGAATGAAATAGAAGAAGAATAGAACGGTTTCACAACTTACCCATCCGTATCATACGCACCATTCCCTGTTATTTGTAGCACAACAGCCTTGGTTTCCCGGATAACGCTGTTGCATGGTTATACTTATTCCCACACATACACACATACAACACAATACATTTGGTTTTGGACTGCAACATAACAACAACCTTACACCTTCCGTTCTTACTCGTATTCTCTCATCAAAAACCAGCAACAGCAATAATAAAGCCAACACAGCATATAAACAAAACAATAAGAAAACGAATTTTTGTTTATTTCATATGATCAAGCGCCTCTGACCCCCAAGTAGAAGAAGCGCGATCTGAGAGAGCAGAAGGAAAGAGAGAGAAAAAGTCACGTTGGGATGGCGAGACAGATGAAAGATGCTGTGCATGATGTTAGTAGGAGGGGGGCAAAAGCTAACAAAAGTACACGAGGAAAAATACAAGGTAGTAAATTTTTTAGACAGCATCGACGGTACGGCTGCCAGCACCGGTGCCGTCTCTGTACAAGTGCTGATCCCAAAGGTAGACACCAAGTCCTTCGCCAACGCGGGTCAATTGGGTGACCATATCGGCCAACTTCTTGATGGCCTGGACTTGCTCGCTGAGGTACTTGTTCTCCAAGAAGTCGCACATCTGAGGATCGTTGTTGCCATCGGCGATCTTGTGCAAGTTGAGCAAGGACTTGTTGACATCCTTCTCGAGTTGAAGGGCGGATTCAATAGCGTTTTTGGCAGACTTCCAGTCGGTCTGATGTGGTTTGTTGTCAGTCAGTTAGTCGGTCAGTCAGCCAGTCTAGTGCCACGGTCAAAAGTAACAAAGACGCGTTATAGAGAGATACTTTACCTCAGGGGCCTGAAGGGCGCGAAGGATGACCTTACCGCCACGCATGTTGCAGTAATCAATCAAGGTTTGGGCGTGGTCTCGTTCCTGTTAGTAGCATGTCGATGAGTAAGTAGCCTGTTGCTGACAAGACCTGGAATGTACTTTACCGAGGCACACCCCAAAGTATCCCGAGACCATCCCCAACAAAAACGACAAGGGCAAAAGATCATGTATACGTTACCTCCTGGGCGGATTCACGGAAGTACTTTTCCAAACCTATCCCGAGCCAAAGAAAAGAAAGATGGTTAACATTACGCGCAAACAAGAGCAGTGGACTCGTGACATGAGGGTTAAGAGACCCAATGACAGTACCAGGCAAGGCCACCGAAGTGTGCTGAGCCCAGGCGCTCATGGAGAGGTAGACCTGGGAAGCTTGGAGCTCAGTGTTGATCTGCTGGTTGATAGCCTCCTCAGAAGCGGTAGCAAAGTTCTGCTTGGCCAAAGACATGGTGCTTGTTGAGAGTAGTGGTTAAGAGTTGGGGGGGGTAAGAGAGTTGATCAGTGAAGTAGAAGATGAGGGAAAATAAGGATGGACGCGAATTCGGGCTCTTTTATAGCTTTTTGAATGATCCCAAAGAACAACAACAACAACAACAAACATGCACATTTGCGTTTCAACCTTGGGTGTCTTGTGTGTTGCTGAATCTACTAGACGGGAGAACAGCATCTTCCTAGCCCTCTTAGTAGGCGGGAGTTGCTGTAGTTGATGAGATAAATGTGTATGTGGCACAGTCACTCAAAAGTCCACGCTTTGCTTTCCACCACACACCCGACGATAAGCACCCGCCTCTCCGACACACCATCACCAGCAATTCTGCTGCGCGCTTGTTGAAACAAATACTCCGCCAGGATTGGACTATTAAGGTATATTGATTGAGGCTGGTGCCCTATGTGATTGAGTGCGTGCCAATTTATTAACTTTTATCCCTCCCCCTTTTCTCTCTTTTTTTTTTTTGTTCTGCCTCAGTGATAGCAGCAACAGCAGTAACAACAACACAAACACATTCGCTACACATATCACAACTCATAACGCACGCACGCACAATGTCTTTACGAAGCAAGGTCACCTTGCTTTGCGTATTGTGCATACTCTATCTGTTTGTGTTTACGCTCCCTTCTTTGCATTCATCCCAAACCATAAAGGAATCAGTAGAGCCATCCTGGCGATGGCAGTTTGACGACGACACCTATGATGCCTTCTCAGCATCTCGACCTGCACCACCGTACCGCTCCCCTCCTCCACCATCCGATATTAGCAACCCCATTGAAAGCAGCATCGTTACCTCCATCACGTCCAACAGCTATTACACCGACAATAATGATAATAATAATAATAATAATTACAACGAACAACAAGACCCTGAACGATCCTTCACAACCACCACTCCTCCTACCACTACTCTTGATCCCAACGAAAAGTTCATCACATTTTTCACGCATAGCGGTTTTCAGAATCAGTTAATTCAAGGTACGTTTATTTATTATAACGGGAAAAAACTTCCCCTTTTTTTAACACTACTTTGCAATGGGGTGTACCTAATTATAAACCAAAATTAAACTTTTCTCTTATGTCTCTTTGTCAAACGTTTCTCTGACCTTTTTTATATATCTTGTTCAAAAAAAACCCACGTACGCGCGGACACGCTTTTTTGTTTTTATTTTTAGTTGAAAACGGGATTCTATTGGCATGGTATTTAAATCGTACACTCATTTTGCCACGCGCATTACTGGGAGAGGCGTTTGGTTGGAGCTATTTTGGTAAACTTCACTTGGAGCACACGTTGCACGACCCATACCATGATGAAAGCATGCCTGCCAAAGACTCTTGCGAGTTTTACGCGGAGGAGTTGGCTTTCTGGGATATCGAGTGTCCAGACCCTACGCGTTATGCCACGATGCCATTCGACGAGATATTTGACCTGTCATGGGCAAAGCAGCACGTCCGGATTGTATTGCGCGAACGGTCTGATTTCGAATGGCTTGATGAAAAGTACGGGATCAAGCGTGGTGGCGACGACGTTCCTGAATTGAGCAACGGCTCTTACGTCGATGGCGATATCTTGTTTTTCAAAGGTAAAGCTTCCCATCCACCCTCATCTTTTTTTTTCCTGCTTTAGCGATGATGGCTTGGTGTGTCGTGTCTTGGTTTTACTCTTTTTCTTCAAAATGGGATATTATTATCCACTATGTCTCGGCTCTTTCTTTAACCCGCAGCTCCGGTTGGATTATTATTTCTATTTTTTATCATTAGGCGAGACCCGATATGACTGGCGGATATTCGATACTCCTCGCAAATCGCACCGACTAGGCAAATACGCCGAAGGATTGGACATTTATCAACTACGCAAACGAAAGGAAAGGCTGATCCATTTCTCGAGCTTATTCGGCACCGGCAAACTACCCATTCGACGACCCGAGCACTATACATTCCTGCACACACTCCAACGGAGCATTATCTATCGACATCCTACCGTTTTAAGCGTGGCAGACAAGATTGTGAACGCTTTGGGCGGTCCTGGGAATTTCATTGGCTTGCATGTCAGGTAACTATAATGATCAAAATGAGGCTGATGCTTTGTGTAAACTCCATAAAAATAAACACAGTACTCGTGGGACGCGTCCTGTTTTTGGGGTTTTTGCTTTTTTTGTGTGGATAATTAATCTATGTGAAACGTATAACCTTACTTTGTAACGAATTTATAGATCAAGTGATGGCTGGTTCGTCAAGGCATTACCAGAGAACATCTACAACATTGTGCTACAAATCGACAAGGAATTGGAATCGCGTTCTCCTTCAGCATCACCAGAGATGATGTTGAACAAGATTGGACAAGGAGGATCTTATGGCCGCCAACATCTAGAAGACGGAGAAGGATTGCATCAGCAGCAGGAACAAGGGCAAGGACTGCTGCTGCAAGGCACACAACAGAAGCCTGACCTGCAGCAATGTTTGGATCTTGCCAAAGTGGGCAAGGCTACTTTGATCTACATGGCCACTGATGCGCGATCTCCACGCTCAAACATTGCCTTTGACCCCATCTGGAGTCGATATCCATGCACATTCACAATGGACGACCTGTTGGTGCCCACGAGTCCGTTTTATCACGAGCTGGATGCAGCTGTGGATGAACGTACCGGATCCAGTCTCCGTAAGTTCCTGTTGCCACTCGTCGACGCTACTATTGCCAGTCGCGGATGGTTCTTTATTGGCAGCAAAGGCTCGACGTTCTCAGGCTACATCTACCGTCTGCACGATGTTTACTGGGCAAATGCAAAGCTGGGTCAACAACTGCAGTCATGATCAATGAAGATAAAACGGTGATGACGACGATAATGCAAAGGCTACTGTTGCCGTCTCTCTATCGCCAGCATCATCATTACCGCATGTTCTTCTCTTTCTAAATAGCACACACAACCACAACAAAACCTCACGCTTTATCACTGCACTCTCATATACGTTCCATCACCCTTTTAAACCACTTTTCTTCCCGCCACCCCACTACACGACACAATCCCCAACAATGCACAGAATACTTCATCCACTCCCCAGGTTTTTCCGCTTTCATCCATCTGTTCTATATTATACCATGTACTACTGTATTGTAATTCTTGCCCTTTATTTTTCACGTACTCACTCTCACTCTTCTCTTTTTCCTCTTCCTGCATACCGGCCCCTGGCGGGTTAACCTTACATTTGCTCAAGGGAGTCCTGCCTTTTTATTATTATTATTCCATTAGACCAACCCCACACTACACAATCCACTCACTCAACTTTTTATCTCTATAAAAATTCGATGTACATAATACATAAAAAAAACCAAGTGATTTAGCTTATGATGAAATGGCACACTAGCGCACGACAAATAAATTAAGCTTCTTTTTCATTATATGTTTAAATTTGGTGAATTTATTCCCTTAATGTGGGTCTCACAATGATCATTGTTTAACGGTGTTGAGAAGGAGGGGGAAGGGCGAGTTAGCTTTGAATTGCTTGGCAACTCGTGTTGTTGATGAGTGACATATAGTCCAGCTATGATAGCATGATGACAGTAGCTTAATATACTAACCTAGTAGCGGTACAGTACATCATATATGATAGCTTAAAAGACCTCATGTCTATATAACTGCGATTGCTTACAACACGTACGAATGGCTACTGAGCTTCTTCTATTCGTCTATCTCACTATCATACCCAATAAGGAAGTGGAATTCACCGGGGATATGTATTAAGCTCAAGCTATACACTTTCCTTTCGGCCGTACACAGCGAAACATGAGCTATGTATACATACAACGCCATGCTTTGAATGACATCGTTACTCTTGTTCTGCTAGAACACAGCACAGGAAAATGGGCACATGTTACAGTATCCAATCCAAGCTAAGCTCCTTGACAGCGAACATACACACTGCTAGACATCAGTAGGAGCGAAATATGTGATGGCGTTCTTACTATATTTAGGTATCGTTCTCTGTATTAGAAGCTCGTGACTAAAAAACTAATTGGCCTGCTTTGAAAACCTCCTCAATATACATCCAAAATCACAGCCGCTTGGACCTTTTAATGCTTTGGAAGGCTGTTTTAGGTGTCTGGAAGGCCGCAAACAGCAAGAAACGACAACAATAACGGAAAATTGAACCTTTGCATGTAGATTTGAGAACTAAGAAAGGCGCTGAGAATATGCCATTACGTAAACATTAAGGAGAGTTGAGAGCCCTAATAAAAGATCTCCACTCCTGCACTGTTATATACTTGTCAAACCAAGCATTGCTTGCCAGTGACGACCTATTACTGCTTTTCATTCCGAGTGAGCAAACAGTGCTAGCAACTTTATTATTGTGGGTTAAATATATAATAGATGTTGTCAACATACGTATAAAATGCACTATGTAGCTCGCTCAGACGCAAATGATTCAATTGAATGGTGTGCTTTTAATCCCGGATATTTATGCACAAGCCTTTCTCCGGTAAATCCTTGGTAACTACTCATTGAAAAGGGTTCAGTTTGCTCTTTGTTTCCCATCCGACTGCTATGTTATTTTGCCGTTACGTTGTCTTCATGCAACAAAGAGAAGTTCTGTTAAAGAAACTTTTTATTGTCACCATCTCGTTGAAAAAGTTGTTGTTGCATATAATACCTTTATTGAGCCAACTGTTCTCAGGTAGTGTGTATGTGCAGTATGAAGTACATGATACGAAAAATAGCGGTGTATTCATTGAAATTAATAAAGATCCTGTATTGATACAGACTGTGCTAGGTTGTCAATCCCTTTACAGTTCATGACATGTGCAGTATTAACGAAGGGCATACGGACTTACACTTTGTTTCCGTACGCACATCAAGTAGTATATGTGTACATATAGCAGAATCCGTAAATCCGTTTCTTTTGAAAATATCAGCAGTATCATAAGAGTAATTTAAGTTTGCTTACGTTGTGCTCTAATTCAATGATTAGCAATGATAAAGGGGTCGAAACATATTTTTAGGTATCGAACGAGCTTTGATCGACCACAAAATCGATATGGAAAGAAGTGCAGTATACATCCCAATGTAGTTTCTTCTCCTTGTCTCTCAATGAAAGTTCTCGTTTTTTATACGCGCAAAGCGATGTACAACGCTATCATGACCGTTACTCGTACCAGAAAATTTCGCCCTAATTGGAAGAAGTTACCACTTGACAACATCGCTTTGTCCATAGTTTTTGCTAAAGCTTGTATGCTGCGTACGCAGTAGTGGAACTTTATTTTTCACCCGTATATAGTCCTGCATATACAGGCCCCTGACGGGTTACCTTCTTCACAATCTTTTCTTCTATCGCTTTGGTACTGGATAATTGTTGTCGTATATCTATTTTTTCCTTCCACTATTGCTATAGCCTGATTCATATAAAAGGCATCCAAAAAAATGAAACAAGCAGCTTCAAATGGAAAGTGGCACGACAGGAACAACCATATTCATCAGCAACATCACACTATGCAGCTCGCACCACCTATTACAACAACAAATTCTCCGTCTTGTTCATCCTCTCGTGATTTCAAATCGCCTGAGCCTCGATCCTTTCAATTTAGTTCCATGAATCAACAGACCGAGGAGAGTTTCGAGAATTACAGTCTCAACCATGCACAACACCACTTACCGTTGCCGTCACCGTCACCGTCGCCACCACAAGATCGACAACAACAAGAACAACAATCGTTACCACGAACACCATCACCACCACGTGCTATTCGGATAACTTCGACGCGCAACTATAAGTTGTTTCCCGGTAACAATGTGTTTTTCTTTCAAGGCCGATTGTTGACCAGTCGAGCATATTGGGCGTTTTTCTTGGCTTTATGTGTGCTCATTGCACCCTCTGTTTTATTCGCCATCTTTGTGTAAGAAAGACCAAGTCCTTAATAATTTGTTGATGATGAATTATGGTTAGAAAGAGAGAGAACGAAGAGACTAACTATTGATAATCTCATTACTACTGCCCGGTATGGTGTACGTGTGTCTTTTCAATGCTTTTGTATGTAGTTGCCCTTGGTTATGGCTGCACATTTCCCCAGCGATTCCTGTGATATTTGCATATCTATTTGTGCTGGCCTTGGCTTCCATGTTGAAGTCCTCGTGGACCGATCCAGGGGTAAACAGTTGTTGTTTTTTCAGTTTCTACTGCTTGCTGCCAGTACAAAGAGAGAGAGAGCGAAACAGGGTCCTAAAAGAAGCAATTATGGCGAAAACATTTAGATTATTCCGCGAAATCTCGACATCCCCCCACTTGTGGCAAACAATGAAAACGCAACAGATGAAATGGGTATACCTTACGAATCCATGCCAACGCCAAAAGATGTTGTTATCAAAGGCGAAATGATTCGACTCAAGTATTGCGATACATGTCGAGTCTATCGACCACCACGAGCAAGTCATTGCAGACAGTGCAATAATTGCGTAGGTAAATGTTGCTACCAAAATTTCCGCCGTTTTATAACCCGTGTGACACCGAGCAATGATAGCCACGAGTTATGAAATTGAAACAAAACTAACAGTTTGTCGCATATATCATGTTGAAAATAGAGAATGAAGATCACCATTGCATTTGGTTAAACAATTGTGTGGGCAAACGCAATTATCGACCGTTTTTCACGTTCATTGTTACATCCGTAACGATGTGTCTTTACGTGATTACATTTTCTTTGGTTCACCTGATCCGTTTGTATGTGGACAATGATCAGTCGTTTGGTACAGCACTCGCACAAGCGCCAGTGAACCTGTTGCTCGCCATATTATGCTTTCTTTTGCTTCTTCCGATGGGCGGATTAACGGGGTACCATTGTTTCCTTGTACTCCGTGGTGTAACCACACATGAGCAGGTATGCAATGGGGGTATTGATGGATGATTGTTTGTTTGCTCCTGCTCATTTAATTAATCTCTCTGATATGATGTGATGGTTTCTCAATAAGTTGCGGTCTACAATGACAATGCGTCCCTTTGAACACCAATTGTTCGATTTGGGAAACCCATTTGTAAACATGTTTCATGTTCTTTGTCGGCCACAACCAAAAAGGTACAGTATGAATAAGCAGGACTTAGAAATAAAATGCGGTAACACACTTTTGAAAGTACACCAAATTGATCATTGATATCCATGTAGTTACCTTGCGAGACGAAAATTTGCTGAGGAATGGTATGAAATTTCGGACCGACATCAACAAACCAAAACTTCTTAATCAGAGGCAGTCAAAAGGGAGATCCGGCCCGCCAAAAACACTACAACAACACTACTATCCCGGATAGATTTTGTACAAAACCAACAAATCAAAACGATTTCTTTAATTCTGTAACTTCTAGATACCACACCTCTATACTCATTTATAATATCTAATTTTACTATAAACATGCTGCAACCTGCACAATCTCAAACGTATGTATCAAATAATCCACTGATGATGATGGCTGGATGTCCCAATCCAAGCGCCAGAAAAGCGTATGCATATTCGCGAGTGTGAGAAAGAGAACATGAGCTATGCAAAGATATCATCACATTGTGGCTGCTACTGCAGAATTTGAAATCCAATTTCGGACACAAGCTCTTTTTTTTGGTACAAGGAATACTGTTATTTCGTTAATGGGTGGGTTGGTCTATGGAAATTAATTGGTGGGTACATAACCTGCTGTTTTTCGCCAACGAATTTTTCATTGGCCAACGACATTTTCTTTTGGACAACGGTCCTTCTTTTCGCTAACGGGAATTGTTGTTTGGCTAGATCAATTTTAGTAGGGCTCTGCATAGATTGAACTGAAACGAAGAACGTGAAGGCTGTCCAAGCTCGATCTGTATAATTCTGGTTAAGTATACGTATACAGGTCTAATAAATGAATCAGTATGAAAGCAGCTACAAAGGCAAAACTTGTTTTGTTTTCTGTTAATTTTATATTACAAATAGAGTTTGCAAATAGTTTTAAACAGCCATTTTTATTATGTATCTTTCAATTGTGTTTGGCACTGGTATTAGTGTAAAAAGTATATCTTAGAGCAACTGAACAGTGATGTACTTCACAAAAAAAGCTTAAATGATATTAAAACTTGCAGATTCATGATAGATAATAGCATTTCTTTTCTTAAGCTGTAGTGAGGTTCCGGGTGGTTAGTGCTAGGTGTACCGAATGTACTCTTCTAACTTCTTCTAACCATCTACTACGACAGCTGCCGCATCACTGCCATCCAGCTTTAACTGTAGAATAGTAAGTGTAGAGCCTAATCGATTAAATACATCGATCGCAAAAGAAAAAAACCAAGATAAAGAGGATCAACTCATAGGAGATGTGTCCTTTACAGTAGCATATGGCTCTTAATGTTGCTTCTCATACTGATACTAGAGAGCATATACATAATTAATGTTACAGTACATATGTGCTTAACACTCTGAACTTGATCTACGGAACAACGCCTGTCAAGACTATCTCCATGAAATTTCCGTATTTGATACGCCTGGAACTAAAGAATGCGTGGTGGCCTTCCATTCTTATAATGTCACCGGCTAATAATACATTAATGCTGCACCAAGACAACCTTAAACATAACATTAGAAATATCAAGTCATGGACATCACGTAGACGCCCACCATAGAACAATATTTCTATGGATGTCCAGCATTACGTCGCATAATAATCACAAGGTGCAAATTCTCGATCCTGAGGCTCATTGAACAATATCCAGCGCTCAAGGTGATGCAAATGAATTTTGACGCGACCGAACTCTACGAGAATTGTTGGATGTCTATTCAGCGCCTTCTCTTGCCCAAAGAAAAAGACAAACATACCAGCATCGACACATTGCAACCACATGGTTTTCGATAAATAGCAATATTGGTTGAGATCAAAGATGTTCAAGTGCGTCAGCGTCGGCTTTTTTGCGCACGCTATAATATTAGCAACAATGTCGGTTATTATACCATCGCCCCGCTACGAGAATTAGTGATACTTGCTACCACTTCAACAGTAGAAGGGGAGGACGATAGCCGATTGATTACAGGGTTTATTCAATGAAACCGTATATTCTCTACGGCATTCTGCAACTTGCAATGGCTACGATGTGATATCACCAAAGCTCAGGAGCAGCAATTTGCAACAATGATCCAAGATATGTAGTACAAAGTTTATCAATCACTCTGTCTCTTATCGCGTCAAAATCCCTGCCGCGATTTTTGATGTCTTGGGCGTAAAAAGTGCTTTGCGACGACTGGCTCTTAATGATGATCCCGAAACTTACGACAGCGATGCGCTTAAATGAGAAAGAATAGTATACAACATCTAGTACTCAAATACCACGTACACAGCGCACCTCGGTTTAATCTATCGCTCTTTAGTATGCTGCTCTTTGCTGCTACTGAATTCGCCTTATGAGGAATCAAACTCTGTGGAGGAGCTTTGACCTTGAATGATTACAAAACTTGGCCTCAAACGCTCAACTACGGTCTTCAATTTATATATTCCTATTGTGGCATTGCAGAGTGACGGCTAGACTCTGTATACGACCGAAATGAAGTGTAAAAAAAGGAAAAGGGCAGTTAATGGGCCCCAGATATACTATCAAAGCTATTCTGATGGAAAATGAAAAGTGGGAGTTCAACAATCGAAAATGTTTACGTCCGAAAACCCACTTGAAGAGATTTCTTTATTATGAAGAAATGTTGTAAAAGAAAAGGATAAGATATGAACTGGAGTGATATTGAATGAAAGGAGAAAGGCTATTTATACTAAGTGGTGCCCTTTTGTCTCTAGCTATGGGATTATTGGGTTGCTAATGCTAATGCGACAAAAGCATTTGCTAATACGGTGGATGCATTTACTAAGGCAGCGAAAGCACTTGCCGTGAGGCATTGGTGACTAACCCAATGAGGATGCGAGGGAGATAGGCAAAAATTAGGTGTGGTGATATGAAGTAAGGTTATAATTATTGCGGCTACGAATTTGCACTACACTATCTTGATATTGATGATGAAGGTAATTTTTTTTAGTACCCGGAATATTGGAGATGTCGTATAACTGGATTCGGAGAGCTTCTTCCAAGCAGTTCCGGGAGATGAAAGAAGTTGTATCAGTGCACTTGTCCAATCTTGGAAGCATCCCCAGCCTATACATGACGGGAATCTTAGAGAAAATAAGGCTATTCTTCATGTCGTGTATACGCTCTAGCAGAATCAGTTGGGATTACTTGAGTTTAATATGGTTAGGAAGGGAGATATTAGCAGCAACAGGCCTCATTAATTACCATGAGTTGTCATCAATAGCGCAAACATTTTCTTCTTGAAGAGGTTTTAATCACCTGTATAACATATATATAAGTATATATTCATCTTATGGATCTTATCACCTGCACATAATCTCATAATCAACAAGCTACATACAAGTTTCTCCCCTTGTTTCTTTTGTTTGATCTGGTTCGTATAGTACATAACTATAAGTGAGTATATAGACAGTCTACTACGACTTTCTCTCCTATGAGAGCGTTGCTTCATCATCCACCACTTTTTCATTAGGCATTAAACTACCAGCTACGCGGCGATTCTAAGGATTCAATATGCATGCAATGTGAGTAACAAGAATGCAGATTTAACTAGTGCACATACGTGGTATCAAGTGGCGCAATTTTGCCGCTATTCACTTTTTTTCCCAAATTGCGCAAGTTGATACACAGCGCTGGCATGAGATGATTTGGGCACAGCCAAAAATTTATACACAAAAAGCATACATAATAAAGATCTATCAATGTCATCAAACTAGACGAAGTAAAAGCCATTATTTTGGAAGCCTAGAAGGAATAGCACGGAGACAGTTATTGAAAAAGGTAGGTTGTTATTAGTCCTCCTCTGTGTGCACTGTACGTATGCTGCATTCCCAAAATGATTTAATTACATAGCACCCCTTATTCAATAGTTTTTTTACAGAAAGTCCGTTGCACAGATAGCGCCCCAGGGCATTGTGCAGTGTATACCCTGACTATCATCAGCATATCCCCTTCTCCGTAAAAATACAAAAGATGATGATCACTTTTTGTTACTGCTGCTGCCATTCTTACTACTACTATACTGCTACTACTACTGCTTTCACGGTATGATTAATTTAAACTAGTCGTCGGGCGTTGGACCAGTTGTCCGCCGCCCGCGGAACGCTTCCAGATCTAGTGTACCCCGCACACGGCACACGCGCCGCGTCTGCTGTGTTATCATTTCATGCGGTCAATTGAATCATTTTCTACGAAAGTTACCAAAGAAACGGAATTGAGTAGCCAGCCGCTTGTCCATCAGCAGCCTTCCGGTAGATATACTTATAATGAATTAGGGAATCATAACAACAAATACGTACATGAAAAAAGAAGGTTTTGATGACGTGTTATGTAGGTTCTTTTAGAGTTTTTTTTATATGCCTGTGTGAGCGGGAGAGAGACAATTTCAATTCAGTAGCGAGTTTTTATAGTTCAGAAACCTTTTTTCTTCCTCTTTTTCCGTTCTTTGTTTTCTTCCTTTGAATATCGTCTTTCTAACATGTCTTCTAAAGAAGCAGAAAAACCTAAAGCCGTCCCCGAAGAACCCACAGAGGATAAGGTAAATCTCATCATGGCAAATCGGTAGTTGAATGAGGAAACGCGTAAAAAAGTCAAACGTAATGTCATTTTCCTTCATACACAATAAAACTTACACACCGCTACGGGCCACTTACAGAAGACTTCTTCGGAAACGGAGAAGACTGACAGCAAGGACAGCGATGGTGAGCCAAAGGTCGTCGATCCCGAAGAGCTTATTGATATGAATACGTTTGATCAGCTTTTGGACATGGACGATGAGGAAGATCACGAATTCTCATACAGCATTGTACTCAACTACTTTGAGCAAGCAGAACAGACTTTCACAGACATGGACGCTGCACTGTAACGTATCACTGTTTCACTGTTTGCTTGCTTGTTTGTAGTGTTTTTACAGAAGTTCTCGGCTAAGAGTAGTAAAGAAGCAGGATGTAAAGCTAACAAGTGATGATACGACGATATATAGAGAGAAGAAGGATCTATCGGAACTGTCTCGATTGGGACACTTCCTCAAGGGTAGCTCGGCTGCGATTGGATTGAAGAAGGTCAAGGCAACGTGTGAAAAGATTCAAAATATTGGAAACAAGCAGGACGAGGTGGGGTCTGCCTCGATTGAAGAGGAAGAGGCATTGGAAAAGATCACAAAGCTGTTGCCACAGGTCAAAGCAGAGTACAAAGAAGCCGAAGAGTATCTCAAGAGCTTCTACGACCAAGATACGCGATAGAAAGCTTTCTAAAAGAATCACCGGTAATCCAAACAAGCCAAAAAAGAAGAGATAGCGCACGCCCCGAGAAAACGTATTCCAAGCACCCTTACCTACCCATTACCTACCCATGCACCCACCGATCAATAGCACTTCTTTTGACTCTCTTTGCACAAAGAGAAACGTAACCAGGCAACCTCTGTTTTTTTTATTATTGCTATGCAAAAACTCCAACAAGTGATAATGCAAACATGTGTGTCGCAATGATAACAACACCCCTTGGTTCTCTTTTCTTTCTTTCGACTCTCTCCTACTCCTTATGCACATACTCTGTACTTGTCTTTCTCCCAACTTCTTTCTCGGTAACATCTGCTTTGGATATATAAAGTCATCAGGAGTGACATATTCTCTAGGCAGAGACGCACTACAACCTTGTCACACATTGTAATACCTGCTTCTCATTTTTCCCTTCTTTGAAGGTAAATTTACTAACTCGAAATGGCTATTAGAATACAACAAAAGGAGAGAGAGAGAGAGAGAGAGAGAAACAGCAGAGAGTCGGGAGGCGGAGAAGGAGTAAATGGGTGTTGCCCAACGAAAAGGAAATGATATCATGCCTTTGGCAAAAGCTTAATTGTAAAGAAAACAAGCACAAACATGATACAAACAAACAGAACCACCCCCATCGTCATGAAACTCGTGCCCCAAGATTTCGAGTAGTGCGTGTCGAGTCGCTGCCGCTCTTTACGCAGTCGGTCCAGGTTATTTACCACCGCCTGTTGTGCCTCGTGCAACACCTTAAATCAAGAAATAACAAACGTCAAAAAACCAAAGCACGACGTTTTTTCTTGTTCTCTTCTTGTACGCCCGAAACAAAGAAAAACTGGTTTACACATCCTCCTTCTCCTCTCACACCCAAAATTTCGTACCTGATCGTCCTTTGCTAATGTGTCACCGAACGACTGACTGTTGACCTTTAGTTGCTGAGCCATACGGCCCAAATCTGTTGTCAACTCATCATGCATCTGTCTATGATGCTGTAACACGTGCTCAATGTTCGACGTTTCTTCTTCCCGAGTCATCCCGGACCTAGAAAAGAAAACAAGTCTACTGGGTCAGCTTGTTTTTCTGCTGAACAACAGCTTATGGAAACCCACCCTTGTCTTCGGCGCAATTTATCTCCTACAGGTAAAGAAAGCATTCCATGTGTTCAGCAGTAGATCCTTTTTTTGTCTACTAAAGCATGTCAAAAATTGCTTACCTGGCTTGTTATTATTGCTTGTTAAGATAATGCTTTCATTATCTGATTTCTCCTCCTCTTCCTCCTAAGTGACGCACAAATGATTGTTTTGGATGTATGTTATGTAAAAAAATTCCAACGCTCTTGACATGAAGTTTACTTCTTCGTACCTTTTGTCTTGCTGCAGCTGTGGCATCCTCATCAGGCGCATTTTTAATCTTTTGAAGCCATTCAGGTTCTTCGGGTTGTTGCAATTGTTTTAATCCATCCAGTAAAGACTTTTTGCTTGTCCGTGCTTCTGTAATACCCTTATTGATCCCGTCATTCTATGTAATACACGTATCATAGTAATCAATCATCGTCCTGCACTTTTTTGCATGATTCGAGAAAACCTCGTTACCATTCCCCGACTGGCCACTGCGTTCGCCAGCATTTCAATCCGTTCAGCATAACTTCTTACAAAAGACAATGTTATCAGTGCGTTCCTCATTGTCTGTTTTTCATCATTGTCTCAAATTTACATAGAATCAGAAAAAAAACCATACTTGTTTTTTATTCCCGCCTGGTGTTGTAGGTTCTCTAGGTATCGTACGTACTATTTCCAATGAACAAAAGTCAGCATCGTCCTCTTTAATCAAAAGTTCAAGAATCTTTTAAAGACACGTACAGCTATGAATTTGCCCTTCTCTATTGTGTTCCATTCTTCCTTGTCATTCAATCGTTGCTCACATCGGACAAGAAGTCGATAGAGATTTATTTCATTAGTGGAGACGACCATTATAACCGCGCAAAAAAGTTAAAAAAAAGCAGGAGCATAGCTCACGTTCCAGCTCCCGAATATGGATCCGCGAAATTTTATTCCGAGAATCAGTTTCCTGTCAAATCAAGATATACATACAAAATGGTCTGCAAAACCTAACAACTCACAACACGCCAGTCAATTCAAGCTTAGAATTCTTGGTGGGTTGCTAACAAGCAGACAGTAAATAATAAAACGCCTTTTTGTTTATTGAATGTCATAATTATTAAGCTAGGAAGCATCGCTATCTTTATAATGTTGATCCCATCGAAACCAAGAAGAATAAACCGGACCGTTATAGATTAAAGCTTCGATATGTAATGAATTTTGGGAAAGAGTCAGAAACAGAGCTGTAATGGATAGATAGCCTAATTTACTAAGATAGACAATGATTTATTGATTGAACATTTATAAGCGCTAATTCGCGATTTACGTTTAGCTTTGAAGGGTACGCCGGAGGATAAGAATCTGAGCAGATTAATGAAGCTGACTACTTTGCAACATTTGTGATAAATGGAACCAAGAGCTTATTAACTATATCGATTATTACATAGCTATAACCACAGCATGTCATACTCAAAACTTAAGAACAATTGTAGCTATAAACTATCAAAAGCTTTATATGCGATCTTTTTATTAGCTGTAAGAAAAAACTTAATATTAGCCGTAGGTATTTTAAGAATGTCAATTTTCTATAAGTTCTGTCTCGGAGCTCCGGATATCTAAGTAATTAGTATGATGTGCCACAAGAGTTCTATCTATCATCTTAATGTTGGCATGAAAACTTATAAGAAGGTGTTGCTAAGCGACAATGCATCAAGGAACAAAAGTGGAGGGTTCGACAACCGATTCAAGTTGTTGCTGGGCAACGACACGACACGATTTTATTGATCTTCTTTTTAGATGTTCCATGGTAGCCGTAACAACGTGTTATAGCCGCTTAAATAAATTTTGCTACATATGCAGAAGAAGCTCTGTGTATACATTATCTTTTAAGGTAATCCTGCATAGCCATGTGACACGAATTTGGAGACATACAATTTCTAGATTTCTTTTAAGAAATTAAAAGCAAGAAATAGCGGGTTGCTGTGTATATGAATTACGAAAGCAAACCACTAACTATATAGTCAGGAGATGTTCTTTGAAAGGAGGATAGCGCGCTTAATTTATCATGGTGTGATGGATAAATATCCAGGAAAAACCTTCGGACCTGAAGACCTAAAAAAGTCGGCAGATGAGCTATTTACGGCTGCTGCTTCTGTTGCTTCTTCTGTTGTGGCGGCGGTGATGCATTTGCATTCGAATAGAACCACGTATCACAGCACAGCAGTATCCAGCAAAGAAAAAGGGGGAGGGAGAAGAGAGAGAGTAATAAGAGAGGCGCAGCTCGGGCCGCACAAGACGCGTATTATCCTTTTCTGCCCATACAAACAATGAAATGTTGTCAGTACATGAATGGTGTTAGTGGAAATCATGACTCAGCCAAGAGTTGAGACGCTGCTAGAAAATATTTACTTTGTTGAAGGTTGTGCTAGTGCACACTACGTATTAGTAGTAGTAGTAAGCAAGCGGGCATTCAACTCACTCTTTGTGAAATATATTAGATATTATAGATTAATCCAGCACCATCCCCTCTCTTTCTCTCTTTCTCTTTGCGTGCTTGAAAAAGACGACCTTTCCATATTTTCCATTTGCAAAAACTTCCCACTTAACATTTCACACCTACTTTATTTTCTCTCGCTAAGCACTAATGCATCGACCGAGAGGACGGAGCGTATCACAAATACAAGACGAAGAGGTGCGTTCAACTACATTCTCAATGAGGGGTGTTGATGAGAAAACGGGGAAGGAAGACGAATGACGGCGTGTTGGCATATAAGATGAGCGAGTCAGAAAGAGCCACGCGCTGGATAATACATCGAGTTCCCCCACTCAATGTGTGTGTGTCATCTCCAAGAAAACTAATGCCTTGTGTTCTTTTTACCTCATTCTCCCTGCCACTGGCTATTCAAAGATACCGAGCATTGAAGCTCAACACGATTACGTGAACCGAGTCTTAAAATGGAGCATATCCGATCTCGAACGTTTCATCAATTTATTAAAGGGGCGGTACGTTTTGCGATACAGCTAATGGGATTTGGAGAGAATACCGAAACTGACAAAAATTGGGGGAAACGTGCCACCCTCTTTTCCCTTTCTTTCCTTCTTATATAGAGTGTATGCCGAAGAAGCCTATGTACAACACTTAAGCAAAATCAATCGAGCTCACGCTATGGCTGAAACAGACATGTTTAATTGCTTTGGTAACTCTGAGACGACGTTTCGACGAGCAACACTTCACTATGAACGTTCCATAGACCAAACTATCGTTGTTCGAAAGAATCTTATCCGCAGCATGTGGTCAGAAATTGATAAATTGGTTCATGTCAAGGTAATATACTCTTTCTGACACAAATGCCTCTTTTCAAACCATTGAATGTGCAATTAACATCCAACCCAAACTATGCGTTCGTAGGAAGCGCAAGAAGCACGGCGAAAGAAAGTCAAGGCCAGACTTGCCGAGGAGAACGCCAATTACATCACATATCGTACACGCGAAGTACCAAAGGTAAGATGCAATCTGACAATGCTTCTTAAATTATCAAAATAGATATGAGTGGTTGGGTCATGCTAGGATAAATGGTAGTAACCCAAAACCGATATTTTAGTTGCATAAATCGTATATGCATCGATGCATGGAACTCCAAGGCGCTCAGGAGCAATTACAGCTACAGCAGCAGCAACAACAAGGCGGATTTTCACCCATGTCAAACCATGGGAGCGATTTAGATCTACGCGACGGTGGAGAATCGACGACGCGTCTTTCAGCGGATGAACCACGACCACGTCTCTCAGCCGACAACGATTCTCTCTCCTCGCTTGAAAAGGATACTACCTTGAGAAAGGGAATGCAGAGCTTCATGGCACAGATGCGTACCCAGATTGCAAATGCCACGGCGGCCGCATCTGTCCAGGATGTGTCTAAACAAAATGCAAAATGTGCTCGCCTTGGAACTGAAATCATTGCTGCTGGTAAGAGACATCATCCATACTTATCAAAGCTTGACTAAAGTAAAAAATTGTTTCATGGCCCAATTCTTATAGACTTGGAATACAGAACGGGTATTCGTGTATTAGAACGACTTCGTAAGAAACAAATAGAGACAGCGGCCAAAGCATTAAAGGTAACAAAAAACTTTTTTTCCGCGTACTAAAGGACTTTTACAATATGTGAAAAGCATGTGATTCATCCGGGTTATACATATTTACCTACTTTTATCATTAATATTTTGTTAGCAAGTGGAAACCGTGTTTACAGACAAGACCAATGTAACGAAATCTGCAATGGGCGAACTGTTGAACAAAGAACGATCCACACTTGCAGATGAAACTAGAGTAAGTAACAACGCGTTTAATAAACTGCTGTCTGTTATGTGGAACAACAGGGGGAAGACTGATGTGTGTGGTACCTGAGTTTGGCTAACACCGAAACCTTTGTTACACGTCAGATTGCGGATTTCACAGCACGTTCAGTAGAGGAAATTGACGGCCAAAAAGACATTTATTTGTTTACAACCGAGTACCAGAAAAAGCGGTATATCACACCTTCTCGAATCTATTATGAAAACTACTATCACGGCAAATCTAAGGGTAAGTCAGGTTTATTAAAAAAAGAGGGGTGCTGAGTCAGACCGGCAGCAAAAGAATATCATGTGCTAGATGTATATTACTGGTTTAGCTTAACCCTGCAATAATTTACGTCTGTCATAGACTTAGCATTTGGTACATCTCTGGATGAATACGCTGCCGAATACAACCGAACAGTCCCACTTGTTGTCTCCAAATGTATCGAGGCGGTAGAACGGATGGGTGGCTTGCAAAAAGAAGGCATCTATCGTATTTCAGGAAGACAGAGTAATGTAGAGTCCCTGAAATACTTGTTTGAAAAGGGTGAACAGGAAGTCAATTTGGAGAACTCCAAATATGACGTCGTTACAATTGCTTCCGTACTCAAGATCTATCTACGAGAGCTTAAGCAGCCATTGTTCAATTTGAGCGTACAGACGCGCATGGAATATGCCAGTAAGTACTTGGGAAGGGGCGGTTATGTGGGCGAGCTATGGCTGCTCTTTATCATGTTACCATTGAATGACATCTCTCTCTCTCTCTCTCTCTCTCTCTCTCTATCGCAGCTCTTGAAAAGCAACGGCGTCTTGTTGCACTGCAAGGCAAATTATCCTCGTTGCCTAAAATACATCGAGACACTTTACATACACTTATTCGGCATCTTGCAAAGTATGAATTTTGTATTATGAGAGAGTTGTATCATTCATACTTACCAAACATGTTTTGTTATATTTTCATAGAGTAAATGCCCAAAGCCAGGTGAATAAAATGAACTTGCAGAATTTGTCTCTGATCTTTACCCCTGCTATATTCCACGATCACAACCATGCCGAAATACCAGGAGAATGGCGAACGGACTGTGTGTTTGAGGATATGATGACATACTACGAACCCTTATTCGCCAATGCTGAAATTCAAAGCCAAAACAATGCAGCGGCAGCAGCTGCTGCAGCCCAGCACCAGCAAGTACAGCAACAACAGTCATTTCATCATCAACAGCCACAACAAGCACAGCAACAGCAACAATCAATGTACCAACAACAACCCTATTTACATCAACAACAGCAGCACCCACAACATCCGCAACAGCAGCAACAGTTTCAGCAAGCAGTAGGAGCAGCACCACAACCTCAAGGAGGATTAACAAGCGCACAATCATCCACTGCCACTTTGTCCTCATCTGGTAGTAGCAGCAATGTCAACGCTAGTACTGGAATGTTACTGACGCAACCACTCCATCCTGTCAATTTAACTTCACCTGGACCACAACACCAACAACACCCTTCACCACAACCACAGCAGCAAACATCACAACAAGATATCTATCGTAATACGCCACCAGCACGAATGGCATCCGCCGATGCTCAAAAGCAGCCGCGTTCTGCATCCCTCAATACTGCCACACCTGTCACTGCAACACCTAGTAGCAGTAGTACTATTACCGCGAATAACCGTGCGGTTGTACCAGCAGCAGCAGCAGCAGTACCATCACAACAACCCCATGACCAAGCTACTCCTCCTCCTCGTGCTGATCGTCGACCATCTCAACCAATGATTGCTTCCCCTGATTCACAATTTTCAGTCGACACCCATCATCATGGTCATCATCATACTGCCAGTGAAATGTCGGATGCAGCTACTTGGATCGGCATGGCTGCATTGTCAGGTGCATTAGATAGTAGCAAGTCTGAAACAGCCACGATGGGCGGTGGTCTTCGTGGTGTCACTGCCCCTATCGATACTCGACCCGCAGTCATAACTACAGCACCAGACAATAGCACCAGTTCACCCATAGCATCACCCGCTGACGACACGCCTACATCAACACGACCATCCTCAATGCAAGCTGCTACTACTACTACTACTACTACTACCAAGGGAGGCAAGTTCGTACCACCACGACAAGACTCGCTACGTGTAACACGACAACAGATTGCCGCTCAGCAACAACAACAGCCTACTCCTCCCCTGCCACCTCCTATTATCACCACGACCCCAATCCAACAACAACAACAACCTGTCATCAGTACGAGTACTACTACTGCTAATAATAGTGCTAGTGCAGCTGCCAAATCTCCACAACCACCACTACCACCACCACTTTCACGCGCTCCCCCTTCCACTGGACCACAGACACCCACCATTGCCATTGGCATGTCTGCGCATATACCTTCTTCGGCTGTCATTATTGAAAATCCTTCCGTGGGTGAGGTAGTTGACAGTACTAAACCTTCGACCGGCAGCAGCGGCGGTGTCACTTTACGAGACGAACCATTACCATCACAACAAGCATTTGATAGTAATAGTAGTAACAAACATGCGTTAGCAAGGAGTCTCGATTTTGGAAAAAGTGAATAGAAACCTCTATGTATTGTAGTAGCCTTTTCTTCAGGCCCTATACTACACTCTATATACATATAACATATCATATAAATCAGCATGCAGGGTTTTCTCTCTTTCCCTTGAAGAAAAATGTGTTAATGACGGGTCCTACTTAAATTGATAACGTACCAACAACCCTGGATGATAACGCAAATTTGACAAAATCTGTATCGTATGATATGCGTTGTCGTCATCGTCGTCGTGTATGTGAGTATTTATTACTAAAATGTGCACCCTGCTTCTTTCCTTGCTCTTCTTCTCTTTTTCTCCTCCTTCAAAAAGATCCGTAAAGAAGCCCACTAGGATGAAAGAGAATGAGAGAAGAGGGACATGCACATGGAAAAAGAAGGACCCTACGACATACAATAGAACCCTGCAAGAATCTAAGCGAGTCATACAATAAGATTGAGCTGCTTAAGTATCTGTACTATGTAGTACAAAGTATTGGAGGTATATGTTTTTTTATCCTGGTACAATATACACCAGAGAGAGATTACATACAAACAGAAAAAGAAAGTTGGTGGAAAGGGAGAAAGGCAGGAGGGCATAAGAGAAAGAGGATCATTTATTGCCTTGTATTCTGTACCTATTTTCTTGTTTGGCATACTGTACGAGTTGTCAATACAGATGCTCCTTTTATGACCACTTAAATTCACTAATTCTCCCGTGCCCAACCACCACCGTCCACCTCTCCCTTCCCTCTCATACGTGTCCCTTCCTTATCGGGCATGTCTCAATGGAGAGAAGAGAAGGAGGAGCGGCGACTATATTGATGCGATGTTCTTTGGTGGTGAAGGTGATTCTAGGGAAACACTGCTAGTAATGAGTGGTGGTGGTGGTGTTGGTGGCCGGTTGCCGTCGTCTTTATAAGTAGAAACGCTGATGATAACACTGAATAACCGGTTAATATTACATTGTCCAACTTTCTTTTATTTACCGAGTATAATCTAAAAAACTCTCCCTCACTTTTTAACTAACATACTTTCTTTCTAACGGCACTATTTGCATGTACTATGTAGTATGTTGTAGCTAAAAAAAAGGCGTAAACTACTCCATTGATAAAGTCAATAGAAAGTTAGAGAACAAAATTTACCATATGCTATTAGTCACAGCATTACTACCAATACTACTAGTAGTACATACAATAAGTACACCATCTTATAGGCTTAAATAGAGGGAGAGCCCTTAGAAAGGAGAAAGGGTCTTCTTTCTCTTTTTAAATGTTGTGAAAGTTAATATTGGGAAAGCATCGTTTTATGTACTATAGTCACTAACCATATCACTTGTTACCATCACACGCTTTATTTTGCATGTATGTATGTCGTCATCATTATCCATCTTGTATTAATACCCTGTTTTCCATATGCAACATGTATTCGATGGAAATACAGTAAAGAGTAGATGATAAGCGGATCTGTAAATCATAAGCGTGGCCATATTATATAAATAAACTCGATCGTACATTGTCGGATCGAAAAATTCATAAATGAATGGTGGGTTCGCGCGACGCAATATAGCTTATATACTGTAAACGAGCGGCTATCGTTATTAACCTAACTAATAAATCAATGTATCGACGGCATCGTCATCATGATATACTTTTTGATTGACAAATTGAGATACAATCGTAACTACATTCTATCCTCAGCATGACATCCTCACATCGCATGTTACTGGATCATCCATCTCACCTTATTCACTCAAGACCCCAGAGAAAAAAGAACCAAGGTTCAGCGACTCTATCTTTTCTTCTCAAATGGATGTATGTACACCAACACAAACCCCCTGGAGAATTTTGTCACCTCCTGGAAATCCCACGTTGAGTCTCATGGGTGGCCGCGTTTTTTCCTTTCTGTTATGTGCTGATCTCTTTAGACAGTAGAGGTACACATCACACCACTTTCCCTCCAGAGTCTCTTTTGTATCTCAGAGAATAAAAGAGGTAAGGAGTAACAACAAATAGAAAGTGAGTATATGTGCACAAGTGCCGCGCCAATTGTTGGCCTGCGAAGAAGGGGGCGGAGGGTTTGCAAAAGGGATTTAGAAAGAGAGGAAAAGAGAGAGAGAGAGAGAATTAACAGACTGAAGAGAAGAGGAGTGCACTGGTGAGAGGGGCTGATCTGTTCGCTGTCTTTTTAGAATGTGTTTAAATTGTGGTTTGACTTGGACTTGGGTGGTTGGTTGGAGGGAGCACACCTTCTTTTTCTCTCTTGTCCCTCCCGTTCCCCCCAAAGCGAATCAAAGTTTTGTCCCGCGTGTTCTCCTCACGCGTACCCTACAATCACATCCCAGCTCCCCTGCCTTTTCCTTTTTTCGGACGGTGGTGGTGGTGGAGGTGGTAAAAAAAGAAAGGGGGTGGGTGGAGACTGAGAGAAAGAGAGGGTGTCTCTCGCTAATATGGGACAGGGAGAAGAGCGAGAGCTTTTCATCGTCAGCGGCTCAATATATATAGCACAGTCTGTTTTTCGTCTATTTGGTCGCCTTTTTTCTCTTTTTTTTTGCCTCTTTTCCTTCTCTCTTTCTCCTCTCACACACAAACTAACACAGACCGGTTCCATGTCGGGCAGTTTTTCTTACACCGCCCAAGTGCAAGGATGGCTGATGAAGCAGAGACATGGAATCTGTAAATCGTGGCTTCGACGCTTCTTTGTCCTGGACGGCAATGAACTTCGATACTACAAGAACGAGGTACACAGACACTCAGGTGCCTAATTACAAGAGGATGGCTGCTAATAGTAGTCCTCATGGATAGATGGACAGTATCCCGCAGTGCGTGATCAACCTTGAGAACTATCAAGTCGTCATCGACGTCATTCCCATCGCCCTCCCTCTCATTCTTAAGAAACAGCCGCAGCGCCAATATACATTTTTACTACTATCGAACGACAAGCAAAAGACCGAACGGTCAGATTTGTTTCTGCAAGCCGAGACCAAAGAAGAGCTGGATATCTGGGTCAACGCTTTGCAATTGCACCAAATGAACGATTCAACGAGCGTCTTGGACAAATGGCTGGAACGATTAGATGACATGCACAGCACAACTCCACCACAAGCTCCACATTCCGCATCAGCCTCTACTTCGGCCTCGTCTGCGTTTTTGTCGCCAACAAAACAACAGCGCCATAATAATCATCATCAACATCATCAGACACGACCACCTCTGCGAGGACATCGTTCTTCTGAATCACTTGCTAGTAGTGTAAGCTCAGCGGGTTCACACTCTACAGTCACGACGAGCCATCGGTCCTCATTTGCTGAGCTTCGACGAACATCGAATCCATCGACCCTGTCGTCTGCAACATCTTCACCCTCGACTGCAAAGGATAACAAGTTCTTTGCAAACTTGTTTCACCACTGGCCGCGATCAAAATCGCCTGCCCGTGGCGCTAGTCCATCGCCACCTCCTCCATCGAGGGATGGGTTCTATGACGACCGACAGCAAGAACAACAAGAGGAGCATCAGCAAGGGTCATCAGAAGCGGTTGTAATTGCTCCTGCGCTCCCTATCATCCATCCTAGTGAATACAATAAAATGTACGAGGAAGATGATGACGAAACGAGCAGCAACAACGATGCTACACCAATGACAACATCGTCGTCTTCATCAGAATCCTTGTCGTCAAACAATAATAGCAACAACAGCAACGATACTAATAGTAATGACATGAAGAAGGCGAAGCGCCAATCGTTGGCCTCAAGACGTAACATTCAGGTTGAACCCATCACAAACCCGAATCGGCTTTCACGTGGCAGATCATGTTCCTCCTTGGTCATGTCAGATAGTAGCACTGATTCGATTGTCGATCGTTTCCCACGTGTATTGACAACTCCCACATTGGGCGCAAGCAGAGTCAATGGTGCCTCGCTTGATCAGCCGGCCAATTGATTTTGTTGCTTTGCTCCTGCTATGACCAACCACTACGCGTACCGACTTATAATGTATATAACATCAGACACATCAAGAAACTACAACCACCCCGTAATATTAGTCCTTTATTCTCACTATTTTTTTCTTATCAAACAGTAACGTTCTCCCACTAATGCTACTGTTGCTTTCTTTTCCCCCGTCCTTCCTCCCAACTCTAAATTAAAGCATCACATCATCACCATCAGACAAGACAAGACGCAGCATATATCATAAATCATCATTACTAGTATTAAAAGCAAAAAAAAAGTATTATCTCTTTTTTTTTCCTTTCTATCCCTTTCTTTCTAAGCTTTTTCTTTATTATTAAAATGCATCTACGCCGTTGGAGGTTGTACAGGTGATAAATGCTTGGCATATTTAGCATTGAATAGAGTATAACTGAGTGTGACGGTATTGACATCCTTCATGTATGGATCATCCAAAAAATCAGGATCAATAAAGAAAAACACGGGCATATCCACATCCTCTTGAGGCTCAAGCCGTTGCTCCTCAAAACAGAAACACTGAATCTTGTTAAAGTAGGAGCCGGCACGATGGGGCGTGACATTGTATGTCGCAATGCCAACGATATCTTCCTTAGCCTTGCTCTTGGCCTTGTAAAAAGTCAGTGCCGTTTCGCCGGGGACAACGTAGATTTCACGAAGTTCCGGCTTGAAGGACCATGGTAAGGCGTCGGATGTGTTGCTTTCGAATGTAATGCGTATCCGTCGTTGTTCGTTGTGAGGCACAAGTCGTTCTTTTGAGAATCGGTTCGCGTCAGTCACTGGCGTGCCGCTGTATCCTGTGCTAGCGCAGAAGAGTCGATACAGTGGTACGGCTGCATAGGATAGGCCCAGCATGGAAATGAAGATGGCCGCTGCATACATGCCGGACGAAAGGTTGTCATTGCCACTGCTTTTGTTGTTTCTGGTTGCTTTGGTAGCATAACTTGCTAGTTGTTGTTGTTGTTGCTGTTGTGGAAAACCCCATCGTCTGTTCAAAGTGGATCGAGAAGCAAGACGAAGTGCCAATGGCGAGCCAAAGAGCGTAGCACCAATGGGGTTTCTACTGCATGCACGTTGAAACAAACCAAAACGTGTTGCCATTTGTCTTGTATGTAGGTTTTTTATCAGGAAACTGTATACCGTCTCTCGCTTTTCTGAGTTTTATTCAAAAAAGTAAACATGTCATATCGTCATATCATACCCCGCTGGGTGCTCTGGGAACTTATTCACAGTATATGTGGTAACGTAAAAAAAGAGTTTTTAATATATTCTTTGGGAGACAAATATGCTATAAGCAATAGGAAGAGAGAGAGAAACACACAAAGTAGAAGATGGAAACTATTTCGAAGCCTCAAGAGTATCGTCCGCAGCCCACATTGCACCGAAATACCCAACTAGGCCAGGATGTGTTTAATTTTGGGGAGCTTCCTTGTCTATAACCATTTCCAAACGATGTATGTGATTAGCAAACCTCTTTCCTTTCTCTTTTCTACTACGACAATAAATCACAACTTACAGGCCAAAGCATGTTCTTCACCCATGGCAGATACGACAGTGACCAACAAGTCCTTGCCTTCTTCAAAGTCGTTTTGCAACTGCTGGCCAAGGTCGGTGTCGGGAAGCTTGACATCATCCTTGGTATCGCCGCCCTCCAACAAGCTAAGGAAACCGTCATCGATGTTGATGAGCTGGTATTCTTTACGCTGGACGTTGGGGACATCCATGTTGTGGGTCGAGGGCGACAAATCTTCCAGCTTCCTGTAGAGCCGCAGCGAGACCAAAACAATGTTGAGCTCTCTCTTTCTCTGACTCACTATTGACGCATACCAACATAACAAGCCCGAGCAACAGCGGGTAGAGAGAAAGAAACTGATACTTACTTGTTAGTGAAAATGTCAATGGCGACCAAGTGGACCTTGGCGTGACCGTGCTTGCCAGTCTTGGAGGTAGACATATCAACGATCTTGCAGGGACGGCCCTTGATGACGACGTGGCCGTTCTTGCGCAGAGCAGAGCACTGCATGGGGAAAGTCAAGGAGGCACCAGCATCGGCGGTAGCGAAGGAGTTATCGTGATCGTCAGACATGGTCTAAGCGGGAAGGAAGGAAGGAAGGAAGGACGAATTCAAAAGGAGATGAGTTTTTCTATTGCTCATTTCTTACAATGTTGGAGGCACAAATGTCACCAATAATTTTTGAACTTACTGTACGGTCAGGTGGAAGAAAGAAAAAAAAGAGAGGGAGAAAATTACTTGGTAGTGCTTGCGCCGCTCCACATATTCGTTGGCAGCAGCCGCCCTCTCTCTGGACTAACTCACACACTGCCTGATTTGCTGCTACTGTTCCGACAGCATTCGCTCTGCTATTAAGAAAAAAAAAAATTTTTTTTTTTGCTTGCGCGTAAAAATGATTCGGAGTTCTCTCTTATTACTCGGGTGCTTTGACGCCCCTGGACTACACCTTACACATGACAGGCTCTGTTCGCGTTGCACATACTCTTAGTGTCAGTTATAGTATGATCATAAGCCATTCAGATAGTGAACGGATCTTTTTGTCGAGCTGCTGGCAGGACGTTCTGGTGTTTATCCCTCGTAAGGACGATGGCTCAGTTTCTATTATCCTTGATGAGATGACTTTACTACCATGTTAGCATGGTTTCGATCTGCTAAGTGATAAGTTCCTTATTGTGAAAAATAATACTTCATCGTTAGTGTAACCTTAACTTTTAACAATGAAGCGCTTCCAGCATTGGGGACTCCTGCTGCGACTGTACAATTGGGAACATGGATACTTTTCCAGTTGTTGTGCTTTTGGAGACTTGCAAGCCTTTATTTATTAAGCTTTATTTGAAAAGGCCCAGCATACTCACATGGGCTGCAGAATGCAGCAATTTACAAAAATGTGGAGGTCGTCTAAGTAACTATGTAGTGCTCCAGACTCTGAGAAATTTGGGGTAAGCAAGTAATGTACTACTGCTATGGGCTATGTACTAGAAAATTGACATGCTTATTTAGAAATAACACTTAACGAGTCTTCTCTCTTTTGGTGCTTAGAACTTTTTTAGGGGTAAATGTGAAAAGACTACCCCACGTTCTGACCCACAGCAGCATTCTGATCTGGATACCTGTGCGACGCATCGTCAAACCAAGAATCTGCGCATAAATAGATATTGCGCAAGCTACTTTGACAGCAAAAAAAGCTTGTGGCATTAGCAACCAAGACATTTCGCGCTTATTGATCCCACAAACAAGACTTTCGTTCCACATGTGTTATAACATATGGCGCTACAATCGATAGTCTCTATTGACCAATCAAATCTTTTGATATCGAATGATGTTTGTAATGCCAATGATACCGATCTACCTGTTGATCAATTGGGCAGACTTTGGTTAGCATTTGGTTCCTACCTAATGGGGAGCTTTCAAGATTACTAAACTGCCCTTTGTAACCCTTCGACGACCATGAAGCCTACGGGATAAGTCTACTCTGATTACTCCAACGGGGGCGGCATCGGTTTCGAAAACTCTCTGTATTACTTAAGAATTTTACAGCAGAAAAGAATCAGTATTATGGAAAACTCTGTGACAACCACTATTTCAAGAGAAAGCACTGAAAGGGAATACAAGCTGCTATCCAAGGAACCAAGTTCTCAATCGGAGCGTGAAATAGTGTGCAACCTGGTTGCCATGGCAACCAGGTTGTCATTTGCTTGTGCTTTGATTCGAGCCGTCTCAAGGTGGCCACAAACAAATTGTTTTTTTTAGGAGTACTATGAAGATCCTTTTCGCTTGTTATGTTTTATCAGCTAACGACGGAATGTTCTTGCCGGATCAAGATCTTCATATTCTCCTTTCACTGAGGAATAGATATGCATTAAAATCCGTAGTTGACACATGGCGTTCATGGTGGAGGTGGACTCTGTTGTCAGCTAATGCATGTACATTTTGAGATCAGGGTGCTCAGATAAGCCGCGGCCAACTTCAAATCAACAACAAACATCTCATTTTTAGATCCTTCTTATTTTATATGTGTATGCAAAATGATAAGCAGCACTCATTCTTCCTAAATTTCTGCTCAAAAGCATCCGTACCAGGTAGCGTAGTCGGCAATATAATCCGGATGAAGTCAAGTTTGATCGTCCAGTTCATGTCTGAATCAACAGTTATTCCAGATTTTGCTGTCTATCATAATTATATGCTTGTTCCCTTGTCGTTGTATCCATCTGTTATTTTGTTCGTTTCGACAAAAAAGAAATGTCAGACAAGAAGAGACGCAGCAGTTCTTCTGGTTTTCGAATTAGGAATAGAACCGAGGGATTCTCAATATATGCTAGTAATGTGGAGGTATAGTAGAAGAGACTTGTGATAGTGCAGTGTTATAAAAGTCAATTAAAGACAAGAACGCATCAATTAGGAAACTGACGGATGAGGCCATTGTCTAATATTAACACACCGACATGCAATCCATAATAGTTGGCGTTGCCATGGCAACGGGCTGCGTTGCCACACTTAATTCATGTGTAACATCGCAGCTTAGTGAAATAATCATATTGCGGTGTAGTAGTACACATGCATGTACAAGATTAGTGTGGCGATGCGCTGACACAGCTCTGGTATATAAGAGGCGAATAATACGAAAAAAAAGCTTTATCCTTTTCCTACCCCTTCTTCCTTTCGACAGTTGTTACCATGGTCCAAACACTCAGACGCCGCAATGCCGCCAACGAAACAAACGGCACTACTAGCACCAGCGACAAGCGCAAGAGACCGGCGGTATGTTGCTGATTTAGCCCTATTCGTTTTACTCGACGACGAATCTAGTACAAATAAGCGCCATCGATACTAATTTTAATGATCTTATACACACAAACAGACTCGAGATGGAACCCGTGTTCGTCTCACGGACAAGATGAAAGCTGCCGTCACTGTACGTGATAGTGGAATCAAAAAGGTGACCATAACACGCAAGAAGCAACAACAGCAAGCCAAAAGAACATCCACCCGAAACAAAACTTCTTCTGCTTCTGCCACTGTCAACAAGCCGATCGAATCCATCCGCGACTTCAAGAAGATCGAGGTATATAGTATTTTGGATTGCTTGCTGGTGCATAATGTGTATACATATATACAGCGGCCGTAACGTTTTCTCACCCCTTCTTTTTTCGTTCTCTTTCACACACTTTAGGGCCAAACATACTATCTTGTCCATCGCACCGGCAGTGACCCTACTCAAGACACTTGGGAGGCCGAGCAAACGATCGAATCGTTGGAGATCTTGGGCGCTTTCCGCGAACGCGTTCAAACAGCTTCCGGCTATACTATCGACTTCGACAACACCGTTACTACCAACGAAACGTCAACGACTAACACCAATGTCCGTCGGTCGACACGTACGAGCAAGACGCGTGCTATGCTTCGCATGACAGAGCCTATTGACATTGATAGCAGCGGCAGTGACGATGAAGTTACCACCGCATCACGTTCCTCCAAGAAAGGAAGTACTACCACTCGAAAGAAACGCAGCAACAGCGAGTCCAGTGGCAAACCAGCTGCACCAAAGAAACTTCGTGGCCAGGCAGCACGCAAGGCAGCCGAGGTGGAAGAACGTCAACGACGCATGGAGGAACGTGCGACCAAGACGGATGCTGCAATTGTAGGCATTGACGAAACTGACTGTTGTTTGCGCTGCAGCATCTTTCTGTATCGTCAAGCTGTCGAGAAAGACAATTTGGAATTGCTCAAGGCTGCAGTGGAGGACAAGGAGCATGTGCCATACTGGGAGAAGGAAGATTGCCAGCACTGGAGCGACATGGTGGTGGCGGCGGCTATGCTCAAGGGAAATAAGGAGATTGTTGGTCTTTTGTTGCAGAGTCAAGAAAACGGACGTGTCCAGGTTCCGACCAAATACATGCAGTATGGCGGAAGCACAGGCTATGTGAGCCGCTTCACTTTTGGTCACGCTGTCAGGTAAAATACATACAAATTGTATGGATGGCTTTGAAGCGCGAAAAGCTACTTGACGTTGTCTAATCGATTTTGTGTGGTATGTAGCAAGGTGAACGAGTCGCGTGGCAACCGTCAGGGAAACTCGGCATTTTACCGAAACAGTCAAAAGAATCTCATGGCGGTGGATATTTCCCGCTTGAACGAGTCGCTCATTTCTATCAACGTCCTGGAAGCTTTGCAAAATACAGCGCTGGATCCAGATATGGCGGATTTCGTCAAAAGTGCAACCAACCTCGTCCGCGGCTGCAGCATGTTCATGGAACAGAAGGGCTTTTACTATTGCGTGGCATCAGGAAACTGGAACGTCGCTGGAAGTATTATCAATCACATCCAGTATCGCTCAGGATTCAACACGGTACACACAAACGTACTCAGCGTAAGTTGTATCTCCTCTTTCACTAATGTAAAGCTGGTTATATGTATTCGCTTATCTAAACGTTATCATGAAATGCCGATGTGTAGTTCAAGAATGGTGAACCGCTCGAAACGTATCGTCGCAACCAGATCTTGAAAAAGTCGTTCGATTCTGGCTCTATCACGCCTCTGGAATGTGCTGCGATCCATCCTTCAAGAGCATACCTCAAAGAACTGTTTGAACAACTCACCCCTGCTGAACGTATTGAGACCGATGAATTCGGTCGTACCATTGCTCACTTTGCCGCGGCCAGCACGACGCCTGACTGCCTCGAGTACCTGATCGAGCAGGACTTCCCATTCTCGTCTGGAGACAAGTTCAAGTTGACCCCACTCATTCAAGCAGCTCGTTTCGGCCGGCACCAAAATATTCGTCCGTTACTCAAGCATTTAAGTAAAACAGAGATGCCAAACACCGAGTTCGCAGATCAAACGCTCCTTCGCCAACGCTGGCGCCCGCTTCATTATGCCGCCTACTTTGGTCACCCGGAAACCTGTCGTGAATTAATTGATTGTGGTGCTACCTTGGAGGCTATCGAAAGCACTTTACGTGCGACGCCCCTCTTGTTTGCTGCGCAGCGTGGTCACCTCGAATGTGTCAAGGTTCTTGTGGAACACGGTAAGGCAGATCCAGAGGCAGTCGACAAGTATTCCCGTACCGCACTTCATGTGGCTAGCATCAATGGCAAGTACGACGTTGCCAAATATCTGTTGCAAATTGGTGTCGATGCCAACGCTGCGGACACATCTGAAAACAGACCTATCCACTATGCTGCGGGCTTTGGTTACCTGCGTCTGTTACGTCTCTTGATTGAGGTTGGTGGTGCCGATCCAGCCGCCCCCAATGTGTGGAGAACGACCGCTTGCTCCGTCGCCAATCTCAAAGGCCACATTTCTATTGTCCAATACCTGTTGACCGAGTGCAACATTGATGTCAATTTCAAGGATCAAGACGGCAAAACCTTGTTGCATCATTGTGTGGAGGAAACTGTGACTAGTAAGCTGGAAGCCGAACAGTCGCTTCGAAAAGCCCGTTTGCTTATTTCCAAGAATGCTGATCCGAATTTGCAAACTATCGAAGGTAAAGTATCCATGTAACGAGAAGAGAATGCAGTGATTTTAATGATGGAATAAACAAGAACAATAACTAATTATTTGTGTAACTCTAGGTAACACCGTCCTCCATAGTTTTGCTATGGGTTATTTCAATGCACATCGCCCTGCTGGCTGGAAAGAAGAAGACCAGGAGGGCAACGAGCTCGTGAAGCCATTGGAATATGATGACATGGACGGTATCAATTACAGTCGACAAATGGCCCAACTTCTTCTGGAAGCCGGTGCAAACCTGGGCATCAAGAATAATGCAGGCGACACTCCTTTGGCGCATGGTATCCTTCATAATAAGGATTATGTGTTTGATATCTTCATTGAACGAGGTGCCATCTACTGGGATACCATGACGTCCTCTGGTGTTACCTTTTTCCAATGTCTGTTTGCAAATGCGAGTGAGCTGGATTCCTTCAACACGCGACGTGAGATAGATCGTGTGCGCAACAGTCGATATGAAGTCATGATCAAGGGCATTTGGGAAGCGATTGTAAAACATCCAGCCCCGGCAGATGCTAATACCAACGTAAGTTCGATTTTATTAGAGGAATGCACGCATACACGTATGTACTTTTTTCTATCTTTGGCTTACTAAGCACGCTTCTTCACAATTGTTTACAAATTTTAATAGATCAATACCCCTAACTCGGCTGGTTTTACCGCAATGTTGGCATCTGTCCAGGAAGTGTGCGAAACTCAAAAAAAGCATGTCAAAAAAGAGAAGGAGCGTATCAAGAAACGATTCACCTTAGCCTCCAAAAGTTATGCACAAGGTGAAAACTCTGATGAAAGTTCAGCCCGAGAAGAGGCTGTCTTTGAGTTCCGTTTCCATCATTGGGTAAGACCTTTTTTTGTGTTCTATAGCCATGCTTAAAGTATTACACTGGGTAACTTACGATTGAACATTGTGTCTGTAACATATATATAGTTGGATATGGCAACCAAGATTGTAGAAAATTATCACCCGGATATGAATTCGGTTGTCCAGTTGCCCAAGGACTTTTATAAGGGCAATCCCAAGCGGAGCAAGAGTGAATATCCTCGTGAAACTGGTTGGAGCGTTTTGCATTTCGGTAAGCCATGCGAGAGTGTACGAAAAAGAGTGAGTGTGTATGAGTTTAGACGATAAGTTTACTAAAGATATATTACTGTATGTATAGCTACAGCCACTCAAGATGTAAAACTACTGCACTTTTTGTTGTCCCACGGATCCGATCCTAACCAACGCATTATTGTCGCTGGCGTGCCAACTGGCGCTCCTCCTATGTTGAGTGGTTATATAAAAAAGAAGCTCCTTCATCAAGAATACTTGCCCACCACCGATCTACAAACCATCGAACACGCCAACAAGCTATTCAACATCATCAAACCAGATTTCGAGCTATTACTTCCCAACGCAATCAAGAAGTACATCGCGTTTGGCGCTAATCCGTGTGTTGCCGACAAGGAGGGATACTCAACATTGATGAAAGCTGCAGAATCATTGGATCATGAAATAATGGAGGATCTATGTACCGCCTATACCGAGTCGCACTCGTTCGAAGGTATCGATAACCGTGACCAGAAACATCACACTGCACTCATGTACGCGGTGAATGCCGTGCAAGAAGCTTTATCAAGAAGCGATCAATCCATCAACGTACTCACTGTCAAGCATTTGTTGGTCGCCGGTGCCAATCCAAACCTCCATTATGAAAACGCTTGTGGTGATACCGTGATTATGAAGATTATCCGATCCCAGTATCTACCTTTGCTAAACACGGTTATTGAGCACACTCATTATCCGATCGATCATTCTGCCGTTAACAATCGTATGTTTTGGGTTTTTGTCTTACCGTGCACATGTCTTGCTGGTTTGTAATCAAGCGCTCTCCACTAATACCTTTTTGGTTTTGTAACTTTTAGATATGGAAACTTGTGCAATTATCACTTGCAAGAACAAGAATGAGGATATTTCCAAAGCCTACTTTGATCTTATGGCAAGCTCTTATGCATCTTCTTCATTTGACGTCAATGTCAACGACAAAGAAAACAACACCGCACTTCTTATTGCATCCATGTCCGGAAACGAACATGCAGTCAATGTGCTTTTGGAATGCAAGGCTGACCCCAACCATATAGTTGGTGCAAACGTCTCCCCTCTCTGCCGGTCTGTGCAAAACTCCTACTTTCAGATCGCCCAAAGTCTGCTCAAAGCTGGTGCCAACGTCAATCATAAGGACGATCAAGATCTTTCTCCACTCCACCATGCCGTTCTCGTCGAAAAATATCACCTGGTCAAGCTGATGATAGAATTTGGTGCCAATGTACATGCAATCGATAAGAAGCAACGTACCGCACTTCACATTGCTATCCAGAAAACCAAGAACATGACTAATGCTTCGCTCCGAATTGAACGATTGCTTCTACAAGGTGGCAGTGATATCAATGCCAAGGATATTTTGGGTACATTTTTGCTACTATATATGCTGTTCCTCCGAAACCATCGCATAGCTTTACTCTTTCTAACCATCGCGTTTATCTCTGCTCCCTGCGTGTATGTTAATAGGACGTACACCGCTTCATCTTGCTTTCATACATATGGATGTCGTTCCTCACATGCGCAAGATGGCCACAATAGCCAAAAAGGTCAAGAAGATTCGCGAAGACAAGAAGAATGCCAAGATAATGGAAAGCAAGATAGCCTCAGCAGTCGAAAAATTCGGCCGGAACACAAAGGATTCAGGTTCCAATGAATGGATTGCCTATGCAGTACGAGCGCATCTTGAAAACAAGCAACGAGAGGAATCTGGCAGCAAAGGAAAGGATGGCGAAAATATTGTGATTATCGAACAAGACGAACTCGCAGACCTAGAACTTTATGCTCTGTTCCAATGGGAAATGGACACCCAATCGCCAAGCAAAGTCGATCCCATTGATATCATCAAGTTCTTGTCAAACTATGAAGATATCCAATACGACTTACCCGATCATTTTGGCCGTACTCCAATGCATTACGCTGCTACCGTGGGCGCATTCTCTTCCACATCTATCCTCATTGCCAAGGGTGTGAACATCAATGCCGAGGACTTGGATCAAAATACTCCGCTGCAACTTTCTCTTCGTTACAAGCATGTTGATTACTCGGTGATGCTCTGTGATCAAGGAGCTACACCTACCAGCGTGATGACTCTTCCTGCGGGTGATCCAGTGACAACTTTAAACTACAGCTTGTCCCAGGACTTTATGAACATGGCATATCTGATTTTGGATCGTAATCCAAGCGTATTAGGTAAGAAGAATAATCGCTTTTTCAACATTGCAAACTCTTTTCCCTGTTTGTGGCATAGTATGAGACTGACTGATTTTGTATATAGAATCGTTGCAAGACGCTTTGCGAACGGGCAAATTCCATGTTGCGGATATCCTGCTCAATTCTGCTCCTACTTCCACCCTTTCTGCGACCACACAAGAGGGCCAAAACTTGTGGCACATATTTGCCAACTTTAAACCGTTTGACAGGTAAAAAAGAAACTTCCAACACCTACTTATATATATTTTTTTAAATTTACAATACTGATAACGCAATTCATCTAGTGAGATTTGGGACGAGTATTTGACCGACGTCATTGCTAAAGTAGCTGAGCTTGGATTAACATTCGAAGCCGATGTGCACGGACGTACACCCATTCATTATGCTGCAATGTACGGACAAAACACGCTATTGAACAACCTGCTATCTGCTGGCGGCAGTGAGATCAACAAGTTAGATAAAGATGGTTTATCCGAGCTCTGGTATGCGGCATCGTCCCATAGCATTCAATCTGTTCAGGTAAGAATAAACACATTTCGCACATATATAGATAAGGTTGCACAACATTTTTCTTATTTAACGGTACTAATCGATTGTCATTTTTTATGTTATTAGCTGCTGTTAAACGCTGGTGCATTGACCGGAAAAGGCACAAGCTCGGCAACCAAGGATTCAGCATTATTGCTTGCAGTCAAGAGCAAGGATATTTACCTAGTCAAGCTTCTATTAGAGTCTAGTGCTCCTCGTGATGAAGATAGCATCCACGGAAGACCTAACGCTGTGATGCAAGCGTGTATGAACAAATCTGACAAGATCTTGAAGGTAAGCTTGAGTTCGTGGCAAAAATTGGTAGTTAGCCTCGCATCATGTATTGTAGTATTGATTTTGTCGGAATACAGGAGCTTCTGCAAGCAGGTGCTGATCCCAATGTAACATCAACTGCTACTTACCACCTGAAAGGCAAGAAAAAGACATTGGTCATTCAGCCAGTGTTTATTGCCACGGATACGACTTTTGAGGTAATTATTGCTGAGGTTGTTTTTGGATATTGGAAAGCAAGGTCTGTTCCATATATATCTGTGGTTTATCTCAACCTTGCGTGGTAATAAATTCATAGGTACTGATCAACGGTGGAGCCAATCCGAATGTCGTGAGTCCAAAGCAAGAGCCCTATGAAGGCCGATCTTGCTTTATGCACTTGAGCAAATCTACAGCAAACACGGAACTTTTAAAGGTACACTTTTAAATACATATTATGACATTTCGAAATGCTATATAGACGACTGGCTTTAATCTGTTCTACTTATTCACACTATATGTGGTAACGTAAAAAAAAAGTTTTTAATATATTTTTTGGGAGACAAATATGCTATAAGCAATAGGAAGAGAGAGAGGAACACACAAAGTAAAAGATGGAAACTATTTCGAAGCCTCAAGAGTATGGTCCGCAGCCCACATTGCACCGAAATACCCAACTAGGCCAGGGTGTGTTTAGTTTTGGGGAACTTCCTTGACTATAATTATTTCCAAACGATGTATGTGATTAGCAAACCTCTTTCCTTTCTCTCTTCTACTACGACAATAAATCACAACTTACAGGCCAAAACATGTTCTTCACCCATGGCAGATACGACAGTGACCATCAACAACATGTTCTGCTCAAATTTGTCTTGCAACTGCTGGCCAATGTCGGTGTCGGGAAGCTTGACGTCATCCTTTAGGGAGCCGTCTTCCGCCATCAAGTTAAGGAAACCGTCATCGATGCCCATGAGCTGGTAGTCTTCACGCTGGACGATGGGGACATCCATGTTGTGGGTCGAGGGCGACAAATCTTCCAGCTTCCTGTAGAGCCGCAGCGAGACCAAAACAATGTTGACTCTCTCTTTCTATGACTCACTATTGACGCATACCAACATAACAAGCCCGAGCAACAGCGGGTAGAGAGAAAGAAATTGATACTTACTTGCTAGTGAAAATGTCAATGGCGACCAAGTGGACCTTGGCGTGACCGTGCTCGCCAGTCTTGGAGGTAGACATATCAACGATCTTGCAGGGACGGCCCTTGATGACGACGTGGCCGTTCTTGTGCAGAGCAGAGCACTGCATGGGGAAAGTCAAGGAGGCACCAGCATCGGCGGTAGCGTAGGAGTTTTCGTAATCGTCAAACATGGTCTAAGCGGGAAGGAAGGAAGGAAGGAAGGAAGGAAGGACGAGTTCAAAGGGAGATGAGTTTTTCTATTGCTCATTTCTTACAATGTTGGAGGCACAAATGTCACCAATAATTTTTGAACTTACTGTACGGTCAGGTGGAAGAAAGAAGAAAAAAGAGAGGGAGAAAGTTACTTGGTAGTGCTTGCGCCGCTCCACATATTCGTTGGCAGCAGCCGCCCTCTCTCTGGACTAACTCACACACTGCCTGATTTGCTGCTACTGTTCCGACAGCATTCGCTCTGCTAACTTAGTATGATCATAAGCCATTCAGATAGTGAACGGATCTTTTTGTCGAGCTGCTGGCAGGACGTTCTGGTGTTTATCCCTCGTAAGGACGATGGCTCAGTTTCTATTATCCTTGATGAGATGACTTTACTACCATGTTAGCATGGTTTCGATCTGCTAAGTGATAAGTTCCTTATTGTGAAAAATAATACTTCATCGTTAGTGTAACCTTAACTTTTAACAATGAAGCGCTTCCAGCATTGGGGACTCCTGCTGCGACTGTACAATTGGGAACATGGATACTTTTCCAGTTGTTGTGCTTTTGGAGACTTGCAAGCCTTTATTTATTAAGCTTTATTTGAAAAGGCCCAGCATACTCACATGGGCTGCAGAATGCAGCAATTTACAAAAATGTGGAGGTCGTCTAAGTAACTATGTAGTGCTCCAGACTCTGAGAAATTTGGGGTAAGCAAGTAATGTACTACTGCTATGGGCTATGTACTAGAAAATTGACATGCTTATTTAGAAATAACACTTAACGAGTCTTCTCTCTTTTGGTGCTTAGAACTTTTTTAGGGGTAAATGTGAAAAGACTACCCCACGTTCTGACCCACAGCAGCATTCTGATCTGGATACCTGTGCGACGCATCGTCAAACCAAGAATCTGCGCATAAATAGATATTGCGCAAGCTACTTTGACAGCAAAAAAAGCTTGTGGCATTAGCAACCAAGACATTTCGCGCTTATTGATCCCACAAACAAGACTTTCGTTCCACATGTGTTATAACATATGGCGCTACAATCGATAGTCTCTATTGACCAATCAAATCTTTTGATATCGAATGATGTTTGTAATGCCAATGATACCGATCTACCTGTTGATCAATTGGGCAGACTTTGGTTAGCATTTGGTTCCTACCTAATGGGGAGCTTTCAAGATTACTAAACTGCCCTTTGTAACCCTTCGACGACCATGAAGCCTACGGGATAAGTCTACTCTGAGATTACTCCAACGGGGGCGGCATCGGTTTCGAAAACTCTCTGTATTACTTAAGAATTTTACAGCAGAAAAGAATCAGTATTATGGAAAACTCTGTGACAACCACTATTTCAAGAGAAAGCACTGAAAGGGAATACAAGCTGCTATCCAAGGAACCAAGTTCTCAATCGGAGCGTGAAATAGTGTGCAACCTGGTTGCCATGGCAACCAGGTTGTCATTTGCTTGTGCTTTGATTCGAGCCGTCTCAAGGTGGCCACAAACAAATTGTTTTTTTTAGGAGTACTATGAAGATCCTTTTCGCTTGTTATGTTTTATCAGCTAACGACGGAATGTTCTTGCCGGATCAAGATCTTCATATTCTCCTTTCACTGAGGAATAGATATGCATTAAAATCCGTAGTTGACACATGGCGTTCATGGTGGAGGTGGACTCTGTTGTCAGCTAATGCATGTACATTTTGAGATCAGGGTGCTCAGATAAGCCGCGGCCAACTTCAAATCAACAACAAACATCTCATTTTTAGATCCTTCTTATTTTATATGTGTATGCAAAATGATAAGCAGCACTCATTCTTCCTAAATTTCTGCTCAAAAGCATCCGTACCAGGTAGCGTAGTCGGCAATATAATCCGGATGAAGTCAAGTTTGATCGTCCAGTTCATGTCTGAATCAACAGTTATTCCAGATTTTGCTGTCTATCATAATTATATGCTTGTTCCCTTGTCGTTGTATCCATCTGTTATTTTGTTCGTTTCGACAAAAAAGAAATGTCAGACAAGAAGAGACGCAGCAGTTCTTCTGGTTTTCGAATTAGGAATAGAACCGAGGGATTCTCAATATATGCTAGTAATTTGGAGGTATAGTAGAAGAGACTTGTGATAGTGCAGTGTTGTAAAAGTCAATTAAAGACAAGAACGCATCAATTAGGAAACTGACGGATGAGGCCATTGTCTAATATTAACACACCGACATGCAATCCATAATAGTTGGCGTTGCCATGGCAACGGGCTGCGTTGCCACACTTAATTCATGTGTAACATCGCAGCTTAGTGAAATAATCATATTGCGGTGTAGTAGTACACATGCATGTACAAGATTAGTGTGGCGATGCGCTGACACAGCTCTGGTATATAAGAGGCGAATAATACGAAAAAAAAGCTTTATCCTTTTCCTACCCCTTCTTCCTTTCAACAGTTGTTACCATGGTCCAAACACTCAGACGCCGCAATGCCGCCAACGAAACAAACGGCACTACTAGCACCAGCGACAAGCGCAAGAGACCGGCGGTATGTTGCTGATTTAGCCCTATTCGTTTTACTCGACGACGAATCTAGTACAAATAAGCGCCATCGATACTAATTTTAATGATCTTATACACACAAACAGACTCGAGATGGAACCCGTGTTCGTCTCACGGACAAGATGAAAGCTGCCGTCACTGTACGTGATAGTGGAATCAAAAAGGTGACCATAACACGCAAGAAGCAACAACAGCAAGCCAAAAGAACATCCACCCGAAACAAAACTTCTTCTGCTTCTGCCACTGTCAACAAGCCGATCGAATCCATCCGCGACTTCAAGAAGATCGAGGTATATAGTATTTTGGATTGCTTGCTGGTGCATAATGTGTATACATATATACAGCGGCCGTAACGTTTTCTCACCCCTTCTTTTTTCGTTCTCTTTCACACACTTTAGGGCCAAACATACTATCTTGTCCATCGCACCGGCAGTGACCCTACTCAAGACACTTGGGAGGCCGAGCAAACGATCGAATCGTTGGAGATCTTGGGCGCTTTCCGCGAACGCGTTCAAACAGCTTCCGGCTATACTATCGACTTCGACAACACCGTTACTACCAACGAAACGTCAACGACTAACACCAATGTCCGTCGGTCGACACGTACGAGCAAGACGCGTGCTATGCTTCGCATGACAGAGCCTATTGACATTGATAGCAGCGGCAGTGACGATGAAGTTACCACCGCATCACGTTCCTCCAAGAAAGGAAGTACTACCACTCGAAAGAAACGCAGCAACAGCGAGTCCAGTGGCAAACCAGCTGCACCAAAGAAACTTCGTGGCCAGGCAGCACGCAAGGCAGCCGAGGTGGAAGAACGTCAACGACGCATGGAGGAACGTGCGACCAAGACGGATGCTGCAATTGTAGGCATTGACGAAACTGACTGTTGTTTGCGCTGCAGCATCTTTCTGTATCGTCAAGCTGTCGAGAAAGACAATTTGGAATTGCTCAAGGCTGCAGTGGAGGACAAGGAGCATGTGCCATACTGGGAGAAGGAAGATTGCCAGCACTGGAGCGACATGGTGGTGGCGGCGGCTATGCTCAAGGGAAATAAGGAGATTGTTGGTCTTTTGTTGCAGAGTCAAGAAAACGGACGTGTCCAGGTTCCGACCAAATACATGCAGTATGGCGGAAGCACAGGCTATGTGAGCCGCTTCACTTTTGGTCACGCTGTCAGGTAAAATACATACAAATTGTATGGATGGCTTTGAAGCGCGAAAAGCTACTTGACGTTGTCTAATCGATTTTGTGTGGTATGTAGCAAGGTGAACGAGTCGCGTGGCAACCGTCAGGGAAACTCGGCATTTTACCGAAACAGTCAAAAGAATCTCATGGCGGTGGATATTTCCCGCTTGAACGAGTCGCTCATTTCTATCAACGTCCTGGAAGCTTTGCAAAATACAGCGCTGGATCCAGATATGGCGGATTTCGTCAAAAGTGCAACCAACCTCGTCCGCGGCTGCAGCATGTTCATGGAACAGAAGGGCTTTTACTATTGCGTGGCATCAGGAAACTGGAACGTCGCTGGAAGTATTATCAATCACATCCAGTATCGCTCAGGATTCAACACGGTACACACAAACGTACTCAGCGTAAGTTGTATCTCCTCTTTCACTAATGTAAAGCTGGTTATATGTATTCGCTTATCTAAACGTTATCATGAAATGCCGATGTGTAGTTCAAGAATGGTGAACCGCTCGAAACGTATCGTCGCAACCAGATCTTGAAAAAGTCGTTCGATTCTGGCTCTATCACGCCTCTGGAATGTGCTGCGATCCATCCTTCAAGAGCATACCTCAAAGAACTGTTTGAACAACTCACCCCTGCTGAACGTATTGAGACCGATGAATTCGGTCGTACCATTGCTCACTTTGCCGCGGCCAGCACGACGCCTGACTGCCTCGAGTACCTGATCGAGCAGGACTTCCCATTCTCGTCTGGAGACAAGTTCAAGTTGACCCCACTCATTCAAGCAGCTCGTTTCGGCCGGCACCAAAATATTCGTCCGTTACTCAAGCATTTAAGTAAAACAGAGATGCCAAACACCGAGTTCGCAGATCAAACGCTCCTTCGCCAACGCTGGCGCCCGCTTCATTATGCCGCCTACTTTGGTCACCCGGAAACCTGTCGTGAATTAATTGATTGTGGTGCTACCTTGGAGGCTATCGAAAGCACTTTACGTGCGACGCCCCTCTTGTTTGCTGCGCAGCGTGGTCACCTCGAATGTGTCAAGGTTCTTGTGGAACACGGTAAGGCAGATCCAGAGGCAGTCGACAAGTATTCCCGTACCGCACTTCATGTGGCTAGCATCAATGGCAAGTACGACGTTGCCAAATATCTGTTGCAAATTGGTGTCGATGCCAACGCTGCGGACACATCTGAAAACAGACCTATCCACTATGCTGCGGGCTTTGGTTACCTGCGTCTGTTACGTCTCTTGATTGAGGTTGGTGGTGCCGATCCAGCCGCCCCCAATGTGTGGAGAACGACCGCTTGCTCCGTCGCCAATCTCAAAGGCCACATTTCTATTGTCCAATACCTGTTGACCGAGTGCAACATTGATGTCAATTTCAAGGATCAAGACGGCAAAACCTTGTTGCATCATTGTGTGGAGGAAACTGTGACTAGTAAGCTGGAAGCCGAACAGTCGCTTCGAAAAGCCCGTTTGCTTATTTCCAAGAATGCTGATCCGAATTTGCAAACTATCGAAGGTAAAGTATCCATGTAACGAGAAGAGAATGCAGTGATTTTAATGATGGAATAAACAAGAACAATAACTAATTATTTGTGTAACTCTAGGTAACACCGTCCTCCATAGTTTTGCTATGGGTTATTTCAATGCACATCGCCCTGCTGGCTGGAAAGAAGAAGACCAGGAGGGCAACGAGCTCGTGAAGCCATTGGAATATGATGACATGGACGGTATCAATTACAGTCGACAAATGGCCCAACTTCTTCTGGAAGCCGGTGCAAACCTGGGCATCAAGAATAATGCAGGCGACACTCCTTTGGCGCATGGTATCCTTCATAATAAGGATTATGTGTTTGATATCTTCATTGAACGAGGTGCCATCTACTGGGATACCATGACGTCCTCTGGTGTTACCTTTTTCCAATGTCTGTTTGCAAATGCGAGTGAGCTGGATTCCTTCAACACGCGACGTGAGATAGATCGTGTGCGCAACAGTCGATATGAAGTCATGATCAAGGGCATTTGGGAAGCGATTGTAAAACATCCAGCCCCGGCAGATGCTAATACCAACGTAAGTTCGATTTTATTAGAGGAATGCACGCATACACGTATGTACTTTTTTCTATCTTTGGCTTACTAAGCACGCTTCTTCACAATTGTTTACAAATTTTAATAGATCAATACCCCTAACTCGGCTGGTTTTACCGCAATGTTGGCATCTGTCCAGGAAGTGTGCGAAACTCAAAAAAAGCATGTCAAAAAAGAGAAGGAGCGTATCAAGAAACGATTCACCTTAGCCTCCAAAAGTTATGCACAAGGTGAAAACTCTGATGAAAGTTCAGCCCGAGAAGAGGCTGTCTTTGAGTTCCGTTTCCATCATTGGGTAAGACCTTTTTTTGTGTTCTATAGCCATGCTTAAAGTATTACACTGGGTAACTTACGATTGAACATTGTGTCTGTAACATATATATAGTTGGATATGGCAACCAAGATTGTAGAAAATTATCACCCGGATATGAATTCGGTTGTCCAGTTGCCCAAGGACTTTTATAAGGGCAATCCCAAGCGGAGCAAGAGTGAATATCCTCGTGAAACTGGTTGGAGCGTTTTGCATTTCGGTAAGCCATGCGAGAGTGTACGAAAAGAGTGAGTGTGTATGAGTTTAGACGATAAGTTTACTAAAGATATATTACTGTATGTATAGCTACAGCCACTCAAGATGTAAAACTACTGCACTTTTTGTTGTCCCACGGATCCGATCCTAACCAACGCATTATTGTCGCTGGCGTGCCAACTGGCGCTCCTCCTATGTTGAGTGGTTATATAAAAAAGAAGCTCCTTCATCAAGAATACTTGCCCACCACCGATCTACAAACCATCGAACACGCCAACAAGCTATTCAACATCATCAAACCAGATTTCGAGCTATTACTTCCCAACGCAATCAAGAAGTACATCGCGTTTGGCGCTAATCCGTGTGTTGCCGACAAGGAGGGATACTCAACATTGATGAAAGCTGCAGAATCATTGGATCATGAAATAATGGAGGATCTATGTACCGCCTATACCGAGTCGCACTCGTTCGAAGGTATCGATAACCGTGACCAGAAACATCACACTGCACTCATGTACGCGGTGAATGCCGTGCAAGAAGCTTTATCAAGAAGCGATCAATCCATCAACGTACTCACTGTCAAGCATTTGTTGGTCGCCGGTGCCAATCCAAACCTCCATTATGAAAACGCTTGTGGTGATACCGTGATTATGAAGATTATCCGATCCCAGTATCTACCTTTGCTAAACACGGTTATTGAGCACACTCATTATCCGATCGATCATTCTGCCGTTAACAATCGTATGTTTTGGGTTTTTGTCTTACCGTGCACATGTCTTGCTGGTTTGTAATCAAGCGCTCTCCACTAATACCTTTTTGGTTTTGTAACTTTTAGATATGGAAACTTGTGCAATTATCACTTGCAAGAACAAGAATGAGGATATTTCCAAAGCCTACTTTGATCTTATGGCAAGCTCTTATGCATCTTCTTCATTTGACGTCAATGTCAACGACAAAGAAAACAACACCGCACTTCTTATTGCATCCATGTCCGGAAACGAACATGCAGTCAATGTGCTTTTGGAATGCAAGGCTGACCCCAACCATATAGTTGGTGCAAACGTCTCCCCTCTCTGCCGGTCTGTGCAAAACTCCTACTTTCAGATCGCCCAAAGTCTGCTCAAAGCTGGTGCCAACGTCAATCATAAGGACGATCAAGATCTTTCTCCACTCCACCATGCCGTTCTCGTCGAAAAATATCACCTGGTCAAGCTGATGATAGAATTTGGTGCCAATGTACATGCAATCGATAAGAAGCAACGTACCGCACTTCACATTGCTATCCAGAAAACCAAGAACATGACTAATGCTTCGCTCCGAATTGAACGATTGCTTCTACAAGGTGGCAGTGATATCAATGCCAAGGATATTTTGGGTACATTTTTGCTACTATATATGCTGTTCCTCCGAAACCATCGCATAGCTTTACTCTTTCTAACCATCGCGTTTATCTCTGCTCCCTGCGTGTATGTTAATAGGACGTACACCGCTTCATCTTGCTTTCATACATATGGATGTCGTTCCTCACATGCGCAAGATGGCCACAATAGCCAAAAAGGTCAAGAAGATTCGCGAAGACAAGAAGAATGCCAAGATAATGGAAAGCAAGATAGCCTCAGCAGTCGAAAAATTCGGCCGGAACACAAAGGATTCAGGTTCCAATGAATGGATTGCCTATGCAGTACGAGCGCATCTTGAAAACAAGCAACGAGAGGAATCTGGCAGCAAAGGAAAGGATGGCGAAAATATTGTGATTATCGAACAAGACGAACTCGCAGACCTAGAACTTTATGCTCTGTTCCAATGGGAAATGGACACCCAATCGCCAAGCAAAGTCGATCCCATTGATATCATCAAGTTCTTGTCAAACTATGAAGATATCCAATACGACTTACCCGATCATTTTGGCCGTACTCCAATGCATTACGCTGCTACCGTGGGCGCATTCTCTTCCACATCTATCCTCATTGCCAAGGGTGTGAACATCAATGCCGAGGACTTGGATCAAAATACTCCGCTGCAACTTTCTCTTCGTTACAAGCATGTTGATTACTCGGTGATGCTCTGTGATCAAGGAGCTACACCTACCAGCGTGATGACTCTTCCTGCGGGTGATCCAGTGACAACTTTAAACTACAGCTTGTCCCAGGACTTTATGAACATGGCATATCTGATTTTGGATCGTAATCCAAGCGTATTAGGTAAGAAGAATAATCGCTTTTTCAACATTGCAAACTCTTTTCCCTGTTTGTGGCATAGTATGAGACTGACTGATTTTGTATATAGAATCGTTGCAAGACGCTTTGCGAACGGGCAAATTCCATGTTGCGGATATCCTGCTCAATTCTGCTCCTACTTCCACCCTTTCTGCGACCACACAAGAGGGCCAAAACTTGTGGCACATATTTGCCAACTTTAAACCGTTTGACAGGTAAAAAAGAAACTTCCAACACCTACTTATATATATTTTTTTAAATTTACAATACTGATAACGCAATTCATCTAGTGAGATTTGGGACGAGTATTTGACCGACGTCATTGCTAAAGTAGCTGAGCTTGGATTAACATTCGAAGCCGATGTGCACGGACGTACACCCATTCATTATGCTGCAATGTACGGACAAAACACGCTATTGAACAACCTGCTATCTGCTGGCGGCAGTGAGATCAACAAGTTAGATAAAGATGGTTTATCCGAGCTCTGGTATGCGGCATCGTCCCATAGCATTCAATCTGTTCAGGTAAGAATAAACACATTTCGCACATATATAGATAAGGTTGCACAACATTTTTCTTATTTAACGGTACTAATCGCTTGTCATTTTTTATGTTATTAGCTGCTGTTAAACGCTGGTGCATTGACCGGAAAAGGCACAAGCTCGGCAACCAAGGATTCAGCATTATTGCTTGCAGTCAAGAGCAAGGATATTTACCTAGTCAAGCTTCTATTAGAGTCTAGTGCTCCTCGTGATGAAGATAGCATCCACGGAAGACCTAACGCTGTGATGCAAGCGTGTATGAACAAATCTGACAAGATCTTGAAGGTAAGCTTGAGTTCGTGGCAAAAATTGGTAGTTAGCCTCGCATCATGTATTGTAGTATTGATTTTGTCGGAATACAGGAGCTTCTGCAAGCAGGTGCTGATCCCAATGTAACATCAACTGCTACTTACCACCTGAAAGGCAAGAAAAAGACATTGGTCATTCAGCCAGTGTTTATTGCCACGGATACGACTTTTGAGGTAATTATTGCTGAGGTTGTTTTTGGATATTGGAAAGCAAGGTCTGTTCCATATATATCTGTGGTTTATCTCAACCTTGCGTGGTAATAAATTCATAGGTACTGATCAACGGTGGAGCCAATCCGAATGTCGTGAGTCCAAAGCAAGAGCCCTATGAAGGCCGATCTTGCTTTATGCACTTGAGCAAATCTACAGCAAACACGGAACTTTTAAAGGTACACTTTTAAATACATATTATGACATTTCGAAATGCTATATAGACGACTGGCTTTAATCTGTTCTACATATTAGCTGTTGCTAAAACAAAACATCGACCTGAATCTCCAAGATGATCACTCAAATCGTCCGATCTTTTATCATTATTTCTTTGAGAGCAAATCTGATATATGGGTATGTGTACTTGCACTAATTTAACGTAGCATATAGGAATGGTAAGCTATTCTGTGGCAACAAGCCGAAACTTACGTTATTCGACAAAAACTGTTTAGAAATCCATCCTCTCTCAGATGATGCAAGACAAGAAACCAAACGTAAACATGGTTGATCCCGAAACCGGGATGACGCCGTTGGAATATGCTATCCGTAAGCATAACTCCATCCATGTTGAGGTACATACTTGATTACTTCCCGTTAATACTACGCAAACCTTCTTTCAATTTTGCTGATTGCTGGATGATGTATCTATAATAGCGCTTACTGGAACTTGGTGCCGATCCAAACATGGAGAGCTGCCGGTCAAGCGGCGCCGAACGCGACAATCTCGACTTGTGCGAATATGGTCCATTAAATGCTGTGTTCCATTCTATTGCTCAAAACGATTTGTCGATTCTTCAGGTCATGTGTCGCAAAACAAAGTTCAAAATCAACTGGACCGCAAAGGATCGTGATGGTCGCACTGCCGTATCATTCCTTGTAGGCGATGGCTACTCGCATGAAAATGTTGCTATCCTCAAGTTCATTGCTACCAAAACCGGATCAAAGTTTTTCGATATTGCTGATGCTCCTGACAACAATGGTAAGTATAATCTTCAACGATACTGTGTAAGAATTATTACAAGGCTGATTATATGCATTTATTTGAAAACATAGGCCTTCGCGCTATCGATTATGCTAGCGCTCGCGAGCGCAAGGAGCTGTATGAAGAACTCATCAAGCACGGTGTCACCGCTGGAGACGTCGAAATGGAGGCAGCAGATGATGAAGAAGAAGAACCAACGATGAATGTCGACGAATACATTGCTATGCAAGCCATTGAAGAAGACGCTGAAGCTGAAAGAGCCATCCTGGAGGCCGAAGCCAAGGCTGCTGCAATTAAAGAAAATGGAGGAAAAGAAGTTTCTGAAGACGACGACAAAAAAAAGGCTGTCGTTGATCCCATTTCGAAAATGCAAAAAATTGGCAAGATTGTTTTCGACGACAACAACAATCCCTATGATATCATTGTTCAAAAGGTCGATGTTGGAAGCGGCTATTACGGATGTAACATGTATGTTCCTAATTCTGGTATACAAGCTTGTCAATAGCATGGAGGAAAAAGTAATACTCACCTTTTCACGATTAATCTTTATAGGTTCTACAAGCTATCCATCATCTACAACACTGTCCTTGATCTTTATGTGCTTTGGACCCGCTGGGGCTCATTTGGCGAAGTCGGAATGCGTCAACGAACGCCTTATATGAGCAAGGAAGAGTGCGTGGCTGAATTCAGATCCATCTTCCGATCCAAGACGGGCAACCATTGGGAAGACCACAAGCCAGAGAAATTTGTTCCTAAGCCTGGTAAATTCGAGCTTATCCTGGCCAAACTACCCAAGAAGCCAGTGATCCTAAAGGACTTTACGTTTTTGAAAACCACTGCTCCATCACAATTGCCTCGAACCATATTCAATGCCATGAATATCTTTTGCGACTTTGAGGCGCTGAACCAAGGTTTCCAGCAACTGGAGCTTGACATTCCTGCCGGACATATCCCTGAGAAACACATGGAAGAGGCTTACGCCACACTCAAGAAAATTAGCAATGAAGTCGAGAAATATACGTCCCGAGTCATATATGCTACCAAGGAAGAGCGTGCTCAAAAGAAAGGTAAACAATATATGAATATATTAGTTTACTACAGCTCCTATATAAGCAATTCAAGTGTACGTATGCTAAAACCTGCTGTCTAAAATGGCGTATATAGAAATGGGCCATCTATTGGTGCAATTAAGCAACAAGTACTACCGCTTGTTCCCCAAGTCTTCACATCGAAACGGCATTGTACCTATCGTCCGAAAGCACAATCTACAAGAGGAACTTGCACGTCTGAACAATATCAACTACCTCAACTTTTCGATCAACGTCCTTTTGGCCGCCAAGCGACGCTCATCCGAAATTCATCCCCTGGACTACTGCTTTCGTTCCTTGCACTGCCAGCTCTCCGAGATCGATAGTAACACGCCCGAGTTTAACATGGTTCAAAAGTATATGTTAACAACAGCCGAGCAAACAGGCTACGAGATCACCCACTTGTTTAGCGTCAACCGCGAGGGTGAAGAAGAACGATTCGAAAAATTCGCCAAGAACTCAAACCGAAAGCTCTTGTGGCACGGATCTCACGTAAACAACTTTATGGGTATTCTGAAGCAAGGTCTTCGAACCAAGCCTGCTTTTGCTGATGCCTCGGTAAGTTTTTAATTTCTATTTGCAAAAATTTAGTAAAATCACAGCTAAGTAATTTTAATCTAACACCGTGAATGGTATTCTGTTTTATACTATGTAGGGATCCATGTTTGGCAATGGTATCTACTTTGCAGACATGTTTGCCAAATCTATCAATTACTCCAGTAATGGTTGGTACGAGCGAAAGCATCCCGGCTATGCTTTGCTTTTGCTTTGTGAAGTAGCTCTCGGTGAAGAATGCGAGATGGCCTATTACAGCGAGCTAAATTACGAGAAAGACAAGCATATGTCTGTCAAGGGACTGGGTCGTGAAGGACCAAATCCGGCAAACGCAATTTACGACAAAAATGGTGCACAAGTACTCATGGGTCCCTCCATCCAATACGACATCCCGGACTCCGTTCCTTATTTCCAACGTAGCCGTATCAACTACAACGAATACATCGTGTATGAAGAAGATCAGATCAAGATCAAGTACATGGTTCTTGTGCGCAACAACAACTATTGTGAGCTATGCCAAACCAACCATAGCTACAATTCTTCGTCTACGGACCTTTCCGAACACGAGTTCAAAGATGGGCTTCAATACACTCAACTTGGCGTATACGAGCGTGGACTTGTACGACTCCATCTTACGCATGCTGGCAAGACTCCAAAGGAAATGTTTGATGATAATCTTGATGCATTCCTTGATGCAGAAGGCTACAGTAAGTTCTCTTCTTTCCCTTAAATTGCCCCTGTTTGATCATATACTTATCTTTATACGCGTATGAATAGAGCCACGATGGAAGCCTAGTATGCCAATTACTCGCACCAGCAAAGTATGCAAGAACTGTGCACATACCATGACTGCCATGATGTTTGTGGACCATATCGAGAAGCAGCTCCCGGATACGTTCCAACAACGTGAGCGTTGTCAATATGGTGAACAGTGTAGCAAGAAGAATGATCTAGCCCACGCCAAGCAATATAAGCATTGGTTTCTTGCAAACCTGAAGAATGAGGAGAACAACGTAGAAGAATCTCAAGAAATTGAAGACGAAGACGATAAATTGAGTGAATCGGATAGCGATTAAGTGATATATGCAACACCCTCTTCTCTATGCATCCTTTTCTCAAGTGTCTGGTTTATGTCTATGCAGTCTATGCAAAAATCTAATAAATTTATAATCTGCACTATATAAGATGCCTTTTGTTAGCAGTCTCGCTCGCCAAAATTAGCATCTCAAACCAAGCGAATCACATTGAACAATAGGTCTCACTAGCCAATTGATAACCAGATTATCTCACGAAAAATTAGTGGCGTGACATTAGAAGAAAGGTTGTCATTGTTTAAAGCAGTATTAAGTAAGCGAGGAAACAGAATAATAGTAAGCAGGGGAAAGAAGATAAAATAGAGAAGAACGAAGTTTTCTTTTTCGGCGTAGTAGGTGGGGAGGGAACAAAGCAAAAGGAAAACAGATGGCAAGAATTATAAGGAATAAATATACTAATTACACTTTACTCTCTCCAGGTGTACTTGATGTTGCTGGGTTGCTCAGGCACAACGACCATGGACGTATAGTCTGCTTTGGGCACGCCTTCCTTCTCAGGAGCAAAATCAAACATACGGATGAAGGTGGAGATGATGGTCTTGAGCTGCAGATAGCCAAACTGTTCACCAATGCAACGATGACGACCAGCACCGAAAGGAAGGAAAGGCGACTTGGACGAGATACCGACAGAGCCAAAACCGTAGTCAATGTTGGCATCATCACCTACTTCCATTTGATGAACAGGGTCGTTCTTTTCGATCCAGCGGTAAGGGTTGTAGCTGGTGGGTTCGTTAAAGTACTTTTCGTCGACCTGGGTGACACCAGGAGAAGCACAGATGAAGTTGCCCTTGGGAATCTCGAATCCAGACTTTTCGTAGACTATCTTGTCAGCAACGACCTTGCGCATCATTTGGAAAATTGGTGGGTGGAGACGGAGCGTTTCGCGGATCACAGCTTCGAGCAATGGCATGTCCTTCAAGTTATCGAAAGTCAATTCGGTCTTGAGCGATCCCAACTTCTCAACCTGTTCCTGGCGCAAGGCAGTGATTAAGTCGGGTTGGTTGGCGAGTTCTAAGATAGTCCAGGCAGAAGTGGTAGCCGAAGTGTGCTGGCCGCCGAACAAGACAGCGATCATCATACCGGCAATGTGCTTGTCGGGGATCGAAGTACCGTCCTTGTAGGTAGCATCCATCAAAGCTTGAAGCAAATCGGCGTTGCTCTATTGCAAATCCAAACTCATTAGTCCCATTAATGCTTTTTCTGCCTTGCTCCATGTTAGTCAATAGCTACAAGTAAACTCACATTATCGTTCTCAGCCTTGCGACGTTGGATAATGCTCGAGTAGAGGCTAGCCATCTTTTCACATGCAACATCACGGCGCTTGTACGACGGGAGCGGAAGGTTGGGAAACATGAAGTTGATGGGCTGGAAACCTTGGTCAAGATCATAGTACAGATCAGCAACACTCTCATCCAGAGCAGCACGAATTTCCTTGCCCATCAAGCAACGCGATGCAGTGCAGATGATCAATTTGCCAAAGGTGTGGTAGGCTTCCATCAAGCCAGAAGGCTTCTTGAAATCCTTGAAAAATTCGGTGGTTTCTTCGACAATCATAGGAACATGTTGACGGAAGCTTTCCGAGCTAAGACCGGCCTTGATAAATCTACGTGTAGAGCGTTAGTGAGATCATCGTGGACTTGGCCCTACTATCTATTCTCGTTTCGTACCTTTTCTGTTCCATGAAAATGTTGTGTGGCGCGTCATAGACAACTTCACGTCCAAAGACATACTTGGTCATGTCGTTGTATGCCTCAGCAGCGGATGACAAGTTCTGCTTAGCATTGAACACGAACTGGTTGCCATCAGCACCCAAGCACACGGTGACACGCTTGCCAACCAAGTAAAAGGTGAAAACGTCGCCGTATTTCTTTTGGCAATCCTTCAAGAACTGGATCGGGTTACTGTATTTACAACGTATAGTATAAGTACGCGTTGTCTCTTCCATATCCCATTTTCAATGCTTTCAGCGTCCAACGCACTCCTGCCTTCCATTACAAGCCCCCCTTCATTTCTGGAAATTAAAACTTACATGCCAAACTGAACGGCATTACCCATGAATGGAATCCAGGAGAAGACAGTGGGTGGTTGTCGGGGATTTTGGGGTGCAATCTATTGTACAGGTCCCATATTCACTTTTCGTGTCAAAAGCGTGTTTTTTCAGTATCATCTCGTTTGAATTCAAGATATTTACCAACTGGGACAAAATGTGAACGGCAAATGCCACACCGAGGGCAAGAGCCCCATACATGAACACGGTGGGCAGACTAGAAGCTACCGCAGCGATAAGGGCCATCTCGGATGGGGATGTATGGAGAGAGAGAGAGAGAGAGTGTGTGTGTGTGGGAGGGAGGTAAAGAGAGAAAGAGTGGAAACAAGAGTCTATCCTAGTACAGCAGGTTTGGTGAACTGGCGGTCACATAGTGAGGGTGAAAAAAAAGGGTCGGGCCTTACGGGCCGTACCTATTGTGCAACCTGACCACTCGGACTTGATGACAGACTCATCGTTCAATTCGATTCATTCTTTTTTCCGTTGTCAAACTTTGAAAATTGTAGATCATTTCGATTGCACAGGTCAGTAATGCATACAGTTCGTATATATCAACCGACTATGTCAGGAAATTACTTATGCAACAATGTTTTCGATGTAGACCGATTGAAGTGAAAGCGTAAAATGCACCGAATGTTTGCTTTGTTACACGAGCAAAGGATTATTGATACCCAGCGGGCATCAGGCCAGAAAAATAATGGAAGCCAACCTTTTGCCTTGTGTTGCTGCGGTGATGCGAGCCCGATTTTGCAAGGCGCCCGTGCAACATGCGACGATGGTCAGGAGCAGGAATATAGCCCATTGAGTTCCAGTCGTTCCAAACAAACGTGTATACTAGACAGTTACTGTTCGAGACACACTATTTTACTGATCCGCTCGTGCATACATGCTTCTCTGGTCTCCTTAATATTAGACTTATATCATTGTTTACGGTCAGTATCGCGGCACATAAAAGGATCGTTTCATTGATTATAGCAACCGTTTATGTCTCTTCTTCCAACAGCTGCAACATCATTATAAGTTGTAAAAGCACTCATTTGAGTTCATTTCAACAAATTTCATCATATACGTGATGTCTGCTAGAACATCCGGCGACGCTTTGGACAGAATTATGAAACAATGATGACATGAAAAAAATCCAACACGATAGAACGCAATCTTCCTTCCCTATGCTAGGTCCTTGAAATACGCATTCGTTCTAAAAGCCGATAAACTAAATGTGATAATAATGGAAGGATCTTAGGACTTTGATATGTGCAAATGAGCATATCATTTGTGTTATGTAGTCTTGACCTGAGTCCTAAACGTAAAAAGTTAACGAGCATGCCAAATTGGGTTTCAGATGCAAAGCTGGTAGGTGATATATACGGGTCACAATTAAATTCGACGAACGAAACCCTACTATATATACTGTACTTCAGAGTTATGCCGAGTGCATAGTAGCTTTGTATACGATACTTTTGGTACTGCGGTAACGGTTGGCCTTGCTGACCGTAGCATTTCAAGTTGAGCGTAAGCCCGGGAGGACATAGTCTATTTTTAATGGGAGGATGGCAGTCGAGTATTAAACTACTTTCTGCGGACCACAGTTCGTTGATGTTCCGTTGATCGACATAAGATATGTAGGAATTGCATATTTGATATTTTAAAAATGTACTTTTACGATTATTGAAGCTACAAATTAGTTTATACTGCTTAATAGTGTGGATCGTGTATAATAGCATTGCTTGTTAAAATTTATAGGTCGATCGATATAATGAGGGGAACTACGGTAGCAGCTTTTCAAACGATAATTCACGTAGCAAATCCAATACTTTTGCTCATTTACTTACTTTCAATTTTCAATATGCACTAGTGCGCGAGTTTCAGCAGCAATGCTGGTGTCTCTTTCTTAATCACGCTGTTTGTTCTCTTATGGCGGCGGTGCTCATGGTGAAGTTGACTCGATCTCATCGCCCTTTTAGAAAATAGAAAGATAGTACGTTCTCCAACAAACTGTTTACTATTTTTTTTGTGGACCTGATCACCTAGCCTGTTTGGGAAGGAAAAAAAGAAGAGAACAACAATCAAAACATATGTAGCATTACACTGTAACTCATTCCCATCATCCAGCTAACCACATGCTTACATCGAAACGGCCAAACGGCATGGGAAGATACGGCCTGCCCTATTCTCTATCAAGTTATAATCCATCCTTGAAACGAGTAGGGCAAACGTTCATACGATGATAACTTCATATTCGCTTTTAAAAGCTAATATGTAAATTTATCCATGAGTTCTGATTTTGCTGAATCGTTCGCCTTGTGGCGATAGGCAATCTAAGAGTGGTGTTGGTATTTGCACAGTATAGCAAAATATTGTTATAAGAGCGCATTTGCACTTCTTCATGCGCCTGTGTGTTTGGTTTGGATTCGTGTTCTGTATGACAGAGCCTACAAATGCTTATCGTCTCAATTGATGTTGTACAGAAAAGCTTCTGCTCATGTGAGTTTTATCTGCCATATGTATTATGCATGCTGTTTGTTTATCTTTCTAAGCTATACAAGACGTCTCAAATACGCAGCTCTAAATGTATTTCCAGCACAATCATATGCTCGAACTCTGTTTGACTATATATCATTTATCGAAAAATGGCTACGTATCTAGAAAATAATTGGAGAAAGAAAGAAGGAGAGGACGGGATCAGGCCGACACAAAGCGGCGAGTTCAGCCATCTTGACATCCAGATTGAAAGCAGCAGAATCTTCTCCAACGCTGCCAGCGATGAGATGGTGATCGTGTCCTTCCACATACGCGTCCCAAGCGTGATCGAGCTGATGCAGGACAACAGAACAGCCATTTTCTTGTTCTTAATGTTAATGCTCGCCTTGCTTCTGCTTGTCGACATTGTTGTCTTTATCGCTGCTGCTGCTGCTATCATGGTTATTGCTGTTGTTGCAGTAGTGACGCTTTATATTACTATACACTCAACTTCTTAACACGTCCAGTGTTACTTGCCTTCACCATAATGGTGCTACTGCGGCTGCGTTTTTCAATTACGGGAATCGTGACGGTTGCTTCTATGCGTTTCAGATGGTAGATGGGAAGTTGGGCAGCGTGAAAAGCGAGCGGTAAATGAAGCGAATTCAATTGTAGGCGGCACCTTTTTTTTATCCTTTTCCGTGTAACAAAGAGCTCGCATCAAGACGTCAAACTCGCTTGTGTTGCACACATTCTGTCCCCACATGAGATTGGCCGTGAAGCGATCGAACGTCGTAGGCTTTGTCTTTACAATGACTAGTTCTTGCGATCGACTGTAGATTGACCCTATCTGTAGATATATGTTGACAAACAAGTCGGAACCCATCATTTTGTTGAGTAAACAATTTATGGACGCTCTAACAATATTGTGATGGATGAAAGACAAGCAGTATGCTTGGCTTAATTATCTGTATAAAAAATGGTATCAGTAATATAGGGAAAATTAAATTGCTGTCCTATGGAAAACTCGTTCCATCGGGGAAAAACCTGTAGGGCTTAGTGCTGCTGCTGGCTCGGCCAACTGTACGAGCATATTCACGTAAGTTTTTGTATAAATGTAATCTCAAAGACATTCTCAAAATTGAGGCCCTCCACTTCGGTTAGGAAAGTTCGTTACAACTGGTACATGAAGCTTCTTTTGTTTGGTTGTATTAAAAGTAAGCATGGTTTGTGATCTTTTCAATCAGAAATGTTGGATCTGTGTTCTAAAACTATGTAGTTATTGATGTACTTTGCAAACTAGAGCTTTGCATCGATCTTTCCAGTGTCGTCATGTTGGTGATTTGCCGATTTCGACGAAGCGACTTTGAACCTTGGTCTATAGGATTGCCACCAGCTTTTCATATGTGATTTGGTGACCAAGTTTCCCTTGGAGAACGATATATCATGGCTCGATTTAGTACCGAGTTTGTAAGCTTGGGGCTGATGCGAGCTACATTATCTGTGAACGCAACGATGTTCCTCTCCTCGTGCTGGTGTGGCGATAATACTATCGATGGTAATGGTGACGATGTTATTCCAGGCAGTAGCGGAGGACACGTCTCGCTTCCTCTAGCATGTGCTGCTGCTGCTGCTAGTGATGATGATGGCAAGGAGGAACAAGGCCGTAATTCTTCTTCGTATGCACATTGTGTCAGAATTGATTAGAGTAAGACTTAAACAGATGAGCTGGCTGGCAACATAAACGTGAGTAAGCATAAATACACAACTATAGGTGACAGCAATTTCCGATAGAACTTAAATGTAACCTAAATATGCGCATGTGCCAGTAAGGTGAGATTGAATGATTTGAACTTTAGTATGTGACGGTTACGTATATGAGCGTAGAATAAGCTATGAGTCTCTTGTGGTGATGATCGACTATGTTTTTCATAACTTTTCTAAGCTTAGTTCGGCTATACAAAAGCATTTATTCGTGTTTCGATCCTTACACATGGCGCTTTTCAATTTATCGAGGTCCATAATATCGATTTTGCCTTACGTCTGTATTCTTAAAGTTTACCATATTTACATAGTCTCTTATTGTTTTCGCCTTTGATTTGCTTCAACTGTGTTTTGTAAGCAGAATTCTAGTGGCATGATGCACCGCTTGACCAGAAGTAAATCGTGGAAAGTAGGAGAGAAAATACATCATGATGATATGAGGCGATTCTGTTTCTTTGTTCCTGTACTTTAGGAGAGGCATAAGAATATTATAAATGTTCCAACTTGGGGACCATGGATTGTGGTCACAATCGGCTGCTAATATCATACCATTGATATTTTATTAAGGTATTCTTTTTTCTAACAAAAAGGTCCCGTTTTCTGACTGAAAAGAACTATTTGTATTGCCCCGTATACCCAGGTTAATTGCGTAAATGCACTAGATATATCTTTGCTGTTAAGCTTTATATCAAGTAGGTTAAAGTAGCCCTGTTTTTACGTTTTCCTGGCAGAGGTCTAGTAAGTCTTCTAATGTTGCAGGTCAAGTCAGGGTTCAAGTTCATCCGGGTTTCTTTCATGTCTATCTCCACAAAGACCCCAGCGCTATAAAGGTACGTGATCGGTAGCTGACTCGGTTGGGCAGATATATAGTAACGTCGGTTATGCAGCAACCACACGAGCCGATGGAGGCGTTGGCGTTTTACGGTTAGTAGACGAAGAAAGTGCGGCACTCTTTCGCAGCATTCTTATCAAAGCGTTTTTAAGATTGCTAGAGACCCGGTTAGCTCTAAATAAAGGGAAATTGGAGGTCCAAAAAGATCGTTCGAAGCATATCCATTTTTCGGCGTGTCTCTGTATGTTGCATCAACCATTACACGTCGTTTCGGAGGATCTACTGATCCAGTGTTTCCACAATGATGTCCAAAGACATTTTTGTTTGTATCGTTTTTTGATTGCATAGCAGAACTTTATTTTGGGACCATTCGATGCATCGATGTTTCACAGGGTAGCACTTTTGCCAAACCTTATGCACACACACCCGGTGGGTTGACGATATGTACATACGTTGTGCGGATAGTTCCCAAACAAATAGCCGCGTTCCCCGGCCTCTTTGAAAAAGGTAATATCAGAAACCCACACATTCCATTGATTGGAATTATCCTTTTCGATTTAAAAGTTTTATAAAACGAGGGTGACCTTTCTCGTAGGTTTTGCGTTTAGGTTCATGCATTTATGTTTTCGGGTATGTTTTTGCAGCTGCTTAATAATTAAGGTCCTAATGCGAAATGTTTTTATTCTTGGCTTTTGATAAGGTAAATTGTACGGATAGAAGCAGCATAAAAAGAAAAAGATACTATCTGTCACAGATTTTAGTTGCCTTGCTCGTCCCAAGAACATGTCAAATACATCTCTAGATATTTCTCTGAACTTGCAGAATACATATTCAAATATGCTTGTGCATTCATTGCAGATCAAATGTGTTGTTTGCGTTGACAATCCGTTATCAGCAGACAAATGCCGCTCTATATTTACTATAGCAGTATGTCAAAATATCCGCTACAATAATGCATAAATTATATATACCGAGGGAACTGCGAGGAGTAGAATGTCCGGTTATCATTACTTTAACGTATACGTGATCATAGTGAATGGTCGGTTGTTCGAGTAGACAATATCCCTATCGGTTTGTATAGTTTAGGTTATCGACTCCAACCGCGGTGACGTTGTCGTTGCAAAATGCGCATATAATCCTGCAACCGAGCATAAGTGTGTGGACGAAAAAAGCAGTCTTATGTCTAGGAGGCAACATGTCCCTTGATGCTATATACTGTACCATCGATTGAAACTTGGCAGTTCTGGGCATATTCCTTCTTGGTGAGTAGTGATCCGACATTTAAATCTGACCACTGATAATGGTTGCGATTACATACATTGGAGTGGAAAATATGTGCAAACAAGCATAGCAATACCTTGTATAAAGGATTAAAGTTTAAATTCTCATAGGAGATCGGTGCTATGAACAAGATATACAGTGAATTGATAGTATGTGCTATCATAAAACAGAGCGTTTTGGTGAAGAACAGGCACTCGTCGAGTTCCTTGTACATAAAGAAAAGGATTATCTCTTGGAAAACAAGTTTGATAGAATGGATATGCTGTGTAATAAGCAAAACGAGCTCATTTAGCCTTTCTTGTTGTAAATAGCAGCTATTGTGGCTTATGAGTCGAAAGACGATTTTCCTGCAGACACTGTTTCGTCGTACTTTTTCTTTGTATAAAATATGCTTATTATGCAGAAGATCGCGTCCCTGGTTTTCTGACGTTTCTGCGGTGATTGATGTGTATCTGCTGAAGAGCATGTGCTCGTTCTGAGAAATTACACGCTATTGTAGGGTATGATGTGGACACAACACTATCGTTTCGACAGGGCTTCGTGTAAGCGTATTTGAGTACTGTTTAACTACAGGGACGAGATACGATGGAAAAAGAAAGGGAGAGAGAGAGAGAGAGAGAGAGAGAAGGAGGGTTGCTTTGGTTGAGGGTCTTTTATGTGAGTAATATAAAAAGTGAAATAGCAACTACTCGTCCGTCCATGGTGTACGTGTGACGCTAAAACAGCATCGATACGTGTGTATAAAAAGAGGATCGATGTGGCGTCTAGTTGGTGCTTGACAAGTAGTCAGTCCCTGTACCCCGATCTGGCCTTGGGTTATCCATTTTCCTCGGAAGGCGTCAAAGTGGTTTAGCGTGGATAAGCTTTTTTTGGTGTGTTCCGACTACTACATAAGACAGAGAGTGCAACCCATTCTTTTGGGTTTATTTTGTGTCACTGGCATCACACGTTCCGACAAGCGCCCTTCTAAAAATAACAGAGACATGGGGGGGGGGGACCTTTTAGCACAGTAGTGAGCGTAGAATCACACACTCTATCAACATTGCTCTCTCTCTCTCTCTCTCTCTGATAGAGCAAAGCATGAGAAACAGAACGAAAAGAAAGGCCAAAAGAAAGAGAGAGAGAGAGAGAGAGAAAGCACGGGCCTCCTTCAAGTCCGAGGATGACCCTGTCCTCTTTTTTATTCTTGTTTGACATGATCTAGAATTTTCAACCTTCCCTTTCTCCTTTGCACATTCGGCCCACCCGCATGTTGCACCCCTCTGCGCTTCTGGTAGTGAATGGTGCCACAGATTTTCTTGAGCCTGTCGTCATCGTCGTCGTCGTCTTGAAGTCTTGAAGTCGTGAACAGCAGAAGCAGCAACAATCAACATCAATCACAGTTCCCGTGCTTGTTTCTGGACGGGGGAACCTGCATCCCTTAATACAGCAGCTGCTGCTACCAAGTAGATTTTCACATTCTTTGTCTCAATCTCTCTCTCTGTCGACCAAGTACACTGGAAGGATGCTTCTTGCAGAATAGTTGGGAACCCTGTCGTACGGAACTAATACACGAGCGAGGGTGATACAAAAGCAGTGCTCGATGGGCTCGGATGAATCAGTGATATCATCCCTCGCAAAGTAGTACATTGTACCCGCTCTGTTGTTGATGAGCGACGCGCATCTGAAGGCGATCTCAACACAATACAACACGCGAAGCGAAGCGATGACTTGTAGAGCCAGGGCCAGAGATGGCCTCTTTTTTCTTTGTTTCATCAACGAATGGACAGTGGGGTTGATCTAAAAGAGGCTTCATTCTTCTTGATGCGATACTGTAGATCGGATCTGCTGCTGGCTTGTGTGTCTCTCCTTGAAACCAGACACCTCTGCAAGCAGTTACGTAGCCTCATTGATGGTCTATCATCACCATCATCACCATCACCATCACCATCCCATCGCCCCCAGCAGCAGGCATGACCGGGCCACACGTGATAATTTTGGAAATTTATGTGTCGGTGGTTGAAAAAAAATGGATATCCAAACCTTGGCGTCTAGTATATATCCAATCGCTGACTGGCACCGGACCCCACTTGAAGAACTGGCAACCAACCACCCCCCCCCCACACACACACACACACCTCTTTTTCTTCCCATACAATTTATTTAACGTATAGGAAAAGGAGTAAGTCAAATAGGGGAAAGTATAGCAAAAAAAGTAGGAGGCGTGTGTGTGTGTGTGTGTGTATGATTTTAAGGGGGTTCTTGTTGTTGTTGTTGTTGTTGTTGTTGTTGGGCTTTGGGTACGGTACCCTATTTGGGGGGGGGAGGGTCAAAGACACGGCTGTGATGTCCAAAAATAGCCTAGACTAGAATCAACTCTTCTTTACGCTATCCCTGACGATGTCCAGCCCGTGGATTGGAGCTCTGTTTGTCAAAAAAAAAAGAGAATGGTAAAGACTCTTGGTTCTAATGTCTCTCTCTCTCTCTCTCTACTTTTGTTTACCGATGTAAAGGGGAGGCCTAGAGTAAATTTTTTTTAAATGAAAAAAAGGTTTTTTTTTTTTTTTCAAGATGCGAGTATTTCAAGTGCGACCAAGAAATAATCCCCGCAAATACGCGAGAATGGACACCCCTCCCCCCACCATCCACGGTTCACCCTTCCCTCTCTGTTGTGGGTTCTGACAGCAGATATTGGGCAGTGATGACCGTGGAGATACTGCACAGAGTGAAAAAAAGAAGTGGGTGTGTGGGGGGTGAAAGACACGCGTTACAGTGGAACAAAAAAAAAAAAAAAAAAAAGTGAAAAAGGCACAAATGATCGAAGGGATCGATGGAAAGGGAACTAGTCACGGAGGAGAGAGGTCTGTTTATTTTTTTATAGTACGGATCTACTGTGTGCCCTTCTCCCAGGCCCCCATTGCAGCTTTTGTAATTATTTTTTTTTTTTTGCTCTCTCTCTCTTTTTTTTTTTTTTATTCTTGTTCCCTCTCTCTCTCTCTCTCTCTCTCTCTCCTCTCCCGTGAGCACACACACTCTTTGCTCTCTCTTACGCTCTTCTCTCTCTCTTTTACGCTCTTACGCTCTCTTACACACATTTCGCTTTTTTGCTCTTTTTGTCCCGCCTTATTGTGTGCGTGGTTTGCGTTGTGTGTTTATCGCATAATTCCCGATTCTTATTAACACTCTCTTAACTCTATACTCACTCTCTCTTACTCTCTCTCTCTCTCTCTCACATAGAGCATAAAGCATAAAGCATAGAGCATAAAGCATAAAGCATAAAGCACTAGCATTCAGAAAACAAAGAGAGGCGCATCCATACTGTCACCGACCACGTCCGTCCGTCCGACCGACTCTCTCTCTCGCTCTCTCTCTCTCTCTCTCTCTCTTCATATCGCTACAAGGCTAAACACGTAATACTTTTGACTTTTTTGCAACACCCTTACTTTTTATCCACCCCCCCTCTCCCCACAGCTGACTGACTGACTGACTGACTGACTGACACACCTTGACATGCATCGCTGTCCTACTGCCAACACAGAGCCTTCTCGTCAGCCTCGTTTTTAGGAAACAACAAACAGCAGCACCTGCAAAAGAAAAATCCCTGTTTTTTTTTAAAGTTGCCTAGTCGCTGTCATCAAACAAAGAGAAACAGACACAAGGGCTATGGACTTTACTGGTTACAACCCCACTTTGGAAAGTAAGTACCTACAGGTTTTCCCACCACAGTGAATCGGGAGCATCGATGGCTTATGAGCCCTTTTTTCTTTGTTTATGCAGACCTGAACAACACAGCATACGATCCACTCGGCATCAACAAGCCCTCCTCTGTCGTTTATCAGCAACAGCAGCAGCAACAACAGCAGCAGCAGCAGCAGCAACAGCAACAAAACAAACGAACCAGTACCAGCGTAACACCACCTCCACCACCAGCAGGAATGAATTACTACTACCAACGTCCCGGTGAAGATCATCATTCGCAGCAGCAGCAGCAGCAACACCACCAGCAGCAGCAGCACCCTCAACAGCAGCATCATCATCATCATCAGCAGCAGCAACACCAGCAACCACAACACCATCATCATCAGCAGCAGCAACAGCATCATCATCATCCACAACAGCAGCAGCAACAGCAGCAACAGCCTGCCTCTGCTGCCGCTGCCGTAGCTGCTGCCGCCGCTGCTGCGGTTGAAACATCCAGCTTCCTTGACTCCTCATTGGCAGATTTCAACCCGTATCAACAATTCAACCAGTTCCATGTCGACAACGCAATGACATCGCCCGTCGTCACACAGCATCAACAGCACCAGGCCCATCAGCAATTGTTGCACCATCCTCCTCCTCAACAGCAGCAGCAGTGGAGCAGCGCCAGCAGCACCACGAGCAGCCGTCCCTCTTCACAGCAGCCCACCACGCCACAGCAAGAAAGACGCGGATCTGTCCAGCAGCAACAGCAACAACAACAACAACAACAGTTCCGGGCACATCCCATGTACCAACAACGTCCACCGGGCACACCACAAATGACCTATCCAGACCATCATTCCATGTCGACCTCGTCTCCAGCCTACCACCACCATTCATTCTATAACGCAGCTGCAGCATTACCGCCGCAGCACCATCAGCAACAACAGCATCCACAACAAGCACAGCAGCAAGCACAACAGCAAGCATTCGCGTATCCCAGCTACATGCAGCAGTCGCCGATACCCACCACACGCCATCAACAGCAACCCTCGCCACATCATCCACAGCAAATGCTCCATCATCATCATCATCAGGCACAGGCACAGCAAGTACAGCAGCAGCAGCAACAACAGCAGCAGCACGTCGCTGCAGCTCAGGCACAACAGGCTCAGAAACGTAAAATGGATGAGTTTGCCATGGACTTTGGTGCAGGTGGTCAGCAACAAGCAGCAGCAGCAGCAGCAGTGGGTGCAACAGGAGCAACAACGGGAGCTGGAGCAGCAGCAGCAGCAGCAGCCGCCGCCGCTGCCGCCGCAGGAGGAGGACCACCCAAGAAGGCAAAGCGAACAAAGAAGAAGCGAGTAAAACAACCAGAGGATCCCAACGCGCCACCCAAACCAAAGCGCAAGACGGGTTTGAACAAGCCCTTGATCTTGAGTCCAGAGTTATCTGCGTTTGTGGGTGGTGATCCTGAGGTATATATAAACACACACACTCACACTTTTGTTCTGGGGGAGTATCTGTTTTGCTTATGGAAAAAAAAATGTTTCTTATTACCTAGTTGTCGCGTCCAGATATTGTCAAACGGCTGTGGAAGTACATCAAGGACAATGATTTGCAAGACCCAGCCGATCGTCGCTTCATTCTCTGCGATGACAAGCTCAAGACGATCTTTGACCAGGACCGGATCAACAGCTTTGGTATGAACAGGGACTTGTCTGCCCATTTGACAAAGAAGCCCGAACCCGCGACAGATGCAGAAGCTGCTGCAACGGATGACGCTGCTGCTGCTGGCTCTTCTTCTTCTGCTGCTGCTGCACCAACAACAACAACAACAACGGTGGCAGACAGTGGGGCTTCTGCTACCTCAGGACGTGATGAGGTAAGCAATAACACGCTTCCATCCATCACCGCCGCGTCGACAGGTGCCAATATACTGGATACATCACCGGCAGTGACCGCCGAGACTCCGGACGTTGTGACACCCAAAGAAGGCGAGGGCATGCTGCCCAACAACAACACTTCTTCCGCTGTTGCTGCTGCTGCTGCTGGTGGTAATGCAACTGGCAACAACAACAACAACAACAACAGTGCGACGGCATCCACTACGGCTACTGCTTAAATCTATTTTCTTTTAACCAACCCAAAAAAAAAAAAACCACTTGTGTTTGCCTCCTCCCATTCCGGATGTACAGTAATTGATGGGGCCCTTCTTTTTTCTCTACTGCCGCTGCTTTCCTTATTTTTACCCGCACAAACAACAAAACCACTACACGACACACGCAGAGAGGTCGGTTCTTTTGCAGTAAAATACCTCTTGTTTACCCGCCGCTCCCAATCAAAAAAACAAAAAAATAACCCCCCTCTCTCTCTGCTCTTTTCTTTTTCTCTTTTTCTTCTTCTTTCTTTCTGTCAACTTACACAACCAAAAAAAAAAAAACAAAAACAAAGAAACATTTGCGAAACCATATATCCATTTGCTTTGTGTGTGGCCTTGTGGGCATTTTATGTGAATGAGGCGTCGTTGTGCGTTTGTAACAATAATAACAATAACAATAAACAATGATTCTTTATGATTGACATCTACATACCATCATCCCTTGTCACGTTGCACACATTTCTCAGGCACATTTATTTACCTAGAGTGACTCCTTGAAAAGAGAAAGAGAGTGCTCGTGGCAGCTTCTTTTTTTTAAGGTTAAGGGAGAATACACATTCTTCTTACAAGGAGAACCCTGATCCTATTCTTGTAGTGGACGTCGATCCCGCAGAATGATGTGATGTGTAACCACCATCTACCTAGTATCGGCACAGCCCCCCCCCCCGTCTCTTTCTACCCAGCTAATAACATTACTATTGACATACCATGCACTGCCAGAGAAAGAGGGGGGTGTATGTAGAACTTAATGGGCCTCTCATGATGTACTATTGAACACGCACAGAACAAGGGTCTTGCCTGTCGACAATGAATAAGGAGAAATTTCTTTCAAGAAGATGAAGCAAGTTCGGCACGTTCATTCACAGTGTTCATGCACTGCATTAATATGTCTCATTTGCAGGAGGACCATGTCTTCATCTTTATCTTTTTTCCTGGGCGCGTCCCATCGATACATTATGGCTAGATAGATAGATAGATAGATAAATAGATAGATACAGTACTAGGCATTATCAAAAAGAGACTTATTGGATAACTAACTCTTGTCCTTGGGTTGTCGCCCCACGCCACGAAAACACCCTTCAGAACGTTTCCCCTTTTCTACTAGGTCCAAGCATGATATAATGCACCGCAACGAGGGGTAATTTCCATCCTCCCGTCGTTTGCTTTATGGCATCACGTCTACAGTACAGCAGCGGTTTCAAGTACCTACTATGTTGAATCCACAGCAGTGCCCGCTCTTAATCATGAGACATATCAATCGCTCTCATACTATCTCCCGCCTCTTTCTTTCCGGTTACGCATTAAAATGATTATAACCAAAGCAATGAATCGCGTTGTTGTGAAGGAAGCAAGTATCTCTTGTATAAGGCGGCTGTTTCTACACATGCATCGTAAGCAAAAGGTGTCAAATCTGTATGCCAAAGCAAAACAATACTCACTACTAAGTCCACATAGTACCAAGAGAAACCATGCTATAGAGTGATATTCTACCAAAGTACACAATTCCCATCGGCTGAGTCGCTCATTTTTAGATGCACACACTTATTTACAAGCCACCGTTTTCAAACTAAATTTTGGTTCGCTGACGTAGCTCAGACTCCACCCCCTCTCTCTCTCTTTTTTTTTTTGTAAAACAACCATGCCTAAGAATAAGGGAAAAGTAAGTCAATCTGCTGGAGGGAACGAACCGACAGGTGTTCAAAAATGGAGTCAAATCATTAACTTGCACTGCTCCATCTCTTTCTTTTTTTTTCCTGTTAGGGCGGTAAAAACCGAAGAAGAGGAAAGAACGACAACGAAGCCAGCAAGCGTGAATTGGTATTCAAAGAAGAAGGCCAAGGTAAAAATTACTTTTTTTTGAAAATCTCGCAGCAATTCCTCCCAAAGAAAAACATAAAAGACATTGCTACGTTTTTTAAAGAAAAAGTTAAGCATTATACTAACCTGGGGAATTATTGGATGAATAGAATATGCCCAAGTAACAAAGATGTTGGGTAATGGTCGTCTTGAAGCCCAGTGCTTTGACGGCGTGAAACGTTTGGCACATATTCGAGGCGCACTGCGGAAAAAGGTGTGGATCAACCAGGGCGATATCATTCTGCTCTCGCTTCGTGAGTACCAGGACGACAAGGCCGATGTGATCCAGCGTTACAACCCAGAAGAGGCTCGTCAGTTGAAGCAATACGGCGAGTTGCCCGACAGCACCAAGGTCAACGAAAACGAAACGTTTGCTGGTGAAGAAGAGGATGAAGTCGACTTTGAGTTTGAGATTGATGAGGTAAGAATAATCATACATAAGGCGTACACACACACAGCTATTTGGGGAGTACAATGACTCATCTACGTTCCTTGCTTTTGTATATACAGATTTAGAAACATTATGACCCCGAGACATAGCAACAAAAAAGTACGCACGATCCGTCACGACATGATCTTCGTTCACAACCCCTTCCCCCCCCCTCTTAACACCTCTTTTTAGCGTCGTCAGCGTTCGTCGTCGGCATCGTCATACAAACTACTTCCTCTCATATAACAACATGTTACCTCTGTTTCTTTCGGTTTCTCTCTTTCTCTCTCTTTCCATGCTCTTTGCCTTGTAATAACAAACGCAGTGGTCCTGGAAGTATAAAGGAAACCGAAAATCACCACACTCTATCTCCTCTGTACATAACATTAAAAAAGATCCATCACCTTCGCCCTCCTTTTTTTTCGTTAGTTAGACCTCTTTTTTTAAAAAAAGTAAAAAAAAAAAATGTTTGGCGCATTCTATATATTTTCTGTCCTGCTGTGAATTTTGTGAGTCGTCGTTCTTTACCTTCTTTAGCAGATATGGAAATAGACAGCAGTAGCACACCTCACAAGGAAGAAGGGGGACAACAGCAAGAGACAAAACACAACCCGTACCTGTCTACTATGGAGACAGTCAATAACCCTCTCAAGCGGAAGTCTTATAGCACATTGAGCGATGACGGGGCAACGCAATCGAAAAAGACAAAAATGCTTGGAGCACGCGCAGATTCAGTAATGCGAGGCCACAATGTGTTGGTCAAGAAACAGCCTAATCGCCGGTCTGAACAGTATATATATGGCAACTATCGCAATTATTACGAGTAAGTTGTTTCTAAATGTCTCTTTTTGTTGAAACTTTTGACGATTGGATGGGGGTCGTGTTGATGTGTTCTTGCTGGGCCAAACTAGATCGCGACGCGGGAATCAGATCACGGTCGATCACCGACTCGATATGCTTGATCCGTCTCTCTTCAAAGGCAAACGCGTGCTTGATATCGGCTGTAACAGTGGCAATATCACTACCGTGATCGGTAAGTTCCCTCCTCCAACATTGTTATAAAGCTATGCTATGAGCATGACATGAAATCATAATAAATGGATGGCCTTCCCCCTTTCCCATCTTTGTCTTCAGGTTTACAGCACAAGCCAACACATATACTCGGTGTCGATATAGACGAGTCATTGATTAAACAAGCAGAAAAACAATTACGGCTGGTCAACTCGTTACATAATCCACACGGTGATAATGCGACTGATGTCCATATGCGATTTCACTACTTTCCGCGTGCCTTGTCGAGCACTTTTGGGTTTATCGCCATGAACATGCCACCCAACCACAAAAGCACAGAATTCCCATACAATGTCAAGTTCAAAGCAAAGGATTGGTTGGATGATGATGATGATGACGGCAGTGCAGAACAAGACGGGAAAAAGAGAAAAGGCAATAAGCAAAAAAAAATCCGATACGACACTGTCTTGGCGTAAGTTCTTTTTTATACGAAGCATCCTTTGACACGAGTACTAAAAGCGACCGCGTTGTTTTTGTGGGGGTCCAAATAGACTGAGCATTACAAAATGGATACATATCAACCGTGGAGATGAAGGCATGAAGGAATTCTTCAACAAAGTGTACAAGGTGCTTAACCCTGGAGGTGCATTTGTCGTCGAACCACAGGAGTTTGATACCTATGAACGACGTGCGAAACTGAACGAAACGACACAAGCCGTATTCAAGAGCATCGAGTTCCGACCTGAACAATTCCACGATTATTTGATGAAGGAGGTCGGGTTCTCAAAGTTTGAGGACCTTGGATCATCCGGAGAAAAGCGAAAAGGTAAAGCCGTAAGGATTGGACTTGTCCTTGTATGTATGTACTGACTTGTGGAAAAATCAACCAGGATTCGATCGCCCCATGCACATGTATATCAAGTAAAGCGCGCATCATAATTACAGTAATAAAAGGATGTATGCAAAATCATAGAAACATTGTTTAATGAGAAAGGCAATGAGAATAGAAACAGGGAACAGAAGGAAGAGATAGAAAGAACATGCTATACTAATAATACACATGAGTTTGGTTGAAATATACAGGGGAGGAGAGGTAGATATAAGTAATCAAAAAGAGGGAAAAAAAAAGAGACAGCATTTAAGCCTTGAAAGCAGCCTCGATACTGGCAAGGACACGCTCAATGGCAAGGTCGGTCTCTTCCTTGGTGATGTTGAGCGGAGGAATCAAACGCAAGGTTTCGTAGATGGAGGTGGTCATCAAGATGGTATCCAATTTCATGGCCTCGGCAGTGATCTTGCCAGCAAAACCATATGGTACACCCATGAACTCAATACCAATCATCAAGCCCAAACCACGAACATCGGCAGTGACGCCCTTGGGCAACAAGGCGGGGATGCGGGAGCGGAAGGCGCTGAAGAATTGCTCAGAGCTATTACATGCTATTTAGTATCCGTTCTAATCCGTGGCTCCCATCCAAACCCACAAGGCAACTTACCGAGCATTGCAGTTGTCAATCAACTTTTCCTCCTCAAAGACATCCAAAGTAGCCTTGGCAGCAGCACAAGCAACTGCGTTACCAGAGTAAGTACCGCCCATGGAGCCAGCGGGCTGACGATCCATGAGTTCCTTCTTTGAGACGATACCAGAGATGGGATAACCGGAAGCAATACCCTTGGCCATGATCAAGATATCGGGAACAACGCCAGAGTGTTCAACAGCAAACATCTTACCGGTACGACCGAAACCAGACTGGACTTCGTCAGCAATCAACAAGATACCGTGCTTGTCACAGATCTTGCGCAAGCCTTGCAAGAAGCTGGCAGGAGGGGCAACATAGCCACCTTCACCCTGGACGGGTTCGATCAAGACAGCAGCCGTGTCTTCGGGGTGGCTGCGCTGCTTCAACAAGGTTTCGAATTGGTTCAACGATTCTTGCGAGCACCATTCAGCATCGAATTGGGTGGGATCGGCCTTGTGAATGGCCCATTGTTGGTGGTAAGGGAAGGGGGCCACGTGGATGCCAGACATCAAGGGACCAAAGCCGGCGCTGTAAATAGTCTTGGAAGTGGTCAAGCCCATGGTGCCAAACGTACGGCCGTGGTAGGAGCCTTGGAAAACAATGATGTTTTGTCGCTTGGTGGCATGGCGGGCCAACTTGACGGCGTTCTCAACGGCTTCGGCACCCGAGTTGGCAAAGAAGAAGGTGTCCAATTCGGGAGAGGGCATCTTGGGCTGCAAGCGCTCGATAAGATCCAACATGGGCTTGTGGAAGAACAAGTTGACTTGGCCGTGGGCAAGGTTGGCAGCTTGGTCCTGGACAGCCTTGACAACCTTGGGATGGTTGTGGCCTATGGATTTTATGTGTTGTCATGAGCGATCCGCGTCCCCCTTCCTTTTCCTTCCTCCAGCGCATCTCCCTCCCTTCATATGTCCCAATTCTAACTTACCAGTCGAGGTGACACCGATACCCGTGGTGAGATCGAGGTACTTTTTGCCATCGACTGTGTAAACATAAGTGCCTTGAGCGCGTTCAAGGACCAACTCGGTGGAACGGCCGATACCCTTGGCGATGTGTTGCTTGCCGAATTGTGCGAGTTTAGCTCCGGACATATTGAAACAAGTGTGTGAGATGAAGAAAAAAGAAGAGGGGAAAAACACGATTGACAGCTCAGATACTACCAGAGGCTTTTATACTGAAATGCTTTTTGTGGCGGGGATGATCCACACATACAAACTAATATTACTCGTTACGCTTTACGAAGGTGGGGTGGGGGGGGGGAATGCATTTGTCAGCTTGGTCCAATCGGATGTGGCTGCCAAAACTCTTTTTGATCTCCGAACAAACCTTGTTACGTACGATTCTGACAAAACAAGATAGCACGTACGCCAATGGATTTCACCCGCTTTGAAACAGACACATACTCTTTTGTTCTATGCAGTATGTGTTCCCCTTGCGGAACTGTGTAGTAATTGGGTTCCGATGGTGGAAATCTCCATGTGTCACTCGTTTTAATTTGTTTGTAAGCACCTCTTCTTTCTTCAGTTCTTGCACCATGTAGCAAAGTAAGAAGCCTTATTGTTCTATTGTTCCCCGCAAGGAGCACGATAGCAGATATCTACACATCATTATGTAAATAGATAGATAGATAGATAGATAGATCTTGCCTAAATGGTTGATGACCGGGGGAACCTTTGTCACTCATAGGGCAATTGGTCAGGGAACCTCTTTCCCCCCACGAGTGTCGTCGTTTCGCAAAACGAACAAAAGAGATTGGTTGAAACAAAGTAATAAGCTTCTGAAGTTGGGGGAAACAAGGCTATTACAGTACTAGATATACTAGTACTGGTCATCTCTTCCGATGGTAAATACTCCTGCGCATAACAACCAACTCTATTTTACCTGTGACACACATACTACAATGCTTGTCCTTTAATGGACATTTTAGTCACTCTTTCCACGCTCCTCCCCACATTTTCTTTCCCACACTCCTGGGCGTGGCAACTTGAAGTTACACAGCTTACCCACAAATGGGGATGATTGGCAGTTTTATTGCTAGATTTGGTATACAATGCCTGCATTTCATGACGGTACATATTTCGTTTACAATAATCGGATGGGCGGTGGTGGCCTGCTAAGCGAGTCACTACATCTCTTTTCGCATTGACATCGGACGGTCGTCATGTAACTCTTTTCGAATCAAGTAATCAGTAGCAGTAAGTAGATATACATCTAATGACCCTCTCCAATATTGATTGATGGAACACTGTAGTTGTAAAAGCAAAAAGCCTTCTTTTACAGGTCCAAGATATTCTCAATGTCAGTGTAAATGGCTCGTCCTGGGCACGCATCTGGCCAATCATCCACTTTGTCCATTACTGCTTCATCTGCAAAATTCGGCCATTTGCTCAAATCGACGAGGGCGACAACTGGACAATAGGGAATGCCACATATATCCACGGCCTCCTCCAGTCTACGAAGCTTCAATTCTCTGATCTTGTCATCTTTTGGCTGCAGCATCCAAATCGTTCCTTCTGGTTCATCGCGGTTATTGTTGTTGTTGTTGTTGGGGCTGGCGTTTCCGTACTCGTAACATTCTACGCAGTTAAAAATGATCCATTCGACAGAAACAAGCTCATCCATTCGCTTGAGAAAGCATTTCATAGTGTGCCATGACAAGAGATCCACGTTCAAACTAAATTCGACACCCCGTAGTGTTGTTGATGGTGTAGCTACAACGTCAAGGATCTCGTCCAAGATTTCTGGACAGCTTCTAAAGCACAAATGTTGAAGGCCTTGCCTTTTCTTGTTTTCCAACATTTGCGGTTGGTCGCTGTCATTATCAACTTTTTTCCCCTGGAGTAGTCTTTGGAATGCTGGAATATCAACGCCTCCTCCAAAACCAAATGTTAAGCCAAGTCTTCGAAGATCTGGAACTGCAGCTAACGCGTCAAGGATGATACCCGGAATTGTTTTAGGATGTATGATCGTACAGTCGACTAGAAGAGGACATTGGCGGAGCATGGAAGCAAATTCCGATTCGTACTTTTGAGGAACCACGCAAAAGAGTCGTCGCAAGTTGTCAAAACGTGCTGTAGTAAAGATATGCTTCCACCGTACCGTTTTGCTGATGACGTTGTATAGATGCTTCTGGTCTCGACGTGCAGTTGCGATTATCAGCTCTTCAAGAGTATGTGCGCTGGCAGTGATCAATGGAGCGACGTCATAGCATGTAAAATTGTCTCGAGTCAGAGCTTGCAAAACGAGTGACCGGAGGCCAGTAGTAGTACTATCATTAGTAGTCGCTGTGGTACCACCATGCGTCGATGGTGGTGAACAAGTTGACATACGTTGAAAATGTAACGTTTTCCAATGGACAAATTCGTTGTTTAGCACGACCACCCGGACTCGCGGATATTGTTGGATGACTGCCAGAGCATCCCAACCGCAAGTCGCTATTGCAAGTCGAATAATAGCAGGACAACAGCGCAATATTGTATCAACTTGTACGGTGCTGACGCCATTGTGTATTTGTATCTCCAAATTTGTAAGATGGTGATGGTAGAACTGCTGATGATGTATCGTCATTGTTGGCAGCAAGTTCTCGCTGTAGCTTATATACAAGTTGGGATCTTTGTCTTGTGAGCCATTGAACTTCATGCGTGTTAAGTTTGGAAAGGTGGCAAGGACGCGTTCGAAAGATAAAGTGGCATAGCCGAGACGGTATTTCAAGAGACTTGTATCGAATCCATTATGGTAGCCTTATATAAATATTGGAATAGAAATAATATTACAAGATTTTAGTTTAGGTAAAAAGTATGGAGTAGAAGTTGTGATTATACCTTTATAAGCAATGTAGGAGTCTACTTCTTGATCCACAGGGATATGTTGCGCTTGTAGCTGTGGCACCACTAAATTATTGTTGCTGCTGCTTTTATTGTTTGCTATTGAAATAACGTCGTTATAGTATAGTTCGCGTACATGACATCCAAAACGAGGTGCAGCAAGCCACAACAGTTCCTGCTCGTCGCCGCCCTGCAGCATTAACAACAAACATCGCCATAATAGTCCGCATTGAGTAATTCGATCGTGCCATGTTGGTGAAACAAGTGTTGCCATGGCCAGATTACGTCTACCGAAATCGATGAAAACACATGCCAGTATCTCTGGAGGAAGGCGGACAACAAAGTCAATGCGAATTTGCAGGCGTTGTTTGGCGTCTTTTAGAAGCTCCTCAAGCATTTCTGCAATGCTTTTTTCGTTTCGACGATTGTGATGACACTGTAAGGCTTTGATTCCTTGCTTGCATGCTTCAGTCACTTTTTTCTGGTGACCTTGCATTGAGTAAAGCTGGGCCGAGCAAACGTATCCAGGAGCTTGTTCGCTCGGCATGTTGATGATGGTTTTTGCATCTGCATGAGCTACATCAAACTTGGCCGTCCTTCCGTATGCCAGGGCACGTAGTTTAAGCAAAGTGGCATGGTTGTGAGTTTGTAATAGTGCGGTTCGCGTGGGATTGTTGTTGCTGGCTTTGTCGGATGATATCACGTCGGACACGACCTGGATAACTTTGGCATTTTCTCGTCTGTTAAATGCCGTTTGAGCGATTCGGACCAAGTGGTAGCTTTGGTCTTCTGGTGGTTTACCATCGACATATGCATCTCTGGTTTCTTGGTCCATTATTGTGTTGTCAGTATACATGATGAAATGGTAGAAAGAGGATAAAGAAGAAGAAAGAGTGGAAGACTAACGAATATCCACAGTTTTTATTGTTGGATTGTAGGGTGCGTTGCATACCTTTTTCCTTCTATTCCTGCATTGTTTCTTTCATTAATAGAAGATGTAGGATCACCGCTCCTTTTGGAAACGTTCATTGTCTTATAACCCCTTCATAAGTCTCTGTTGCTACAAACAAACGTACACCTAGCTTCTTGTTGCCAGTTGATTCTTAACAGTTCAATCAAGTTTTCTGAGAACTCTGCTCTGGTAAGCTTTAGTGATATTGTCGTTTACAATTCACTTCGAAGCTAAACCCATAGCTTCATACGCATATGTTGTTACATTTTTGCTTCGTCAGTGTTTTATTCATTCTTAATCTTATGAGCAAATACTAAATTTATTATATACTACTACAGTATCGATTTATGCTGGCACTGTACTTAGTAAGTTGGCCATCCGTTGCTCCAGTTCAGATCGTTGATAAGCAACTTGGCAGCGCCATTTTCCAAAGCATCGTATGCATGACGGGCAATGACATTTCCGTAAACATCTTCTCCGCCAGGACCAATCCATTGTTCATTGCCAGCATCCAGGACCGTGCCGCCTTTACAAAAAAAAAGGGAAAAAGTCAGATCATCGCTATTGACAACCCAATAATTTACTACTACATATGCAACAGCGTCTCATGTTCTACTTACCAGTTTGCATGGCAGGGTTACCTACAATTTAACAAAATGCCTGTCAGTAACGTTCTTCACACGAAGACATTGAATAGAGTGGTTGACATCGTTTTTAACAGCATACCATTTCTGTCATAGTAAGGGCCAGTGATGCTGGTGGATCGACTATATGCGATCTTGTAAGTGCTGCTTGTACCCTAAATATATTTAAAATCTATTAGCTATTGACCCTTCTTTAAGAGTATACAATTGGGCTGCAAATTATAAATGGGCGTTCACAAAGGATTCGGAATGTTACCTGGCAACACGTGTCTATACTATTAAACAAGTAATAGTAGCCATCGTGGTAAATGATGCTGGCAGCCTGATATCAAAAGCATACTATCAAGTTAATAACTTTTATTGTTGCCTTACATAATAATCGCATGTATTGTTGGAAATACTTTAATTACCTCAATGGCGGGAGAAGAACTACGTGCAGCAATAGAGTAAATTGGTCCGGTAGGTCTCATTGTCGAAGGGTTGACGGCAGTAATCTTGAGACCTCCCCAGAAGGAGCCAAATGCTAACCAGGGATTGCCCGATTGATCGACTACAAGGTTTGGATCTATGGCATTATAATCATCGGCCGAAACCATTACAAGGCCGTCGTCGCGCCATGCCCCGGCGCCAATAGATGTTGCAGAAGTAAGGCCAATTGCCGAAACTTTGCTGCCAAAAGTACTAATTGAATAGTATAACCAAACGCGTCCTAAAAAAAAGAGGGCAATCCACAAATATTGATCAATTTTCGCACCATACATCTTGTATTATAAATCACTATGCTTGAAGATCTATATTTACCGTTAAAGTATTCGACATCAGGAGCCCATACATCCAAACCAGAATGCTGCGGGACAGAGTTAGACCACCAAGAGAGCTCTGACAAAAAGATCTGGGGAGCACGGACCCATGTTGCCCCTGAATCCGAAGAGGTCAACACTTGGATACCTACGTTGTCAAGTTTAATGGATGGCGGATATCATTAGCACATAAATATTGAAGATCTTCGGTTATGGAGCTGTGAAGAGATCAAATACCTTCACCGGTGCAGAACGCGTACCAACGGTCGCCTTCCTTAATAACGCTTGGATCATGACAGTAAATGTCACCACCCATTTCCCAAAAGGCGCCTAGTGCCTTTGTAGCCAGAAGCGAGCTTACCAAGAAAAGAGAAGACTTGAGCTTTTTGAAAAGCATACTAGTTAAGAATAGTTTAGAGTAAGCTTGTTTTAGGTATTCATCATATATATTTTTACTTGTCTTTATATATGAAATGTCATAAACCGACCTTCCCCACCCGGGATTATTAACTTTTCAAGCCTGCTTGCTGCTTCCTTTACTACATGCTTTCGCCGGGAAGTTTTCTTAAACGAGGTAATATTTCCGGACCCAAGGAGATAAAAGAACAAGCAGGCGAGTTACGACTGGCTGGGTAATAAATATAGCCCATTCGTGTGGTGGGATTTTTCTTTTTTCATTGGGAGAAGTATACAGAATTATGGGTGCATGATGAATAAGATAAAATACTCGTCATGCTGCAATGCCGCGTGAGACACATGAAAATGACGAGGACGTGAATCAAATCAAAAGGAAGGTACTGTGTGTGTGTATGTGCTACATAGCACATCTCGCATTTACAGCAAGTAAATAGTCTGTAAGATGTTACACATGCATAACGAATCCAGTTTGTACCGCCGTCATTTGGAACCTCGGGTTTGGGGCAACCATTTTCAGTGATCGAGAGTAGGAGCAGGTATAATATAGTAACTCTGATGGGCAAACTAGTAACAGTGGGCTTCTTGAGGGAAGGCTATTACCATTTATTTCATTCTGTTAATGTTTCCCCACGTAAACGTTAGATATTGGACGAAGAGGCGAATGGAAGCGATCAAGCGACTTTTGGAGTCCTTAATAAAAGCAGCTGCTCTCGAACTTTGGTATTACGCGATCGTGCACACGGTGTAAGTACATACGTGTGTAGTACATAAATGAAAATGACTGTTCATCCTTTTCTCCCCCTTGCTTTTCACAATTAATAACGAATAACTTAGCTAATTTTCAGGTACACGAACCATCAAAAATACTCGTTGACAACAAAACGTGTGTGCTGTATCTTAGCAGAGTTCCATGATAGAAGAGCCATTTTTCGTCTTGAAAAGATGAACAGAACTTATGGAGTTGTAATAAATGGAACCTTGAACGGCACCGCCCGATGTACATACTTCTTTTCTTTTCTCACGAACTAAAAAGTAATACAGTGGTAGAAGCGGAAAGCTTTAATTCGATGTTGAAAATCAGCGTATTTTCCTCACACACAAACCATATACCTTTATTATGCCGATTCACTCTGTATTTCGAGTAGCTTTATTGACTTACTGGAAAAAATGCGTGCATTAGGTAATCTGCATTCACACTTCAGTAGTAGTAAGATGATGTGTTGTTATACTCAATTTTAAAAGCAAGAAAAAAGTCGAAAAGGGTTCGTCAATGAGAAAAACTTAGTAGGGTGATGATATATGTAAGGGCATTGGTGAGGATATAATAGCTTGAGTATTTCGGGTATTGTCCAGTCAACATGAGAAGCAGCACAATAGTCTTGTCCAACATGATGCGCAGTGTAGTAGCATTACATTACATGTTTTATTGTGGCGCACGAATACGATCATTTGTTATGGCAGCGCTGTACTACATCGGTTGTCAATTGCTTACTGCTCTTTTGCCTAGTTTTATAAATTGGGCGACAATTTTAACCCATGAAAGAACTGTTGCCATTGTCGTCAGAAAATATGATCACTATGCCGTTGCACCCGAAGAAATTCGTGTGGTTGTTGCGTAGATTAGCATACAAACTAAAAAATTTATGCAAGTCTGACATAGAAGGATTCGAGCAACACACCATTGTCAGCAGATCCCTTTGCATGTCATGCTAGGGAACTCCGAAAACACAGCACTACGCACGCACACACCAGCTGCTTTACTTCGAGTTCTTGGTTTTTCCTTACACTTACTACTTAACCAAATGGACAACACAAATACTACTTCAAGTGGTGACGATGGTTTTGATGTAAACAATTCCGGAAAAGATAAACGCTTTTGTAACTGAAGCGGTGATGCTAATGATATCGACAACATTGATCTATATAGATCGTCAACGACCCAAGCGTCACGACCATTCCTTCTTCCACCGTAAAACATTCCGACAATCAACCTTTTGACGCTACTGACAATACTGGTGCAACCGCCGCAGCCGCAACAGTGTCCGAGATTCCCGTGAAGCTCCTCTATTCTAAATCCAAAGTATATGTTCATCCGTCCACCAGTGCCAGCGATTACATTCCAGGTTACATTTCGATTGTTGAGAAGGTAAGCATAGCTTTTTTTCTTACCTTATTTTTTCTCTTGGCAAAGAAAATTCTCGCATAATATGTACGTAAATTTGACGAACGAATTGAAAGGCCTCATGTGAATATCTGGTCGCGTGGACGCCCGAAGCAGAGATACTTTCCAAGGATATGGATGCCTATGTCAAAGTGGATAGCAACCCAGAAGACGAAAACGAAGATGGTATTATAACATACATTCTGTGGAGGGAGAGATGGTGTGAGGCAGTAAGCAAAACATATCAACTAATATGCTTTTTGCTTGATTTCTATCAGTATCCTCGACAATTATGCTGTCTTCAGTGATCGATTTGCCAGACAAAAGTTCTCTATATGGATTATCAAGGCCATTGAATGACATTCGATCACTGGTTGTTCATCCGCCCTCTTTCACGAAATGGTACGGAAGTATCGTGATCAATTTCACGGACGGGTCATCGTCTGCGCCGTTATGGTTTCATGATGACGAAAGTCGTAGTACGGTGTTACAAAAAAATACACAAGGTGGCAAGTTTAGCGAGGGTGGCGAGAGCGATAAAACTGCTGGCCGCCGTCGTAGCAATAACCAAGTGCGATGGGGAGGTGATGAGTTCATGTATCGACTCAGTCAATTGACATTTATCCAACAGTAAGGAATCGACTCATTATTATTTCTCAGGCCGTGGAAGTTGGTCTACTGTATTCGTTTCACTTGACAAGATCGCTCTTTGGATTTGGATAGATCAAATGAGGATACCCATCTTTATCTTGTCGGAGGCAGTCATCCACGTCAAAAGAGCCAAGATAATGATCGTACAGCCAAAGAGAAACAGCAAGAAAGTACTACCCAAAAGGCCATTACCGAGAAAAAATCCACAACAAGTGGCGGCAGCAGCGGCAGCAGCAGCAGCAGCAGCAGCAGCAGGAACAGCAAAGGTGGACATCAATTCGATACATCTGTTTTTGACTCTGCGCAGATGGATCCATGGGTTGCTACTTGGAAAGAGTTCAAATGGAATGCTTTGGAAAAGCTTTCTCGGATTACCACGTTCACTCGTAGCACGACTGCTGGTAAGCCCCCTCGCTTCCTGTTCCTTATCTCTCCTTCTCCATTGAGGAGTTATCGTCCTAGACGGATTATATTGATTAGAATGTAATTTAAACGGTGATAATGATTGGTTTTATAGCTGCCACCGGTCAAGTTGTTCCACATCTTCCACCTAAGCTACAAGCTGCACTCAACACAGACGCCGTCAGGGCAACTACCCAAGACTACGACTCAGCTAGAATCTATCTGGCCAAGTGGGCTGCTGATTTGGCTGCGCGATCTGAGCAAGACACGCCATTGGAGAGAAGATATCGTAATGTTGGCATTTGGGGACATGGTGATGCCTGGGAGGAGGAAACTGCACTCGGTGTATTTGAAGTATTGAACGTGAGTTTGGCATCACTATACAAAGTGGTTAACACTATGATTACCAGGTATTGATGTATTGGATCATACTAACGGTGATTTCTGTTAGTCGGAGAATGATTTTTCGATTCCAACGCATACAAGAACCAAGCCCATCACCGAAGAAGAATGGAATACTTTTTTTGATGATACGGGCAGACTTTCAGTAGGCGAACCATACGTGCAAAAGCGAATATTCTGTGGCGGATTGGAGCCAAGCATAAGAAAGGAAGCATGGTTGTTTCTTCTTGACGTCTATCCATGGGACTCAACTTCTGCCCAAAGAGAGCAATTGGCCGAGAAATATAGGTATTTTAGGATATATGAGATGAGAGGAAGGGCGAAGTAAGGAGAGTGTATTAGTCTCTGTTGATATAAGACTAACGATCTGTTTCGTACTGTGTGTAGGGCCTCTTATGCAGAAATTCGTAGTCGATGGTTGGACAACCCTGAAGTGAGACAAAGTTCCGAATTCATGGATCAGAAGCACCGAATAGATAAGGATGTGCATCGAACAGATAGAACAGTCGCATTCTATGCCAAAGAGGATATGCCAAACCCTGATCCGATTATGCATGTGGGCACCAACAAAAACCTGGAGAAGCTTAAAGAAATCCTTTGTACATACAATATGCTGGATAATGATCTTGGTAGGCCTGTATCTGTTTTTTTTTCTGCAAAAGAATTCATTCACTTGGGTTGATATAATTCATTGCTGTCCGCAGGCTATGTTCAAGGGATGTCCGATCTCTTGTCACCTCTGTACATGGTTATTCAAGATGACCTCGTTTTCCAAGCATTCGTGGGCTTCATGAACCGTGCTGTAAGTGTTTAACTCAATGAAATATTTGAGGAGGCTCTCTTTGAGGATACATCGTACGGACCACCAACGTTCCCTGATAACACATCAACAAACACCATTTCATATGTAGAAGTCCAATTTCTATATGGATCAAACTGGCATGCGTCGTCACTTATTGACCATGGATACCCTATTGCAATTCATGGACCCCAAGTTATACAAACACTTCCAACGAACAGATAGTGACAATCTATTTTTCTGCTTCCGATGGTTCTTGGTTTGGTTCAAGCGCGAGCTTTCCTGGGATGATACACTGACAATGTGGGAAGTGTTATGGAGTAATTATTTGACCGAGCATTTCACCTTCTTTGTTGCCCTCTCCATCTTGGATCAACATCGAGATGCCATCATTGATTACCTTCAAAGCTTCGATGAAATACTCAAGGTAAAGAGAAGAAAACGCAGATGAGTTGTCTATCTAACATAGAGCGTTCTAAATATGTTTCTCTTGCTCACTCGTTTTTCTTTTCAACTAGTATATCAATGATCTTTCCATGGCGATAAACTTACAAGAAACGCTACAGCGTGCCGAGATTCTTTATTACCAGTTCCGTCAGCGCGTTGAAGCTGTGGATAACAAGAAGGAAAGATTACAGGAACTTCTTTCAACAAAAAACAAAGAAGCGGTGGATGACGAGGACTGGAAGCAGGCTCAGAAGGATTTATCAAAACTACCAGATGTCAGCGAATTGCTACGAAGACTCTATTGTTCAGAAGATAAAAATGAACAAGGGTCATCGACGATGAACGAGAAAGGACAGTAAAATTCGAGAGAATCAGAATTATTCTCTGTGGTAGTAATCTAGTGAAATTCCATCAGGACCTGTATGCAGTTATCAGGGCACTTTTTTCTGTTGTACGCATAACAGCAACAACATATTGTAATATCCCATCCAAATTCCATCTATTCCACCAATTTATAGTACGTATATAAACATCGTGGTATTGTAACGCTTAAATCATCACACTGCATTACAGCTTGCCAACGCATCAAACGGCGCTGGTACCTATGAGAAAGAAGCGCTCCATTACAATTGCTGTCAATTTTTCTTTCAAAAATATATCCTCGTGCCGAATTTATGCTCACATACAACAGACACTCAACAAAACCAAAATGTTGATTAGCTAAACGCGCACTGTGTGTACAAATGAGCAGCTCGATTTACGACTGTAAAAAGGTTTGACAGGTTTCCAATAAGACCCATTATCCATACAAAAAGCACTGAGAGCATAATGTATGTTTTTTTGTTGTGCGACATGTAATTACGTGCAACAAAATAACAACACAACTCCGTATGCCACCCGGGTTCTGTTGTTGCTTGTTTCATCTGTTTATATTTTCTCACTACACCTCCGCCTTTCCTGTTTCCCTCCCTCTTTTTCTTTTCTCTTTTTCAACCCCCAACCTCCTCCTCCGGCAGCCTTAATAAGAGAGTCATGACGATATATGGAAGTATACGATCGGGTTCAGGTATGAAAAGCAGTAAGCATTTGCTGCGGTACATGCATATTCCGCGTTGCGTTACGCTATGATGAAAGCTTCGACGGATGATCTTCCGGCACTTTGACCTCTTTTATTCTTTACCAATACAGTGTACTCCACTCCAAAGCTAATGGTATATCCTCTGCATATTTAGATCCCCAATCCAACAAAAACATAAAAAGCAGCAGCAGCAGCAGCAGTAGTCGTAGTAGTCGTAGTAATAGCATAGGTGCCATTGATGGACATCCACGGGAGGCTCAAAAGAAGGAAGCTGACGAAATAACGACCATCATCCAGCACAGTAAAAAAGGCAGTAGTAGCAGCAGTAGTACCAATAATGGAAGCGAGTCCTCAAACATCGGAGACAACTATGAAGATGATGACTACGAAGGCAACCAACGATACAAGAGTCGACTTGATACTTTGAGTTTGACGACGTTGACGGTTTGGTATTGTGACAGATACTGTACAGAGTGGTTCAAGCTACTAGAATATAGCACAGCTTATCTGATTATTGTGGCACACTTCCATGGATCCAACTAAAATTGCACTTTTAGCCTATGTACCTCCGGGTTTTTTCCTGCGCTGGACACGACTGTCGTTTTCACAACATTGAATGACATTGGAACAGAGTTCCAATGGTAAGAAATGGGTATCTGTGATGCGCAAGCTCTGCTTTTCCAGTAGCATATGGGAATATATACACTTGCTGACGTGATTTTCTCAAACGCTATAGTTCCAACATTGCTGCATGGGTCCATACATCTTACTTACTTGTCACGGTCATGGTTCAGCTTCTTTGTATGTAAACATATACATCCCCGACTATTTGTTGTTGTTGGTGTTACACACCTGTATGGGTTGTCTGACTTTTTTTTTACTACTGCCATTAATCATTTACTAGATTCCAAATTGTCCACTGTATTTGGACGGCAACCGATGCTTGTTTGCGTCACTGCCTTCTTTCTCATAGGAAATGTTGGCTGCAGCTATGCAACTACTTTTAGCCAATTAATCGTGTCTCGCGTAATTGCTGGCATGGGTGGTGGCGGTACCACGGTTATGATTATCACTGTGCTTCATGATCTTTTACCTGCACGGAAACGAGGTGTGCATCAATCTTATGTTGCTACTGCTCAAACGGTATGTGTGCACGTCCCCTCCTTTTTTTTGCACTGGTGTTATCTCTCACACTCAATGATAAAAATTATTAGCTGGGTATGGCATTTGGGCCGCCAGTTGGTGGTTTTCTCACTGAGAACTTTGGTTGGCGCTACTGCTTCAAAATCAGCATTATCCCTCTTTTGATCGTCTTGTATATCTACACATTCCGGTTACCAAACTACAGTCCAGTCGAGGATGATGAAACCAGTACCAAAAGCAAAAGATTGTCATCATCAACGATCGCATCTACTGCAACAAGTGAACCCAGTACTAGTAGTAGTATCGCTTTTACAACCAGCAAGGGCAACAGCAATGATAGATGCATTAGTAGCAGCGTATTCAAAAAGCTGTATGCGATCGATTTTCTTGGGGCGATTCTCTTGGGCACGGCCAACACTACATTTGCCACAGGATTGACGCTGGGCGGCAACACACGATCGTGGACCGATTTATTCATTATATCCATGCTGGCCATGTCTATCATTTTTTACCTGATCTTCGGTATTTATGAAATGTTCGGAGCAGCTCATCCATTAGTGTCACGGCTCATAGTATCCAACCGCAACACAATGAGCATATGTATAGCCAGTCACCTATGGGGACTGGGTACTTCGGTTTCGTTTTATGTGCTGCCTCAGCTTTTCATGGTAAGAATATAAGCTATGTACACATGTGTTTTTGTGTACACTTTCAGAAGGAGATTGGACGGTGGAGTGTGCTAAAAAGAAAAGCGAATGAATTGTTAGTACTACATAAGACGTTTGATTAGAATGCTGTATATCTTTGTTATAATTAGGGAGTACTCGGATTAAATCCGGCTCAATCTGGATTATGGACGATGATCGAGTCAGCATCCATTTCAGCCGGGAATATGCTTGCAGGCCAATATCTTAAACGAATGCCTCGGACTCGAACCTTTATACTGACAGCCACTACAGTCTATACTGTTGCCACCGGCGCCATGTCCATGTGGCCTTCGCCCGGTTTTCCATTTACGCTCGGTATAGTTTGCATTATAATCGAAGGCCTGATGTCGGGTGCCTTTGTTATGACTACGATTATGGCTGTAAGTGCCAATATTCCTCGTCAAGGTTGGTTAACAGATATGACACTTTTTAGTAGCTACTTGGGAAAAAATGACATTGATGTCATCGACCAACGTTTATCTGAATACAATATGTAGATGTTTCGATTGTTTCATCTGTAGCTGTTATGTGTCGGCTCATGGGATATCTAAACGGCGTTGCTGTTGCATCAGCCATTTTACAAAGCACACTCAAAGTGTTCTTGTATGATCATGTAAAGGGTGACGACGCAGAAACAATCATCGTATTCATTCGTACCTCGATACGTAAAGTACATACCCTGCCACTGGACATCCAGCAGATGGTCGCCGAGGGACTTGGTCGTGCAATCCAGAGAACATTCTGGTTTGCTATCGCATGTACAACAATGACATTTATCGTCATGCTATTTATGAAAGATCATCCACTTTGGAACACAGAGCAAAAAATCAGTAACAACAGAAAATGAGTAAATATACAGTAATTTTCCCTCTTTGCTATTATCATTTTTATTGTCAATTGTAAAAGTAGTAGCTTATATATATACACACATAGCAAAAAGAGAGAATGAAGGTGGTTTCTGTTTTGGTAGAAATGGAAAATTTACATAAAGCAAACCCAGGAATGACCCACTGTTTGCCGCTGTTGCTGATGATGGTGGCTAGTTGATGAATATGATGATAGGGTATTTGAAATATTCTGTTCTTGCGGTAACTGACCGTCAATTTGCACAATACAAGGTTCATCTGGCGATGGTTGGCCCTTTTGTGTACCGGCAAAGTTCCAACAAAATAGTTTTTCGTGTCGTTGATGTCGTTTTCGTATTTCGATGCATGCATATACTTTCGAAGAGTCGGGGCTTGTTCTAATATCTGTAATGGTGTATCCCGTTTCGGGGGCTGGATGGTCGAATTCTGGCACAAGGCGGTAAACAATACTGCCGGTTTGCAGGTCCCATACATTAATACAACCACGGATTTGTCTTGATGCTGATCTGTTTGTGCCTGGAGCTGTTGTTGCCGTCGTTGCGTCTGGTACTGATGATGATGATGATGAAGAAGATGAAGATGCCGATGCTGAAACATATGGTGGGTCATTGTTGTTGATGCTTTGGTAATATTGATACAGTTGATAAGGTGTCATTTGTTGCGTAGTGCCGGCTGGCGGGGTTGGTGTATGTGAAAGTGAAGAATCGTCTAGCCGAGCAATATATCCATATGAGTGGGGTTTTGATGGACAAGTAGTAGAGGTTGGTGCTGTTGTGGATTGGGTTGATGTATCGGTAGCAGCGCGAGATGGTCGTGGAATTACTGGTATATCGTCATTGTGGCTAGGCAATGTGCCTTTCGTCAGCAAAAAATAAGGTGTCAAACACAACTTGGTAAATCCTGTCATTTCCTCTTCTTCTTCTTCATCTGATGCTGCTGTATCCCAGCTCATTGTCGAACGTAGCGGTGCTTTGGCTGTGCTGAGCTCGTACACAAGGGATCCCGTCAGTAGCGAGAAAACCAAGATTGGACCAGAAGCATCAGGCGAACAGGCAATCAAATGCTCATTAACAGCGATTTCGCCTACACCTTGGATCCAATCACTCCGAGCAGATAGATACGATGAAATATCAATCATGCCTCGAGATTCGCCTGTGGATTTTTCGGGCAAATCCCAGACACGGATCATACTGTCTGATCCACCGCTCACAACCACTGTATTTCGGTAAGTTCTTTGAACGTCTTTTCTCTTGTTCATTTACTTATTGGTATATCCATTACCTTGATTGTTCATAGCAACACATAATACACGGCCTCGATGACCCTCCCAAGAACGCAGCATCCGTTTTTCAACGGTATCCCATAGTGCCACCGTACCATCCAAACTGCCCGTAACCAACCATTTCGACGACAAATGTGTGTAATGGCAAAACACGGTATGCATCCGATGCTCCTCGGTTTCATCAAGATACTCGTATTCACGCGTCCAAGGTGACTGGATTATCAGACACTGCGGGCCATCCGGTCGGCGATACGTTGGATTCGATCGGATAATATGACCGGAGGATGTCATTGTCAGTGTAGTGGCAAATGTATGTTCTTGCGGTATACCCACAACCACCTGGGGAGACAGCATGGCACGATCGTCCAAAAGTGAGCTGGCCATAAGGGTGGTTGTGGTTATCTTCGGAAACGAGCCATAACAGTTGCCAGTGAACCAGTTTTTGGTGATACGATACATGTCTTGCCAAGTCCGTTTATATCGATGCGTCAGTGGGTTGTAATGCTGAGGATTTGGGAAATGCAGCGACCAAAAACGCCGTGTGGCTGTTTTTTGTTTATGAAAATCAGAAAGTGAACACGATTTCCAAATCACATCGTCATAGCTGTTGTTGATTATGGAATGCCATTCTCGACAGACGGCAGCGCACGATGCCAAAGTAGATCCGTCTAAATGAATGAATACGGCGAGTAAAAGTTCGGTCGGAAAACGACGACCAGGTCTATCTTTCGTGGTGCAAGAGCCGGGCATGGGGCAATACTTGGTTTGTGTATGTGTGTGCAATGTCGAATGGAATGAAGAGGCAAGGAATTATTTGGAAAAAAAAGAAAAACGATAAAAAATAAGCAGTAAAAAAACGTGCTATTTATTGTCATAAATTCGAGATTCGACTGCTTTAAGATTTCACGGGGTTTTTTTTATACAGCAAGAACTAGTCAACAAACAGCAGCTAGTGCATATACATGATACGCGCATTATATCATTAAGACGTATTCTTGTTTCGGGAGTAGGAGGAGGAAGGACGATATCGTTAAGGATCGCTTCATTGCGTTTCTTTTTTGCCGTATTTCTTCTTGGGGCAGCAAGGGCTGCTTCCTCCGTTGGCGAGTAGTTCTTCACAGCATGTTCTCAATGCTTGGATTGCCTCTTCGCATTTAGACTCTTGATAATGATTTTTTCCAAGACAATCCTGGATTGCGCATGCTAATAGTAATTTCGGGTTTAAGGCATAATTCAACAAGTGGCACCTTTAGCACCACCAACACTGCACGTAGCTTAGCAAATGGCGCAATGGTCCTATCCTACCACGTACCATATTTCTGACACGGCGGAGACTTCCGTATTAAGGATTAGTTTAAGCGTGGTCAAGGAAACTCAAATAGGGAGCAAAACAACACTACCTGTTGGGGCATAATTTATTCGCCAGAGCGCAGAAGAGAAATGAAGTGTGATTGTGGATAAAACAGGCAGTGAAACAATGGGCTGTCTATCACTGTCCAAAACGGGTATGGCCTGTGTCACCTTTCTTCTTTACGCTTCTGTCTTTCGATATTATTTTTTTTTTCTCTTCTCGGGTTTGCTCTTTCCTTTCTCTCTTTTTCTCCAGACTGTTGATACTCCTCTCATTAAAAGCGGGCTACTGGTGACACTTGTATTATTTGCCTCGATACTACATTCTTCCCGGAAACAAAGTCGAATGTCATGGACGAGTTTGAAACCGTGCACGTCGTTCACGATTTCACTGCAGAGAACGAAGACGAGATTTCACTGAAAAAAGGAGACCCTGTTCTTGTCATTGAGAAAGACGAAGAGTTTCAAGACGGTTGGTGGCGGGTACGTAAAGTCATGGTTGTTTCAAAGCTTAAAGTCGTATTAATTGTTATATGCTAACGTATCCCTCCCTCCTCCCTTTCCTCACTGTCTCTACAACCTACATACGGAAAACACACAACACATATACAACAGGGTCGCAATGTTCATGGCGAGATCGGTTTATTTCCAACGAACTACGTATCGAAAAAACCACTCGCGCTTTCTTCTTTGGAACATAAAATCGGCACGCTAGAAAATACTCTATCCGCTATGCAACTTGGCGATAATATTAAAAACAATGGTCAGCAGTTATCGGATGCCATGGCAACAAACACCACCCATTCGTCCAATACCATCGCACCACCACCAACGACAACGACGACGACCCCATCCTCGGCCAAGAGTCAACGCAGTAGTACCAATAGCAACAATAGCAATGCCACTACAGCAACGAGCACAACGACGAATACCACGAGCCGCGTCGGATCAGTTTTAAAACTCAATCTCCAACGGACGATCGCAGCATCTTTGTCGACACCGGCATTGCATGATACGTCCCCTGAAGAATGGACTATTGAACAGGTGGCCTCGTGGTTAGACACAGTCGGATTTAAGGACATGATCGATCCATTTAAGGGTAAGAGGCTGTTCTTATTTGTGATTCACAGCTAATTAATACTATTATTATCATTCTTGTTGAGAAGATCTGGAGCTATTCAAAGAGAAGTGACAAAGAGGAAAAGGAGAGAGAGAGGGCACATGCACTCAAGGGAGAGGAGAAAAGAGAAGAAAAGTAAAGAGAGCGAAAGATGAGTAGGTCGGTCGACTGATCGTTTTTGGTTGAAAATCGATAGATCAGGAAATTACGGGTGATGTCTTATTGGAGCTTACACAACAGTCATTGAAGGAACTGGGCATTGTTACATTTGGCAAGCGATACAAAATCCATAGTGCTATCCAGGCACTGAAGCAAGAAGTTGCTCGTCGTGATCCTCTTCAACAAGAAGAACAGCAGAAACAATCAATGGCACCGTTGTCGTCAGATACTGATACCAACCATCAACAGGTAGACAAAAAGAAATATTAAACTTGTGTCTGTGCTCTTGCGTGCGTATATTAACTATTTTCATCTAGGCTGAAAAACCATATACTCAGCATAATCAATATCATCATTATCGCAATGGTTCGTTTGATGATAATAGCAGCGTTTATAACGGAGGTGGGGGTAGTGTTATTGCAAGTCCAGGTGTTTCAAGAAATTTGCCCATGGTATATCCGGGATCGTCTGGTCTCCCATCATCAGTGTGGTCTTCACAAGATTCGGAACCTGAGCGACGGGGAAGCAGCAATATGTCAAGTAGTGCGACAATCGGTGATTTGCATAGCTGCATGAATCCTTTTAATAGAGCGCCTTCTGTTTCAGGTAATGATAGACCATTTAATAGTTTGAAACCAAGAGAGAAAAAGAGAGGGGAAGGCTCTAATAACTTCATTCAACATGGCATACAGCCCCTTTAAACAATAATCGGCCAAGAGTTTCCACCAGTATCCCACGATCCTCGACAGAATACGCTTTTCGACAACCTACGAGTCCTTCCTCATCCTACGGTAGTTATGCTCAATTCTCCTCGGTAAGTCTGATTTCACATCTGATAGTCTTGTTCTGTATTCACGTACTCAACAAACCGACAATTCAAATGATTTGACTATTCGCATATTTAGTTTTCATCAATTGTTAAGGAGGGCCCATCGATCGATCAAATGAGATCAATACGGTCGACTCAGCAGCAAAACAAGTAAGCAGAAATTGGAAAATGAATTCTTTGATTTGAGGAGAAAATTTAGTTACTGCTAGTTATTCGTGAAGTGGTACTAACCGTGAAAAATTAACATAATTTCAGTCGACCAAGCTTTCTCCGTGGATCGTTCCTTGGCGGCAACAGTGGATCAGGAGGAAATTCCGCAAGCAGTATTTTTTCTTTAGGAGGAGGAGGTGGTGGAAGTGGGCGCAAATCTGTTGATTTGATAGCCAAACGCAACACGCTTGCTGGCGAAGACGGAAAACCAGATATGGAAGGATGGCTACATAAACAGGGCGATCGATACAAAACTTGGAATAAGCGCTGGTTTGTTCTAAGAGGTCCTAATTTGTTCTATTTCAAAAGCTCAAAGGTAAATTACATTTTCTGTACGTCTCGTTTACATAAAGATGGCTTAAACGTGCTAACGAACGGCATAATGTAGGATCTACGCGTTAAAGGCATTATCAATTTGGTTGGCTATAGTATTATCCCGGACGAGACGATCCATTCTGGGAAATACTGTTTCAAGATGCAACATGAAAAAGAACGGACATTCTACTTCTATACAAGCTCTAAAGAATCCTTGAAAAGTTGGATGCGTGCACTGATGAAGGTGACCATTTCTCGAAATTATACAGGTAGTAATAATAAGACACTGTTTAAAATGAAGGCATAACCAGCGAAACCTGCCAAAGACACTTACATTAAATACCATGTGCTTTTAGAACCGGTCTTATCATCCAGCTCTATAGCAACCGTGTCTTTGGAAATGGCTCGACGCATGCGACCGCGACCGCCCTCGACGATTATGGAAATTAACGAAGACGGCAGAAGTCAACAGCCTAGGCGAAGCATATCTGAATCACAAGCATTCTCACCATCAGTGATGGAAGCCGGAGGTACACAAAGTTCTCCACTGCCACCACCTCCTGTCATGCGACAATCGCGATCTGAGAATATCATGTCATCCTCCTCCTCCTCATCATCACCACCATCCTTACGCCGACCACCCATGCAACCTGTAAACCACTACAATCATCCATTCACGGCTGAAGAGCCCGTCGTTTTAAGCCGAAACACAAGCGACAGCATCGATACATTCGGCCGTTCCATGCAACGCGAAGCCAGCAACAATCATGCACATCTCAGCACTGTCTATGACGTACCGGACGAAGATGATGAAGATTTAATTGATCCACAGCAAGATCATATCACAAAGCTGGAATCGAGCGATGATTTACATCGGCATAAAGAAAACGAGTTCTATATCCGATGGGTAAACGACAACATGAGTAGCAACAACAGTGACGGGCATCATCACGAACCGATTCAAAGTCTGGCGCAAATGAAATCTGGCGAGCCACTGATTGGATTGTTGGAAGGTCTTAGCGGCAAAACAGTACGAAGACAAGATAATGACAAATCAAATACGCCGAGCATGATAGCATTGGATACGATTGTTGCTGCTTTTCGATTCATGGGCCGTGTAGGCATCACAGTGGATGGTAGTTTTACCATCAAAGATGTGTTTGGTGGTGATGAAACCAAGGTCATGGTGATGTTGGAAGCAATCAAAGACTGGGCTGATGGCCAGAGTACATATGCTCAGAGACAGTGATAAGAAGATAAAACACAAATGAGCGTTAGCCTCCTCCTCACACGCATTCACCAAACCAAAAAGTCGTCCTTCTCCTCCTCTCCCCTTCTCTCACTCGTTTTCCGTACATACGCTATAGATAGACCACTACTCACCATTTCCTTTTATTTGTATTATTCTACTTTTTTGTCATCTCTTTCTACGTACTTAAGCTATATTGTATTAATTAATGTATTTCTACTGTTATTTTGTCTGTTACTATAAGTGTGATCAGTATATCATATACAAAGTGATGCGCTGCCCATATATATGATCATTGGCAGTTTGTTTTGTTATTATATCTCGTTCCGATATAGAACAACAGCATATCTTACAGCGGTTTCTGTAACGATACTATGTGATTTATTTCCATTGCTTTTCTTCGTCCTGGCTCTTTTCTCACATGACATTGCATCCCAGCTCTTTTCTATAGTACAGTTTGTGGTTATAGTAGTCATCAAGCTTGTTTGGTATGACATCACCGCGAGAGGTTCCCAATAATCCACATCCTTGATGTTTGAGAAAGATTGTGAAGCTTCTCGTGCCAGAACATGGTTCAAGTACGCCGCTGAACGATTCAGTGGTTTTTGGTACTTGTGTTGATGATGATGATGAGGCCACAGTATTTATTGGTGTTGCTAATGATTGCTCACCTTTATCCAGGGCTTCCATAACCATATCATATCATCGATTATTTCCTCAAGGTCATCAAAATCGTTCACTTCGTCATCCACTTCTTCCTCCTCCTGTCCTATAGTCAGTGTATCTGCTGTGAGTAGGCCATGTCCGAGATTCTTTGTTGATCCACTCTTGTGCATATCCTTTATAAACACCTGGTAGAAGGCTCCTGATTTTCCACTAAAAATATGGGGGTGCACAATCAAAGATTTTTGTATCATCTACAATGTCGTTCCAGCGACATTCTTGGAGCCATCGCCGCATATAGCGGCATATAGCTAACGTGTTGATCCCCTCTTGAGTGGCGTTCGGATGATCTTTGCGTAAACGCGGATCATCTGCTGTCCTTTGAAGCTATTCAAGGTCCTCCCTTATTATTGCCACCGTACTTCCTGGATCTGTTGCTCGTGATGCTTGACGCATCAGGTGGGTTGATTCTGGTGCTGCTGAAGCAATCGAGTGACTATGGCTTCAAAGTCACCAGCCGTTTCTCGTACTTTGCTGATATTGGTTTCCATGGATTCCACTTGATGTTATTCAATACTGGGCGTAGCACCTGCAGAAGATTTCGTCGCCTTCGTCAGCAAGTTTTGATGCACTGGTCAACTTGGTAGCTACGTTCCGCTCGCTCACAAGTTTGGTTGTATATACATAGATCGCAGATCTGCAAAGTGTCTAGTGCGTAATCCAATGACACGTCAAATCGTCATCCCATGTATAGCACTCATCGCAAATGGAGTAGTGTACTGGCGATCTTCTTGGGTGAGTGTCGTCATCATTTTTGTCACTATTTATCTTATCACCGTCGACGCTGTCATCTATATAAGTCTTCCACAAGCTTTGCTGTCTAGCAAAGTTGTTTTCCAGACTGCCAACAATTGGGCAATTTTACTGGGAGCCGTGGATACTTGTGTAAGAGTAAGCAGTTGTGAAGGTGTGATATACTCCAATATCGTTCGCCACACCTCAAACGGTAACACATTCGGCGTAGTAAAGCGATCCTGTTGCTGATACCGTTCATTATTCTGTTGCTGCGCCTGTGTCGTAACATGTGTCAGGCTTCTTGAGCTGGATGTAGTCATAACGATCGTAGGTGGACGAGTACTGCAGAAAGAAAACAAAGAACAGAGAAGAAAATGTCAAAAAATGGTGACAAGTGATTATATAAGTTTTTCTATACAGCCGTATATGTTTTCTCTTTCTTTTTGCTTTCTCAACGAAAATCTTTTTCTTTGCAATGAATGTATTGAAAAACATACCACAAACAAAAAGGGTGCTCTTTATCTACTTAGCCCTTTTCCATTCCTTTCATTCGTTGCATTTATGTATGTATATACGCCTTCATCTGTTTACAATTATTCATATATGATATCTTTTTTTTCGCGCACTTTTCTTCTTGATTCTATTTATTGTTAAGATCACTTGTTACATAGTTATGTATGATAATTAAGAAACACCCACAGCGCAGTCACCATCAGGGTATTAAAATCACGCTCACAGACATTGCCCATTGATTAACTTGGAGCAGTGGATAGAGTATCAGGCTGCGTAAAAAGAGACAATGTAGCACTACATAGTAGGCGGTTCTTAGTCTTCCTAATGTGTGAGCTAGAAGAAGAAGATTATTTCAGTCAGCCTTCATAAAGTAGTGCCTTCTTTTTTAGGCCTTATTCCGTCGCTTTTACAACATGGCGACGAAATGTGGGTTTTACCGCTGCTGGTGCTGCTGTTACTAGAATATCTCATAGGCGTTGCTGTTTACTTGTTCAAGACATAGCACGCATCCAAGTGCCATGCTAGATCCACACCCCCGTTGTATTCTGTTCGTAATTCGCAGGATTCTATGCCATTGGAATGTAGATATCAGTTTTGTAGCGTGACCATTGTAGGACAAACAATATTGCATTGGCGACACGCCTTGGATACAGTCATGCACCGAAGGATGTCACCAAAAGAGAGCTCGTTTAGGATCACGGTGAGCATCATGTCCATACGCTTTTCAAGCATATGGTGAGCTTCATTGGAGAGGTAGAATAATGTGTCTGTCAGCGGATTATATCAGAACTTGCGGAACCCTCCTTCACCGTTATTCAGAACCCTGCGCATATCGTTATTGCTTTCTTGAATCTCTTTTGACCGATAAGAATACGTGTGGCGATAACATTTGCTCTCAAATAGCCTGGGAAGTTGTCGACAAAAAATACGGCGTCACTGTACACCTTTACGACTTTGCCCTGTTGCGCGTATGCTTCGACGCGGACTGCCAGGAACTGCTCTAGATATATGTGTACCCGATCGAGTGCTGAGGTAGATTCATGAACTGCTGTCGCGAGATTGCGTGCTTGGAGGGCTTCGCTTTGATTTACATGCAAAGTGTCTTCCAGTGAAGCCAGCGATGGCAACTTGGTCACAGAGTCCATGTGGGGATCGTGAGTTGTGACGATCCCATCAGTACGCCGTTGAGAAGTACTTTGTGTTGGGCAACAGCGAGAACAGGCCATACTATTATAGCAACGACTTTTAGCTGTCACTTATGTCTCAGTTGCCATCGCAAACGTCTATTACATCAAAGCGACAAAAGCTCGCGTGAAATACGCCTTTCAAAAATGAAATATTTGTAAAGGGAAACAGATGGAAGAGCTCTTTTATTATTTCAAATAATGTAAGAAAAATAACAAAGGTGAAAAAAGTGTCTAGCTGAAGAAAAAGAAGAAGGCATTGGCAGTTCTCTCGTCCATTAATTTGACAATAAACGAGAAAGAAGGAGGTTGAGAAGGGCACAAAGTACCTTTCAACCTCCATGTCCACCACAGCCTCAGTCCCAGCTCGAAGCTGGAACCTACACCGCCAATCCTTCCAGCAAGCCTTTCGGCAAGCCTTCAGGAATGACACCAATGCCAATGCCTTTTCCGTCAATTCCTTATTCCCTCAATTCCTCAAGCGTTATTTCAAGACTATCTGACAGACACACCATACTCCGGAGAGTACGGCGAGTCCAGGCTATAACAGACACGCTTGTATCGTCCAAGGCGGGACCCGATCGTTCAGGATAGCCACTGAAGGTGATCGAGCTCTTTTGCGCGGGGCCGATGCGACAATGCTCTCCCAAAATGAACAATAGACCTCGACGTAGCGCCCACCTTTGTGTCAAGCCAGGAGTCGAACCTGCAAACGTGCCCAGAAACACTACCGACACATACAAAAAGTTGGTGGACCTTTGAAAAAGGCCACTACGGTTATTCACAGCTAAAACACAGGTGTGAGCATGTGTAAAGCAGCAGACGCAGGGTTATAAAGGAATTTACCTGTGATTGGCAAGGGCGCCTTTATGACGATTACGACTGCGCGAAATAGAAAAGCATGGAGATAAGGGAAAGAGAAGCGAAAAGGCAACTGAGCTGAGATAGCCGGACTTTACAACTATCGCAAAAAATGAGTGGGAATACTTGTCGATTTTGATTGGCCGTCGCTTGCATAGCAAACTTTTCAAAGCAATCGTTGTATTTACGTTTCCGTAGTACACGCCAGAGAATGAACACACATTGAAAGTTAAAGACACATGAGCGCTTTTTCGAGTCCTCCACTTTCGAATGTCTCGTATCATAATGCAGCATGTTGCTAGGCTTCTCTTTGTTAGATACGCATAACACAGAAACGAAGCTGTGTGTAGTATAAAACCACACGACTTTTAAAATCGATACGGACAACTCATCCCAATTCACCGTCTTATCAATTAGAGCTGATATAGACAATACATAATCACTACCATATCAATATCAATAATCCCTCAAACATCGATCACAAATGAGAATAAATCAGAACTAACCGTTGTTCTATTCTCGTAATTAGTCGACACTTCCTTTCTATCCAAATACCTGGGTTGATCAAATTATCACCTGTCGAAAAGCATGAATAACACACGAAGGTGGCACTGCATCAAAGAACACACTGATTAAGGCGAAAATAACTCCTTTCACTCGGAAGACAACATCTATCATCATGGCATCCAAACTATACCTTCCTCATCTTCTTGATCTTGGAAATATTCAATATCCAGCATCTCTGCGATCCGGCCATTAGTTTATCCCCACAAAAGTCTATCACAACAGACAGAATAGACGTGCTCAGGTCAGTGAGCGTACGTGTCAAAGTAAAATAGCTTACTTTTTGGGATTATTTCTAATGCTACCAGGGGTACGAGGGCGGATCCCAGTCTACGTGCATCAACTTGCTCTGGTCGTTTATGGAATCTCTTCATCTTCTTCTAGGACTTGCTCGTCACCGGCTTCGGTCTCTTCGTCATCGGCAACCTCAACCAACAGAGGAGCGAGAGAAAGGAAATGGACAGGAGAAGTGGGAGCATAGTGGTGGAGTGGAAGGGACGGCTGCAGGCTGGGCGAGAATTGCGGCGGCGAGGAGGAGATGGTCGAACGTGAATGGTACGAGAGTTGTAATGCCGCGTCAGGGTCATAAGGAGTAGTGGCTATGTTGTTATCGTCCAAGTTATAATAGCCTATACTCTTTGGTGCTTATCGTATGATGATTCATCGTAAGAAAAGAAGAGAAGAAGAACAACGCGCTTTCTGTATCCTGCTTCCTTTTCGTAGTTGCTCTGATCTGCACAAAGCATGTCAACGGAATTTTCCTTTTCCGGTTCACTCCACCCATGATTTCTTTACCGCTCACAGTGAACATTCTTCTTTATGAGGCTTGCTTTATAACCACGCTGCATAAGAAAGCTGCTTATTGCCATGGCATTCAGTAGTCATGACAATCCATGTTCTCGAAAGCCGCTTGTTGCCAGGGCAAGCATGTCAAAACACATTTTATTTTATTCGCGTCACCGATTTTGACCAATTCCGAGCGAAATGGCGGCTGCTCTTGCGAAGCGATTCGCAGCGCTTTTTTCACACAACCGCAACCAGCGCAATGGGCAGACTCGTAGCAGCACGCACATACTCAACCCTTGTTTTTTCGAGGCTCTGAGGCCAAGTTACGATGTTTTTTGTGCAGGGTCTCCATTGTACTTTGCTGTCATGCTCGGCTTCTTCATGCGCAGACCTTCCGTGCTGGCCGTGAATAAATTGGGGGGTGGGGGTTGGTGGGGGGATGAAACCAAAGTCGGGGGATGTCACTCGTCCGAGCGAAAACACTACACTGTATACGCTTATGGAGGTGTGGTTTTAGACTGCTTGTCGTCTTTAGTCTCGCATTGAGCTCGCTCGGTGGTCAGCTTAACGAACGATAATCGTAAGCTGGCAAGCGTGGTGGATGCAGAGAAAGGGATTCTTTTCAAGAAAAACAGCGTCGATCGTATATCCTATCTGTCTGCTTTTCCTAGGGTGCGCGTGAAGTATGATACATGCGAAAAAAGCAAACCAGATTGGCTCGGAACGTATCCTCCGAACTAACTTTTTTTCCTTTCCATTTTTCTCGCGAACTGAACTACGTGATGTGCATTGGAATAATAAAACTTTTTTCCTTTCCATTATTTTCGCGAACTGAACTACGCGAACACAGAAAGTAAAAAAAAAAAGATAAAAAACAGTGCCAAAGTGTGATAATGCGCGTTGTGATCGTGTTACTGTCGTCTGTCATTGTTGTGCACGGAGCTTATCTTTGCCTATTTTAGTTTTTTGTACGCAAAAAAAAAGATACAGGAAAGGAAAAAAAAGCAAGCGTCCCTTCAGAATCTCATTGGGCCCAGACCAGCGTTCTTTTTGGAAATGAACTTTGCCCATAAAAAGACACCCATTTTCCGCAGCGTGTTGCTTCCTCGCTTTTTCTTTCACTTTTCACTTTTCACTTTTTCACGATCACATATGGTAAGTTCCTCTCTTTTTTTCTCTCTTTTTTCTGTGGATGTGTGGGGAGGGAGGGGGGGGCTAACGCGGGTTTTTGTGGGTCGTGGGTGGGTGGGTGGTGCTTGTTTTGTAGGCATGGGCGACGAAGGTGCAAGGTAGGTGGTTGAAGGTAAGTGAGTGGGTGGGTGGGTGGGTGGGTGGTGGTGCTTGTTTTGTAGGCACGGGCGACGAAGGCGTAAAGGTAGGTGGTTGAAGGTAAGTGAGTGAGTGGGTGGGTGGGTGGTGGTGCTTGTTTTGTAGGCACGGGCGACGAAGGCGTAAAGGTAGGTGGTTGAAGGTAAGTGAGTGGGTGGGTGGGTGGGTGGGTGGTGGTGCTTGTTTTGTAGGCACGGGCGACGAAGGCGTAAAGGTAGGTGGTTGAAGGTAAGTGAGTGGGTGTGTGGGTGGGTGGTGGTGCTTGTTTTGTAGGCACGGGCGACGAAGGTGCAAGGTAGGTGGTTGAAGGTAAGTGAGTGGGTGTGTGGGTGGGTGGGTGGTGCTTGTTTTGTAAGCACAGGCGACGAAGGCGTAAGGTTGGTGGTTGAAGGTAAGTGAGTGGGTGCGTGGGTGGGTGGTGGTGCTTGTTTTGTAGGCATGGGCGACGAAGGCGTAAAGGTAGGTGGGTGGGGGGGCGGGGAAATGGTTGGTGAGACCGGACTGGGCATCTCAATACCAATCGACTTTCGATGATCCACAAAGCGACCAAGACAAGACCCTAGCTTTGTGGTAGAGGGTTACCGCCTAAGACATCGACACCCTATTATTGATTAGTAGTATAATGTACCAAATAAATATTTGTTTCCTCTTTGCGTTCAACGTGTTTGTGCGTGTTTGTTATTGTTGTATGCCTTCTTCATATATGCGAGCGAGACTCGTCATTCTCGACTCTAATTGTACAATGAAGACATTTGCATTGAGCAACGTAGTTGCCATTGGAGATCGTCGCCAAAGTTACATTGATTTTGTCTTGAACAATGCTGTGAACAATGCTGTGATTCGCGAACAAAGGAGTCGACATTCAGAATGAGGCAGCCAACGCTGACGCAGGTCTGTTTGTTAAAGGCTATTATCAAATAGAAGGGCTGTAAACCAGATCCTCCTTCTCCTACCGTTACCGAGCTTCACAACTTTGTCCTTCATATACACTTTGCTTTGGATGACGTGTACTGCACGGTTATCAACTTCTGCGCCCTTATTCTTGTGATTATGGCTTCTTCTTGTGTGAGCTTCTTATTACAATACCAGTAATTTTTATTGTTTACAATGTCAACGATTCCCGGCGCAATCCATTTACTTTTTTCTAGGATCTTGTTGCTGAAACCCTGTAAACCCTGTCTGTGCGCCTTATGGCCTGACGGGTGCACGTATCTTCGTATTTAGAAACAGGCGGCGACACTGTCGGGGCACGCCCTGCATGATACCGGTGAAACATATTTCATAGGGCAAACAATACACGCGGACCCCATACGCCTTCTTCTTGACTTAACCGTGACTCTTCAGCACCTCTTCTGCACTTGGGTTATTTACCTTGGCTCTTCCTTCTTTGATTTTGGCTCTGGCTCTTGATTTTGCCTTTCTTGGTCCTGGCTTTCAGGCGTCGAGGCCCGAGGGCGGAGAAATTCTTTTCGATTTCTCGCCATAGAGAAATGGTAGCATCCTTTTGGTTGGATGCCTTGTCTGCTGGTCTGGTCTGCCATGGTGGGGATCGCAACGGGGCGTCAGGTGCCACCGTAAAGCGCATTCGACCCTCGGTAATCGATTATCAGCAACAGTATTCAATTGCCGTCCTTTTGGGTGTTTCGAGGGTCAGTTCCTTCCTTACTCCTTCCCTTTCCTCTTTTCTTTCCCCTTCCCTTCCCACCTTCCCCTTTCTCCATTCACAAGCAGTATTCAACCAATTGCTTGCACTCGACTCTCCAAACTATGTGTACACCATGGCTCCCGCTCGTTAGTATCAAGGATGGCTTGGGTTTGTGGTTGATTGATTTGAAGCCAATTGAATTAGGAGACCGGGACACCCAGGCAGGGGCACTTGGTGGTTTTCCCTCCCTCCCCCTTTTACATACTTCTTCTCTTTCTTCTTGCTTTCTTCATGCTTTTTGTATAGTCTGCAGGTTGTGCGAACTGCTTGTTGAGGGCACTTTGTAAAAGTGCCTTCCTTTTTTCTGATTCAATTGTCCACTGATCGTGTTCGTTTAACAAAATTTGTGCTCTTCGGCAACTAACATTCATAAAGATAACTTCCGTCTTTAGTAAAATGCTTCTTCACTCTATTGTTACAATGAATAAGCACCTGCTCTTTTACTTAATGCCCTGCCCAGCTCATTTGCGACTTTTCCTTATGAAGGAATTTTCCTGTCGCATAACCTTCTTGCAATTGTCAATTTCTTCCTGACTGTGAAGTTAATCATCTTCGCCGCTTCATTTGACAGTCAGGAAAGAACTCATGGTTTGGCGTGCAATGTCCCTGATCTTATTTAATGCTGACAATGTCAAAATGGCTCATAATAGATTCATAATTACTTTAAATTTGCAATGACAATGACTTGATTGAATTTATAGATGAAAACTGGGGGCAACTGTTTGACATAAGCATAACGCACGGACCATGTATCACAATGTCAAATTGTTGTGAAACCCGTTGCCTAGCATTATCAGCGCTGGGCACGCCAGAAAATTTTGTCTTGCAACAGTAGGAACTCTTTTGAACTTACAACAAGTCCCTCGTGTTGTGTGCTAGAAACATCTTCCTTATAGAATCTGCACGGCACGCACTCTACAATCGAGATCTAGATGCCTTTAATACGAACTACTATCATATAATGCACATACTCATTAGTAGTAGCGTTTTAATGGCTTTTCATCAAATGCTAAATTCATGTGGATGTGTCCATCTTTTTTGGGTGGTCATATAAAATTCGAGCTGCCTTTGAAGTACCATATATGTTATCAGCTGGAGGCGGTTCGACATATGTATAGCAACGCTTTTTTATATCACTACTTTTTCCCATTATCCGACTTGCTACGGTACACAGTTACGATTGTTGAAGTCTTATGTCATACTTTTCACTTCGCCCACGTATGGTATAAAACATAATCAGTTGGCCCGCGAAGCAACTAGTTCCTTGGGACAGTACGTTGTGATGATTCTCAAGCTTTGGACCGCCATCCGATGGCTTGTCGTGTAAGGTTACTACATATACCAATACGATTCTAAAAGTAAATCTTCAAGTGTCTTCAGAAAAATCAAAAAGTCCTTTTGCTATATTCAAAGTAAGTTTGTACAGCATCTTACCGTCGCCAGCTGTATTGCACTTTTCCTATTTATAAAAACATTGACTACTCTAGGCCAGCATTGATTTGGCGGTCTCCCTTGATGGATGATGGAATGTACATACTGTAAACGTCTGTCATCGCTTGACAGACCAAGCCACATATCTTACGTACTTTTTAAACTTAGAGCGCCATTCCTTAAGTGCTGCACTACATTGCACCTGCTCTCAAAAAGTCAAATGTTCAAAACTGTTAGCTGAATTTTCAGTTTGATTCTTTTGTTCGTCTTGATGAAGACGGGCGTTAACTGCTACCGAGGGAAGCTCACAAACGGATAAGCCTTAGTGGACATGACCGTATCTTGCCTCCGTGTCGTAGTGTTCCGTAGTGAGAACGTTGCTATAACGCCTATCAAAAACAATTGAACCCTTGGCGATCAAATCCGGAGAGTTACAGAGGGACAGAGGAAAGAGAAAATGATAAAGAAAGAGAGTAAAATTTTTTAAGCGATACCAAAAACGGAAGTAAAAACGACGGCCTGATGGGAGTAACTCCAAGCGTTATATTCAAATAGTTCGCCCTTGTTGGCATCCCTTTAATCGTCCTAAAATACATCTTCGGCAGTTTGTTCACGCTGCGTATGCCTGTGTTTGGGGTAGCTGAAAGTTATGAATAACGGCACTCAAGTGAGATCCATCCTCTCGCCCATTTCATGCATCATTCATAGTCAATTTTGCCTCTCAACAAACTAGTTGGACACTTTCATAGGCGTTGCCAATCATTTTTTAGAGAGCCAATTGCACGCTATAAACTCCACAGTACACAAACAAAACTACCGGAAAGCAGCTCAAAACTGGAGAGGATACATACATGAACTGAAAAACCGTAGTTACAAGGCAAAGTAACAACACTGAATGAGACATGTCTTACAGCAAATGTATGTACGTGTTAACCCTTTTTGCATCAGCAAGGACAGAAAAGTACAGTTTATACGCACAGGAGTTGTATAATTGATAGTAACATGATGTTAAGCGCTTTGCTTACCAGTTGTAGATAGCAGCAGCCTTGCGAGACACTATTGCTATTGCTATTGGTAATCCATATCCGTATGTATGTTTTTCCCGTTATTGCAATGCATTGTAGCGTATGTTAGAAACATAATCACCAAGTGGCTCTTCCTTGATTACAAAGATGAATACGCTTGATACTTCGTCTCAAATACGTTGACACACAAAGACACATCGTTCATCTACAAAAATGCCGCCAAATAGGCTAGAACGTACTTGCTGCTACTTTTACGATACCAATGACAAATAGCGGCGCTTCTGTTGCAGTTACTTTTACAACGCAGATGATAAACAGTGACACTTCTGTTACTGTTGCTTTTACGATGCCAACGACAAAAATCACCACCTCTGTTGCTGTCGCTTTTGCTACGCCGATGACAAGTAAGAGTACATTTGCTGCTAATGCTATTGTTAGGGCAGTGACACTCATCAGCATTACTGCTGCTGCTGCTATTGTTGCGTTAATCAAGCTTGTGACTGCTACGGCTACTGCTGCTGTTGTTGTTGGTGTCAAGCGTTGATTTACCCATCGAGTATAGTATAAAAAAACTAATACTGCAACAGGCATGATTTTCCACAGCACTTCGACTGACCGAGGCATCGTGTAAGCCACGTCTTGCGAGTATATATCCATGGTACAAGCAAACCAGAGAGAAAGAAGGGTGATAGCGCTAATCGCAGAGACGGGATTCAAGACGGGCATGGCGGTTCAGGCTAAAAAAAAAGTGGAAAAAGATTGGGGGAAAGAGAAGGTATTTTACTGCTGAGGGCAACATCTCTCCTCTTTATCTTTTCGCAAAGAAATGTCATCGACGTCACTCGTCAGATCGCCCCACCTGCAAAGGTTACACGAGCATGGCGAACAATGGATGGGCTTCTTGTAAGCCATCTCTTGACCCGTTGCGATTACCTTGCTTTACTTTGTTTTCACTTTCGGAATGTACAGGTTCTAGGCTACAAGTACATACTGACCTTACTTTTGTACGTCGCTGTCGTGCTGCGTGGCGTTTCATAAAAGAAAAAAATTCTGTTGCGTGCCAATAAGTTATGCGTCAACCCTTTTTTTATTTCAGAAAATTCTCACGTGATGACGACGACATCCCTCTACTGCTTTTACGCATGGTGGGCATTACACTGCACACTGCGTGTCTGTTAAAGGAAAGTCCAATTAATGGAGGAGCAGTCAAAATATCACAAAAATTGACTCCGGTGCGGATGAGAGTCTATGCACTTGCAACAGCGCTAGTGACAAGTGTTATTCCCGCAGCGGCAGAAACGAGCATAGAAACAGAACCACTACCCTTCTCACCATCGTCACCAGCCCTACCCAACCTCAGTGCATTTTTCCGAGAGCCAGAGGAGCCAACTAGTGAATGGCTCGAGGCAGTCGCCTACCGACGCCCAGTTCCTGTTCACCCCGAAGTTCCCTATTACAAAGAAGTGCTTCTCCGGTGCGAAGCACGCGAGCGACAGCGGCAGCAGGAAGAACAAGAGTACCTTTTGGAGGACGCGGATCGACGACGCCGCTTTGAGGAGCATCTACAGCAACTTGAGAAGCAGCAACAGCAACAGCAACAGCAACTCGAACAACAGCAGCTGCAGCAGCAACAACAACAACAACTCGAGCAACAGATGCTGGTCGACTCCGATTACATGGAGTGGGAGCAATCCTTTGCTTGGTAATGTAAGTATCTGATACCTTTTCTTCCGCACTGAAAGAAAGCGTGAATTGCTGAATGTATATACAATAGCACTAAATGCATCTTTACATTAGCCTGATATTCTATTATAGCCAGTACAAAGAGAAAAACAACGAAAATCTGGAAATAAATCCAAAAAAGCAAAAAAAAAATCCAAAAAAAAAAATCCAAAAAAAAAATCACGAAAACAAGCGTCGCAAAATATGGAGTTGCCAGTGGTGATGTATGGCTGATGCTCTATACCGGTTCCATTACAGTATAACAAGCAATCATTGAAGTATACAAGGTATGTATACCCGTTGAATATAACCCAGACGTAGAAAATGTGAGTGATTCGATTACCTAGACTACTGTACGTCTTTCGAACCATATAGTAGTAGTGGGCTATTATCGATTTATCAACATCGATATACTGAATAACCACGTTCAACTAGGGCCTGCCTTCAAGAGCCATTGATAGCATCTTACCTTGAAAACGCATTCCCTGACAAGTGGTTATAAACAGTAAGCACAAACACTTCTTCTATCTTCTTGCTTATAAGGCTACTAAATTTGAAAGGTTTTTCTTAGCAACATCCGCATTCGTCAATTGTCACTCACGTCTTTGTTCCTCGTATCATATTGCGACGTGACTTGTTCTTCAATCCATTCAACTGTTCGCATCGCGCGTCAGCTCCATACTGCTGCTTCTCTTTTTTTTCTGCTTTTGATGAGAGTGCCAGCGCCTGAAACACCAGAACATCAACAATTTCAAATGGCAGCACAACAGCTTCAAGCCGGTAAGAAACTCCTCATACACTGCAGCAAAGAGTAACTAAAGATAAGAAAAATCCCTTGCTAATTGTTATCGCTCAATCATTTAGAACAGTGCGTGTGGATGCTGCACCCTCAATCTCTGTAAGTGTTAAAAGCTTCATTCGAGAATTGAGAAGAATCAACTGCTGACATTTATTTTGAAATTTCAGTATACAAGAATCCTCCACTACTTAAAGACGGTAAACTAACATTTGGAAAACCAAAGTTACGAGTAGATTTACGAAGTTATAGCAGAACGTACGTTTTACCCTTTCTCACTGCCTTTAAAGAGGAAGCGATCAAAAGGCTCATGATGCTTTTGATTTTTTACCAAACCAAGCCGAATTCTTGTAGGAGTCAAGGTGTTCCGCCTGCATCGTGCCCGATTATAAACAGCAACTACAATCTGTATCTTAATTAAGCACTGTGCCGTTATGAAAAACCCAAGCTCCGTTATAAATTAAGCAGTGTGCCGTTGTAGAAAATATCAAGCCCCGTTGTGGATTAAGTACTGTGCCGTTGCACGGAGTAAAGCCCGTTATGAATTAGGCACTGTGCCGTTATGAAAAACCCAAGCGCCGTTATACAGGATTTTTCCTAATGATTGGCGAGGGTTTTTTTCCCATCATAGCGGTGCTTTTTACCATATTGCCGTTGGGGGGTGCCTTTGATTGGCAGTGTGTTTTTGTGATTGGCAGGAGGTGAAAATTACAATGGCGGTGTAATTTTAAGATGTTGGCAGATTTATGAAATTCATATTGGCGGCTCACTTCAGTTTTTTAAAGCTGAATCTAGTTCAAACACAAGCAAAAAGAAAAATCCTGGACGGCCTCGTAGTAACAAACTCAAAAAAAAAAAACAGTAATAAAACCAAGAGGTATATGTTGTTAAATTGAATAGATTATCAGTTCATAATAGTTACGTTAGGTTATTTAGATGCCATACTTTATAGGTCTAAACAGACGATATACATACTTCCAAATCGTTGAACTCATTGAGCTCATACAAAATGTAACTTTAGGTGCTGCTCAAGCTTCTCACATGCTCCGAATTCCAGAAAGGACCGCTCAGCGATATGGTGCACGATTTCGAGATGAAGAAGCCTATTTGCAAAGTCAATTTAAAAAACCTGAACGCCTACATCCTATATTAACGAATGAACTCTCATTGTTCTTACAAGATCCATACGACAAGAAGTCTTCAGCGACACTTGAGCCGGCTTAAGGTCAACTATGGGAACACTTTACAGCGTCGATCACTCTGAGTGATCTTTTCAGTTTGTTTCAACAATTCTTATATTATTTCATTGACTTATCAACTAGTTTATTAGCTAAACTTTCAGCATTGAGACTATTATTGATTTCTCAGTGTCGTAAAACACTTTTCACTTGACACTTTCTTTCATTTGAAAGTAGTTTTACTATAACAAAAGTCGCCACAAATGATATTGTTGCTAATGCTCACTACTTTCTTAAATCATTATACTTGATAATCCACACACAAAACAAACTTAAAACAACCTGTTACAATGTAATAATCATTGGCTAGTTCCTCTGTATTAATTTGATATACTCCAAATATGCACAGGACATATGATATATAGCAAAAATATAATTCGGTATTTTACAAACTTCATATGCAAAGCTTACAATTATTCAATCAATTACTTTTTATTGTTATCCTCATAAGTCATACAACTACTAATACATTTAATATCCATCCATCATATCTCTTTATTCTTGTTCGCTTACAACTTCTTCCTCTTCATCATGTGTATCATCTTCATCATCGGTATCTTCATCATGTGTATCATCTTCATCATCGGTATCTTCATCATGTGTATCATCTTTATCATCGGTATCTTCATCACTGGTATCATGTTTGTTGCAAAGTGTTTGGAGAGGGCTGATCCAGTCTTGCATAATAATCGGCTTGGTACTTTTTTTTTGTTTCCACCATGTATAATCTTTCGCATTTTACTTGTTTCGAACGAACTTTTAGAATAAGATGCTTGAAAGGTGTTTAAGTCCTCTAACATGACCTTTTTAAGTATAAAAACATTACCGATAAGTATATATAATCAGTTTAGATAAAAAATATAAATTAAAAAAATGACATACGTGAAGTTTGGTAAGACATTGTACTGCGTCGCCTATAACACCGTTCTTGATTTGTAATAATGTTTGCGGATATGTGAAGCTACCAATTTCATCAAGACAATATACTTTTTTATCTACTAGGGTCAAGCAATAAATGTAACAAGTAAGACTCATTACTTGGACAATGGTGAGACGGATGAATTGAACTTGGGATGGTGTTATGTAGGGCATAGAACGAAGAGTATGATTAAGATGAACTTTGCTAGCAGCCACGGACTTGAGCTTGTCATAGTACAGCTTCGATTCATTAGTCGCCGCATCACTAGCAAATTCCCCAGTTATGGCTTCTAACTTGGTCCTATCGTCTATTGTAGATACTAATCGAAGGTCCAAGCGGAGTTTTGAATCCATATCGGCATGCTGACTCAACAAACTGTCACCCCTTTAGCAAACTGATTATACATGTTAAATAAAATATTTACAATTTCTTTCACTCTGGCCTTTCCATTAATGCCTATATTTACCATTGCAGGAAGTAACTATTGTACTCTCCGAAAAATGACTCAAATATTGGTGACCAATATTTGACGATCAAGCTTTGTTCTGTACACTGTTTAATATAACTGGATTCTAGCATGTGTGACTTGTGGATGTGTTGCTCCAAACTAAAAAAAACCAGAGTACAACATTATTAATATTATAATTTTTGAATTCTTTGATTTTCATATAGATAATACGTTACTAACATATGGCGCAGAATATTCTTAACACCTCGTTCTAGTTGATTCTTTGGATCAAACATTGAGATATCTTTTAAAGCCTGGATACCAATCCGTTTTCCAGTGATCTTCAACATATATGTCAATATATTATTTAATCATCCACACTATGTTATGCAACACCTTCCCCCATCCCTAAAAAAGGACCATACCTTGGTCAAATCTGTGATTTGGGTAATGTCAACTTCATATCCGGTGACAGTTGTTTTAAGCTTCTTCATAACGTTGGATGATAATGATAAATCTAATTTACCAACTTGAGAATCTTGTCCAGAACTTGAAATGTCCAGAATTCCGTTCAATGAAAGACTATCATATCACATTTATTAGACAACATTCACAATTTCCAAAATAATTCATACAAAACCCAATAAAGAAATCCATCGACTACCTTTTCAAGTACTTGGATCTATTATCATCACCATTAAATTGATTTGATAAAGCATATAAATTGCTACCCAAAGTTCCAGATCGTTTAGGTAAAGTAATTTTGTCATGAGCCTAAGTAATTAGCAATAAATCAATTACTACTAAGTACATTACAGCCCAGAGGCAAAAAAGACCACTCATATATTCTGTCTAATAATAAAATATATTACCACGAATATAATCTCTTGCGACTTCTTTTGACGTTTTCTTTGATTATCCTCGATTCTCTTTAATCTTTTCATGGAGCCTCTGTCATTCTAGCACGCAAAAGTTAGATCGATTCATATTTGATATCTTTATCTAGTGTTAAAATATTCGCTTCACTTACCGGTTTCTATGCAAAGATTAAAAGACGAATAGGTTAAAATCGTTTTGTCTTCTTTGCATTCATTTATAATTACTCTCTTTACAGGCTGTTCAATATTTTATTAATTTTCTAATTTTTAATTTATTTTATATATTTAGTTATTAAGTTTTATTCTTAAATAATAGAAAATGATCAATATAATTAGGGGTGGTCAGAGAAAATCTTGAATTTTTGATGACGTTGGTAGCTAGTCATTGAGACGGTAGTCGAAACCCTAGAATGATGGTAATCATTCCAAACATTTGCCTACAAATGCCTCAGAAACAGTATTCTTCTTTCTTTACCTTTCGAGCTTTATCTAATAATTCACTTTGCAAAGCAGCCTGCAAAGATTCTTGTTGCATACGCAACTTCTCCTTGGAAGCTGTTAATTTTCGCGCTTCTTTTAATATAGAATCTGACATGGTTTTCGAAAATAAAAGTAAAAAAGATTCAATAAGGAATAGTTTTCTGAGTGTGCATCGGAAAGGAAAAAAAATTGAATGCGCAGGACTTCACGACTTCAAAGGATGCTGATTTCCGATAAACATTTATAGAACTTTCGTAACAAACAAACGATAGTTTAATATTGTTCTTTGAAACTTATTGATTTATTATTGTCCCTTGATTCACTTTATTGTCTGATTATATAATAAACAACATCATGTTCTTTATATATACCTCCAAAATCAAGTCAAGTTCTTAATGGGTTTTTCATAAACTTTATTATAAACATGATAAGAAAACCAGTAGATATGAATTAATCATCTGAGGCATTGCTAAAAAATATTTTCTTGCTTTGCTAGTTTCCTTTCAAAGTTGGACAAAATTCCCAAATATTCCTACGGATATACCCATAAATATTATACATTTCTGATAGCAAGATCATTTCGAACCACTACATTTAAGTCTTGTGCCACCCTATCTTACCTATTACTGTTGATTATAAACAAAAAGATTGAAATTAAAGTATGTTGCTAATAAAAGTTACAAGGACTGAAGAGGCAAAAGTCTACCTCCAATCAACATGTCACTCTATTTGTAAAGTTTATTGTAATGAGTTGAACATCCAAAATATTATTTCTATTTTACAGCAATGGTAACGAAAGTAAGTCATTGGTTATTCATTTTTTACATCTGGTATTCATAACATGCATCAAAGGAACCGGATAGTGTTGCAAGAACCAGCCCATTGACCAAATTCAATGGCCACTAATCTAGCAGTGTTCACTTAAAAGTCATCAAACTCCTAAGCTACTAGCCCACATCAACACGAAGAAAGGAACATGAGCACTTGCAACAGATGGCCATGTGTATCTTTGATACCAAATTATCTCTCGTAGTGCTAGCACTACGCCTGTACAGTAACCTGGTATTATGATCCCAATGTTTCTATCTAGGCATACACAACTGTTGCAAGTGCAGTTCTTTCTATTCATCAGTAAGCCAACACACACACACACACACATATATATATATATATACATGTAATTCGTTAGAACCAATCGGCAATAAATAAAATAGTCTGATGCAAACAAGAAATTATATATATGTACACTTGCCTTCAAATATGTATAGCATCGATGGAATAGTGTTGCATGAACCAGCACATTGACCAAATTCAGTGGCCACTAATCTAGCAGTGTTTACTTAAAAGTCATCAAACTCCCAAGCTACCAGTCCACATCAACATGAAGAAAGGAACATAAGCGCTTGGGAGGACATTCAGCTACATTAGAGTTTTTAAAAGTATTTATTTATACATTATTTTATATATAACATAATTTATGATCTATTTTTTTTAACATTTTTATTTTTATTTTTTTTAAATGCTAAGACTTCTAATACATCATATGACCCCGAAAAGTTGAAAAATAATTAACAATTTTTTATTACTTTTCTTTTTCATAATTTATTATTGAATAATAAAAATAAACAAACAAAAAAGTCATGTGATATATTAGAAGTCTTAGCATTTAAAAAAAATAAAAATAAAAATGTTAAAAAAAATAGATCATAAATTATGTTATATATAAAATAATGTATAAATAAATACTTTTAAAAACTCTAATGTAGCTGAATGTCCTCCCAAGCGCTTATGTTCCTTTCTTCATGTTGATGTGGACTGGTAGCTTGGGAGTTTGATGACTTTTAAGTAAACACTGCTAGATTAGTGGCCACTGAATTTGGTCAATGTACTGGTTCATGCAACACTATTCCATCGATGCTATACATATTTGAAGGCAAGTGTACATATATATAATTTCTTGTTTGCATCAGACTATTTTATTTATTGCCGATTGGTTCTAACGAATTACATGTATATATATATATATATGTGTGTGTGTGTGTGTGTTGGCTTACTGATGAATAGAAAGAACTGCACTTGCAACAGTTGTGTATGCCTAGATAGAAACATTGGGATCATAATACCAGGTTACTGTACAGGCGTAGTGCTAGCACTACGAGAGATAATTTGGTATCAAAGATACACATGGCCATCTGTTGCAAGTGCTCATGTTCCTTTCTTCGTGTTGATGTGGGCTAGTAGCTTAGGAGTTTGATGACTTTTAAGTGAACACTGCTAGATTAGTGGCCATTGAATTTGGTCAATGGGCTGGTTCTTGCAACACTATCCGGTTCCTTTGATGCATGTTATGAATACCAGATGTAAAAAATGAATAACCAATGACTTACTTTCGTTACCATTGCTGTAAAATAGAAATAATATTTTGGATGTTCAACTCATTACAATAAACTTTACAAATAGAGTGACATGTTGATTGGAGGTAGACTTTTGCCTCTTCAGTCCTTGTAACTTTTATTAGCAACATACTTTAATTTCAATCTTTTTGTTTATAATCAACAGTAATAGGTAAGATAGGGTGGCACAAGACTTAAATGTAGTGGTTCGAAATGATCTTGCTATCAGAAATGTATAATATTTATGGGTATATCCGTAGGAATATTTGGGAATTTTGTCCAACTTTGAAAGGAAACTAGCAAAGCAAGAAAATATTTTTTAGCAATGCCTCAGATGATTAATTCATATCTACTGGTTTTCTTATCATGTTTATAATAAAGTTTATGAAAAACCCATTAAGAACTTGACTTGATTTTGGAGGTATATATAAAGGACATGATGTTGTTTATTATATAATCAGACAATAAAGTGAATCAAGGGACAATAATAAATCAATAAGTTTCAAAGAACAATATTAAACTATCGTTTGTTTGTTACGAAAGTTCTATAAATGTTTATCGGAAATCAGCATCCTTTGAAGTCGTGAAGTCCTGCGCATTCAATTTTTTTTCCTTTCCGATGCACACTCAGAAAACTATTCCTTATTGAATCTTTTTTACTTTTATTTTCGAAAACCATGTCAGATTCTATATTAAAAGAAGCGCGAAAATTAACAGCTTCCAAGGAGAAGTTGCGTATGCAACAAGAATCTTTGCAGGCTGCTTTGCAAAGTGAATTATTAGATAAAGCTCGAAAGGTAAAGAAAGAAGAATACTGTTTCTGAGGCATTTGTAGGCAAATGTTTGGAATGATTACCATCATTCTAGGGTTTCGACTACCGTCTCAATGACTAGCTACCAACGTCATCAAAAATTCAAGATTTTCTCTGACCACCCCTAATTATATTGATCATTTTCTATTATTTAAGAATAAAACTTAATAACTAAATATATAAAATAAATTAAAAATTAGAAAATTAATAAAATATTGAACAGCCTGTAAAGAGAGTAATTATAAATGAATGCAAAGAAGACAAAACGATTTTAACCTATTCGTCTTTTAATCTTTGCATAGAAACCGGTAAGTGAAGCGAATATTTTAACACTAGATAAAGATATCAAATATGAATCGATCTAACTTTTGCGTGCTAGAATGACAGAGGCTCCATGAAAAGATTAAAGAGAATCGAGGATAATCAAAGAAAACGTCAAAAGAAGTCGCAAGAGATTATATTCGTGGTAATATATTGTTATTATTAGACAGAATATATGAGTGGTCTTTTTTGCCTCTGGGCTGTAATGTACTTAGTAGTAATTGATTTATTGCTAATTACTTAGGCTCATGACAAAATTACTTTACCTAAACGATCTGGAACTTTGGGTAGCAATTTATATGCTTTATCAAATCAATTTAATGGTGATGATAATAGATCCAAGTACTTGAAAAGGTAGTCGATGGATTTCTTTATTGGGTTTTGTATGAATTATTTTGGAAATTGTGAATGTTGTCTAATAAATGTGATATGATAGTCTTTCATTGAACGGAATTCTGGACATTTCAAGTTCTGGACAAGATTCTCAAGTTGGTAAATTAGATTTATCATTATCATCCAACGTTATGAAGAAGCTTAAAACAACTGTTACCGGATATGAAGTTGACATTACCCAAATCACAGATTTGACCAAGGTATGGTCCTTTTTTAGGGATGGGGGAAGGTGTTGCATAACATAGTGTGGATGATTAAATAATATATTGACATATATGTTGAAGATCACTGGAAAACGGATTGGTATCCAGGCTTTAAAAGATATCTCAATGTTTGATCCAAAGAATCAACTAGAACGAGGTGTTAAGAATATTCTGCGCCATATGTTAGTAACGTATTATCTATATGAAAATCAAAGAATTCAAAAATTATAATATTAATAATGTTGTACTCTGGTTTTTTTTAGTTTGGAGCAACACATCCACAAGTCACACATGCTAGAATCCAGTTATATTAAACAGTGTACAGAACAAAGCTTGATCGTCAAATATTGGTCACCAATATTTGAGTCATTTTTCGGAGAGTACAATAGTTACTTCCTGCAATGGTAAATATAGGCATTAATGGAAAGGCCAGAGTGAAAGAAATTGTAAATATTTTATTTAACATGTATAATCAGTTTGCTAAAGGGGTGACAGTTTGTTGAGTCAGCATGCCGATATGGATTCAAAACTCCGCTTGGACCTTCGATTAGTATCTACAACAGACGATAGGACCAAGTTAGAAGCCATAACTGGGGAATTTGCTAGTGATGCGGCGACTAATGAATCGAAGCTGTACTATGACAAGCTCAAGTCCGTGGCTGCTAGCAAAGTTCATCTTAATCATACTCTTCGTTCTATGCCCTACATAACACCATCCCAAGTTCAATTCATCCGTCTCACCATTGTCCAAGTAATGAGTCTTACTTGTTACATTTATTGCTTGACCCTAGTAGATAAAAAAGTATATTGTCTTGATGAAATTGGTAGCTTCACATATCCGCAAACATTATTACAAATCAAGAACGGTGTTATAGGCGACGCAGTACAATGTCTTACCAAACTTCACGTATGTCATTTTTTTAATTTATATTTTTTATCTAAACTGATTATATATACTTATCGGTAATGTTTTTATACTTAAAAAGGTCATGTTAGAGGACTTAAACACCTTTCAAGCATCTTATTCTAAAAGTTCGTTCGAAACAAGTAAAATGCGAAAGATTATACATGGTGGAAACAAAAAAAAAGTACCAAGCCGATTATTATGCAAGACTGGATCAGCCCTCTCCAAACACTTTGCAACAAACATGATACCAGTGATGAAGATACCGATGATAAAGATGATACACATGATGAAGATACCGATGATGAAGATGATACACATGATGAAGATACCGATGATGAAGATGATACACATGATGAAGAGGAAGAAGTTGTAAGCGAACAAGAATAAAGAGATATGATGGATGGATATTAAATGTATTAGTAGTTGTATGACTTATGAGGATAACAATAAAAAGTAATTGATTGAATAATTGTAAGCTTTGCATATGAAGTTTGTAAAATACCGAATTATATTTTTGCTATATATCATATGTCCTGTGCATATTTGGAGTATATCAAATTAATACAGAGGAACTAGCCAATGATTATTACATTGTAACAGGTTGTTTTAAGTTTGTTTTGTGTGTGGATTATCAAGTATAATGATTTAAGAAAGTAGTGAGCATTAGCAACAATATCATTTGTGGCGACTTTTGTTATAGTAAAACTACTTTCAAATGAAAGAAAGTGTCAAGTGAAAAGTGTTTTACGACACTGAGAAATCAATAATAGTCTCAATGCTGAAAGTTTAGCTAATAAACTAGTTGATAAGTCAATGAAATAATATAAGAATTGTTGAAACAAGCTGAAAAGATCACTCAGAGTGATCGACGCTGTAAAGTGTTCCCATAGTTGACCTTAAGCCGGCTCAAGTGTCGCTGAAGACTTCTTGTCGTATGGATCTTGTAAGAACAATGAGAGTTCATTCGTTAATATAGGATGTAGGCGTTCAGGTTTTTTAAATTGACTTTGCAAATAGGCTTCTTCATCTCGAAATCGTGCACCATATCGCTGAGCGGTCCTTTCTGGAATTCGGAGCATGTGAGAAGCTTGAGCAGCACCTAAAGTTACATTTTGTATGAGCTCAATGAGTTCAACGATTTGGAAGTATGTATATCGTCTGTTTAGACCTATAAAGTATGGCATCTAAATAACCTAACGTAACTATTATGAACTGATAATCTATTCAATTTAACAACATATACCTCTTGGTTTTATTACTGTTTTTTTTTGAGTTTGTTACTACGAGGCCGTCCAGGATTTTTCTTTTTGCTTGTGTTTGAACTAGATTCAGCTTTTTGTTGCTGAAGAATATTAGGTACGTCGGTTTCTATTTCATAAATTTCATGCTGAAACATGTGTATATTTTATACTGTTAATCGAATGTTTTTTATTTTTTACCTTCTCTGAATTATTTGGTCGTTTCGCCATTGACAGCAATGAGTATACACTGTCTTTTCCTGCATTGGTCTCAATATTCAAAATACGATATAGATCTTCTGCTTCAATGTTTCCTTCCATAATTTCATCAACTTCTAGCTTATCAATATCTCCTATATCGTCTTCGTTGGCATACGGTAACTCTGGGTCTTCTATACTCATTTCCTGCTTTCCATCTTCACAAAGCATAGGTGTATAATACTTATTACAGGCAGAATACATTATTATAGACTGTTTGTAAAAGAAAGAAAAAAGAAGACGCTAATACTCTTGTTTAGCTTTTGTTAACAAAAAGCGGCCGTTTATTTTAAAAAGGTAATTCCTTGGCATGTTTTCTTGTAAAGAAAGCACATAATGGCTTTTTAATGAATCAATGTCATTATGATACTTTTGTCGTTTTCCTGAATTCTGATCTATTATACAAAAAATGTGTTGCCATACTAATAATATTGAGATGCCAAATCTTAAATTTCAGACATCAGGCTGGAAAAAAACAAGCGCCAAATAAAAAAAATAACCCAGCGCCTAATTGATTAAAATTACACCGCCACTGTAATTCTCATCTCCTGCCAACATCTTAAAATTACACCGCCACTATAATTCTCATCTCCTGCCAACATCTTAGATTTACACCGCCATTGTAATTTTCACCTCCTGCCAATCACAAAAAAACACACTGCCAATCAAAGGCACCCCCAAACGGCAATATGGTAGCCAAAAAAGCACCGCTATGATGGGAAAAAAAACTGCCAATCATTAGGAAAAATCCTGTAAATTAAGCAGTGTGCCGTTGTGGATTAAGCATTGTGCCGTTATGAAAAACTCTAGGCCCGTTATGAATTAAGCAATGTGCCGTTATGAGAAACTCAAGGCCCGTTATGAATTAAGCACTGTGCCGTTGTAGAAAATTAATAGGTTTCAACTTCTGTCATTATTTGTTTCAAAGCGCTTCCCAAGGAACAACAAAATGCAATTTTGCTACCGAAACACAACCGCAAAACACATGATGAAAGCAAGACCGCCAATGCTGAAAGCAATTTGGAAAAGGAGAAGAAATGGCGGAAAAAGGTATACACGAGGAAGATCAAGGCACGCGTTTCAAAGTTTCCCTGTTGTATTGACATTTTGATTATGTATTAGGAAGAAAAACGCGACGCGAGGAAGAAAAAAAGGAAGAACGACGAAAGCGGGAAGAAGAAAACGGAAAAAAAGAACAGGTAACATAGAGAATAAGAACGGGGATATGGTTGCTATGGCTGTGACGAGATAAGTGTCACTAGACGTTTATCTTTCTTCATGTAGTCCCAATTGTGCCTTACATCGTTATTTTCAAAAGCTCCAGAGGAGAAACCTACATGTGCTGGACAAAGTGGTAAGCTGCCTATTAGTAGCTACAAGATAAATACGAAGAAAAGATGGGATACTCATGAAAATTTAATTACTGTATGTTCAGACTCGAATCAAAATCACAGACCCTAGAAATATATCCCCCCCCCTTCCATGTCAGGGATAATGTGGTTATGCATCGATGGACAACTAGCAATAAGGATCGTAATAAGAAGTTGGTCCACCACATCAAGACACTCACAACTGACAAATATCGATTCTGTGAAGGTAAATTTACCAAGGTTCTACTAATATAGTGAAAGGAAAAGAGAACCAAGGTTGCATTGTATTTATGTGCTGACATCTTCTTAGGACTATTAGTATCGAATGATTTGCGTTCGCAATGCCTACAAACATTAAAGCAGTCCAAGGTTGAACTCACTCAACGACGAGATCGCCGTTAAAGCAGTGATCTTCGCACGATCTGCTTGGTCCGGATATGGAGAACTTTAATCGATTGCAAATTTCCATGAAGCTCTTACAATTTACTGAAGATGTTCGGTCAGCGTACTATGGTAAGCGGTCGTGTACTAAACCGCGAAGAATTCAGCTGAGGTTGATGAAGATTAACAAACCCCAACTTTCTTTCGTCCGTTCGCTCTTGCATATTTTCAAGGCACATCGACCAAATCGAGTAAGAAAATCAACAGTCGAGCACCACTTGCCCAAGACGATCAGCTTGTCGACTACTGTATGACCATGATAGTGAAGAAGAATAGGAACCAGAAGCCGAAGGAGAAGAAATCCAAAACGGTGATGAAGAGGATGACGATCCTTCTTCAGATGTTCCCGACCCAGAGGATGTGAGTTATCTATCTAAATAATGATATAAGGCAAGCAGAAACAGTAAATCCTAAGATCTAATGATAGACTTTGTTAGGCTGGCTGGCTTGTCCCTGAAGGGTACTTATCAGAAGGTGAAGGTGTCGAAAGTGATGATGAACGTACAACCAAGTCAGACCGAGCCATGCGATCTACTAGAAAAAGTGAGTGTAGCCTTCATAGCCTATATACTCGTGTTGACGTTGGAATTGTATCTGTATATGCTTATTATAAATCAAAATGTATGTAGCACACTGCTATCCGCCCTGTTGTTGTGGGAACCGTTTCGATGATGGCGACCCAGGAGAAGATGATCCATTAAAACGTTACGCGATGCGAATGCTGTTTGGTAAGTGGATATACATATCATAACAGAACAGCAACCATCACCATGGCAATAGCCCCGCATAACAACCAGTGCCTGGCAACTAGCTTTCTCTTCTTCTTCTTACCGTAGACATCCTCTTTTTGCTCTATGTGACAGATTTCCCTAAAGATAAACCGTACGATCCTTTCTATGTGGAAGCCGACGATGCTGCAAATACCAAATACACATCTAGCACAGCCGACGACTTTTTGAAGAAATCCATTGCTTCTACGGCACAAAATGATAATCAATTGATCAGCGTAAGCAACCTATCTTATAGCATTTTCCTCATTTGCCGTAAGTTTTTGGCTAACGTATCTTCATATCGTATGCAGATAAAGACAGACGCAATGCCAAAACTGATTTCAGAGGCCAAGTCAGATTGGTATGTGGGATTTACTAATCAGAAGTAAGATAACATATGTACAAAGTAGCTAATAATATATCGTCAAAAAACAGGCTAATACGTGACATGTCTAAGCGACAGATTGAGATGCGAATAAAAAAACTAGCTGTCAAAGAAAACGGGGAACTGAGACGGTAAGCAAGAGCGCACTTGGCGGCCTTCTATTTTCAACATGGAATACCAATACTAATGGCTATTAAACATCTCATAGAAACCTGCCTGGCATGTCGAAGATTCTCTCAGCAACATACATTTAGCAGTACCTCTCCTAATACAAACACACACATATACCCATCTCACTTTATCAAACATCTGCCCTATTGTAATCTAAAAACTCATTAAACAGCGACTATAAAAAATACACACACACACAAATTCAATTACTAATACATATCTCACGTGAATCGCAATAGAAGAGTGTTTGACTGTCATTCAATTAGTGACATATGGAAAAAGTCATCTTCACGGAAAGAAAATTAAGAGGAAACGGCAGGCTGAGGAGGACGATATATTAGCTGTTTGAAACGACAACAACACTCTACTAGTAATTAGCACTATAATGTATTAAATAAGCATATGTTTTTTTTCTCTTCTCGCTCGTTGAACTTGTTTGTGCGTGTTTTAGATTGTTGTATGCCTTCTTCATATGTGAAGCGAGGAGGGAGCTCAAGACCTCGTTCAAAAGAAGATTAAACATGCTCAGCTTTGCTGCGAGACGCATCAATCTTGTTCCTGATTGCACAATGAAGATAATCGCAACGAACTAATATAGTTGCAAATGTGATCGTCGTCTTGTCACGAACAATGCTGAGAGCATTGGATCTAGTAACAATGAAGTCGACATTCAGAATGAGGCAGCCAACACTGACACAGGTCTGTTTGTAAAAGGCTAAAGTAGAAGGGCTGTAAACCACAACCAAAGATACTCAATGTCATCCTCCTTCTACGGTTACCGAGCTTCACCACTTATGTCCTTGGCATACACTTTGCTTTGGATCAGATGTACTGCACGGTCATCAACTTCTGCGCCCTTGCCACTTTCTGTCGCATTACTGGATTTCTGCACTGACTGATCCCTTTCCCAAATATGTGCGCTGCTCTCGTCAGGTCCTAACTGCCTGTGCCAACGACGATCTCCGATACAATAGTTTAGAAGAGCAATAACAACAGCCGCATCCCACACAGTAAAGCTCGCGCAGCACAGTGCTGAGCCTTTCGGCCTGGTAAGCAGACGTTTTTGGCTGTTCGTCAAGCTGTTTCTTTTTTGTCTAAAAAGAAGGAGTGTCCTTTTTTGCAGTCAAAATAAGAGTACATATTGCGCTGTTTGTAGTATTTAATGGAGAGATTATCAACAGAGTTGAGCAACTTTGCAGCAGCACTGTATTCGGACACCAGCTGAACTACCATCCGAAGGTAATCGTGCGAAATCAAAGAGGTGTGAAAATTAACGGATCCTGCATACGTATACCGTCAAGTCCTGTTAACTACATATTAAATAAGCACTGGCTATGGTGTGCATGCATTTCGGTAGAATATCATACCTTCGCTGCTGGTTTTTTTATATTATAAAAGAGAATACAGAGCGCAAACACATATATACATACACTATGGTAAAAAACACATTATCACACTACCAGCTAAATCATCATCAGCATAAGATTTTCGCTTAAATATCAAACAAAAGCACACACAGCAATTACCACGGCAACCAGCAAAGCGCTGTAGCATAGAGACAATCCAACCGAATTGTGTAAAGCACGTAAACATTATACTCGGATGATCCAGCATATGTAAGGCTATGACCCGATATGGACTGACGCGACATGATGCATAGACGTGTGTCATTTGTGATCTCTTAAATCCCTTATATGATCATTTACTAAGGTAAGGTGGCTGATGATGCACTCAGAATGGATGCCTTGTCACCACAAGTTATTTTGGCGAATTCAAATCCAAAAAAAAAAAAACTGGGGTATGATAGCGGATAGTGTTATGCAAGCTGTTTGATATCTCATCACCAGGATGACTGAGCGTGTATCAGATTGGGTTGGAGTAAATATGTGCTGCATGCCGTAGTCAGCGTCTTCATGGGATCCAGTGAGACATTGTAGAAAGTCTCGGCCATTGTTGTATCAACTGTGGTGGCGTGTGTAACGAAAATAAAAACGCTCTCTTATACGGGTATATGCCCACGGCAATCAGCGATTGCCGATCGTCCAAGCCCGCAATGATGGATGTGGGCAGCTTAAAATAAACTGTCAAGGACAGATTATAGAGCAGCATGGCTGTTTTCAGCATAGTATGCGCGTCATCCTGGAGCTACTATTATCCATGCACGCTGCTTCTTCAGGTGGATACTGTTGTTTGGTTTGCTCGTTTTATCAACCACCTCCTTCAGCAGTAGCGATTCAAAGTCAATTAGACGTGGTCGCCGTATGTGTGGGTGATGTATGATGTATGTGGGAAAAAAACAAAATACAAAAAAAAAAGCAGGATGGTCGACTCGTACGAGAGTCAAGCATGCATGATCTTAGCCTTGCTTCTGAGCACATGAGTCCGTCTTACGTGGGCTCGTTCTTTTCTCTCACATGTTTCTATATGGGTTTATTATTCAGTGAAAGCCAACGATGTTTTCGGTGAATTAAGGGGTTGAAAGGGGGCGTGGCAAGCGAAACATACCATTAAACCGGTTCTCTCAGCTTACAACAGCTTGCCTTAAGCGCCGCTGTTGCTGGTGTGCATACCCTCCCAACATTTTTTTTCTTCAATCATTTTCGCAATTTAGGCGAACACAGAAGGTGAAAAAAAAGTGCCAAAACGTGATAAAGCACGTTGTGATCGTGTTACTGTCGGCTACGATACAGATTGTTCTCCGCTTTGTTTAGCACAGAGCTGTGGGTGGGCAAAAAACTAAGGAACTTGTCAAGCACATGAAAAAAAGGCAAAGCAAAAAATAAATAAAAAGCGGCAAAACTTTTATGAGAAGAGTGCGAAAAGAAAAAGATTGTTTTATTTTGTTTATCATTTTGTTTATTTGTGTTTAATAAAAAATAAAAAGTTCGTTTTAATTATCCCACCACATACCCGAAGGTACGTGTCCACATTCCCACTGGTACATTGCAAAAGATTTCCTCCGGGCGGACCACTGAATCCAGCCAATCCTCAGAATCCTCTTGACAATCCCCAGCACAAGCATATGACCCGATCAGGGCACCAAGCAGTGCATCTGTACTACAGATCAAAGCTGTACCAAAACGAACTGAAGAGAAGAGAAAAAAGAAAGGCGAAATTGCTCGCTTTATATAGACATTTTTTCTCGTTCGGGACTTCAAATCCCCGTGAATTCTCATTGGCCCAGATAACGGGTTGCGTATCAACTTGTGGGTTGCCTACTATGGCACAACAAAAGATACAGCACCAAAGGAAAGGAAAGGGGGTGTGCTTGGTGGTCAAGTAGACAAGCGTGCTTCGGCGGTAGTGGTACGTGTCTCTCACCATGCGGAGCTGTACCCTCCGACGATGTCGCCGCTTGTTTGTGAGTGGGGCCGTGCACGGCACCGTGTCAGACAAAGAACAAAGACACGAATGCGAATGAGCATGTAGATTCACGGAAGAAGCGCTTTTCTGTGAGCAGTCAATGACAGAACTAGGAGTGACTGACAAAGTAGACAATTCACTATCAGTGAATGTTGAGAATACATTCCACCCAGCAGCCAGTTTACAGTCCTTCACCCAACAAGACAAACAGCGTGTGTATATAGCGTAGTTCACAGACAAATTCATTTCATTAGTACCTTCTGGCTGTATGTGTGGTGCATAACGTTGTGCGTGTGCGGGCATAGATGCAACGCATTTGACACCATCGCTGCAGTATATAAAAAACCCCCCGTTACCTTTTTATTTTGAATCGTGCTCGTCAACTGTTGCTTTATCATATTCGCCATCCGCCAACAGTTCTCCGAAATGCACCGTGTGCAGTGAATGAATCGCTCGTTTGTGATTGACTGAATTATAGAAAAACCTTTTTCTCCAGTTTTCCCCTATCCATCTGACCAATATCCATTCAATCAAGCATTTTAAGTTGACATCTCTCTGAGTGTCCGTCATGTTGAATCGAGTTGCCGTTCTTTTCACATCGACATCAATAGAAAAAGAAGCGCTTTCCGAGATTCCCCCAACGCAGAAGAGACTCTGATGGCTTACTTTATCATTACAAACCAATTCATCCCAAGTGTATGTTGAGTAGACCCGCCCATGATAACTTGAAAAGTCAATTAAACCAAACTATTGGATTGATTTTATCAAGAAAGATGTACAGAATAAAAGAGCTGCAAACGCATCAGCCGATTGTATTGAATTAAACGTTGCCCGGAAAGCACCATGAGGAGGTTCGTTTGCGCAAAACTCTGACCAACCTTGAAACTTCTTACTCACGTTAATACTTTACCTGTGGAAACGCTCCGGCTCTTTGCCCCACCTTATTAAGCGAATAATGTCGGACCAACACGGCACAGATACTTACCTTGGACATCCTTGATGGTTCCTCACCTTTCGTGATCGACTGTCTCGCTGTGCACATCTTGCTGTGGGCCTGCCTTGAGGGATTTGTGAAACTGTTTTCTTTCACTCGAAAGAGTGTGTCTCTTGCTAAATTATCTGCTTTAATTGCTCGTTTTCACTACTAGTATTACTATTATCATCCGTCTGTATATATAGCAATAATATGTATGCAACTTGAAAAAAACTCACGGATTACCCATAATAACAATTTCAATAATACTATCTGTAGTCGTAGTACACTGGAAACATGAGCATACGTACTACTACCTCTATTAATGGTCGCTGTTGCAGCAACTAACCATTTATCGAGCCCACGCTTTGTGCGCTTTTTTCTTATTGTTACGCACGAGCCACATACCAAAAAGAGAACGTAAATAGCGTAATCTCGTTTGTCACCAGTCTAGCTCAATCAATAGTCCACACAAAGGTAACAACCATTTTGCTTATTTAGCATGTAGTCTCCAAATCATCGTCTCGTCTATATCCAAATCAATCGCGCTTCTGCCGTTTTTCTAATGCTTCAACATCCTGCTTGCCCGGCTCTTTTGAGGGGGAAACCTTTGCATAATTTTTGAGAGAACTCTTGCGGTTTCTACTGTCATGACACACTTGCACAAAAATAGCTTTCAGTTTCATACTGTTCCTGGCAGCTACTATACAGCAACGAATGTAATTTTGGATTTGAAATACACACAAATGGTAAGATTTGTGGGCGTAGTTGATTTGATTGTATAAATATAAGGAAGCTGTTAAAGGCTCAAGGAGGAACAAAAATGAATAAAGAAAGAACAGAGGACAATACCCAAAAGGAGGTGGTGGAAGAAGGGTTAGGAGGGATAAGTATACAACAGATAATGAAGAGTTTTTTGAGGGGTTTTGATTGTTTTTTTCTTTGGTAAGATAATAAATGTAAAAAGGGAATAGTAATAAGGATAATAAACGGGATAATAATGGTAATATAAGAGAGAGAGAGAGAGAGAGAGAGAGAGAGTGCGAGTTTGTAAAAATATACAGTGTACAAAGCGAAAAGGGCAAGTAATATTAAGTTTGGGTATTTCGTCACTAAAAGAAACTAGTAAACCACTGGACTACTACTCTTCTTCTTCTTCTTCTTCCTCTTCTTCTATAATGACTTTGGCTCCCAAGGGCTTCCGGCGCCCTGCGTCGTTGTATATTCCCAATTGCGACCGAGGTGCTGCGAAGTCAAACCGTTTCGCAGAAGCATTGTTGTTTTCTCGGAATGCCTAAATAACAGTGGACAGTTAGACCATCTTTCTTTCTCCGCATACTAGTTAACTTACCAAAGGCCAAGATCGCGTTGAAGTGGGAGAAGGCGGTGGCACGTTGAGCTTGTGATTGTTCACGTTATTAGTGCTACTGCTGCCGTTATTGTTCTTCTTGTTGTTGTCTTCCTCAAGGTTTTCTACGGTGGATATAGAGGACGCAGGGGACGAAGCCTCTTCGTCGTCGTCTTCTTCTTCCTCTACGAGCGAGCTGGCTTGGCTGGAAAGAGGGGAAGAAGAAAGGCCGGGTGGACTGGTGGTTCGAATGGGCGTCACCGGCGTCGACACGGTTGTGGTTGGCACAGGAGACTTGGGTGCCACAATACCCAACGGTCGCTGTGGTGCTGGTGAGACAGCAATTGTTACTACAGGTTCTTGTGGTTTATCTTGTTGTCGTTGAACCGTTTCCGTCCCCGGTCGATTTGCAGATCTGTACTGTGCATATCGTTTCTCGCATACATCGACTTCCATTGCCGTGTTTTGGGTAGCAGCAGTTGTGGGTGGTGGTGTCTTTACAGCAGACAGCGTGTTGGCAACTGCTGCTGATTTGGGGCAAGTCAAGACTGTCGGTGGACGTGCAGGACCAAACGCATTGCCAGCCTTATAGTAACTATCTAAGGATGGCTTGTTGTGCGCAGCCTGTGGACGGGCCAAGGCTGGATACTGAGGCATGTTGCTAGGTGCAAATGTGCTGCTGTAAGAAAACGGGTCGGCCTGTTGCTGATTTGCTGCCGTGGTCGAGTTGGGAAGCTGTAACACATGACGACGGTATTTCTGGTTCGCACCTAATTGATAGGCTGGCGATGATTCCTGGATTTCTCGAGCACGGAGTGCTGCGCTTGCTGCATGAAGTCGTTGCTGTTCTTCAAACTGCTGCTGCTGTTGCTGTTGCTGCTTTGTTGTACCGAACCACGACTTGACTGAAGTGAACCAGCCACTTTTTTCGCTTGTAGAGCTCGCCGTTGACCGTGATTGCGCGCTGCTGACACTGACCTTGGGATGTCCTTCTATAGATGTAATTGGAATGGCGGGAGGTGCAGCAGGTCTTAAAGGCTCAGACACGGTGGGACGAACAGGCGAAGGTGGTGGTTGTAATTGTTGATGCTGTTGTTGTTTCTGTGGTGTCGATGTCGGTGATGGTGTTGGTGGCATGTCATCCGTCTGTGTGCCCTTTTCAACGACCCGGTATGCGGGTCCTTCGGATGGCTTCTTTCTGTTGTTTGCAGGCACGGCCACACCGGATACCATGGGTTCGTTCTTGCTCATGTTATCCATCAACATGTGCCACAGGGTACCTAGAGCGTTGCCAACATCGGAGGATTGACGCATGTTGCGCACTGTACTTTCATCGAATCCAGCAGCCGTCAATGCAGCAAATAACCGTTGCTCCATGGGTGCCATGGCGGGCTCCTCGTATTGCTGGCGCTGCTGTTGATGGTAAAGGTGGGGTTGATGAGCAAACAAAGAACCACGTTTTCCAGCAATGACTGAAGAAGGCAAATGACTCGGAAGAGACGCCCGTGCAGAGGATGCAAAGTACGGCTGTGTGATTCTGGCACGGCTGCTGACAGTCGGAGCAGAGAACCGAGGAGGCCGAGATGCAGTAAGTTTGGCAGCTCCAGTGGTGGCACCGACAGCCTTTTCATGGGGCATCATCTTTTGAGAAACAACAGAAGGTGGCCGATAAAACTGGTTCGCTAAAGGTGTGCCGGGCTTGGTGCTGCTTCGCGGGCTCGAGATGTCCGAATACAGGTCGAAATCGTCGTCATCTTCATTGTTGCTGTATTGGTGATGGTTGCGCATTGGAGCAGAAAACAGCGAGTCGACGTCCGAATAAGCCGAACAGCGCGTCGATGGTACACTGCTGCAATCATCGTTGTTGTTGTTGCTGTCATTAACTTCGATGGCATCGTTGTCTTGTTCTTCTTCATCATCATCCATGATCATGGTCAGCCATGGATGGTTGACGATCTGGTCCATCGTCAATCGCTCCTTTGGATCCAACTTTAAAATGTTCTCAATCAGATCATGAGCCTCTGTACATACACCACATTAGGCAACGTTAGAATCTTATCATTCATATTCATTGTTTTCTTGCATCCATTACCACGAACCTGGTGAAAAGTAGGATGGCATTTGGTAGTCCAATCCAATGATTTTGCGTCGCATCATAATTTCACTGTCATCGTCGAACGGCAGTTCTCCAGCAAGCAATGTATATAAAATGATGCCGAGAGACCAGATGTCCGTTTCTACAAAAGATATGGTAATGATCAGCGATCTTGTGTAATGATCACCACATGCCCATACAGCGGGGACGGAAGAACGAGAGCAAGAAGCTTACCTGGTCCGGTGTATCGCTTTTGACTGATTATTTCGGGAGCAGAGTACGCTAAGCTACCGCAAAACGTCTCGAGCAACTGCTTGTCGTCTGCATGGCGTGCAAATCCAAAATCACAAATCTTTGCATTCTGGTCAGCATCCAGCAAAATGTTCTCCAACTTTAGATCTCTACAATAGTGTGTCATTCTCAAGGTATGAGTCTATCTGTGTAACAGTATAGGATGGGTTACTGGCGTTATTATTACCGATGAACAATGTTACGTTCGTGACAGTATCGAATAGCGTCTACAAGCTGTCGAAAGAAGGCTTGGGCACGTTGCTCAGAGAAACGGCCGGATTCTGTCAAGAGATCAAAGAGTTCGCCGTTGGGACAATATTCGGACACGATGAAAATGGCAGATTCGGTGGAGAGGATTTCAAATAGGGTGATAATGTTGGGATGACGTAGTTGACGGTGGTGGTGGATTTCGCGAGCCATCAAAGGTGCATGCTGCTTGCTGATTTTTTTGATAGCGACTCGTTTGCCAGTGATCTGATGGACGCCTAACTTGACTTTGCCATAGGTGCCCTGGAGGAGAGAGAGAGAGAGAATATGGTCTTAATAATGCAAAAGAAGGGAAAAAAAGGGAAAAGCAACAGGTTTTCTACATATTAGTTAGTATTACCTCGCCGATCGTCTCTCCTATCGAGTAGCACCCAACAACTGTCATTTTAGGAGATGATAACTGTTTAAGCAAGTCATTATAATCTGCAGCGAGCTGCGTGGTTCCATTTTTAAATAGACAGTTTATGTTAGTAAAGCTGCTGCTGCTGCTGTTGTTGTTGTTGTCGTCAGTTTTACCTTTGCCTTTTGGTTGTGAATACTGGAACGTGGGGAGGATAACATCATTATAGTAAAGTTTCTTTTTTTTTAAGTCTTCCTAGAGTTGGTTGCTGATATGTATTCAAGTGGTGTTTTTGGTTGCTTGGTTGCTTGGTTGCTTGGTTGTCGTTGTATATATGAGAAGAAGGGACGGGGATTTTTTTTGGTATTGAAAGGTATAGAGAGTATATATGATGAAATATGTATATATGTATAAAGACAGAATATTAGAAGGATTAAATTAAGTTTGGAAGGAATGGGATGGGTTTGTCAAAACACAAATTGATCGAGAAGGGAGAGGAGAGAAGATGACGAGAAAAAGAGAGATGCTGTAATGATGTCGCGGGCGCAAAAAAAAGGTTATTGTTTTTACTGTTTCGAAAAAGGGGTGGAGGTGAGGAGGGTAAGCGTAACAAAAGATGGCTGGTGGTTGTTTTTTTCTGCTTCGCGAGTGTATTATGTATGTAGGTAGGTATGTATTGGTGTGAGGAAGCGCGAGTATCTTCTTTTTCTCTAGAAAACGGTCGGTAATACTAATAGGTCATCAAAAGGGACAAGAAGGAATGCATTTCCCGTGAAAGGGAGTGTGTTTTGGGATTGATGAAATGGAGAGAGTGAAAGATGAGGTGGAAAAGGAAGAGAAGAAGAAGAAAGAGAGAGAGAGAGAGAGAGCCCCAGACAATAGCTGTACGGATGGGGGTGCAAATCCAAAAGGGAAACGATGCTCGCAACCATAAATGGGTTGGTTTGTCGCACAGAAATGATCCATCGTTATGAGTTTGTGCATCTTGACTATTTGCAATAGCCCACTGCTGTTACCACTACCCACTTGGAGCAAACAGCTGAAGGTGGGTATGTACGTACATTAACATTCCCACTCTCCTTGCGCCCCTAAGCTCCATGGCGGCGGTGGTCATGATGATTTTTTACCAGTGGTACCTGGAAATTCTGTAGCTGCATTGGTTGAAGGCCTCTCTGCGTTTCAAAAGATGCGCGCAAACAAAAAAGAGGCGATGATGTGCATCGATTAATTTGTTGGTGTGGTACGCTACCATGTGTTTTTACTCCCTTGTTACTTGAAGTGTGTGCTTTGACCAGACAAACATCGCTTATTGTATCCTACTAGCAGCAGCAGCAGCAGCTATCATGTTTGATTAGAATGTCCTTTTCTTATCTAGGAACTATTACTACTACTACTACTACTATTAAGTATTCTATGCTACTTCTACATATGTATTACGATATAACAATAGCGATATAGTACATAACTACACATCAACCAACCAACCGTACTGTAGCTTACTCCTGCTTTGCCTCCGCTCCTCTCTCCCCTCTTCTTTCTCTCTCACCACATCGCCAATTTAATATAGCCATATGATTTTACCCTTTAGGACTAGTGCAGGTCGATTTAGCATTTTCAACAATGAACCATCCCTCTTCTTTGTGTTCTTTTGTCGTAATTTCAGAATTTTTTATTGTTCTGCAGACTGCACACACGGACATGGAAATCGCACTATGTGCTGTGGTGACCGAGTTTCACGAGCATCATATGACTGATCGTCATCTCGTGTGATGATGACAGCATCTGCTGCTATCCATACACTGTGTCCGTACGCGTTTCATTCAATAAAAGCAGCAGCAGAAAGAAGAATACTTTTCAAAGCAAAGATGCAGAGGCAGTGACATCTGCATGAACAAAGAAAAAAGAAGAGTGAATTCACCTCACCATCACGCATCATCTTTTTTAGGACACGCGCGTGATTCTAAGTAAGCGGAGTTTGCTGCTTAGAGTTTGTCTGCTTTGTATAATAATACACGCTCCACACCCTCTCCCCCATCCCCCATCCAAGTCCTTTTGTTTCCTTTTCATCTTTTCCCCCCCCCCTTACTTTTTTCACTTCTTCTTCTCGTACCAAGTGCTGGTCAGTGCCATGGTAAGTTTCTGTCTCGTATTGACCAATGTTTGGCGAATTCCGTCGACACGCATGAATATTCTAACTGACCCGCTCGCTTTCCACTCAGAACACACCACCTCCCGAACGAGACGAAGAACCATCATCCTCCTTTAAGCCCGACCCATTTCCCTCTGTATCTACGCCTTGTTTGCCGCTGAGCTCTAGCAAAGCAATCAACAAAACCACCGATACCACCAGCAATACTAGCATCGACGATCCTATCACCGACAACAACAATACTACTACTAGCAGCAGCAGCAGTAGCAGTATTAAACGACAACGGCGGCGGCATACGATTTTGACTCGGCCCGATGATCATATACTAGCAGACAGCAGTACTAGTAGTAGCAGGGACGACGACGACGACCTACAGTCCTTTGACCGGATATCGGGCATCCTCTCCAACCTGATACGAGAAGCCAACGAGGCCGTCCATGGGATAGAGCAAGAACGAGGCAAATTATGGAACAAGAGCCGAGCCGCCGAGTTACCGCCTCGTCCAATGTCCACAATGTCATTCAACTCCATCCGTCACGCATCTCGATTACCTCGCCCAACGAGCATAAGTTTAAGCACCGTGGGGAACTTGTCGTCGTCGTCTTCGTCGTCTTCGTCGGCGGCGGCAATTCATGAACGGAATGACAGTTTAGGTTCCTTGTCCAGCGGGTCGATCGATTCTTCCCATTCGTCTTGTTCTAGTTCGACTTCTACTACGACTGCCTCATCTCTTTTGACCAGCTCCTCACAATTACAATCGACTCCTATTTGTTCTCCCACTTCAACAGCGGTCAACGACGAGGACGAGGACGACACGGCGTCCATTCCAGAAAAGTCACCGTTGTCGTCGCCACTTGTCGCCAATAAACGTCGCAGTAATAGTAGCTCCGCTGCTGCACAACAGCATCCATCACGACCAGCCTCTTGTCCATCCTTTGCACTACCGCCAAGACCGTCGTCGTCGTCGTCGTCATCGTTATTACGAGAAAGGAGTAGCAAGAAGCGGACGTCACTTTTACTCGAGTCTTTCAAACGACTGGACTCGTCCATGGCCTTGGTGGACTCGCTTTCAAGAGACTTGGCCAATGCCGATCATCAGAACAACAATGATGATTATGATTCAGCAGCTGCAGCATTCAATGCCTTGTTCCTTGTACCCATTCTGCATATCCCGCATGCACTAGTGTCAATCTTGTTTTTTGATGGATCAAATACAGCATCTGCATCAGCGGCAGGAACAGCCGTAGCAGCAGCAGCGGCAACAACAACAACAACAACAACACCCAGCATGACGGGCATCGTGGCATGGGCATGCTTGTTTGCACTCGGCAATCTAATGGTCGATCACGTGGCTGCTGCTGCTGCTACTACCACTACTATCACTACAGCGCAAATGGATCAGGATACCCCAAGAACACTTGATACTAGCAGAAGCAGACGTCTTTCTTTACCGGGCTCATATGATTTCGCTGGACGGAATCTTCCTTCCGAAAATTACGAGGATGATGAAAAAGTCAAAAACGTGTGCAACAACAACAATGACCATGACAAAGAATCAGCGACCAAGACGAGCGGCTCCCCACCATCCTCAGTGAGTCCTGCACCGATGGATCCCAGCAAAAGCACGGTCACTTCCACCACTACCACTACCACTACCACCACAACCACCACGACCACAGTTGTTCGTCATACGTCACGAAAACCAACACGTCGTACGCGCAGATCCGTATATAGGATAAAAGCACGGCCAATGAGCCGCCAATTAAGTTGTACGCCTAGTACTAGTATGAACACTATGAATATGAATAAGCATGGATGGTTGTTCAACAAACAACAATTTCCCATCTCATCATCAACAGAACACAGCAGTAACAATAACAGCAGATTGACACGACGTAACTCGGTGTGATAACCCCAACTACAGCATTCATTCTCTCATTATCAAATACCATTACATAAAAAACACCCAGTTTTATTCTTCTTTTTTTTTTGGTTCAACTCCCTCCTATTTTACCATACGCATGTGACTATGATACTGTATAAATATGCATTTGTCGTATAGTTAAATGTCGTACGTATACCCAGCCCTCCTCCCGTTTTACTGCACCCAAGCCCCCAAAAATGTCCCTATTAAAGATAAGAAAAGACTGCTTCTCTCCCTCATCTTACTCCTGGGCCAATCGATTGATGATCACTTTTTTTAAACTCGCATTAGAGGAAAGAAATTTTAAGGGGTAGTCTTACTCTACTAAGCATTTGTGTACATCAGTATACTGCAGTTACACGTGATTTTTTTTTTGTGATAATTGATAACAGCTGTGGTTATGTTTTGAAAATGTTATCAGCCAGATCCTCTCATGCTTCCGTGATCGGATTATCAAGTAGTGTAACTTGACCATGTTTCTGGATTGCCTATAAAGGAGAGCTTGGGTCGTTCACTCTTCTCGCAGCTTTATGTGGGTTTCTGCCGCTATCTATCACACATATCATCATGATTTATTAAACTAATGGCATTCACACCGTGGTCTTGATATCCGATCTAGAGTGGCGATGATGACTCTTCTGCGACGAGGACTGTAGTCCACGCAGTTGTGCTTGCTTGCTCTGGCTACGTAACAGTAAACACATAAAATTATACTTCTACATGTACTTTTTATGTTTTTTTTTTTTACAAAGAGTAGCGGTGAAAAAAAAACCAAGAAAATAAAAGTAAAAATATAGATGCCAAACTAGCCGTATAGTCAGAATACCTGGTGGTATACTATAAATGGTGCACTCATCGAAAAAAGAAAACGAGGAGGGAAGAAGAATTCGTGTCCCGCCATGTCGACAAATGCTAGCTCTTAATAATACAGTATAGCCATTGCATTATGATGAATGGCTAGTTCAAAATTCCTTTTGTGCATAGCGTTTTATGCAAGACTAGGTTAATATCGCTTTGCGGATTGAAACACACGAAAAATTGCATCATTAGACAGCAGCTGTACACCTACATATTGATATAGTATTTTCTCTTTAATTACAAATAGCAGCATGCAGTGCTACCCTACTATGTAGTTTTTCAATATGAAGCTAAGTTGTTTAGGAGATAAACTAAGTAGCAAGTAAAAAGCTTATAACAACAAACGATAATGATAGAAAAGTACTGAGTGAGTCACTAAGTTATAGTTATTATCATCACAGGATAAAGTTTCATCTGTACGTGAATCGTTTCCAGCATTTAGGCGAAGTATTTTAATTTATTAAAATGGATGTCGATTCTTATATAGATGCTCGTGACATTAAGCAAAAGCTATACTTCTGGTGAGTGTGTAAGCACTTTTGCCATAACTCCAGCGCCATTTTTATCACAAGACTAGTTACAATGATGCATATAATACCCGGTATTTTCACCAGTCGATAAGAACCGGAGCTTTTAATAGAATTCGATGGGGAGTATGTAGCATCAACAGTAAATTAGAAAAAAATCAAAGCGACAAAAAGTATGGCTCAAGACAACAATGATCAACATAGCACCAGCGTAGGGACCTACCTCTACATTTGACAGCATTCTACATGAAGTAAAGCGGATCTCTATTATTCAAAAAAAACGGTGCTCCAGATTTCCAAAGACAATTTACATTTGATTCTTAGGCCGGAATGATGCCTCATGGAAGAATTGCTGAAGCTCGCTTCTTTGGATGATTGAAGATTGACACTCGTCAGACTGTACCGATAAGTACATCAGCCGGGCCGAAGTTGACTTGGAACTTACCGCTTAAAGCATCTGAACAAATGGATTGATATTATGCGCATGGCAAATACTATCATTGCAAGATTAATAAAGGAAGTGAGGATTATAACGCATATACTAACGATTTAATAACAGTGTAACTGACAAAAAAGCTGCTAATTGATCTGAACAGATAGTTTTCGCCACCAAAGTTTTCCATTCCAACGATAAGGAAAGGAGATTAAGTCCTATAAGCAGCGTGCTGGAATCACTGTTCGATTTAAAAGGATGAACGAACTGCTTCGTAGGCTGAGTTAGTTTAATGGGTGTCTATATACAGACGTGAACTGACATTATGATCGTGACTTCCAGGGCACTTGATTGCGGAGCCTTTCTCTCCAGACCATGGAAGTTGAACATTGGCGGCTAAAATTTTCCCTCTATCGTTAATCTCAGCAATCAAATTTGGCCGAGTTAATGTGTGGCTAGGCAGAGCACAACCCGTTGGAGGTGTAGGAGGGACAAGCCTTGGAGGAGCGGTTCCTCGACGCAGGCGATGCAGGCTGCCACCCACGGCCTAGGCACATACGAATCTTCCTTTTTACTGCTATATTTTTATATAACATAACAACCAACAGTGGTACGTAAATCTATCTTCTGTTACTTCTTTCCTTTTGTTAAATATGATATTTTTTCAGTGGTCAATTGGGCGCCTGGTATGCAATTACAACGTCTTGCATTTCAAATATTAGGGAACCGATAAACTAAAGCATAGAAGAATTAGGTGTAGATGGACGTCTCAACAGTGGAATTGCCAACGAGATACTACAACTAACGAAATAGGTCGTAACCTCAGTAAGACATAGCTCACTTTACGAGAATATGGATTGTGTTTTTGAAGCATACTCGAAAGGCATGGTGTTCTCAAACATGCAACCTGAACTTGTAATGAAAAAAAAAATTCACCACTTACAAACGGAAAGCCGACCAATGAAAATAGCATGCCGTCTGCTGTTGGGAGAATAAGTTGGCTAATGCCTTTCTATTCTTCTCACCAGATTAATATTAAGTGATATGATTGCTCGCGGTGGAGCTGTTCGTCTCTGCGGCATCAACATGGAACAAAAAAAGTGTGGTTAAAAAAACAGGGTTCATCTCGTTTCGACCACTATAGGCTACAATATTTATTCAGAGTAGCACTGCATCATTCAAGGCATATACTGTGCTCGATTATAGCCTCAGCTTTATATCCGTTGTGGCTGAATGAGACACTGTACTAAATCTGCTTAGGTTCACGCTTCTCTAACGATTCCTGTAAGTGCCAAATGTGCTGTCTATATGCTTGCTAACATAAACTTGAATTAGCTAATCGGCACAATCATGTTTGTCGGCACTCAAAAAATTTGATAGAAAGAAAAAGGTGTCGCAGGCAGCAGCAGCATTCAATTTGATGCCGGCTCGTCCTTCGTTATATTACACACCTGTGAGCCTCAGTTTGTTTTTCTCTCGCGTGGAGAAGCAGAGTCAACAAAGAAAAGAGAAAACAGCTTACATATTGTTGAAGTTAAAACAAGAAGATGAACTTAGCTGACCTGCTTTTATATTATTCGAGAATAAACATCTACCTGTTCATACCGTTCCCACTTGTAATGATTGGATATTATCTGTAAGAGATGTTCACTCAGTGGAAGATACACTAAGCTCCAAAAAACAATGGTATGGTTTAAAAAGTGATACAACATCTTGATTAAGCTATGTACTTATTTTTCAATACACGCCCAAAAAGTAATCAGCCGTGATGTATTGTTGTGTACAACAAACTCAACGAATAGGTCGACAAGAAAACATTGTACTGCTATTATAGTCAGTGGTACTTTCTGTTTTTCGAAGGACTCTTGAAATGAAATCACTTGCCATAAAATGATAATATATGTAATCGCAGAACCGTATCATAGTTTTACGAGTCTATGTGACTGACTGGTACATTGTACTTTGGCTTATCATATTAACTCTGTTTCCAGTTTTGACTGATGGTCCGATCGTGGATACAGAGAGTTCGCAGCTTCAAATACAATTGAGATTCGGTCGTACTTCCCCTTGAATTCCTTTCTATGGACACAAGTGCTACAATGCATAAGCAAAAGCGAAGACAGAGTGACCTCAACATGTTATTTCTTAATATTCCCATACAGCCGCTGATTGGTACTGTTACCATATGTCACTGTATATGTATTCATACGTGGTCAATCAACGCACGGCGGCAGCATACTCTAACTGAAATAGACCCCGCCTATTGTTATGATACGAAATTTAAAGGAGCTCGATGACCTCCCCTTACCAAGTCAGAACATACAATCCTGATTTTGTTTTGTTACATTGCAACAGTGACAAAAATGTTATATGTAGTCATAGCGGCAGGTTATTCAAGCTCCTTGCTTTGTCCATTGATGCTTGACCTTGCCTTGAATAATAAAGCGCTCGTCAAACGCCAGTCATACTATGGCATCGCAGTACTACTATGAGCCTACACTGGCGACGACCTGCAGAAGATAGTAGGCTTATGCGTTGCCCACCGCATCGGCATTATAATCACGGCTGCCTTTCCCTTGAGCAGGAACTTTATTAAGAAAATTTCCAGCACTTTTGCACATCGACCTTGCGAAAAACACGAAAAAAAGAGCTATATGTTCAATTTTCAACAGGATGTGCACGAATATAAACAAAATTCTCATACTGTTACGTAGTACTAGCCTAATACTAGCAGCCAAGTGGCATCAGTATAAGCAGCAAATGGTAATACAGCCACACCTTTCTGCAGTAATTTTTCCGTATATGGTCATAATAAATGAATGGTGCTACCATCAATGTGCTTCTTGCTAGTAATGCAACTTAAACCTGTTATGCTCCGTACGCTCTCAATCAAATTTTTTATTACAAAGGCGACAGGGTAACATGTTGACTCTGGTTTGACTACTTTGTTGTAAATGCTCATGGCTGATTTTGCGACACCGCCGAAACAAGAGGGCCCGTCACTACAATGCATGAAAATCTTCTAGACTCGCCTTCTTATCTCTGCCTTGTGTTTTCGCGGCACGATCCGAATACAGCAGTTACCTAACATAATTACCGATAAATTTGATACGAACCATAGTTTTGGCTCTTTACTTGCCACTTGTGCTGCAGCATGTTTATTGCGTCGGAGGAAGTAATGGTAGTAGGATGTCATTGAAGAGTGCTGCTATGTATAGTCTCAAAGTGGAAATGACTGTGCTACGATCCAAAATGCCTCTTATTACATACTAATTCCGCTGCTGTCGGACTCTCGTAGAATAAATACTTTTTTTCGATCTGTAAGCAAAATCCAGTAAGCAAACACAAAGAAATATTGCAACGTGAAATTGATTTCAAACCGGTTTTGGTGTGAGCTGACAAGTCCCCCATCTAACTATTGATGGTTAAGCTGCATCCGAGGTGCTTGGACTCTTCACAGAATGTGATAGGCTGGGGAAATAAAGGCAACACAAAACACAATGCAAAACCATGCAGTTACTTGACGCACTACACATGACACTGTCTATCATGACCACCTTGTATGACAGAAAGTTGCCAGCTCCCTTACAGCTACGCTTTCCAGCTACCTACTTGTTGGGCTGCCTCGATCCTATACGACTGGGCCATGGTGGTTCGTCGGAATGCGATTGCTTTGGAGCAAGGGGGTCGGGTTGCAAAGGACAAGTTGAGTTGCCTTTTTAGTAAGTCCCGCGAACAAACTTCTTTCCACGGTCTGCAAAATGCAGGGAAGAAAGAGAGAGAGCCATCGCATGAACCAATCAAACCACATGCTTCCAATGCGCAAGCTATGCGGATGAAGGGCAATGGAACCAATTGTTTTCGAGACAGCCCCCTTGACCCCTTTCTGACACGCCGTAAGATGCTCTATATAAATACTGAATGGTGGGGAAATGGAAAGAATACCTCTTTGCTTCTTTTTTCTTTCTGCAGCAACAGCAACAATTCATCGCCATCATGTTTTCAGCAACAGCACATTCTCCGTCGTCTACCACAGCAGCAGCAGCAGCTGCAGCTGCAGTATCATCCCCAAATGCCGCGGGACCCAACGTTGTACCACCAACTATTCAGTGTCATTCCAAAAGTCATTTTGTCGCTACTTGGCCAACGACACCCAGCACGGTAGCAGCTGCGACTACCACTACACCGACAGCATCATCACCAACCTCGTCTATAGCGCAAAGTCGAAGCTTAAGCCAACACCATCGATACTATTACGATTTCTGCACGAAATGCGGTGTCGACACTTCGCGATTCTCACACGAAGATTATTGTCCTGAATTTTCCCGGTGAAGAGACACAGGCCTATGCACATCCAGAAAGACAAAGCGTATCACCATCAACCTCAGCTGGCTGCTGTTGTATTTCATTTGGACCCACCATCATGTCGATTTCTTTTTCCCGGATCGGGCAAAAGACCTGAATTTGTACATATTTCCTACTGTATACCCTCGTTTAATTTTGTCGTTGTCCCATACTTTTGTGCTTTAATAATAGTTACCAAGTTTCCATATTGCGTTAATACATATGTAATTTGTAATGATAGATTAATAAATTACGGTTTATTTCTAAACCGATGTCTGACCTTCCGCGGCTAATGATGTTTGTTTGCATGAAAGCGAGAAAAGGGTGGATGCTCGTGCAACCTGTAATACTAGTGGCACGCACTCAGGCACATCTGGTGATCTGAGACTTGAATGTTCCGAACATCCAATGGCCCATGTTGTTGTTTTTCAACTGCAGCACTGAGCAGAAATGTGATTTAATAAAAATAACTGCTAATTAATAAAGCCTTGCCCCTCCTATGTAGTAGTGGATGCGGATTTTTACGTCGGGATTATTCATCCTTTACGCCGTGTTGCCCGTGGTAATTGTCGCTCTAGTAATAGTCATAGCAGTAGTAGCAGTTATCATTGCTTGATCACAATTATCGTTGACACCCCATCACCGTCGTCGTAACCGACCGCCAGCGAGAGGATTTTCTTATAAAAGGAGTGGGAGAAGGCGATGTAGGAAGTGAAATTATTCAACAAGCCGAATTACCTCTTTCCCAACCCATTCCTTCCCCTCTATCACTATACGCAAACAAATGAAGCTGTTCCATATCACTGCCGGTATCGCCTTGCTCTTCGCATCTGCTCCTGCATTTGCCGCTCCCGCACGACGCGCTACTACGTGCACTATCGAGAGCACGGGTGGTGGTGATGACACGCCCAACATTGTCAAGGCCTTTACGAACTGCAACAACGGTGGCACTGTCAAATTTCCCAAGGATGCCGAATATAACATGGAGACCGTCATTTACATTGAAGATCTTCAAGACATCACTGTCGACTTCCAAGGCACCCTCAACCTGCCAAAGTACAACACCAAGTACGAAGATGAGAAGGCCTTTATCTACCTTCGTGGTGACAATATCCACTTTAGCGGTCCTGGCACTATCAACGGCAACGGTCAAGGATGGTATGTTTCTAGTTCGATAACAGACGATCTTTCTCTCTATGGAAAACATGTCATGTCGCGATAACTTATTTCCATGTGCATGAACATACATTGTATTCAGGTACGATGCTGTCAATCGTAAAGCACCTCCTCTTTTCAAGCCCAGAGCTTCCAACTCGTACTTTGGCGGCTTCAGCATTGTCAAGGCTCCTCGCTCCCACTTTAGCGTCAACAACTGTGAGAACGTTGTCTTTGAACACCTCAACATTAACACTGTGTCGGACGACGAAGAAAAGGATGCCCACAACACTGACGCGTTCGATGTTTCTGATTCGACCGGTGTTGTCATCCAGTCTTCCACCATTGTAAACGGAGATGATTGTATCGCAGTCAATGGAGGTAATGCATGATGGTTTCATTTTTACATATGATATATAAGCTGGTATTCCCACTCACTGTAGTGATGGTTATATCCTCTTGTACTAATATGATTGTTACCACTACTGTTATTGTACTATTAGGTGCCAAGAATCTGACTGTCACTAACTTGGATTGCACTGGAAGCCACGGTTTCAGCGTTGGCTCCCTTGGCAAGGACAGCTCCGAAACTGACGAAGTGTCCGACCTCAAGTTTATCTCGAACGCTTGCCACGACTGCCAGAACGGTGTCAGGTAAGTGATTTGTCTCTCACAATCTCAAAATGTATAAGCTCCATACAACATCATCAATAAAGATAAAGAGAGTACTCACATCATTGATTTGTTCTAATCAAAACACAGAATCAAGACTTGGCCCGGTGGCAAGGGTTCGGTTACCGGTATTGTATTCGACGACATTAACCTGGATAACGTCGATAATCCGATCATCATCACCACCCATTACTGTGACAACAACCAGATGGAGTACTGCACTGGCCAAGATTCTCATTCGCTTACCATCAGCGATGTGACTATCAACAACATTTATGGGTAAGATTAAAGACTTGCTTTTTATTATATAGATATGGTATTCTTCTTATACACTGGTAACCATATCTTATCTAATATTCTATCTAGATCGGCTTCGGAGCACAAGTACCCCGTCCTCAGCGTCGACTGCTCAACCGACACCCCTTGCAAAGATTTCACCATCACGAATATCAACGTAGAGCCCAGCTCTAAAACTACTGACAATGTGTGTGTCAACCTCAATGGATCCGATGATATCTCTTACTGCAACTGAAAAAACCACAACATCAGTTAATACTACGACCTATAGTAACGAGAGGAAATGTGCACCTTTTACCTTCTTTCACCCTTTACTATAAAAGTGCTAAACACTTTATTGAATAAACCTACTTTTAAGCATACGTCTTGAATGGTTTTTCCTGTTGAGCTCCTTAGTTTATCGCGTACTGTATAAGTGCTATTATATACTATTAACGGCCGACGCTTCATCTCTTGCAGAGGTGTTACTTCTTCTTAACACGTCGTTGTCAACGTTCCGCGCGTCAAAGACACAGTTGCCCCTGAATTTCATATGCGTGTGGGAGAACAATTGATTATGCAAAAGATAAACACAATCATGCAAAGCAAACACGGATGATTTGCAACGCATGTATACATATGTAATATGGCTGATCCAGGGCCACATTGGCCGATATTCCGGGTTTACATATTACCACTGTTGTGTGACAGCTCGCAAGCGCTTCAAGGGAGTTTCAACACGACACACGCGCGTAGATGAACGTGATTGGCTAGCTGACTTGAGATTCTACGAGCTACAAAAGCTTTTCGCGGTCGGCGTGCGCTACCACTTATTTTTCTTTTACTTCAACACTCGCTGAACTGGTTTTTTCCTATCCTTCTCGTTCTTGCTTCTACATGTTTATAGTCTGTTATAACTGAATATAGTAATTATAGACTCCATAGAATGTATGTTTGTATCTTTTTATTAAGAACAATACAATTTTTTTTCTGCCACCCTCTTTGGTGGTCTTACTTTCAAAATCAGTAGTATCAAACGCGGTCCCAGAAGCGAATATGATTATAAGACGCATCAAAAACACCACTCCCTACGAAAAGTGCGCGTGTTGTGTGTCGAAAACACGTCTTTTTTGGTTTTTTTACCTATAGGCGCGCGTTTGCTTGCCAATTTCCTAATTTGGAGCGCGTTTTGGCGATTTTTTTTTTCTTTTAGATTCCGGTCCAAGAGGAGGGGGGAAAAGAGCCCCCCACCTGTCGTCTCTTTTTTCCCTTTAGCTCGAATTCCTCAAATTTCCAACAATACTCACCAATCTTTCTCATATACACATACATAACACCTTCGACTACAATGGCCACCACCAAAGGCGCAAAACCACAAATGTCCTCACTCTACGCTGAACCAACGGAAGATTACGACGAACCTACACCTACGAGCCGTCTTACATTCACACCATGCACCAGAATGTCAAACCTTACTCTGGCATCACAGTCTACCACAGAAAACAACGGTCGAACACGCTTCTTCTCTTATAACCAACGACCCGCAACCGATTTCAACACCAAGTTAAAACGTGCGTTTGCAGGTGAACAAGATACACAGAGTCATCCCAACTTGTCCATGGTGGTGGGTGGAGAGAAAATCAGCTTTGACCGGTTACAAAAGGATATGGTACGTATGAAAAGGAGATTTATAATAGGGTTGATTGTTTATGTACATGCGTATAAAGAGAGATAAAGAAAAACAAAGAGCGTAAAACTAATCAATCATCATGATTATCGAATAGCATGGCTCAGGGATGCTCTTTCACTCGGATGAAGACGAATCGGAAGAAGACGAAGAGGACCTATTGAGAGCCTACTCTTCGCCAGAACATTCACCGTCCTCGTCTCCAGAACAGTTTACTTTGGATTCCATATTTGATATGAATGTGAAGATGCCTACCCCTCAAGGATTTGGGGATAATCCCTTGGTAGTGCAGCAACAGCCACAACTACAACTGCATGACGACAATTTGGACGACGATGACGACGACGGACACTATGACCCCACCTTCTCATGGGTGAACCAAGTATTCGAAGACAGTGACGAGCATGACGATGATCTTGTGATAAACGAAAGCTACTACTATGTCGATGATGGCAAGGATAACAACAACAGCAACAACAACAGCAGTAGCAGCGAACTTACGGATAACGAAAACCTGCCACCAACAAGTTCAAGCAACAGCAGCACAAAGCGTGGAAAGACTCGATCATGGGCTTGCAGTAATAGCAGCAGCTCCTCCCGCTCCTCTTCTTCAACATCATCATCCACTATCTCATCCACACCGTTATCACCAGTAAGACGTGCGCCCCTGCAGGAGTTACCGCTGGATGAAACAACAGAAGACAACAACGACAAGCTGCATCCAAGGAAAAAGATGATCTTGAACAACAAAAAGTCGATTGGCGACTACCGAACACCGATTCCATCATCATCATCATCATCATCAAGAAAATCATTTATGCGCGCTCTCTCGCCATCATCTTCACGCAAGGGCAAAGAGCCAGCTCCTAATTGATTTTCTCCCTCCTCCGCTTCCTATCCCTACTACTAGTACTACTACTGCTACTTCTACTATTACCCATCTTGTCTTTCACCATCGTCAAGCAACACCAACACACAGCCCTTCACCGCGTGCCACATGCTCACAACGTTATAAACACTCCAGTCACACTCCAGCGCTCGCACTTACACAAAAACTAGTCAGTCAATGCTGTGCATTTCTCTTTGCTCCCTCACCCCCACCTTCTTTCTCTCTACGGTCGAGTCAAGCTGTCACTGAAATGGCACGCACACATACCCCACGGAACTCCCTTTGTTGTTTCTTTCTTCTTCTCTCAATTGTAAATCCCCCTCTTCTTCTTATCCACTATCTTCCCTCTGCCCCTTCATCTTCATCATCATCATCTTTTTCCTTGCTTTGTCACTATCTTTGTTTTTTCTTCTTTTCCTTTCCATTTGCGCTGTATGATTTTTTTTTCTCTTTCCGTTTCTGCTAGTCTTTGGATTAGCATATGCAAATAAATTTGTTAACCCCTCTATATTTGAATCACGTCTAAATATTGCATAACTTAGGAATGTCGTCGGTTGCTACATAACATTCATTATTATTGTGCTCTCACACCTTGAAGTTGATCAAGTTCGTGCTGTGGCGCACAAAGGCCCAGTATACGAATTTGTAACCACGTGAAACGATGATAGGTGATTATACTACTAGTTACATACCATCGCAGTAATAATATGTACTCATGTACTTCATACAGTCTGTGTATGCATCCAGAACCTATGGTTGTCGCAACCAACACATTGATAGTCGTACTTACTTATAAAACACAAGTGGTTGCAGTAGTGGTTATGAATTACTGCCTGCTCCAAGCAAAACACTCCGTGTGACAACTTGGTATTGCTTGCAGGTATGCATAAATAGGCATAAGCAAAGTGCCATTAGGCAGAGAGATAGCCTTAGTGAACCTGTAGTCTGATACGTATCTACTATCTATCTCCTGGTCAACTACCTGGGGGTCTTTTATTCATCAAGAAAAATTAGAAATAAGAAGCGGAGAATAAATGCAACAGAAAGAAGGAAAGAAGTGTATTAAAGCGTATGCATGAAAAGAAACAAAAGTTAGACAGCTGTTACAAAAGTAAAGAAACGAGTATGGAATAAGATACTTACCTCCCCCCAATTTGTATCTCGTTGGAGTGGCCCTCCACTCACTCCATGACAGGCGCCAAGGCCTGCTCTTCTTCGTCTTCCTCCTCCTCTTCAAACTCGTCGTCGTGGGCATCGTCTAACACATTTTCTCCAGCGGGACGACGCATCGACGGTGGTCGCGATCTCAAATTACCAGTTTGGACGTATTGCATGAAGATACGACCAATGTTTCGGGCAGCATTATTATCACGGTCCCACAACTATATGTATAGATAATGTGAGCTTATGCGCAAGTCGCATGATGCATTATCAAGGCACTGATGTAATAAAACAATCAAATACTAGCTACTTACAGTAGGTACAGGACAATGATCGCAGAACTTCAATGGATACACGGATAATTGGGAACCAGCTGGAAATAAGTTTTGGTATATTATTACAACCATTAATATTAGCTATTGAAGCTCTCTCACTGTTTTACAAACATCTTGTATACACGATAGAAAGTAACAAAGCCTATATTACGTACCAGCGTTTTGACGGTCGTTGCAAGTCGATGTTGGCCAAAGGTTATGGCCGTCGTCATCCACACACCAGAGCTGCCGTCGGGCATTGTTCCTGTGTCCATCGTCTTCAGCACGTTCGCGGATCCGACGAATTCTCCGCTTTGTGTGCTCGCGACACACTTGAACACTTCCTGGACGGTCTCGAAATTGACGCGTGTTCGCATCGCAAGCACTGCACACAACACTGGTTCGATACTCATCGATGAGCATGACCATTACACGTCTTGCTAGAACCGCCCGGAACGTCTACAAAGTTATTTATAATAGAGGCGTCAATTCATAGCAAGGACACTCGCTTCATTCGTCACTAATTAACGTTCCACCACGTCTGCCAGATAAATTTTCTTATTTACCTCAACAGGAATAGGTTCAAATCCTTTGAAGGAGGGCTTAAACCTTCCATCACCATATGCTACAATACAATTGTCTTCCACTCTGAATCCTGCATGTGCGCGGCGCGGTCGGCGAAACCGGCGGCGGTGAGCTTTGCGTTCGCGTTTGGAGGCCTTATTGAAGAAAGGGAGAGGTACCTTGAAGCAACCATATTAGCTTTTGCGACTTATCAAAGAAGTACTCATACACAGAAAGATACTTACATCGTCACGGTGATCCAACCCTATCAATCTGTTGGCAAGATTCTCCAATGCGCTTTTGCGCGCAGAAAAAAGAGTGAGTAACGTTTCCCGGTGAAAGAAATGTTTGTTAAATTGTTCATGGATGCTATTTTTTTTCAAAAAAAAAAAAAAACTAGAGTGAATACTCATGCCAAAATGATGATCACGGTGTTCCAGTATATATCGACATAGCTGAGTAACTTACTGTCTGTGCACGCCACTCAACATTCTGATGTAATTTCGGAAACCTTCCGAGGTAGGCGCTGAAGCCGGATGTCCTCTCAACATATCATACACCTCCTGTATCTCCGGGATATCTCGATCCGGATGAGCCTGTCGCTCGACATGAGCATAGCGTGCTCGATTTTTGTTTTCCTTTTGGAGCGCCCACTTGAACATGGACTGGAACCTGAAAAAGGGTTATGTACAAAATCAAACATGTTGGCATCAGATGTAAAAAGCGCGGACACACGCTCATACTTGCTAAAAGTAAATATACTGCACGCAGTACTCACTGGTATGTTCTGTTATTTAGCTGATATACGTGCTCTGCTCTCGCTTCAGGTGTTTCGAGCGGCTCAAGAGTGTCTACAGCAGTGACCAGAGACCGGATGCCTAAAATAATATACAGAATATCTACTTAGATACCGTTACATATTTTGAGAATGATTAGATATATACCTGGGTCTATGAACACTGTTCGAAAATTGTGAAGCCGCTCTGCATCAAGACCATCTGGCTCTTTGGAGAGATGATACATTCCTCTTCTCCACTGTGTGACGTCAATTTCACGAGGAAAACGTTTAACTTGGTTGGAGCTAGAAGGCATATACTCTAACAATAGATTTATGAGATGTCGTCATGACTAAATACATACTTTTAATATTGCATGCTATGAGGGTACTACCAACCTCCACGCCGCGTTGTCACAGGCCTGCGAAAATGGAACACAATGGCGACACCATCCGTTTCGAATGTGTTATTGAAGAGTTTGAGCTCGCGGTCTTCTGGGGGCACAACACCTTGACCTGGGCACATTATATTTATAAATGTATATGAGATAGATGAGTTTAGATATAACTATCAAAAGATACCACTTTGTGACTATTCAAAATGTATACGGAATCTACCTTCGACTGCGTATCGGCAACGTCGCGGCTCTACGTGACCGATATTAAATAGCGACTCCCAGAAGCCTTCAAGCAGCTCAGGATCTTGCTGTCTGAAAACACGATATGACAAGCAACGTCCACGACCAGGAACGTTATTTGGTCTCTAGATTTATGCATCGATGGAAATAAGCCAGTAAATAAACAAATAACATCTTTTAATAACTGGAAACACAAAGAGAGTAAAAACGCATATCATTACCACAATATTATCTGGCACTTGTGCAGGGTCTCGCTCGTCCACTTCGCGTACGATGTAATACATAGTTTCAAGGTCGACCGGCATGAATCCAATGCGGTGACTGGCAAGTGGCAGTGGAGTCCACTTGGGACAGAATTGGAAAGGCTGGGCTTCAAGTGACAGCCAGATATAAAAGGATAGCGAATTCACTAGCATTGCAGGGCCAGATATGGACGGTCGCTGTACTATGCGTGCGATATTCACGCCGGCATATGCTTGTTCGAATCGTGCAGTGTGTTGGCTAAAAAAGTTGAAATAGTAACACCGTCTTAGTTATAACTGTGTGTTTATCTATGTGTTGTATCTATATAATCATCATAACAAATTAAAAAGAAATTATGTGTAATTTCTTACTTGAAATATTGAAGCACCTCAGTAAAGATTGCTGCTGGAATTCGTTCAATTAAACGCTGAGTCAAATGAGTTCTGTGCGTTGTGATCAAATTACAGATTTGTTTTGCTATAAGCAGATCACCATAAAAAATAGCGGTGAGATATTTTTCAACACTCCAGTATTACCAATTTAAGTAGAAAAGTAAATCATTCTTTTGTTTACCCATGCTAGAGATGCTGATTCGAAAGGTAAGGTTATGTTCATGGCGCAGATGACTCAGATATGCGACCCATACACGCTTGAGAAAGACAGGAATGTTGGTGCATAGGTGGTTCATGGCATCTACAAATTTATTTCCTCAGTTAATAACTATTTTTATAGTTCAACAATCATACATAGAGCATGTAAGAATTGCGTGTACACTACACTTACTGGTTTTAGCCTTTACTGCAAACAGCTCTGCTAATCGAGCCAACAAGGACATTGATAAGTCTTGACGAAGAACAGGAAGATCGTATAACGCTGTTAAGAAAGTCAGTATCAAACATCTATCATTGTTTTACATTTACCCAGTTTCAAAACGTCATATCGGTATATCTAATACCTTCTCCTGTTTCCGCATTCCGGCGTTGTGGCTGATAATGGTTATTGAAGATATCGCGTAGAACGGCGTAGCGGTTTGGAGTCTATTGAAGTCAATAATGTAAAAAACTTGTCAGTGTTGCATGCTCCGCGACATACAGTACATATTATGCACAATTCATCCCAAGCAACAGAAATTATTCTCACGCGAGCCGGTATAGGTGCCTCTTGCGTTGGATTGGTGATCACCATCCGAAATGCCGTAGCCCAATACGTTTGATTGTCTAATTCTGGCATGGGTATCTCACCGTTGCTTTCGTATGCAAGCAGAGCATGCAGATTAATCAAGTTCAAGGCGTCTCTGCGAAGTACTTGGTACCACTCAGCTAACGAACGAAGGTAAGCCTAGCGGTAATATAAGATTGTTTTAGCTTTTCTGTCCAGATAATTATGAATGATCTTGGTGTCGGCTTTATAAATGGTGTACGAACCCTGTACAGCTCACGATTTTCATTTAATGCTACCCTCAACTTGCATTTGCGACTGGCTAATCGCCATGTATTTGCGCGGCCGTAAAACGTGTCGCGAATGAAGTCTGGCTCCGGTTCTATGTAGGAAATAATATAAAGATACAACCATAGTAAGTCTACTATATACATGCTCATAAAAATTTTATACAGAAGACAAGCGGAAAGACAATATTAACAGTACCTGCTGCTCCTTCTTGCTCCATGTACGCTATTTCGTCATAGGAGTACTCATTCTCGGCAAATGATGTAATGTCCGAGCTAGTGTCGTTATCCAGGTCGTCATAGTAGTCATTAACGTTGTCAAAACCAATATTTTCGTCGTCCACATCCATCATAGCCGCACCGTCGCTCGCTTCCGAAAAAGCATCAGTGGTTGGGTCATTATCGACGAGTATATTGTCGGTATCAAATGAGTCGGTTGATGCCATAGTCATATCAGTGTCGCTGTCGTCCACGACACTGATAGACACCATTTTTAGTATTGAGTAAAAAGGTGCAAGGCTTTATGTATATAAAACAATAGTGATAAGATAGAAAGAGAGTTATTGGAGAGAAAGTTGTAAGAAGGAGAAAGGAAGACCTTGTTTGAGAGAAGGAGTGCTGTGATGAACGTGGGTTGTGAATAGATAATAAGAGAAAAGAGATTGAATAAAAGACAATATGAAATACTGTGAGAGTCAAATATGAGGTGATTTTTTTTGAATGAATTAACAACCCTTTATATACTCTTGGATATGCTGTCAAGACTTCCGTTTGGATGAACTGATGAATGGATCGGGGCACGCCGGGTTTCGGATGTTTCAAAGATGAAGAGGAATGGTAAGGTTGAGTTTGGCGGTCATGACAATGAACGTTGCCTTCCGATTGTAAAGAGTCATCTTTGTCTTGATCAGTGTGCTCCTTGTTTGGCGAATTTCACCTTTGTCTGTGCTGGAATTGGTATCTGCTCTTTGACATTGAACGTGTGACCAACCAATAAAATTTCAGCCTCCACCTGGCTCATTCAAAAAAAAAAGCTCTTTGACAGGTACACTTCGCTCAACTCATATAAGCTAGATTCAAAGGAAGTGCTGACTAACTCGAGAATAGGACAATGTGTATACAATGGTTGGTTCTGAGTTATTCTCGATTGTGATCCATGTTTGAGAGATTATTGATATGGCGCTAATTATGTCATTTGTGTGTGTGGTGTTCTCTCTACTGCTTTCTAATGGTTACAAAGACGGCGGAGTGGGATGAGTTGTCCGGATCAATCTCAAAGTAGTGTGGTTTACCACAAGTGCACTATGACTTTGAAAAGGCACCTTTTATAAAAGAAAATTCTTGTAAATAATTGATGCTAATACTCACAGGTGACTATTAACAAGAAGATATATCTTTTATGCAAATGATTAACCCATGTGTATATCACCTTTTGAGCATGTGAAAGAAAGATAGTCGTGCTAGGATTACATGCCACCCACGATTGCCCGCTTAGCAATACTACGGGTGGGGAGCGTGCTGCACTCTAGTCAAACAATTATCAGAAGCCTCGTGATATGCTGAAAAATGAAAGTGATAAAAAGAGACTTTAGAAGCCCTTGAGAGTGTTGGCAGAATCATACATATCAGTGATTTAAAGATGAAGGCTGTTACTTCTAAATTTAAACAATTAATTATGCTGATTGAGAGGATTGTGTCTACAGTAATCAGATATGTATGCTTTCTCGTGGACTAAAGTTTTTGACGATGTTTGGACACTATAGAGGATAGAGGATAATATTACGCGTGCGGTTCTTTTTCAAAAGTTGATGTACAGTATGGAACAATACCAACGTGTATTGCAGGATTGTATGGGGGAGTTCGTTATTGGAGTCCCGGGAATACGACAAACGTCACCAGCCAAAGTGTTCATTATATACGTTTCTCCAAGTGTTCAAAATATCTTTCTATACCTTGTTGTTGGTTTTGAACACTGACAGAGCTGGTTGAGAGCGGGGAATGTTGTGTTGAGGACGTCAATAATCTGTTTGCCATGGTTGCTCCATTGTTTTCACGAATTCTTGGATCTGCTATCTACACGAGGGACGACAAGAAATATAGAGTAAGATGTTTGTATCAAGCAATATGATAACTGTATATATAACATATTAAACTATTAGCTAGTAATAAGTTTAGCATGAAATTTAGCATATTGTATGGAATCGTTATGAGTATGAGCAAACAATTATGTATATGCAAGATAAAACAGCAGCAAATTTTTGGTTTTTATTTGTGGTATCTTCATGCTACAGTATTCATATACGAGCATGATGACTCAGTATTTAAAACTGTACCACTTGAATGATACACCATTGCTAGTACGGTGCAATTCTTGAGCAATGTCATCAAAATGATGACCCCTCAAGCGCATGCGGATCAGAGTAACCAGCTCCCCTTGGGTCCAATGCTTGTTGCGCCGATCACCTACGATGGGACCCCATCGAATAGGATGCAACTAAAAAAAGATATTAAGTTATCCAGCTTTTTATTTATTAATCACCTTCTATTATATAGTCAGTGTAAGAGTAGACGATGATTACTTACATCCATTTTAAGCTGTATTTGCTCTGCTCTTTTAATTTCCCCTTCCACAACTCCTCTGGCATAAACGATTTCTCTATGGTTTATCTGGTGACGATAAACCTCCTCACATTCTTCTGGCGGATGATCCACCCGCGAAGTTATTTCGTTCCATGATAAAGGGGGTTTGGATGCGCGCAGCTTTGCAAGGTAATATCGCTGAGTTGGAGTCCAATGAGAAGGTAACGGTGGCTAGAAATATGCAACATATTATGATAAATTTATAATACATACACGATACCGCAATAGCTCTTTCTGTTTTTCAAATATCATACTCACCTTGTATTGACGATATCGTGCCTTGCAGGCTGAAGGTGTGTGGCGGTTGCCAATTATTCGCGCAATATATTCCCAAGACGCATGCGGATATTGCTGCTTTTGTTGTATCAAAATCGCGATATCTTGGGCTTCCCATAACGGCATGGTTGATAATGTTTAAATTGACGACGAAGGATCAAGAGGTTAAAGCTATTGTATCAGCATAGACACAAAAACTTAATATATCTGTTTATCTTTTTTGAAGACTCTGATATACTACCTGTCTAATTCTTGTTTCTAAATACGCTTCTTTCCCTGTTTAGTGCTTCTTGGTTGATGTGTATTACTATTGCTAATGATGACACATGATCCATGCACACTTATGGCTTTGCCTTTGTTGATAATTTAGATAGCGGCGCTATCATTGATCAGTTCACAAATCCCATGTCCCATATTGCAAGTCCAACAGCTTTATCCGAACAAATATATACCAAGTCCAACCAAGAGTATTAGAAAACAAAATATATGTAATAAGTATCTCTGCTAAATATTTATTTTATTCTTCATTGTTGACGAGAGGGACATGCATTTGGATTGATGATTTTTTCTACGACTGTGTATAGCCTTTTCTGTAGAACAATCAATTCTCTAGTTGTGTTGTAGATATGTTTGATTTGTTTCTTGCAAATAGATTATCAAGTTGATTTGTCGAGCGTTCATATTCAGCGAGCAGATCGTTTCTATGTTGCCGCTGCTGGTGCTGTGAGGATGGTGCTAGTTGCATAGATGCTGTTAATGTTGTTGACTAAAGATGATGCTGGTAATGACGATGATGCTGTTGTTGATTGGCGAGGGAAACTTTGGTTTATGATTACTAGAATGGTGGTGTTATATGCGCTAAGATATATATGCTTGCATGGTTGGTTACGCTTTTAAAATCTTCACAACTACAAGAACCAATAACGCCATTGCTATCAGTTTCTTCAAGCTTTAAAGTATACAATGCAGAACTAGCAAAAGATTGATAGGTAACCTATTGCCACAGTACGATCAGCAATTGTAAAAGTAAACGGACACATACAGAAGTGGTACATACATGATCATCATGGATAGTTATCATCCGGTCAGCTTCATCTGGTGATTTTTTGCAGGCTTCTCTTTCGTTTGTTAAGCTTCTCTAGTCGCTGTTGTTTCTTCGACACCAGCCAAAATACGTAGGACTTGAGCACGGTAATCATTTTCAAAAACTGCGTCAACATATAGATTACACGATCAGCACGATGATTGCGACTGTATGGAAGATATTTGCGTTTAAGTTTGGAATGCCAGCTTTCGATCAGATTATTTGTATGGAAGGACGCATTCTAAAGAATATACAACCGTGCATTATGTTGAAGCGCAAAATAAAGCTAAAACGAGCCTAAAACGTACCTCTCTCCAAGCCTTGCTCCAAAGATGATGCTTAGGATGCCCAATAGTCCAACACACAGCCATAAAATGCTCATATGTATCCCGCCAATTGTTAACCAAGCCTGCACAAATTCAACGACGGTTTTGCAATTCATCAAAGAACCAAGGGCAGAACGAGCTTCATCTCTTCTTTTCTTCGTATCCGCTGTTGACAGAGTAGTTTTGATCTATAACCCAACATATAGAAAAAAGAAGGTTATATTGAATATACGATAATGTGGCTAACTAAATGGTACCTTGGACGTGATGTGCTTTTCCCATGCTCTTTTGATGTGCCAATGACACAGAAGAACTTGAACTTGATGACCATAAACTGCTCTGATGCTGTTAATTTCAACTGGACTGCAATCGATCATGATCCTTGTTGGTGTGTATTCAATTCTGTCTCGGAGCCATCGAAACCATACTTGCAAATTTTCACTATCTTCTTTATCTGTGATCATAAACGCAAGAGGGTAACCTTGTCCAGTAACTGTATGCTTGGCAACGATAGAAAACAGATACGCATCAGCCCGACCACTGATGATAGATTTGCAAGTCTTGTGTGTGGCATCAATACAGATCTCATTTGATTTCTTGAGCAGCTATAAAGCACATATGCATCTTAATATACGAACATTGCATTATATTTAAGTATATATCTTTTCTTACCAAAGCTTGTCGTGATGATATCCATGCAACAACAAAAGTAGAATCCGTGATATATTCCAACGTTTGATAACCTTGATCTTTTAAAAAGAGAAGCCACTTGACTACACTTTCTTTATCGATTAAATCTTTTCTTGCTAATCTTGACTGTTGGTTGGCGATGATATTCATGACATGATGCTGCTTCACACGTAAGGCTTCCGGGAACGGTCCTTCGCCTTCCTCGAGCTGATACCACAGGTTAGCATCTCTACAAGTTATCATCATAGTTTTGCTTTACATGTATAGATGATACTTACATCTTGAAGTTGTTTATCAGTCAAACGCAGATGTTCCTGAATTTGATCCCACTCCAACTTGTTATTGACAAGTTCTTCGATCCATTTACGTGTTTCAGCGGGGAGTTGTGAGCGAGTAGCATTGGTTATCTCGGTAGGGTCATGGTGTTGATGTTGCCAGTGATATACAAGTTTGATTTTGCCTGAGAATAAGTATTGAATACGGTATCGAGCACGACAATTTACTTTAATAGATGGTTTTGCAAGTCGACGTTTTTTGATGGGAGCAGGTTCAGTTGAGTCTATGGGCAGAGCAGGGATAGCTGGAGCCGATGTTTCTCTTGAGTGATCACAAAAAAAGTGATACTACGTTCAACTGTCCGAGGACGGCCGGTATTGTTTCGGCGTGCATCTGAAGCCTTGGGTACGGAGATGTACTTGTTGTTGGTGATGAAGTTGGCAGGCTGCTTGGGGTTTTCTTTAACCCACTCGTCAAGTTGTTGCTGGTTGTCAAAAATCTCTGAAACTACTTCGGTAGGGTAGGTGGGAAAGACACGGACAAGGTATCCAAGGCTATCAGATGCAGAGGCCATTGTTGTAGGTGAGCAATTGACAAAACAACAAAGGTACAGTTGCGACGCGTCGCTGTGGGAACATGAAAAAGTTTTACTCTGTGATTGAAAACTTCTCTAACGTAATTTTTCTTGATGAATAACGAAACCGAACTACCTGTGTGCCACATCACTTCCACCCTATACGCGTTCCAATTCGAGCTCCGCTTCACTGCACAACTAAACCTCCACGTATCGCAGCCAAAAAAGGTTCAACTCATACTCTCTCCACTTTTGTACATAAGTTTTTACTTCTAAAGCTTCTTTTGAAAGGTAAATACAATAGTCTGTTAACTTTTAATGAGCCAAAATGTCATTTTGCCTTGTTCATTTCCTGGTTCTTTTTTTGTATAACTCATTGATGTTTTTGTTCTCCAATGGCTGGAACTTTGTCGCGTTACTGTCGTTTCATCTTGTTTCCCTTGCTTCCTCCTTCATCTTTTGTAAAACCAGCTTTTTCTTGTTGTATCAAAAGAAAAACAAGACCAAAAAGAGTAGTATGGCCAAGAAGCTCAACGAAATCCATCGGACAGCAACATTTGCTTGGAGTCCTGGACAGCAATTACCGCTGATTGCAGCAGGCACTGTTTCAGGTGCTTTAGATGATTCCTTCTCGAACGCGTCTGAGCTCGAGCTCTTCAAGCTAGACTTTGTAAATCCAAGCAATACCAGCCAAGGACTATCGCCTGCAGGAAAAATTAGCACCAATGCCAGGTAAGAACAGCAAATAAAAAGGACACTTGAATTAGGGTTGTTTGAAGGAGAAACATACATGAGCAAGTAGCGCAAATTGAGAACAATTCCTTTTTTGTTTTCTTGAAAACAGATTCAACACGCTCAGATGGGGTCATGTAACAACAGACAAGCCATATGGTATTATTGCTGGTGGTATGGATAGTGGTGAGCTTGAGCTCTGGAACCCAACGGCTATACTCGAAGATGAAGGGTACGTAACAAAGAAATAAAGGCTGCTAGAGATCAAAAGTAGCGTATACAGAGATGGTGTATGTATACTGAAGCCGTAACTGCTCTGGTGTTTATCGTATACAGGGCAGATGCTGCATTAGTATTACGGAATTCGACACACACCGGCCCTATCCGTGGTCTCGATTTTAACTCGGCTCAATCCAATCTATTGGTTTCTGCTGGCAATAACAGCGAGGTATCTTTTAGCAATACTGCCTAGAATATATGTACCTTGAAACCCCTTTTTACTCTAACACATCTTTACACGCTGCTAGGTATACATCTGGGATCTCACTAACCCAACCAAGCCACACGCTCCTGGCTCTCGATCAAGCAAGTTAGATGATATCACAAGTGCTGCTTGGAACTGTCAAGTTCCACATATTTTGTCGACCTCTTCTACGTCTGGCTATACGGTTGTCTGGGATCTTCGAAACCGCAAGGAAATTATGACACTGGCTGGACCTGGCGCTGGTGCTATGAGCGGTGGCCGACGTGGCATTTCATCAATTGCCTGGCATCCTGATGTGGTAAGTGTTTGTCGTTAGGTGGTCAGCTGGATACTTGGGTTTCGTATGTGAGTGTGAGTGTGAGTGTGAGGGAAAAATGAGGTGTGGGACTGACCGATACAAACCTTTATCGGATAGGCAACACAAATCGTGACAGCATCTGAAGACGACAATAGTCCCGTTATCACACTTTGGGATCTCAGACACGCTCACTCGCCCGAGAAAACATTAGCCGGCCATAGAACGGGCGTTATGAGCGTAGCTTGGTGTCGCCAGGACTCAGATCTTCTCATGTCGTGTGGTAAAGACTGCAGAACTCTTTGCTGGAATCCTCGTACAGGTGACTTGTTGGGTGAAATGACACAATCTACCAATTGGACATTCGAAGTGGATTGGTGTCCTCGCAACCCGGATTTGCTGGCAACTGCATCGTTTGATGGAAAGGTACAATAATCACTACCGGTGGTTACTATTACCATGACATATACACACAAAGATACTGACATTTCAAACCACTACCCTCTAGATCAATGTTTATTCGATCCAGGGCGCCGGTCGTGATGAATCAGCTGCTCCGACATCTGAGCAGCAGGGTGCCACTAATGCAGACGACCCTTTCTCCGCCGCGATGCTGGCAGCTACGCCGCAAACACAATCGTTTGCACTCAAGCACCCACCCAAATGGCTCCGTCGACCCGTCGGCGCCTCTTTCAGCTTCAGTGGCAAGCTGGTAGCATTCAACGACAAGGCTGGACAAGCGGCTGCCAAGGTCGCTGCCAGTCTTCCGCCTGGATCTGCTCCAGCAGTACAAAACATCCCGCGCAACGTTACCATTGCAACGGTGGTCACAGAGCCCGAGATTGTCAAGCGCTCCGACGAGCTCGAAACTGCGGTTAACCAAAACCAATTGGAGAAACTCTCGGAAGATCGTCACTCACAAGCTGCAATTGCCGACGAATCGCAGAGCTGGAAGGTGCTTCGGGCCTTATTTGCAGATGACGCTCGACAACAACTGATCCGCCAACTGGGTTTCCAAAACGAAGAAATTATTGCGGCTGTCGAAGCAATCACTGCAGAGACCAAGAAGGATGCGGCTGCTGATGCCAACGATACATCTGCCTCACAACAACAACAACAACAACAACAACAACAACAGGAGACCATCGAGACACCCAAACCAGAGCCAGAGGAAGAGAAGAAGGAGACTCAAGAACAGGATGTCTCTGCTACTGCTGCTGCAGCTGTTGACGAAAAGGAATCCGAACAGACGCAAGAGGTACAGCCTGCTACTGAAGGTCATGAGCAAACCACGGAAAAGCCTGTGGGTGAAAAGGCACCCACAGACACGCTTTCGGGACTTTTCCGCTCATCCGATAAGGCGTCTCCCGCCGAGGACTTTTTCGGGCAGCAATCGTCTGGACAGGCCACTGCCGTCGATACTGCAGCCAGCGGCATAACAGCTACTGATGCTACTGCTTCTGCCGACACCACCGCTCTTGGTGCTGCCGCTGCTGCTGCCACCCCGGCTATCGTTGCAGCCCTTCAGGTACCGCTGGAGCTCTACCCCAAGGACAGCTCGGATACCGACCGCTTGATTACTCGATCGCTCGTCTTGGGCGACTTTAACACTGCTGTTGAGCTTTGCCTTGCTTCCGATCGTCTCTCGGATGCTTTGTTGCTGGCCATATACGGTAGCAGCGACCTGTTGGCCCGTACACAAAAGGCATACTTTGAGCGCCAAGCTGCAAAGACATCCTACTTGCGCCTCGTGGAAAACATTGTGAACGAAAACCTGTCGGCCATTGTGGACAGCACTTCGCTGGACGAGTGGACTTCCGTCGTCGTCATCCTTTGCACGTTTGCACGCACCGAGGAATTCGGTCCTCTTTGTGAAAGTCTTGGTGGTCGTCTCGAAGAAGCATGGTCGGCTGCTGTCAAGAACGGCGACGTGGAAAAGGGCCAGCAATTCCGCCGGCACGCAACACTTTGCTACTTGGCTGCCGGTAATCTTGAAAAGGTGGCTGGTATCTGGATTATTGAACAGGAGGAGGAGAAGCAGAAGGAAATCAAGGAAGAGGGTGCTGTCAACGCCAGCGGTTCTAGCTTGCAGAACTTGATCGAGAAGGTTACTGTCTTCCGCAAGGCTATCGACTATGAGGACGAGATGCTTGCTGCTGATCAGAGCTCGGCTGGCGAAACACAACCCGGTGTATATCCCTTGGGTCAATTGTACAGCAAGTACTGTGAGTATGCTGAACTGATGGCTACCCAGGGCAAACTCGACATTGCCCTGCGATACCTCAACCTCACTCCCAGCGGCTATCGCGATCTCATGTCTGATCGCTTGTCCGTCATCCGCGACCGCGTCTACCGTGCCTGCGTTGGCGAAGGCAGCTTCGGTCAGCACCGCGTCCCTGCATTCCCATTCGAGCCTACGCCACTCTTGTCTGAAAAGGAAAGAGCAATCCCTGATGCTGGTGCTAACGGTTTCGAGGGTCAGCATTTGTTCCAGCAACCTATGCAAACCGAAGCACTTCAGCAGCAGCAGCAGCAAACTGCTGCCTATGACGCTTACAAGCCATATGATCCTTCAGCCAACACAACAGCTGCTCCATTGCAACAGCAGCCTGTGCAGCAGCCACTGCAGCATCAACAACAACAACAACAACAACAGGCGACCTACAACGCTTACAACCCGTACGATCAGCCTGCAGCTCCAGCACCTGCACAACAACAACAACAGAACCCTTACGCGCCCATCACCAACCCAATGGGCGCGCCTGCAAACACTAATTATGGCTATGGCTATCCAGCTGCACAAGCAGGGGCTCCTGTACCACCGCCACAAACGGGAGCGCCACCCCCGCCACCACCCAAGAATAGGCCCACAGGATCTGCTGGCGCAAGTCCATCTGTTTCGCATCGATCCGCCTCGGGGGCATGGAACGATCCACCGGTTGTATCTAACGCACACGTGACACGAAGCCCCGCTGCTGCTCAAGTTGGTCCTAAACGAGTGACTTCTCCCTTCCCTAACCAGCCTGGACCTAGCACATATGCTCCCGCGCCTAGCCAGCAACAGCAACCATACATGCAACAGCAGCCTCTAAACAGAGGCATGGGTGCTCCACCACCTCCACCACCTACTGCAACCGCTGTGCCTCCACCCCCTCCACCCATGAACGCCGTTGCTCCTACCCCGCTTGCCAGACAACAACCACAACAGCCGCCACCACCACCTCCGCAGCAACAGCAACAGCAACAGCAAGGATTCTATGCGCCCGGTCCCCAAATGAGAGGCCCTGCCACACCTCCACCACCTATGGCATCAATGGCAGGTCCTCCACCTCCACAACAGCAACACCAGCATCCAATGGCTCCCCCGCCTCAGCAGCAGCAGCAGCAGCAGCAGCCATCACCTTATGCACCTCAACCCATCCAGGCACCGCCTCAACAACCGGGCCCCTACGCTCCTGCTCAACCACAGCAACACCCCCCACAACAGCAGATGTTCCGTTCAACGGGTACGCCACCTTTGCAGCAACAGCAGCAGCAACAGCAGCCATCTCCTCGAGCACCTCCTGCTGCTCCCGCCAAACCTGCTGCACCACCAGCTCCCGAAAAGAAGCGACATCGTAAGTTTAAGATGGAAAAACCGGGTTAATGACGATATTGGCGTTTTGCCGCGTGGTTAAATATAAAAATAAAAATTCTCTCTCAATGTATAGCCAAGGATGACAGAAGCCACATCCCCGCCGAACAGCGTCCCATTCACCAGATCCTTTCAGCCGAGTTGCAGCAAGCAAGACAGAGATCTCCTGTAAGTTGCCTGACATATCTAGAGCATTATCAGTGTGTCTGCATCCTCCTCTAATTTTCTGCTTTCACTTCATGTGAAACTTTGTTCTGTTAGCCTGCTCAAAAGAGAATGCTTGACGACACTGAACGTAGATTGAACACCCTTTTTGAAGAAATGAACAACAGTGAGATATCCGAAGGTGTCGTGCAGCCCATGCTTGCACTTGTACAAGGTAAGAATCGATGAATTCATGTGTGGTATAGACAGATAGACTAATATATATCATTACTATAGCTTTGCAAAAGCGTGACTATGATACAGCTCAACGTATTCAGGTCGATCTGGTGACGACGCGTTACGAAGAATGCGGTTCATGGCTTGTCGGCGTAAAGAGACTCATCGACAATGCAAAGTCAATGGCTTAAAAGGAGAAACCTATTGTAATTTGTTTGAACACGAAATATATTATATACATATATCATAAAGACGATTCTAGCAATCTCACTTTTTCCTGTGGTTACACTTCTTTCACTTGTGCGTACAGTGGCATCCCCACATATCACCAAGTAATCCGTTAGACACATAGCATGTAAATCCCATACATAGACCAATAATAAAATGCTCCGAATGTGCATGTTCTTTCTACTGAACCACAACCTTGTTTTTGCTGAATACATAGCACCAGCATTATAAAGCTGGGAAGGATTGAGGGCGGAATACTTGACAGCTCTCTTTCTCTCTTTATCTCTTTTCCTGCTTGCTTGCCTTTGTCCAATGGCGAATACCAACGCCACGGTCATTAGCGTTGCTCCTTCTCCTCCATCGCCAGCCGAATATGCAGCAGAAAGCGAGCCAACGTCGTCACTCTATGGCAATGCCACCAGCACCCGCACTAACATTGGCCCGTCGCCCAAACTGGATGAGTATCGCAACATGATTCGCCACATTCTGACAAAGATCAGCAAACGACGTCGTCCACCGTCTGCCTTGGTCCAGCTGGTTGAATCCTGTACATCAGTAGAACCTAATACAACTTTTGATAATGAAGAAGTTGTAGATCTACTGATGCAACTACGAACGGCCCTGACTTTATGCGAAAAGAGTGGCCTCGGTCCTGAAATATTGATACAGCGGTAACTACACACACGTTCAATTTTGGACACAACAGAGAAAAAGTAACCAGTGTGTGCACATGTAGAGATCCGCGTGTATCACCAGGACCATCGCAAGGCAACTCGCCCATCATGGCCACTTCACCACAGACACTAGCATTCGAAACAGAGCATAAAGTATCATCGTTTGAAAATATCGTTGCTATGCTCGATGATCTAGTATTGAACGATTGCCGATACAGCACAGCAAATCCACGACCTTCACGACCGCCATACAGCATGCAATCCGTCTTGGTTGATGTAGCTACGATCTTAGTGACCTTATGCGACGATACGATGCTGCTCTCTATAATCGGCACGACAATGCTGCCTGCATTTGATTCGTTCCCGGAGGGACCGTTGCTTGGCAAGCTTCTGGGCTTCTTTCTGGATGCACTCCTTCCTCGATTGTCTCAGTGCAAAGCCGAACAGAAAACAACATCATATACGGAAAATCGGCATAAACAAGGTAAATTACAACAACGCAGTGAAAAAAAAAACGCCCGTCCAATCGTGTTTAAGCATGATTAATCCTTAAATTGTAGCACAACATACCACGGTAGCGGCAGCGGCAGCGGCAGGGACGGGAACAGCCACGGCAGCACCTACTATCAACATCCAAAGTCCCGACTTTGATGAAGACAATACCAAAATCCAACGATCATCTCATCTAACCATCGACACACAACTTTCACCCACATCTTCACCAAGCAGTCCACAACAACACCATCATATACAGCACACTGCACGCGATCCCGTACATGCGCTATTTACGCCACTCGTATTCTTCATGATCGAATATCTTGATCCGTACCTTGAAGCAGCACACTTATCCGAACCGCTTACATTCACGCTTCCACATCAGTCCCACTCCATTCACAATTTCCACAAGGCACTGTGCTTGATGATCAATCAGAAGCCTGACTTTTATCTCGACTTGTTACGTGTTATTTCGCACGGCGCGCCTGATGTCAGATTCAGGGCCTGTCAAATTTTATTCCACTACTACAATATAAGCACTGGCCACGTGGTTGTCGCCGAAGACTTGCCTGAATTTGGCTCTAAAACCGAGATTGAAACTCTTGCAAAGGCTATGGAACAACAGACATTCGAACAAGACCAGCAACATCAGAACGACCCGACGTTTCTCGAAAGCATGATGGGCAATAATAACAGTAACAACAACAATAACACGGTATATAACGGTATCAATCGAAAATACCGAAGTGGGCTTCTCAACCCTGTCGTCGGTGCTTCTTCGCCTGCACCACGCAGCGACGAATCGCTGGACGGAGACGATAACTCTACGAACAGTCGAGAGTCGCATATCTGGTTTCCACACATGTTTGCTGAAAACAGCAGAAATCAGGCAGAAGAATTGACGCTGCAAGCATCACAACGTCTTTCGACTGGAATCCAGGCGTTCAGTACGGTCGTCCACGACGATATGAACGGCGCTTACTGCAAAGAGTGCTACAAAATTATCAAGGGTTATGGTTTACGGTGCTATCAATGCAAATGCAGTCTGCACTATGGCTGTCTCTCCAACAGCGAGCAAGACATTATGCTTTATGTAAAAGAAGGGGGCATCCAAAAGGTAGTCAGCCCGCAATTCTGTCGCATCCCGCCACAACCACGTTTTTGCTGTGATACCAGTGTCGCTGCAAGCAGCAGTTCTCCGACAATTATCCACCTTCTGGGTCACCAGTTCATCCTTGTCAACCTGTACACCCTGATGTTGTGTGCATCGTGCTGCTTGCCGTTATGGGGTATCTCTTACCAAGGTTATCGTTGTTCGACGTGCAATCGGTTCGTGCATCCCGATTGTTTGGCTAAAGCAGAACAAGAGGGTGGGTTCAAGCACGCTGCTTCAACGATCCAAGGATGTCATCCGTATCAGCCGTTGCTCGAAAGCCATACGAAAATCTCAGAAACAGCACTATGCGATGGACTCCGTGGATTTTATGGCGATCTGTTCCCGTCTTCCGAAAGCGACATGGTTACCAAAAGCTTTGAAGAGGTGGGTGTGATGCTCAATATACTCCTGATTCAGGACAACATTTTGCAGTGCGGTATCGCTTCTGGTTGTCTGTTGATCAGTCAAGAATCGGATGATCCGTTGCTCGTTCCTCAGAACTGTGAGGATGTGGACATGACACGCGTATCGAATGCATCGCCAGCGCTTCGTAACGCACTGAGACTGTGCATGAAGTACATTAAGACAGGTAGCTGTCCGACGTCACGATTTCTGGGCAGCTTCTACAGTAACCGGCAACATATCGTGGAAGAGTGCGTGCTGAGCAAGGAAGAATATTTGGCACATATCTGTGCCATGATGAAGTCCGGTATTGCATCGACTAAGCTAGGCGAAAAACACACCTCCTTGACAAGCGATTATTTGCAAGTGGAGCAATGGGACGATCATCCGCACGGCGACGACGCTTGGGACGCTACACCCCAGGAGGTGATTGATCGAGACGCGATGCTGGAATGGCTTATGGACAACGTACGGATCAAAAGTCGGCGGGCAGCCGAGATATTGCTGCAACATATGCGAAACTTGGGTCTTTTCGAACGGCAAGACGGCACGCACATGTTGTTCACGCTCGCAGGGGATAAGCCCGTCCCATGTATCTTCCCCGTGCCTTATGTGATCGACTGTATGCCAACAGTGGAGACGCTGGTGGATGCTATTGAAGCTTGTCTTGACGATATCGACATTACCATCAATGAATGTGGTATGCTTCTGCTGGTCCGTCGGTGCTGGCCAGATCCATTCATTTCACGGTATACCTGCGAACGGTTGATCCTGGCCATTCTGTCATGGGTATTCCAAGAGGACGAGAAACTATCTGCTTTACATGCCGAGTACACGGGAGACCATGGCGCTGGTCATAAGCTCCACCCGTTGCCAGGTGTCAAGAATAGTCGGTGGACGCAGGCTGCTCAAGCTGCGTTAGTGTCACGCATGAAGGGTGCCGACAAGAACAACAGACAAAGCATTACCTTTGCCATGGGAATGAGCAGCGGTGCAGGAAATGTGTATGTGACAACTCGTGGAGCACTGCGCGATCGTTACTTGGTTCGCTGGATGGCCATGATGCATGAAATGGACCCCAAGGGCTACGCATCAATGCTGTTTGATACGATCGAACGTATCGTTGAAGGCAAACGCGAAGAATGTGTCCCATGGATCGACAGCCAAGATGAACAGGTACATCCCCTAAGCACACTACTAAACTTTGACTAATAACCCATGTTCAAATTGGATATAGAAAGCAACAACACAGCGCTTTGAAGAGTTTGTCGGGTATATTTTAAAGCTCAAGGCCTCTGGATTAGCATTCTCTGCTCTTGACGAGGTCTTGCAACGCTGGCTTGACAAGTCTTACGACGAAAGTGAACAACAAGGACTGCTTCGCAAAAAGGAACCTGCGGATATACGCAATTTGGCGAAATTGTGCTCCTCTAAGGTGACTGTTTCCAAATCGCCAGCAGCCGCTGGCAAGTCTGCAGCAACAGCGGCAGCGGGCGACCCAAGCCATGCTTTTGATGTGATCACGGCGCTTTTTGCAGCAGGCGATACAGGAAGTGTCGAGCGTGGTATGCGATGGCTGGCGCTGGTCATGCATGCAGGCACCGGTATTCCCCCGGCCTCTGTTGCGAAAATTGCCCGCCACTTGGTGCTTGCGCGTGCATCAATCACCACTACTGCCAAGTTTGTGGAACTGCTCTGGTTCCAGAGTGTCAACATCCTGAATGTGAGCACGTCGCGTGCCGTCATCATCGATGCTGTCGGGTACCTGAACGAAATTGCATTGGATTCGTTGCACGCCAAAGAGAATGACCAAGACTTATCCATGGAGCGCCTTGCCAGGTATTCATAAAAATAAGGAGACAAATGGCTGGTTGCTTTCATGCATAAAAAAAACTAACGTTCATGCGAGCAGTGCACAGAAGTTTATAAAGTACAGCGCTGCATTAACATGCTTTGCATACAATTGCCCGCTCGGAAACATTGCAGAACTTGACATTGTACCCTATTTTGGAGACCACGTGGCACAATTAACGCAAGTTTCTTTTCCGGTGCCCAGTTGTGCTGGGTATGAGATCATAAACCATGCATCTAACCCTGCCTTACTATTTTTTGTTAATTCTACAGACACAACAAACGCGCATCCACCCATGTCGACAACACATTACCGATGCAAGTTGACGAAAACACGCCGGTTATCCGCTGCATGCTGCTGTATCTCCGATTCGATCAACTGAATATCCGTGCGGATGTGCTCAAGATGTTCTACGCACTTATCCATTGGGGATTCGGCATCAGCAACAAATCAGACCTTATCAGTCAGGCGACTCCTGCCTTGACTTCAGCGTAAGTCCCCGTGTCTCTTTTCCGACTCTCCCTGAACTGTACACACAAGGCAGTGGAATTCACAGAACTTCATGACTATAGTATTTGGGAAACTCTGCCACCGTCGTACGACAGCTTGAGTGACATCAGCTTGAGCTTGCTCATGAAACTGATGAGCACTGATGTGCGTCATTTCCACGCTTGTGTATACAAAATATTTGAAGATTCAAACTGGGAAATCCGATACCAAGGTCTGGATAACCTCTATGGTTTATTTACAAAGATGGATGCTGCTTTTCAAACAAAATGGCTGCCCATGCTATCGTACCTCGGGCCTGTCTTTAGCTATTTTGTTGGAAGTCTATGGGACAAGGAGGAATATGTCCGAGCTAAGGCCTTTGCGTTAATCCGTACGTTTGGCACACTACATCTGCGTTCGGCGTTTCGATGCTGGGAAGCTTATTTCCTAACCGCCACTGACCGACAAAGGACCTCAGTTATCAAGCTGATGATTCAGTTGAATGCCCTCTTCCCCGATTGGCAGGTGATCCAGTGGGAGTCTTTGCTGGAGGCACTGGAAGCCAAACAAAACGACAAGGCCGATACCCAATCTTTCGATATCCTAGAACGCTATATGCGCACATCATCATCCAACGCGCGCCATCATGACGACAATGATGGCAACCGTAACTCCAACACAGAGAGCGAGATCGAGCAAGAAAACGAGGATATGTTAACCATTGAAATCGAGAACGCGCGCGTACTGATGCTGACACTTGCACTGCAAATGTTGGGCAGCAATTTGCCGGTTGATACCGTCCAAATTTCCCGGTTAAAATACATTCTTGTCGACTGTATGGGCTTCAACAATTGTCGACGCTATGTCACCTCGGGCGAATGGGTTGTGACCTTTGGCAGCATGACGTATGATCCTGCCAATCCGCTTCAGAACTCCTTCTTGATTGCCGCATCACGAGGACTCAAAAAGATAATGGATAGTTTTGCACCACTTCCTGCTGAAACTGTTGCATCTATGGCTCCCGATGTATTGGAACAGAATCGGGTCGAGCTTGCAGAAAACAGTAGCCCAGGTGTGCATTTTATCGACGTAGTGCTCAAACTGTTCAACTCGGGCGTGGATGTCACTTCACTCAACCACATGATGCTTAAAATATGGCTTGAAACAATTTTGATTGTCATGTACAAGGTAAGAAATGCAATTCGAAAAAGAGAGAGGGAACCTAAGAAGCAATACGTTGGTAAACATACTCATTGTATACTGTATAGCACAATATCCTTGAACGCGAGTTCGAGCACAGCATTGTTAATTGCATGAAGCAGATTATCGAGCTGCTTACCAAGGAAATCAGTGAAGAAAATAAGCTCTTGATTCTAGAGATTCTTAAGTGTCTGCTGCGACGATCAGATCACCTGACAGCCATGGTCCTGTCAAAACAGATCATGGCGTTGGGTAAACTCATGACCAAGCTTGGAAACAAAATGAGTGAGCCGGTTTTCCTGAAAGCAAAGGAGTTCTTAAAAAGCGCTTTTCTTCGATTTGCTGTCGCCGGTTTGTTTGTACTCATGTTCAAGGTAAAGACAAGCACAACGATGCCCATCGCTCTCCACGCTGTATTGACCTTTATCTTTTGAAATAGAATCAAACGGTATCGGACTCCAATAACCGAGATGTGGACTTGTTCTTTGTGTTACGGACCGTGATCGATCCAGAAGATGTCGTTCCTGATGAAGATATGCACGAAATCGTATATCTACGCGATCAACCTGTGCGCGATGTGCTGGACAAACTGATGAAGCAGCAGATGGAGCGCAAGGCATTTTCGACTGTTCTCCACAACATGTGTCGCTATGTAGAAACCGTGCATTCGCATCCATATTCTGAATCTATCTTGAATGGTAACCCTCTTGTTTTGTGTTTAGTTATAATGTACACGAGCTAATGCTAACGTTCTCTTTATTTCAGATTATGCCATATTTTTAAATACGCTCACCAAGCACACAGCCGGCTGGCGGAGGCCCGAATGGGATATAAACCCGTTGTTTACAATGTCAGCCATACTCTTAAAAGAACATCCCTATCACTACGCAGTAAGTTGAAATAACAGTAGAGATGGAGGCAAGCCAATATTAGTCGTTAACGAAAGATGAAAACATATAGATCCTATTACCGCAAATCCAAAATTTGTTCCGACATGGTCTGCAACACTGCACAATCAATGTCGAGAACGTCGTCGAGCTGCTGGCATCATACACTGTACTTATTAGCATTCCCGGTGCCTCACCCGACAATGTATTTGTACAAATCATTACCGAAGAAGTCAAGAACGGCCTGAACTCTCGAACAAAGTTACACAAGGACACAATGCTTGTTCTACTAGAGCTCATCCTTTGGGACAGCAAGCCAGATCACGAGGGATGGTTTGCTCAGGTCGAGCAAGCACTTCCAGGCGAGCATCCTACTGCAACAGCCAGCGGAGGCTATCGCCGGGTGCGATACTTTGATGCAAGTTTGCCATCCTTACTAGAACCCCTCGGCTTTTTTCTCAAACTGCCGCCAGCATCACAGCAATTTACGAAAAAGGATTTCAAGACGTACAACACTGTCGCTGAGCTGCTGGTCAACTTGTGCGTTGAAGACAACAGTAACTTGTACCGTATATTTGGAATGCAAAAGCTGGACGAGACACGTCACTGCCTACGGTTTCTCAGTTGGTTCCTTTTGGCAATACTGCGCGAACCTAGTACATCGCTGCTACTGGTCGAGTTTGAGGATACGATTATAGAGCTCCTCGTGCAGACGTTCAACTCGATCCCTATAGACTTTGATACCCCTGATTTAAACTTTTCCTATAGTCCCGCAGGCGAATCGCTCGTTTTGAGCTTCTTGATTGTCAAGGCATGGGTGCTGCTGATTCTACGCTGGGAGGATAACCGCCCAACATTTTGGATGTCTCTATGGCCTGCCTTACGACGGCTGCTAAGTCGGATCGACCCGGAAACACTGTCTGTTGCCGGAAATATCGGATTGTCAGTCTGGAATTTGCTCCTGTCGCTGTTGCAATTCCTATTTGCATGCCGCAGCCCTGTTATCATGGTGAATTCTTATGAATGGAACTCGGTCTTGGACATGTTGCTTGGTCAGGTACAACAATAATTTGTAGTAAAGTGTTGTGGGACATGCTCAAAGTTTAATTAAACCTTGTCAACGATATGATGATTTTCTAGATCTCACAGCACAGCAACGGCCAGGCAGCACAAGAGCTTATGACCCTGAATGAATTTCGAAATCAGGTCCAACATATCCAGCGCATGTTTGTTACCCCACCGGTGCAAGTGCCATTAGCTACGCTGAATGATCAGCTATTTCTTGAGCTACGAGATGTCATGCGGCTTCAGGCAGAAACAATCATGTTCCAAAGCAGTAAAGCGTTTTCAAGTACAGCCAATGGCATGTAACAATAAAGGACCCCAATTTCTCCTTTTACAGTAAAAATATACTTTGAAAAAATTGATACATCGAAGCGGCGACGATCCCTTATTTCGCCAATTATCATATAATAGAAACACCACCTCATACACATATACGGCCCCGACATGGCCTCCATACAATCCTTAAAACGACGCACAATCCTTCGCTTAGTTGCTCTTTTATCATTCCTTTTACTATGTAGTTATATAGTCTGGTCATACATTCCACTCAGTCGAATGTCGGGTCACACATCCCCCCTTACCGTCGATGCATGGCCGACATACGAAAACCCAACACCTCTTCAACAACCTCATGACAAATTCAGTGCGGCCTATGTAACGCTGACCAAAGGCGACTCGGGATCACTTGCCAATTTACGCATGACCATGCGCCAAATTCAATATGCTGTTAACGAGAAACGCAGCTATCCATACATCATCTTTTCCGACGAGGAATTAAGCGACGAATTTAAACATCTTGCTAGCATCATGACACCCAATGCCGACGTTGCCTTTTACGATAAACTAGGCCCGGAATTCTACGGGTATGCCAATTCAACAGACCGGGAACGAGCGCTGGAAGCCCGGATACGCATGAATGAAACTATTTTTGGTGACAGCGAAGACTATCGCTTTTCATCACGGTTCATGGCCGGTCTCTTGTTTCGCCACCCTGCATTAAACGACCTGGATTACATATGGCGCTTTGAAGTCGGCACAGAATACGTTTGCCCCATCAGCTTTGATCCGTTCGACTTTATGAAGGATGCAGGCAAAAAGGTGTCATTTTCGATTACCTTGTACGAGTACGAAGAAACGATCCCGTCTTTGTTTGCCAATGTCATGAAATTCGCCGCAGAAAATCCAGATATTGTGCAGTCGACGGATAATCCAAAAAGCTTATGGGATTTTGTGATTGATACGGATACCCAGGGGTACAACAAATGCCATCTTTGGAACAATTTCCAGGTATAGATATTAAAGATCTGGATTACGTCTTGGCGATGAAATTGAAAATGGTACTCACTTAAGCTTTAAATACCGAATACTAGATTGCAGATATGCAATTTTTCCGTGGCGAGCTTTATCAACGTTATTTTGATTTCATTGACGAGTCTAATGGCATCTTTTATGAACGATGGTAAAGAGCAGCAGTGTTTCGGGTTAGAGATATGGAGGGGGGAGAGGCTGATATGCTAAGACAGTTTGTTCTAATATACATCTTTTGATTTTATGTTTAGGGGTGATCCCGTCATCCAGACATTGGGCATAGTACTTTTCCTGGAGAAAAGCGATATCCAATTCTGGGAGAACATTGGCTACCGTGTCGCCAATTACTTTACGCATTGTCCATCCAATAAGGCCATATACAAGCAATGCAGCTGTCGTCCGTCACAAAACTTCGACTATGATGGATACAGCTGTCTCAGACAATTCCTCAGTAGTGGTAATGAAGTTTATAGTATTACAGCATAATAGATCCTTTTGCATTCAGTGAAGTTAAGGTTTAGGCCAGAATGTTTGAAATGGGGGGTGTTGCAAATTGCTGCGATTGCAAACTACAAAGGCGTATGTGTATCTATTGCCCAACTTAATAGGACATGGAAAGCTCGATGCAATCATGATCAGGACCGTCGCATCTTCTATATATATCGGACACATGTATATGCATAAGGGGTTTATGGTTTGAAGAGGAAAAGGAGAGTTTGGATGATTAAATGAAGCGATTTGCTTCTATGTTCTTTCAAGCTTATATTGTTCTTTAAGCTTTCAAAGCATTGTCCATTTTGTCCATCACTTGCCCTTCTTGCTGCTGCTGTAGTTGGCTGAACGATTGTATTAAGAAGAGGAAAGCGAAAGTAGTCTGGCATTGATTTACGGCATCTATTTGACCTGCAAGGATTTATAATATTAGTGCTGCTCAAACTTAACAAATCAATCGTAGAAACACTAAATATCTAATTTGTTGCAGCAGAAGTAATATAGTAAATGACGATGATGATAATAGTGAGGAACAGAAGAATGCACATCCCTCTGCGACAGCAGTAAGGCAAACATGCTGTTTAACTGCAGCGGTCGTCACCGGGACATTTATTCTTGGCAGTAATCGATCTAACTTGTATTTGTCCCGCCATTGATCACACCAAAGATAACGCGGGCAGTGACAACAGTATATGTAACGTGGCGAAGGTTGTTACGTTGGTATATTCAAACAGCTGTGTTACCATCAGCTTCTTTCTTTCTGTGGAGGAGTAAAAAAATTCACCCGCTCGAAAAAGTTCTCAGTAGGCAAGCTGTTGTCTCCAAATTCCCAATTGAAGCATAGTCTTCGCCGTCGTTATCGGCAACGATTACAGCATGATCATCTTTCTCATACATAAAAGAAAACAAAAAAACCTGTATGTGCGTATCTACATTTTTTTGCAGTACGATCAGTACGACTTTGCTTTTCGCGCTAGTGCAAAGGGAGGATACACAACCAGCATCTGCTTGGATTGTGCACAGTCGGCTCGTAGTTACTTGTTAGAACATCACAGTACTTTCCATGTATCAATGATGCTATATTCCACATTGCCCTCCCCACCAAACTTATTCTATTGTATTTCCCTCCCTACCTAGTCGATACGACTAACTGTAGATATAAAACAAACTTTCTTATTATTACGAATGATCTGTACCAACTTCATTTCAATACGTTTCTTTAAATAAATATCAACTCAATGTACTTTGTGAATACCAAATTGAATTAACCCGTATCACTATTAAAATACTTCTGGACTTTTCTTTCTTTTCTCCTTATACGCTTTTCCTTTTTCGCTCTCGCATGTTACAGCGTTGGATTTTAAGTTTCTTCTACTATATAGTTTATAAACCAATCACTTGTGAAATAATTCCAAGTTTTTAATGTGTCACAGTACGAAATCAAGATACATTTGTTATGAGTAAGAAAGTGATGATCATATATGATCTTATTACATGAAACTAAGATCACTTTGTTTTAATCATAAGAGTATTACTAATAAGCAGTGAAGCGATGGTATAAATGATGGATGATGATGGTCATAATAGATGGATAGTGCAAAGAAGATGATAAATATGCTGTTAGATAAAAAAAATACTGCAGTGTAAAGATTAAATGACATCTTCAATAAATGTTGTGTGTGTCTGGAGAGAGAGAGAGAAAATGCCCAACGGGTGAGTTTATTCACTTGCTTTTTCATGCTTTTCACATCCTCTTCATTTGTAACAGACGATATACAGACTTGCAGATCGTTGAACTCATTGACCTCATACAAAATGTAACTTTGAATGCTGCTGAAGCTTCTCGCATACTTCGAATTCCAGAAAGGACTGCTCAGCGATATTTTGCACGATTCCGAGATGGAGAAGCCTATTTGCCAAATCAACTTAAAAAACCTGGACGACCACATCCTGTATTAACAAATGAACACTCCTTGTTCTTACAAGGTCTATATGACATGAATCCTTCGGGGACACTCAGCAAGCTCAAGATCAGCTATGGGAACGCTTTACAGTGGCGATCACTTAAAGTGGTCTTCAAAAACATCTGGTGAAATGCTGCGGTCTCACTATGAGAAAGCTCGAAAAAGTCACGGCTTACCGGAACTCGCCAGAAACCATCAAGAAAAGAATGAATTGGGCACTTAATGTGGAGAAGGAGAACATCGAATACGGGAAATGTGTCTTTATTGACGAAGCAGGATTTAATTTACACTTACGAAGAACATTTGGTCGGTCAAAAAAGGGGCCAACCTGCCAAAGAAGTGGTTCCAACAACCGAGTTGCGAACATTTCAATATTAGGTGCCATTGCGGAAGAAGGGGTTGTAAATGTTTCGCTAAGAAAGCCTCAAGCAGTTACTACATCAAAGAAGAGGAAATTGCAAGATGGCGAAGAAGTTTAGTCAGCAAAGTTGGGACCACGAGCGCATCATTTTTGTCAATTTAGAGACTGTTATGAATGTTCTAGAAGAAAACGATATGCGTGGACGAATCTTTATAATGGATAATGCCAGCATTCATCATAGTACTATTGTCAAGGATACCATTGAAAATCGTGGATTCCGTATACTATATCTACCTCCATACTCACCAGTGCTGAACCCGATAGAGGAATTTTGGTCAAAACTAAAGGCCCGTGTCAAGTGAGAGATCCTAACTACAAGTAACCCTTTAACACCTCGAATTATCCAGTCAGTATACTTGGTTACTGCTAGAGACTGCCAAGGATGGATACGACATGCAAAGTCTTATTTTCCACGTTGTATTCTTGAAGAACCGATGTTATAGTTTCTACTGCTGTTATTTATTGTTTTCATACCGTCATACTTTTAAAACAATTATTTGTTCCTTTATTATTATATAAAATGATAATTTTTTTTTCACTGGGTTGTCAGCCGCCAAATAAAAAACAATGAACGCCATACTAATAATATGGAGATGCCAAATCATAAAATGCTTGGCGCCACACCAAAAATTTTTGCCGCCAGGTTGAAAAAAATAAGCCGCCTAAAACAAGGAAAAACCTTGTATAACTCGTAAAAATTATCTTTCCCTTTTATCGGACCTCTGTGACACGAACGTCATGGAAGTTTTGCATCACCTTAAAATGGAATTCGAAGCCAAAAATATCTACCTCACATGAGTGGAAAAGTATAAATACAACCCATCTGTTGTGCACATCACCCGTTTTTGGCACCTTTTTCTTCTTCTTCTCGTTCTTAATAGTTGACTTTCTCCAATGGTCTTGCGAACGTTTGCTGCTTTGTTGCTAGTAGTACTGCTGATAAGCTCGGCAACAACATTGGCCTTCTCCTTTGATGATGATTCGAGAAGCAACAGCAATCCAAGTACGACCTCTGCTGCCGCTATCAGCACCAGCATGAGACGACGACCTCGCCAATTCCGCATGGATATCTACTCGCGTCCTAATCACAAAGGCACAGTTCAACACGTAGGGACGAGCAATGGAGCCAGTACACCATGCTGGAATTTACAATCAAAACATATCGGCTCGTTTGATGTCAATGATCCTATGGTGAAAATATCCTTCTATCGCGTAAGTAGCAGTATGCACATATTGTTCCGAGCTATGCTGGACCAGATAGCGTTGAAAAAGAATCCATGTTATCATTAAACTCACAAGCTGCCTTAATTATACATTTAGTCTGCCGATTGCCTTGGTGCCCCATCTCAAGTTTTCCGTGGCTCGCTCGATCAAAGAAAGCATAGCAATGTGCAGCTACGCGCCAGATCCGTTTCGATAAAGAAACTACGCCCCATCCTATTATCCGAGACTATATCTACTTCTAAGACCACTGTTTCCTCTCATCATTTATAAACCTACCCATATGTACATATCCCGTTATCTAATACCTTTTTCTGTCACAGTAATACTATGCAATAAAAAACAAGCATCTTTTGTACATACATTATGACTTTTACGTGGTCCAAGAATGAGCGTGGATTTTCATGCTATGAGCATAGCCACTTTCCAGTCCAGCACTTTGTGTGTATATAAAGTCACATTGAGATACTATGTATAAGCCCATGCGCCGCAGTTCATGTTGGCTTGGACGAAGGCTGGGGGCGCAGCTTCTGCCCTGAATAAATATTTTTGCCACATCCGAGTGTTATTCCGACAACACCACACCAGTTTAGACTTTCCTCATTGGTCGCTTCTTCTGGAACGGTTGACCTGGGAACAGCAAAGAAGATTCGCGATAGCTTTATAAATAGACGACCGCGGGAAAAGCTTCTTTACTTTTATATACTGCCCCGACTCTATCTCTTGTTTAAGATGATACAATCGAGATGGTGCAGCGGCCTTTTTTTAACCCATCCATCGGAATAATTGTACCTCGGTCCAAGGGTTGCATAAGCTAGCTCTGAAGCATCTTGTTCACATTGCATTGATGAAGGGACACAGTCGTATTTATATTTAGTTAGTAAAGCGCGTTGCAATTGCATTATATGTATAGCTGTACACACGCGTTTCAAGCATTCTACCAGCGATGCAACGCTGCGGTATACACCCAGCCAGCACCTTCTTTTTCTAGGCTCTGTCAAATTAGAGGCTGATGCGCGGTTACATACAATACCATGAAAACCTAGCGAGAGAAGAGGTCCACTTTGCTTCATTATAGTCCAAAGCCGAATTGACCTAAAACTTTAAATTTTGTTCTCGTCTGCCCATGCGAAAACAAAGGAGTTGGTGTGCATAGTGCCAAGTTAGTAATCAGCCCAGGTATAAATTAGCTATCATGTAAACCATCTTAAATGAAACAAGGGTACACTATATTTCTCAAGTATGATATCTAGTCACCCAAAAATGGATGGCTAAAATTTATCGATTTAACCTTAGAAAGGCCTTGCCATGTCTGTGACCCATATTCTTATGTGCTGTGCTTGACGAGGTACTGTAGGCTACACAGCTCAGCTTATTGATTCTTCAATCACACAGGAAACCCATTGTTTTGAGAAAGGATGGTGTAGGTTACTTTGGTCTGGCCATCGCATGTTCCCGAGTGAGGTACTACTTGCACGTAACGATGCTAACGCGACGTGCGGTTTTGATGGCTTTTAAGTCGCTGGCAGGATTGTCTCCCTCTGCATGGATGGTGCTGTTGGTATGCTTATTCGCGTGGTAATAAAGAGTGCCCAGTACTGATTACGTTAGCTCGCTTTTTGGATTTCAGATCGTACACAAGTTGCAATGCTACTGTTTTTCGACAAAAGATGGTATCGGCCACCTTCATCTGGCGGCCATCACATGTTTCTAAGTGAGGAAATGCTTGCTCGTGTTTTTGAAATGAATTTATAAGTATATTATACTATACCTTTAGATCATGAAAGAAGTTGCACTTACACAGCGGAGGCTATGAACGACCCCATCAAATTGGACACTCAGTGCGTGTGAACCTTTATACAGTGCTTTTTAATAATAAGGAGCATTTGCGTGTGAGAAATTGGAGCATGATTTACATTTTCTATAGTCATTACTTGAAGACATTGTTAGCAACCACATTGCTATGCTCCCGTGCCTGTATAATATTAGAGGTACCTCTTTTATCCTTCTTAATGATACATACTTTCATAGCAGTACCACATCGCGAGCAGTTCGCTCGGGTGATGTTTTATTGACCAGGAAACATTTTGATCAGCAAAAATCTGTCATTTTTCTTAAATCTCAAAAATCTGAAACTTAGAGAAGGATACCTGTACAATGCTATTACTGTATAAGCACACTACTTATTGGACTTCACGTACATACTGTAGATTATACATTTTCAAAAAACTGTTATACTATATTTGTTGACTTTGAAAGAAGAAACGATGAACAAGTATGGATGATATGAATATATGTATATATAATGTACTGTAAGTGTTTAAAGGGTTGTGGATATGTCTTGTGTTGTTGTTGGGTTGCAAATATGAAGAAAATGAGAGATAATGGGGTATGCATATCATCTGGTGCGGGAAGATTTTTTTGTATGATTTTACGTGTTTTGTCTAACAATAAAGTGTGTGTTTAAATAGATTGAATAATAGTTGTTGTTGAATGGTGTAAGATGTGATGAATAAAATATACGTTTGAGGGAAAAGAGAGAGAGAGAGAGAGAGAGAGGGTATTTGATACATTGTCATTAGAAATAAAATCATTATTTTGTAGAAAATCGTCGTCCAGAAACGCGTGGTGGTAACGACGATCTGTCAAACGGCGGTGGTTTTTTGCTAGTTTTACGCGTTCGCACAACACGAGTTGAGGTCGAGCGACTGTTGGCCATCAGTGGCGACGCCGGCTGAAGCATGGGTGCAGTGAAACTGCGTGCTGTATGATCCACCGAGGTTCGTCTTCTACGAGCTGCTACAGCAACTGCTGCAGGGTTTAAAGGTGAAGAAGGAGTCGGCGGTGGCTGCAACGGGAATGCGAAATCTTGCGGCGAATGATGATGCATATCTGGCCAGTCAAGCCCCGATGGACTAACGGCCAGGAGACTGGTGCTATCTTCGCTTTGAATCGATTGAAGCATCTTGTGTGCCCGAAGCGATACAGAGTCGGATTGTGGGGCACCATTCACCAGGCTGCTGGAACGTTGTCGATGCTTACGCTGTTCATTGCGTCGTCGGCTTGCCTTGTTAGCGCCGGTAGTCACCATACGCAACTTCTTCATCAAACCATCCATGATAGCATTCTCGCCATTCTCACCACCTGCATCTGTACAGAATCAATTATGGCGTCGAGTCAATAAAAGACGCAATATCAGAAAGTGATTAGTGTAAATACTTACAGTTACTAATGTCAACACCTTTCCGTGCCGTCGATCCACTACGAGCACGCGTTCTTCGCTCATGCTCGCGTTTCTTTTGCTTTTCAAGACGTTCCTTCTTTTGTCGTACAACCTTCACATCACCAGCACAGCGCTATTTTAACATAGACATATCAGTAACAAAACAAAAAGATAAGGACAGATAATGTAAAATCTTACCTCCCAGCTCGACGTAAACTTTTTGAAGATGCCAAAAAACTCGTCTGGATGCATCTTGACAGGATCCTCGCCGTAATATTTGACTACCTTATCGTACCATTCGTTCATCTTGTTACGCAAAAGATATAACCGTTTAAATTCACCATAGGCTTGCTCGTGAAATTCACGCATGACTGGTCCAAAGCGGTCCGTTGATTCGTCCGTGCCCTCGGGATAGTACTCCTTGAGTTCCTCTTCAATTTGGGTCAATGAAGTCTCGAGACTGCGAAACTCGTTGATCATTTCAGCCTTCGATACTTTGCATGCTTCGCCGCACTCTTCCAGCTCTTCCAAGAAATTGAGCATATCGGAAAAGTTGTCCTCGACGGTTTCCACAAGGAAATGGAGAAAAGTACTGCTGCTGCTCGTTCCTTTGGTATCGACAAGCTATACATTTTTAACAGGTTACGGAGGAGGATTCATAACGAACTCATACTCTTCTCCTGACGTATACTAATAGTAACAAGTACCTTGTTGATGCTGCCGATCTTGATACCAAAGGCGCCACCGCGGTACGTGTTGCCATTCAAAAAGTTTCCCAGCAATAAAATCAAATGTAATAGCTCGCCAAAAGCCTTTGCATTCTTTAGCGAGAGCGAAGCGTCAAAAATGGCCGTCATTTGCTTATGCAGCTGATGGTACCGATCGCGGAATGTAGTCCGGAAAAGCATGCCCTCGACTCGTTCCTTGAAGCGCTTGATATCCATGACTTCGAGACAAAATTGATCTGGCATAGAGAGCTCCATCCGTTCTTTCTTTGACGCAGTTGATACATATGGCGCCAATTTGCCCATTTCTTCCGCTGTTGGTGCGTACTTGATTAGGTTTGAGAGCACCTGTTCGTCGTCAAAGCAGGGATCCATTGCTTTTAACCGTGCAGCAATCTCATTGAACGGTACCTTGCGTGTGATACTCGTCAAAAAGATATCTATAATTCGCAAAAAGAATGGTTAAGATCCCGCTAAATGGCTGTCCATTAGCTTTGGAGAAGTTACTCACTCAAGTTATAAGCCTTGCGTGGCTCGAGTGCATAAACTTTTTCCTTGTTACGTTTGACCTTCAACTCCATGGCTGGCCTTTGCTCAAACATTTTTTCGATATCGTCAAAAATGCCCGCGCGTGCAAGCTGGAACTCGATCGAAGTGTCAGTACTTTCCTTGGGCGTACTGATGGATTTTTCCAACTGACTCCAGATGGTCTCATTAATGTTAAGTGTGTTCATTTTTTCCCATTCAACAAACTTGAGACGTCGCTTTGGTTGGAATGCGCTGGCTTTGCGTCGGATGTTGCTGAGCATAAGCGGCGGTGGAGGTGCAGCACGGTTACCGCCTGTGGATGTGGACGCAGTAGGCGCAGGTAGAGGCGGAGGCGGAGGCGGAGAGCCAGGTGTAATTGAAATCGCAGGTGGCGGGGGCGGGACCGGTGGAGGTGGAGGTGGTGGCGGAGGAGGAGGAGGTGGTGGTGGTGGTGGTGGTGGCGGAGGCTCCTTTTCAGCTTCTCCTACTGCAATGGAGGCGACTTCTTTACCGGTATCAGCATTTCTATTGTTGCTGTCGGTTAGTTTATCTTCTTTGTGCGTTTCTGTCTTTGTTGGCGAGGTAGGGTCGTCGTTCAAGTCTTCGGTGCTACTCATTGCAACTGAAAATGATGAAAAGATGCTGCTGGCTCTGTTGGATCTTTTGCTCGTGATACTACTTGTATCATCTCCAGCAACAATTGTGGTTGGCGTGCCCTGCGCTGAGCCAGAATCGTCGGATAGGTGATCCCTGATTTTTCGTAAGAACGTGTCCTGCTGGCTGGACCGCTTGACAAACGATGTTACGCGTGAGCCCAAACGGGAGCGGAACGATTGCTTGAATGGGCTACTTTCTTCTTGTGGCGACCGTTCCTCTGCCTGCTTTGATTAGGATAACCGACATATCAAATGAGAAAGGAAGTTTTGTTATTTTGATATTGATCGAGTATACTTACCATCTGCAGCTTTTGTCGTGCCGTCTGTGCCTCCCAGTTCTTGATATCTGCGTCGCTGCTGTGATGTAACTTCCGGCTATTGCGATGTGCACGCCGTTTGTCCGTAGGTGCACCATACTCGGTCATTTGTCGCAACGCATCGTACAATCGTCGGTTCTGTGCATCGATTACTTCAACACTCTGCTGATACTCGAGTTCCAAATCGTTCAGCTGTTGCTGTAGCATGTTATTTGCTTGGTCTGCAACTTGAAGCGTTTTTTCAAGGTATGCAATTCTTGATTTGAGGTCTTCTGGTTCTGGCTCTAGTTTACAATTTTAAAGTAAGCACCTCAGAGAACCATGGAAACCCGTTCATTAGTTTGATTTTTGTGTGACTTACCGCTTTCGATAGTAGCTAACGAGTGGGAAGTGGTCAAGGTATTAGGAGGCGTAACGTGGTGATCTACATCACTGAGTGCTTGGTCGAATTTATTCTCTTCGGCAAATTTGGAAATAAGCGTATCAACGGTATATCCATACGGGTTGTCGTATACAATTCCATCGCCATCGCCCCCTTGTTGAAGGATAATTCGACTGATGACAGATTCCAAGATACGGTAACAATTCTCTCTATGATATCAAGTTCAATAACATTAATAACATGTATTAGATAGGTATTTGACAAAGTGGCAGTAATAGCAATGCAGTCGTTCAAAAAAAAAGTGTGCCGAAAACAAACACATATGCAAAACCCACCTCTGTTGTTCATCGCCAGGGACAAACATGAGATGCTGCAGGATACTCCGCAGCAGATCATACGACTCGGTTCCGGTGACGGATGAAAGAATGTTATCCAATATTTCTGGGGGATCAAGGACATCATTCAGCACCATATCACCATAGATCAAAGCAGCATCGTGCTCTTCTAAATCACGGAACTCGTCCATTTTGCGCTGCAAGATTTCGTCACCGAGAGGAGCCATTTTGCTCAGAATTCGCGTAAGGTCAGCTTGATACAACTGGTTGCGCAAAGCTACGCGAACGTCCAAGTCATCCACTGCTTCAGAATCCACAAGCGCATTGATAAGAAGCATGTTTGCAAGCTATTTAAAAGAAAAACGAGCGGCGAGATTTGAGTAACCATAGCACAAGTGCCGAAGAATAATGAAATGAATGAAGAAAGAGGGGGCAAACCTACGCCATATTCGATCAAATGCTCTTCCGGGTTCTCGGAAATCCCTGTATATTTGAGAAAGCCTTTGCTTGCCCCAACCATGGATCCCATCATCCCTCGAGCGTCTAGGACCTTTTCGAAAGGAGCCAGCCATGCATCAAACCGCCCTTGCCCATCGGCATGTTTTTTCAGCAGCTCCATTCCACGCAAAACCATCGAATGACCATTGGGGATGTCGCAATAGCATAAAAACGTAAGAGTATCGCATGCAAGCTGACGGACTGGAACGTATGGTGAAAGCAATGATAAAGTGATTTGATCGATATAACGAGGTTCCCGCAGGACTTCTTGGATGCCATGCTATAAATGTGGTTACACGAGTTCAGAAAATGAGGAGAGAGGGTGGTTATGATTTAACTCATTGCCAACATGGAATGTTCACTCACGACATTGTTGATCAAGCTCTTGAGACACTTGATCAGCTCTAATTCCAGTAGAAAATCTTTTTGTTTTCTATTACGACAAAACAAATATCAGTATCGAGGAATATGTTGCATGAAGGATATGGCTTACCTATCCGCCTTTTTGTGCAGCCTCGCCAGTTCACTAGCAATCAATCGCATTCCGTCGTCATCGATAAACCGCCTTATCCAACTATAATTGTGGAGCAGTTAGTATGCTAGCTTGGTAGACAGGTTGATAACGAGACAAATAATCCATAGTAACTTACCTTAGCGGTTTGCTCTCTAAGAGATTGACCAGTTCTTTCACCAGTGAAAGTCGATCCGTCTTTTTGTCAGGTCGTAGAAAGGGCTTAATGTACGATTTTGAAAAAGACGACAAAGTTGGCGTTCTTGGCGTAGCCGGTGTGCTTGGTTCCTTATCTTTGGTGAACGCTGTAGTAGTATCGGTGGTGGTAGTGGTATCCGTACTAACTGTTCTTGCATGCTTTACATTTCCTGGTTTGGATATCGTGTTATTGCTGGTATTGTTGTTGCCACTATTAATGTTATTGTTGTTACTGTTGCTGTTAAGATTGCGCGATGATCTTGCGCGATTGATATTTTGCCGTGCCTTGTTGTTGATGACGGATCCAAGCTGTTTCGTCAACTGATCTTCGTTATGCAGAATCCACTGCTTCTTGTCAAGCGATAGGTCGTTCATATCTCCGTCAGCCAGATTTAAATCAAGCCGCGTCTGGTTTTTCAGGTCAAAAGTCAGTTTTATGGTTGACTCATGGCACACATGCAATACCCCACGCCACACACAGACATGTCCCCTCCCTTACACATGAATTTAGTCAACGTACCGCTACTTCTTGAAACAGCTGTTCTATCTCTTGGTCATAGGATTCGGCTGCGTCAGGAGCATGGGGATGTACAAAATCATCGAGTGGTCGCGGGCTATCCAATGCACCCAGGCTATGACTCTCACAATCAAAATCTAGATACGTGTGTACAACATACATACATGCGTGCGCACACATGCATTGTCAGCCACCTAGTTTTCCATTTTCTTTGTCTACGTTTGAATCCAAGAAGAGTAAGCGAAAATTTACCAGGCAACGTGGCCCACTGTTCACGATGGGGTATACATGGCATAGAGTTATATGAACGAGTTAAGACTGGCGCAGCACGTTTTGCGAGAAAGCTGGTATAGTGTGTAGCTCGTGGCCTTTGCGCAGGAGTAGGAAGACGGTGGTGGACTTGCGGTAGCTGTTGTAGTTGCTGCTGTTGCTGCGATTGCTGTTGATCCCCTGAATTGCTGCACACGGGAGGTTGCGCGGAAGACAATAAGAGATTCTTTTGCCGATCATTGCTGGTACTGCTATAAATTTCGTCTTCTTCCTCAGTTTGTGCTTCGCTTTGTAGCTGTTGCTGTTTAGTTGACACGACGACAGGTGAAACAATTGAGTTGCGTCTGGAACTGTAATGCAGGCGAGCGTTGCTCTTTAAGCGCCGCTTTCCGCTAACGTTGGAAAACAGATCCATGTGGGCAGCACAATTGACAGATCGGCAAAAGTCAGTTCATGCGTCAACGCCAGGCAGCAAACAATATACAATTAAAGAAGAAGAATTAAGGGACTTGAAGGGGGGCAGTGAAAAGAAAGTAAAAGATCGGCAAACTGTTTCGAGATCCCACTCCTTCTTCCTGCTTCCCAGTCGTGCTGTCCTCACAACTCCGCAAAATGAGCAGGTTGATCGTGGCGAACACGAAGGCAAAAGGTACCAGGTAACACGTGACACATTTATTTATTTTTCTAACGGCACGCATATCAGATTGTGTGCATCCTGTGTTGCGTTCTTGGCCCTCTTTAAACATATCAGGGCCTTTTATTTGTGTATAAATGCGTTTGGCGGTTAGAATCGTATCTGGTAAAGTACGTTGGACTGATAGCCTATTATTGTTGTTGCGCAAGCTGCGATCGGTAACACTAGACAATCGCCACTTCTTGTTCTGTTCTTCTTTAATAGATTTATCTAAACTGGGGAAAGCACCATCATCGCCGCATTTTGGCGCACTGAGAACATTTACCATCATCAACCTTGGAATGTTGCACACTGTCTCATGCCTTTTGCTATTGGCAGGATGATGCCTCCTCATCCATTCGCATAGTGCATGCCATGCTCTTCGGACCCGGATCTGTGTAACACTGACATTCAACAATTGCCGAACCTTCCGTGCTTTGATATTGATCAAAACACAGCCGTTTTATTTTATATCGAAATAGTTAAGGCCAGTTAGTTACTAAAGAGAAAGTCGGTTTACCAATGCGTTTTTGACTGGCCCTGTTCGATATCCTTTATAAAACTGACTGAAAGGCAGCGTTGATGGACTTCTAGGCGATGCGGCTTACCCTCTGTCACCACGTCTTGTCACACCATACAAAGGGGAAGCACGACAGATCCCAGAAATCTTCAGTTCAATTGAAAGTTGTCGTATGTACGAGGTACGAACGTTGTATTATTACGATTTTATAAGTTTTCCACGTATTCCTGTGTGTTGAGCCATTTTTCTTTTGATCATCTTTTTGTATAGTGGAGGTTGAACGTACGGTCGGGTTTTTGAAGAACAGATGGCAAAGCTTAAAATGTCTACCGATCATGGTCAGAGGCAAACGTGATTATAAGCGATGCATGAACTGGATTGCTGTTTGTTGTCTGTTGCACAATTTTGTACAAAACGTGGAAGATGACGGCTCTTACTTGAGCGTCATTGGCGACCTCCAACGGCGCCGCAATCCAGATGCAGACATGCGCAACGTAAGAGAGCTTCGTCAGACCGGTGATGATGACTTTTGGGGTGATGATGATGAAGGTAACGCGTTCGTTGAAACAAGTAGACGTAACAGAGGTCAAATCACCCCAGGCGAAATGATGCGAGTGTACTTGAAGATAGCGCTTGGAATCACAGCTCGATAGGCCTTTTTGTTTTTTATTGTAACAAAAACAAAACAAACCTACTCTCTCTCTTCTTTCCCTCCAACACTACCTGCCCACACTACTCGCTTCTTCTGTACTCTCCCGTCTCTCCTCTCTTTCTTCTCTCCCTATGTACTCTCCCCCATTTTTTTGTTTCAACTCTTCTAATTCAATTGACAGTCGCAAACGCTTTATATATCGCGCGTCGTGTTCATAGTGCAGCCGTTGCATGCGTTCTTCATGTACCATTTCTTCGCGTCGAGTCTGGGCTCGCATTTTTTCGATCGCACGGTCCAACTGCTTTTGGCGAGTATTGTGTTTTTCAATGTGAAGACGCGAACGTTCAGACATGAAACTCTCAGTGAAATTCATACTAAAGAAAAGAAATCAATAAGAAACATCTGTATATCGTATAGCCCATCGAAATGAGCATTTCAAGAGCTTACGTTTCATCATCCACGTGAAGTCTAGGTCCCGAAGCTTCTTGCACTTCTTACACCAACAGCGTCATCGCCTCGCTGTGATTGATTATCGCTCTCGTCCACTAGCCCACTCAAGCTATCCATTTGGATTTGAGAATTGGCATCGATGCTGTCGCCGAATATATTCTCGCAATCCTCGCATAGAGGCCACTTAAATTTAACGTAGGCTTTTTTTTATACAGTTAGTATATACGATGCAATAGGCGTCCTTGTACATATAATACCGCAAAACTTGAATTTTGTTCCCAAAAAGAGCGGGAACTGAATTTTACTTAGAGTATTTCACCTGTGTGAGCATATGCAGCAGCCAAGCTTATACTTGTCCTTCTCGAGATTCAGTGATCTTCTTTGTCAAAACACCGATCCGCAACAACAGATAATTGCTACGCGTCAATGCAGTGCTAGGTTAACCACGATGCACGGCTACTTGGTGACAATGTGCTTAGATTAACCAGCAGCCCAATGGTGTCTTTTATTTTCCACAAGATCTTCCTTCTCTAATGCAAGCAAACTCCAATTGTCTGTTGTTGCGGATCGGTGTTTTTAACAAAGAAGATCGTAATATCTCGAGAAGGACAAGTTTAAGCTAGGCTGCTGCATATGCTCACATAAGTGAAATACTCTAAGTGAAATTCAGTTCCCGTTCTTTTTGGGAATAAAATTCAGGTTTTGCCCACCTTCACCATCAATAAATCACCAAGATGACGATGATTTCCAGACACCACCACCAGCAACAAGACGCCGAGGACGCCCTTCCACCCAGCAGCTCAACAGCTCATTACCAAATCTACCATGTCTACTATATGCTGACGACGTAGTAATTATCAGCTCAGACGACAACATACAACACCTACTGAATCTTTGTGAGCGACACAATCTCGATTCAGGATACCGTTAGAGCCCGACAAAATGTGTGATTGTACAACCAACAACACACTCAACTACCACATTTCTACTATATGATACACCAATCCCGAATGAAACCTCCTTTAAATATCTCGGGGTCCCCATCAACAACCGCGGTTATCTTGATGGACAACAACTTATCGAACACACTACCGCATCAGGAATTACCAGTATCATATGCGAATCCTCAACAACATAGGCCTCAAACCGTCTGGCCTATCGCGACTGTTAGCCAGCCGACTGTACGCTCAATCTATACGACCGAAACTGGAATACGGTCTAGCAATCACCCCTCTCACAAAAAAACAACAACAAGATACCCTAGAAAAGGCCCAGAATACATGCCTCCGTCTGATATATGGCGCACACCCCAACTCAGAAACGAAGATCATGCGTCACCTCGCCAACTTACCCAGTATGGCAGAACGCATAGCAATCCTACAAGCAAGATTCATACATCGGGCAACCTATCTCCCAGAGGACGCACTTCTTTCAACACTCCTACCAGCACTGGAGGCACAAGCGAGTAGCTACTGGAGCAAATTAAAGCGAAAATCACCAATCATCCTCCTATGCATTGAATCTTTCCCGGATCTCTCCCGTACGGCCCTGAAAAAACTCATCCGACAATACCTCAGAAACAATTTTGATACACTCCGTTTGTCGCCAACGCGAACCAAACTCCTCAAATGTTGTCGTCCAACACTTGGCATCGATTTGGTTATGTGGCTACCCATGACCCGCGAGGAAAGAAGTCGCTTATACGATGGCGGATTGGATGGCTGCCAGGTGGACGTAAGAAAGCCTGCAAAAGCTGTCCCGCGCCAGATTACACCAAACAACATGCCATATACTGTTTGCGCATGCATCAGCGGCAAAATGTATCTGCACAACTACACCAGGATCCCATCAACTGGATCTTCAACAAATTACCGAAATCAAAACCACGATCGTCCAACCGCATACAGTTTATCACCACAATTTGGTCAACACTCTGCCAAATTCTAGCGGAACGCACACCAACATCCAGATAGCAACCAACAACAATACGAAGTTCCAACACCTGGAAAAGTGTTGATAAATTGGCTCACTCCACCTCCTCCGCAAGCAATGTAGGTCAACATCTTATTTCTATTATCCCTCTTAGTATATTCGCCCTAGTATGTTTACTTCTAAAAAAAGGAGAGAAACCCATTCATATAACGTTATCCCTCGCAGGTCTTAAACTATACATATCCCACATCTAAATCTTCTCATCCAGCTAAACTAAAGCAGATACTCAGTCTTCTCATTCACAACCTTTTCCCTGTCCCACACACAGGGTTTTTACCCCGTCATACCCTCAGTCCTGTCTCGAGCAAAATGTCCCCCCAGACGCAGTGTTCAAAGAGACGTTAATAAACGTAAACAACATCCTATATTGATGTAGCACCCGTGTGATTTGTTTGTTGCACTGTATATTGGCAGCAGTAGCAACAGCACTTGTTCAATGCAGACAATGAGTTCTACGCTTCGCCCATTTTGCCCAGCTAAACCGATAACAAGGCACTCGCACGATTATCTATAGTCATTCTTGCTGATATTTCATGCTTCCTTGCTTCCTTTCATCTCCTAGCTTCACCTAATTATCTTCATCGTATCTCCGTAAAATTAACAAGCAGAAACCGGTAATATTATAACTATATATAGAGCAAGGGGTAAATCAAGATTTGCCCCCAAGATTACACGGATGTTTGTACTATAACACTGTAGGATCTACTGATGCACAATCCCTTGTTGGTTGCATGATTGCACTGGCTTATTCGTTATATATCCTGTCTGCTGTTGATTGGGTGTTGATACTGCCCTGGGCCGAAACCGATATTAAGAAGAGAGAAAAATACTATACTGTAAATTGTTACAATAGCCATCGCAACACCGTGCCTATTATAATTAAATATCCTATAGCGGGTCATAGTCAACGTATTACAATGCCTCTGGACTACTTGTGTCTCGAGCAATTGTTGAGTATGCGGACTTTATAGATTGGCAAACAACCTATTCGGGATCTTTTCAATACCTTAACAATTCACAAGATTAAAAATGACGATCGCGATTGGTTTCGAGGGGTCTGCCAACAAATTAGGTGTAGGCATAATCAGACACGAAAATGGCAAGGTTGACGTCTTATCCAACGTTCGTGATACTTACATTACACCTCCCGGCGAAGGCTTTTTACCGCGTGACACCGCCCAACACCACCGCGATTGTGTACTCAAAGTATTAAAGAAGGCCCTGAGCGATGCCAACCTCACACCCAAAGAGATTGACGTGATTTGTTTTACAAAGGGTAAAGGCGTTATATCTTTTCCTTTGAAATTTTGAAGTAGAAATACCTATTGACAAAATGGGTTTTCTTAACACCACATAGGTCCCGGCATGGGTGCACCACTTACTTCTACTGCGATTGTTGCACGCACGCTGTCACTCTTGTGGGAAAAGCCACTGGTTGGTGTAAACCACTGTGTAGGACGTATGTAATAATAGCAGAAAAAACATTTGGAAGAGAACTAGAACAGTTGACACATCTACTATATGTTTTGGAGAAAAGCTAACAACGATGTAATAATGTTGGAATAATACAGATATTGAGATGGGTCGAGAGGTGACAGGTGCTACAAACCCGGTCGTATTATACGTCAGTGGTGGAAACACACAAGTTATCGCATATTCACAGAACAGATACCGGATATTTGGTGAGACACTGGATATCGCTATTGGAAATTGTCTGGATCGTTTTGCTCGTATCCTGAACCTATCAAACGATCCAAGCCCCGGATACAACATTGAACAATACGCCAAAAAGTAAGAGCTACCTCCTTCTATTACTCAATATGTCTATAATTTTATTAAACATGTACTGAACTTTATAAAAGAGGCAAACAATTTATTCCGCTTCCTTATGCAGTCAAGGGCATGGATGTCTCGTTTTCCGGTATCTTGTCGCATATCGAACAAATTGCCAAGGAGCGACTGCCTACTGGCGAAATTACACCATATGACCTTTGCTTCTCATTACAAGAAACCTTATTTGCTATGCTGGTCGAAATCACTGAAAGAGCCATGGCTCACGTTGAATCGTCTGAAGTGCTTATTGTCGGTGGTGTCGGATGTAAGAATTTTTAATTATGCATGAAAGAAAAAGACGCTAGAGCAAGAGGTGCTAAGTTTTGATCCGGGTGTGTATATCTACTAGGTAACGTTCGATTACAAGAAATGATGGAGCAAATGGCAGCACAGCGGGATGCCACAGTGTGCGCAACAGATGAAAGGTGGGTTGAATCATCGACGTAGAGAGACAACACGCCAGCCCTATATCTAACTTTTTCCACTATATGTTATGTTCAGATTCTGCATCGACAACGGCATTATGATTGCCCATGCGGGATTGCTTGCTTATCATGATGGTTTCCGGACACCGTTGGAAGAGAGTACCTGCACACAACGTTTCCGGACTGATGAAGTATATGTATCATGGCGAGACTGAATTAAAAATCCCTTCTACGACTTGTTTTGCTATACAACTGTGGTGCTCTTGGTCTGACACAATAATTTCTTAATGCACATGTATATAAATGGGACGGAGGCAATGTGGAAAATATAATACTATCAATGGGCAAATGTAACAAAAAAAAGAGGAAGTTTATTAAACTGGAGCTGAGGTATCCACAAGGGTTGCCTCTTGCTGATTGTCTGCGGTATTGTCAGTCTATTAAGAAATAAAAGAAACCAATGTTGTCAGCAAGATACAGAAAAAAAAGAAAAAGATGATTTCTAATACCTTTTGTATTTCGTTAAACAGATTGGCGTATTCTGCTGGATCAGCTAAACTTTCGGCTGTTTTCTTGCGGTTCTTCTTTTCCAAATCTGCCTTCCACTGTTTTACAATGGATGACATGCTGTCGGGGGCATATGTTCTTGCAAGCATAGCAGCTTCTGGGAGACGGTCGGTTTTGATCAATAGCTGGATCATCTCGGGTATTGCGCCCAGCTCAAGCAATGCCGAGAAAGCAATGTTGTTTTTGCCTTGCTCCACTATTTCAACAACAAAAAACAGTTCTGTGAGTTTTTCTGCTGCTGCTAGCAGTGGTGAAGACTGATAACTATTACTTACACGCTTGATCTGCCACTTCCCGTAAACCGGCACGGTTTCCACTGGCAGTATAAAAGAGTAAAAGACCGCTGAGATCCTTTGCTTTTTGCAGACACTCTTCGGCCAAATCGAATTTCCAGTTTGTCAAGGCAACATCGCTCAGATTTCTCCATCGGGCTTCGTTATCAAGCTCACGTGCAATTTCTGTGGCAATGTCCAGTTTACCCAATTGGATAGCTAAATCGAACTTTTGTTCTGCGTCTGTTGATACCTCCAGCGCCAATTCCTTGAGGTCTTGTGCTTCCAAAAATCGTGCAATGCGGCCCCTTTGATCTGCTGGAATTTCAGGTAAAAGTGAAGCAGCAGATTCAAGGTCGCTGCGCAATACGGCTGTCTGATACTTGATCACGGTCAACGAGAGGGCATAGCTGTATACATTGACATCCTGGAATACATGATGCAAATAAAAAGTGTTTGTGGTTAAAAATAAAACAATACTTCATCGCTCGATTGACGTAACTTATTAAAACTTTCAATTGTTAAAAAGAACATACTCTGTCGGCAAGATAGACCAAGTTGTCTCGTGGAGAATAACCAAGGAGGTACATGGGTCTAAGTAAGGTATCAGATGGTATTAGTAGACACGATCTTCACAATAAAAGCTCTCGAGCATTACATACTTATCGAAATGGCTGATGGTATAGGTTTCGTTACCGACGACGTAGTTGAGGCGGTTAGCGCTGTTGGTGTAGATAAAGCAGTCGCCAGCCCAGGTACCTGTTCTTACACTAAAATATGGATCGTTTAGAAATATATGTATTGTCCACGTACGCATATACTGTATCTTGAAAACTCTTTGTACCTCTCAGTAATATCATTTTCGAATTCGAATGCTTCTTCGACACCTTCCAAACCAGGGTCGCCTCCACTTTCCACAAATTGAGCATAAGCTTGAGCATTGTATCGGAGAATGTAGAAGGATTCTTCACAGACAATAGCAACAAGGTCGCCAGCGTCGGACCAGAATACACTCTTTGCCTCTACATCGATGCGTCGGACAACAGCACCTGTCTCCCAGTCGTAAAAGTTCAAAAAGCCATTCGCCTTAACACCAAGCAAGGGACCGCCAAAGATGCCCTCAGCTGCATAGCCGAGCTTAGGAAGAAGACCGGTGCGTTCTCTAAAGTTGACAAAAATCTTGACACGCGAGGTGGACTCACGAACGGCATAACTATACATGGTATTTTTTGTGAGCTTGTAGTTACGGAAAAAGGAAGTAAGATATACGGGTCTTTAAAATAATTGAATACTCACGCCTTGGAATCAGCAGCCCAAGCAAATCCAATACCGCTGCCGAAACTCTTGTTTCTCCAGGCCAATGCTGTGTAGATGATGTATTCACCGTCACCGCACACAACGACAAAACGACCGTTTGGAGAGTGTTGGAGCGTTTGAGGATACACTTCGCAGCTACCCAGATCCTTGATTGGCAGGGCAAGACGTTCACCATCCTTGGCGCTCGCATCTATTTCGCCAAAAACAAGGCATTTAGCCGTTTTGCAATGATAGATTACTGAATTTATGTTTAAGAAATAGAGAACATAACCCACCAACGCCGGTCTTGACATTTGCCGTTTGAATTTCGGAATGCTTGGCCCAGATAATTTTGCCTGACGTATCCATCGAAACAGCAGGCTCTTCTCTACCCAGTTTGAGCACGACGGAACCTTCATCGAAACCCAGCGCCACATTGTTGCCACCCTTTTGGTACGCAATGCACCAACCGCGTTCCAAACCATAGTTCAAGCTATTCTCAAGACGGTACGTTTCCGAGTTCCAGATTCTGACAGTCCCATCTTCAGAACCAGACATGATGATAGGGAGTTCGGGATGAAACGAAGCAAAGTTGACGTTTTGGCTATGGCCTTCAAGCGTTTGAACGCAGTTTTTGTTTTGATAATCCCACACTTTCACCAGGCTAAAAAAAAAAGACATTTTCACGGTGTATCAGTGACATACCGTCTTCTCACCCTCATACATCCCTCTTTTCGCTTTGCTGCCGAGGTAACTGTCACGTCAATAACCGAGTCAATCCTTCTCACAACATACTTGTCATCAGCACACGAGATCAAATAGGGCTTATCGCCACCATGGTAATAGTCGACATAATTGACACCCTTCTCGTGCCCTTCCAAGGTAAAGTTGGGCACGTTCGAACCGAGTGACCATACTTTGATGACACCGTCCAGACCAGCCGAAGCGAAAGTGTTGGAATCCTTTGGATTAAAGGTCAAGTGCATGACGAAATGCGAATGGCCTTCAAATATCTAATATTTATCGAGAGCATCACTTAGTATAACCTCTCCATTTCTCTTAGCCCTTTCTTCTCATTCGCCTAGTACAAAGAGTCTCTATTGGTTATTACTACCCGTCAATAAGAGACAAAAGTTACCTGGACACACTTCCAACCCTTCTCCCAATCCCACAAGCGAATGGTCATATCATCGGATCCGGAAAGAACAAGTGGTTGTGTGGGATGCACAGCGAGACAGCGAATATAGTCAGGGTGACCCTCAAAGCTGGCAACCTTTTCATGGGTGTTGTAATTGAAAATGCGAATCTGCGAATCATCGGAGCCGGTGACAATCCAGTTCTTTCGTGCAATGAACTTGGCAGCACGGACTATAAAGTATCAATTTCCATATTAACTTCATCGTTCAATATTGCTTGCTTGTAGTACATGATAATGATAAAAGGGTAATAAACTAACCAGGTGTTTCAGTTACTTCAAATGTCTTGACAAGCGCCTATAAGAATCGACACAACATAATCTCGTTAATAAAACTGGGGGATTTTTTTGGTCGCACAAAAGGAAAAGGAAAGAACTGTCGTCCATGTCGTTTATTGTTGTACCTGCGTCTCGTAGTTGTAAATATAAACGTGGCCGTTATACAAACTTGCAAGAACCCAAGGTTCCGTTGGATGAAGATCAACGCTTTTGACGCGGTCTGAGCGCGACAAAAGCTTGCGCTATATATAGAAAGAACAAAAGCGTTTCAATATGTGTATACTTCTTTTTCTCTCTCGCCACTTTGGACAATAACTGTAAAATTCGAGTTTACCTTGATGTCTATTCGCATGCCCTATACATGATAAAATGTTAGAGTCAGTAACCAGTCATTCAAAGCTTTATCGCATGAGTTTGTACAAAAACGCGTAAAACCCTCTTATATTTTCCCCCTCTCCTTTGTTTCTCATCTCATCCTGATGTGCTTGTCAAGGACACAAAAACTCGGTAGAGTTTGTTCGCTATCTATTGTTCCAGGACTCTAAATTACAATTTTCCCTCACACCGCACGCTCTGGGCAGCCGAATGGAAGGAAATTCGGGGCCTTACCATGATTTAATGATTGGAGCGCTGTTCTGTAAAGATGAGAAGAGTATGCCACTTGTTGGAAACAGCGACAGCCAAGTGCCAGTTTCTGCGGAGTACAGAATGCGGCATCGTGGCGGACTTGGGTGGCCCCGACGTGCAAATGGCAGACGTGTACATCAGATGGTAAATCAACTTCTCACAACTTCTTCCACCACATACTATAAGCAGAGGAAACTGATATAACTAGCCATATCATGACGTATACTGAATCCTATATGTAAACGCATCACCTATTATAAGTAGTAAACGCAGCAACTATCGATCAACATGTAAAATTTTGTCTAGCGATGTTGATTTTGACGTTATTAGCTATATTACTGTTGAAGATACTACTCGGGCGAGATATTGTACAAGTCGTTTATATAGCTTACTCTGAGCGTTATGCTGACATATATTTCTTTTTCAGCATCATAGGTAGAGGAATTGAAGCCAAGTTCGACAGTGTGAAAATAACTTTCTTGCTCCGTCCTTCTGACTAACCGCTTTAGACAGATCCACGGCGTAGTTCGCGTATTCCTCATTGTTATTTCAATGTATAATATATTCTAGTTTATTGTGCTGTGTGGAAGACTAAATGCTGTAAATAATCTGAGATTCGTGTTGTGCTCTTGCTTGAATACCACTGAAACAAGCACAAATGTTGCAATTAATCGAGGAAATCATCGAGCTGTAATCACCTTGTCAGGCCGCAACATACAAGCAATGTTTGCAGGTTCTTAAACAAGCCAGCTGGTGACAATATTCAATAGTTGATACCTTCTTTCTGGAGACACTGTTAAGATTTAAGTGCTCGATGGTGCTGCAATTAGTTCTTAAAAAGCAACATATTGTCCACATATCATCCTTGGTGATGCACGGTTCATAATTGTGTATGCCTTGCTGGAGATCACCGTCTTTATCAAGTCTTAGGTCTCCATTCGATCAAGATATATTTTCCTTGTTGGTTGAGCCATCAATCAGTAAAAGGTTCGTCTCCAGACTTTAGTAATGGCGCATTACCATAGCTTGTTAGACATGGCTATTATCGGATCGTAGATACTGCAATCAAGAAGAATTCGGACAAAGCTTGCTGTCTTTAATTTAGCCGGTCGTTGATGGCAGTTAAATTGTTTTCTGACGAGCTGCCAGGTAAAGAAGTACCCAGAACGAGGAATTTCTAACAGAGGATTTTGTATCGTTTCCGTTATGTTTATAGTGTGGCTCTTCGATTACCGAAGTGAACAGTAGCACATCGACGAACGTCTCGTCACCATGATACGAAGATTAAGAACACCTTTCGCTCAGCATTCTTCCCACTACTGTATACAATCAGGTACCGAAAGCTTTTGTCGTGAGATTGAACTCCAGAAGGCATCCTTTATCTCGTCGCATTTTTATTTTTTGGTTCGCAATGGCGTATCCCGACAGCAAGCGTTTGGAAGCAGTTAGAATGCATAAAAAGAACCTTGAAGCCTCAGAAATTGCGAAGATGATCGATATCTGCGCAGTGTGCACCGGTGGGTTAAAGATACAAAGTAATTCGAAGCGTCCCAATATAGCAAGTGGCTGGCCCAAAAAAAAACTCAACAAACGCAGCGAGCGGCACATAGCAGGCATTGTTAAAGAAACCAGCATACACATCATAAGTAAGTTACTGAGCAATTACAAGTCAAGTCTCAAAAGCAACGTTACGACGCGCGCTTCACATACATGTAATTCACAGCCGTATCGTCTAGTGAAAAGCAAATGCATATTGCTGGTCGGCGTAACTTTGTAATCGAGTCTAGACAGACGACGACCGAGAAAGGATTACATAGGCTGACGAATTATCGTTCAAAAACTGGCAAGAAATCCCATGATGTTCTGCGTGACTGGCGTGAGGCTCATGGAAGTCGATTGCTTAGACTGTATGACAGCAGCATTTAACATCGTTCGATTACCTGTCGTAATCTGAGGTACTTATATCGTATGTCAGGAGATCAGAATCAGTTTCTTATGGACAAATCCAAGTGAACAGCAGTTATGCGATTTCATCATGGAATATGGGAACCAGGCGTGAACAAGTAGAATTGCCTGAAGATATGGTCAGCTTGAACGCCCGACGTGAATCCTATCGAGCTCGTATCGAAGCACGAAGCTAAGAAGAAGCTTAATAATATATAAGTGTCAATACCTTTACAAAAGCTATTCAGGAGGCTTGGGATGAGTTTCCAGCCAGCAAGATTGACAATATAAGAAAAGCATGTAGACCTGATAATCTTAAACTAGAACATTGCATATCTTACAAATGCATATATGAAAGAAGGCATTAAATGTTAACTATCATACTACCGAATCGGGCGCGCGAACAGAATCTTTTGTAGAGCACCGTTCTTCCTCCTTGAGCATCAATCCTATACTGACTTACGCGATATCCAGTTTCTTCAGGAGAAAAAATGGCCATAGGAACACTGGACCTTGAGCATCAATTGAAGTTCCCCGGACTCGGACGGACTGTCGTACGAGTGTCAAGCATCTATACTGCGTGTTCGACTCGAGATTTCAAAACCATGACGATTGAGCAACTCGGATCGCACCGGCATAGTGTCCGTTATGGATGGAACCCTGACCTGGTGCTTACAACTACTCGACACAGCGGTGACAATCGATTGAGGATCTTGATATTGGAAGTAGAGCCTTCGCTTAAATGTACATGTTACAGAACAATGTTGTAGAATAAAGCAAAAACTCCCATGCTTAAAGTTCCTGTAGTTAATTTCTTTCCTTTCTGAACCGCTTTTCCCATGAGTAACACAGGGCCCTGACAAATATGCGTGACATACCTTGCATAGAACAGCTGCTAGGTACCAACGATAATACGGGGGAAAAAAAACTGAACAAGGTATCGCGTGGCTGACACGGTGAATTTTCAAAGCACAAAGCCAACTTGGTTGACACTATATTTTTCTAACGAGCTCCGTTTTGTACATTTATCAATAGCAATAATGATATGCGCCGCTCTCGACTAAGCAGATAGCTTTCCGATCCCCCTGTCAAACTAGCTTTCTAAAACCATCCCAATTCCACCCGTAACGCAAATCACATAGTCATAACAACCTTTTTTGCAGTCCAGTCCAACTTCTTCTAAAGAATGAAACCCATTGTCCTTTGTTCAATCCCACCTTGATCCTTTTCTAAGGTACAAAGAGAGAGAATACTATTGAAACAAACCAAATGTCGATAAGGGGAAAAGAACAAACAGTTTCGTATAGGTGTGCGTTGAGAGAGTGTCGTAATGGTGAGTGATGAAAGAAGGTCTTCTATAACCGAAAAAGATAAAGTTTCTTTTTTGTAATAATTGGCTTTTTTTAATCGTTGGATATAGTAGTATATACGGTTTTTTTAGTGTTCGTGGTGTTCGACAGCAGGCTTAACGTCATAACCGATCAAGTTTCTACGTCCAACGATTTCGCCAATGAGGAAGAAGGTGTACAGCTCAGCTGCAACAACGCCACCCTTTGCAACATCGCGAACGGTCAAGTTCTTCCATGCCGACATATTCAAGCTCTTTTGGACGGTTTGCTGGGCCTGGGCGAACTGTTCACCGGAGGGGAAGCTCATGCCTTCCTTGGTGTAGACCTGCTTGGCAACTTCGGCAGCGACCTTGGTGTTGTAGACGATGGGCTTCTGCAGAGCTAAAGTATCATATAACAATGGGTGTGAGTTAGCATTCAAAATATGAGGAGCGCATGAATATCGAATGAGTGCACAATAACTGGAGGTTGCTAGATAAGAGAGGACAAATGATAGACTTACCGTTGAGCTTGGACAGAGTGCTTTGAAGAGTACCTACAATCTTGGCCGACATTGCGTTATATAGGAAGGGGTGGTGTGAAGGGGAGAGAGGGTTCTTTCGAAGATTGTGGCGGTAAACAATTTTCTTCTTCAGTCGCCGGGGTACCGAGTCACGGTGTCGATTATCAGGGCTCTGCAATCTTTTTTTACTCTGCTTTCAAATAATCAATATATCGACGATAACAACGACCACCAAATATGCTCGCACGTTTGAAAGCAAACATTGTTCCAACATTGGCGGTCATTATTGTTCCATTCGGCTACTTTTATGGCATTCAACTTCGCAAAGATAGTGACATCAACGAAATTCAAGCTAAATACCAACAACAATCGGACGAAGAGCGAATGGAACGACTAAGACGACAACGCGCCGCTCTCCTCGAGGAACGCCAGCTTCTCCTCGAAAAACAAGCCAAAAACAAGGAATAGGATCGTGTTCATGTCGGGTCTTTTCCCTCTCTTGGTGGTTTGGTGAGAACGAGCGGTATTGATGAATGCGTCTTTACTGCTATTGCGTCCTGATTCTTCCTTCTCCCATATCTCAATTGGATGGTACCTGCTCGCGTACCTTACAAATATATTACCCAGGCAGTCGCGGCAGCTTTCCGTGGCAAGCTCTTCGTCACAGTATTTAAATAGTTGCTTTTGTATTTGTAAACAAACAAACAAACAACTGAACACTTGCAGCCTAGAGTGCGTTTCATACCACATACAATAAAAGAAGAGAATTATGTCTTACAAATTTACAGCACCACATGAAATCCAACTCGAAAGTTTGCTCAAAAGACCTAGTAAGACTATAGCATACAACACTTTTGAAACTGTGTACTTGGGTTGCAAGTTATCACGAATATATTTTTGTGTCTACTTGGCGCACAATTGCAATGGTTGGGCCTGTCAAGAACCATTCTGTGTACTTGAACTTCTGGATAGAAGAATAAATGCAAGAATCGCAGTAGTTTTTGGACATAACCCATGCAAGTCGCGTTGAGCTAAGATCATTATGACATACAAAAAACGATTGACTTCACGCCACTGTGACGCACTTACGGAAAAAACAGTGGTAACCTTGGCGGAGCACACAAGCAACCTGCAATGATTGTAAACTAAAAAGCGCGTATTTTTTCTTTTTTTCTTTTTTTCCCCAATATCTCTGTACCCATTTTAACTAATGCCAAAAGACTACTTGGTATTGGATCGTTCAGGAGATAAAATGCCCTTGGTGGGCTTTGGCACCTGGAAAATTACCGATGAACAAGCAGAAGATACCATTTACCAGGCTATCAAGGCTGGAAATAGGTAAGAAACGTTAAACAAGTTTTACCTTACGAGAAAGCGAAAAATATAGATTTACAGAACATATATACTAATTATATATTCAAGACTGATTGATACTGCTGCTGTCTATGGAAACGAACGAGGCGTCGGACGCGCTATTACCAAAGCTATCCAGGACGGCACCGTGACACGCAAGGAAATGTTTGGTAAAATACTATCTGCTTACATATCTGAGATGATGGCAACACAAGGTAGGGTCTAACAAAGCTGTTTCCTACAACAATGAATCTATACAGTGGTCACCAAGTTATGGAACGCATACCACCATAAGGATAACGTGCGTCCCGCGTTCAACAAGCAATTAAGAAGCTTAGGCTTGGATTATGTTGACCTATACCATATTCACTGTAAGTGTGTAGATTGATGACTTCTGACGTCTTCTTTAACGTTTCGTCGCCGCCATACACAATGTATTATGGCGAGAGGAGATTGAAAGAAACTAAATATAATATGACCACGGTATTACAGGGCCAATTCCCACCAGAAAGACGAAAGCATACGACACATATCCGCCTCCGGGGTTCTCTGCATCAAATGGTGTAATGGAAACCGAACGGTCGTCCTTACACGACTGTTATCGTGAGCTGGAAAAACTAGTAGACGATGGATTGGTTCGGAATATTGGTATTTCAAACTTTAATGTACAGCTGACGCTTGACCTGTTGACGTATTGCAGAATAAAACCTGCTGTTCTGCAAAGTATGTGCCAATCGAGGAGGAACAGTTTTAATGGCTAATTAAAGTATATCGATTGGAGGAACTCAAAACATCTGCTTTTTTAGTCGAACTTCATCCATACCTTCAACAAAAGCGGCTAGTGCATTGGGTTCAATCACAAGGCATCCAGGTGACGGCCTATTCATCGTTTGGACCTGCAGCATTCGATAATGTTACAGCTCAAGGCAAACAACTGGGCCCACTTTTGGAACACGACAAAATTAAGCAGATTGCCGACAAGCACGGCAAGACCACTGGTCAGGTATTACTTCGATGGTCAGTGGAGAGACCTGTAGCTGTCATTCCGAAGAGTGCCAGTCCGGATCGTATGAAATCCAACCACGATCTGTTCTCTTGGTCGCTTGATGACGAGGACCGTAAAGTTATTAATGGTATGAACGTCAACTTTCGGTTTAACGACCTGGCCCAGGATGTGTATGGCTTTGAGCTTCCTCTCTTTGACTAGTTGCGCAAATCTTCGTATTCTCAGAAGACATTATGTTTCAATAAATTTACCTGTAAGGACACGTATTTTCTTGCTTTTGTGGCTCTTAATGCGTGAGTAATATGCAAGGTTTAGCAGATGATACAGATGACGCTGATGGTAATTGGTGACAACGAAGAGGGTGTTGGAACGTCGACGTCGATGATGGTTTTGATGGCAATGTTACTTCTATATCGATCAAATGACGAAAACGTATTTGTTTGAATCGTTCCAATGTGGACTTGATTGCGTTGTCGTGTGTAATCTACAATATCTGTCGACTGTTTTGTTCTGCTGAGGCCATTAGATCCCCATCTGTTTCTCTCTCTCCGTTTCTCCTCCTATGGGCCACAAGGGCATTAATTTAAAGAATCTTTACCAGCCAAAATTCTAGCTTAGTCGTCATTTCCCTTGTAGTTCATTCTATTCTGTAAGCTTTCTTCTTGATATTTCACAGCAACGAACCGCAACTAGACAGCAACCATGCCCTAAAGGAATAAATGCCAATAAAGGCTATATAAATAAAAAGTGCTAGAGCTTAAATAAGCACTAGTGCCATACCGCAAAACTCAATCTTCATTTACCTTTAACGAAATAAACATCCCCAACTTATCCTTCAAAAAGAAGTAGTGAAGTTGGTACGTGTACTACAGCGCTGTCATCAATCAGAAATACTTCTCTGCTTGGTAGCCACTTGACACGATTATGAAAAATACCGGAGGTTCCTTCTGTAAATGCAACGTTCATTTAGTAGTTAGCATACACAATTCACAGTATCTCCAAACAAATTGCTTTCTATATCGATGAATACGATACCATTGCCAAGGATTCCAAAACACCAAATCTTTTAACAAAGTTTTCCGAAATAAATGAGCTACGCGCATGTTTTTACGTTGTTGTTTTAATTCTGTTGTATGGCGTGGTAAACCACATTACTTTGAGATTGATTTGGACAACTCGACCGATTCCGCCGTCTTCGCATTCATTATTATGCAGTAGAGGGATTATCACACAATTGGATGAGCCACTTTAGATAATACATAAGCAGCACTATAGCAATAATCCCTCAAGCAATACTCAGAACCAATTATTGTGTACACATTCTTATATTTTCATTTGAATCAGCACTTAATTTCGATCTAGATATCCAAGTTGAGTGAATTGTACAGTACCTGTCAAAGAACATGATTCAATATCAACACAGACAAAGGTGACACTGCATCAAGGAACAAACTGATCAAGGCAAAAATAGTTCTAACAATCGGAAGACAGCATTTATCAACAGTCCAACCTAACGGAAGCTTAGACAACATTTCCAGCAGTATATACAGGATTCTGTATTCATTCAATAAAAAGTATCTCGTACTTGACTCTCGCTGTATTTCATATTGTCTTCTCTGTTCTCTTACCTATCAACAACCCACATTAACCACATATGGTCGCAATCGATCACTTTTAGTATTCGTTCGAAGAGCTCGCTTTTTGTGATCTCGGTATTCGATAAGGAAGTTGATCTTTTGAGAGTAGCTTGGCGATACATCAATCGACGGGAATATAGCTTTGCTTAACTCATTCTCTATTTTACCCAGACACATTCAACGTTGATAAAAAATGTATAGAATGTATAAAAATTGAGAAACGTAATATAAATTACATTACTTGTAGTAAGGGAAGCATCTCAATGAGCTTGACATCCGTACTTTTGAATAATGCATCGATGCAAGTTGCTAACCGTCAATAGTAGGACAATTCACTCTACTTGTCTTGTTCCTGGCGTATGTAATCCGAAAGATCCGCCACATCAAAAAAACGAAAATTGCTTCTGATAAAACGTAAACGAAACATGATTCGTTCTGACGTTTGCCTAAATATTGTTAAAGCAATACACAGCTGCGAATTTCGTTGTTTTGCATGGCTTAGTTGGGGGAACTGTTTTTTTGTGGCAAATCGCTTAACAAGTCGTCCATATCCTCTTGGAATCCGGGCATTTTTCAGATTCGTAACTTTGTAACAGCTTTTTGATATACATGTAGACAGCGATATTTTCAACCAATTCTTGCTGATTATTGCTGTAACTGATTCTTTGTTTCTTCGTCAACAAATGACCCAGTCACGGTAGGATTGATCAAGTATACAATCCTTGAAAAATTGATTTTCATGAAGTGTATTAATACGGAATTATAAAAGTTTCTTAATTGTAATTCTTCCACCAGTAAACGCTGAGCAGCCAAATTCTGCAAGCAGTAGTTGTTGTCCGTAATGGATGCCAAAAGAACTACATTTTATCTAGTCAAAAACAGCACTTCCAAGCTACAATAACCTATAAACAGATTACAAATGAGGACCTCCTATACGACATCATTCATTGACCTGTATCTGTACCTTTCCTTAAGCTGTGGATGGTTACCGTATTCCTGATCTAGAATTTTGAGTTAGCACATAATTGAATTGACTCATAGAATAATTATAAAGATGTTTGTAGCAGATGGGGCAGCTTCTAGTAACGAATCCATTGTCTCAGCATGCAGCTCTAGCCTTCCAACAGACTGCGGGAGTAAGGAAAGCGGCGAGTGCTTGATTTTGTTTAGCATGCCAACTATGAATGTGTCACTTATCAGCATTTTTAGGCTTTTATGTCCCTCTTCGAGTTTCCAGAAAAACTGGAAGCAATTGATGAACACTTCGCTCTCGTGACGAGGGCGTTTTCTTTCTCTTGGTTGTTAAATCCGTTAAGTGTTGCTGATTCTTTTCCAACGAACAAAAGCAGCGACGCCAGATTACAAAGGGATCCGGGAGCAGAACTACCACCATAAATTGCTGCCTAAGGGTGAAAATACATTTGGTTGCAGGAAAGAAAAAGATAATGCTGTTCATGTCCTGTAGCATGAAGTGTATGAACAGATGTCGAAATATTGGATGTAAGCCAAATCTAAGAGCAAAGCTAGCAGTATACGGTACACATCAATACATACGAATTTTAGACGTGAAATAAATATAAATAAAGGAGTAGCGGCAAAACCAACGAGAGAAACTATGATGGTTGTTGGAATGTAGTAAAAATTACTGTAACAAGACAAGTTTATACCTCCGCCAGTAATGCTGCAAGACATGACTTTGGAATGGTATACCCAGCAGCTGAAACTACTTATAATTTGATATGACAACTGAGAGCTTTCGAATACATTTAAACAAACGATTCTAAATCATTTTTATTTTCTATATATATACAAGAACGGTAAGGTGTGATTTTCTTAAGTGCGAGCGTACAAAAGTGTGTTGCAGTGTTGTTCGGTGAGTATGAGAGATGAGTGTATGTAAATTTAGTCAAAGAGGGGCAAGTCGATACCGTAGGCGGGTTCCATTGTGTCGTTGAAACGCAAGCCAGCGTCCAAACCAGCAATAGCCTTAAGGTCGCTCTCATCCAAGCTCCAGCCAAAGACACCAAGGTTAGCCTCCATACGGCCCTGGTTCAAGGACTTGGGGATAACAACAATGTTGCGCTGCACAGACCAGCGGAGCAAGACCTGGCTGGCAGTCTTGTTGTGCTTAGCGGCAATCGACTTGATGACATCGTGTTCCATCAAAGGAGCAGCGTCCTTGGCGGTTCCGGTCATCTCGAGGTAAGAGATGGGGCCGAACGAGGAGTAGGCCATGATTTGGATACCCTGCTTCCAAACCCAGTCGACAAGGCGCTTCTGCTGAAGGTAGGGATGGTGCTCAACTGTAGTAAATTCAGGTAGACATCACGTCAGCATTCTTATCCCTTTCTCGCCGTCCTCCCAAGTATGAAACTTTTCTATCCCATCATTTATATCCTTATTCATAAATCTCCAACCCTCATCCGGAAATCGTCCAACTTACTCTGCAAAACGGCAGGCTTGATGGTGCAGTAGGTCAACATGTCCAACATGGTCTGAACGTTGAAGTTGGAGATACCAATGTTGCGGGCCTTGCCAGATTCGGCGATCTTTTCGATTTCTCTCCAGCAGTCTTGGATGGGGGAGCGTTCGTAGTTAAACTTGTCAGCACCGTTCTTCAACCAACCAGGTGGGGGGTATGCCTCAGCAATAGGAGTGTACTCGCAAGGGACAGGGACTATTGAAAAAATGTAATGTCAGTATTCGTATTTCATGCTGTTTTTTGTGATAAACGTAATAAGACGTGTTCCGGTGTAAACTTACAGTGAATCAAGTACAAGTCAACATAGTCAAGGCCGAGTTCCTCCAACTGCTTGTCGAAAGCAGGGCGGACGTGATCCTTGTGATGGTAAGTGTTCCAAAGCTTGGTGACGATGAAAAGCTCTTCACGCTTGACAACACCTTCAGCGATGGCCTTCTTGATACCAAGACCAACCTCGACTTCATTGCCGTAAATCTGAGCGCTGTCGATCAAACGGTAACCGGTCTTGATGGCGTTGAAGATGGTGGCTTCACAGTCAGTGGGGGCAATCTTCCAGCAGCCGAAACCAGCAAGGGGCATCTTGTCGCCGGTGCGTTCCAAAGTGACATATTCTTGAGCAGCCATTGTGTAGGATAAAGGTATAATTTAAAAATAGAATAAAGAAGAACAAAAAGAGAAAAACCGCAGCAGAGCAAATTTGAACCCATCGCTTATATATGTCAATTAAAGTTACCCGCTCCTTCATTCGGAGCTGTCAAGTTTGAAAGGCCCGCCACTCACTATGTTACTGCTTTTCCGCGTTTTTGTGCTAAGAAATGGACTGGTTTTCTTGAAAGTAACCAGAAATCTTGCTTCGGAATTAATTTTCACGCTAAAACCTTTTTAGAAAAATAGAGCTTTTCGATTTCATGGTCTCTCAAAGGAAGATGATAAACAGATAAAATGTCTGTGAGTTAACTTCTTTTGCGTACAATGTATACTAGTAACCACCGATCAGCAATAGATGCCACTACTCAGAAGTCATTCTGCCATATGGGGGAACGATGAAAGTAAACAGAAAACAGAATTTTTCCGATTTTCTGCCTTATGGCAAGGTTATCAAGAGCTTTATGGGGAAAGTATATGCTTTAGATCCAATGTCGTCATCTCAAACCCAGAACAGCAAAATCTCCGGGTTGCGGGGGAGCTAAAGTTTTTAGCTGATACTAAAGTATGCAAATGTTTACGTTTCAAAACTCCCAACGCACGCATCATCATCAAATGATACTAAGCATCGTCTAATTTGCATACGGAGAAAAAATGCTCCAACTATCAAGGTAAGGTAAGGTTTCGGAACCAAAACAAAATTATTATGTAAGCCCGTTGTTACATGGAGTTATACTAAACTAGTGTACTTGTATACGGAATACTATGTACTACTTAAAATTGTTGGCAGGGACCGTCGTGGGCATCATCCAGCTAGCACCGCTGTCATTACCATGAATGCCTGTGTAGCTATTGCTTTTGCCGTGTGGGGGTGGGGTGGGTGCCATCAAGATAACAGGGACGATAGGATAAGACATCGCTGTATTCGAGAGATGGCGTTGGTGTGTCGGAACAACATATGGTGATGGTGGAGTTGCAGCATAGGCTGATCTCGTTGATTCCGCACGCAACATTTCAGCACGTCGTCGTGCGTCGGTGCAGGATTGATTATATACATAGGCTCCGCTTTTTTGCTGCTGCTGCGGGTGCTGCTGTTGTGTAGCATGATGCGGATAGTGATGGTTATGGTAACCAGCAGGAGGTGAAGGACGGTTGCTGTTGGAATGACTTGGTGTACTGCTACTGCTCGGTTTTTTCACGTGCCGGTTTTCAGACACTGCTAGTGGGCTACTAGTGCGGCGTAATGATGGTGATGGTGGTGGCTGGTTATGCACAGGTGGAGTTGATATTGGTGCTGCTGATGGTGACTTGCTGCTGCTGCTCTTGTTAATGTAGTAATGTTGCTTATAGTTGGGATGCTGTCTTGCAGGAGCAGACGTCTCATGATCTGGCTTGTGTAACACTTCTTCTACTCGTCTATCGCCAAGCGATGCTGAACGGTGGTGCTGCAAGGAAGGACGATGCCGGTGCTGGTAGTTACTTTGTATATCACGGTGTTGATCGTAGTATTTATCTCCATCTCTTCCGCTAGTACCACGATTATGTTGGTGATGAGGAGCAGAGTTATGGCGTCTCTGACGAAATTTTTCTATCAAATTCATATAAAATGACTTAGTATATTGGTAATGTATAATATTGAGGGTTTGATGAGACTGAAGCAAAAAAGAAACTGGAGGGAAGGAGTAGCTAAATTCTCATACTCTCTTTTATACTATTACCTTCGTGCTTAATGTCGACATCATCATTTTCTTCTTCAGCAGCAGCAACAGCAGCAGCTGGATACGCCAACTTGCCGCTACCTGCATTGCTGCTACTTCCGCCACTAGTACCGCTATTACCACTGCTGCTGCTGTTAGTTTTGCTGTGGCTGTGATGACGAAGGTATGGGGCTGGCATAGGGGTACTTGGCGTAGTAGGCACAGATTCTTCTGCTACATGACGGTTAACATTAGAGTTCTAGTAGCAATAACTACGACTACTACTACAACAAAGAAAGTAGCCAAGACTTACACGATGTCGATGAACTGGCTGACCTCGAATTACCGCTACTGCTATTATGCGCTGCGGGTGTAGATGACCGTCGAATTGTTTGTGCTGTTGTTTTTGTTGGTACCGTCACTTTTCTGTTAGTGGGGTGTTGCCAGTGCTGCTGTGGTAACATTTTGCTACCAAAATGTCGAAGAATATGCTCTCGTTGTTGTAGTTTGTCGCCGCAAACAACACGTTGCAGCATTTCCGGAGCAACATGTGATTGATGAAATATAGCGCTTTTCAACCATAAAGGCCGGTCATCAGCATTCCTGTTTCTGTCTGTATTATTACTAGCATCGATCTTGTCGTCATCGAGCATCCTTATTGCTTTGGCCAATGCGAGACGGGAAAGGCTGACAGTAACGTTGTTCTTGTCGACGTTGGAGTATCCGGCTGTTGACGACATTGTATAATGTGTGATGATGTTTAGATTAAAAGGTAATTAGTACGTATGTAGAAGGAAAAAAGCAAGTAAGAAGAAGAAAAATTAGATGGATTGAAAGTTGTGTGCATCCGTTTGCATTTATAAATGAAAAACCGAGAAGAAGGTGGATTGTTGGGGGTTGAATAATAGAGAGGAGGCCAAAAGAAAAAGTTCAATTCGAACAATGGGGGGGGCGGATAATAGCAATAGAGTATATGGTAATAGTATAACAGATGTAAAAATAATATCACTCACATACATTACAACCGGTCCGATGCAATGATTCGGAAACTCCTGTGGCGCTCTACATAATGTGGCTCGCCCTCTAACAACAAGCTATAAGGGGCAGTGTTTCAAGAAGAAGAAATAGAGTAAGCGCCACCATTATGACTTTAATGTCTGTGAAGAGTATAGCAGGTGGCTCAATCATAGTGTACTATGTAGGCGGGGAGGCGAAGTTTTGTTGTTGGGAAAAATTTTGATATTACTAGTACTGAACCCTCTTCCGCGCCAATGTGATTGCGTGATAAAAACAGCTGTTTTATTACTACCGTTTGCTCCGGGGAGGAAGATTATATGGAAAGAGAAGTTAGTCTAACCTGTTAATGATAAGTACAAAGATACTGAACAGCTGTCGATATTTTAGCGATACTAGTGAAGACATACAATGCAGAGCATTTTTGCTCTATTAATAAAACAAGCAGCAGCAATGCCCAAAAAAACAAAGAGCTATGGTACCGGGACGATGATGTGCGCTGCATCTTTTTGCGAATAATGGCCACCACTGACAACTTGGCGGAACCGTTAAAAGAATAGCGAGTATTTGCATTTTGTTTCTGTATGGAATGCAGTGCTACCGTCGTAAAAGCTTTTCTGCTGTTTTGTTTGTTATTCCTGCTGTTGTTATGTTTTATATCAAGGAGCACTTGTCGAATATGATCAGACAAACTCGTCAGTCGTCAGATGATACTACACGGTACTACATGCATGCATCATGATGCTGCTGCTTTTGCTTCTGATTGACACTCGTATAGAAAAAATAAACAGACACACAAACAAAAGTACGCTACTTTTATTATGGGCCGAAAGCAAAAGAATCCCGCTATGTCATTTTAAGAAGTGCAGCAGCAGAAGCAAGCGATTATGATCAGCATTTAGACAGGAAAATGATTGATCCCATATTGATCGTCGTTATAAGCATTAGCAAAATGTCAAGTCATCATACGCGAGATATCATACAGTAGTATCATAGAGGAATATATCGTGGTGGTTGATAAAGGTGAGGGGAAAGGCAGCAATTGAACTGTTATGTATATGGCGGCAGGCATGGTTTTTCCGCAGCATATCTTTCTCTCTCTACAATTTCCTAATTTTCTATTATTGTATCATATGATCAAGTTACAGGTCAAACAATACATAGCACTTTATCGAATGAAATCTTGATTGATTAGCCTTTTCCGTCGAACCGGGCTTGTTTTTTCTTTTATCGAATAGCTGCATATCCTTACAGCAGCTGTATATCGTTTTATACATGGAACTAAGTGGCAAATATATACTGTATCCCAATATTTTCTTTGAATTCTATTGTTGTTGACGACGGCTTGATCCATAAATGTATAAACACACGAAACTTTGACCTAAAATATAATTAGCTATTAGCCGGTAAGCGTACTCAAAATACACGCGTTCTGTGTTTACATGTAATAGCGAGTAGATCCACTAGATCAATACGTTCACACAAAATGTACATATTATTGCTTTAATATGAGACCACTACTGTGCGCTTTGACGCGGTAGACGACAATTATACATAGCACGCAACTGCAGGCATCTAGTCTTTGTTATTCCGTTCTGATTATTGTTTTAGATAAATTAGCCAAATTGCTGGCATCATGTTGATAAACAGCAGTAATTGCGATTTTTGGGCAGACTATAATGTATAAATGGTGCTGCAGTGTTTTGCAATTGTGTGACAAACAAACGGAAAAATGAAAAAATTGGAGCGAAACCCAATATTAGATATGGTGTGCATTTAGAATCAGGGCCCAGCAGCAGTAAAACAATAGCGCGCAGCGGCACACAGAGGCTGGTTAAAAAGCCCTAAAGGGCCATCATTACGGGAATCAGTGAGCAGATGAAGGCTATCTTAATTCTGAATCTTGAGACCCTTGACTATGTCTATCGAAAAACAATGGTTTGGCGAAATGGACGATGATGCAGAAGACTATTATAAGCTACGGATCTGATAAAAATAAAACGAGGCTATTATTATTAGTAACATATCAAAGAAGAGCCCGTTGCTCGAGTAACATAGTAGTAGCTTGAAAAGAGAACTGTTCGTTTTGAGTGGAAACGGAGGAATGTTTGGAACGCAACATGCGTTTGGGAAGGCACATGGCTCTAAATGCTCTAATTTATCATAACATATGATACATGGTTGATTTGGCGTCATGCATATTGCAACGTAGCACTTTCAGCCACCATAATTGGGGAATCTTTGAGGAGACGGGGGACATTACTTCGGTCATGATGACATTTTTGTTTTCGACGACACTAGTCCATGTCGAAAGAAGAAGTGGTGGATGCTCTCAATGTTCAATTGCCATTGGATATTTTCGGTGAACAAGCCCAGAAAAGGTTAAAATAAACAAGCATTTTCAAACATGCTCTTTTTTATAGCATGTGGAAAACAATTGCCATATTGCATAACAGGCCGCGCGACGTGTTAGCATGTGCACTCTTTTTTCCTACATGGGTATGGCGGCTCATGACATTATGCAACTCAAAGCCAGCGCTCCATCAACCCCCGAGATCTACTTAACTCCGCGGGTAAAACTGCAAAGCCCAATATTTCCAGAACAAGAAGACATCCAGCAAAACATCAGTTTTAGATATTATTCAGTAAAAGTACTTTTATATTATTAATTTAATTAACAAATTATATATACAAAAAGATAAGCATCAGTATGTAGAGGCTCTAAGCGAGCAACACGGCAAAGCTGGCGGCGAAAAGGGCCACCAGCGCTGACGCTTGAACAAGCAAAGACTGAGGCCAGTCAACTGTCAAGGAAGCGGCAGCTGAGGTGTTAGTGGAAGTGGCTTCAGAGCCGGTACCGCTTTGGGTCATCGAGGAAACCAAGGACGAGAGGGACGACATCATTGGTCTGCTGCTGCTGCTAACCATGCTTGACGACATGCTGGACAAGCTTGTTGCTGAGGAGGACATCATTGGGCTGCTGGTGGTGGCACTGCCTACCATGGGCGAGCTAGTAGAGCCGAAGATGCCACCGCCGGAGTCAGATTCGGACGGTTGAAGGAAAGGATCAGCTAATATGCGCATACAAATATGCGTTTAGTAAAGTTCGCTATTTTGGTCCAGACTTCGAGCTGTAGCACGCGGGTCATCTTACTTTCTGAAGCACCACCACCACCATTATTACCGCCGCCGTTAGCGGGTTCGGTTCCTTGGCCACCCTGTTGGGCAGCAACAAACACGGCAGAGATGAGAAGAGTGGCAAGCAAAGTCTTGACAGTGTACATGATGATGTATTAATGAAAGAGAAGAGGACTTGACAGTTTACGAAAAGCAAACGCTGAGTGTTTTTAAAGGAAACGGCGAAAAGATGAAACCCATGCAAGTTATTATTCTGTATTATCCAAGCTATAGAGGGATGATGACGATGAAAGAGACTAGGAGTAGCGGGAGCAATGTGAGAGGCTGTGATGCATGACGACTGGTAAGGGTAGTGCTCGCTTTGGATGCAGTTCGGAAAATAAAGGTGGCAGTACCATCCACAGGGTGATTGTACAGCAGATTGGCCAAAGTGGATCCATTGTAGCCTTTGACGCGATAGCCATCATTGATTGAATTGTCGGCCACAGTCTTGTTGCCGTTGCCCATCACATCGATTTCAAAGTCGTTTCTGATCTGGCTCGAGACGTGTTTCACATGTTGCTGCAATTTGCTCGGCGTATAATCGCTCTGCGACAGAAACAACGCCATCACCCCGGTTACATCTGATTATAATTTAAAACTGTGTTAGCCAAGGGAGGAATGTGTAATTATCAGACCGAGGGAAGAAGAATTCGAAGAATTCGAAGAAAACTCACGAGGAGCAGCCATGGAAGTGCCTGTCCGGGTGTGCTCGTCCTCATCATTCCATATGGATACAATATCTGTTCCAGGAGCAAATCTAAGCGAATAAATTAAAATTAAATTGTCGTGTGCGATGTGATATCGTGTAAAATGCCAGCATACATGTCAACGCATTTGCCAAAGTTGGAATACGACGCAATGGAATCATCCGGATCTGTAGCACCCACAGTGATAGCACCGGGTGTAGAGCCTGGTGAATATTTGCACGCATCTTCACCATAATTGCCCGCTAAATAAATTGAGCGAGGTCGTTCGTTCGTAACAACATGACGGGGCGAGGCGTGCAAGGTTTTAGAAAACAAGACATGGACTGAGATTATTTCATGCTCAGAAATTAATTTCATGATATTTACCAGCGATCGTAACGTGGATTCCTAACGAGATGGCAGTTTCAATGGCATCATTTGCTGCTTGATTGTAAAAGGCGCCTAACGATAAGCTAGTACAGATTGAAGAACAGCATTGTTGTAAATAGTGTGTCACATCATCACGCATATCAACAGGTGCGTCAATGTTGTTGTCGCTCCGACAAACACCATCGAGACACAAAAAGACAGGATTAGTCCATACTTGACAATTGACTTTGAATTGTTGTGAGCCGTGTGCTGTTCCACGACATAGGCCAGTCCTTTCAGCAAGTCAGACAGCATACCGTTGCCTTCACTGTCGAGCGTCTTGACTGAAATGACATTGGCTTGTTTGGCAACGCCGTATTCTGTTCCACAGCATACGCCTGCGACAAAGGTACCATGTCCATTCGGATCTCCGCTACTGTCGTCGTCTACAAATGAAGGCCCATATGTGAGCCGATTTTCCAAGTCTTCATGATCGCTGACGCCGGTGTCAAGGATGTAGATAACGACGCCACGACCCTGGGATGTAGGGAACCTGAATTGGTCATTTGTGCCTTTTCGCTGGTCGATCCGATCCAGTCCCTGGCGGAGAGACAGAGAGGGAGATAGAAAGAGGGTTTAGCGGGATTGTCAACGCGTGAATACTTTTTTCCCTTCTCTTGCAGAAAGAAGAAATACACTAGAAGCAAGCTTACCCAGCTGGGTGGATTCGACTGTATGAGCTCTTGCAACGACATGGGAACGTCTTTGACATAGTAACTCACTGCGTCATCGTCTCGTAAGGCGTCCTCTTGCACTGGGCTCGAGTACCATTGGAATCCGCCAATGGTGGACGGCGCAATGGTTGCTGACGAGACAAGAGACGAGGTCAAGTTCGTTGTTAGTGGTGAATGGAACTTTTGAATGCGTTGGATGTGGTTAGTGATATTGATTTGTGGAAGATCCGGTTTGAGCACGACTATGTAACGGTCATCGTTACTGCTGTCGGATGAAGAAAGGGAGGCGACTGTTGCTGATGATGATGATGATGATGATGATGATGACTGCTGTTGCTGTGGTAATGCATGGATGGATGATGGTGATATTATTGATAATAGTACAGAAAGCAGTAATGGGAGCAGTAACACATATTTTGCTACTACTGCATCGAATGGTAAAGGAATGGAAGGGGCGGTGTGCATCTAGTACACCTGTGAAGCTCAGCTTTTTTGTTTTCGTAAAGAAGAAGATGAGAAAAGAAGCGGTCAAGAAAAAAAACACACTTTTGAGGAAATATTGTTTGGTTTTCGAAATCGATGATGTGGTACAAATTCTGTAAATTGACTTGGTGTAACCATGCCCGTTGAACAGATGTTCGAGCCCATTCTTTTTTTATGTTTCTTTTCTGTTTACGGCGTAGAAGAAAGAGAGGTATTGTTGACAAAGAGAAAGAGTGGACAAAAGGTGTCCGTCTGCGTGTGGCGTGTGTGTGCGTGCGTGTGTGTGTGTGTGTGTGGTGCCTTTGTTGGCTTGGCTTGGCTTGGCTTGGTGGTGTGGATCGTAAAAATAGAGTGAACATAACGCGAGCTTATGCAACATAGCTGTACATGTCCTTCTGTCCATCTACTCGTTCAATGAACTCCTTTTCCTAAAGAATGCAATAGAATGCAGAGTGCAATGGTTTTCGACGGATGACATTAATAATTGCTGGTGCTACGGCGTACATATCCCCCCTTGTTTGTGCTTACCAAAAGAATATCAATGCACTTTTTAATGTCAGGAACCCGCGGCTTGAACCGTGATTGGAGCTGCGTGATCACTTCCTCTATGAGTGCAACGTGCTTCATCACTTTACGTGTCTTCATGATTCGGACAATCGCAGCCTAGAGCAAACAATAACAAGCGACACACTCAGTGTGTGATCATCAGCATCAAAGACCCCCGTCAAGCTTTGTCTTACCTGCATCAGGTATTTGCGGTCCTCTTCAATGGTCTTGTGTGTCTCATCAGTCTCCACCTTTTGTTCGGTCTTCATTTGAAAGTTGAGATTAATTCGAATCTTTTTGCTGTGTTGCAGAGGAGTAAAGCACGATCAGATTAAACCACCAATACCCATCGTCATTCTTGTTTCTGTAAGTTTATGAAGCTTATTACCTCTTGAAGTCAAAGTTCAGATCGTATCTGGAACCAGTATCGCCCACTTTTTCGCCATTGCTCAGCAACAAGACCTTGGCCTTGACCAAGATGCCCAAAGCAGAGCTCAGCACCTCTGGAGACAATGCAGTGCTTCCTTGCAAGTCTTCAAAGCTGTAGCTGATGCCATTGTTGTACTGCAAAAGCACACCCATCTGGTAGGCAGACACTTGCAAAGTGTATCCGGCCTTGCTTCCCTTCAAATAGCTGGTCTTAAGTTCGGCTTTGCAAAATTGGAACAACCAAGTGAGCTTACGGCCTGAATGCTTGTTTTGATAGAACTTTTGGAAGCGATCGTATGTTTTAATTACCTGCAATTACAACAGTGTGTGAGTATTACCGGCTTTTCCATTTATAATCATTCATTAAAACATTCTCTTTTTGAATCAAACGTACGTCTTCTGGAATATTAAACGAGGTAGTGGGGGCCGAAAATGGCCATTGGTTGGCAGCCAGGACGAGGATATTAAAATCGACTGGGTTACAAAGGGTATTAATAAAGTTAGTAAAGCGATCATAGAAGATTGTCAGTCACTAAAAAAGTAAGCAGTAACGAGCTCACCATTGGTACCACTGGTATCATAGCTTTGTTGCATAGTGTCCTTGAACGAGTCATTCAACTCCTTGCTAAGTGACATATCTGTCAACATACGCTGCAGCTTGGACGTGTATTCGAAACCACATGCTTCCTTGAGCTTAGAAATCATGCTGCCTTCGGCATCGTCTGAAGCAGAGGTACCGTTCACCAGACGCTTGGCCAACATCCTTGAATAGAACTTTTGGAAAACATCCTTGTCTTCAACGTATTTGAATACAGTCATCTAAGAGCAATCATGATGAATTGTTAGATTTTGATGTTATTCCTTTTGAGGTCTCCGAAATATACCAAGTGGAAAAATGACTTACAATGCTGTTCATGACATCTTCCAACTCGTTTTCTTCGGGGTTTTTGGCGCTCTTCTTGAGCAACGAATCACAGTATCTAGCGAGCAGTTCGGGCGACTTGGATGTAGAGTTCTTGCAGACCTTGTTACGGTTGACGAATTCACCACACGCCTTATCCAACGCAGCTACAAATCCTGATTCGCCACTGAATGCGGTCTGAACAAGATCGTTGTACTTGCGATGAACTTCCAAAAGGGCATCCACATATGTTTTAGGATCCTAGAATATCACATCAGAAGTACGCGTGAGTTTTATTTTGATACCACTTTGTCTTTTTCATTCACTTTTGATGAGATCCATTATTCCACATACCACAGTCTCTTGCTGAGCAATTCTTTCAATTGCACCAAGACCAGCCTTGCGAACGTGAGTCTCGAATCGTACGCGCAAAGGATCCAAGCCCTCAGGAATGCGTGCCAATAAAGCATACATACGATGCAGGTCTATGTGTGTATGTCATAAAATCTGTTTTAATATGGCAATAAATACATAGGTCCACAACCACTCACGTATCAAATCACCCCTTCACCCTTCAAATCCTGCACCTGTAATTATATTAGCCCTTACCATCTTGTTTGTCTAAATCAATTAGACTCTGGAAACCTTCCCAGATAGCCTCGGTATGATTCTTCACCAGAACGGTCTCACACTTGGAGATGAGCTGTTTCCAAGAGAGACAGCGAGAAATTGAGTTAGCGGATGAAACTGAAACCAACGATTATAATAAAGGTGTAATAGACGTACAGGCTTGTGAGTAGACTCATGGAGATACATTTGGACACGGTTCTCTTCTTCGCCTAGACGGACGTCAGCCTAATACCAGGATATGTTATTTGATTTGTTCATGCATGAGTAAGCCTGTGATGTCATGCATCATGTGTGCGCATGTCTTTTCCGGCCCCACCCCCACTTTGCCTCTTTGTTGCTGTTGTCACTATCATTACCTTTTTCATGTAATCAGGAATACTGTTTTCCGTGATAAATTTCTCAGATTCAGTTGTGTAGTACACTTCCGTGGCGCTGATGAAAGGCGTTTCAAAAAACTCTCTATATACATCGAGATTCGACTTTGTGGAATCCGTGGTGTCCAGTCCGAGCGAAACTGTTGTCAACAGATATTAAGGATGTGTCAGAATAATGGTTTCCTTGTTGTTGTCGCTTTTGTATACGTAGAAGACGAGAAGATGTCTTACCGAATGATTCGACAATGTTCTTGACCAAACCAGTCTCAATAGTTTCACCGTTTCGCTCTCTTTCAATCAGCTTCAGCACCGCAGCAATCACGTTGTGATGGACAAATTGGAACATGTGGCGTTTCCAGCAAACAAGTGTCAACTAGCGAGATATAATCATGAGTTATAAATTGTGTCTCTTGCCGAATATATGTCATTACCAACTTTCTCCTTGCTAGAAACTTACAGTGAAAACGTCATAGACATCGTTCTTGCGATCTTCATCGATTTCACGTTTGACCCAGTAACGGTTTAGGTACATGAAAATGTTGTTGACAACGCGCGCAGCAGTGGTGTAGCGAATCCATTGCTTTGTGTAATACTGCAGCAGCGCCTCATCCATAAACTTTTCAGATTCCTATTTGATCCGCCCATCAGCCCCACCACAGCTTATATTAGCAAAAGAACAAAGGTTAGCATACACAGACAAGAGACTTATAGACATACCGTGCGAATCTTTGTCAAGTGGTCTTCAAGCCATTTACTCAAGCTGTTGTAGAGTTCAGCTCCAATCAAGTGAGTAGCAGCTAGTAACAACATGACGATCATATCAGTTTCAAAGGACCATCTATATTCATTCTTCTTCTTCAACTTCTCTCCAGTGTAAGGTATACGAGTGCAAGGGAATCGCCATACACTTTTAACTTTACCTCGATGGTTCAATGGACCAGAGTAAGATCCTGCAGCACCGGCAGTTTGAGGTGGACTTCCGCGCGCACAGAAGTTATGGACGGCGCTTTGTTATTGTTGTTGAGAAGAAGAAATACGTATGAGTGTACAGTTTCCATTGGTAAGTTTGCTGCGCACGCGCTCATTGACTCACACGCGCGTTTGACGATTCGTTTCTTTTCATTCACGCACACACACATCGCTTAGCGACATCACAAGCAAAAAGCTTTCACATCCAGCAGGAACACCCTCCAATTCAAAGTACATCCTTTGCCCTGTCTCCCCACCGCCTCCCTCCAACCCCTTTTTTTGATTTGCAACCATTCTATATATATGTCAAGAAAGAACTTTCTTTTTACCTATACAATATGGAATAGCGAGTGCGATCGAGACCTTCCTCGAGTCGGTTCATAATTTGATCTAGACCGTTTTCCAGAAAAGTCCATGTTGCACTGAAATCATTGGCAGGAGGTAGTTGCGCGATGCTGGACATGGTATACTAATGCTGTGCTGTGTATTTGTCGGTTGCGGTTATAGTTTGTTGTCTTTCTCACTCTCTCGATATGTATGTTTTCGATATGTTTTGAGAGTGTGCGTAACGTTTCCGTGTTGTTCGTGAAGAAGAAGGAAAATGATGGAGGGGAAATCTTTTTTGTGATTGCTTCACCAACAACAATAAAAAAGAAGAAGAGGAGAAAGAAGAAAGGCTACGAAAAAAAAAAGTGGATTATGCGCCTTTCGTGAAATACACGTCATCGGGACCACCCGTATTCCGACTGATATCAATGCTGGCAGGAGCTCAAAGAACCACTCATGCTCTTTCTTTCCGAGCTGTTGTTATGGTAATGGTTTCTACGGATATCGTAATACTATTGTTCTTGTTCATATTTCCATGCAATTACAACTACTACTAGCTACTGCTGGAAATAAAATCAAGCAGCTGCTGCGGTATCAAGCCATGCTACAGCATAAGTTATCACATTTATTTATTAACACCAAGAATCCATAGCTATTGCCATGGATGGATCAGAGGGTGCCCCGCAGCGTGCGCAATGTGTTCTTTTCGCAAAATCTACATAAAAATAAAGATGATCTATTAGCATGGTTATTTAATGTCTAGAAAGAATATAACTTACTGTGGAAACCACATCCTTCGCTTTGACAGATCCAGTCGCCAGCTAACATGTCAACAGCATATGCACAATAAGTAAAAGAAATTTCATACAAAAACATATTGGGAAAAAGAGAAGACAACCCTTACGTTTTACAGAAGTAGAGATACCAGTTGGCATGGCACTTGGAGACATGCTTGTCCTTCCAGCACTGCAAAAAAGACATTGTTGTCTGCTGGCAAAATTGTGCGTACTACACGCAGTGCTGTTAAAGAGAGCCAAAAGGTGTTAGATCTCTTCTGCATTACATGTCACACTATACACTCCACATAGCATGATAAAATTCTTACCAGATCCAATCACCAGCTCGGTACTGGGCCGAAGGATATGGTGAAGGTGTGCCAGTAGCACCACCTACAGCCGTGGCGCCCGTTGGATCGGTATAATTGTAAGACTGTTGTGGGTAAGAGGGAGTATGCGGATTCGGTGTATGACAGCGATAGCATGCTGTTCGTGACGCAAAGTTTTGGAAGCAACATTCTGAATTTGGGCAGAACCAGTCGCCCGGTCGGACAGAATGTCGAGATGGGACAATGGGAGTAGGATGTGTGACAGGTGCAATAGGAGTGTTGCCAGGAACAACCCCAGCAGTACCAGCGGCTGGACCTGTTGGTGTAGTTGGTGTCGATGTGCTATCATTTGTTTTGTCATTTGCTGCCCCTGACGATGCTGCTGCTGTTGCTGTTGGACGATCCGTGCCACATTTCCAGCACTGATACCGTGATGAATAATTGTGAAATTGGCATGTGGTATTTGGACATAGCCAGTCGCCTGGTGTAAAGTTGGATGCTTTTCCTCCTGGAGTAGCTGTTGTCTTTGTTGATGATGATCCGCCATTATTATTGGTACTGTTGTTATGAGGACTTTCAGCGTTGCATTTGAAACAGTTACGTCTGGATGCAAAGTTGTGAAACGAGCAGTTTGGACACATCCAATCACCAGGACGAAGCCGTCGATTGTTGGCTTGCACAGGAAATGGTGTCAATAGACCTGCCGCTTGTTCAATGACACATTCGTTACTAGGCGCCACTTCAATGGGCCGGTCGCCAAGACATCGGCCGTTCAGCCTCAAAGCACGCAATGCCTCATCATGGGATTGAAACAGAACAAACCCAGACAAGCTCGGCTTGGAGTGTTCTGTTGTCTGAATCATCCACGTCGTTGCCGGTCTGAGTCCGTTCGATGAGAACCATGCTTCCAATTCACCTTGCGTCAATTCATAGGGTAAACCAGCCAACCGCACAACCTTGGATTCTTCGTTCTTGAACCGTTGTAGATCAGCACCGAAATGGATTGGTTTTGTAAACACGTCTGGATGGCGAAAACTGGTCAGATGACGGACAACTTTGGCAACCGTCAATGCGGAATCGAGTCCAACGTCAGCAGCAGATCCTCGTTCAATGTGAAATGCTTCGCATAGGTCTGTCAAAGAGGTCGTGCGTAGACTGATTTCTGGATGATGTTGCATTTGCCATCGCTGGACTTCTTGCTTGAGATCAAACATTTGATACATGGATAGGTATTCTGGTAATTCCAAGTTTTTGTCCATAGCCTCGCGGGCCATTTGTATCCGTAAAATCCAACCACCATGCGTCACAAAACAAAACGTCATGTCGCGCGATAAAATTTCCTCTTGGACGTATTGATCGAATTTGCGTATGGCGTCTTTAAACGTTCCTGCTGAACTTAGCTGGTCCCATGTAATGTTGGTAATTGCTGTGCAAAAATTCGTCAAGGGTGTGCGTTCAGGTCGTACGGCGATCTTTTCTTCGTGAACAACCTGCATGGTGCTTGTATCGAGGACAACAAACGACAAGTCTAACACGTTCATTAAAAATGAGTAAATCATTCCTTTCTAGTATCACGTATTGTTCTCTTTCCCACTTTCTGTTTTAGCGTAGATATTACCAATGATTTCTGAATTTTCCTAACGAACAGAACGTAACCCTGTTTAGTTTCTGTCCTTTTATTGAATATTTCGTGAATGCGGTTTTCTTTTTACCTTGGTCACTTGAATGGCAGCAGGATTGGTTAAATTCTCGTCGCATGTAGCTTCCACATGGAAAACAATGAGTCGGTCAAATGGTACCACCGATGCCGGTTGCTGTTGTTGATGATTCTCGTCTGCAGTCGTCGTTGTTTTTAGTCTACCCGATTCGTCCTACATGGTGTATAGATTCGCGATCAGTACTGAATGCTACACAACGATCATTGACAGCTTTTTCCTTTCCACATACTCCAAACTCACACATATAGACACAAATACAAACCTTAGCATCGTTGGTATAGCCGTTTTGTTCAAATTTAAAGTGTTGTTGTCGTCGCTCGTCTTCATGAGCGTCGATGCCAAGCTCGTCGGCTTTTCGCTTTTTTGTTGTAATATCCATCAAGTGCCCAAACTTTCTGTGGAACCTTAAATCAAGGATTGTCCTATAAGGAGAAAATTAGAATCCCGGAACGCAACTCTATGATGTCAATTGTTTTGGAGGTGTTGCAAGTTATAAATATCTGCCATAGCCTCTCATTGTCAGCCGCAGCATCTTTTAGAGAAAACAAGTGTTGATCTTGAAATCATCACGGGAGCAAGTCACTAGTATTTGCCACTAGCCTGGGCCTCATTAGCGTCATCTTCGCTCCGTGCTGCGCATTCCTCTTTACAAAATTATGCATTGTGAGCTCTGCCCATATCTTCGACTCGGAACATCAGCAGCCCTTACATTTGCAAACGCCGGCATGATATTCCATTATCTTTTAAGGGTATAGCTCTGTACATGTTGGGGATGTGCAAAAACTAGTCAACCAGGAGGACGAAGGTGTCTCAATACACATGCACGGGTTGGGGTTCCGAAGATTTAAAATAAAAGTGCTCCTTGACATTTTGGTCATTCGCTGCTTCTTTCTTTCTTTCTTTTCGTTTATCTTTTTCTTTATTATAGCCACCATGGCCAAACTTGCAATTTTTCCAGAGGATCGGTATACGCTTCCTTCGTTCTCCAAAATCATTGCTACCAACAATGTACAACAGCAGCTACGGTCAAATCGACAGGCTCGAAACAAGAGCGACGGCAACAGAGCACTTCCTCGCCTTCGTCACTCGCTCATGACAGCTGCGGAAAGGAGTATCCAGTCATCTTTGATGACTGCCGAGTCACAACAGCAACAGCAACAACCCATTATAAAACCTGAAAACCTCCCGCTTGTGTCAATCTGTAAAGGTCGCGGCCGTCGTCCCACTGAGGTCGAAGTGATATACAATAGTATGCATAAAACATTCATCCTTCAATATTATATATATAGCCAGTTATCTTTGCACCCATTACAATTGAGTGAAGCAGTAGCAATTTCAATTGTTTTCACCTCTAAACATGTGATAGATGTACAACCCACCAACGTTTGCCAAGGATGTATTGATGGGAACAGATTCTGCTACTTTGAAGCACGTGGACCCAAGGCACGGCTGCGACGATGCACTGCATGTGTCGAAAAGCATCTTCCCTGTGTGATGAAGACCAGCAGAAAGAAAACGTCGAGCGTTATTATGCCAGATCCACAAGGCGACTTGATTGTGCCATTGGCATTCAAGAATTATTTCCTCCAGGTAATAATCAATAAATATAGTAATTTATTTTCCAGTATATACGACCACGATGCCGACGCATGACTTGAGAAAATTAATCGAATCCATTACACATAGTATCGCCGAGCACAATACGTTGTAAAGCACCCGAACCGATTCCCTGTAGGCTCGGATGGACTTGACAAAGTCAAAGAGGCAGGAGATATTGTGCGACGTTTCCGCCCTGTCAGTCTTTTGGTAAGATTTTAAGTTCTTTCTCTTTCTCCTCTCTTCATTATGTTATATGATGTACTAGGCTGATGATGAAATTACTACCATGCCCTCGTTGCTGCGTATAGACTTTGAAGCGGTATTCATGCAGCACCAGTCGTCATTGTTCTGCCACCACCACCACTGCTGCTGCATCTCCTGCATTAAAGATACCGGCAAATTCTTCCAAAGTTCAAAGCAATACTATTAGCAACAATGGTACAGCTACACCACCTCATTCAATTCAATGACATACCAATCATCATGATCAAAAAATTTCAAAAAAAAGCCCAAAAAAAAAAAATTCGTGTGTTATTTCCCTTACAAAAAAAATCCTATACAACGTACTAGCGGTCCTTCCTCGCTTCGCTCGGATGAATGAGCCCCTCCGCTTCGCTCCGTGTCATTCAACGGAAACGCGTCGCAAGGTGGTTCCCCCCTTGACCCCCAAGTGGGGGGCAAGCCCCCCAAACCCGCCCTGTCGAGCGAGGTTGGATCAATGTTTTGGTATTAGATGCTTATTGTCTGTTTTCAAAATCAAAAGCAAGATCATTGTGCAGTGAGAAGTAGCCTATCATAGAAAGTCGTCAAAGTTGGATACTTAACTATCTCCAGTTTAGAATACAATGCGAAAAGAAGTGTTGACAAAGATGATGTAGTGATATTGATAAAAAGAGAATAGGCGTGAAAAAAAGAGAATAGGTGAGAAAAAAAGAGAATAGGTGATAATAAAGAGAATAGAAGATAATAAAGAGAATAGAAGATAAAAAAGAGGATAGAAGATAAAGAGAATTAGAGAAGGACTTCATGGAAAACAGCATTTCGGGTGTTTTGGCCTTGCTGACCCGCGATACTTGAGTTCTCGGGATCTAACATGATTCTAATAGATGATGGGGTGCGGACGCGTGACATGGCTACATAGAGTAGACCATGCGTGAAAGGAGGTTCAGGTAAGTAGAGGCCAACAGTGTTAAAAGTTTGATCCTGTGCCTAATTGAGGGTCATAGTGAATTCCAGGCGAACAGGGAATTGGATGCGTTTGAAGAGAATGGGGGAGCGTATTTGTGATGGTGTTAAAGTTATGCGAGGGATCAAGACGATGTTGCCGGTATGAGGTCCAGTGGCTATTTCAGCATCAAGTACATATCGTTGGAGAGAGCGTAACAATCAGTCGTGTCTTATTGCAGAGTCCACTATGGGTGTGCAAGTTCCGCTTGGTACCAACAGCTCGGCACCAACAGCTCGGCACCATCACCAATGCAAAAAAAATGTTGCATAGACTGGCCAAGCTCGTTTGCATCATTGGTGTTGGCAGCTTGTTGGACGCGTATGTTGGTTTCAAGGCGGTGGACGGTGACACTGGGTCAAATTGATGAACGATTTAGACACTGCTGTACGATTTGCGAGCGCGATGCATTTGGTATCACAGGAAGGACCTATTACCAGATTTGATGTAGATACTTTAACGTAAGTATTACCGCTCAATAGCAAAAGAATGCAAACTAGAAGAGAGGATACAATGTTGAGTACCTGGCAAAAGTCAACACCAAGGACCATAATTTTTCCATCAAATGGAACATCGGCAAGCGCGGGATCGCCATGTCTCATGAGATTTTGGATACTCTTGTATACGTTGTATACTTGTATTGATACTTGTATCCAGCGTGTTTAAAGCGATGACACTTCTCAGATGATGAAGGATTTGAAGTGAGCTTCATATCGTGTTTATAACGCTTATCCGCTTGAGTCTTTTCTCGATGCGATACCCGTCTACTCACATAGTCATACATTCATGTAGAATAAACTTTCTTATCTGGAGGAGCCACACACCTCGGCGCGTCATAAACGTGAGAGAGCAATCTGATTGGATAGATTGAACTGGCTCAAATGCCGTGTTCATTACTCTATATAACCGCCATGGCTCTTCCCGACAACAGTCAGAAACCGCCCCCCGACAGGGGCACCACTATAAACGATTCCATTCACGCTACAGGTCCAGATACATCACAAATGTCATGGGCCCATGTTGTTCAAAACCAACGTGTATCATTGATGCACTCCAATGATCTTCTTAACAACCCGGATGGTTGGACAGTTCGTCCTTCTCGAGTATGGCGTGTTGGCCGCAACGAGGGCTGCGTCTTCTTCGATGTCAGCAGCAGACCAGAGGCACTACGCTCTGTCCTGATCCTCGCTGCAAAGCAATTTCCCGGAAATACTGGCGCTACCACCCATCGTGAAGGCGCCAAACGAGTTCTTATTGAGATGTGTTTCGACGAAAACGAGTCGTTGCAGCGTGCGTTGACGACTGGCTTGACCTTCACCAAGGATCGTGTGCGAATCCAAGCCACCTTGGCCCTGCCCAACGACGGCGCTCAAAATCGCATTAAACGTGTCCGCTTGTCCCACCTACCCTTTGTTCGTGCTGACAAGCTGTGCGACGGCATCAAAAGTAGCTTCCTTCCTTATGGAAGAGTTTTGGACTGTGGCGCTTTCAAGGAAGGCGACTCCAATCTTTTCATGGGTCGTGGTTACGCCATTCTCGACTGTCAACCGATAGACGGCCAGCCTCCCTTCAGTGACCTAGAGCATATCATCGGATGGCAAGGCACCTCCAAACTTGGATTTTATGCCACGTGGAGTGATATGCCATTGCATTGCACATGGTGTCACGAGGGCGGTCATCACCGCCGTGATTGTACAAAACTGCGCAACCAGACTACCACTTGCTTTGACTGTGGCCGGCTCGGCCATATTGCTCGTGTTTGCCCTTACAAGAGTGAAGGCAAGGGCAAGGATGCCCAACCCAACAAAAAGTCACGCAAAACTCCTTTGCTCAAAGGTAGCAAGAAGGAAGGCAAGCAACCGGCAGCATCTGGCACCCACAACAACGCTGACAGCCTTCCACCGTCTGATGAGCAGCAATCGCACCCCACAGAAACTACGACGAACGCCGCCACGAACAGCGACGAGCAGTCGACGAAATACGACGAGCAGACGCACTCCGACGCGCAGAGAAAGAGCAGCGACGACAAGATCGACACCAACGACAAAACGGGCACCAACGAGAAGACGACGAGCGACGAGCACACGACGAGCGACGATGTAACGACGACGAGTAACGACGTCCCCACAACGGATAACGACGTGCCGATGCAGGTGGAAAACCAGCCCGACCACACCGAGAACAGCATTGCGCCACTAAGTGCCACCACACTGTCTGCTACACAAGCACGACCCGCGATTGGTCAGGAAACATCATCTGACGAAGTCGATGGTGATATCGCCATGAGCGCTGCCGTCACGGCCATCGTATCCGCAAACGCCGTCCAAGGCGCTGAAAGCCCTACCACTGCTTCAGCCGCCGACGACGGTCAAGATCTACAGGCTTACTTCCAGGCTTTGCCCATGTCCTTGACTGCCCGTAACTCCATCAAGAATATGTCGTCCACCAAACGTGGCGCAGTCCGCAAAGCTTGCGATGATAAACTCAAAACACCTGTCTCCGCCAATCTGATCCACAAACCTCGACGATCGACACGTGATCTGAAACATAGCCAGAAAGTACGCGACAACATTGCCATCGGGCAATCTATCACTGGGAGCGATGGCCCCAACCCCACATTTGACACCCAATGAGTAAGAGTTTCAATCTGAAATTCTGCTCCCTGAACTGCAACGGTCTACGCAAATCGAATAAACCGCTTGTACGTTCATCACTCATACGCCACCTAAAAACCCAACAACCCCACCTCATCGCTATTCAAGAAAGCCACGCTTCAGACGACAATATCAAACAAATGCTTCATACCCAATTTTGCGCACACGAATCACTTTGGACACAACACTGTGGTCTTGTTGCACTATCACCCGACATTCACCTCGAACTGCGCTCCGTATCGTCTGACGATCGAGCCATGCTCATCAACATCCGTCACAAATCCAATATCTTCGACCCATTCCATGTATTGGTCCTATATGCTCCTGCCACCAGTAGTAGCGACCGTAAGGCCTTTTACACCACACTCCTCGACAATCCAGCCTTTTGCCTCACGGACCATTTCTTCTGTGAGCGACTACTTATTGCTGGCGATTTTAACTACGACATCACTCGCCCACATTTTCTGCGCAACGCCCCTTCTGGCTGGCACGCCCTCCTCGAAGAAGTTTTCTTTGACTGCATCACCGACCGTACCACCACTCTCCCAGTTCCCACCTTTCGTCGCGGCACCACTACCCACTCGACCATCGACTATATTTATGGTGGATCACTGTTTCGTAACAAGATCTATCATGCCGAGGTTTCATATTTACACTCGGAGTGGACCGATCACGCTTTACTTGCCATGAATATTCGCTTTGTTTCTCAAACTCACGGTAAAGGCTGTTGGCGGGCCAATCCCTCCATCACATACGACAAAGAATTTCGTCGCTCCTTGGCCTCGACACTCTCTTCACTGCATCCCCATCTAATGGATCTGCCCTCTCCCCAAGAGCAATGGGAGCACGTAAAAGAGGTGGTCACCAGGCACATTCGGTCCTATTGCCGAACACAAGCTCATTGGCGCAAAGAGCAGTTGCGCGCTTTGCAGTCCAAGCGTAATCGCTTTCTCCGTACCCGTCCGTCTCTGGCTCTCCGCGCACAGTTCTTGCCACGCCTCGAACGCCAGATCGCCACTCTACAGCAAGCATTAGTCGATTCCTCCGCACTACGTGCTGGTCAACGTTGGCGCGAGCATGGTGAAAAGTCTGCGGGATACCTCAAACGCACGATCGAACAACGCCAAGCATCTCGCCACATTTCACAGTTACAGCATCCTGTTACCGGCACCATACATTCGGACGTCAACGGCATGCAAGACGCAGCAACTACCTTTTACCAATCATTGTACTCCGCAGACGATATTTCAGACGACTCTCTCGAGTACCTTTTGCAACGTATACCAGGCTCTTGTCGCTTGTCACCCCAAAGCGCCACGGACCTTCTTCATGAGTTTACCATTGAGGATCTCCAAAGTGCCGCCAAACGTGCTCCTAAACAAAGCAGTCCCGGACCCGACGGATTACCCTATTCCATCTGGTACCTTGTTTTCCGGCATCCGCTGTACGCCACTTTAGCATGTCAGGTCTACAACGCTGCCTTGCGGCAGAGTGTCTACCCACGCTCCTGGCAAGAAACATGCGTTACTCTCTTGCCCAAAACTGGCGGTGATCTGTCTTCACTTCGGCTTTGGCGCCCCATCAGTTTGATCAATTGTGATGCCAAGATTTGTACCCGGCTTTTGAACGCTCGTATGGTCACCACTGCATCACTCCTCATCACTCCACATCAAACTGGCTTTCTACCTGGTCGATTCATTGCTGACAATGGTCTGCTGGTCAAGTTGATGATGGAACAAGCAACGCTCCGCCCGGATGATACCACAATCGGCCTTCTTCTTGACCAAGAAAAGGCCTATGACCGCATCCATCCTCGATATTTGTCCAGAGTTCTGTGCCACTTCGGTTTTCCGCCTCGACTTGTTACCAGCATCTGCGACCTCTTTTTTCAGACGCATATCCGGATCAACATCAACGGCCATCTCAGCACGCCCATCCAGCAGAGACGCGGTCTCAGGCAAGGTGACCCGCTCTCGCCTATTTTGTTTAATCTGGCGATTGAGCCTTTATTACGTGCTATCCTTGAGGATCGCGCCTTTCTGGGTGTCCCCCCTGCGATTGG